ATTAATTCCCAATCCTTCTTTCTGTGGCCGCATCCGCACTCCGCCTTTCCCGCTCCTCCGGCTCTCCAAGGCTCCTCCACTTGGCCCGCGTCTGCTGCTCGGTTTCCGGGGCGGCCGGCTCCTGCTCCCTTTCGGGCAGGCTCGCCGCCGCTTCGTTCCGAGCGGTCAGCGCAGGTGCTTGGGACCTCAACACGACACGTTGACGCCCAACCTGCGCCCCGAGTGCACACTCCCCTCCACTCGTCGAGGGAGGCATAGGCGAAGATGGTTCGAACTTCTTTGAAGTTCGGGGTCTTCGCGATGCGGACGAGGCCCACGTGACTCCGACGCTTTGTCCTCGTCGCGGCAGCGACAGGACAAAGCACGATGCTCTGTGCCATATAGATAGCCTCGCGAGCGAGAGCAGAGACGCCGTCGTCTCATGCTCCGCTCGCAGGTACGTGCCACTTGCGCTACAGCGCGTCCGAGTTGTCGTCTCATGCTCCGCTCGCAGCCGCCCGGGCGACTTCATCGCGCCGGCGCCGTTTTCTTTGCCCCTCCCACCATCCCCTCATTCACTCATCGTTCACTCGCATTCCTGTTTCATTCAGCCTCTGTATCTACCTAGCTCCATAGTACCATGTAGTAGCTAGCACACAGTCCCCTGTAGCGGCCCGCGTCTGCTGCTCGGTTTCCGGGGCGGCCGGCTCCTGCTCCCTTTCGGGCAGGCTCGCCGCCGCTTCGTTCCGAGCGGTCAGCGCAGGTGCTTGGGACCTCAACACGACACGTTGACGCCCAACCTGCGCCCCGAGTGCACACTCCCCTCCACTCGTCGAGGGAGGCATAGGCGAAGACAGCCGAACATATGCGCATCTCGACAGACGAACTGTATGTCAGGTTCGGCATGACATGTACAATAGCCTTAGGACGCGTCCCACGTCTCGTAACGTTCTACCAGACAAGCGTCCGAGATCCGCCCCACACAGCACGCAAGAAATATAGGTCGAAAGAATAACAGGCTCACCAGCGACACCCGATCCTCCTTCTCCCCCACGTTGCCCGAGTGCCCCGCATTGACCTGGGAGCCCGCGCTGCCCCCGGACGCGTCGACGCGTTTGCGCTTCGTGCGCTCGCGGTCGCCGTCCGCGCGCTCGGGCGCGGCGCGTTTCGTGCCCGCGGCAGCGTGATACGCAGCGTCGTCCGCCTGCACGGCGCGTTTCCGGGTGTTCTGCCCGCGAGCCCGGGGTGCCTGCGCCGCCGCCGAAGTGACGACGGGCGTGGCTGGGGCGTGGGTAGCGATGGGCCTTGTGCTGGCGAGGGCGTGCACGGAGGAGGGGTGGCCGTGGGTAGTATGAGTGTGGGGAGCTGAGCTTGTGTTGGGCATCGTGAAGCGTTGCGAGGGTCTCGACGCAGGCGAGGGATTCGATGACGCGTGGGTGCTCGTTGGCGGACTGGAAGCTGGGTGTATGCGCCGATATGTGAAGCAGTCGTGTCCGGGGTGAGGATAGGTGCCTGGTGGGGATCTTCGTCAACTGGAGAAGTTGCAGCGGGGTCCGCGAGGTGTGAGTGTCTCGACGACAGGCGAGCGGGGATGAGGAGAGGGTGCCGTCGGCGTATGGGATGCGACGGCGACCCCGCTCTCGCCCCTCAGCCACCCACGCGCCAGATCAGGAACGGTCCACGTGGTTTTACTTATACCTTACGCTTTGCGTTAATTGAACGTTGTATGTACCGCGTTGTTCTTAGCTTGAAGCATAACTTACGACGGTCCACATGAAGCAACAGGCAGCTTGCGTCCTGAGGCAGCGATGGTTGGAAGTGAGCGCAAAGTAACGGGCCCGCGATCTTGCCAGACTGCACCTTTCTTGGCCGATGGGAGTGAAATCTACAGAATGTAAATAGTCATTGGCTATAACTCCCATATGCCCCATGGCTGAGTTGGTTACAGCGTCCGACTGTTACTTAAAGCACATCGGAAGGTCGTGAGTTCGAGCCTCACTGGGGCAGCAATGTTTTTGCGGATCACCCGTACAGATACTTTGGTAAAGCTCATGGTCAGTACGTAAGAGGTGTCTTAATGCCAAGGGCAGACGGATTGGGAACGGACGGGGGCGGCAGCAGAATCTAATAATGATACAGCAACACAAACAAATACACAAATACCCAAGATAAACGACCAAGCCATATAAGTTATAGGCGACGGGCTGAAGATTAGCATGGTTTATGCGAGAAGATCACGACGGGTATAGAGAGGAATGCGCGATGTTCGTCGGCCGGAGTCCGTAAGGGCTACCAAGATATCACCAGTGGGAGCAGGGTTCGGCGGGTGCGCATTATTGGTACTTGTCTTTGTAAATCCAGGCTAGCCCGATATCGCTTACGCCTTGCGCGACCTACCTGAACGTCAGCCACGGCGACCCAAAAGAAAATCAATTATGGGCAGAAACGCACCGCTGCGCGGTACCACTTGGCCGATTCGCGCTTGTCTTTCTTGCAGCCCTTGCCATTTAAGAGGCAAAACGCGAGCTCTTGCTGCGCGTCGGGGTCGCCGAGACGCGCAGCAACGCGGAAGTATTGCTGTGTACGGTGCAGCGTGCGTAAGAGCGTGTGCGACCAGCAGGTGATATATAGGGGAAAGACTGACCACAGCCATCTCCTTGTCCTTCTCCACCCCCCACCCACGGTAGAAACTCTGGCCCACCTCGTAAATGGCAAGCACGAGCTCCGACTAGCAAGATAGGTCAACCTCGCAACCCTCACACACGGCAGCAAGCACAGCGAACATACCTTGACCGCCCCCATATCCGCGCCTTGCCTGCCCTTCTCCAGGTCAACAACAGCGAGCTCCGCCGCACGCCGCAGCCACCGAAAGCCCGCGACCTCGCTCTTCGTGCACCCCCAGCCGTGCCGTTGCGCGAGACCCCACATAAGCATGCCCACCCCACACCCGCCGTTCAGCGTAGCCGACTTCTCGAACGCAATTGCGGACTCCTGGAGTCGGTTCGCTAGGTGGTGCTGGATGCCGACCTGGAGGAAGTCCTGCGGGGTCTGCGGGTTCTCGAGGTCCACCGGCTCGGCCTTCGGGTTTAGACTTTGTTTCGAGGGGGACCTTTGCAATGTAGAGGCGGAGGATGGGTTGACCGGGGAGAGTGCGCGCGGGGACGGCGGCGGGAACCCTGGTGTTGGCGGTTGTGAAAGCGTGGTCGGGGTTGCCGGCATCTCGTAGTACGAGTACTCCGAGTACACGCTATTCGAAGATGTAATCCGTGGGCTAAGCCCACCGCCGTTCGGGGTATGCACAGACAGGGAAGGAGATGGTAGCGGCTGCTGCTGCTGCTCAAAGTACGACCCTGGCGACACCGGACGCGATCCCTGACCCCCAGGCGAGCTCGGGGCCATCCGCGAGCTCAGCGCAGGTGAATGCAATGGGGAGTGTGGACTCCGCGCGTTCCTCATGAGGACCTCGAGCTTCCTGTCCGCATCGGCATCCACTCCTTCCGCAGGGAGGCCCGGCCGCGAGAAGTTGATGCTCCCGCTCGCGACTTGCGACGGCACCCGCCCCCCGACCGCCGCATACGACCGCTGGTGCTGCTCCGGCTCCGCGGAGACGATGACGGTGGGCAGCGCGGGCGCGACCTCCGACTGTTGCGGATACGGCGCGGAGGGCGGGGGCGGGGGCGGGTTCAAGCCCGACGCACGCCAGGTGTCGCGGTAGCTAGCGGTGATGTCGTCGATGTCGTAGTTGGACGAACGCACCGAGTCGTGTCCGTCCTCGTACCGACGCCCCGGCTGTCCGTACTGTCCTCCGTATTGCTCCCGGTCCTGCTGTGATGGGGAAGCGCCGCGGAAGGTGTGTGTGCTGGACGCGGACGGGGAGGGTGGTGCGGTGCCCGTGGCCGAGCGGCCGTCCCACGAGAAGGTGCGCATGCTCGCGTCATCGTAGTACGAGGACGCGGTTGCTGTCGAGGAGCGGAACGCGGTGTGCAGCAGCGGGGAAGGCGGCCCTGGCGTATTCCCAGCGGAGCGCGGGGGCGTCAGGGGCAACTCAAGGTTGGACGGCCTCTGGTTAGGCGTCCGTCGGGAGGACGTGCGGCGGATGAGCGATCCAAGTGGGGACGAATCGTGCATGTTCGGCGTGAGCTGCTGCCCCATGGAGAGCTCAGACATTGTGCAGGAGGTGTAGGATGACTATCGAAGGTGGTGGGATATAGCAAGAAGCATCAATTTACCAATGGCGGTCGTCGCTAAGCGGCACAGCTGAAATGATCGACGTTGCAGCACCAGATCTATATCGAAATCGGGCAACCAGGGGCAGCATCCAGACAAGGCGAATATCCACCCGGAAAGCAGAGGGCACATCGTATTATGAGGTTGACTACGTATAAAAAGACTGGCATTGTACTCGACACGTCTAGAGGTACTTTTTCGTCCGCTTGAGCTCCGCGTACGGGTCGGCCCTGGGCATCTTGCCAAACCGCGGCTCCTCCTTCTCTGTAAGGCCGCAAACACGTTAGCCCAGCTATATATACCCGTGCTAATTTTGACTTACTGAGTGTATGCTGGTAGATGTGGGAGACCGTCTCGTCCCACTCCTCACGCCACATGTGCGCTCCGCCGCCCCGTGCACCGTCAAACCCGTACTGCTCCGCAAAGGCTCGGAAGTTAAACCCGAGCCGTTCGGACTCCTGGAACACCGGAATGTCGATCGGCTCGGTGGGAGACGATTGGGGGAGCATGAGCAGAACGTAGCGGTGGTAGGGCGTGCCGCGCTGCGGGTGGGGAGGGACATAAGGCGTGTGTGTATCGAGCGGAACAGTCGGCGTAGTAGTGAACGCAGATAGAGGGACATTAGGTCTACGTAACGCAGCGTTAGTGCGGAGCGGGAAGAATGATGCGTGCGAGCTTACTGTAACCAGTGCAGGTACGATGTGAACGACTGGTCCTCCGGGTTAGGAACGTCCAGGTCCACCATCAGCAACGTGTACAGACGCGTGTCTGTGTGGAAGAGAGTCATGGATAACTGGGGCGGTCTCCGAGTCTACACGTCCCATGGAATCGGTTAGCAACTGCTGAACGGGTGCTGAGTCGTGAGCATACCTGTTCGGCGACCAGGAAGATACCAGGCTCGACCTGCTTCAGCTTGCGCTTAACACGCGTGCGGAGGTAGTTGTCTTTGGGAGGTGCCTCAGCATACTTGATGCGCAGGTCGAAGGTAGGCTTGAGCTCGGGTAGCATGTCCGGGACAACGTTCATTTGATAGATACGTTCCATCTATTACCAGTGAGCACTCAGTCTGCGGGCGCCGGAACGCAACAAGACCTACCAACAAGTCCAGGTCACCCTCTTCTCTCCACTGCTGCTCAACCAAATGCCTATGAATCGGCGTGCTCATATCCGCTACGTGTAATTCAGCAGAAGCACGCGCTAACCCAGTCGAAAGCACTCACCCAAGCCATTCCTCGCCTTCCACCGCACGTCCGGTAGGTTCGCCTCGCTCTGGATCTCCAGGATGCGAATCTGTTCACGCATCCCCTGCAACGCCGCCTCGTCCCGCTCTCCCTCTGGCTTCTTCGCCTCAGCCTCCGCCGCCGCACGGAGCTCTTCCAGCTCCTTCCGCATGAACGTCGCGTCCTTGACGATGTAGCGTAGCGCGTAGTCGTACGCGGGCTCGACGCCCTTCGCGATTGGGCGACACCATTCGCGCGGGACCTGAGCTTGTGCAGCCTTCTTCCGGCCCTTGACACCCTGCTGCTGTTCCGCAAGGCTTCCAGCGCCGTTGCCGGTGGCCCCGCTGGACTTCGCTGTCACCGATGAGGGAGGCGGCGACGCGGCGTCGGCCTGCGAGTGAGCGGCGGCCTCAAGGGTCGCGTTTCCGCGTACGCTTGCGAGTCTAGGAGCAAAGCGAGGCAGACGGCGCAAAGCAAGCATTGTCGGTGTAGTACGGCGAGTAGACCGCGAAGGGGGAAGACGAGCGAATTTGTGGTGGGCGTCTATAGCGGTTATTCGTCCCCTTTTGGCAAGCGTAGTGATCCCAAACTCTAATAAGTACAACCTGCTGAGTATCGTTTGGGTGCCCTGCATCATATCTATATCTGTCCAGTTCTCACTGTAAATAGTGCTTTTATGGCGCCCACTAGATCTGACACGGCAAGCATCGCAGGATATCACGGCCCCAGAAAGACTTTAAGATCGTGAAGCAAACTAAAACTGCCACTAATCCTTTGTCCCCGAACAAAGAGATTTTTGACAGTTATCATTTGCTTCAAGTTCCTGGGCCTATCTGACGTCCTGATATCCTAGGATGTTTGCTGTGTGACCAAGCTCTCAAAATGGGGCCCAATGATCACTATGTGCTTGCAGCACTTCTTCCATCCAAACAAAAAGTGATCACGCTCTGCCCATACTGCCCCAGTGAGGCTCGAACTCACGACCTTCCGATGTACTTGCAACATCACGGAGACGTTTAACAGTCGGACGCTGTAACCAACTCAGCCATGGGGCATGAGAAGTCAAAGTCAGCCTTGTTTGACATGTAATCAACACGAGCAGCCATTGGACGGCTATAAGGTGGTTATCCCACAAAATGGTGGGGAGCCAACGAAGTCCTAACTTATGACTCTGAGAGTGATCAAGAAGGCAGATCGCGACCAGTCGGAGCGTCGAACGCAGACATCAAAAGCGCCTACCAAACGCATCGCGTACGCGACGGTGACGCGTGAGTCGGTGTGACTGACCGCGTGTCGCGAGCAAATGCATCGTTCACGCGTTCTCTCCCGGTAAATGGAGTAGAAATTATGTCCTAAAAATGCGAACCATTCGAGACGTATCAAGTATTTGCATCATCTACGTTTATAGGAAGATGATGAACTTGCTGAAACGGGGAAAATCCAAGATGTGGCGAAGATGGGCGCTACTGTCACGTGCAGGGCGCGTTCTTCAAAGATGGTCGCGTTTCGCGTTGAACGTGTTGACACGAACCGTCACGACGCGAGCCACCCTCGCCTTTCCACTTCTTCCCCATCGGACTGCCACACTACCACTGTCGACGGGACTCACGACCACTAGTTCAGCACGATGAGCTCCTCGGAAGAGAACTTCGACCTTGACGTCTCGGGCTCGGAGTCTGACGGCTACGCGCCTGCGCCCAAGAAGAAGGCACCTGCGAAGAAACCCGTGTCTAAGGCTGCACCGAAGGCTGCTACGAAACCCAAGGTGACGAAGAAGACCAAGGTGCTCCTAGACAAGAACGACAACGCAGACAGTGATGAAGACGAAGACCCGATGGACGAGGACCCTGCCTCCGCTGTGGCACCCCTGGCAGGACCTTCGGCGCCCACGAACGGGAAGAAGAAGACAGCATCGGAAATGTACACCAAGGTGCGCGCATATATGCACTTGAGACGCGTTCAGGCGTAACAGATAGCCCTCTAGCTCTCGCAACTTGAGCATATCCTGAAGCGTCCCGATTCGTACATCGGGAGCGTCGAAACTATCACGCAGATGATGTGGACATGGGACTCGGAGAACAAGCGGATGGTGCACCGCGAAATCAAATACGTACCCGGGTTCTTCAAGATTGTAGACGAAATTCTGGTCAACGCAGCGGATAACAAGGTGGGTGACAATAGTCTCAGCCTCAGCATATATGCTACCCTTGATGTATGCGAGGTGGCACTCGGTCTTGCACAAGCATATGCCATCCCCAGCCTCGCTCGCCGCACTCCGAGAGAACGCCGTAACTCACGTCGCGTTCCAACTAGATCAACGACGCGTCCATGGACACAATCAAGGTCAATATCGACGTTGAGAACAACACAATCACAGTGTACAACAACGGACGCGGTATCCCCATTGAGATGCACAAGAAAGAGAAGATCTACATTCCCGAACTCATCTTCGGCCACTTACTTTCGTCTTCGAACTACGATGACGACGAGAAGAAGCTCACGGGTGGTCGTAACGGATACGGCGCCAAGCTCGCGAACATCTACTCCACAGAATTCACCGTCGACACCGCCGACAAGAACACCAGCCAGAAGTACTCCCAGACATGGACAGAAAACATGAGCAAGATAGGGAAGGCGAAGATCACGAAGAACGGGCGTGGGGAGGAGTACACGCGGGTCACGTTCAAGCCAGACCTGAAGCGGTTCGGGATGGACTCCATCGACGAAGACACGGTCTCGCTGCTCAAGAAGCGCGTGCACGATCTTGCGGGCACGACCAAGGACGTGAAGGTGTTCCTAAATGACGAGCGGCTGAAGATCAAGAACTTCAAGCAATACGTCGAGCTCTTCATCAATTCCGCTGCACAGGAAGCGGCGGACGTCTCGGGAGGCGCCGCGCAGGTCAAGCCGAGCATCATCTACGAGCCGATAGGGACGCGCTGGGAGGTGGCGTTCGCGGTCTCGGACGGGTCCTTCCAACAGGTCTCGTTCGCTAACTCCATCTCGACGTCGAAGGGTGGAACACACGTCAACTACATGGCCGACCAGATTGCGAAGGCTCTCATCACCTCCATTTCGAAGAAGAACAAGGCTGCGACGATCAAGCCCGCGCAGATCAAGAACCACATGTGGATATTTGTGAACGCGCTCATCGAGAACCCGACCTTCGACAGTCAGACGAAGGAGACACTGACACTCCCTGCGAGCAAGTTCGGTACTCGCCCTACACTGTCGGAAGACTTCATGAAGAAGGGTGGGTGGGGTTTGTATTCATTGGATGCACTCATCTTACGCACCACGTATAGTCGCCAAGTCCTCCATCGTCGACCACGTCCTGAACTGGGCTAAGTTCAAGGCTGATCAGCAGCTGAAGAAGACGGATGGCAACCGCCGTACGAGGTACTATTCATGCGTGCCGGGCACTAAACTGCTTGGCTGAAGTCTTCTTTTAGATTGACCGGCATGACGAAACTGTCAGACGCGAACAACGCGGGCACGCGTAAAGCTGGGGATTGTACTCTCATCCTCACTGAGGGTGATTCCGCTAGGGCGTTGGCTATCGCCGGTCTCGGTGTCGTCGGTCGCGACAACTTCGGTGTCTTCCCGCTCCGTGGAAAGCTGCTGAACGTCCGTGATGCGAAGCATGACCAGATTATGAAGAACGAGGAGATTCAGAACATCAAGAAGATCATGGGCTTGCAGCACAACAAAGAGTACACGGACGTGAACAGCCTGCGTTACGGACGTCTGATGCTCATGACGGATCAGGTAAAAAAAGTCACCAGTTTAAAAGTGCGGACTGCGCTAACCACCTCGTACACGGCTAGGATCATGATGGTTCGCATATCAAGGGCCTTCTCATCAACTACCTCGACCACTTCTACCCCTCGCTCCTGAAGCTGCCTAAGTTCCTCGTCGAGTTCATCACGCCTGTCGTTCGAGTATGTGATTTGCATGTTTTCGTCCATGCTCATGCTCACACTCGTCACAGGTATGGAAGGGCAAGACCATCATCAACTTCTACACAATTCCGGAGTACGAGATGTGGCTAGAAGACACGCCCGATTCGCACAAGTGGGAGCACAAGTACTACAAGGTGCGTGGCAGCTGGTTCCAACCCCGGTTGCCAGACTGAAAGGTCTACAGGGTCTTGGTACGAGCAAAGACGAGGATGCCCGTGACTACTTCAGGGACATGAAGCGCCACATGATCCCGTTCTCCACTCAGCAGGATGGTGACCGCGAGCTCATCGAGCTAGCGTTCAGCAAGAAGAAGGCAGACGACCGGAAGGAGTGGCTCCGCCAGTTCAAGGTAAATAGTACCCCGGTTTTGCGACGTCCGAACGTATACTTATTTTGTCCCGCTAGCCTGGCACCTACCTCGATCATACCCAGCGCGAGATCCCTCTGAAGGACTTCATCAACCGCGAGCTCATTCTTTTCTCAATGGCGGACAACATCCGTTCCATTCCTTCTGTGGCAGACGGCTTGAAGCCTGGTCAGCGGAAGGTCATCTGGTCTTGCTTCAAGCGCAACCTGAAGAGGGAAATCAAGGTTAGACGCCTGCCTAGGTATCTTCCGAAATCTCTGCTCTAACACACGACGTCTAGGTTGCCCAACTCGTCGGATACGTTTCCGAGACTTCAGCCTACCACCACGGCGAAGCAAGTTTGATGGCCACCATTATCAACCTGGCACAGGACTACGTCGGGAGCAACAACATGAACTTGCTTTTGCCAAACGGTCAATTCGGTACGCGTGATCAAGGCGGTAAGGACCACGCCGCGGCTCGTTACATCTACACCGAGCTGGCGCCGGTCATCCGCACTGTAATGCACCCCGCAGACGATGCGGTTCTGTCGTACCAGCAGGACGACGGTAGGTCGGTGGAGCCCGAGTGGTACATGCCCGTTATCCCCCTTGTCTTGGTCAACGGCGCTGAGGGTATTGGCACTGGTACGTTGTCAAATAGCTCACGCGTTACCCCGCCCGCTAATGCTGTTATACAGGCTGGAGTACTTCCGTCCCTAGCTTCAACCCTGAAGACATCGTCGCGAACCTCCGCCGTCTCATGAACGGGGAGGAGCAGGTTCCCATGCTCCCGTGGTGGCGCGGCTTCTCGGGCGCGATCAAGAAGACCGGCGACAACAAGTACGACGTCCTGGGCACGATCACCAAGGTCGACGACTCAACCATCGAGATCACCGAGCTGCCCATCCACAAGTGGACGCAGACGTTCAAGGCCGAGCTCGAGGTGATGTGCGGCGAGAAGGGCGACGGACCCGTTAAGGTAAGCCTCGTCCGCGCTACTTCCTTACGCAGACAGCTAATTATGTGCTTTTCCGCAGGACTACAAAGAGTACCACAACAACATGAACGTCCACTTCGTGGTCACGATGACCGAGAAGGGCATGGAGCAGGCGGAGAAGCAGGGCTTCCACGAGTTCTTCAAGCTGACGACGAAGGTCAGCACCGCGAACATGGTTTGCTTCGACTTCGACAGCAAGATCAAGAAGTACAGTGCGGCGGAGGAGATCATTGAGGACTTCTACCCGCGTCGTCTGGCGTACTACCAGAAGCGCAAGGTATGCCTGTCTTGCTTCGTCTGCATTGCAGCTGCGGGTGTTCACAACGCATGCAGGACTTCTTGGCGAACGAGCTCCAAACGCAGCTTGATCGCCTGAACAACCAGGCACGCTTCGTCAAGATGATCATCGACAAGGAGCTCATCGTCAACAACCGCAAGAAGGCGGACATCGTGGCCGAGCTCCGCAAGAAGCAGTTCCGCCCCTTCCCGAAGGTGGCCAAGGCCAAGGTTCACGGCGAGATCGAGGACGTTGTCGAGGACGAGGATGGTAGCGACTTCGAGGGCAATGTCACCGACTACGACTACCTCTTGGGCATGGCTATCTGGAGCTTGACGAAAGAGAAGGTCCGTCTCCCTTTCAGGGTTTCTATGCTGCGTTTGCTGGAACTACCGCCCCACAGATCGACAAGCTGCTCCAGCAAGCCAAGGAGAAGGAGACTGAGTTGCTGACGCTGCTCGAGCTCACGCCCATCCAGATCTGGCAGACGGATCTCGACGCTTTCCTCGACCAGTGGAAGGTAAGATAAACACTACCTCAGCCTCCCATGGGTACTCACCTGCTCTCTAACAGACAACGTGCATCGACTGGGAGGCCAAGCTTTGCGCCGCCGAGGGTGATGGTGCCGCAAAGAAGGGCAAGAAGAAGGCCGGGAAGCTCCCCTTTGCGGCACCCAAGAAGACGAAGGCGGAAGAGGACGACGACTTCAAGCCCGGCAAGGCTACTGCGAAAGCGAGAAAGGCGTCCGAGACGAAGAAGCCCACAACTGCCGTTCCTTCTGGCTCGAACGTCGCTCTGAAGAAGGGCGACGACGACGACGATGATGTGGTCCCGCCCCCTCCACCGAAGAAGCGTGCTGCTCCAGCCAAAAAGGTCGTCACCAAGATTGAGTCGGACTCAGATTTGGAGATGGTCGATGAGCCACCGCCGAAGCCTGCAGCCAAGAGGAAGGCGCCAGTGAAGGCTGAGTCTGATTCCGAGTTCGAGACACCGTCGTCCGCAAAGGGCAAGGGGAAAGCGAAGGCGAAGAATGGTTCTGCTACCAAGCGGAAGAGGTGAGCCCTAGTATGTTTGCGCGCCCGAGCAGTTGATTGATGTGTTATTGCAGCCTGGACGCGGAGATCGACGATAGCGATGACGAGCTATCGATGAAGCCCCCGCCAAAGAAGAAGAAGGCATCGCAGTCCCCGCCAGACGACGATGACGACGAGGTCATGGAGGTCTCCGCACCGGCCAAGAACGGCAAGCAGGCCGCGATGACCGACTTCTTCGGCAAGGCGGGTCCAGCCGCAGCTGCTGCGAAGAAGCCCACGGCTCGCAAGGTGTCGACGAGCAGTCAGGCCGCGAAGAGCAAGGCCGCACCGCCAGTGAAGAGGGCTGCAGCGAAGAAGACGATCGCTTCGGATAACGACTTCTCGGACGACGAGGTCGTGCCCGCGCCTCCGAAGCCACGAGCCGAGGCGCCTAAACGCGCGACGAGGGGCGTGGTGTCGAAGTATGTCGAGATCACGTCCGGGGACGAGGACGATGGGGGCTCGAATTTCGAAGACTTTGACTAGAACGCTCGATGATACCAGACTTGTTCCATCGGGCTCGCAGGTTCGCTTTTTGCTCGACGTTCTACGGTGTATTGTTATTGCGCTTGCAGCGTCCATCGTGTATTCCTTCTGACGACCTCTCATGATATCCGTACTCACTCGTTATGTTTCATACACTATTCCAATCCATCTGCTTTCTGTATACCTCCTGGGTGTGACGACTGATGCGCTGAGCTAATTCGAACAAGGCATCCTGTCCGTCTGAAACGAATGTGCCAGTACGGACTCTTGCTTCGTATTGCGTAGTGCCTCGCTGGTACATTCAGTCGCATACACAAATGACGCTCTACGGCTTCGACGGTGCCTTGAAGTCCTTCAGCCAGGCCTTCACGAACTCGATCTCCTGCTGGTGGATAGCCTGGATCTGCGGCGGCTCCTGGCTGGGGTCTGCCAGGCCATTCTCATCGTAGTGGTGCACGGCGACTATCCCCAACACATCCTATCAGTCAAACTTCCTGCCATGCCCTGTTGGGAGACTCACGGGGGATGAGCTTGAAGGGGCGCAAGGTGGTGTCCGCGCGAGGGCGGGCCGCAGGGCTGTGCGGGGTGTCGCCCCGCCAGGGGTCGTCTGCGGGCCCAACCAGTGTAAGCATCATCATCAAAGCTGAAATGGAGCAAGCCATAGTGTACGTACCCTGGCCGTCAATGATGGCGAGGCGATCGTACGCAATGCTGTACCCGCCGAGCTTGTTCACTGCCTCGACGTCGGGCTCGGGGGGCACCTGGAAGTGTTCTCCAGGGTCATAAGCCTGCGCGGCCAATCAACATCGTTCATCTGTTGGCGGGTGAGCGAGCGTGAAGACATACAAGCTTGCAGATGAGCGAGGCGTAGTCCTGGGTGATCAGTTTGGAGATGATGCGCGGGGTTGCAGGATTGGGCGGGGGAGTCTGCGGATCATTGGAGGGTCGGTGAGTGAGGGCAGTGAAGCCGCACAGGAGAGCAAAGCATACCATGAAGAAGCCCCATTGAGTGCACACTTGGAAGTCCCACAAGCGCCACGTCTGTGAAAGGTCGGTCGCCTTGAACTGGTCCGGCGCGGTGATCGTCCCGAAGCACTAATCGAAGGTGTCAGGTCCTGCGGACAGCGTGACGCAGAGCAGGATGCCGTTAACTCACCTCATCCTGGTTCTGGGGCGGCTGGCACTCCCTGGATATAGTCTGCACGCCTTGTTAATGATGCCAATTTTGCGAATAGATGTCAGCTTACCCTGTTGATGTACGTTGCGTAGTTGAATGTCGCGTTGCTGACCGTGATACCTTGCACGGTGTGCACGGTTGCGTTGTCCGGAGTTCCGAGCGCCGCGCAGAACCGCGCAAACGACGTGCTGCCTACCGCGGGGTCCCAGTTGTTCGACTGCCACGCGCCGAGCGGGTTCTGTGCGCATGGCGTCAGCCTCTTCTCGTCCACATTTTGTATTGCACCACACGTACCGATAGCAGCGAAGCGAAGTCCGGGTCATACGTGACGTTCTGCAGCCCAAAGACCGACTTGATAGCGAGCCGCGTCTTCGCATTCGGGCTCGTGATGAGTCTGTCGACCTCGTCGATGGTGCGCTCGACCTGCGTGATGCACGCCGCCGGCGCGGACTGCCGGATAATGTCGAAGTACCGCCAGTCGTCGAGCGTCGCGTGCACGACCCCGCTCGACGCGATCGCGCCGAAGACGAGGTCCGGGTAGAGCACGCGCATGTGCGCCGCGCGCGCGCCGCCGTAGGAACCCTGCGAGGTGGCATGTGGTGCGTGAGACGCTGGCATTGCGCCGGAGGTTGTTTGCTAACTCACGCCGTAGTATATCCACGGCGTCCCGGGCGCCGTGAGATCGCCTGGGATGCCGGGGAACGTGACGTTGTCGATGAAGTTGGCGGAGTCGGCCGCGGCCTGCTCGTTGTTGAGCCACCTGGACGTGGCCGCTATCAGCGACTGACACGCATGGTTTCGGGAGGAGTACCGCCAATGCCGTACCTCAGAGAATCGGTCGTGAAATTCTGCACAGGCACCGACTCCCCTGGAACGCGAGTTTGTAAGCACTCGGAGCATTCGGATCTTGTGACAGACAAGCTGAAGCGCTGTACCGTAATATCTGTGCTCCAGCACGATGGCGAGCCCGTCCGTGGCGTTGGCGAGGATGTTGAGGATGCCTGTATCGAGGATGGGCATACGCTCATCTCCTGGACCCTCGCCCGCCTCGAAGACGATGACAGGACCGCCAGGCTTGTAGTGACGGTCGCTGAGCCAGTATCGTTGCTGGAACGTGAAGCCGGTGTCCACAAAATGGTCAAGAGGCTGTGTAAAATTGAACACTGGGAACGTCGTCGCGTCCGCCGCGCGTTTCGCAGGGGAATTCTGCGCCCTCCTGGCAGCGAGCTTCGTCCACTGAGGGTTGGCGGGGAGATGACGCGCCTCCGACGTTCCAGCGAGCTGGAAGAGCAGCACAGCAAGCGCGCCGAGGCGTACGAGCCCCAAGTTGAGGGAGAACATATCGGCCGAGGACGTCGGGCGGATGGCTGTCGGGTCGAAAGCTGGACGCGCCGCTACTTATATGTATTCTTGGCACGCACATCATCCGCCCCCGGGATGGGGATTAGATAGATCTCCGAGTTCTCCTGAAGAAGCTGATCATTTCCTTGCATGGTCGGATCCATATGGTGACGCTATCGCATCGAACCACGCGCTACCCATCAGAAGGCCGACATGACCATCGCCTCCGCGTGTCAGCTGCGTGTATACGAGACGCGGTGCGTATACTCCAGCCCGAAAAGGACGTTAAAGGTAGAACCAATGCCAAACCCGTAGAAGTCAGCATTCTTCGTACCTCATCAGGAATGACCTCAGGAACCAGGGGCCCTATATGGTAACAGGTGGTTGGATTGAGCGCTGGAGACTCCCCCCCAATGTGCGGAGACGCCCTGTCTCCATCCGCGGCCATATGGAGCCTATGGAGGCGTTCCCACGGCTTCCCCGCGCGACTCACCAACGACGCCCTCCCCGCTCACAATTAAAATCATTGCGGCCGGCCTACGGAAGGCCAGATCTATGAGCTCGTACGTCGAAGCAAGCGCGAGATGAGGTTTGTCGCAGGGATGGAGAACGTGTCTCCATATGGAGGCCCCTGGAGCGCTGGAGTCGGGCGTCTCCGTCTGGAGGATTTGGCTTTTCCTGATGCTCTGTGATGGACGCGCAAATGGAGTACCGAGAGCGCTCACTGCTGGCGCTCGGGAGTTAGTATGAGTGGGACTTACTTGGGACTTACTAGTGTCAAGGAGTATGGGAACCACGCTGCATGAAACCGTCGAAGGCAGTTCAGAACGAAGGTTTTGAAAGTGGACGTTCCCGGTAAACTTCTTTGCAAGCGCCTAGCATGTATACATAATCATAGAGAACGGAGACATAAATCGGTAGTCAGAGATACAAGCTACTGTACAATCAATGCCTTTCAACATCGAACGATCCGTTGGATGCTGTGAAGCCCCGAAGAAGGTAGACGTATGTGTTACAGCCCGAACCGCAGCAGTCATCATGAACGCTGATGGTAAATATGACCCAGGCTTTCGTCGAACCACTGCGTGACTCGAGGCTGTCGGTTATCGAGCATTACGGGGTACTCATATGTACCCGCGTCCTGGAGCACAACGTGTCAGCATGAGATCGACGCAGAGCTCAAACAAGACTGGGACATACTGTCAATTTGGGCCCATGGCACCTTTTGAGGTGCGCGACCTCGCCTGTGCACCATATGTGACCTCCGTTGTTGTCAGACGCATAAACCACGACCAGATCGCCAGTCTGAAGCAAAGGAAAATATTGTAAGCCCCAAGTTAGCCACACGAGTAGGGCATCGACTAACCCGGAATGACAGGCGTGGGGGCGGTGCGAGCCCGCGGTGAGGGCCGGCATGGCTTGTTGATGAGACCGTCTGAGCGGTCTCCGTGTGTGTGACAACGTCCCTTCGCCAGTCGTCCACAGCCTTGCGTCGCGGTTCCGAAATGGTGCTGCGCGCCGGGGTGCTGGGTCCTGCCTTCACCTGCTTGCTCGCCGTCGTTGTGTTACGGACCTTCTTCAACGGCATCGCTCGGTCTATACCACGGGTGATGCGGTTTTCGAGGCTCGGTGTTGCGGTATTGCGCGGCATTGTATGTTGCTTCTAAGCGTGAACAGGTCGTCAGTCGAGTACTTCCCGTGCCGATTCAAAAAAAAAGCCATACCTGAACGTTTGAGATTGGATGAGCACGAGGAACGGTGTGCAAAGGAGGCCTGGAGGAGCGGCGGGCTGATTGGCGAGAACGCTGGAGAGGTTTTCTGGTGTGTCGAGTGCTGGTATGTGTCGGTTTTAAACGTTTGCGTGTGGCTAACGCAGATTGCGTAAAGGGGCCAGAGCAGAGGGGAGCAGTAGCCATGTTGTCAGTGTCCAAGCACGTCCGAGCTATGCGTGGCACCGCCCCGCACCACGCTCAACTTAAGTGGTCGTGGCTAAGAAACCTCCGCTTTGTCTATTGTTCTCGTAGAGCTTTGAGTCCGTACCCCGTACGCTTGGTCTCCATGTACGCTAGGACCTGGATGATTATCAAAGCCGTCAAAGACCCACACCACATGACGACGACCCCGCGTGGTAAGCGAGTATTGCGCAGCAGAGTATGCGTCAAAGGCGTGACAGTCCAACGCATAAAGGAAACTTATAAAGTCGTTCAATCAGCTATGATTGAACAGTACGGAGGCGGCTGCGCCCGGCAAGCACTCACAATGACTGCAGTCTTATTGTCCTGCCCAAAGAAGTTGACGCATACGCGCGCGCGTACGGTGTAAGTAAATCTTACGACCCAGACAGAGCATGGTACACATAGGCAGGTGGATTCGCGGAGCAAGCTGTCCAGCCTACCAAACAAATAGGGCAACAAAGCGTTGTGGGCGCGCCGCGGCGAAGATCCATGTGCTTTTGGCCCCAGCGCTTCAGGATGTCGACGCATTACAACTCGTGCGTGCTTCGATTGTCTGACGCAAGAACCTCTTTAACGTCGCAAAATTAGCGGGCAAGATGATGAAAGTCGTTCTGCTCACAACGCTGAAGCTGAGGCTGATGTCGGAGGAGAGTGTCCGAAGGAAAGTGGCAGACGGCGTTTGTTGCACTCACTAACGCCACGAGTGTGCTTCCCAATATGGTAAATGTCGAGGTTCGCTCCGCTTTCGATGTTCAAGCGAAATCGTAAATCCGCGTCATTTATAGCATACATAAAGTACATAAAGCAGAAAAAGATGAATTAGGGAGGCGATACAAAAGTTTTAGAGTACAGTTCTGCTAACATGATGCCTGCGGCTGGTGCAACGGCCCTTGGGGCGGCAAGCGACCGAATGCCCCATAAGGCGTGCCGGGATCAGGGGTCGTCTGTGCATACGACGAGAAGCCATGAGAGGGCATTAAATCGGGGAGCGCTGTCTGCAAATCGTATCCGTGGGGATGGGCTGTCGTCGCTTGTCCAGCCGCTGTGGGAATGCCAACGGCAGGCTGCGAGCGCGCTGACTATCCTTCTTCTGCACGGGTTTGGGCTTGTACCCCGGATATTTTGGCCTATTCTCCGCCGCCACTTTCTTGGCACGCTCCGTGTATCGCATCTAGGTCTCTTTATACTCCTCCAAAGCTTTCTGGTCATATATTTGGGTCAGTTGGAATAAGAAGATCGTGTTTGCTGCGTTGCATACCCGATACTGGTCCGGCATGTCCTTCGCCGCGTGTTTGGCCACTCTGCGTCGGTGGCTAACAGAAGCCTTAGAGGGTATCCGTTTGTCTCGGGTACGGTGGGCGAGAAGTTCGAGGTCTTTGTGTCTGCCATGGACGCTACGTGTGTGGGAGTGGATGCTTATCCGGTCTTCGTCATGTTTTGCGTGATGCGCCTGTCGTCGGGGCTGGAGAGCTTGCTGCGAGATGCGAATCATGGAGCTGGTATCCTAGCACATAAGGCTACGTGAAGTCAATCGCCTATTGGATAAAGGGAGAGTGAACTCTGTCTCAATACTGACCAGTGGGTATGAAGAGCGCGTATCGGTATGCGAGCCTGAGAAGGTTAGCCACGTCGTTGTCTGCACGCATCGGGCTCTGACCGATAGAGAGCTATACCTTCTGGCGTTTCTACTTATATGTGTAAGCGGTAGAGACGATTGTCGTGATCCTGTGATATGCCGTCTTTGTTCAGAGGATTCGCTTTAGCACCGGCGTTTGCTGAATATGCCCTTTCTGTGATTCGACAACCTCCCTTCGCTATCTTATGCAATCTCGGCTTGAAAGAATATGTGGCATCGGATACCACTGAATTTTGGTGCATTCGCGAAGGGCTTTGTGAGGATGTCGCTCAGTCAACAGCAGCCAAGTACTAATAGAACGTGTTTCCTGACGCAGTAGTGACGTCAGAAACTTCACAAACACTCGTTTACAAAATGACTCACCCTTCTCTCTTTACCACCACCATCACCCCCCGCCCGTTCTGCCTCTCTGTTCCCGCGTTAGCAGAGTTCAGGCGAGCGCGCGACGGCAGACGATGGTGGAGATGCGAGAGCCTGAGTCCGAATCCGCGGGTCATTCGGTCAGATCTAATCTTATCTCATTTTGCACGCTCGATCGGACAATCTACAGCACTGGGAGTCATCTTCCCGGACTCGAGCCTCGGACGTACTCTAAACTCCCACCTATCCCAGCACACGGACGCCAGATCATACCGCCCAGTCAACATTACAGGCATCCGTCCGACACCATCGGATCGAGCGCGGAGGAACACAGCCAAAGCGCGCCATACAAAACAGCCCGACTCCGGCGTTCTGCTCCTGCCTAAGTACCAGTAACCCCGGAAGGACTTGTACGTACCGTACACGCCCAGGCAGACTCTCACGTCTCACAGAGCACCGTGAAGGACTATAAAACCTACCAAGGTACGTGTCACCTATCTCTCTCTTCGCCCACCATCTCACCTGCAGCAGCTTAGGAGCCATGTCTACATTCGGCACCCTTTTCCGCGTTACGACCTATGGAGAGTCGCATTGCGCATCGGTAGGAGCTATCATCGACGGATGCCCACCGGTATGTTCACAACACGCCTTGCGGTCAATACACATACTTGAACCATGTTCGCAGGGTCTTCCGTTGGTCGCGCAAGACGTACAGACACAACTGAGTAGGAGAAGGCCTGGCCAGAGTAACCTCACAACCCCCGTACGTCCACCTTCGCCCCTGAAGCTATTCCCAGCATATTGAACGCGCCCTTTCCCAAGAGAGATGAAAAGGACCTCGTGCACCTCCAGTCCGGCATCGAGCACGGCGTCACCCTCGGGACCCCCATCGGCCTGCTCGTCCGCAACGAGGACCAGCGGCCGAAGGACTACTCCGAGACGGACCTCTACCCCCGCCCCAGCCACGCAGACTGGACCTATCTCGAGAAGTACGGCGTCAAGGCGAGCAGCGGTGGTGGCCGCAGCAGCGCGCGCGAGACCATCGGTGAGCGCCCCCATTCCAAGTAGACGTCCTAGCCCCATCTAACGAGCGCGCAGGGCGTGTCGCCGCGGGCGCGATCGCGGAGAAGTACCTGAAGCTCGCGTACGGCATCGAGATCGTGGCGTTCGTCTCCTCCGTAGGGAAGGTGCAGCTCCCCTCCTCCGTCTCGCCGCCTTCGCAGGTCTCGGCCGACGACGACGACACCGTCGAGGACGCGCTTAGCCCCGAGTTCGTCGAGCTTCTCAAGACCGTGACGCGCGAGACGGTCGACGCGCAGCCTACGCGCTGTCCGCACGCCGAGACGTCGGAGCGCATGGTCAAGGTATGCATGCGCCCCCGCATCCCCATCCACCCACCCCAGCACGCTAACCCTACCCGTCGCAGCGCATCATCCGCGCAAAGGAGGCGAACGACTCGATCGGCGGGACAGTCACCTGCGTCATCCGCGGCGTCCCCGCCGGGCTCGGCGAGCCCGTGTTCGACAAGCTCGAGGCGAAGCTCGGGCACGCGATGCTCTCCATCCCCGCGACGAAGGCGTTCGAGATCGGCTCCGGCTTCCGCGGGACGCAGGTGCCCGGCTCGAAGCACAACGACGCGTTCGTGCGCCGCGCGGACGGCTCCCTCGGCACGACCACGAACTGGAGCGGGGGCGTGCAGGGCGGGATCTCGAACGGGGAGGACATCTACTTCCGTATTGGGTTCAAGTCGCCCGCGACGATCTCGCAGGAGCAGCAGACTGCGCAGTACGACGGGACTCCCGGCAAGCTCGCGGCTCGCGGTCGCCATGATCCCTGTGTTGTGCCCCGTGCTGTGCCCATCGTTGAGGCGATGGCGGCGCTCGTCATCATGGACCAGGTGCTCATCCAAAACTCACGCAAGGCGGCGGCGGCACTCTTGCCGCCCATCACGACCCTCCCCCCGACGATGGTCAAGCCCCCTGCGGAGGAGTCGAAGTAAAGGCTAGAAGATGCGCTCCTACCCCCGACGATGGTCAAATCCCTCGCGGAGGAGTCGATGTAGAAGGCCGGAATAGGCGCAGTTCTTTGAAGTGTAAATCAGCCGCGGGTATCGACCGTTCATGTAGAGTGATAGAATACATCAGTGCAGAGAAGCTCGGGGTACACTACAGGTGTATCATCGTGAGAAGCCCGGGAATGTCAAGATCGAGTGGGGGTGGTGATGCAGTGCGCGTAGCGGAAAGCGAGTGGAGACAGGTCATAACTGTTAGAACTCCTCATAGTCGGAGTCGTCGGAACAACAACATAGCACTGGCTCGACATGCCACCACCACCACTGTAGGGGAAACGGTCAGCATGTAAGCTTGTCTGACATGGGTGAGACCCACATGTCTGTTAAATATCCGCCAGGGCCATTTCCCGAAGACGGCCTCCTCCTCTCTCCTCAATGCCGCAGTGCGCATCGCCCGCTCTTCAGGACCCAGCTCCTCCTCCGTTTGTGTCTCTTCTTCCTCTTCCTCCGTGTACGACCTCTGCCGTCCTGGACGTAGAAGCGGAGTACGTTCGTGGTGCGACCGCGCGGTCTTCCCGCCTCTTGCCCTCCCCCCAGGCGCCGGGCCAATAACGGGCACATCCTGCACCCGCTGCGTGTGTGTCGGCCCCTGCGCACGGCGTTGCCACCCGTTGCCAGCAGCGTACGCGCTGAGCCGCTTCCCCAGCGGGCCCCACGCGCCGTTCTCGTCTGCCTGGTAGCGCAGCGGCGCAGATATCGAGGACGAGGGTGAGTCCGACGCGGACGAGCATGGAGTTGGGGTGCCGTTGACGGTCATCGAGTGTCGGTGCCTATGCACCCCGGACGTGATACGCACCCTCGAGCGAAACCGCACCCTAGGACCTGTCGGGCGCACCGGCGGCTGCGAAGATGTGCGGCGCCCCTCCTCATCTTCGTCTTCCTCCTCGTCCTCCCCATCTTCGGTGACAATGATGACGGAGGGCGGCGTCTGCGAGCGTGGGGCCGCAGGGTCGTCGTCGATAAGGTGCAGCGCATTCCCGGGCACAATGCATGGCTTTGGCGAGGTGCCCTCCAGCGCGAGTTTGTGGTCCTCGAACAGCAGCCCGACCGCCCCCGGGTCCGGCGGCGGCAGCTCGAGCGACATGCGCGGGCGCGGGTGGGGCATCGCTGGTGTTGCGAGCGTGGGGTCGGGGTCCGGGGTGGGGGAGGACGCGAGGGCGGCCGCGAGGTCCTCCTCGAGGTGTATGGAAGCGGAAGTGGGGGAAGGACGTGCCTCTGCTGGTTCGGGTGCGCTCCAAGCCTCTACTGGCAGCGCATCGTCCGCTTGTCGTGCGCCCGAGCTTAAGCTCGTGCTCGTTCTTGTGCTGGCGTGGGCGTGCTTCGCCGCCCGAGGGACGCGAGTCGAAGTGGAAGTGGAAGACGAAGGGGGACCGGGCACGGAGGCGCTATGGTCGCCAGCATTAGAGGCCTCCTGTTCTCCGGATCCGTTGCGCGAGTATGCAGACCTGCCGCCTGCTGAACGAGGCCGGCGTGAGCGCGCGGCTCATGTGAGGTATAACGGAGCATGCACATTGCGCAAACGCAGATAGACGTGGGTAGATGAAGCCCAGAACACGCACCGGAGAGCAGAATCGATCTCACTCTGGGCTCCTCGTGCCCGCGCGCGTGGTGCCGCGAGGCGTGCGCCCCGTGTGGGGTATATAGTGCGGACGGGAATGCATGAGGTTCTGTGGCGGCCATCGAGTTCGTCGTTCACGCTGGGCCTGGTATCATGAAGGTCGTCGTGGTTGGAGCGCAAGATGCGTGCCCCGCGCCGCGGGTGCTGATCTGGACATGTACCCCGACGTTCTAGACCAATTTCGTGCTCATTCACAGGCCGCCCTATGCGGGCGGTCAGCCGACCCGCAGACATGATGGAGGGCTGTATGACGACGCGCATACTGCGATTTCTCAGGCTGAATAGACGTGTTTCCATACGATAGGGCGTCGGATGCTCGAACGAGAACGAGAAGTACGCTGCATGCCCGGCAGAAACACGTTCATTCTTCTCTCATACTATCTAGGATCTCGTGAACGGCACGCGTAACCGACGGTGCGTCGAATTGCGGCAGCTGGGTCCGCTCGTCCGCAGACCCGTCCACCTCCACACAACGCACCCCGAGAGCCTACGTATAGCGCATTATTAGACGATCGTGCAGAGGAAACGGGAGAACATACTGTGATAGCAGGCACATCGACTTCCACCGTCGTGCCCTTGAGGTATACTAGGTGGGTAATGAATGCCGAGATGGGGTACGTAGTGTCCGCTTTGCTGAGGCCACCGTACGTCTGCGCGTGGTGCCCGTCATTGAGCGTCCGCGTGATGGTGCTAGTAATAACGTCGCTTAGCCCAGGCGTCCTTGTGTACAGCATGCCAGGGTGCTGGCTTACCGAATATAGTCGACGGCAGTATATCCATCAGTCTCCCTGTCGTTGGCGGAGTTGACTGTCGGTACAAAAGTCAGCTCTATACAGTTACAAATGGTATCTCGACGCCACATGCGGACTTACGGAGGAGTACTTTGGCCCGCAGGGAGCGAGAGCGGGCGATTCCGTTTGCTACGCCCTTCAGGGCCAGGCAAGGCATGATGCTATCGTTACCCCCATGAGGACTCCCCTGATCCAGAACGCAAGTGTATCAAACGTAAGGAGACTCACCTCGTCCACAGAGATCCGCACGAGTAGACAAGCACGTCATGCCGTGAAAGCGAAGATATGTAGTCTGGATTTGGCGACGGGTGGATCTCGTTTCCGTACGCGTTGATGTAAAATAGACCTGTGGAACTGTTACGCTAGTAGAATATACCAAGGTCGGCGGAACCTACGAGTGATGGGTGCACCGAGAGGTTCGAACTGGTGCTTGCCCTCCGATTGAAACATTACGTTTCGGCTCCGCGGAAGAGTGCCGTCTAAAGGATCTACAGGCGAGCTCGGTCCTGACTCCGTCGAGACATCGATACGTAGCTCTTGTCGTACAGGGTGAGATATTTCACACTGTCCGACCAGCCGCTCGCCATTCTCCTGCTCTCCCAGAAGTATTTAGTGAGCATAGACGTTCAGGCCAAGGAAGGCAGATAATCACCAGCTCAGCTGCGATAGTCACTGTATGATTTGTAACTATCACAGGGAGAATGTTGGCCTATTGAAAGGGTAAGCAGGAGGGTTCCGCGCATATAACGATGACAAGTACCTGGCTGTTGGTGATAGAGGAGAATAGAAATATTGCAGAAGGGAGCGACCGGAAGAACGCCTGGGCAGCAGAAAGAAAGTAGTTGCCTATGCTGCACAAGACCCCAAGGATGAGCAAAGGCCGGTCAGCAAGTCCGTGCCCCTCACCTCCCGTTGACAAACGAGAAATTCTTGTGTGCTCGCTTCAGTATTTCACTCTCAAAGTGCACGAGAAACCCTAGAAACAGCGTATTCGCATTCATGACGGTATAGAATGGTCCCGCGTTGCGGACGTACCTCTGATCATCTCCTTGCGGTCGTTCGGGATCCCGGACCAGAGCTTGCTCCGTCCCTCTACAATATCCCTCCACTCTTCACGGGCCTCCTTCTCTGTATAATGCGCGGGAAGACGATACGCCAGGAAGTTCCTGATAGATTCAAGAGGAGACGCGGCGTCCGCAGGGGGAATGAGCCGCACGAGCCTCGAGCGGATATCACCTTCCTCTTCTTCAGCATGGTCAAGGACGTCTCCACGCGAGCTACTCACCTATCGACGGACCACCCAAGACACGGATAATTTCACTCGACGAACCCCCATCATCAGATACAGGCAGGATATAGCAGGCAGAATGGCCGAACGCGGAGCAGATCGAGTTGCACCCCGTACCGCCAGAGATGACCACGAACGACGTTTCGCTCCGTGTAGCAGATTCTAGACGTTCAGCCGATTCTCCAGAGAGCGCACGGGTGTGTCTGTCCGGCGTCACCTGAGCAAGGCCAGTCTGTGTAGGCAGGTCAAATACAGAGGAGCCTGGGCTGTCCGCGCCAGAGTGTGGAGGTTTCGGGGAGAGCGTGAAGTAACTCATAATATCGCGCGGTGCAGCAAGTCACACAGACGAGGTGGGGAGTGTTGATGCAGAGTATCCCAGATATATAGCTTCAGCCAGGCCAGCGTCCGGAGGGGAATGAGTCAAGTTCGGTGTATCGGAGGTGCATGATTGCAGACAAGAAGGTTGACCGCGCGGGGTAGCGCTCGATCGCGCCTCAGCTTCTCGCGAGTACGTGGTCACAACGTGGTCCAACGTCTTCCTCTTGGCCATCATGTCCTCACCGCCCGTCGCCACCGCCATGCCCGCGCCACGTACCGCGCAGCCCTCCGTGAACGTGGAGAGACTCAAGGGCATGCTCAAGCAGATGATACGGGTGTCTGTGACCGACGGGCGCGTCTTCTTGGGGACCTTCGCCGGGACAGACAAGCAGCTCAATCTCCTACTCATCAACGCGGACGAGTACCGCCTTGGCCCGGACGCAGGCCCTGAGGGACTCGAGGCGCGATACGTCGGGCAGATCATGGTGCCGTGGCGGCTCGTTGTGCGTGTCGAGGGAAAGCTGGGAGACCCTCAGACGCAAGGGAGACCTAGCGATAGTGACGATGAAAGCATGTACACATAGCATATCAAGAAGGTTTGGCTCATCTTCCTACTGTGCTAACAATGACTTACGCGACATATACAGCCGGCACGGCTCGCTAAGAAGAATACATCACTCGAAAACAGGATGCACCGTCCATTTCAATCAGTAACATCGCCTTGTGCCCCCCGGCCCAAACATACTCACGCGTATTCCAGTCTGCAGCAACGGTCAAATATGCCTCATGCGCTACGTCGTGCGGACAATGGGATCTTCAACCGCGCCCCTATCCCGCAGGCACCAAGGTCCCGCACGTTCTTGGTCCAGTGGCACCTGGCTCGTCCAGCCCTGCGGAGACGTCAGTCGGCAGTGTGGTACCCACACCCTTCTCGCTGGGCTGCTGCGGAACGCTTTGTGCATCGGGTATGGACATTGTACGAAGTATCAAATTTTCCAACGGTACTTGGAACAAATCGGCTACGTGCCCCTCGTCTAACATCAGGCCAGTGCACCGCCGCTGTTCCTACCCTTGTGTGGCTCAACAAGAGAGGCGTGTAATAGTCCTACCACGGAAAGGTAAGGACGGTGTGGAAGTGGCCCGTACCCACCTTTGCCTCGTCGCTCTGTCTGGAAACAATGTCGCAGCATGTCTATCAACACCTATCCGATGCACGGGAGTTCTGAACGCCATCCTCTCCACGGCTAGATGTGAGCTTAAGCGAGGGAGCTTAGCCCTTCCACCCCGACGAACAGCCCGCTTTGGCCTCTGCCGTGGCTTAACATCCTCATTGTCCCGAGCGCGTTCCCCTCTGCTTATATCCCCACAGCGCACAGGTCCTTCTCCACATCACATCACCTCCCCTTCTACTCGTGCACCTTTCCTAGGCCCACCGGGCATTCCTCCACGACGTCTCACTTCTACACACTAGACCTAATGCCGTCTTACAAACGGCCAGAGTGCACGCTTGACGTGGAAGACCAATATGCATATTACGATACCTGGCAATTGGAGCCTCCACCGGTCGCCCCAGACCCTATCCAAGAAGTCCACCCAGCACAGGCACAACCCTGGGCCTCCGCTTCGGTGGAGGATACGGCCTCCATCCCAGCGCTACTTACCGCCTCGCCCGAGCCGCAGCCCAGCGAGGGGACAGGCGCATTTTTTGCTGCTGTGAACCTGATGGCAGAGGTCGAAAAACTAGCGGAGGGGCGATCGCAAACCTCCAAATTGGAGATACTAGCTGCGGTAGCCTTGGGGTTCGCGCAAGCGAACGAAAGGATTCACGGTATGCTTTCCTGCCTGGCTAAGCAGCATCAAGCTGACGCTTACTTGTGCCTTCAGGGGAATCCTGAAGCACTTTCGCCACGTCTTGCTTTGTAGCCTTCCTTCCCGTCCTGATACATAACTTATCCCACACATACCCTATAATACTGGACTATTCCCTGCATACACTCCGTCCCGAACTGTTCTGTACCACTCATCATGGCTTGTTGTATCATTGCTTCCCTATTCCCCCGAATGACACATGCTTCCATGCGCTCGCCGCGGAAACCTGGTGCGCAACGATGTGATCTGTCTTCCTATTGGTCTACATTAGGTTTATTGCGCATATCGGTGGAAATCTAGCTCGCTATAAGAGCTACATAGACGCTACTTGTGTTCTGGCTAGCCATGGACGTCAGACGCCAAGATGCTGAACTTACAGACCTACCAAATCGGGGGTAACACTGATCAACTCCGTGCGAGATGGACGTGAGAGTCCGGCGTCTTCCCGCTCACCTGAGTTTGCCGGCCCAGTTGCCACGGTCCCCACGCAGCCGTCGTACGAGTGTCTCCTAAACCATACCCTTAGCGCACGCCTCGTACCTGCCCTACCGCCAGTAGTTGAAATCGCAAGCCAAGAAAGGACTGAACTTTGACTTAACTACTTCCACGATAATGCCGCTCATCTCAGACTTCCCCGCCCTCCCGGGGCTTTACCAGTTGCTGTTCCTGCACATCGAGCCTAGTAAGTCTTTCTCACCAAGCTACATACCCACCTGGACTAACAAAGCTCCATACCAGCGTCGACGGCCCTGCCCGCCCTGATGGCATGGCTGTTCCCCGGCGCTGCGTGGTTTCACCACGAGCTCATCCCGGACGGGAGCCCCATCCCTGCCGCCCTCGATCCGCGTACGACAATGGCCATCTGGCAGCTTGGAAACTGTAACGCACCTTCATACCTGCTCTTTTTTGGAAGAACAGAAATTGACGCGTGACGTGTCGTATAGGTTACCTGCTGCTCGGCATGATCTCCACGTTCGTGTTCCGCGCCGTGCGCGACGCGCTCCCGGGCAACCCTGCCGCGCAGGAGCGCATCATGGGCGCAAGCTTCCTTGCCCTTGCGCTCGCGGATGTGACCCAGTGCGTCTTGGACCTTTGCCGCGAATTTGCGCAGCGCAGAGCTGATCTCTGTGCATTTCAACAACAGCATCCTGTGGTCCTTCGTTGGCCTCCCCGCTGAACTCAAGTACGACTTCGCGCGCTGGAACTCGATGACGCACGGCAACATCACCTTCGTCGTCTTTCTCCTCAGCATGCGGCACGTGTTCAAATGACCTTTTCGACTGTTGATGACTGACCATTCGAACCGCGTCAACGCGTGTACATAGGCTTGCTTGGTTCGCAGGCATCGGGCGGAAGCGGTACTATTTCGGCCAGCCCGCAGTTGCGACGAAGAAGAGGTCGTGAGGAGGGCTGCTCACGAGCCTTCAGCGGTTTGTACGAACTGTACCAAATGTACCAGTGTTGTGTACATCTACCTCGCAAATCGGTGTGACACAATACCGTGTCTTTCAATTTCATCCAATGCTGCCACAGTAGTCCGCATTCGCAAATCTATTGTGGATAGAAGTCGATCCGCGGTGTCTATACCCTCGGTGCCTGAACTCACCCGCGGAGATTCGGCGCCCCACAGTCAAGTCTCTTCGTGTCATTGGTGAATATCGGCCACCTGAGCATGGCCGGGGATCCGCACCGCTACCAACCCCCAACTCGCCCACTCGGTCGTCCCAAGGCACCCATTCAGTTCAATTTTGCCGCGCCCAAGTGTCGTCCACTCGCCGCGATCCCGTTATGCGTGTAGCGCATCTCACGCGCCCTTCTGCGTGCGTACGCGAGCGACAACCGTGTGTGCATCCCGTTAAGCATCCGTGGCCGCCTCAGTACCTACTAACGGACGACCGAGCCGAAGGTCCGCGCTCTCCCTAGACCGACAAGTTCGTATCCAAGCTCAACAAGGTGGCTACGAGATGTACTTGGACCTCGAGCGTGTACTGTGATTCTTTAGACATTTATATTTCTGATACGAGACGGATACATGAGACCGTAACACGCAGGGCACACTACGTTAAGGGTACGCTATCATAGAATACACAATACACAACCACGACGAAGGGACACCGAGACGAGGGACCGGGAGCGAGACTATAGACATCGACAGCGTGCAGACTCGGGGCCGAGACGACGTGAAGAAAAGGGTAGGAGGGGAGGGGGAGGGGGGTAAGCAATAGGAGCGAGGCGGAGAAGATGGATAAGAGAGGAAACCAGGAGAGACAAGACGGGCATAACTGCATACACGGCAGCGACGGACGACCAACCAACAGACAAGCGGGGGGCGGGGGATACAAGGAATGGACACGGAGCGGGCGACGGCGAACTATGCAAGAACAGGCAACTCTAAGGGGATCAGCGTGCGAGCAGAAGCGTGCCGGGAGGGTGCGAGCGCGTGAGTGAGAGTGCGTGTAGCGCGGAAGCACGGCCGTAATGCAATTCAGCGCGGCTCCCGTCCTCGCCCGGACGTCCACCGGCCTCCCATGGCGCGCGCAGACCCGGATTGCTGGCGGCAGACCAGGCGCTCCATGCTCCATAGCGAGTTGCGGAGGTCCGGAAATACCGCGCGCGCACGAGGAGACCGACCGACCGCGTCCACCCCAGTCCGGGGCGCGTCCTCGCCTGACCCAAGCCGCCCTAGGGCTTCCGACCCCGCGTCCCAGCCCACATACCTGGTGTTGCGCGTTCCGAGGCCCACCGCGAGTCCGTGTGCGCCCGCTGCAGTCGAGAGAAAAATGCCGATGATGCTGATAATGAGCCGTCCTGATACAGTTAGATATGCGAGTGCGATACGAGGGAAGAATGCTACGAGCGAGTCGAGAGGGAGGAGGCGCGTCGAATGCGTGCCGCCGTATACCGTGCCGGAGCCCAAGCCGGAGTCGTCATTGAACGGATGTCGAATGCAGTCGAGGAATCAGCGAGCGACGAGGAACGGAGGGGGATGCCGCGATGAATGGACCTGCGAAAGACAAGAGCGAGAGGGGCGGCGGCGCGGTCGGGGTGTGGAGACGATGGAGAGGCCTACTTCTGCTGCTGCTGCGCCTGCGCCTGGGCGTGTCTTGCGGCAAGAGTCTCGATGATGTGGTGGACACCCTCGGGCTCGAGCACGACCTTCGTCCCGTCGCAGCGCGCCTTGCTAGTGAACTCTGAGCACAAATCGTTGATGTCCACATCCTGGGCCCACAACCGAGCGTGAGCTAACACTGCCCCGCACTGCGCGCAGAGGGGAGACCAACCTTAAACTGCGGGTTGCTCGTGATGCTGCGCCATGCCGCGAGCACCTCCACGTTCTTGTCGCTCTTCTCCGTCTTCGGGAAGCTAGAGCCCTTGCACGTCACGAATGGCCCTGCGCCGCTCTCGTCCACCGACTTCTTCAGAATCGGGGCAAAGGGCATCTCGCATGCCGCCCCGCCGTTCGCGCTTGGGCTCGAGCTGTCCGATTGGGAGAGCGGCGAGCTCATGTTGTGAGCCGGCGGGCTTTGCACAAAGCTCGACTGGCCCCCGTCTATGACTGCCTTCGCAAGACCTTCCTTGGTCTTCGGACAGTCGGTCATATTGTGGAGTGCTGGGCTGCCGTTCCCTGTATGTGGACTAGGCGCAGTACCGGCGGGCGACGACCCGGCGGACGAGAGAGAGGGCGTGCGTAGTGAAGCGTGGGATATAGGCGATATTGAGCTCGGCGAGCTCGCGAGGATCGCCTGGAAGTCCGCGACGCTGTTAGCGTTGGATGAGAGGAAGCTGGCGCCAAAGAGCTGCTCGAGAGCGTCCTGGCTTCCCTCTGGTGGTGTCCAATGCTCCGTAAAGGAGTCGAAGGATCCCGGTGTAAACTGATGGGAGTTGTTTACCAACAACGGCGGGCTGTCGGCTGGGGACGGCTCCGCAAACGACGTGAACATGGGGTTGCTCGCGATCGTCTTGTAAGTGCCCGCGAATGGGAACGAATCGACATTCATGTTGTCCATGTCGGGGAAGTCCTCAGCCGGGTTAAGGGTGTTCGGGTCGAACGGTATGAGAGAGTTAAAGTTCAGGTCGAACTGGTGTGCCTGTGCGGGCTGCGGCGACTTGCTTGGCCCGGCGCCGGGCGAAGCAAAGTTGAACTGCATATTGTGGTTGTTCATCGAGGACTGCGCAGTGCTCGTTCCGTTGGCGACGTTGTTCTGGCGGGGGGCCGTGAACGTGAACGCCGCCTGCTTGAGCATCATGTTCTCGTTCTGTAGGCGCTGCAAGAGGTCGCGGAGGTTCTCATTCTCCTGCTCCGACATGGAGTTCTTGGCCTCGAGCGCGGCGACCTTGTCCTCAAGCTGCGCGGCGATCGGTCAACAACGTGTTGTGCGACGATCGTCGGAGAAGAAGACCTACATCTTTGACATGCCGTTCCTTGCGCTCACGGAAGGCACGTTGGGCTGCGCGATTCTGTTCTTTGCGCTTAAGAAGGCGGGTCTCATCCTAGTAGCCGATGAGATCTGACATGACAACCGCGATGAGGCTGAGACTCACTTGCGGGGTTCCCGACTTGCGACGCGAGCTATTTGACCCACCCTTTTTGTTGGAGCCAGCTATTTGCAGCGTTCAACGGGGTTTTCGGATCATCGGCTATAACAGGACGTACATGTATGCTGCGACTTTGCCTGAGGCTCGTCGTCGTCGTCATCATCGTCGTCTTTGGCGGCCTTGCGCTTTAGGGTGCTGTCTTCTTGAGGCCGCTCATGCTGATCGGAGCCGTTGGCCGAAGGGGGGTTGCTGAAAGCCCCGGATTGTCTCCGTGAGAGACTCGACTCGTGGTGAGTGCTAGGGGGGCTGGGGCTGCTGTCGCTGGACGGCGGGCTGTTGTTAAGCGGGGGGAAGGAGGAAATAGTCTGGGGATCGACGCCGTCCGGGTTATCGAACGACAGGGGTGCGTTGGGGCCTACGGCAGTGGGAAACTGCTTCTGGAGGAAAGCGAGGAAGTCGTCGTCTGCCAGAGCTGAAAACGTGTCAGGCTGTTGGGCCGAGATATCCCAGAAGGAGTGCAGTTCTGACGAAGGAAAATTCATGGCTGACGAGGGGGAGACGGAGAGCGCGGCGAGCGAGCGAGCGTAGATCAGGCCGGAAGGAGCTTGGGCGGAGTGCGCTGAGTAAGCGAGGTCGTCAGGGATCGTCAGAGGCCGCCCGAGCGAGAGACGGTGCTGAGAAAGGCGGGTTGCTCAGCGGGGGGAACGGCAGAGACGAGAATTGAGACGGAGGAGATGGCGGTCGAGATGAGAGTGGAATGGAGAAGAGCGATGCGGCGGGAATGAGACTCGGGAGGGCGCTCGAGTCGCGGGAAAAACCGAGAGGGGTTGCGCAAGCTTCGCGCCGCTCGCCGCCGCATACTTTTCGATATCCGCCCACCGCAACGCCTGATGCGACGCTGACAAAGCCCAACAAGTCGATCCAAATGACTCCTCTTGCGCTCCCGTATTCCGTCGCTGTAGGTGATAGCACACGCAGAACACATCAGAACGCCTTAGAATGCCTTAGTCAGGCTCACAAGCTTTCTCTGAATATTAACATCGCTGAAAGGTCGAACGTTTCCTCCCAAATTCCCCGCAAACGCGCCTTTTGTTTGACTCTCCACGCCGCCGGCAACGCTTGCCGTGTGTCTTCTCAGGGCACTTGCAGTGTACCGACGATTCCCGACCGGGACACTCTCTGCTGCGTTTCCCACCGACCTCGACACCTTCCTGCGCATCTGCTGACCCTGCTTGACCTCCTAGATCTGCCTGTCCATCTCCCACCTTGGCATGCCCACCATCCACTGCGCCCTCTTGCGTCCAACAACCTGCTCAAAACGCCCGCAGCAGCGGGCCCTTCGGATCTACGCCTTCCCCAACCATATTCAGAATCTGATCCGACCGTCTTCTTCGAGGTTCTCGTGATCAACTGCTCAAATCGCCTCTTCAAACTCCTCAACCAGACCGGCTGCACGCTGCTCGCACTTCCGGCCCCAACCCACCGCTTGACTGAACTCAACTCTCAGCGGTCCTGCGCGCTCCTAGCCGCCCTCGAGGCCGCCCTCCCCGCGCGCTCAGCCACCCGCTGCCACAACGCCCATTGGCCCGCAGCGGGCGTCCCCGGCGAGAAGCCGGCGGACCTGGGAACTGGAGACCACAGTCGCGCCCTCTTCACCCCGACGCGCGAGGCGCTATCGCACTCTGCTCGCCGCGCTCCGCTCGAGGCGCGTACGCTGGGTTCGCGATGGCCCTCTCCCGCACCGCCACCGTCCCTCGACGGATGTCTCGTTCGCATCGCAACCGCCCGATTTCGCCGCTGGAGCAGCGCTCTGTCGCCTCACAAGCATCTTGTTTCAACCGGTATGTACTCTGTACTTCCACCGGTGCTTTCCACTACTGCTGTAAACTGCTATCACCTCCCCCACGTTCATATTTCAACTCCCCATTGACCCGGGTAGCATCCCTCTCCGACATCTCGGAGCCCCGTTCATTCTGTCAATATAGCGCTGTTTCACTCACTCCGGGCGGCACGCCATGTGCACATCAAGACTCGAGATCGACACCGTGGATATAGCGCCCGCGCACTCCCTCAAGTTCACGGTCGAGTGAATCCGCATCTGATGCGCAAAGTCGCATCGCTGCTGTCCCGCGTAACGGGTACGTGCCCCGCGCGACGCCGATCACGACGCATATCCACAGCAGTGCAATCAATACAACACAGACTGCAGTGCCGGACTTATCGCCTGGGCGGTGCCGTCTTGGTCTTGTGTGCATGCACAATGCACGAGGGCAACCCCGCGTCGAACCCGAGCCCGCTCGAAGATCGTCTGTAACGAACCCCGATGCCGTACAGCACACCCTCGAACGTCCGTGCATCTCAGACTCCGACTCTCACCAGCGACACCGTCGCGTTTCCGAGCCCCACACGTCGATCCCGTGAGTGCCTCCCGACCCACCCGTCTCCCCCAACCCGCTGTCCGCCTCCCATTCGCCAGCCAGCCTCTCCGCGCAGCGCCGCCCACCCTGCGTTTCGTACAGTGCCCGCGCACAGCCCGTAAGAAGCCTTCGCCTGTCCGCACTCGGTGACGCAGGCTCGCGATCGACGCCACCCAGCACAACTCTCGTCCGACGGCAGCTTCTTAAACTTTCGCAGCACCCCGGGCACTTCGCGGGCGCCTGTTCCTCGTCCGAGTGACGACGGTGCGTTCGGAGTGGATGCGCTTCTGCTCTTTCCGCGTCGAGGCCGAACGGGGTTTGCGCGGCAGGTGTTCGACGTCGACGAACCTTCTGCCAGTGCCAATACAGCGTTTGCGTTCGTCGTCGGTCTTCGTCGCTGCTCGGCGTACTGTCCGATTGACGTCGTGCCCCGAGTCCGACTGCGCGGACGCCGACGCCGACGTCGTCGTCTTGCGAACCCTGACTGCGCCCAGGCAGAGTTACCGGTCTGCGTGGTACCGAACGCCTCGACCTGCTCAAACTCTAGCAGTGCACCTGCGCGCGCTGCCCTCGGAAATCCCGCTACCGGCTAGGACTCGCTGCCGTCACCCGCTGCGCGAACAACTCCTTCTGGCGTCCCGGAACTGTTCGCAGTGTCCTTCCTCGCCACGCGCAGCCGCCGCTATTCAGTTCCCAGTACGGCGCGCCGCTTTCCGCGTCAGAGCTGAAGCCATAATAGCCTCGCACCGTGGGGGCGCGGCGGGGCGACGCGCGGCCCTGTGCCGACGACGTACAATATGTGTGTTTGTCCACTGTCCGCTCGTGGGGTTGGGTACGCACCCGTATGAGTCGGAATGCCGGCATCGCGAGACACAGGAATTCGTGAGCAAACCGTTGAACGGTGTGCAGACTCAACTGGAACTGCAAGTTCCTACCTATTTCACAAGATGTCGCACAGCCCAGTCTCGTGTCGAGATGCTCAACAAACATGAACGTGGCTATCACGCACAGATTTACGTATCCAAGTCTAGGCCTGCGCCGGTAAGCATGTCTTTGTAGGCGTCGTCTACCGTTGCCGACGGACAACTACTTATCTACCCGGGCCTGAAATAGATCCTTCGAAGCGTGCTCGTACACAACACCGGAGCTTCACTGCAACATGCCTTCACCCGGTTCTGCTACACTGCAACATTTGGCGAGCTCCAGACTTTGTCCATGTATGCTCGCGATACGACTGCGAACTTCGAAGTTCGAGCCTGAAGAGCGCATCAGCTTGCCACCGCCAACCACGGTAAGCGTTCTTTGACTTGTGCATTCAATTGACCCTGTAGGCGGCCCCGGCGATGTTCACGTTCGCCGTCTGGAGCCCGTTCACACCCCACAACGCCCACAACATACCGCCGGATAAGGCTCCGGTGGCGGGATTCGCTAGGTTGCGCCGCCTAACGATCCGACCGGTGCAGATGGAGAGACCGTCCGAGCCTTGAACGCGACTTGAGCGTATAACGATCCCGATATGGCCGTCGGTACGTACATACCTTGCATGTCCACCGTCTATCTTATCTGACTTACCACCCATAAGAGAACTACTACGTACTAGGTCCGGTACGAGCCGCCTTGTTCGCTCCGAACTTCAAACCGTACGGCAGCGAGGACGTCAAACGAAGTCAAGAGCGGGCCCTGTCGCCACCCTACTGCCGGATTCTACGTACAAGTCACCGAAGACACGCCTTCTCTCCACTACGCGCACCGACGGCCTCTGGTCCGGCCCTACCCCACCGCACCTCAACACGTTCTGATAGCGGACGTAGCTCGCCTTCAACCCACCCTACTTTTTCATTAGGTGCGTGGCGAGAGAAATGGTCATGAGACACCGTTTGTGGGGTCGTTGATACTCCTATCTCTGTCGCTTTTCGGGTTCGCCTGTGTGTTTATATCATTCCACATGCCTACAAGATCGATATAATACAATTGGCTACACAACCGCAAGCGAAGGGCCGTATGTGCGGTACCTCTGCATTTGTGGAGGTTTCGATCAGAAGCGCCTCGCGTTGGCTTTCGACGGAGCAGGAACCTTCCGGTACTGCCACCAGATATTCCAAGTTGTGTTTTGGGTAGGAATCGCCGCATGATGCCCACCCAACAATCGGGCCGATTGAGGGCGAACGTTGTGAGGTTTGCGCTGAAAGCAAAACCTTTCCCCTTTACGCGAAAGTAAGCGAAGCCCAAGGTGAAGTCCTTACAATGAATAGCAAGGTACGCGTGCAACGCTAACGGCCTCTGATTCCTCCTTCCAGAGATCTCGCTATGGCGGAGTGTCCGTGTTGCTATCACAGGCTGCTCTGGCAAGTCAATCATCCTGGACCTCTCCAACCTCCCATCAACTTAAACTCACTCACGCCCCCTTTTCAAGCTTCCCCGCAAGGCCCCGCATAAACACTGATCACCCACCCACGTTCCAGCCCCTCCCTCCCCTCATCGAGTTCGAACTCCACCCCCCGTCCCTGGCAACCGTCCGGCCACGGAGCGTAACCCCGAAACCGGGCCCTCGCCCGACGCCGCCCCTCCCTCCCGACGCACGGCCCGTGTCAAACTCGTCCCACACGATCAGAGATCCTGGATCCACACCGCGTGCCCCTACGACACTCGGCGAGATCGCATCAGCGCATCAGAGGGCGCGCATGTGCGCCCGGGGCCTGGTGAGACTCGGACCTGGCGGTGGAACCCGCCTCGCGGGCCTCTCAATTTAGACTCTCCAGACTCCGCTGAGCCACGCCCGGAACGGGCGATCGAGCGACGCCAGCGCCGATCGGGACCTGCGCGCGCCGCCGGCTGGGCGGGGTGAACGCTTTTGAGAGCGAGCTCATTCCCGGTCGGCGCCCCTTGAGTGTGGCCTGCGCGCCGCCGCGCTGGTTGGGGCGTGAGGGCGGCCGCGGTAAGTGCTGCAATTTGAAAGGCGGCGGGGATCGTTGGCAGGAGGTTCATCCTCCTTGCCGCTGTCACGCCTGAAGCCACCCGCTGTCGGATTCGCCGCGCGGTTCGTTTCGAATTTCTTCCATGCATCTCGCGATGACAACAACTTACCGAGGATTGTGCACCGAGACGGCCGTCGCAGGCCACAACTTTCATCCAAGACGTTCCGCGAGCTGCCCTGAGCTGCCAAACTCTTCTGGAATGAAGGACACAACCACATCGGATTTGTTTGGCTAGCGTCTCCAGCCGACCGGCCCAACTCTATCCTGGCAGTTCCGTCCATCCCAGGCGAAGACTTCCAAGCACCAGGCCACGTTTCAACCTAGTCCCAGCAACCCCTGCATGTTGTCACCCATGGCGTCACCATCCTCGTCAGAGCTACGTGCACAGCTCCCGCCATCCTATCTTCTCCTGTCGCAGCCTGCCCTGTCCATCGAATTTGACTGCGGAGGCGCATCCCCGCGCATGCCGTCCCCATTCCGTCCTCATGGCACGACCACCACACTCGGCCCGATTCCGCGCTCGCTCTTGAGCTTGATTGGGCGGCCGCTAGCGCCCCTGAGCGCTGAGCACCCGATCCCGCACGCTCCGATGCGTCCGGAGAGCGCGGGCTCGGCGTTCGGCCCCGCGCCCGCTCCTGCCCGCTCCCGTGGCGGCATCTGGCGGCAGATGTGCGCTCCGCGGCGCGCGCTAGCGTACCCGCCTCCCGGGTCCCCCTTTCCTCGGGGCCTTGCCCAGCTTGGTAAGCCGCATACTTCTTCGAGGATCCACGTGTTGCGGTGAGCGCCCCCCGGGATCGCCCGAGTCGTATTTGACATGAACGGTGAGGCTCGAGAGGGATATCTTGAGGATGTTGAGGTTTAAGCATTGGAAGCTTGTATTCCACGATGAACGATGCAATATATCCACACGGTTGCTCCAATGTCTATATACTTATTGCTGGATGACCGAAGACAGACAAGAAATGTGCATGAGTACTGAAACCGAGATACAATGCGAGAATCAGCGAGCACGCATGTCCCGCAATTACCGACGCTATTTGGCAGTATTATAAAGGGAAGAAGGGAGAGATATCAAAAAGACGTAATGTGTTCGTGATGTATATGCAGTGCGTGGTATACGGGAGCGTGGCCGGGGGAGATATCGTACAATGGCCTATATGTTGCGGATGGGAAGGGATAGACGGAGGAGAGTGGAAACCAGACAACAGAGCCAAGTGGCAGGAAAGAGGTTGCGCAGGCGAAAACAGTGTAAACGATGGTGGTATGCGGGCTCGGGGAGGACGGAGATAACGGGGTAATGGGCCGGTCCTTTGTAGGCTAGAAAAGGCATAGGCGTAAATCAGTGCATGTTCGCAAATATTTGCTTCAGTGGGGCACGTACAGCGAAGATGAGCGAGGATGGCATGAGCGCTTCAACAATTGCAAGTGCGCGCATCACTGAGCAAGACACGTTTTAGCTTGTATGTTCGTGAGCATGAGAGATGGACAGAAGACCTACATAGTACTCAATCTCCATCTAGCAAGCATTACTTAGTCGGGACTCAATGTGTGATGCGCGAGGGGAAAGCTTACGAAGAGAAACGCAACGGAGCGCGGCCACCGGAGATGCAGACCCACGGGATTGTACACGTGCTCATTGAGCATGTCCATCATCGCCTTCAATCGATCCATCTCCTGAAGTTCATCATAACTTCATTAGTAAAGCGAAGTACAAGGAGCATATTTGCCTACCTTGTCGCAGTGCGACCGCTTCAGGGCTCGCGATGCTTGCAAGCTCAGGAATGCGAGCGCGTTGTCGACGAACGCCTGCCCGAGACTGTGCGCAGAGAGCAGTATCTCGTTTATGGCGTTGATCGTCTCCAGAAATTGCGTCGGTGTGATCTACATAGTATTCCGCGATCCCTTTAGATCTGAAGGGCCCGGAGCGCCCACCAAGGAAGTAATATAGAACTCACCCTGCCTTCGAGTTCCAGCGGGTACGTCGACGAGAATTGGGGGAGCTCGCCTCCGGTGTAGTCCCTCTCTATCCGCACAACTTCTCGAGGAAGGTGCACACCGATCTGGCCTATCGGATCTGTACCATACGCTGAGTCGGGTGGTGGAGGGCCGAAGTAGTACGCCGAATGTGGGACCAGAGGGCGATTGTGACTGAGGGTATTGGGAAACCCAGGATTAACGCATCGCGTAGACGGATTGCATGTGTGAGCCAGTATCAGACACAGAAAGCAATCACACCAAGACGCACCTTCGCGGCTGCTTCGTGAACTCATGCATCGTCCGCGTCTTCGCCGTCGAGAACTCATACCGCTGCGGGCTAATCCTTCCCCTCTCCGCATCGTCGTGCAAGTCCCACGAGGGCGGCGACGGCGGGTGCACGTCCAGCCGCAACGGGTGCTCCTGCACATGCTCCCGCTCCTCCGCCCTCTCCGCCGCCCGCTCTCGGTCGCGGTCCCGCTGACTCCCCGCGCCCGACCCGTACAGCGTCGACCCCCCGACCTCGTGCTCCGTCGGGCTGTCCGATAGTCGATGCGCGGCCGTGATATCCGCCTCCGTCTCGCCGTCCAGGTCCACCACCTCCTCATCCTCCGCCACACCCTCTTTTCCCAGCGCGTGCGCGGGCCCATGCGCATCCGTGCTTGCACGCAGCGTCGTATCAGCCTCCTCCACCTCCGCCTCTTCCACCGAGTCCGTCTCGATCTCGATCCCACTGAACGGCCGCGAGATGTCGATGACCATGTCCGCAGGGATCACCGCCGGGGGCGCCGCCTTGATACCGAGCTTGCCCATCTTGCCTGCTGCTGCCGCTGGGGGTTTGTGCTCAGGTTCCTCGGGCGGGCGGAACGTGTAGTCCTTGGGCGGCGGCGTGGGTGGCACGGGCGACGAGCTCGTGGACGCCTCGTGCGTGTGCAGCGGTGCTTGTGCGGGCACGGCAAGGGACGCCTGTGGGGAGGCTGGGCGTGAGCTGGAGCTCATGGTGGCAGATGAGAACCCTTTGTGGCTGGGGGAGGGAGGAGAGAATCCGGGAGGCTCGGAGACGTGAGAGAAGTACGTGAGCGTCCAGTAGACTTCAGACCCAGCCTGGCACGAGTTTTACGGTATTCAGCTACGAGGCTGGATAGATAAGACTCTTCATGCAACGGAAAACAAGCCTATAGATGATGCGAAGACTATGTCGCGTTCAAGAGAGGGTGCAGCGAGCTTTCGTCGTCGGAGTCCAGGAAACAGACATACGCAAGCGCCCGCTACTGGCGGCAGAAATCGCATGGGCGCTTCTGCTGATAGAAGGTGTCAACTCAAATGACAGCCTTCAAGTCGACTGCAACTTGTCCGTTCACGACGACGGTGAATCGTAGACCTCATCCGCTATGGGCTCATATATGCGATGCATAGTTCTCCTACATGCATAGTAGCGCAGGTTAGTAAGTGGTAAGTATGCGTAATTTTGATCCTCCGTGTCCGATCTAATTTGTCTTTCTTTCCTGCTAGCCTGAGTTCTGAGTAGTTTGCAACTAGGCCATCTCTCGTCGTCTATGCGCATGCATATATACGAGAAGTATATCTCGCCCAGACTGACAAGTACCATGGCGGCAGACAGCGACGTATACTCTCGAAATCAGGAACATCAAACGACTACATGTGCCCGAAGCGGCTACCCTTGAAGAGCGCGTCCATTTGTCTAGCTCAAGCACACATGCAGCTCGAAATGGGCGTACGGGAAGATGCGTTCATATCTATAGCAACACCTCTCAGCACGGTGCGGCTATTTTCATTATGTCGATTTGGCAAAGATGACCCGTAACTGAATCTACCGTTCGATATTGCGGCGCAATAATATGGAGGCTGCGATTTCAAGCCATCGAAGAGCCGCACCGCAGGAAGGTCTCCTGATATCACCTCATTGCGCTTCAGGTTCTAAGACGCGATCCCGGAATTCAGGTACGTCCCCCAGGGATCCCGTTCTATGTGGCAGCACAGATCGAGGTGGAACTGAGTATGCTTCTAGCAAATGTACAGCGGCTGGAAGTGCATGTAGGCATGCACGCATGAGACACGCATCTCTCTCTGGAACCTTTGGTGGCGCAAGCATTAAATACATCCGATGGGCCGTCACGATCACCCGCTGGTGCATCTCAGACACCGCCGCTACCATCCGCACGGGTCCATTACGGTGCCTGCTTGCTCAGAATCTCAGCCAAGGTAGCATGCTGTGGTGCCTCGTTTAAACCATCCCTACGCTGAACATCTCCGTGCCTATAGAATGCTTCAGAGATCCCGCAAGTTGGCGCAACCGGACGAACCCGCCCTTCTCCCCGTTTTCTTGCTGCGAAGAGCATTGCGCAGGTCGCCTTCGGTATATCACCTGCACACACATCCGGGACCAACACCTCCTACAGCAGCAACACCCTCTCGCTCGCTCGGATGCATTGAAGAGAAACACCGAACGCTTCCGTGCGTAGCTGAACCTTGACTGCGTCCATATTGACGATCGGCGTCCTTCCGCAACGCCTGCAACACGTTCTCCCTTTCAAGTTCGCGCCCAGGGCCACCGGAGAACGCGGCCCCAGAACGGCCCCACAACCCACATCCGGAACCCTCAATGGACGTTGAACGTCTCGTTCAACGCGCGCTTCTCCGATGCCCTCCAGCGACTTCCAGTTGTCCGGCCCTATTCTGCTCCGCCCCCGCGCGCACAGGAACCTTCCGCACACGCGCCTTTGCTATTGTGTGCACCCGCCTTCTCTTCCATTCCGCGTCCAGAGGCCCGCTGTGCCCACCGATCACGCCCTTCACGCCTCCTGTAATCCCCTCAGGGTCCCCTGGGCCAGCTCCCCGCCGTCCTTCGGGCCACTCCAGAGATCCCGTCGGCTGGATTCGAGATCTGGTTCCCGTCTCTCCTTAATCCCGTCCACCGTGACGTCCCAGCGGCCGCTCCCACTCGTCCCAGAGAAGAGCCGCGCATCTCTGGCTGAACATCGCGCCAACTGCATGGGCAAGTGCCCTCCTACGGACGTTCCCCCCGAGCCACGCATCTTCCAGGTCCCCCTAAATTGTGCCCCGTTACTGGCGAGATTGCGGTTCGCGTATGCCCGTATCCCTCGCGTCCGCCCACCGCGTTAACGGTCCGCACAAGGCCCGGTGGCCCCGAGCCAGTCTCAGAAACAGCGTGCGCCGCCGCAGCGGTGGCTCATCGTATGGGTCCAGAGGGGTACCTGTGGAACGTGTTCCATGACGAGCACCGAGTGTTTCTACGCGTCGGTGGCGTATATACTTTCATATACCAGTGATCTCCAGCAGGCGACCGTGTTGCTCCGTCCGCAGGTTAAACACGCCCTGCACCGTTCTCGAGACGCGCCTCCAATTCTCAGCAACGCCGCTCTTCAAAGCCTCGCCCTCAGATCCCCCTAGGCCCCAGAGCGTGCCCGACGTATTGTAACCGACAACGTTCGCAGCGAGTCCCCGTTCCCGATCTAGAGAAAAATATTGGTCCGAAACCAGCCACACCTTGGCCCGTGTTAACCCACTCCCCCCGGCCCCTTGTGATTCCCCTAGCACCCGGCACAAGTTTCACGTCCAGGTCCGCGTCGCCCCACCCGCCCACCCCGGGCGCCGCGCACGGTGGCGCACGCATAATTGCAGCGCAGATCGCGCATCGCACGCTCGAGATCGCGCATCGTCGATCGCCGATCGCCTTGTACTGAACGCCACGTCACCTCCGCGTCCTGCAGGATCCTGACTCCGGAGGCCCAGGCCGCGGTGACGTGCGGAACGCGTGTGTGCATACGCCCTCGATCCCCGCATGCTCGATTGAGGGGCGGTATTATTTATGCGATATTATTTACGGGTCCGGCGGCCGCGCACGCAGAGCGAGAGTTGCGGGAGAGGCACACGGATAGGATTGCGGAGAGCGATGGAGCATTGCTTGTTGCGGGATATCATAGTTGCATATGGTACATGGATGATGCTGCACTACTGGGCACGACGACGACGGCGCTGATTGTATGTAACGGGGCAAGAAGAGAGCTGGAGGGAATAGATAGTATGTATATGGAACGGACAGTACGAGCTACATACGAGACGCATCATGGCATGTCATAACGAGTCGTCATCAATGTATGCGGGGGAAAGGAAGACAAGATAAGCGTGGATGGTGCGGGGCGCGGAAGAGAGTCAAGATTGCAAACAAACCAGACAAAGTCGATGCAGGACATCATACACAGCAAGCGGGGACAAGACGATGCTCGACATCGCGAGCGAGACCAACCGAACGAGGGAGCGGGGAAGAAAGCGAGAGAGGAGTGCGTTCACGCGAACCCAAACCGCGCCGCGTGCGCGTTCGAGCTTCGCCGACTGAGCAGAAGAGACCGAAACGGATGAACGACCGCAGAGAGGGAGCGAGCAGAGGAAAGAGATGCTCACGAGACAGGTCCGCCAGGCCGCCCGCCGGCGCCCGCGCCATTACCGTTACCGTGGCTCGACCCCGACGACGGCGACGGCGTCGTCTTCGTCATCGGCGACCCGCCCTGCGCGCTGTGCAGCACGATCTCGCGCTTCCCGCCGCGCGGCGGCGACGCCGAGCGCGAGTGCATCCGCTCGTCCTCCGCCGGGCTCGTCCCGTTCGACGGTGGCGAGCGCGTCGTCGACATCGGCGGGAGGCTCATGTTCGGCACGGCGCCGTGCCCGGCCCCGATCGGGCGCGGGTGCGGGGGCAGCATCGTTGGCAGCCCGGACGTCTGCACTTGGTTCGTGCCTATCTGGGGGCTGCTGGGGTATGAGCGTGCGTGTTCGGGAGGCTGGCGCATGTCAGGGGAGTGCGACGTCGGCTGCTGGCGGAAGGGTATGGGGCTAAGCCGTGTCGACGGGGTGGGCGTGGGGCGGCCGTTCGACGGGGGCGAGACACGCTGGCTCATGCTGCCGATGCGGGAGCGCTTCGCCTCCTGATGGTCGTCGGGTCCGGGACTGAGCGGACGTTTGTTCGTCGAAGGAGACGCACGGGAGGAGATCGAAGGGCGGCGCGCCATCGGGTGCTGCTGCTGGGGCGAAGCAGCAACCATGCGGCTGCTGCCGCCAGGACCGCTGGGAGCAGCGAAGCCACGGGGGTCGGAGGGTCTGTACGACGCAAGACCAATCAACGTCTCCGCGACACCCTCGTCGTAGTCCTCATCCAAAGCCCGCGTCGGCGGGAGGTGCGTCGAGTTCGTCGGCGACGGCTGCACAGAGCGGCTCGCAGAGCCCGAACCATTCGAGCTAGCAGGCTCCGGGCTGATGCCCGCCTTCGAACCACGGTAGTCGACCTTGAACGCCGACTGCGTCGACCCGTTCGAGTCGTACGGGCCCTCGCCGCGCTGCGCCTCCTCCTTGACGCGCTTCTGCTGGGGCTGGCGCCGCTTGCGCTCCTTCTTCGCCGGCTCAGGCCCGGTCACGGACGAGTTCGACTCCGTGTCCTTGTCGCGGTTCTGCCGCCGGCGCCGATCCTTGTTCTCGCCCGACGGCACGCCCTGCGGCCCCAGATGCGGGCTCTCAGACGTGCGCGAGGCAGCGAGATGCGCCTGATGCGCCTGCTGCGCCATGTGCATGCGCATGGCCTCGGGCGAGCTGGCATAGCGCGGGTCAGCGCGGGGGTCCGCGCGGGGCTCCAGGACGACCTCGCGATCGTACTCGCGCGCAGGGTCGTACCTTCTCCCCGCCGGCTCGTGCGACATCTCGTGCATCATCGGACGCGGCGGGGACGCACGGCCACTCGTCGGGCCCCCGGGGCCAGCGCGCGCGTCCCAGTGCTGTTGCGGGTAGCCCGGGTGGGCGCGCGGGGACGCCTCGGGCGGGCTGCGGTCGCGGGCCGAGCGCGAGCTGTTGCGGCGCTGCGGGGCCACGGGCGGCGAGTGCGGACGCGACTGGTAGAACGGCGGCTGCGGGTGCCCGTACTCCATCGGTGGGCGGCCGCGGCGCTCGCGCTCCCACTCGTTCCCCTCCATCATGCGCCTGCTGTTCCATCCCTGCTCCTCCCGAGGGTAGGGGGGAGGCGACCGCCGGGGGCCGCCTGAGACCTGTGGGGGACCCAGAGGGGGGCGCTCACCGAAGTTCGGCATCATGTGGCCCGCGGTGGATCGAGGGCGGGCGTGTGGCGGGGGAGATGCGGACGTCGACGGCACGCGCATGGGGTGAAACGGGGCGTCATGAGGGTGCTGGGGGTGCGCGGAGTGGCGGTGGGCGTCAGGAGGACCCTGCATCTGCGGGGCGGGGTGGTGAAGCAAACTCTGACCGGCGGGTCCGCGAGGACCGGGCTCGCGGGAAGAGGGCGGAGGTGGATACGAGTTCGAGTGCTCGCGTGTGTGCAGTGGCGGCCTGTCGACCTCCATGGGCGCAAGCGGGGTGTGCGAGGGGAGATGGCGGCTGTCATCGAGCACGACCGGTGGCGGCGGACCTCCGCGGAATGGACCAGGCGAGTTCCTGCCAGCGAGCGGTGGCGGCACAGGCAGCGGGAGATCGTGGCCCCCACGAGCGTCAGACGGGAAAAGCGGACGAGAGTTCGAGCTCATCAGAAGCGGAGGACCGCCCAAGCCTGCGGGCGGCATCATAGGGTTTGCGTATGCAGTTGGATGCACATCTTGCGGACCGGGAGCCGCAGGGAGCGCCTGCCCTGTCGCCTGCGCCTGCTTGAGAAGCGCCAACCGCTGCGTGATGGCGGTGTTTGTACCGTCGAGCTCGGCGGCCCGCGCGTAGGCGTCAATCGCGTCCGAGATCTGGTTATTGCAACTCTCGTAGAGGCTTCCCAAGTCGAACCAGACCTCCGAAATGTAGGGGTTGATGCGGATAGCGCGAGAGTAGGCGTCGAGCGCGTCGCGGTACTGGTTGATCTGGAAATAGAGGACGCCGATGGAGCACCAGAAGGTTGGGTTCCGGCCATCTCGATAGACGGCCTGCTGGTACGCCTCGTACGCCTTGTTGTACTTCTGACCGGCCATGTAAGCCCGGCCGAGGAGGTACCAGCTCTGGGCATCGCCCGGTTCTGTACAGAAAGTTTAGATGAATTGCGCGCGGCAGCCGCATCGCGGTGATCTACGTACCGGCCTCGAGGCTCTTGGTCAAGTACTGGATGGCGAGTTCCTGATTTTGGAAAGAGGACCCGTCCTGGTGGTACAACCACCCGAGCTGCTGCAAGACCTTGGCGTGGTTCGGGTTCTCTTGCACGACGCGCTCGTACGCGTCCCGCGCGCGGACGTGCTGCAGCAACCGATCAGTCAGAACAAGCATGTGGGAACTAGCTCGAAGACTCACGTCACGCTGCTGCTCGAATACGTGCCCGATCTGGAACCAGATGTCGGCGTGGGCGAGAGGGCTAGGCGGGTTGCGGAGGATACGATCGAAACACTCCAAGCTCTCCTGGTACTTGCCCTGCTGCTTGTAGATGATCCCGAGGCGGAACAGGATTTCGTTCGCCTTATCGAAGTCTAGAATGGAGCGGCGTCAGGAGTGGCGCGCGAACATCCAGATAGAGCGTAGTACGTACCTTTGTCCATTTTTAGGACAGACGCGAAGGCTTCCTCGGCGTGATCCAAGGAGCCATAGCGGTCGTACAGGATCCCGATTCCATACCACAGCTTCGGGTCCTCCTGGTCACGAGAGACGGAGAGTGAGCGCCGTGACGGAGAAGACGACGGAAGGGAACACGAACCTTAGGCTGCGGCAAGAAGTACAAGGCTTGCTGGTACGCTGCATACGCCTTTTGCAGGTCATCCTGCATAAGGTAGCAGTGGCCTGGGAAATGACGGATGAGAACGCGTGCGCGGGAGGACACGGGCGTGGGATGTACCGAGCGCGCTCCAAACTTCGCCGTTATCACCTTGCAGCTGCAAGGCGGCCTGGAAGTACTCGACAGCCTGTGAACGCGGAGTTGAGTGAGCAGATAGATCGGGGAACGTGTCGTGATGACGTAACACGGAAGACAAGGCGGGTAATGTGGGTTTAGGTTTGGATGCAAGCGTACCTTGGGATAGTTCTCTTTGATCCGCGCGATGCCAGCGACTTGTGTCAAGCCTGACAAAGAATGGGAGTTGTGACGGAGGGCGTTCTCGTACGCGGACAGCGCGTGCTCCAGGTTTCCCATCTGCTCGGCTACACGTCCTGATGATCCGAGTCCGATGAGTGATTGGCAACACTGGACGCGTGAGAGACCGACCTATCATGAGCCAGGTTTGCTCGTTTGCGTGTGCGAGCTTCTCAATGGGGGTTTTCTCCTCCTCGTTGGTGGTGTTGCGGACACCCGATGGACCAGGCAGCTGAGCGCCCGGGGGTGGTGGTCGGCTCGACGGGCCGGCGTGGCCACCGGGGGTCGAGATGCCGTTCCCGTTCATGTGAGGCGCATGTGAGTGTGGATGCGATGGAGGAGGGAGGGAGTGCGAGTGGTGGGGGTCGTGGAGGCGGATATCCCGCTCCGCCTGGCGGGGTGTATGGCGAATAGACATTGTGGGCGTCGAGGGGAAAGACGACCGAGGGGGACGGGGGTCGTCGAGGCGGCGAGGGGGCAGTGAGGACGGGGATTGGGGGCGACACGGAGACGAAGGCAAAAGGGGGCCCAGGAGGAGCGGACGGTGTATATAAGTGGCTGCGGGAAAGAGATCAGGGCGCAGAGGAAGGCGATCAGAGATCTGTACTCGCGCACGGCGCCTGCTGCAAATTGGGAAGATGCATCTTTGTGAACACGCGCGCCTGCTTCCCCGTCTCCAGGCAAATGCAAATTGCCCATTCAGGAGGTCGAGCTCCCGACACATCGGCCCTTCCTCGGCAACTATCCAATCTTCCTGCAATCGAGATCTGCCTTCCCCGGTTCGATGTCATCGCCCTGCCAAATGCGGACGACGCTCGCCCGCACAGCTCATGTCTCTCCTCATGTCATGTCTTCGCCAAGTCTTCGCTTCCGATCCTGTCCCTGCTGCCCCGCCCGAACCTTCTGCCGTCCCCGGGGGGCCGGCCACCTCCGCACCACACCGTCCCTCATTCGGGCTTCTTCCTCGCGATAATCGTCTGCGCTGCTTCGAATCGAATCGCGATAAATAAGTGCACGTCCGCGTCGAGGCCTGCTCGGGCCCCGGATGGGGAGGAGTGCTCGCCGCCACCTAACTCGTGGCCCTTCATTCGTGGCAACCCGCAGCGCCGCGCTTGCAGATCACCGCCATCCGGAAATCACGCTTCTCTTCTGTCCAGGCCCACGCCGGGTCGCTGTGCGCCCACAAGAAGACGACGCGGTTGCCGTGTTTGACAGCCGCCGTCCTCGGCCGTTCGCGCGGTCATACGTACAGATCGCGCGCGCCGTCCTCGGCGTCCCCGCAGTGCGCGCAGGGCAATCGCGCTGCTGCATCACCCTCTTACGGCTCCACCGTTCATCTCGCGCCATCGCCTGATGCGTGGCTGATCCCCCCCCACGCCGGCGAGCCGTCGCTGCCACCTGCTGCCATCAGCATGATCCCTCCGAGCGCGTCTTCTTTGCGTTCAGGGCGGGAGAACGCCAAACGCTGTTGGTGGGGCCACACGGTTGACAGATCGCGAAGCTCGCCCGGTGCGAAGCGTTCCCAGGGCGCAGGTGCGGTGTGCGCGGGCACGCCGGTGCACGAGACTGGTCACAGCAGCGCCGCGCCGTCGAGTGTGGGACCGCGCAGGAGGGCGAGAGTTGGGCAGGACGCACGCACGCACGCGAGCTTCGACCGCAGAAGGGAGCAGAAGCGACCCGGCCGCTTGGGCGCCGCACCGCGCCCAGCGCACGATCGAATCTGCGATCAGCTGCCCCGCTCGGCCGCTGGGTCTGCGGCTCGTTCTGCGTCAGACCAAAACGGGCGCGTGGAATTCCGGAAGGGCGGAGTGAGACCGTGCGCCTCGCCTGCCTGTTTGATAAGCGTCGCGGAGACGGCCGTGCCCGCGCGCAGACGCCCACCACGACCCTGGTGACGTTGACTGGACTCCGTCCCGAGGGTGTGGGCGCCTAGGGCCCGGTTGATCAGACCGGGCTCATTTGGGGCACAGCCTCCGTCCCTCTGCCGGCCGACACCCGACGCCCAGGCCAGACCGCGCCGCCGCCGTCTTCATCTGCAGCGGGACCGACCTGATGCATTGATGGATCATCTTATCTCGTCCACCTCTCCCCGCGCCTTCATCCCGTCAACGCTGCCTGATCGCTGCGGCCACGATGCCCACAACGCTAAGCTTAAGGCATATCACGCTGATCGCGACACATGTTGTGGAGGCGGAGAACGAGGCACCGCCTGCGCGCGCGGACACGGGCCCGGATGCGGGCTGTCGTCTGGTCGTTAGGAACACCCGACGGCACCAGTGTCAAACTAGCGTCCGGGCGCGCACCAGCTGACACTGCAGTGCGCCTTCGCGATATGGACGATGTGTAACTCCAGCGGGCGAGGGGCGACCGCCGCCGGCTCGCCGTTTATTCTCCTGATTGGCTCAGCGGGCAGGCCTCCGCCCGCTGCCCCCAACGCCGGCGACGACAGCTTCCATGTTGCAAGGAACCGCGGCGGAGCGCCCGTGCGCAGGGAAAATAGAACGTAAACGCCTCGACCGGGGCCAAGGCCTCTCGAATGCGGTGCCAGTGCGCCGGTGACTGTATGTACTTACACACGCCCAGTACCACATCGCGGACGGCCGTACGTATAGGTCCTACGTGGCGTTCGCGAGACATCCATGATCCACCGACAGACGAACCACCGTCAGTACTTGTCACCGTCTGCGCCGCTGCCGCCGCGCTTCGCCCGCACTCACACTTCGCGACGTCGACGCCACGACGTCTCACGGTCGCCATCGGGGTGCAAGCACGCCAAGCTGCATAGACCCCGGATGGCATGCAGGGTCCAGCCATCCGCCGGTGCACGTCACAAGCCCGCGACATGTGCGGGGAACCCTGGGCACGCTGCTGTGGACGCTCAGCACGCAGCGCCGGCGAATCAAGCCAACTAGCATGAGTCAGCAGCGCAGGCACGCCGCCGCCAGAACGCTGTTTCGTTGGCAATGGACGTTGAAGTGTATCCGCGTTTGGCGCGGACGTTCCATTGCCAATTAAACAGCGCCAGAACCCCAGACGAAGCAAGGAGCGCGGCGTCCGCGCTCATCATGCATTAAGTGCTCGTCTGCTACTAATTATGCGTCGCGCCGCACCAGCCTAGCGAACCGCACACATAAAGACCCTCACCAGAACGACCCACAACCGGGCACTGCATCCCGGTGAGAAATGCGTATGGGCGCCTAGGGACAGGTGAGGTCCCATCGGTCGGTCCGAAGTCCCTGGGGCGCAGTCGTCTGCCATCGTCCTCAGCGTCTATGGATTTGCCACCTTGCTCTCCTCGACGTCGCACGTCTCTTCCTATTGACATGTGTCATGTACTTCCCTCAGCTTTCACCAAATATATGCGCCTTTTGACACATCCATCGGGTCGATTTGGTCCTATCGCAGCAGATGTCGGAAAGGCACAAGCTTGTCCCGGTAAGTGTCTGTTGTGTATTCTGTCCCCGAGTCCCCTCTTGTTTGCTCGTCTTCTGTCCCCTACCACTACCACCACACGCAACTGTCCCCCTCCCCCTACGGTTCTGGGACCATGCCTCGCAAGAAGAAGCCCTCCGACGGAAAGGGAGACGGTGCCGACGATGCCCAGAAATCGTACACGTGCAAGTGCATCAAGTATTGCGACGGCGATCCGACACCACTGTCCAAATCATCGTACTACCGTCACCGGCTCGTTGAGAAGCTCAGACGCGCAGGCAAGCATGTCGCAGACAAGGTCCGACGCAAGCGGAAGAAGGATTCGGTCGGGAGGGGCGCGCGCAGGCGCGGTGGCACACAGGATCCCGCAGAGAGGGCACTGGGTGTATGCTATATACTCCCTGTGTCTATGTCTTTCATGCTCATTCACGATACCTACAGGATGTGTACGATCCACAGGAGCCTCAGCGCTTTCCATCTCCCGAGCCCATGATGGTCGACATCGATCCTTTCGCAGACCCGCCTCGCAGCCCTTCGCCGAACCCTCCTCCGCGTCCCCGCGCGACGGTTGAAGACGCTGTAGATGAAGATGATGAAGACGACGACCCCGCTGCTATCGAGGAGGAGGTCGAAGTCGTGATGGAGGACATCATGAACGCCCTAACGTTCATCAATCTCCTGAAGGGTGCGACTCTCAATGACCCCAAATACAGCGGCCTCAGCGAGGAGACTATCACACGGCTCCAGAACCCACCGCAAGAGCTCCTCGAGATCAACAAGCCCGACGAGCTTCTTTCCATCAAGATTTTCCTCGCGCTCCACAACACTGCCGATGAATGCTACGAGAAGGTCCGGCTCGCGATCATGCAAGACGATGACAAGAAGAAGCTTCTCTCGCTCTTCCAGGTCAAGCGGCTCGTTGAGATTCTCAGCGGGGTCGTTCCCATCGTGAACGATATGTGTATCCAGAGCTGTATCGGCTACACTGGGGCGTACGCGGATCTCATCAAGTGCCCCAAGTGCGACGAGCCTCGCTACGACGAGCTGAGAGCCCGCAAGAAAAACGGCAGCAAGAAGGTCGGACGCCAACAGTTCTACACCATGCCGCTTGGCCCGCAGCTGCAGCCCTTGTATCGGACGCCCGAGGGCGCGCAGTCCATGGACTATCTCAGCGCGGCCGTCGACGAGGTCCTTCAGGAGCTTGAGGAGACCAATGCGCTCAAGGACTTCAAGGATGTCTCTCATGGCAGCCAGTTCTGGGGGGCTTACTCCGCAGGCAAGATCGGCAAGGACGACATCGTCGTCATGCTTTCTATTGACGGCGCGCAGCTCTATCGCAACAAGAAATCGGATTGCTGGATCTACATCTGGGTGGTGCTCAATCTGTCTCCCGACAAGCGTTACCGCCGAAAGTACGTCCTCCCCGGAGCGGTCATCCCAGGACCGAACCATCCAAAGGATCTCGACTCCTTCCTGTTTCCAGGGCTCTTCCACGTCTCAGCGCTCATGAACGAAGGTCTCAGTATCTGGCATGCGCAGCGGAACACGGTTATGTTGGTCTATGTCTTCCTCGCGCTTGTCCTCGGCGATAGCCCGGCTATGGCTCTCCTCAGCGGCATGGTTGGACTCACTGGACGTCGTGGCTGCCGGCTCTACTGTCCACTCCTAGGTCGGCGCAAGGACCGCGCAGGAACGTACTATCCTATGCTGCTCAAGCCGGCCCCGCCGTATGCGGTGCCTGCGTGCTCTCACGACGACGTCGACCCCAGCACGCTCTCCCTGGATCCCGTGCAGCGCGCGGTGGAGTACCGGACCAACCGAAATGTCCTCATGGCATCTCGCACCAAGGCCGAATACGAGCGCAACCGTAAGGAGACGGGCCTCACTAAACCCAGCATTTTCAGCGGTCTCTCTCGCATGTTCGAACTGCCTGCTTGCTTCCCCCTCGACTACATGCACCTCGTCGCCCTCAACATCACTGATTGCTTCCTCAGCTTGTGGCGTGGGACCATCACAGGGGAGAAGGGGGACGCTGCAGCGCACCCATGGGCCGTGTTCGACGACGATGTCTCGTGGAAGGCACACGGCCGCGAGGTCGCGCGTGCGGCACCTTTCCTTCCGGGTTCCTTTGATCGCCCCCCTCGTAACATCGCGGATAGGATCTCTAGTGGCTACAAGGCTAAAGAATGGATGACGTACTTCTACGGCTATGGGCCAGAGATGCTGCGTCAGCGGATCCCGGACGCCTACTACCGCAACTACTGCAAGTTTGTCTGGTGCGGTCGTGTCATGGGTGGCCATTCCATCGAGGCGGCCGAGCTCGCGCGTACGGACGCCCTTGCGCACGAGGCTCAGATCGAGTTCGAGGTCCTCTATGTTAATCGTAACCCTGACCTCCTGCACCACATCCGTCCATGCATCCACGCTTTCGGCCACGCTGCTCGCCACGTCCGGCTCTCTGGGCCCCTTCTGGGCCACACGCAGTACACGATGGAGCGCCACATTGGAGACATCGGCGGGCAGGTCCGGCTTCCTTCGAACCCCTACGCCAACCTCTCCCGACGTGCTATGCTCCGCAGCCAACTGAACGCGCTGAAGGCGATGTACCCTGCTCTGGATGACAATGATCCCAACCGACTCCCGCGCGGCGCACTTGATGTGGGCAATGGGTTCGTCCTTCTCCGTGCGCGAGACGGTTGCGCGCGCTGGCTTCCCGCGCTCGAGGCGGAGGCATTCGGCCGCTACTTGGCAAATCTCGCGCCCAACGCCCAAGGTCCGATCAACCCTCCGATCTCAGTCATGAAGTGGGCACGCGCTCGCCTGCCGAACATGCAGGTCGCGCGTTCGGCATGGAAAGAGATCCTCAAGCCACTTGCAGAAATCCGCATTGCGCGTATAGTCAAGGTATGTAGCATTGGCAACTGTATGCACTTGAGTGATGGCACTAACACACAGACCTGTACAGATCCTGCATCGCGGCCAGCTCAAGATCGCTGAAGTCCGTTACTATTGCCGACTCCCCCCCCACGGTCCGCGCGGCACACCGCGCACAGTCGCGCTCGTTTCGCTCTTTGGAGCACGCAACGAGGCTCGATACACCGCGTCATACCAGACGAACTGGGTTGCACCGTACCGCGGCGACGACGACTTGCACGTCATCGATATCACCTGCATACAGTCGGTAGTCGGAATGGTTCCCACCGCGGACGTCCATGTCAACATTGATAGCATCGCGGAGCCACACTTCAAGAAGGGAGGTACATATTTTCTGGTAGAGAAACTAGGTCTGGAGGGGAGTTATCGTTCAGGAGCTCTCGACGCGATTGTAGAGGAGGAAGAGTAATGGTGCGGTATCGTACACTATGTAAGGCTATGTCCGGGGATGGTCATCTCAATCTCATCTGGGCATGACGATGGCACCACTATCCCCTTACCCTTCGTGATCTGAATCACTCGGAGGCGTCGAGTTTGAGGGCTGAGGTTATGGGCATCGAGGTAGTGAAGCTCACTAGACAGATTGAACTCGGAAGGTGTGCCCCAATCCGTAGTCGCCTGAGAGAGAGTCTTTTCGTACTTCACAAGAGGGGTCGCCGCAGTCTCGGAAGGTGTGCCCCAATCCGTAGTCGCCTGAGACAGAGTCTTTTCGAATTTCGCAGGAGGGGTCGCCACAGTCTCGCGAGCCAAGTACTGGTCAGCGCGCGGAGTCATGGAGCCCTCCCGCAAGTCTGGCAGAGGGGGTGGCGACTGGGGTAGCATGACGGGCATCGGGAAGAGCGAGGGGAGCATCACCGAGGCATCGCTACTTGCGAGAGATCAATGATAAAATTACCAGCAATTATCGAAAAATGTACCTTTCATCCAGGAAGCTCACATCGACCTGTCCTTCCAGCGCGCGTATCTCCTCGCAAAGTCGGCTCCAACACCCCAGGACGTCCATGTATCCTATGCGTAGCGCTTCCTGGTCATAGCGTTGATTCCCGATTGGCTGCATGCTAGCATGCGCTGCTGTTTTGGAAAGTTCACGGAAGTGTCGGGCAAGCGAGCGCAGTACACGAGTGGGGAAGCTGTCGAGGTCGGGCGGAGCTGGAGTAAACGCACGAGGGCCCAAGTAAGCGTCCAAAAGGTATTCAGAGCTGCCTCTAAGACACAGTAATGATAGTCAGCGCTTTTCAGAAGCTGGAGCCCAATGAAAAACGCACTCGGAGGACTGCGTGCTTATTTCGAGGTCTTCATTGGTGTTTTCATTGTTGACAGCTTCATGATTGGCAAGCATCTCAAGAAAGTCGATGACAGGAGAGTCTTGAGCCTCCAGAATAGTAGACATCCGAGTATAGCGAAGTCGCAAAGCTAGGACCGAGGGCGAGGTGGTGATAGTGCTCGGAAGAGAGTGAGTGACAGGCGTTACCTGTCATTGGCATGTGAGTGGCTGTGACATGTAGCATCACATCCTCTCGTCTTGACCATGCACCACCACGTCGCCCCCCCCAAATTACACGTCGACACCGACCAGCAAAATTTCGCCGCCTTCCAATTCAACATGGGTAACGAGTTTGTATCGGAAGCTGAATCGGGGACCAGCACACCCGCGTACACACTTCTTAGTCCAATCACGCCCAGATCAAGCGATTTGACCTCGAATTATGCCAGCGCATTCGACAAATCTAACGCACTCCTCTCCGGGAGGGCACCAGGATCGTCGCAGACGGCTATGCAACACTCTGAGCTGTACAGCGCATGGGAATCGCCGCCCGTGGTGAGTTTCCGAACCTCTTGATAGTGCATATAGTCACCAACCGACATTTTAGCCAACAAAACAACCAGTGAACATGATCAATCTGATCGCGTCCGCCTCGCACGAGATGCTCCTCAACAATGCGTCGTACAAGTACCTCGTCATCAGGAACCAGGAACTGGGCGACGCCAACACCAACCTCAATCGGGGCATCGGGGAGATCCAGGGACGTCTTGAACAGCTGAAGTACATCTATCGCCGCTGTCTCTCGTTTGGCGTGTTCTGATTGACCCGATTGCATAGGGAATCTCACGCGGACCTGCTGGAGGCCGTGTCATTGGGATCTAGCCAACACCTTCCTCTGGGGCCTGTGTCCCCGGTCGATGGCTCTGCCTCTTCTCCTCCCACGCCACAACCCGAGGACTACCCCCACCTGTCGTTCTGGAACAAGGCGTCCTGGGCTCCATACAAACAGGGACAAGATAACTACGACATGCGCAGCAATGCAGAAGGTGTCTCCCTCTACCTCGAGCAAGAGGACGGCACACAAGTGTCCAAGGAGCGTGTTCGGCGCATGGCCGATCACCAACGCAGCATCTGGGCGAAGTTCGAACGTGATGACAAGCTTCCCAGCAAGTGGAGAGCCGCCGACTTCGAATTGGTGGGAGCGCATCGTACACACATGTACAAGGAGTTCCCCGAGCTCGCGCTGTGTCAGAACCATTACAAGCTCACCCTCTTCGCAAGCGAACGGTTTTCCAGCTACATTCGGAACGTCAAAAAGCGCAAGGCCGCAGAGGCGGCAGCGAAGGCGAAGGCGGCGGCCAAAGCAGCTGCTCAAGATACCGGCAAGGATACCAAACCTGACCCTGCCGACTACGGGTCCGAGTCCTCGTCTGACGAGTCTGAAGAGTCCAGCAGGTCATCTGACAGCGACAGCGACGATGACAGTCACCCCCGCCCACGCCTGCGTCGACCCGAGACATCGACCAAGCGCATCCGCACGCCCGCCTCGCCGGGCTCCTCTCGCAAGCGCGCACGGACGTCGCCCCCGGGCCCACCGCGAATCCGCCACAAGCACACCCGCGTGGCTGATGCTTCACGCGTCCTTTCCTCCACTTCGACCCGCGCGACGACTGCTGCGCCTGGCACTCCGGCGACAACGTCTTGGGTGCCGACACGCTCCACGTCGCCCGACTCTCGTGATCTCTACGAGGAGTTTGACAACACGCAGCTCTCTGAGGACCAAGGGACTGTGTCTGGTCCACCCGCTCCCCCTCGGGCGGAGTCGTCTGCGCCGCGTCCATCCTCAATCCTCGACGATCCCTCGCGGAGGCGGGGCATCTTGGCGAAAATCCGGGTGAGCACTGTCTTTGCCCGCTATGTACAATCTCTGAATCTTTGTGCCTCCTTTACAGGGAGACGAGTTTCTCAGTCCCTTGTACGTGTTCACAAACTGTTGACTGCACAACACTGATCATCGGAGTCGACTTCACGCAGCCCCAAGCCCTCTGCCATGGTTATACCTACCCTGGACAGCCTGCTCAACACGGGTGATGCAAGCGAGCCCAGTGCCGGACCGTCCGCTTCAATAACGACCCTGGCAGGCGACAGCACCGTGCAAACCCGTGATCAGCTATTGGATGCCCCCGCGACGAGCAAGGTGCTGCCTGATCAGGGTGTCAGTACTACCACGATCGACGACCGGACAACACAGCCAACATCCATAGCCACCAAAGGTCCGATTCCGGCTGCAACAACGAAGACCGCCGCCGTCAAAGGCGCATCCAAACTGCGCGTCCAGCGGACTTCGACTACGGCGCGGTGAGTTTGCCTGCACTCGTGTTCGCGGTGTCGGCTGATTCACAAGCATTGCAGGAACCTGTGCGCGGTGGCGTACATCAAGCAACACCCCAAGGCGACGACCGGAGAGTTTACGGCGTACTACGACTCCATGGACCAGGAGCTCCGCATTGTAAGAGATTCTATGTACTATCTTGCTGTACGAAGCTTACAGTGGCTTATTCACTCGACCTAGGGCAACGAAGCGAGGTACGAACATCGTGCAAATGTGTTTATATGACGCTGATACAGCTTGCAGGTTCCGGTTCGGGCTCGCTCATTTGCTGAAAAATGCGGCGGCCACGGCGGAGGAGGTGGTGAATGCGTACGCATCCGCCCCGGAAGACATCAAGAAGGTATGCATCCAGCAGCGTCTCGTCGACAATCCCGCACACTCATGCCTCTCAGAGCTTCAACGATGTGGCTTTGGCTCAGGTTACAGCTACAGCCAAAGCGAAGAAGTCTCGGAACACTGTCAAAACGCCCAAGTAGTTCCGCACGGCCGTTGTCGTTCTCTCGGACGCGTCTTACGCTCTTATGATGCCTCGTTCTGTCTCGTCTGGGTCTCCCCGCACGGCGCCCGCATGTGTCTTCGTCTCTCGCCTCCTCTCGCCGTCTTGCCGTCGTCGCCAACTCTTGCCATCTCGCCGTCGTCGCCGTGTCTCGCGATCTCTCGTCCGCGCGCAGCGCATCGTCTCTCTCCGGTCTATCGGTGTCTCATGATCTCGCATCCGCCTGTGTCTGCCCTCTCCATGCTCGCGGACCACTCTCGCCTATCGCTATTGCCTCTTCTCGTAGAACGCTCTCGCCTCCTCTCGTCAATAGCTCTCGTTGATCACTCTTGTCACTCGCTCTCGTCTCCACCTCGTACTCTCAACTCTGGACTCTGTTTCTCGCCCGACCGCTGGGGGCCTCGCGTCACGCATTCGCAGCTTGCATCATTCTAGCGCAAGCCCATCGGAAAGGCCTCGCGCAGCAGGGCGTGCGCCATCGCGCGGGCGCCCCGTGCGCTCCGAATTCGTCGTCATCAGAATGGGCGGCGGGCGCACGTACCGGAGCAGCGAATGGGTGGTGGAGGCGCGGGCGCGGGAGCAGCATCTAGAAATGTGTATAAAATATGTCGGGATCGGCTAAAATGAACGATTCGGTCCCACCAGAGTCCCATCCTATGAGCGCATAATTGGGACTATTTATTTTTATGTCGCGCCATATGGGACCCATCTGCGTGCTATCCCCCTAGTGCCCCATCGTGAAGGGAGTCCTATCTAAGAGTCCCATCGGCTCGCCCTATTTGCGGTCGACGGCAGCCGAAGCGCCCATACGCATTTCTCACCGGGACTGCATACCCGCTCGCCAGCCAACGGCCACTCGCGCATTCCTCGCATCCACGCGCCCAGGGCGGAAATGAACGGGCATCGCCCGGCCGGCCCACCCGCGACTCCTCCAGAAGCACCCGTGCGAACCCGGCGCGTCCGCGTAGCCCCCAGAAGCCCCCGCCCCGCACCGGGGCCATCAGCGCGCCCAGTCCCTGCCTTGTTACCGCATCGGGCGTGTATTGGCTGCACGCAGAAGGGCATCGACAGGACCCCGGATAATGCTAACAAATGCCTTCCCCAAAAAGTACCTGATTTTGACGGTCGTGGTCCGGGCCGATTTTTGGGTCCCGGAGGGTGCTCTGGTCCGTGCCGCGTGGAAGGCATAGGTTTGGGGGGCACTTGGTCCGGGCCCGGTGGAAGGCCTACATACGCGGCGCCAATTATGGAAATTAGGCGCCAAATGCCCAAGCGCCGTCCGGGCCCACCGGCCGACAGGCGCTTATTCGGAGCCCCGCTGCTGGTCCGCCGCCCTGGATGGCCTCGCCGGCCGGACCCCCCCTCTGGTCCGGCGAAAGTGGGAGGCTTGACCGGCCGGGACCCCCCTGTTTTGGTCCGTCCGGCGGAAGGCCTCCGGCCCCTCCGAGCCTCATTTTGGTCCGTCAGCGGGGGGTGGCATTTGCCAGGATTATCCGGGGTCCTGCATCGACGCATACGGGCAGCTTCGCGCGCGCCCGGCAGAATGCCGACGGGAATCTCGCGTGGAGATGGGGGACGGGGGTGTATAGGATCTCGCGACGGCGCCTTGTGCTTTCTATGCATTCTATGAATTCCATGCACGTTCTATCGCGAAGATGGTGCTTGTCCAGCGAGCCGAGACGTAAACCCTCTATTCAGCGCGAAGCATCCATGCTCCGAGGCCCCACCGGACGCAGCCCGCGGCGCGCGTTGCCCGAGCGCGCCACATCGACGAATGCGCGCACCATATCCAGGCCACTCGGCTGCGCACGCGACTACTGTCAGAGGACGCCTGTTTGCGTTTGCGCCCGTGCCAGTAATTGAAAGAAGCATTGCCGGTCTGAGCGGGTCGTCGGACGGCGGAGGAGGCGCGACAGCGAAGCCTAAATTTTCGCGCAGACGTAAAGTGCGGACGAGATCCGAGTAGCTGTAGCCGACGCTCCTTGTATTCGGGCGCGGGCAACGCCGTGCGTATGTATGTACATCGAGTGGGGCGCGGACGCATCCTACGGACGGGGCTCAGCGTACAAGGTTGCGGGAGGTGCGATTCATGTACGGTGCGACGCACCAAGTCGAACCCATCTACCGCCCCGCTCGTCCGTGAAGGTTATATGGACGGGCGCTCCCGCACGAACACGAGGCGTGCCCGTCCAAAGCGTCCGAGCGAGAACGCCGCGCGGCCGGGAGCAGAACAGGCACCCCGCGCAAATAGGAGTGAAGAGGCTATCCAGGGAGCCGCGCCCCGTGCGCCCGACCCAGAGGAGACGATCCGCCGTGCACGCGCGACGTTGCGTACGGGGTGGGAGTCGAAGCGCACTGCAAAACGGAAGCCGCGCTCCCTCTTCCGCCCCTAGCGTGTGCGTGTGCGATGCGCCCCCGCCGCGAGGGGCCGGGATCGCCGTGCACGCGTCGTCGACGCCCCGTGCGTTTCCGGGGCGAAGAGCGGCAGCCGCGCGTGACGGCGTGGGGCGGGGAAGGCAGGGCGAGGGCGACCGCGGCCGGCGCCGCGGCGGACATTGCAGCGAAGGCGGCCCCGTGGCTCGGCTATTTGTGGGCGCGGGGGTCCCGTCGGGACGTCGCGCGCGCCGCAGAAGGCAGGGTGCGTGGAGCGTCGCGGGTAAGGCGGCGACAGGGCGGCACGCGCGCGCCAGTGCCCCTGCGCGGACGCCAGCTCCAGCAGCCTGGGGACCGGCAGCCCTCGGGGTTCGGTTCTGATGCACCCGGGCGGCGCGTCGTTCGCACCGCCGCGCGGACAGGGTGCAATGCCATTGAGAGTGCGTCAAAGCCAATCTTCGCGAACGCGACCGCTGCCGCCCGCTGCGATGGGTGCAGTACGGCGGCGTCCATGTGAGATCGGGGTCTGTAAAGGTCAGATGCCTGAGTGCTCGGAGCGAGTGCGAATCATCCCACGGCATACAGTAGCGGTGGCTGCTATATGGACATGCGCCGTGGGGCCCTCGCGAACCTTGTACTTGTCCGCGTCTGTGGTGGGAACCGCGGCAACAGATCGCGATACGCCTACGATGGCCGCACGCCCCAGGCATGCGTGCATAGTGCATGTTTCGCACGAGCTTATTCCAGACTGGATGGCTGCTCCCCGGATTTTCTCCGCGCGTGGCGCCGACGGCGGCGGCAGCCTGGCACAGGAACCCCTGATACTCACACCTTATTGCTGAGAAGACGTCCGTCCGAGGACATCACACTCCGGCATCGGAGAAAAGGTTGCGATCGCGCAGCAGGTCAGGGGAAGGAAGGAAGAGAAACGTCCTGGGCCCACAGCCGTCTTATTGCGCACGCACCATGCTTCGATTGGCTATGGTGCAAAGCGCTAAGCCACCACCACTTTTGTACAGTGGCGAAATCGAGCGGGGACCGGTTCGAGTGAGCGCCTAATGTAGTTTAGCCACCGGCCATAGTGAGCTGCGGCGGAGAATTGAATGTTTCTTCAACTCTACACTCCTCACCATCATGCCTGCGAAAACATCGAAGGCAAAGAAGGCTTCCATTGCCAATGCTCGCGCTGCTAAATTTTCCTGCAAACTGCCCATCATTGGGACTATCGAGACTGGGGCTCCATTGACGTCTGCTGCTCTCGACGCCGGCCACCATGAAGCCACACCACCTGGGCCGCCCTCTGGCGCCAGTTCAAACGATTCAGAAGCCATTACCATCTCTGATGACGACTCCAGCCCCGAAGATGAACGTACCAAGTGGACTGGGGGCATCAATCACGAGCTCATCTCAGACCTCGAGTCGGATATCTCCTTCGGCACCGAGTTCGACACCTCTGGGGCCGAGACAGATGACAATGAGTTGGAGGAACTTTGCGGCCCTGAGCTGAAGAAGAGTCTTGAGGCAAGGTACAGCAGGTCCATTCAAGGTGATGCAACGGAGACCTTGAAGCGCGAGATCTCGAAGAAGGAGTGGAAGAAGGCCGAGTCCCGGCGTAGTCTCGGTTATAATGGCCAGTCCGCGCGAACCAAGCGGCAGAAGGACAAGGAGGCACGCGACAAGGCCACAGCAGATGCGAAGCTGCGAAAGACGTGAGTATGGTTCTAAAGCTGCCGTATACGAGACTGGGACTTACAATTACTGCAGTAAGGGAGCTGCTCTCATGCGGCAATTCATTAGCCAGGCTCGTACCGCACCCGCGTCCTCCGAGTCTTCTCAGGACGATGCTGTAGTGCCTGAAATCCCCGCGCCCCCACGGAACGATCCCGACTCGCAGCAGTGTGCCGCTATCCTCTCTTGTAATGATATATTCACTGGTTATCAGTCAGAGGATGGGTACTCCGCCGATGGCTCTGATACTGAACTCGAGTCCGACTCCGAGGAGGCCCCCGCAGGAGCTGATCAGTCTGACTCGGTACCCGCACGTCCCGAGCACCCTGCTACCCCTCCGTCCGCCCCACTAGTGTCAGCAGTTGATAATGACTTATCATTTCCTTCTCGTCCCGCACCACCTCTCAAACGCCGTCGTCTCGACGTACCCGCTCGTACACAACGCAAGGCAGCCCAAGACGAACATAAGAAACAACTCAAAGAAGCATTGGCAGCAATAGAAAGGCTTATCCGCTCAAAACGCGAGAACTTCGACACGGGGAACCACGGTCTTCAGGCCTATCGAGCACGTTGCATACAAAGCCACTTACAGATGGTCCTCCACAATGGGCGAAGTGCCATGGAGGCATCTGAGCGTGCGGCCGAGAGTCAGGGCTTTGCAGCACGGTGGGGAGGTCGGATGGTGCGGAGTTGGGTAAGGGAATGGACTGCAAAACGCGAGCTCCCTGTATCCTGGCGTGGAAAGCATGCAAAGGCGTACAGCCTTCTCGATGACCCAACGGTCCGTGCGGAACTACGAAGCTACCTCCGCTCGAACAAATGGGCCATCAATCCAGCAAAACTCGCCGAGTACTCGAAGGGTACCATGGTTCCGGATGCGGCCTCGCAGTATATCCAACACATCGTCAAGGAAGAGATGCCTCGAGGCTTAATGCGCTATATGGAGGCAGAGCTCTTTCCCCGTATCCATCTCAAAGCAGCAAAGGGGATTTCATTGCGAACAGCCCGTCGCTGGCTGCACCTTGAAGGTTTCCGATACACTCTCCACCAGAAGGGCCTCTATTACGATGGGCATGACCGACCAGATGTTTTGGCGTACCGTCAAAAGAAATTTCTTCCCCAGATGCAGGAGCATCGTAAGCGGATGGTGGAATATGTTGTCGGCAACGTCGGGATGGAGGTCGAAAAGTTGCCAGACAATTTTGTGGAGCGACGGCTTGTCCTCGTTGCGCATGATGAGATGACAGCACAAGCAAATGATGGAAAGAAGGGGAGCTGGATTTTGGACGGCGAGCAGCCACTCAAGAAGAAGGGGGCAGGGCGTGGGATCCATCGAAGCGATGTCATATGCTCAACCGTGGGACATATGGAGGAAGCTGGGCAGAGTCTCGAGTACGGGAAGAATTATGAAGGGTACTGGACGGGTGAGCTGTTTGTGAAACAGGCAAGTGCAATTAACTCGATACAAGGTATCATATTTAATGCCAACCTGCAGCTGAAGGAGAAGATCATTCCCGTTTTTGAAGCAATACACGGACCAGGATATCAAGCATTATTTCTCATCGACAATTCTCAAGGACATTCCGCATACGGGGAAGATGCACTTCTCACAAGCCGCATGAACATGCGCCCCAGCGGGAAGCAAGCACGAATGCATGACGGCTGGTACATTTCCGACGGGCGGCGAGTCAAGCAGTCCATGATATTCCCACCCGATCACCCCGAGTACCCGGACAAACCCAAAGGGATGAAGCAAATTCTGGTCGAGCGTAATCTTTGGCGAGCTGGGCTTCGGATGCAGTGCCCAACCGGGGAGAAGTGCGATCCCGAGGCAACCTGCTGCTGTGCCAAACGCATCCTGGACCTGCAGCCCGACTTCCAGGAGCAGAAGTCCCTCGTCCAAGAGGTGATCGAAGCCGCGGGCCACTTGTGCATCTTCTTACCGAAGTACCACTGTGAGCTGAACTTCATCGAATTTTTCTGGGGGGCCGTGAAGGGCTACCTTCGCGAACACTGTGATTACACATATCCAGGCCTCCAGAAGAACATGCCGTTGGCGCTGCGGTCAGTCAGTGTCGAGCTTATTCGAAAGTGGGAACATCGGACGGTGCGCTGGCAGGAGGCATATCAGATGGGTCTGAGCGCGAAGGATGCGCAACTTCGCGTCAAGGAGTTCAGTTCGCGCAAGTACAAGTCTCATCGTCGTATTCCCGAGACTGTCGCTCGTATGTTAGACGCCTAAATTACTATATTAGGCTACTCCACTACCATATACGGAACTTTTCCCATCACTGGCGAAATTTGGGAGGACGAGAATTTATAACTCCCTCAGTTTTGAGAATTTTGAGAAACCGTCTGACAGATCTGTTCCTATGATGAAAAGGAGTCGATTGGTCAAGTGGATAAGAATTTGGGCAAGATTTGAGCGACTAGTTTTGGTTGTACAAAAGTAGCGGTGGCTTAGCGCTTTGCACCATAGCACGTAGAGCGGATCCACGCTTGGCCAACTTCGATCAGCCACCGCGAGAGCTCTAGGTGTTCATCAAGGGTATCAGGGCCCTCGGGCGGATGCGCTCCGGAAGCGTCAGGCGGAGAACGCACCGTTCATGGAACGCTGCGGACCCTAGACCGCCCGGCATATACACGAGGAGCGAGGCATGGCGTCAACGATGACGGAGTGAAGAAATGTTGATATCGATCCAGAAGCACGGCCCCTGCGAGGTATGGCACGATGTCGCTTTGGGAGCGGAGGATCATGCTGCGCCGCTCTGGAGTTGCGTCTCTGGACACGCATGTCAGACACAGTCCCGCAGTACCCGGCACATGAAAGCCTATAAACTGGATATTGGCGATGGCGAACTTACGCGTGACTGCGCTTCCGGAAGCACCATATTTGACCTCCCGCTGCGCCCTGAGACCGAGGCCAGAAGCCGAGCGCGGAAGCATGCGCGGGACGCATGAGAATGGTCGCAAGGGAGACCCTGAGCGCGGGTTTCTGTTGATATATCCCTGATGGGGGATATCTGGGAATGTATCTGGATATCTAGATAGACAGAAGACAGCGTCAATGTCCACGGTCCCTGTGGTCTGATGATTTGGAACATGCCGCTGGCTTTCTGTTATGATCCCGCCGGTATTGAACCCGAGATTGCGAGGACGATCAGACCAGGTGGGAAACGCGACTAGAACGGAAACATACACCGCTGATATCAGTCCGCAGGTCCAGCATCATACCTAGTACCCTGATACCATCCGCTGTGGTCTGTGGCCCCGTGTCATAGGACTGATCTGCTTCCATCTAGCACGACGCAGCGGCGATGCGCCCTGGGCGGGAACAGTGCGTAATCCATGTTTGCTGTGCGCCTGGCATATACATATAGCGTTAGACTGCGGGTGGTATAGTTCGAGAGCACACACCGCCATGCTGATCGATTCCGACCTGAACCTTGTCCGAACCGCCCGAGACTGGGCAGTGGGGCCGGTGCTAACGCGCAATGGCCGCAAGTTTGAACATGCAGATCGATGCCGGGAATGCCCCCGCTTGGCGCGTGCAGTCCGCAAGACAGGGGCCGTGGCGCAGCCACGGCTAGAAGCTGCGGCATGCACTCCAGGAACGCCAGACTGTTGTTCGAGCTTGTTTGAGCGACTGGAATTGCGACGATGTCCCCATGAGCGTGGGGTGCCGCGTGGTGCTGGGAAGCCGCAGAGGCGCGATAGACTAGTACTTCCGCACCCAAGGTTCTTTTACCCGGCAGAGTTCAGAACAGAACGGACGCTGTGCGTGGCATGGCATGGGCGTATTTGTGGTTCGAGTTGATCATGGTGGCAGAGAGCAAGAGCCGCGGACCTCTGCGTGTGGGAGGCCGGAGTGACGTCCCGTGTGACTTAAGTAACACTTCGTCACACGGCATTGTCCGCGAGTTTCGAGCTGTTTCGAGGCGCCGGGCAGATTAAGGCGGCAACGATGAGCTAGCGTCCCACGCACACCTTGACTTGAACCACCACCTCACGACACTCGTCGACACTCAGCGGCAAGGGCGAGATGACCCGTATGTCTGCTGTGCTTATTCCGATCGAACTGCCTCGATTCACTGCAGGTCCCGTCTCGTATCTTTAATGAACATGTAGGTGGCAACCAGCGGGAGACGGACCGCTTGAAGGCGCAGAAGAAGCTGCAGCAGACGGCAAAGGGCAAGAAGGAGAGTGCCGCAAGCCTGCAGCAGCGGAGAGAGAAGTGAGTGTCCATATGCCCTCTTCAAGGTGTTGCCACCGCTCACACGATGTCATTTAGGGACGCTGCGGCGCTCCGGGAGAAGCAGAAGGTGAGCGCACTGTTCGTGCGCGTATTCTAGGGCAGAACATAACACATGCCCTGTTTCACAGAAGAAGGAAGAGGAGAAAGCGGGATCTGGAGATGGTGGCACGAAGAAATAACACCGCTGCCGGGAGGGTTCCCCACTATCACCCATCGCCGCACTTCGCGAATTCGTGCCGTTGCAGGGTTGGCACGGACAGATGAGTGTGATGGTCCTCCCGGAGGAGAGGCAGAGGGTGCTGTCGGTGTTGGCAGAGTCATGATCGTAATGATGGTCAGCTAGATTCCGATCTCTTCTGTTGTATTTCATATGGGTTCATCCAACTTGCTTTCGATCTATCGTTGCCGTGCCTCGAGACGAGGCCCGAGTCATGCGTCATTTATCCAGTGTCACCCGGCACTCACCACTGAACACGTATAGACATCCTGACGCTAGCATTGCTTAGCCATCTCGCTCAAATCTAGATCCAATGCGAGGCCGCGGGATATGTTGTATCTCCGTGAATATGGCTAGGTTCTAATAAGCATCGGCGACAACTTCACCTGCGATACCTTGTCTTTCAGATATTTCGACCTTCTCGCCGGTAAGGCATATATGACCCTGAGCTAGATCCGAACGCTGATGACAAGGTTCCTCGTTCTTAGCTCCGCCGACATGGATGGCGTCACACTTTCATACCGCCGCTACCCCAACGCCCATGTTCCTATGTCAGAAAGCCGTTTCGCGTCTGATCGACGTATGTGTCCACGCGTGAATAAAGAAGGCTGGCTTCCCTCCAAGACTAGCATGACCGCACGGAACTACATCGGATGCCGCCCGTGTGCGAAGAACGTGAGATGCCTGGGACGTCGGAAGCAGAGAACGTGCTACCTCCCTTCTCTTCGACGGCGGAGTTTCGTCCTCGGTCTATTTCTGCAAGCTTCGCAGGTCATGCGGGGCGTCTTGACGGCAAGGACGCTCTGCGATCTGTTAGTAGCCCTCGTTCCCTACCAGCCTTGACGGGTGCAGGAACCGCCTAGTCCACCTTCTAGGTACTGTGTCAGATCGTTCCTGGTGACACTCGGCTTCAACGCGTACTCATTGTCCCATTACAGGTATTTCGAGAAACCGGACGTACAGCGTATAAGAAGCCGCGAATGGGCGCGACGGCCTTTGTAAAGCTGACGTTACGCGCGACATGTTGACGTTGTCTGCGGAGATATTTTTCGGTACGCACAGTTCCGCCCCGCATGGATGCCCGGCGGCGCCGACGCTCGAGACCAAATGACGGACAGTTCGCGGAGTGCCCGAGTCCGCCATCCGTCGGATATAGATGTCGGCATCCAGTTGAACACCGCCAGCCGCAGATACGCCCGTGAGGTCGAGCGGTGTCGCGCACGCGACGGCCCTCCTCGCGAACGAGTGCTTCGCCTCACACAAGGCGGGGACACAAGGCGAATATGGCTGTACGAAGCCCCTCTGCTTCCTGGCGCGTAACATCCTTCCCTAATTCTTTTTCGCAGGACCGTGTCATTTTTCGCTGCGTCATGTCGTTTCCACGACCACGATCACGCCCGCACCGTACGGCCTCACCGCATCTATCAAGCACACAAGGTTGCGCCGGGCACGGTTCGTAAGCCGATGCTAGGAGATAAACCATGCGGTGTCTACACTAGCGAGTTTGAGAAGTTCGGCTTACTGCCTCCAGCCAGGCTACCCGCTAGTATCCAACAGACAGATCTACCGATTTTCTCTAGCGGGCTGAAGAATCGCGACATCGGAGTCGGCAGCTCGGACCTCGACTCACGACAACATGGATTTGAATGAAGATGTCTTCTACGAGCTTACGCATACGTCGGGGGCGATCCTTATGGGAGGGCAGATCGCATTATAGTGAGTGCCTAGTAGTGATTCGTCAACACTGTATCGATATCACTGACGAATCCTCGGCCAGCCTGTCCGGTGCTGTCCTCATGCAGGTCATAGTTTATTTTCAAATGTACCCCTCGGACAGTCCCAGGATCCGAGCGATGGCGAGTGTCTGCCTGGCGTCCCGCACCGTATTACAACGCTGAGTCGCTTACCTCACCCAGGTATATGTGATCTGGTTTGTTGATTCTGACGTTGGAGTGCGAACGCATGCTCATCAGGACCTTTGTAGGTTTCTCGATATTCTTCACTCGACGATGATCTTCATCATAAACTGGGAAAACTTGGTCGTTGGCTTTGGAAACCCAGACACGTTCAGCCGTGCCATATGGTAGGTTCATGCAGTCGAAAATCCTCGAAAAGTGCTAATCATCTTCATTCTGCGTCTAGGCCCTTGACGGTGAGCTGGGCCCTACGATGTATCAAGCGATAATCAAGTCGTCTCATACGTACGTATCTCCAGATATCTATAGGCTTAACGGTGAGTAAGAGTCCACAAGCTTCCTACATAGACCCCGCCTCAAGTAGTACCTTCTACAGGCCGTGACTACCTTCTTCGTACATGGGTGAACTTTACAATTTTATAATGCCATAAGCCGGAAGAGTTCTGACTCGCACGACAGATTTTTCTCGTACCGTATACACACCCGTGAGTCCAGTATACTGATATATCAGACTGAAACCCCTCTCATATCCATCGACTGGTGCCAGTCAGCCGAGGCAAATGGTACATCACCGGAACTCTGGTATGTTGGAGTAGTCCGCGTCCGAGTATAGCTTAGAAGCAGCACATCCTTTAGGTTACGCTGTCTATCGTTCGTGTAGGTATGTAAAAACCCCTTGGTAGTGTGGAGACATCGGCTTATCTCAAAATGTGTTGCAGTCTCAGCTATAGGTAAGTGGTAGGTCTATCTGTTACACTAAAAAAGGGTTCATTGAGCACGACGTTCCCAGTGTCTTGCGGAGGACTGTACGTATTCAAGCACAAAGAAATTGTCCACCAACCTAAACCCTCTTTCCCCATCAGGCTTCACTATAAGTCATTCCCTCTATTCTTGGCCGATCGTGGTTTTAAGGTCTGTCTTTATCTACCTCCCGCCAATTCCGCTAGCTCCAGATGTAACGCGATGCGGGATAGGGCACGTTTCTCCTTGGGGTCTCCACGTCCGCGTTGCTCGATATACTTGTCACAGCAATCCTCTGCTATTACCTACGACAACGAAGAAGCGGACTCGCACGGTACCGTTAATATCACCACGACTTTTTGCTCATCAGCTGAACACGCAATAGAACGGATCGCATCGTGGACCTACTCACCCTCTACACGGTGGAAACCGGCATGCTAACATGGTCGGCGAGGACGTCCTCTGTTCCATGGACATGTTCTAACTAACTCTTTTCGAAGCATCGTGACGACCGCATCGCTCATTTGCGTGAGTTCTACCGTCCGAATAAGACCGTTCAATACGTGCTCTGACCAGACGCCCAACAGTGGGCAGCGATGCCTACTACATTAATCTTCCTCTCTCTGCTCTTGTCTCTTGGAAAGTGTGCGTAATATCAGTTATTACCCTGTCGTATGGACGCCGCTGACGATCATGCCGTACTCAGTGTACGCCAACACTTTCTTAGCAAGGTGAGCGCGGCCGTGACCAACCCTGGTGCGAGCACATCGCTGATCGCACCCAGCCTCAATGCGCGTAGATCGCTCTCGGACAGGACGCAAACCGTCTCCACGGCCCCTGAAGGTCACTCCATGTCCATCCTGTGGCCAACCCCGCCTCGCTCCCAAAACCAGGTGAAACCATGGGTGGTGAGTTCCTACTCTGCCATAAAGCGCCCTCGGTCTCGTGCCGGTTGGCTTACATTGTCGCCAGCCTCGTACTCGCGGAGCGGTCCCCCCGAAGGTCCGTATCGCTTCGCCGGGCCTGTGTGGCATAATTGAAGCGAACGGTTTGTTCTGCAGCCGATGGAAGTGACCATCGACATCGAGCACACGATCCACCGGGAGGATTATCGCCGCGGGGTGCACGCGGTCGGCCGGGAACGCTCCAATTCCTCCTTGGGTCTCGACAGCCGCGTGTTGGAAGACGCGAAAGACTAGACGAAGAAGACTACGAATGACCTATTGCGCTACGTATAATTGACTCTATATATGGATGTATGTTGTGACACGAATTTGATACACCTCGTCTTGGCAATACCGTTCTTATATAATGTTTTCCGACGTACCGGAGGCATTTCAACTCATGGATGATCACGTCCTACTAGCACGTCCTACCATAGATTTCGAGCTTGTTCCCAACTTGAACATGTTCGACGTCTTTGTCTCCGAGTTTGCAACCGGCAGGGATACTGATACGTCTGGCTGTAATGCGAGGGAGCCCGTGGTTAGCACGGGCCGGCACGTCGAATTGCCTTAAATAATGCCACGGGTATATATTCGTACAACAAGGGGACCCAAGCGAACGCCGCGCTGCATGTCATCTTCAGCGCCAAGATAGTACCGCAAGAACAGGTCGATGCTAGTTATGCTTAAGGTCTGCGCCTCGTGCACTATACTCAAGGTCGGCCTCTTGCGACATCTCAAAGGCTTCGGCGTGCACGGTCTGTTCGATCTCGACGTGGACGTGGACAGGCTGTGATGCGAGCGGCCTCGATCAGCGCCCAACTCGACTCCTCCGATACTCTCAGCCACTCACCTTCTGTGAGCGCGTCGATAACCCGCCTGGCTTCGACACCACAAGCATCAGATCCTGCCACAGGTTGGGGTTGACCGGAGGGAGCGACTCACCGACCACGGCGCTCCGGGCTCCCGCGGAGTGAAAGGGCTGTGGAGCAGCATGGGCATGGGATAGCCCTCGTGCGCGTTGGAACCTTGCGACCGGTTCGATAACCCCCTGCGCGCGTTCAAGCTGGCAACCAATCTCAACACGCTATCGAGGTGGGACGATCGTTCTGCGCGTACCTTGCCATGAACGAGTTCGCGTACACTGAGTCCGCAATGAGCATTCGTCTGGTGGGAGTCGGCGTCGCAGAACCGTGCTACTCACTTTTGCTGATGGCGAGATGCAACCCGAGGAATATTAGATTATTCGGCATCGCGAGCCACTGCGTACCCATGTCGTGAGCAGCGACCAAGGGTGTTCGAATTTGGATACGCACGCAGACTAGAGAGACCGCAGTCGTGACACTGGACAAAACTTCGATTTCAGCGCCGCGTAAACCGCGCCGTGAGCGGGGCCACGTACCATGTAAGCATACCGTTCTCTACCGTGTACACGGTCAGCAATCCAATGACATGATCCATCCTACATATGATTCAGCTTGTGTGGATGTTCTGAGACGCATAGCGTCTTGCGTACCTCGCCAGACCGCTCTTGCGTTGCCGAAGATAGTAGCAGAGTATGCCCGTGATCAGGATGTCGAGACCTGTGGACGTTCCGAGTCCCAGGGTGAAGACATACTATATATTACCGTAACAAGGCGTGTTAGGAGCGATGACAACGTTAGCGCCAGATGGAAGGACCCACGCTAAACTTCTTGACAAATTCGGAGAAGCTCTTGAGGCGTAACCTGTGGTGGGGTAAGTACACGCCACTAGGGGTTGATACTACACGACGAACATCTCTCCGGTGGACACTGGATTGAAATGAGAAGCCGTTCTAGTACGGAAATGGGGAGAGCGATGACGTACCTGCAGCCGCAACTATCTCGCGGTAATGGACGTCAGTGTACTATATTCGCAACTCGTATGTTATGAAGGCTGCCAACCTAATCGTATTGATGCTAAGGCAAACTGGGTAAAAGCATAAGCACAGCATGCATATTGTTTATGAGACTCGACTTACCAACGGTCCAGTTATGTACCAATTTCCACGGCTCACTATGACACCGTCAGACTTGCGTACCTCGAGCTACTGCTCGAATAAAAATTGAAAATCTCACATGTATGGATGCGATATGAGAAGAAGCTAGAATGACAGTAGCACCGTCAAATTCACAGCACATACGTTCGTACGAGGTAGACGCACCAGTGCACCAGAAATGTAGTCATGGCCTGCATTGCCGTGATGATCAGCCCCGTGTGAGGCGAGGTAATTGAAATACGGGGTACTCACTGTAAGGGCGACCGTCATCTGCCACGAGAACAGTCAGTACAAAGCTGGCGCATGCCAAATATTTCCCTTCGACATACCGCGACCGACCTAGAAAGCATACACATCCTCAGTATGAGCCACCGGCCAGAGAGTGTTTCGAACGGACCAGGTAATGCCATCCAGACCGTCAAATTTCCCAAAGCCGAGTACGAGATTCTCCCAGTTTGCGATGCCCACCATGGCGGAGTGCACACAATCCAAAAGCCTGGTGGGCCGTGTTCGTCAGACTTCAGTTCGTCGGAGACGTGCTCGTCTCGTCATACCAGATCAAGGCAACCTGTGGGGGAGTTCGTCATGGCTATACAGCAAGCTCAATATCGTCGAAGAGGCCCACCATAGCTTTCATTTTCTTGGGGTCGTTTGGATACATTTGCCAGTATATGACTACTTGCATGAGGACCGCACCCGACAGACTTCCGGCAAATCATCGTCAGGTCAAGAATGTAGTACCAAGGCACGTGAGACACTCACAATAGTGCGACTAGTCCTCCGACGAGGACCGCGCCCGACGATTGGTACAGCGCATCCCATGTCTCCTCGTCGACATCGATGTTTGCAGCTGCACGCACTGCGGTATGCAACATGGCGATTCTGTTCCAGTCACCTCGATGTTTAGCGCACAAGGACAGCGGTTACGGGGGCAAATGCGGTTATGCTCAAAGTTCTCCGACGCCACGATCCTTATGAACCTACTAGACCCGACCCGGCCGTACCACGAACAGATTCGACGTCAAAGCCTAGGGCGCTGTGCGCCACCTAGTGAGCGCGTCGCCCGACGTATGTCACACACTCGGACATCGCATGAGAAGATACTGCCGGATTGGAGGCAGAAGCTGCAACTCCGGCACCTGGAAGGGGACCATCATACTAATGGAAGGGTGTCCAACTGCTATATGAGTGATGATGTTGATTGCAGCCGCGGTTCACGCACCCTTCGTCTTCACTGATCACTAGGCCACCGGAAGAGTGGCAGTCAGACCAGTGGTTGTCCAGACGATGTGTCGAATGTTTGTCCTAGATCCGAAATGACCTTTAGCAATCATTGCCGAGGGACTCTTCACCACTATGTGTGCACCATCTGAGTATTGCAAACGAGGGGTGGCCGCAGCCGGAAAGAGCATCCGACACCCAAGCGCTTGCTTGGTGGCGCATGCCCGACCACGCGGCCGTAGTGCCAGGGATCCCAGTCCGAAGCTGACCGGGAGAGCGGTACTTCGGAGGTGCTCTCACACCGGAAACCTAGTCGCAGTATCTTGGAGACGAATGTCCTTCGTATGATTCGTACCGCGCTCGTGAGACGGCGCACAGCCCAGAGCCGGGCGTGATCTAGAATTATGGTGGAATACGAGTAAGCGCTAATATGTACAAATATACAGACGATGGAGAAAACGGATGACACGATACTCGTACAGCACGCCGCCGAGGATCCATACTCAGTGTACCTTGGCATCTGTCACGTCCGACGTAGCGCGCTTCTCGGACTCGACGGAAACGCTGTCCCCGTCTGTGTGCGGCCTATGTCTGTCCAGGTCGTGCTGCACGGTCTGCTCGACATCGATGGTGATCTCCACCGCCTGCGTACATCGAGTGAGTATGGGAGAGCCGGGTACCAAAGAAACTGCGCACCTTGGGATTACCGGGCACCGAAAGGCCTCCGTGGCGTTGCTGCGCATATCAGCCGCTCGTCAGTATAACCCTATCAGTGGCAGCATCATTGTGGCGCTCACGTTCTCTCTCGAATTGCTACTGCTGGGGAACCTTACGGGCAGTGCATAGGCTTCTACGACGTTTCCGGAGTTTTGCGACCTGTTCGCCAAGGCCTTCCGTGCGTTGAGGCTAGCGTAGATGAACTTAGCGAAGCTCGTCTGAGGAGAAGGTTCCGTTGCGCACCTCGCCAGGAAGGAGTTGGCGTACACTGCGGAGAATCGTCAGAAGATGCGAACACGGGATTTGAAAATGCCGAAGTACGTTTGTTGATGGCTAGATGCATCCCCAAGAACGCAAAGTTGCTTCGCATGAAGAGCCACTGAGCAGGGCAATCATAATCAGGCCCGTAGTTATACGAAAGAGCGCCGACGCCACTGACAAAAAATAGCGAGAGAGACGTCGCAACACTGAAATTACGGTCAGTTAGGGCCCGCGATCGTACATGGCCGTCTACGTACCATGTGATCATCCCGTTCTCAACGGCGTACAGCGTAAGCACGTCGATGATACGGTTCATGCTGAACGCAGCTTGTTAGCGTTCGCGCTGACGGGCGGAGCATGGATCCAGGGACTCACCGGACGAACGCAGTGCGCCCTCTTCGAATGTAATAGCACATGATGATCGTGATCAGGATGTCGAGGGAAGCGGATACGGCCAGGCCGAGGGTGAACACCCACTGTACCGGCATCAACATCGAAGGGATGCACTAGGAGTAGGAATGGCCTTACTGAGAACTTCGAGACGAATAAGGGGTAATTTCCTAGTTTGATCCTGATAAGCAGAAAGAGTCAACGCCGTGCGCGGATCAGGTAGGGGTGGCGCGCACATCTCTGACGTTGTTACTGCGTTTTACGGATGAGAGAATGCTTCAAAGTAACCGACCCGAGACTCACCCGAAGCGGCACCTAAGGAGAGTGGCTGTCAGTTAGGACGGATGAGGACATTGAGTTTGCGGCTCCGCAGGACCCACCAACTCGCAGTAAAGCCAGAGTGACCTAGAGCATGTAAGTCAGATGCCGCGCTCTCTTCGAGCTGTCCATGGATGCTTACTAGAGGCATGGTAATGTACAAGTTCCCTCTGCTTACTGTGAAGAGGTCAGCAATCAGCATACTGGAAACATGGTTCCCGAAGTGTGAGATGGCCTACACGAGTAAATCCTATGAATGAAGAAACTGACATCGGGTTAGGTAGTTTGACAGTTTCCATGACCATATCCCCGACTTACCAGTGCACAATGAACGTGGTCACAGCCTGCAAGGTGTGAGGACAATTCCATACGGATCCAAACAGATGATTAACTGACCGTGAGGGCGATTGTAATCTGACGGGCCAGACGATTGTATCGAACCGTTAGAGTTGAAGCTATATTGAGAGGGTACGCCTACATACCGCGATCGACCTGTACCTTCCAGTCAGCAGCGGAGACAAGGGGGCCCGATCGGTTCGCTCACCATGCTATAGAGTCCAGCTTATCGAAGGACCCATAATGGATGACTAGATTCTCCCAGTTCGCAGTGATAGCCATGGAAGAGTGAAGCACGTCGAGCATCCTAAACACTTGTGGTCAGAACACGACGGAAGGAATGCCCCCACATGACCCACCATATCGCAATGACCTGATCGACGACCGCATTAGTTCCGCGAACCTACAGCTGTATGTGCACACTCACCAACGTCTTTACTCTCCACCTATCCGTCGAGTATAGCTGAAAGTACAAGGCTACTTGCATGAACACCGCCCCTGACAGGCTGCGCGGGTCAGCCCCAAGATCGTCACGACTTTCGCGGAGATCCCGCACACTGACGTAACCGACACTCACAATAACGCCATGAGCCCCCCTAAAAGCACCGGCGGCGGCGAGTGGTTGAACACGGTCGTCGCTATCTGCCCAGCGGAAGGGGCACCTTCTTCCACCGCGTCGCGCGCCATGGCGACTATCGCCATCGAGCCCGCAGAGTGTAGAGGAGGTAGAGCGTAGGTGGCGGGCATCTTCTGTGGCCGGTCCAGCACGTCGTCGGGCGCGAGTCTCAGAAATACGACAGGACGCCGCGCAAACCCCCTGCCAAGCGATATATACGGCAGTCTTAAGCTTGACGCTGATTCCATTGAGCGGCGAAGCGCTGCCAGCCGCCCCAGTAGCCGATGCAGGTTGCGGGCTGCAGCTCGGTTCAGCTCCTGGACGCCCCCACGGAGGTGTCCGGGCACCCAATTACAGCGCAAAGTACCGGTCTGCTCGTGCGACCCGGCTCGAAACACGTCAGAGCCGCAACCCAGCGCCGACGGCCACGGATAGGGGAGAGGCGCGTCGCGCGGAAACGCTGAGGGTGGCCAGCTGACCCTCCATAAACTGACGACTCGACCTGCTTGTGGCCGTCTAGCCCGCATATGGGCCACGGGATGGCGGAGGTGCACAGCTTCTAACGCGAGTGGCGTTCTTCCTTCAGCCTGCAGGACGGCATGGCGATGTTCTCCTAGCATCACCTGCACAACCACGGGCGGCATGGTGGGCGCTTGGTACTTCGAGCCAGTGCCAGCACGGGCGCGCCGATAGGGCCTTGGATCAAAATGCGGTTGGTGTAGCTGAACCATGCTAAGGTGGCAAGATGTGCGAAAGGCGGTCTGAGGCATATGGGAATGGTGTCTCCGGAGTACGTATCGTACACACTGTCAGACAACATGCAGTCAGTTATTGGCAAAACATGAGACTGCACAACACCCACCGATCACCGAGTAGTGGCTACAAACTTACTCGGAGGTAAGGTAAAGGTTCAAACGGCGTTCAGCTGCGAGCAGAGTCATGGTTCAGCAGTATGTGATGGTTGTCAGACAAGCGCAAGCTCCGGGGGACGTACGTACTCACTTCCACACAGCAACGAGAAGGACCCGTTTCGAGAGAGAGCTCTACCACTGTAGGATTCCCTACGCAGGGGCTACCGATGCACTTCTCCACGCAATGGCAGTTACAAGCTCGGTGTCCTGCATTGTGCCCGAGACACCCGTGTAGTCGAGCTTCAAATTGGATAAGGAACGGCCAGTAGTGGGGCCGGGTCCGCCCTCGTCTGGAGCGCACACATGTGTCTTTTCTTGTATCCGGTGCAAGCGGCTGCTCTCCGTACTGCGGATGAAGGGATGCCAGTATCTCAGCGCCGGGCGGTGAAGTTAGAGTTCGGGCGCAACAGTGCTGGAACGTTCAACAAGGAGCTGCACTGCTAGATACGAGAAGGTTGAGTTCGCGATGATGTGGGAACAGGGTGAACTCGCCTCGCGCTCCCCCGCTGTCTGGATGGACGGTGTCCCATTTAGGGTTGAGGGAACTCCCGGGAGCTGCCACCTCGGAGGGACCGGGACGAAGAAGCATCTATAGCATTTCAAGAATCCGTGAGGTTAGCGCGGACATAGAAACATGCGCATATGAGCGTTTCTCACCGTCGGGCCCATGATTACGCCGTATCCAGAGCTTATTCCAGCCGCCAGCGCAGCGGGGTACACCGGTGCCTATGTCGAGGAAGGCAGGACCGTCCCAGCGTGTTTGCATGCCGCATTGAGACAACATGGCGAATTATAAGCGTTGCTCGCTCTTCATCTGGGAGATACACACATTGCTCCCGCGGCCGGGGAGTCGGATCCAGCCGTTTCGAAGACGTACTCGGCATGCGCACTGCGTCACATTTCGCAGGCAGACGACGACCCTGGTGGGAGTCCTCCCCAAGGATGGAACGATCAGCGACCGTCGGTCCATTTAGCAATGATGAGCCGATGTCCTATTGCCATTTGCCACGGACGCGGTCATCAGGGTCCTGCGATCCTGCTGTCCCGCGGGTGCCTGTCTGCCTGCCCGCATCCTGTACTCCATCACAGATGTCAGCCTCCGAAAACATGCATACCGACAACCTGAACGCACTTTACCGGTGACGGCTGGCACAACCTCCGCGCACCTCCGCAATCAAACTGATCCCGGGGGTGGCTGATCGTGGTGCGCACCACGGTTGGCCAACTCTCCGGAGCAGCCTCCATCGGCCAGCCACGATCTGTCTCACATACGCCCTTCTAGCAGCGGCGCGCTGACATCGAAGCACCCCGCACAGCGGTGAACCACACGTTCCGATCCAGCATCGGAGGTGACGGGACGGTGGGAACACGACGCCCCATGACGTGCGCACGGCAGTCGTGCGTGCACGCCCTCCGCCGTGCACGCCGTCGTGACGGAGATGGAGGGAAGAGAAGCGGGGGCGCGGGCGCAATACAACGCTTACAGCAGCGCTCGGTGATCGAATGTCGACGCGCCAAGTCAGCGGCGCCGCCGCGTGGAGATTGGTCGGCGCGGAACCCAGGCAGCTTCAGGTTGGCTTCAGGAACCGAAAGGTGCACCCACGGGAGTGTGGACGGCCTCCGCGAGAGGGTCCGGGCTGCTTTCGCCATAGTAAGCTCGGCGAGCTATCGCGTGCTTCTCGGCCTCGCACGCGCTCGTGCAGATCCGGAGCCTTCATGTGCTATGAATTGACGATGGATCGATCGCAGGTTAGCCCCCGGATGATGTTAACAGTCTAGGGCACCTACCGTGCACCAAGCCAGATGCATCTTGAGCGGCATGGACGGAAAAGGTCTAGCAGGAGGATTGCTATGGGCGCAGTGAATGCAAAAACAAACCCTTGCTTCCGATCTGATCCTTCATGTAAGGCAATGAATACATACTTAGCACGACAACCTAAGCTGCACACAAGAAAGTGGCTGTTGCCGCACCTCGGTTTCCCGGTCGAGTTATCACAGGGACATTCCAATTAGAGCGGCACAAGAATAGGACGAACGACGTTCGGTGGCGATCGCACGGACCTGCGTTGCGCAAGCGACCTAGAAACAGCATCGCGTAAGTCACCATTCAGAGAATAGACGCGGAGCAATGACCTGCAAGGGTTGTTTGAAAAGGTACTCCGATGATCCTCCTGGAATTCGACTTGGCTTTCTGAGGGGCGAGCGATGTCGATCTGCCACATTACTGAACAAGGCCTGCTCGGGTGAACAAGGTTGCCATGCAATGTATACCTGCGCCACATTAGCCCCCACGCCGCAGCCGCTCAATGACCGACCCTTCACTCGGAATGGCACCGGCGAGCATCCGAAGCGAGCGCGGGGTCAGTCTCCAGCGCGGAACCTGGTGGCATGCGGCAATGGCACATCTAATACCGCATACACACACTGAAACCGAGCCCGTAATGTCTGCGAGGTCCCAGGCCGCCGGGCTGCAGGGACAGTAGACCGCTTAGCTAGAACGCATACGGCATTCAGCATTGCGCGCCACGTACATCCGCGCCTTCGCGTCTTCGTGCCATGCACATAGGGGCCGCGATGATCAGCCACCGAAAGGGTGGCGTGGGCTGCGCTCGTCCTGCCGAGGTATAGGCCCCCGATGGCAAGCCTGTGGCCGCGTCCGTGGGGCAGGCTGTGGGTCGCACCGCGAAGAAGTACGGAAATAGTCACAGAAGCACCCATGGGCCTGAGCTACTCACACCGATATGCCCCGGCGTTCGCACACGGCCCAGTAGCCAAAAGCCGGGTATTCCCTCTTCGAGGGCACGCAACCTGGGCACGATGAGGACTTCTAAGTTCGTGCGGTGCGTGCCGCCGGGTCGTCCGTCCGGGTCCCGAGGACGCCATGGCGCGCGTGAGAGACGATCCGTGGATATGGGCCGCGCTTCCGCGCATCCTCCATGCTGCTTCCGTGGTATTGAATGTACACAATGGTTCGGAAAGTTTGGGGCCTGTGAAAGCTTTCATACTGACGCCACCAAGATATAGAAGGACAGGGTACTGACTGTGCTGGAAAAGGGACGGGCCAATCGCCTTGGTGTCCGGGCTCCGCTTCCCAAGTATAGGGAATCCTGCATGCCATCTACGGAGCATATACACGCGCATATTGGCAACTGTGAATTCCGGTAACCAACTTATACTCGGTGTCGTGGATTGAGTGAGCGGCCCCCTCACGCCGAGTGAGAGGTCGAGTGCCTCTTTCTTCTTGATACAGTGTATCGCCTGCTAGGGACGCACTTAGATTATCAGTATCCGAAGTACCTAAATGTTCTCCGTCGCCGGACGCTTCTCCAGCACTCTGTCTACTATGCCAAATTGCAATGCCTCTTGCGCTAGTAAATCCATGAAGTATCAGCTTAGCCGCGAAACCCACCACAGACCAGCCGCGCAACTTACCCGTCATGAAGTAATCCCGCTCTAGCGCTTTCTCTGTCCCGAACCACTCGTGAGAAGGCGTTAGTACAAACCATAAACGGATACGTACGGAAGCGATCAACACCCTCCTGCACACTCTCGCCTTCGTGGGCACAATGCTTTTGGTATATACCAGTGAGCACTTCCCGCACTCGAAGAATCTCCTTCGCATGGATCGCAATGTCAGTCGCCTGGCCAGAAGCACCGCCAGACGGTTCTGCAAAAATCGCGCGTTGTATGTGGGTCAGATACTCTTTCTCGTCGATATTTTGTAAAGAACGTACGATGGATCATGATGCTGGAGTTTGGTAGTGCATGCCGCTTTCCCTTCTCACCTGCGACTAATAGAAGCGACCCCATAGAACACGCCTGGCCGACGCAGTAGGTATGAATAGGTGAGGAAACATATTGCATCTGATTTTTGGACGTCAGCCACAGCCAGTCCAGCATCCAAGCACGGGAAACATTGGGTGACCCCCCGTAAGGATTTGATACAGTTTGGGCCACAGGAAATGTGTGACAGGGTACAATCAGGGTACCCACGCCGTTTAGCTCTGCTAAGCAAGAGCAGCCTTCCGAGCACGATAGACACAGGTTTTGATACAGGTCGAGGGCAGCTGGAAGTTCTAAAGCGCTACGGAAAGTGCTCGATGAACCCCCGATCTGGTAGGCGAGCGCATACAAGCGCTCGGAAAGGCCCACTTCAGGGCGCTGTAGCATCTTCGCCAACGATTCAAACACACCCGCACCTCTAGCGAGGTTTAGAGAGGGGGATACCACCCCTCTCTAAATCATGACCGAGAACGCGGACTGGGATTGCTGATTCTCAGATTGTCACGCTCGGAGCGGACATCTGGGTGCAACCAAGTCATCTAAACCTGTATCTAAACAGCTTACGGAGTCACCCATTAACAGACATCATGACCCTTGGCTAGGTGCACGAACTTGAAGCAAATCATGACTGTCACCATTCTCTTTGTGTGGAACACAGGAATTTTGGCAGCTATCATTTGCTTCGCAATCTTGCACTCTTTCAAGTGTCGTAATATCTTATAGTGCTTGTTGTTCAGAGATCACTCACCGTGTCATAAATGGCAAGGCCGGCGGTCACACTACCTCCTGGAGAGTTGACGTAGACATGAATAGGTTTGGAGGTCTCCTCGGCCTCTAGGAAGAGTAGTTGTGCAACTACGAGTGCAGAGTCGGTGTCCATGATCTTGCAATTGTTTGAATTACGACTTCAGACGGAGACGATGCACTCACTGGTCCGTAAAGCATAATCACTCGTTCCCGAAGTAGACGCGAGAAGATATCATAGCTTCGTTCTCCCCGGCCCTGCATGGTGTTTGAGCCTCAGGTTGGCCCCTGCAAGCGCCTTATGACAGACCGTCTGTTCGATGACAATGGGGACCAGGTTGGCAGTCACAGGATGTGCATGTCCACGCAGTGCGTTCCAGTTTCCGAGTCCCGCTACCGGATGAAGACGGCGAGCATACTTGGTAATTGACGGAGTTTCCTGCCTCCTAGATTTTGCAAGTTCCTTCAAGCAAGAACGTTTGAGAGCAAAAGACATGCCAGAGTCGTTGGGCCAGAGATGAGCGGAAAGCAAGAGTGAATGGCTGCTCGCGGGTTGCGAGTCGGCAGCGCTGGGGCAAGTCCACGACACAGATAGACGCCGATACGCGCCGCGTTCACGTGATGCGCGCGTTTGCGCGCTACGGTTCAGCCACGCCTCCCCGTCCGCTCTCTCCGAGTCCTTCGCTCTCCTCCATCGCGGTTCACTCTAGCCGTGGTCTCCCGCCTACACATCTACCTGTGCATACCTCTGTACGACACATACTGCATATACGCAGCGTCACGCCCGCAACGAACAGTCATGACACACCGTCTACGCCCGGACCGGTCGACGGAGACCCCGATGGACTTCGAGTTTACGTCGAGACCAAGCAGTAACACGAAGCCCGTATGGGCTACTTCGGGTCAAGACCCGCATACACCAAAGAAACGTGAGTGTTTCTGTATGCTCGCTGAACCGACGCGGATTGGTCGTGCGAGCTATGCACCCATCCAGAAGCGCTTCGCTTCTTCGTGGGTCTAATGCATTGCTCATGTTCGCTGCAGGTACCATAACGGACGTGAACCCTTCGACACCAGTATTCTCTGGTACACCCAGCACTCCAACATGGCCAACATTCAGCCAGCACAACAATGTCCCCTTCCTCTTCAAAGAGCCCGTCCCACAAACCCCACACACGCCCGCTTGGGCACCACCATCTAGCTTCTCGCCGCAGAAAGCGTTTCCCCAGCCGGAGCTCAAGGATGTGGACATGTCAGAGCCGGCCTCTCCGGAGAAGGAAAACGGGGGCGACGGTGAGCGGTCGCTTGCAGTGGGTGCATTGCGGAGGGTCTTCAAGAAGCGGAACGCGAGGGATCGGAGCCAGCTTGGGCGTCGGCGTACGAGGGTCGACGATGACGAGAGCGCGGGAGAGGATAGCGGCGAGGAGGACGATGGGTACGGCGCCGTCACACGCAAGACATCCAACCACTACACCCTCAACCTCGCTGGGCCCACCGCACCACAGTCTGACATGCCATATCGACTGCTCGGGTACGTCGCTCTCTAGTCATATTTTGCTATGGGACAAGTCGCACCAACACACGCACCCGCAGCTACGTCCAAGTACTCTTCAACGCCTCGCTCGCGGCCATCTTCATCTACCTCGTCCTACAGTTCATCTTCACGGTCCAGCATGACGTCGAACACCGCGTCGCAGAGTACTCGATGGACGCCGTGCAGGAGATCGCCCAGTGCGCGATGCTCTACAAGACGAACCTCTGCGCGCAGAACGCCGTGCCCGCGATGGCGCACCAATGCGCGACCTGGGAGACCTGCATGCACCGCGACCCGTCCAAGATCGGGCGTGCGCGCATCAGCGTCGAGGTCCTCGGCGAGGTGCTCAACTCCTTCGTCGAGCCAATCAGCTGGAAAGCACTGGTGAGTGCTCACCCGAGCACGTCCCGCTTGGGCTGTATGCTAATATGGGCATGCGTGTAGATCTTCACGGTAGTCTCTCTCGCGTTCTTCACGCTCTTCGTCAACTCGGTCCTCATGCTCTTCCGTTCGCGCACCAACCCCGCGACACACCTCGCGCCTACGCATGTTCCGCCCCATCTCATCGCCCCTGCGGTACCGTACCACGCCCCTCATGGGTACCTCCCTCCCGCACACGAGTGGGGCGGAAAGGGCTGGAGGCGTGGAGACGACGGGTCGGAGGAGCTCGCACCGCGGCGCCGACGACTGGATGACGGACAAGCTGCCAAGATCAAGTAGTGGCCGCCCGAGGGGAGCATCGCTCGGTCAACCGGGGTTGCCGGCGGAACCTGGAGCGAAGTATACTTGTAGATGAATATGAAGACCACACGACATTGAAAACAAAAGCGCGACACCCTCACTATGCATCACTAATTTACGCATACTGCATATTCACTGTTCCTACCTGGTTCCCACCGTAAGGTCACCGTTAGTACTTAGGTGAGCCGTGCCTTCATCTCCTCTCACTCGGCCGTCGCTGACCTCGTCCCGTTGCGTTGGGCAGGGCATTATGATATATCGTGTTCTATAGCCACAACTTGCACTTCCTGACGGTATCCTCCAGCATTCTTGCGAACGTCTCCCGGTACACCCACCCTAACCGCCGTACGGCGCCGCTCATGTGCCTGGACCCAGCACTTAGGCTACTTCCCTCGCCCACGCGTGTTTAGTTTGGCAGACGACGCCAAGCCCGCGGCGGGCATTTAGCCCCTTAAGTCCCCGGCATTCACAGCGGTCGGATACGCTCTCGTGCGTCCGCGCGGGTCTATGGCGGCGTCTCCCACGCGGTATTTAAACCTGGCATCGGGCGAGGATGGGTAGGAACACAGATACCTTGAGCCCTATGGGATGCGCTATGCTCACACGAGAGCACACGATGTCCGGTACGCGTGGGTTTGATACCTTGTGAGGTGGGTCACGAATAACGGGTCTGCTCGCTGAATGTTTTCAACAATTTACTTCAGCAATGCCCGGACCTACAAACCTCGGATCGGGTGCAGATGCCTTTCGCCGCCATTCGCACACTCGTTGCCAGGAGTACTCAATGCGCCACCCTAAAACGATCGCCCTCACTCAGGAAGTTCCCCTTTTGTCCAGCGTCTCGCAGAGCCGCGCAGGCCAATACATTGGGCATGAAGAGAAAGGCAGAGCGAAAGGAACCCAAGTTCGAAAAGCTCGAAACAGTAAGCCGGTCGCCGCCGTGAATCTCATGCATCTGCGAGAGCCTCGCACTCACTAGGGTCTTGAGGGTGCCGCTCGACAGGATCGTGCCGTGCGGGTATTGCGCGGACTTCGTGGCTATATACTCCACCAGTCAATGGCCGGTGCCTCACGCGACCTCCCGCGGTCCCGCGAATACACGACGGGTCCAGTAAGATCGGAACCGTCCGTCTGCAGGGCCTCCCCTTCTCGCTTCGCTCTATACCGGAAGACTGCGATGAATGGCCGGCACAGGGACGGTTTGGAATGCAGTCCCTCTCGTACGTCAGCCCTTCGGGACCTTTGGATGCTGTCCCCCAAAACTCGTCTTCCGGTTGTACCTCGGTGCCGCACTGTCTTGAACACACGTTTTCGGCTTGAGTGCACTGCATAACTCGTGAGTGTATGCGTACTCCACCGGCAAGGAGGTTGTGCTGACCGAGTTCGTATGCGCAGTATCATCCAAGTCCGTCCGTGGGGCCCGGTATTGCATACCCTTTTCACGGTTTTGCCGAGATCTCCGGATAAGAAGGTACCATTTCATGCCGGCGTTGTCATATCATATCCGCTGCTAAGACATAGCTCAGCCCACGACCGGGGTAATTCTAGTTCGGCCTGGATTCCGCCACAACGCTTCTGCGATGGACCTACATGGACCCACTCCGAGGCGTTCCCAAAGCGCGCACTTCCGCCCAGGCGAGTTGTACTTGCGCATCTTCTTTCTTGCCGCCGCTTCGTATCTGACCACGTCATGACTGCCTGGTTTATATATCCCCGCACAGAATAGACCCGCGCCCATGCCCAGCCACGCCGTCTCACCACCGACAGCCTCAGCTCCAATAGGAACGTTCCCCATTCGGACAGGGACAAGTGCGCGCATCCGCAGCCCCTTACCAGAACCCCTGACAACCTTAGGTGCCTTACATGGTGGGCCATAAAATCTTGCTTTTTGATCCGGACCATTTGACGGTTCTAGTTTGCGCTGTGTGTAATCAGGCAAGTACGTCCGGGGTGTGGTCTACTATAGGGGAGCGTTGCCGACAGCTCCAAGCTGACGCGTCAACGACGCGCGACTACGAGGCCATCACCGCTCCACACGGTAGAGCAGGGTAGAGCGCGCGATCACGTCAAGCTCGATGCCGATGCGCCGACCAAGGACGCCCGGGATCGACGTCGGGGAGTCGTCTGGGCCGCAACGCCACGCTTCACGACCTTCTTCACGGTTCCCTGTCATACGCCCCCCCTCCGCCTTCCTCGGAGACCTTCCGCTCATCGTCACAGACGCGTCCCCCATCGATCCGTTCTGTCTCTTTCTCGGTTCTCTGTCACTCGTCGTGTTTCACATATCACTCCCCCTCCAGTCTGCGTCGCTCGATACTACCCCTCAGTACCATATCTCTCCCCCGCCTCGACTTGCGACGTGCTCCCTCTACTGATACGTGATAGCAGACCTTCCAAATCTACAAAACGACGAGGCTCAGAGGGCAGTTGGCGGCGAAGAAACGTGATGTGACCACCCGCTGCTGAGCTGTGGGCCTGGGCAGCGAGCGCACGTCAACAGGTGGTGCATCGGACAGCCCTCGTCGCTGAGCGAAGCCTTCGCGATCGATTTGCGGCGTAGAAGGAAGGGAGCCCTATTCGGTCCCTATCCCATATCGTCCATATTCCGTCTCGATTTGGATCATCGGTCTCCGAGTACTAGTGCTCGAACATGTATAAAACGACGACGCCCCGCCTTCGAATAGACAAGTTTGCTTCCCCCTCCTTTGAACTTCTGAGCTTGCGCCAACTTCCCTCGTTTCCCACATAGCTGCTATCAGTCATCGTCTCGCGTCCTGCCAACTCTATTCTGCTAGCCGACTCTACTCGTGCCGTTCGAAGACGCGTACGTACCCCTCGTGCATCCGGCGGTGGGCTCTAGACCCTCGGGGACGTGATGGTGCGATTGAGGGGCGCCCGCGCTCAAAAATCAGCGGCGCGACGCCTCCTTTCTCTATTGCTCGTTTCATCTCCGGACAAATTGCCTCAAGCGGTCCCCTTTCGTGCGCTGCGCTCCAGTAGCATTTGGCTCTTGTCACGAACGCCTCCTCCGCAGAAATGGGAAACGGCGCTCGCTGTGCAACCACAGAGCTCAGCACTCCGCAGATATGCCATCGCAGAGCATGCTATTGAGCGACAAGACTCAGGACTGAGACATTACGATGGCGGCGGTGCGGAAGAGCTGCAGTCCCGGTCTCTAACTTAGACGCCTGGACTACCCGGGGTCCCCGGAGCGCCTTGTTTATGATCGCGCGTGCCCTTGTGGGCGCTCTCCTTTCCTTGTTGGCGCTCGGGCATCGGGCACAGCCAGGTCGTATTTCGACCGCAACAACGCCGGCTTTTAGGATGATATATGGGGACAGCAGCATCATAGGTGCGATCTTTTGCAACAGACCCTACCGGAAGACAGATGTGTTATCGCGCCAGTCCACGAGACTGCCCGCGAGGAGGCGGAGAAAGGAGGGATCTCAGATCTGACGTGAGAATCGCGGGGTCCTCGCGATCAGGGCGTGCAGTGCGGGCGGGTGGCGGGCGCGTCGTGGATGGGGACTCGGGTGATTGCGTTCAGTTACTAACGGCGTCTTATATCCCAACACGCCATGCCACCTGCCCCGACTCCCTCCTCCTTCTCTTTCCACGACCAGCTCCTCCCCGGACGCTTGGTGCCCTCCTTCTACCTCCTTCTCCCCGCTTTTCTGGATCTGTAGGGGGTCCAATTACGACTTGTAAGCTCTCTATACGTTCTCCTCCCAGAGCTACGCGCTGACGCTGGGTGGCAGGTCCAACGCTTCTCGCTTTCGAATTTAGATCTGCATAATGCTCTCCTCGAAGATCCCCCTCCTGCTTTCGTTATGCGCGTCCGCCGTACTGGGAGCCTTCGTCCCGCCCGAGAGGCTGAACATTCCCCTCCTGCTGAGTCCTGGGGGGCGGCCCATGATGGGCGTGGGCATGGTGAGTACCCATCTCCTGCCACACATGGTTTGTTGACTGATTGTCTCCCTAGTCCTCCGGGAACGTCCAGAACTTCAACTTCACGTTCACAACCAGTCTGGGCTACACTGCGGTTGCTAGCAAGCAATGCACCGAGTGCAGCGATACGCCTCTGTATGTTCTGCTCACTCAGTTGTCATATTGGAGCACTCTACTTACACGCGCAGATATGATATCGGCCTGTCGTCCACCGCAAAGTCTCTGAACGGACAGTCCGCCATGTCTCTCGGTGCTGGTAGCTTCAATGGTTCGCTTATGAAGGAGGACTGCACGATCTACATTTCGAACGGATCCACTTGGCCGTACCCCAATCAAACAGGTCAGTGACGCCCTACTTCTTTTCCTTAGCTTGCATGCACTGACGCACCATCAGTGGTGCTTATGGACACGCAGACTCAGGGCTCCCCGTTCGACCAGAGCATATCCGGGCTTCTCGGGCTCGGAACCCTGAGGAAGCCGACCACTGCTGCGGGCTTCTCAGCGGGGTTCGACGACGGCCTTTACGGGCAATATTACATCCGCAATCCCGAAGCTTCGAACTTCACCTTCGGCCTCGACCTCAAGCCCTCTCCGGTCATCCCGGGCAACGGTTCTTCGCTGAAAATCAACCCTAGTCAGTCGTCCCTTGCGGATACCAACGTCGGGACGGTGCACTGGCTCCAGCCCGACCAGTCCGCGTACCAAGCAGACCAGGTGCAGTGGAGTGTTGCGCAGAATACCGTCACAAGCGGCTACCTTGCGAACAACACGCAGCCGGACCTGACAATCCAACTCGATGGCTGGACTTCCAAGATTGGGAGCAACGCCGTAGGCGTGCAAGATCCAATACTCGTGAACGTGGACCCCTTCTACCCGGGCATCTACATGCCTATGCAACAGGCGCGGCTTATCCGTAAGTCATCTCGGGCAGTGATGCTGTGCGCTTCGTCATTGACCCACTGCCTTCCTCGCGTTCCGTCATTTTAGATGACGCCATTTCCGGCTCGCAGCAGACGCAGCTGTCGACCATTCCGGGCCAGACGAACTCGTGGACCGTGCCATGCAACACGCAGATTTCCTTCACCGTCCTCGTCAACGGACAAGGCTTCACAGTTGACCAGTCCATCTTGGTCGTTGACCAGGGCGACGGGCAGTGCATCAGTCTCATCGAGGGTTTCACCGACTCTTCGGTGACGCAATACATCCTCGGGCAGAACTTCATGCAGCAGATCTACATGTATGTCCCGCCCGCAGCTCCTACCTACGCCTTCCGCTCCACATACTCACATCCCCCTTCCGCACAGCATCTTCAACATTCCGAAGGACGGCCAGTCCATCGTCGGGTTCGCGCCGCGCGCCGCGTCCACCAAATCCCGTGACATCGGCGCGATCGTCGGCGGGACCGTCGGCGGCGTTGCGGGCGTCGTCGCGCTCGGCCTGCTCGCGTTCTTCCTCATCCGTCGCCGCCAGGACAACACGTTCTTCGCGCGCGCGGCCGAGCTCGAGGAGGAGCACAAGGTTGCGTCCACCGTCGAGCCGTACACGCTCGGCGCCGAGCCGCACACGCCCTCCTTCCCCGGGTACCTCCCCGGGAGCCCGCCCGCTGGGGCGCACCACCCGCTGCTGGACGCGGCGGGCGTGCATGATGCGCATTCGGGCGCCGCGCCGCCGACGTACGAGGAGGCGAGCGAGAGTGGGCTGGCTTCGCCCCGCGGATATCCGAGGGACTCGAAGATGACGTACCGGAGGGACACGATGATGAGCACGAGTGTGGGGAGCCCGCCTGGCAGCCCGAGCCGAACGGGTTTCTCGGGTTCGAGCAACGTTTGAGTGGACAGTGTTGATAGGACGCTGGACGCTGGATCTAGGGCTTGAGTGCATCGGTCACGCTTGTCGATACTGGAGATACTGGAACGATTGGTTTTAGTATGGAGAGGGGACGTTCGTGTCGGCTCGAGCGTGTGTATGGTAGGGGGCTCTGCTAACTATTCTTAACTTGTCAAACTATGCATCTCGAAGCACAGTACGAATATTCATGTCCAAAGTCAAACTCAGCAGTCCATCACGCCATGTCCAAGTCGCCAATCTGTCAACGATTCAGTGCCGTTCTCCATGGTCTGCAGCAAAGCTTGTTGAGTCTCAGGGGGGAGGGTCAGGAAAGTCAACATCTCATACTTTTCTTTTCTTTCTTTAACTCCCGTTTATTGCCCGTCAGGGCCTAGCCCTATGTTAGGCACTAAACTAGCGTAACTATCGTATGTAATCGGCCTGCGTAGGTAGTCGTAATGGAAACAAATGGACATCTCATACTTATGGTTCGCTCCAAGGGACACCCGTTCCACTCCGAAGCACTGCGCGGGGGCCAAGCAACATTCAAGTGATGCACAGACTACACCGCTGAGTGCGAGGCGGATTCGTGTATGTACATACATCGGCCCGGAAGGACCTGAGGAAGACGCTGCGCGGCGAGGTGCCAGTGGCTTCGCACAGGCAGATGCACAGCGGTGGCAATCTCCTCTTCTACCATACTCATCCGCGCGCAGGATATTGCATTTTTTTCAGATCAGTCGGCACATCGACACACGGTCAAAGCCTCAGTCGCGCTCTTCCCTAGAAGCATCAGGGTCCGCAGCTGCAGGGACTCGGAGAGCCACACCATTGCCATGTCTAAGGTTTGTTCTAAGGAACACCGGTTTCACTTCAAAGCACATTGCGGTCATACACTATCCAAGTGATGTACAGACTACGCCGCTGAACGCGAGCTAGATGTCTGTATGTACATCGGCCCGGGAGGACCTGAAGAAGGCGCTGCGCCGCGCGGTAGCTTCGCACACGCAGGTGCTCAGCGCTGGCAGTGTCTCCTTCTACGACGGTCGTCCACATGGTACGTTTTCAGGCACGGGTGACGCTGTGAATATCGATCAGTTAGCACATAGACAGATGGCAGAACAGTACACGATTGCACATACGTGACTTCCCAAAGCCCATCGTTCGCGAGGCAGAGGCCCTCCGACACCGCAGCCGGCTGCGCACCCTCGAGGCAGCCGCTCACCGCAGCGGACGCAGACCGTATCTGCAGATAAACTCAGTTCGCATCTCTCAACGCAGTGGACACAGATCCTAGGAGATCACGTACCACCGAGAGGACGCACGTCTCGAGCGTCGTGGGGGAGAAGTTCCAGAACGAGAACTTGCACGTCCCGTGCGTCGCGGAGAACATCTGGTCTGGGGCGACGTCGATGAACGGGCTCGACCCGGGCGTTGTGAGCGCTGTGTTGAGGGTGTCGACGAGTCGCGCGCAGTCTTCGGTAGACGGCGGTAGGTTTATGATACCTCCAGGCTGGCCGCACGCTGTGGTGCCTTCGGAAGCTCAGTAAGGACACGATCATTCCGAGTGTACATGACGGGACTTACAAGTCTCGGCGCAGACGTTGGCGAGCGTCGGTGTAGGCGCAGCCGCGGTCACCGTCGCAGTCACCGTCGCGGTGTTCGTGACGCTCTCGAATAGCGTCGTCGCGCTCGTCTCAACGTCCGTTTCTGTCGCGGTGTCCGTCTCCGTGAAGCTCTGCACGACCGTCGTCGCGCTCGCAACGACCGCCGTGTCCGTCTCGGTCGCGGTGGCGGTCACGCTCTGTATGAGTGTCGTTGCGCTCGTAAAGATCTCCGTCGCAGTCTCAGTCGCAGTGTCCGTCTCCACATCGGTCTCGGTCGCAGTCGCGGTTGCAGTCGTGATTGAAACAGCGGTCACTGTTGCGGTGTCGGTTTCGGTCGCGGTTTCGGTGGCCGTCGCGGTCGTGGTTGGGGTGCGGGTCGCTGTCGCCGTGGCCGTGCGGGTGGAGGTCAGGATCGTGGTCGACGTTCTGACGACCGTCCGCGTTCGCGTTGTGGTGGTCACTGCGAGGGGATCAGGACCGTCGATGGCGGGTAGTAGGGCATCGTTCGCGCGCACGATGGGCGCACAGGCGAACTTGGTGAGCGCGACCGTGTTGGGCCCCGAAGTGATGGTGGAGTTCGAGATGGCCCTGGCGTCGGTGCACACTGGGCTCCCTAGGGCGCCGTTTGAGTCTTGACGGACTATGTACAATCGTTCTGTCAAACGTCGTCACGAGCCTCGTAAAGCGAAAAGGCCTGACCGTGGAGCAAGTTCGGCAAATTGCGCGCGGAGGAGCTCGCAACGGCGACGGCAAGAACAAACAGGGTGTCGACGAAGAACAGCATCGCGTTGAAGGGATGAACGGCACTGGTGGTCGAGGTGAAGCACCACCGCCCTCGATGCCTTCGATTTTATACGTCCGAATTACTGGAGGTTTTGTCGAATGGTCCACTGGCCGATGGCGCCGCGCCAAGTCTCCAGCGTGAGCTCTCCACATGCCGCACCGTGAAAACTGCTCTGAATACGAATGCTTGTATGACAGCGGGTCAGGCGCATCCACCATGGTACACGTTGGAGTATTGGAATCCGCTCACCGCATTAGCCAGAGCACATGTGAAGGGGTCGCGCCTGGACGCACCTGCGCGCAAATAGCGCCGGAAGAGCCTTCTGTATTTTCCTCCGTGAGAAGCGCGGCTGCTGTATTGGACGGGCGGAGTAAGAGCAGTGGCTCTGACGGACCTGCGCGGGTGCCGCTCGTCCCTTGTTGGCAAGCAGGCGACGTTTAGGCTCAAAGGAATGAAATGAGTCCGGTAAGTCCGAATCCTAATAAGAGGTGAACCTGTCGAACAACGCTCCTTCGCGGGAGCGAAATCTGCCGCCGCGCTATTGAGCGTGCCTGTGCGCTGGCGAAGCCGGGGGTGCCGACTGGAGAGGCGATGCAGCTGATAGAGTACGCCATGGTCTTTTGACCCAGGTACCGGTACTATGCGAAATGCTGCCGAGAAGGACCGGCGATTTTCTGCGGGCGGTAGTCGGTCAGCATACCGTGCGCCGCATGATATAAATCTAACGTACACTTAGAGTAGCGGCTGTAAGCTGTGCTCAGGACTAAGACTCCATCGCAAGGGTCGCCAGGATCTCTCAAAGACCTGAACTCGCTCTGAGCATGCCATTATTTTACGTTCTCGGGCGATTGACGAGACACCAGCTGCATGTTCAACCTGAGTCACTGACACGATCCAAAAATTGAAAGCAGTGAGCGTGCTGGCATTCCATGTACGCAATCGCAAGAGTGTATACAGAAGGGCCCGCTGAGAACATAAGCCGCGGAAAGGAGCTTGGCTGACCGTTAGAGCACGGCCTAGACCTTCGGAGAAAGAAAAAGAAGGCTCGGATTAGGAGTGTGTGACGCTGGAGAAACTTCAGCCTTCCGAAGCGGAAAAAAAAATGGGCGATCCCCCGCACCTGACTTCAAAGGAGCCACTGTTGGCGAGGCACAGAGCTTCGGTGGCCAAGAGATTCTGCAGCGAACCGAAGCACGTATTCACCGAAGCCGATGCAGACCGCAGCTGCAAAATGAAGGAATTGTCAAGCCGGTTTGTAACGTGGGGATGTCAAGGGCACGTACAATCGAAACGAGGCAGGTCTCGAGCGTCGTAGTCCCGGAGTTGACGAAGGCGAAGCGGCAGGACCCGTGGGTCGCACTCCATGAATGTCCCGGATCGACGCTGATCACGGAGTTCGTACCGTTAGTCAGGCCGGCGTTGAGCGTGCCGATGAGGCTCGAGCAGTCCGTGGTCAGGGGACGGAAGCCCCCAGCCTGAACGCACGATGTCGCACCTGAGTGGTTTGTTTGAGTACAAGGTCAGAGGAATCGGGATGGACTACTCACATGTCTCTGAACAAACGTTGACGGCGGTGGGACTCGGAACGGCGGCAGACACGGTCGCGGTTACCGTCTGAGTCTCAGTCGCAGTGTTCGTTACGAACTGGACAAGCGTGGTAGGGATGATGGTAACGTCGGTCTCCGTGGCGGTCGCGGTCTCGGTGAAGCTTTGAACGACGGTCGTGGGGACCATTGTGACCAGCGTGTCCGTCTCAGTGTCGGTTTCGGTCGCTGTCTCGGTGACACTCTGGATGAGCGTTACGGGGCTTGTAGTGACTTCAGTTGCGGTCTCTGTCGTAGTCGCAGTCTCCGTTTCGGTGTTGGTCTCCGTCACGAAAGCAGTCGCCGTCTCGGTCGAAATCGACACTGCGGTCACCGTCGCGCTCTGGGTTTCGGTAGTCGTCGCGATAGTGGTGGCAGTAGCCGTTACAGTACGGAGCGCGGTGACTGTAGCCGTAGCGGTGGCAGTAGCTGTAGTTGTCGCGGTATTGACCGAGGTGACTGTGGCCGTAGCGGTGGCGGTAACGACGGCGGTCACGGTCCTCAGGAGTGTCGTTGTAACCGTAGGAGGTGCGGCCGCACGCGGATCAAGAACATGGACCGCGCCGTCCGGGTTACGCACGGAAAGCGCATCGAAGTCTTGTCGGGCTACGATTTAATCATCAGCTTCTATGCAGTGATGGTGGCGGTCTACGAGCCAATGAACTCACCACGGAACGGATTGGGTAAGCCGCGCGCCGAAGTGTCTACAGCAGTAGAGAGGACGAGGACGAGCAGGATGGAAATGAAGGTCAGCTTCATATTATGCGAGTGCTCAGTGCGTAGGCTAGATGTGTCGGGGGTTGTGATGTTCTTCCACTTAGCTGCGGACCGCCTTTATACGATTGGTGGTAGAGTTCTAGTGGCCACACCGGCGACATGTAGGAGCGCGGGAGCTCCGCATGTGTACGGTCGAAAACCTATACTGTACGCGGAAGCTTGTACGACAGAGCTGTCGGCGTCAGCGGGTGTGTCCATATGGTGGGGCATGTCAGTATGCTGTCAAGGGGGCTTGGTGGAAGTTGTTATTCGGAGAACACAGTGATAAAACAAGCCTAGAAGCGCGTACGACTGCATTGCACCAAGGCCCGGAGGTGTTCACGTATAGCCGCCGTGACAGATCCGGCTGCTGTAGCATAGTTGATAGATTCAGAGGCGAACTCGGAGTTCTCGGTCGCAGAAAAGCTCTAGTCTCGGCCGTTAGACCATGTACACTTTGATAGACAGAACTTATCCATTAAGACTATGCAGGGGAATGGCTGGGGAGCACGCGCTGCCCAGTCAGTTGACGCTGCCTGACTCGGCAGCCGCCCTACCAGTGATCGTTCTACTGGGGCACTACTGGAGCGTATCAAGCCTAGGAGCTGCGTCAGGGACTCCACATAAGATGACGGTGTTTCGACACGCACCACATTTGTATCATGTCACGAGAGAAGGGGGTGTTGGTAAAACAGCGGCCTGGATCATAATATTGGCGGATGACATTCGGTACACCACCTTGTGTTGCCAAGAAGGCACAGAACAGGCGCAGAGGGGTTTGACGGAAGACAAAGGGCTGCTTTCGCTGCTCGTTACTAAGAGTGACACCGCACAGGACCGCTGCTCGCATGAGAGACTCCTTGACTTGCGGTTTCGGGTCAAAATTGGGTCTGCGAGCGGTGACAAAGTTGATGTATGCACACGTACCTTTCAGTACTCGACCGTAGATACGGTATTTCCCTGTCTTGCCCCTCTGGGTGATGGTCTTGTGGATGCACGCCGGTGAAGGTGTCCTCCAAGCAGTGTGAATCGCATTTGGGAAGTTTGAAGCATCGAATCGACCATGTGAAAGAAATAGGATGCTACCTGATGCACCATGAAAGCTGTGCTGTCATGCCCCATGGCTGAGTTGGTTACAGCGTCCGACTGTTACCTCAAGCACATCGGAAGGTCGTGAGTTCGAGCCTCACTGGGGCAGCACTTCTTTTGCTCTCAGCCTCTCAGACACCTGGCAATTTGAAGCCGTTATATTTCCATGTAGTCTCGTAACCAGACGTCATAGGGTTTCGCTCCTTTTTGGGACAGCGGAGAGCGAAAAACGAGAGGAGAGAGCGACCTATAACCACTGTGGGAAGGATCGACGCCTGTATGAGGTGTTCAGAACACCTTCGCCTCCAGAATAGGTGTTCCGAACACCTAAAAGGTGCACACCTCTAATAATTGTATATTATAAGTCGGTGTTTGGAACACCTCTATTCACCGTCTGTTTGAGCAGCTGTTCCGCACACCTATAATATATACATTTTTTAACAGTGTTCTCCACAGCTCCGGCACAAAAGGTGTTCCAAACAGCTACTTACATTACCTTTATCAAACCACCGTACTCGCGAATACGGTGGTCGCTCCAGGCCCGTATCTCGTCGCCCTCTATTGTGCACACGCGCCACCTGTCTAGCTCACTCCTCAGGCCTCGAGCTTCGTCTCCCTCGCCTACGCGCGCCCGCGCGCCTGGCACTCAGGCTGCTGTCATGCATGTAAGAGCGACTTGTTTGACTTACATGTCGGTAGCGGTGCGGGATCAACGCGAGGTTCATCCTTCCTGGCCTGCACAATGGTGAGCCCCGGTGCAGAAGTCACTGGCATGTACGACAGCGCAGACTCACGGTCGTCACTGTTCTCCCCACGCGCGCCTGGTCTCCAGCACAACCGCCTCCACGATGGGATGGAGGGGCCCGACCGCGACTCGGCGCCCGCTGCGCGACGACGCGAGCCTTTCCGACCCAAACCAGACTTATGGCCAATGGAAAGCGCGTCCCAGAGCGCACCCTGCCCCGCTCACAGGGCCATTGCAGGGCATACCACGGAGATGCCGCTGTCCAAGTCGTCGAGGTCGTTATGGAGTCACCGTGCGGCACGCGCCCCCGTCGCAGAGTCAGCAGCATGCAAGACGCGTGTTGTCGATGTGAGGCGCACTTAGTTGAGCAATCTTGTTCGCACGCACGAGAGTGCAGGACATGCGGGAAGGGGTTGTGACAGTGACAGCGATCTTGCGACTGCGTTCCGTGTCCCGCTACACGAGCATGTCCACGGCGCGGCGGAGTGGGAAGTTGTTTGTGAGTAGGTAAAGTTTCGACGTGAGCCCGAGAGAGGGAGGAGAATGGGGCCGCTATGTGCGTGCGGGTGTCTCTTGTGCGGGCTCAGGCTAGGGGGTGCGATCAGGGCATGCGTGCACGCGAGAGGCAGATCGAGACTGACAGAACGCGAGAGTTGTTCATCGGTCGACGTCCATCTTGCTGCCACTGCGCCGTCCGCGACCACAGCACCCGTTATCCCCCGCAGGCTTCTGCACGTAGTGCTTCGGGTCTGCACCGGGGGGTGCGACGAGGATGTGTGCGCGGGAGTCCTTGCTGACTCGGAGCTCGTCAGATAGTAGCTTGCTGCACAGGCGGGTGGGTGACGTACGACTCATTCTCGACGTTATCGAGGCGCATGAGGACATCGACGATGCCCTCAGCCTCAACTAGTGCTGTACCGATACGTCCGGAGAGCGTCGCGTTGACACTACCGATAATCTTCATTGGTTCGCATGTTGTTACCTAGAAAGACCGAATATGGGAGATAAATAGGAGGCTAAGGAAACAGGGAGTGACAGGCGAACGAAGGGTGAGGCCTTGAGGAGATGTACGCGCAAGTTGCAGAGGGACACAAAATGGGCGTCTATTATCCCAATTAGGAAGCTAGTTGCGATGACGTCACTACCGCCTCAAGAGCCTCCCTCCTTGTCGTCTTGCATCTTGACCTCGAACCACCATGATCCCTCTGCGCACTGTGCTTTTCAGCTGTTCTCGACACTCCATCGTTCTCTTCTTGATCAGCATGCTCTACCGTTGTGCTTTGCTTTCTTCGCTATTCTTCCCGCGCTCGGTTTCCGTCTTCAGTCTGTGACCCTCAACATGGACCTCTTACTCGTGTGAGCTCGTCGCTCTTTCTACATACAGCACGCTTCTCGTACACCTTCTCTCCTCCCCCCCATGTTGATAATCTGTATTTTTCTGGTATCAAGACCTCCCAAAAATTCTGGTGTGTATTTCTGCACCTTCACCATATCCTTGTCGGATGGTAACCTGTTTCAGGTAGCATACACACTGGTGCTCTGCTCTTGAAGTCTCTCTTAGGTGAAACTTCGTCTTTCTTATTCGTTCTCGCTCTACTGACCGCGTTATCTCAGCCTCTGGGCCTCTCTCGTTGCCACGCCATATGAAGGTCCTCTTCTTGGCGGCCGCTATGCTACTGTCACCTCTCAAAGCTGTAGGTTTGTCAACACTCCTCGCGCTCTGCCTGGCTCATCCTCCTTCGGTCTTCCCACTTGCGCTCTGCCTTCTTCGCTATGCATATAACGCTTCGCTTCTCTCGCACACCTACCGTCTTCTCCTGTGCTCGTGCCCCTGCAACTCGACCTGCTTTCGTCCCACTTCGCACCGCTGAAGATCTGCTCACTCGTCCTCGTCTTGGTGTTTACCTGATGCGTCGACTGCGTAGCTCAAGTGTTTTCGGCCCGGCTGGATCCCGTACGGCGATAGCGTCTGGACAAGACGAACACGAACACGGCCCACACCATGGCGTACCCGCTGTCCGCGGACCTCAGCGAACACGTCACCTTCGTGTACCCGACGACCCAGTAAGTTCGTTCTCATCCCGTGCATGGAAGCATATGTTTAACCGTGCTGTGTATATGTAGGTTCATCCCGCCGCCGTCGCGTGCTCTCGCCTTACAGGTTGTGAACTGTATTCCCAAGTCGACAAAGTGCACCACCTCGAAGTGCACCGCCGTCGACGTGCAGTGCGCGACGACGATCTCCCCTGCGTGCCTGATCGAGCTCTACAACATTTCGACGATGCCCGCGAACAGCCTCGGTGTGAGCACATTCGACAACGAGCTTGCGAACAAGGACGACCTTGCGGTACACGCCCACATGACGCGGTGCTGGGCCGTGATCGCCAATGCCTGCCCTTCAATGACAGGACTTCCTCAGCCAGGCGCGCCCTGTCATCACGACCGGGACCTTTGCAGTGCAGTCCCAATGACCAGGGACTGCGACGACTCGGAGGGAGTCTAGGACAAGCGGCGGAGCGAGCCATGTAAAGTAGGTCGTGTTCAGTTGTGCTCTCGTCGCGCGTGCAAGCCACGTTGGCCCCGCTTACTCGCGTTCTATCGCGGTCGTGTCGCGCGCGGTCGCGGTGCTCACGATCGCGCTCGTGCCAGTCCGTCTTGCTCGCTAATATGCATGCATGTGCTTGCATTGCTCGACAGCTTGCGAGGGCCCGTATGTATATGTAGCATAATAAATTTTATTCGCAAATATATCCGGGTGTGATCACTCGGTGTGCAGGACACTTGCCGTGAGTGTTTTAAACATTTAAATGCACTGTAGTGTACAATGATTTGGACGGTTGGGAACGGCTTGGACAGCCGTTGAGAACACCTCGCCCAACAGAGTCCAAAACACCTGCAAAAAATGTGGTACCCGGTGTTGTACACGTTGGGAGCAAGTGTGCAAAACACCTAAACATGCACACATGAGGTGTTCTGCACAATTATTCTCGACACCGCCCAAAAATGTTCGGAACACCTCTTTCGGTCGTTCCGTCGTAGTTGTGCCCAACACCTCTAAAAAATGTGGATCCTTCCCACAGTGTAACGTCTGGTGAAATTCGTATAGAGGGGTAGGGGTCTCTGTCACGCCCGCGCGACATGGAAGCCTGTCGACGCGTCGAGCTCACCCAGCCGCCCCGACGCGTCCTCGATCGGGCAGTCCATCCGCGCCGCGACCGCGACTATAAGCTCCCTTTACCACATAGTCGGCCGCTGTATGTCATGTTCTACTGCGCGCGTACCCGCCTCACCTGGGAGACTCTGTCCCGATTATCACCACTTCCACCTTCACGAACATGCGCATACAGTCGGTCTCGCGCGGAGTACGGACGCCCGATGCCCGCTCTGGCAGAACGCGGCATTGTTTTGACTGTTGGACCCTCGCGATTTCCTCGCAGTCGAACTATAAGCAAGTTCGCGACATACGAGCTTCGAAAAGCGGCGAGTACGACCCGCGCGCGGTCAGAATTGCCTACGGGACCACTCGCGCTGCACGGTCGCGCCTGCTCGCGGGCACGTCCAAGTGGGGCTGCCGTGACCGATGTGACTCAAGGGAGAGACCCCCACCCGTCTATACGAAAGTCACCAGACGTTAGAGGGGGTCCTCTCCATGCTTTCTGTCCCGTCCCGTTTTGGAAGGACCCCCTCTAGCGGCTGGTGACGAGACTAATTTCCATGCAGGTGTGTGCGGTGTAATTATGCGAACGATTACTCGGACTGCCCAGTATTTTTGAAGCTTGATACATACATAGCATCACGAGGTTATTACCGGCATGTGTCGTGTTGCTCTTGTGTGCTCGCTCAGGAGGGACGTCGACATTCACGAATCTGCTATCCATAGGCGGGGCTGACATTACAAGTAATAACTACAACGATAATACTACAGAAACGGACCAAGAACAGTACTAGCGAGGTGTCCGGAAAGCAAAACATGCACGACGGCCCAATCACTCCTCGTCGCTCTGCGTCATGTACTCGTCGTCGCTGATGACCTGCTTGCGCGCGCTCTTCGCCCGCGGCGCCGGCCGGTCGTCCTCGTCCATCGGCGTCAGCGCCGAGTCGTATCCCCCAGAGGACCCGCCAGCGGTGCCGGAGGGCGCCCCGGGGAGGCCGCTGCCGGTGATCAGCTTCGCGAACGCGGCGTCGAAGACCTTCTCCATCTCGTCGGCGTCGATATACACCCAGGAGCCCTCCTGGTTGTACGTCCGCGCGTTCTTGAACATGAGGCGCATGTCTTCCCGAAAGTCGAGGACGTTCTTGTAGTAGTGCGAGCTGATGCGCTTGCGGATCGTCGACAGGGCGATGGGCTGCTTGATAAGCTGGTAGTAGTCGGGATACTCCTGGACAGGCGCGATGAGCGTTATGCAAAGATGAACAGAACAGAAGTATGGCTCACCCTCCTATCAGGGAGCTCGCGGAAGAGATCACTTCGCTTGCGGCCGTGCTCATCCTCCAGGTTCTGGACGGCCTTGTGGATGTCGTTCAAGGACTTCTTCATCTGCTCCTTGATACCAGTCGGGAGCTCAATCCCCTTCTTGCGACGTTTCTAGAGGCAGAGTTAGGAAACGGATAGTGTGAGACAGCAAAGGCCACATACCGCGTCACGGTCGTCGTCGTCATCCTCGATGATAGAGGGTGTCATGGAGGTCGACTTGCCACCTCCGCGTTTGCGTTTGCTGCTGCTCGCAGGAACGTCGAGCTCGGCCTTAGCCTTGCCCTTCTTGCTGCTCTTACGGGGACGAGGAGTCTCGAACTCAGGCGCAGGGGAGCCGATCGACTCGGCTTGCCTGACCAGCTTGCTGGTCGCTCGGCGCTCCTTCTTATCCCGCGCGCGCTCAGAGAGCTCCTGAATGTCCTCGCCTTCTTCCAGCGCCTTTGAAAATGATCAGCAAACCATACGTGTGAGTCGCAGCGAGAGAACATACCAATGCCCACTGGTCATCGCTGAGGCCGTCGTTGTAGTTGACGGTGGTACGACGGCGGTGCCCGCGGCCCTCCAGCTCGTCGATCTCATTGACGTCAGTGAACGGCTCGTCCGCGCGGTAGCACTCCGGAAGCTCCTCAAGCTGCATGAGAGGCATTGGGGGCTTGCCGCGGTTCCCGAGCCTGCGCCAGTTCTCGGCTGCCTCGCGCTCGCGTTGCATGTCCATCTCCTGGAACAGCTTGGTCTCCTCATCCGAACGGGCGATCAGCTCGTTGATCTCGTCGTCGTTCATGTCGCCGGCCTCCTCGTTCTCTTCCTCCTGATCAGCCTCAAGAATGGAACGCTAGAAGGAGGGATCAATGGCTGCGACGACATGACACCTGCGTAAGGCGTACCAAGAACTCCTCCTGCTCCTCTTGCGTCGACTTGTTGTCGAAACGACCAGCCTGAATGACCTTGTCGTCGATGTCGAGCTTGTACCGAGCACGGGCGAACATCGCCTCCTCTACACTCTTTTCCGTGATGAAGCGCAGAATACGGACAACCTTCGTCTGACCGATACGATGCGCACGATCCTGCGCCTGCAGATCGGCGTGGGGGTTCCAATCACTGTCGAAGCTGTATGGTGTATTCAATCAGCAGATGCAACGACGTCAAGGCGTAAAGCGACTCACATGACGACAGTATCGGCGGTCTGCAAGTTGAGACCAAGACCACCAGCCCTCGTGGAGAGGATGAAGACCTTGTACTCCGAGTTCGGGGCGTTGAAGAGCGCAACGTGTCCCGCACGGTCTTCAGTCTTCGTACCACCATCGAGACGGAGGTACTTCCAGCCCATCATCTTCAGGAAGTCCTCCATGATGTCCATGACTTTCGTCATCTGGAAGAAGATCAAGACCTACGTGAACATGTCCGTCAGCGAAATGCGCAATTCAGCAAAGAAATCGACCGACTCTGTGACCAGTAGCGAAGAACTTGGGGAGAATACGATGGAGCAGCTCGATCTTGCCAGAGCTACGGATGAGCTTGTCATCAATCACCGAGCTCGGGTTGACCCTGTCCTCAACGCTCTCGAATAAGAAGGGGTGCTGGCAGATCTTCCGGAGCTGCATGAGCTCGTTGCTGAGACCCTTCACACCGCCGTTTTTGCTGATAGGTGTTGGTTATGTCAGCACACGTGTGTCAGACGAACAGCAGTAGGTTCACTCACCCCTTCGTGTCCTTTCCATCCGCGATCATCTTGTACTTCTTCATCTGCTTGTAGAGCTGCGCCTGCAGCGCACTCATGCGGACCTTGATCACCTTCTCGACCTTGTCCGGCAGCTCCGACTCGACATCGCGCTTGAGACGACGGAGCAAGAAGGGACGCAGCACCTTGTGGAGACGACGAATGATGAGGAGGGCCTCTTCTTCGTTCAGCTCGATCTTGTCGCCAGTGCCCGAGTTCGCGAATGGCGTGTTGAACCATTCATCGAACGATTTCACCGAGTTGAACACCTTCGGCAGTGCGAAATTAAGCAGCGCCCACAGCTCAGGGAGGTTGTTCTGGAGCGGCGTTCCTGTCAAAATGAGACGGAAGCGCGAGTGGTAGTACTGCGTGAGGGTCTGCACGAGTTTACTCTGCGTGTTCTTCATGCGGTGACCCTCATCTGTAGACGCCGTCAGCTAGGCTGTCTATGCGCTGAAACGCTCGCACGCACCAATGATGATGTAAAGCCACTTCAGCCTGCTCAGGTGGTTGCGGTCCTTGATGATGTACTCGTACGTGGTCAGGACGACCTGGAAGTTCGTCGTGCGCAGATCGGTCTGAAGCGTCTTCCGCTGCGTCGGGTTGCCCTTGTACGCGATCATCGAGACGTTCGGAGCCCACTTGGCGAACTCGCCGGACCAGTTCGTCATCGTCGAGAGAGGCACTATGACCAGGTACGGGCCGCGCTGTCTCTTCGACTCGATCAAGAAGGTGATCAGCGAGATTGTCTGGATAGTCTTTCCGAGACCCTGCAACACAGCGTGAGCAAACTGACAGCGCAATGCAGCTACAGACGTACCATCTCATCGGCGAGGATACCGTTCAGCTTGTTGTTGTACAAGCTGACCATCCATTGCAGACCCTTGATCTGGTAGTCCTTCAGCGTTCCGCCGACGAGCAGGCTCGGCTGATGCGTAATCTTCTCCTTTATCCTGTGCGCGACGGCGTAGTAGTCGAGCTTGCTCTTGTCTTCCTCCTGGCCGAACGACTTGGCACCAAAGGTCTCCTCGCTGACGGGGCCTTCCTCGGTTTCGAACGCCTCCACGTGATCGAAGCCGTCGGCGCGCTGCTGCTCGACGACCGCCTGCGCAAGCGAGTCCAGGTAGGAGTCTGTCTGCTTGAGCAGGTGCGTGATACGCGTGTCCTTCGCCGTGTCGATGAGCTTCATGTACGCCTCTTCGTCGTCGTTCTTGAGCGCCTTGAGACGCTCCTTTGCCAGACGCTCGATCCGCTTCTGCTCCTCCTTCTCCGTATGCGAGTGGAACGATAGCACGGCCTTGCTAAGACGAAGAATCCGCGCTTGTACGTCGCGGTTGGCCGCGATGACCTCCTTACCGTGCGCGCAGATGATGCCGAGCTGCTCGACGTGCTTCTGCTTCGCCCGGCGCTCCCGCTCAACACGCTGCTTGCGCTCCATCTGCTCCGTGATGCGTGCGTCACGTACGGCCGGCTTCCTCACTCGTCGGAAGTCTGTTCGGTTCAGCGGGAGCAGCGACCCGTGCATGAGCCGCTCAGTCACCGATGCGCGGAGTTGGCGCTGCTTGTCGAGCACCCGGAGTGACTTCAGCTCGATGAGCGCGCGCAGCTTGCCATGCGTGTTTGCTGGGGGGTGGATGAGCTGCTCAAGCGAACGCGGCTCTTCCTTCTCTCCCTCGTCCAGCGGGTTCTCCAAGCCACCGTCACCCATCATGGCGGGCAACGACTCCAGCTCGCGAATGCGCTGGTCGATGCGCGCATCGATGTAGTGATTCCGCTCTTCGATGAGCTGGTGCGGGTCAAGTCCGATAGGCATCACCGACGGGACGAGGAGGCGCTGCATACGCGTCGCCCACATCGACGGGCTAACCTTCGGGTCGCGCTTCAGATGCGTAAATGGGTGGAGATACGCGTTGTAGGGGTAGATGCCGGAGTTGACGTCGTCCTCCATGAACGGCCCCTTGGGCAGCTTGTCGGGGTCGGTCGTGATCTCGATTTCCTCGTCCTTGATAATCTCGGTGGTCGCGCCAACAGAGATAGCGTGCTCCACCCCATTCACTGGCGTGCCGCTCGCGCTCTTGTGGATCTTGACAGCGCTGTCAATCACCCGGGCGTTAACGTCCGCGCCATGGAGAAGGGTCTGCAGGTCGGGGACTGCCTGGTTCGGGACACGGATGGCTTGCTGAATGGACTCCGGCACTGGCAACCCGCGAGAGATAAGTTTGAAGGCGTGAATTTGCGCGCGGAGAGCGTTGATCTGGTCGGACGTAAAGGATACGGGGGTTTGGGGGGCGGAAGGGTATGCTTGTTGGGGTGCGGGACCAGAGGCGAGAGGATTCCCGTTCGCCACGGCAGCACCGTTCGTCATGGCGGCGGCCTGACCATTGAGGCCCTGGTGCGGATGTTCCTTCGCCGACTGTTCCTGCTCTGTTGCGACACGACGTCAGCAAACGCTCGAAAACGCTTGAAGATTAGATGAAGTTGAGGAAGAGGGGGGACAGAGATACGAATTGAAACGCATGCTCAAGAGCCTGCAACGCCCGCACCCGACGCGATAAAAACATGAACGGAGGAGTCCATTGTTCTTTCCTCTCAGCGAGGAATAGATGTATCAATGTTCTTCATTGACCATCCCGCACGCTCCCACCAGAGTCATCCGCAGGAAAGAGGAAAGCAGGCTGAAGTGAAACAACTTTTCGTGACACGCCATGATGCCAACCTAGCCGAAGACAGCTGCATCGTTCCCTCACCGCTGTCGCTTCTCCTCCAGAAGGCCGCAGGTGATGACGACGCCTACAGCCCTTGAAGGGGACTCCAGCGTCGTAGCACGAATAGTCACATGCCAGAACATAGTAGAAGGGCCAATCGGATGATAAACTCATACCGAGCCAATTAGCCAAACATAAATGCGGAGTTCGTTGTTCCAGATGATAGCGTCAAGTGCAAGCAGCCGCACCAAGAGTCCTTCCGCATACACATTTGTAACATGTTGAACAGCGAGCCGTACCATGGATTCGCCCACATGTATTCCCGCTCTGCAGACAACCTCAAAGGAGGTATACGGGAGGGCCAGGCGAGCATGCGGGATATGAACCCTCGGTCATGGCCAGCGTGACCTTGAGCAAAGCGGATACTGAACCGGAGGAGGGAGCAAGACTACGAGGCAACTGTGATCCAGCGATGCTCATGAAAGTTCACCACTGCGAAAGCCCACCACTGCGTTTGCGAATAGTGGGCATAGCAGGAGCACGCTGCCGCCCGTCAGCGAATTTGCTCTTCGTTATAAAACCCCATGACCTCTAGATGAATGCAGCAACTTGTAGCAAACCACAGGTGGCACGAAGTCGCATTACGCGGGTAAAGGATTCGTGACAATCGTTGTTCGTTACAAGATTCCGCGTCCTTTCTGAGGTCGTAGACGTAACCCGGTGATGGCAAACATGCATGCATGCCTTGCCCGCAAGCAGTCTGGTGGGACGCCGGCGGGCACGGCAAGCAAGAGCGCAGTAGGGCGTCGGTCGCGTCCCAATCGATGACCGGATGTGATAGAACACAAGGATTATGCAGGTCAGAGTGCTAGGTTGCGGTTCTTCGATGCGGCGAACGCAGTACGAGGGAAGGCGAGCATTTTGACGAAGTCGCCACATAGGCCAATATGCGCGAGAATGATGGATCCAGAGAGATACCGAAGGGAACGGAAGATGGGGAAGGATTGGGCATGTAACAGGTACTCACTGAGCTGGTGTTGGATACTATTGATCCACCCGTATATCTTCTGCAGCTCCTCGTTGTTCTGCGGCGTGTATCCGTTGTTGCGAAGAACGTTCGCTCGCTAGATGGAGAGGGGGGAAATGTGGTGAACAGAGTGTAGATGCAGTGACTGTGGCTGAGGCGCACCTGGACCAGAAATTGGATGCGCTCCCTCGGGTTGCTGGGTGGTTGCTGGAGTTGGGCGGGGGTGTTGGTGAACTGCGGTAGAGATGACTGTTGTTGTGGATTGGGGGCGAGGTTCGGGGCAGCCATTCCGGAGACGGCGGGGACGACGCGAGAGAGGGAGCGCGACGCGCAGATCTCGTGCTCGAGTGGGACACGACGGACTCGCTCAGACCGAGTCGCCCAAAACTCGTCGCTGTCCCCGCATCGCCTTGCTGACAAAGCAAATCAAGCGCCGACACAACATTCCATCACGTGTCCTGACGCGTCGCGCGCTCGAGGCGGCGGTGGCGCAGCCCAATTCACGCGCCCCGCCTCTTTCCACGACCACGACCTTCACGACAGTCTACACCATGCCAACAGAACGAGCAGGGGTGCGTATAGGGTTTTCAGTCATAATATAGTACTCATCCTCCTCGAAACAGTACACGGTTACGATGTTCCTCGTCGACATCTCGCCCTCCATGGGCAAGACGCGACAGGTCAGCGTCTCGGGGCCAGACGGCAAAGACTCAGAAACTATAGAGATGACCAACCTCGAATGGTCTCTCCAATATGTCATGCTCAAGATACAAGAAATGGTCAACTACTACGTCTCTTTCGAGCTCTCAAAGACTGACCACCTACCCTCAGATCTTCAACGGCCGCAAAACGGACAAGTGTGGCGTCATCCTCTTTGGCAGCGAAGGCACGAATGAGCCCTACAGAAAGCTTCTCTTCCAAGCTGACGTGCTATCCAGAGACAAACAACATCATCAACGAGGAGAACGGAGGCTACGAACACGTGTCGGACTACATTCCCATCGCACATCCGAACGCGAGCACACTCGCTAAATTGCAAGCCCTCGAACCATCAACAGTTTCAGGAGACCGTACGCGTGGACTTCCGACGAGATTTGCGCCCATCTAATCTTCCGCCACAGCCATTGACGCTCTCATTGTCGCCATCGAGACCCAGGACCGGGAGTTGGCCACCAAGAAGACGTGGACGCGGAAGATATGCATCCTTACAGACGGCGAGAACCCGATTGAGGTCGAGGACTGGGAAGCAACGGCGAACAAGATGAACGCGTTGAACATCCAGCTCACCGTGGTGTAAGTCTGCGTCCCACTATCCATGTTATATTATGACACTGAACCGTGCGTAGCGGTGTCGACTTTGATGATGAAGAGTACGAGCAGGAAGACAAGAGCAAAATGAAGGTTTGTCATTGCGTCTTGCTATACAATTATCCGTTCTCACTCGCTCTTAGCGCGCCAACGAGGAATTCTATCGCCAATTTACTGAGCATCTTGAGTCGGGCGTGGTAGGCAACTGCGACTACGTGCTCACCGAAGTCTCCCGTCCCGATGTGAAAGAAGTGCGATCGACCATGACGGGCAACGTCCTGCGTATCGGCGACACTGACGTACGTCCCAACGAAGCTCTCGAACTCATGGTGAAGACGAGCAAGTGCACGGCCCTCTCCCGTCCCAAGAGCTTCAAGAAGTTTGCGCGGCGGAAGCAGACCGCCGAGGAAAAGGCTGCGGCAAAAGACCGGATGGACGAGGACGACGCGGAAGAGGAAATCCATTTCGCCCAACTGCACATGCGTAGCGAGTACTACCTTGAAGAAGAGAAGCCAGGCTCCTCCAAGGGGGGCGGAAGTGCGCACGGCGACGTAGAAGACGATGCAGAGACGCAGGCGGAGCGCGACAAGCGTCTCGTGAAGGTCGAGAAGGAAGAGCTCGTGCGCGGGTACAAGTACGGCGCGTCTTTCGCCCCCGCGCCCGAGGAAGGTTTCCCCAAGTTCCCCGTGCGGCCTGGCATGGACATCTGTGGGTTCTTCCCGCAAGAGCGCTTCCGGCGCGAGATGGCGATGGGCGAGGTGTACTACGTGTGGGCAGACCCCGCGAGTCCGATGCAGCAAGTCGCGCTATCAAGCATCGTGAACGCTATGAACGAGACACACGTCGTGGCCATCACGCGCTGGGTGAAGACAGAGAAGGGCGAGCCGAAGATGGGTGTCTTGTGGCCAACGGTGTTCGAGGAGATCGATTGTTTCCTCTGGGTCCAGGTCAGTAGATGCGCGAGTCGCTGGTGTTATATGTGTCTTATGTGATTCTGCGCAGATGCCGTTCGCGGACGACATCCGCAACTTCACGTTCGCCTCGCTCGAGAACCTCATCACGAAGAAAGGAGAGGTCGTCAAGGAGCACCCCTACCTCCCCACGAACGAGCAGATGGATGCCATGGAGAAGTTCGTCGATGCCATGGACCTCATGGACGCCGGCGAGAAAGACGAGGACGGGTGCGTCCACTCGTTCTTCTCTTGGGTTCATCGAACTTACTTAGCGACTTTGTAGGAACCGCATGCCATGGTTCGACACCACCCTATCATACAACCCCGCGATCCACCGCATGAAACAGGCACAGTTCCACGCGGCCATCGTGAAGGACCTCAACACGCACCCTCTCCCGCCACCTCACGAGGAGCTACTTAAGTACTTTGAGCCACCTCGTCGTGTGCTCAAGCGCGCCCGCGAAGCCATCGAGGAGTGCAAGACCACCTTCAACGTGCGCGAAGGTAAGCCCCATACCCATTTTCATGCGCGCGACGCCCGCTCACGCAAGACCCACGAAGCCCCCAAGAAAGTCGCGCGGGTGCGCAAGGACGAGCATGTCCGCGCGCGCGATGAGGACGAGGAGATGCTGCTGCTCGACCGCCAACCCGGCCCGTCCCAGACCCAGGCGCAACGCGCCACCCAGACGCGCTCCTTCGCACAGACACAGACAGCCAGTCCGTCCCGGACACAGCAGAAGAAGACCACCGGAAACGACTCGGACAGCGCAACAGAGATAGAAGACGACTCGGACGACGAGGGGCTGCTCCTCGACTCTGCGGCGCGTCGTCCCGAGCCCGCTGCGCCCCTGCCGACGCCGGCTCGCTCGCTATCTCCGGACCCGCGCATTGACAGGAACAGGCCGAAGGGTCGCATCATTGGCTACACGTATCCTCTGGCTGACTTTATGAAGAACATTGAGCGGGGTGACGTGGTAACGAAGGCGGTGGAGGACCTGGCGTACATTGTGAAAGAGGTCGTTGTTAGACCATTTGCGTCGAAGCGGTTTGACGAGATGCTCGAGTGCATGCATGAGCTCCGGAAGGTCTCGCTGGAGGTGCGCATGTCTGTCTAAATGTTGTATCTTACGCTACTTACGTTCATCCTGTGTAGGAGGACGAGATCGACGCTTGGAATACGTAAGTCTACCAGAGTCTACCTCCTCGCTAGCTGCTTACAAACGACCCTTCCAGGTTCATCCGCGAACTGAAAGAGACCTGTCTAAAGTCGAAGCCAGGGAACAAGATCTTCTGGGAGAAAGTCCGCGGCGTCGGGCGGCCTCTCAGCTACATCAGTGAGTCCGAGGCTACCAAGGCCGGAGGCAAGTCTGCGATTTCGGAGAGCGAAGCACAGCAGGTATGTACTCCTTCTCTCGCACGGGGCCCGTGAAGTCTGATGATCTTGGCACAGTTTATACAGGAATAAGTTCAGCGTGTCGGCGACGCAGCGCCTCTCCCAGTCCTCTGCTTTGATGCCATGGACTCACGAATCTACGAATACCTCTCCTTGCATTTTGAGCTGCTTCATTCTAATTTTCGGAGGTCTCGTAACTGTATAATAATTCTACTGCTACTACATCTGTTATGAAGGCCCTGTCTTTCACCAGGGAAGTCTAACGTGAGATACATCTCAGCGATCTGCGAGTATATTGCACATAAACAACAGGCAGGGCAGAGCATGAAAGCAGGCATACATGATAAAAACTACATTTCGTACAACACGACGGGCTCCTTCGCAAGTGATACTTCGTCGTAACAGATAGAGAAAAAAGAGGAGAGCTATGGCATACAATGGCGGAAGTGGGAGATTATGCTACACTAAATGTGCCCTCAACAAAGGCTGTTACAGGTCCGGATCCGTGGAGAAGGGGTCGCGAAAGATCTCCCCCTTGTCGGGATCGAACCGCCTAATAACGGTGGCTCCGTCTCGATACTTGACGGGGTACGCGACGCCCCCTTCCTCCTACAAGGTAGGATGAGCAAACCACATCCGAGTGAGAAGAGCGTCATACAGACCGTTGGCCATTCGCGGAATGAGGCGAGATTCGCAATCTCCCCATGTACCCAGCGTGTCTGACCACGCGTCGTGATGAGTACAATAACATGGTCGCCGCTCTGGAAGGGGACGAATGGGATGAGTCGAGAGCTGCGACACTTGCATAGACGCAACTAACTGTGAAGCGAGGTAACCCTTCGTGGAGGGTCATGTCCGGAAGATCTTTAGCCAGTGGATCGGCCTCGTACGAGGCGTCGCTGAATGGAGACATCTTGAGCCGAGTGAATTGCTCCTCGACAGTGCACGAGTGGTAGGAGATGTCCGGCTTGATATCCACAGACGGGGCGTAAATTGGGGACGGGAAGACGGGGTCTTCGTATTCACACTTGGGAGTGATAATGTTTGTGTCGAGGCATGCGCAGCTCCCGCGAGGCTCGCAGGATGTCGGGAAGGTAATGAGGGGTCGGTATTCCATGGTCCTACAAAGGGGGTTTCTCGGTATAAGAGGTGGTGGTGCGACGAGTGCCCTGAGAAGTCGAGGATAAGTAGAATGTGTGTGGATTTCCGGGTAGAGGTCGGTGTATCGGAGGTAGGGGCGCCCGCAACCCCGCTCTCGCGGACTCGAACCGTGGTGGCTAAAGGAAAGTTGGATGAGCAGAGGCGCCTGAGCCGCGCGTTTATAGGCGAGCGACCTGCATAACCCGATTGTCATTGTCAAGGGGGGTGCCACTGTTTGCTGAGTTATCACGTGCTGTAGACAAGGGGCTCATCTCGGACGGTCGCCGCAGGCAGCGGTACTACCCGTGTGCGCGCGGAAAGCTTACAAGACGTGCCATTATACGGGGTCCGCGGTAAGGTCAGGATCGAACCGCTACTGTCTAGCATAAAGTTGTAAATCAGCATGCCAGAACCTCTCGCCTGAATTGCCATACACTCACCGAATTTATCACCCTGGATAGTGGAGGGTTAGAAAACCATACATGGCTCCTTCTTGGATGGGCATCGTGCTTGACCAACCCTAACGGATGCAGAAGCACCTGTCTATCTACGCAACGATCTCTCAGTGTGCTCCACTACTTGAGCACGCCTTTGCGTGGTTGCACTTAATCAGCAAATGTCACACGGCCACCAGCATACTGTCGCAAGCAACTCGCCGCAGGGGGAGTATCACATAGAGGTACAACAGACATAAGCGTACAACGCGCTCTACACCCAATGCAACACCACTCAAGGCTTTGCCTTGATGTTGCTGACGATGAGACTCTGTTTACATCGTGAGCACTTTTCAGTACGCCGGAAACATAATGACGGCACACCTTGTATGCTTGTACATCGCCCTTGAACTTCGACACAGTGCCGTCCGAGCATACCCAAAGCTATCGCTACCATCAGCACAAATCATGGACCGGTACAGGAGCCTGTGACCAACCTCGTTCGCAACCTTCGTGATAAAACGCTCGTCGTGAGAAATGAGAATGACACCACCATTCCATGAGCTCAACGCCGTCATGAGCGCGTCCAAACCCTCGATATCGAGGTGGTTAGTCGGCTACATCATTCGTCAGTATAACACAGCACCGCCCGTAAAGACCGCAACAGACCTCGTCGAGCAGCAAGACATGGGGCCGCTGCAAAGAGAGCACTGCGAAGGCGACGCGCGACTTTTGACCTCCGGACAACGTGCCGATCGATTGAAGGCTGTGAACAACCTTGTCAGTACTGACCTGGCGCACATGCTCTGCAACCCTACCCAGTCATACCGCTGATCTGGAAGTTGCCCAGATGTCCGCGATATTCCTGCTCCGTCCTACCCGGGAACTTTGATGCGAGGAATTGTACCGGTGACATGTGCGGGATCAGGTTATCGACATGGTGCTGCGCGAAGTACCCGCTACAATTATCATAATTGTTGATTGTTCATGCGCGTGGATTAAAAGATACCATACGCACATGCGAAGTCGTCCATTCTGGCTGACATGTCCACTCATGGGCTTGAGCTCGCCTGTCAAGAGCTTGATACTAGACAAACAAATTTTTAATCAGTCCTGCCTAAGTAACTCGAATGACAGTACGCACAGTGTTGACTTTCCGGCACCGTTGGGGCCGACGACGGCAATGCGAGAGTCGAGGCCAACGTCGATGTTGATGTCCTTCAGCAAGATCTTGTCCGGCGTGTACCCGAACGAGGCCTCGTTCAATTGCAGAACCGGAGGCGAGATCTTCTCAGTCTCCGGGAACTTGAACGTTTCCGTCTCTTCGACTTCTGGAGGTTGCAGCTCGGGAAGCTGTGCTCGACACACATAAGCGAAGGCAGAAGAGCTATCGCGCAACGATATAAACAAACCTTTTCGAGGATCTTGATCTTCGATTGGGCCTGTGCTGCTCGGTTGGCGTTGTATCGCCATCGGTCGATGAATGCCTGCAAATGCCTGCGGTACTCCATCTGTGTGTCGTATTCTTTCCGCAGGTTCCTGTCGCGCTCTGACTTGGTAGAGTAGAACTGCGTGAAGTTACTAGGGCACAATACGTCAGCCTTGCGTCAGAGCTTTGGCACAAAGTAAGATCATACTCACCCCTTGTAGTAATCAAGACGACCGGAGTGCATGTGGATGATATCAGTCGCAACAGCATCCCTGGAGGAGTGGTCAAAGAGGAACAAATCAAACGCAGATCTTAAGCTTACAAGAACGCTCGGTCGTGAGAGCTGCGGGGAGGTATGTCAGTGGGTTTCAGATCCGCAGTGATGAGGTCACTTACACGACAAGCAAGGTGCCAGGCCATGTTTGGAGGTAGTCTTCCAGCCACGCAAGGGCGTTAAGATCAACTATACAGAGTGTCAGTGTCTGTCCGCACGATGTGAGATATCTCGGCCTTACTATGGTTAGAAGGCTCATCAAGCAACAGCAGCGCAGGCTACGTATACGCGTTAGCGGTGCGAACCCGAATATAACATATTGCTTCTTACTTTGACGAAGAGCGCTCTTGCGAGAGCAAGTCGCATTCGCCAACCTCCACTGAATGACCTGGTCGGTCGCTTTTGATCTTCCTCGCTGAAGCCCAGACCTGCAGTCATGTCAGCACTCAGGTAGCTTACATATATTCTCGTGATGCCGCACCAGCGAGCAGGGCAGCAGCTCGTGCCGGGCCGCTCTCTGCCTCCATCTCGGCAAGCTGAGCGTGTACTTCTGCCAAACGTGTTTGCGCCTCCTCTCGTGCATCCTCGAACCGCTTGTCGTCGCCTTCTTTGTCGAGCTCGGAAAGTTTGCCGTTGAGCATTGCCTCCTCGCGCAATAGGGTGTCTCGCCAGACATCGGCCTTCAGCACGGAATCGAGTGCAAGTGTATCGTCACCGACGATCTAAGGAGAGCATGAGAATAATTGTCAACGCGCCCGAGAGCGATGGCGCTTACTTCTTGTTCGACGAAGAGGATGGTGATATATGCAGGAATGGGAACTTCACGCATGGCGATGTGTCGGAGGAGCGTCGATTTACCAACACCGTTCCGACCAATGATACCGTAGCGGCGACCGTATGCAAGCGTAAGCGATGCGCCAGAACTAGGAGCGACAATTTCAGTATCAATTAAGAATGTCATAGATTGTGTTACGCACAGGATACGATTTGAGCCAAAGTTGACGTCGATTGACGAGAGGTGGACGTCTTTTGACTTGTTCTTGGATGCAGCGGCAGCATCCAACGGATTGATTTTCATAAACAGCTCCTCGTATGTTTGCTACAACACCGCAGAAATGAATATCTATACAACGAGATCGTACTTTTGACTCACCTGCTTCTTGTGCTGGTCCAAGATTTTGGACCCTTCGTAGAGAGTCCGTTTCGACCGCTTCTCGATCTTGGCCTGCATGCAATATTTATCAAGTCGTGTATAAGCTGAGATACATTTAACGCACCTTGAGCTTCGCCTCCTGCTTTTCCAGTTTCTTGACATCGACACGAGAAGCTCTGCCGAAGAGAGTTCGCACCAGCCAGGACAAGCACGGGGGCCGATCACTCACTTTCCCTTGTTTATGCTCTCCAAGTCCACACCCTCCGTGAATGCGATCGTGTTACTCATGTTCGTCTTGCTAAGGTCCATGACCTTGTCCAATCTAACCAAGCCTGAGCCCGTGCCGGCGCGGTTGTTCTCGTCCCTCCGGGTTAAAGGCTCCTCCAAGAGATCGGCCAAGCGCTGCACCAGTCTATCGAGGTCGCCTCTCTTCGCCTGACTTGAGGAAGATCCGATAGCAGAGTCAAGGATATCCCGAGTGACCTGAAGAACGTCCTCATCTTCGGCAGCATCGTCCAAGTCAAGCAAGTAGCCGGAGAGGTATTGGATGACAATCTCCTCAGTTCCCGGAAGAGCGTCACGAATGTCCTCGGCGATGTCCTCGGCAGAAACTCCCATGATTCAGACGTAAAGCTTGAGGATAGACGTGCAAGGTATCGCCAGTACAGCAACGATGAAGCTCAGGTCGAGGCACCACACAAAGTCACGGAGGAGGGAGGGCGCGCATCGGGGCCGCACTCTTTGCAGATCTCAGATCTCAGAAGCCAATGCTCGCGTGGCAAGCTATGCAGTTCCGTATTTGGCATTTCACTGTACATACGAATCTGGGTTCTAGTATCGACAAAGCGGGCTCGAAGGGCACGCCGTCTCCTCCAAAAGATGCCATAATTAGGGCTGTAACGTAGGAGATCTTGATATTCCATTCCAAGAGAATAATGTGGAATTTTAGTGATGTCCTATTTATGCATAGCTGAAGCGCTTTGCTCCATTGTCACAAAAGGATCATGCTTGTCTCTGCATCGTTTATTGTTCATTGTTCGACGAGTTCAACTGACTGTAAGCCACACAGCTTTGTGGCTTGAGTCGGTGTACATATAAAGCGAAGCTCAACACATCCCATTTCTCCTTTCTTCACTTACACCCTTACCCTCAAGCCATCTGCGTCCCTCGTCACTCCCCCGTAAGACGTCCTACCAAATATGCCATCGCCGGCGAAGCTTGCACGGGAGGCAAAGTTGTCCAAATGTCGAGAAGCAGAGGCGTCATTATATGGCAAACATAGCACCCTCAACCTTAGCCAGTCGGACTCCTCGAGCGACTCTGACTCTTCTCACTCCCACCCCGAATACGGTCTCTTACTAGATGACCTCGACGACCCTGTGCAGTGCGAGTTTCAGGTAAGCATGTGATCGTTACGGTGTGCAAAAATGATTCCAACAACGCCGTAGCATGGGGAACAAGTATGGATCAAGGTGAAGGAACCGTGCGAGGAATGGGTTCGTGGCGAAGTATCCGGGATAGGCCGGAGAACGACATCGACAAGAGTCGTCAGTTCGTTTCACTTCATAAATGAATGTAGTGCTTACGATACCCGACTTTATCTGCTAGGGAGCGGGCATGCTATATTCAGTCCGATACAAGGAGACGAAACGCGCGATGTTCTCACCCCAAAACGGGGTGTTGAAACCGGATACTCAACAGGTCCGAGACCTCCTTGCCGCAGGTGGCTGGCTACAATGAAGATCATAGCTCCTGGGGTAGGCTCGAACCAGCCTCACGTTCGGAGGCGGAAGACAGTCGTACTCCGGGGGTGGTGTACGTATCTAGTCCTTTGGTTTCAGTGCCCAGATAGCCATTATTTGCATACGGATAGCATGATTTTGTGCCACACGTAACTCGTTATTAGCCGGAGCGACAGTTGCACAGGCTCAAGGGCACATCTCTAGGAAGCTAAGTTCCGCAGTTTGGGTTTACAGATGCGTCGTACTTCATGGGGCGATGCCCGCCGCAATCATCATGCACATGCGAGAGATGCAAGGATCGTTTGGAAACTGAGTCTTCCTGCTTTGATCGAGCAGTCGCATTTCCTGTTCAACACATTCAATCATAAGCGCTCAGCCGATATGGCTTCATGATCTGATAGCTCGTGGACGTGTGTTCGAGCACAGACGAAGTGTGATGAAGAGCAGAGGGTATATATGATACGTGCTGTGTAGGCTGTATCCCCGTCTTCTTCATCGCCAGCACCTGCTTCGGCCCAGCGCAACTCGCTGCAGCTTCCCAGTGTAGCCGAGTCGTTGTGCATATTCCCTTCCGCCTCAAAGTGCGGGCTGTAATTCTAATTCAAGACTTTAAAGCGCAGCGCGTTTGATGTTGTGAGCATCGCACCTGTCATGTTCTCTCCCCCGGGATCCACAGATCTGATCATATCATTATGCGGCTGCTTTATAGACTGCGAGCGAGGTGCCAGCGCAAATTCGTACGAAGAGGGCTAGGTTCGTGCAGTATCCTGAATACGCACTTGCTGGATGCCGACGCGCTGCCGACAAGAGTGCCAAGTCGTCCTATGTGGGCTTGAACTCGGAGCGTCCAAATCTGCCAAGATCCGGGGCGTTATTTGAGTCCCGCTCGATAGGTATGCATTCCCTCCAATAGATCCATACATTCCCCAGGAGCAGCACATAGCCAGAGTGTCCCAGAGTTAGTTCCAAGCGATCCGAGACTGCGGCAGAGCAGGAGACCAGACGATGATGATGGTTGTGAACAGAGAAGGCGCGTGTGCAAGACGCCCGCGGATCGGTCGTCGCGTTGCGAGGTGAAAGGCTCGGCTTCAGATCAGTACAACCTCCTCCTCCTCACCCCTTCTCCAGTCTCTCTTCCATACCAGTCTTTTCGGGCTCACTCTGGGAAGGACCCCCCCGCAGGTCGGAACTGGCGCTGGACAGCATCGGGTCTTGAGGTCTCTGGTTTCCTTGGCTTCTCGTAATCACCGCTCGGCGGAGGCAATCACAGCAGCGCTGCGCACGGAGGCCTCCTACCATCCTTTCCTATGTATTCTCACCACAGAACATGCTGGCTGCTCGTCGTGCTGCTCGCTAGCCTCATCTCCGTCTCAGGTGAGTCGCGTTCAACCCACGACTGCCCGGCCGATCGAACTCAAGCACCCCTGATCGTCCCCGGCAGCGTTAAGCGCGCCTGCAAGACCTCTGAGGAGGGTATCCCACCCATCTACCCTTTCCATCGACATCCTACCACGACGAGTATCGTCGTATAGCTATGGAAAGCGGTCATTTCCCGTGGACTCGCCCGTCCTCCGCCACTCGGACTCGTTCCGGTTGACCCTGACCGCGTTCGACGAGACATTCTACCTCCACCTCCGCCCGAATGACCACCTCATCCATCCCGCCGCTCGCATCAACTACTACACCACCACCCCTGACGGGCAGTCGGTCCTTTCGCGGACAGAGCCAATTCGCCGCGAGTCTGTGCGGGCGTACTGGGGCGAGGTGATCCCTGAGCATGCCTCCCCCGACAGGCTGCGCGAGGATACCGCAGGTGTGCTTCCCCGTCCATCAGGTCAGACCGAACTCGGATGGGCGCGCATCACCGTGTACGACCAAGGGGACACCACGAAACCGCCCGTGTTCGAAGGCGCATTCTCAGTGCATGGCGTCGTTCACCATGTTATGACCAAGGACAACTACTTGCGCACCAAGCATGGCCTCGACCCTCACATCCAGGTCTCGCAAGACGACCCTGACTCGAACCTCGTTATCTGGCGCGACTCCGATGTCATGTCCGCCCATGAGCACACGGCCGCTGCGCATAGCGGAGGCCTGGGACTCGCCACGCCCGTTGCCGAATCGTGTGGGCATGACAAGATGGATTTCAATACTGATGATCAGCGCTTGCGCAGGCCAGATCCTCCTGCCTACACGCCTTGGTACGACGCGTTTGGATTCCTTCGCTCTGCGAACTTTACCAAGCGAGACGATGTCGCGGGGGGCGGAATGGGTATGGAGTAAGTGCCGTTACGCGGACCTCGGACCGATACCTTGCTAACGACCCGGGCAGCTTCTCTGGTACCATAGGCCAGACCGCAGGCTGTCCAACCTCGCAACGGATCGTATATATGGGCGTTGCTGCCGACTGCGAGTATACGGCCAAGTACGGCACACCGTCCAACGCCACACAGCAGATTATCACCAACTGGAACACTGCAAGTGCGTTATACAAGGTCTGTCCTGAATTAGAACCCTGGTAGCATAGGTGCTGACGCCCTGTATCCAGTCCACATTTAACGTCAGCCTGGGAATCATCGAGATTCAGGCGCACGACGCCGAGTTCGTACATCTCATCTTTAGGCACCAGTGACAGTAGCTTACGCGCGCCACGACAGATGCCCAACTACCGCTGATCCTGCGGCACCGTGGAACGTTGCCTGTTCAGAGAGCGTCACGTTGAATGATCGTCTGTCCATCTTCTCGCAATGGCGTGGTGACAAGGGCGACGACAGCGCCGGCCTCTGGCACCTGATGAGCGGGTGCCCGACCGGCTCAGAGGTCGGCATCGCCTGGCTCATGACGCTGTGCCAACAAGCAGCCTCGGGTAGCTCGCCATCGGTCGTATCCGGGACAGCGGTCTCCACGGCCGGACGTACTGAATGGCAGGTCGTCGCGCACGAGATTGGACATAATTTCGGTGCTATTGTAAGTATAAAACTGTCACTTTTTTTTGGAGATGTCGCTCATGGGTACCCTTTCGTCACAGCACGATTGCGCTGATGGCTGTTCGTGCTCCGGAGGCTGCAAGACGAGCGGCGTCAGCTGCTGTCCGAGCAGCGTAGCATCTTGTGATGCCAACTCGCAGTTCATCATGAGCCCTGTCGCAGAAACCGGCGAAATGAACTTCTCGCCCTGCAGTATCGGCAACATTTGTGCGCAATCTTACACTTGGCTCTCCGTCGGTAATTTACTGACTGGCTGCGCGAAGGCTCCCTCATGACTAGCGCGAACATGAACACCACCTGCCTGATCGACCCCAACGCTCCCACATCCCTCACCACCAGCAAGCCGCTGATCACGCTGAAGATGTGCGGCAACGGCATCGTCGAGTCTGGGGAGGATTGCGACCCGGGCTTGGACTCCAACTCGACCTGCTGCGACGCGACGACTTGCAAGTTCAAGAACAACGCGGTGTGCGACCCGGACAGCAGCGCGTGCTGTACGGATCAGTGCGCGTTCGCGCCTACGACACAAGTCTGCCGTCCTAGCAAGGACAATCAGTGCGACACGGCGGAGACGTGTACGGGCAAGAGTTCGGCGTGCCCCGCGGACGTAATTACGCCCAATGGTGAGCAGCCAAACCCAACTTGCAGTAAATTAAGACGCTGATCTTTCGTTCAGGCCAAAGCTGTGGCTCGGGGCTTGCGTGTGCGAGCGGAGAGTGCACATCACTCGACCGTATGTTCAGTTCCTTCTCACGCCTAACGCCGTCATCTCATCGCAGTTGGCTTTGCAGAACAATGTCAGCTCGTGGGCGCCTCGATGGGACTTCAGAAGGCTTGTCCAGCCAACGACGACAAGTCTTGCCAGGTATCATGTCAAGACCCCACCGATTCCAGCCGATGCGTTGTTCTGCAGTCCGCGCTTATCGATGGCTCCCCATGCGGTGAGTGCCCCCGGCGTTGGCCAAGCTGACTGCGGGAGCTGATGAGTGTCTTTTTCCAGGCTACGGTGGGATGTGCTACTCGGGTACATGTAAACCCGGGAGTTGGTGGGACACCTTCAAGGTTGGTTTCTCCTATTAAGGATATTTGGGAGCGCCGCTGACAGATGCGTGTGCAGTCTTGGTATGTGCACAACCTCCAGATCGCCATCCCGGTCACGGTCGTGGTCGGCATCATCGTCCTAGTCATCATATGGGCAATCTCTCGCTGTACGTATCGCACGTCAATCGCTGGCCTGCGCACATCTGATCTTCTGGCAACGTCCATCCATGCAGGTATCTTCCGCTCGTGTCGCTCAAAACCCAAATCGGTGGAACGGCTGCCAAGTTATCCTGGCACACCGCCGATGAACTTCAACCCTGGAGCCATGGTCGCCCAGCCGATGTACGGTCCAAAGTAAGCTTCTTACACCCCCATTCAAAGTTTAGCATACTGAGCACCTGCGTGCAGCGCGCCCGTCGGCGCAGGTGCCGGCGCACCCAGGTCACGGCGACACGGTCCTAACAAATCGCACGAGCGGCAGGGCTCTATCATGCCCATCCAGAGCCCACCAGACCGCAGCAGCGTTCCGTTAGGCTCGCACCGCTCCTCACGGAGTACGAGCCATTACGCACCGCAGTTCCCGATGGAGTCCAGCAGGAATAGCCACTCGAACTGGGTAGACCCTACACGTTACAACGGGCCTCCGCCCGTCAGTTAGCCGCACGGATCTAGGTACTTATTCAGGGTATGGTATTGGAGACCGTGTTTCGTACGCAGGACGCTCTCGCTAGTATATGTTCCGTTCTCGTTTCGCTCTACTGTCGCCCAGCCGGATGGAGTTCGCTGCAGTCGTCCATGTACTATCTCAGAACCCTACAGCCTCTTAGCGGAAATTTATCACTGGGAAATTATCTGAGATGCGGGACTGCTGCGTAACGTCTGTTGATTTGACGCAAACCGTTGGAAGGAAGCTGTCCCGATATGGCAGGCGTTCAAGTTCACTAAGACTCAGATGAGCCTTCCCAATCGTCATACAGGAGAGATCGTCTTATACAGTACGAATCCAACTCGGGCTCCGGGGGACGACGTGAGTACTGATTGTCGGTGCCTCCGTTTCGACCTTGAGCGTGTACTCCAATGCGGGGCCTCATGCGGTGTCAGGTGGAAAATCGCAGAGCGCCATAGTGCGTGTTATGCCATACGGGGAAAACATACAGGAGGTTACATAGCTATGGGTACATGCCCTATACTACAACGTAAATGCCATGGAAAGCGGTCTGCAGAACCGCTGGAGTGATACATCATATTGAACCTTCTCTTCAGGTCTCTTCATCCCTTCCAACTTCAGTCGCTCCCTGACGCCGAGAGGAGCCTGTCATACAAAATCCCGTACCTCGTTGGGTTGAAGTACCCTGTCTGTTGCTCTTCTCCTACATCGTACGTCACAGCGAAGAGCATAAGTGATGACTCGGGTGTCTGTACCGATAACCGCGCGGCTTCAGCGGATAGTTACGTGCTGAACTTGATGAGGACTTACGATCAACTTCGGAGGAAACTCCTGGAAACTGGCGACCACCCCGTGGCGCCAAATGCAACGCCGCCCTCCTACATGGTCCTTCACCATCACACGATCTCCGGGCTGCACGGCCAGCAAGATCAGCCCGCTGCATCCCCAACGCACAGATATGGAAGCACCGTACCTCGAAGAGTTCACGGCGCTCATAACGGGAGCGCGCACTCAACTGATATGGCTTGCTCTTTTTGCGGTCCCCCTTCTTCGTTTCCTTCTTCGTTTCCTTCTCGGACGCGCTATCAGACCCAGAGGACTCTTCCACGCCCAAGGACCCCTTCTTCACCAACAGCGGACGCGAGCGGCGGGGGGTAGTACGCCATTTCCCGATGCCCACGGCAACGCGCGACTTGCCTCCTACGGTGTACTGTTTTACAGGCCGCCCGCGCGGGAACGGCGACGGCGCGCGCATGTCGAGGGCCACGGCGGTGCGGGGGTCCTTGACGCGGGAGAGCGATTGCGATGCGGCGAATTTGACCTTGCGCACGGAGGAGAGAGGCTGGTTTGACCGTTTTCTGAACGAGAAGATGCCCATGATTGGATGTTGAATTTTGGTGTGGCTAAGAGGACCGCCATTGTCAGGACTCAAATAGAGTTCGACGCTTTGACGGGAGAACCCACTGTTGTATGGATGTGAAGGGAGAGGAGGAGGAGGCGTGAATGGGAGGGCGGATGTTTTTGACCCGTCTGCGGTGGTGGCTAAGATTCCGGGGTAGATGGCAGTTGAAGACAGGATGATAGACGCTGAGCCGCGCTGCTCTGTAATGTCGCGCGGAGTAGGAGAAGCCTCGGTTAGAGCCTCATGGATGGCTAAAATGCCGGCGTCGAGTACCATTGTCCCTGCGCTGCGGACCGCGGCCCGAGTGTATTGTCCTGCGAAAATCGCCCCCGCAGGCCATCCCGTTATGCACGCCCAAGTGATATCTTGCGACCGTCCCCCTGTATAAGGTGCCTCGCTGTACGGTATAGCAGCCAGTAGTACTCAGCACTGAATATGCAGGAGGTGCCATGGTCGACCACAATATAGTGCGCTCAAAGGCTGCGGGCATCGTATTCCTGTCCCAGTCGTAAGCAGATTAGAACATCGAGCAAGCAGTAGACTCACCTGAAGCCTCGCGAGATTTAGATGAACGAGTTGGATGCATCCACAAGTCCCTAGCAGCGGTGAGTCACACCACCGAGCGAGGCTACGTCAGATCTGGCGATGGATGCTCGCATCTGCAAGGAATACGTCAGAGTGAGGGCAGCGCATGCATGTACACCTGGCTAGCGTCGAGATGAACGAAGTCTGAAAACCCTTCAGATCATACGCATGCAGTCAAAGAGTGCGTTGCACGCACATGTCGGTGCTTGACGACATCATACATCAAACTTGGACCAAAACCTGGGACGTACGAACGTTTTGACTTGACGTTGCGAACACCTAGTGTTCGTTCTCTAGACACTGCATGTTACCATGCCTCACGCGAAATGGAAATGTCGTTCATGACGCATGGTGGCCCCCAAACGGCCTGCTCATTTTTGGATGGGAGGTACGACCTACACAAAGCATAAAACATACATGTACATCTAGTAGACATACCCCAGGAGCTTGCCACCGACGTTCTTGCGACGCGCCTCCTCGTGGTCGAGGATGCCCGACGATGTCGTCTGTAATCAGAGAGCTCAGAATACTGTCGTAAAGGCGTGCGAGAGATTAGACATACCAGGATGATAATGCCGAACCCACGAGCAGGGAGGAGCAAGTTGACCCACGCCTCGATCTGGTTGACCTGGACGTTGTAGCGGGGCGAGATGACACCAGTCTTGTTCAGACGGCCGTTGAGCTGGATGACGATCTTGCCCGAACGGTGGTCATCGACGATCTCGAACTCGCCAATGTAACCTATGAGGGGGAGTTCAAGTTAGCGCGTCGCTCTGGTAAAGGACTGCATCTGAAACTAAACAGTACGTAAAAAGTTAAGCTATGAGTGTACCATCGGCAGTGAGCATCGGATCCGTAGAACATCGGAAGGGTGCGTAATGACTTTGGGAGTGGATTCAATTTTTCGGAGCGTTAAAACGAGGGGCGGGTGGGAGCGAGACCTCGTCAATCGTAGTTATCACTCCGAGTGCGTGTATACGTAGGGCGATATAGACAGGGGGCAAGGCAAGAGACAAGAGAGAAAGAGGTGCGAAACTCACCATGGCGCTGCATGACGCTCAGGAACTTGACGATGACCTTCGAGGAGGGGCGGACAAGGACCTGACGCTTGCCACGGCGCTCGGCGTTGACAATGTTGTTCTACGCGCATAATTAGAATGACCACGCGTGAAAGAGCAAAGCAGACGCACCAGGCAGTCGTTGAGGACAGAGACGCGGACCATGGTGGGCAAGTAGGGGGCCGAGAGAGGGGCGGCTGAGAGGACGGAAGACGGGTGTAAGTAAGCGTGAAATGCTCGTCCGAGTGTCGTGCTACAGAAAGCGCGAGTCAAGACGAGCTAAATCACAGTGCAGGACAGTGAGAGAACATCGTCAAGCGCTGTCTGCGGCCGGCGAGGACATCCAGAGAGCATAATTCACCTTTGGCGGAGTCTTGAGGGTGCGGCGGCGGTGAGTAGACCTGCTTGATCGGGCGTCTACTCTCTGACATTCCTGGCCCGCGCGCCTGTGGCTGGTCCTGTACAGTTCCCCCCAGCCACCCGGCAGACGCCGGCCCAATCCCACTGTTTCGTCTGGTCTAGCTCGCCGTCGTCTACATCAAGCTCAAGCCCGCCGACATCCTCCTCAACAGCCGCCATGGTCAGCACTGAACCTATGCCGAAATGCTGGACGAACCGCTGATGCTCGTTTTCTTGTGCTCAGGGTCGCGTACGCACGAAAACTACCAAAAGGGCTTCCCGCGTGCTTATCGAGAAGTAGTGAGTATTCACCTTGGGTTGGAGGGAGCTCATGCGGCGAGGAGAGCGGATTGCAGAGGGGCCCATTGCTAACGCCAATGCTGCAGCTACCCCCGCCTCACTCTCGATTTCCACACCAACAAGCGCATCATCGATGAAGTCGTACGTACAGAGGACCAGTTCAAGTTCGTGCCCCGCTAAGTTCACTATGTGTCTCTCCAGGCTGTCGTCCCCTCGAAGCGTCTGCGCAACAAGATCGCTGGCTTCACGACCCATTTGATGAAGCGTATCCAGCGCGGTCCCGTCCGTGGTATCTCCTTCAAGCTGCAGGAGGAGGAGCGTGAGCGCAAGGACAACTACGTCCCCGAGGTCTCCGCTCTCGACCCCACCGCCAACCCCCTGGAGATCGACCCCGACACCAAGGTACGCCCCCTCGCAATTGCGTACCATGCTTCGGGGGCTCACACGTTGTACTCTAGGATCTCCTCCACTCCCTCAACTTCGACTCCATTCCCCACACCGTCGTCCAGATCCAGCACCAGCAGCCGGAGCGGGGTCCCCGGAGGGAGCGCCGCAACGTCCCTGGCGCCGGCCGCACCTAAGCGGTGTTGTCCCAGTCGGGCTTGGGCTTCTATGCTCTATGACTACTATGCTCCGTACTGCCGCAGAGAACACGATGACTTGGGTCCACGGAGTGCAGTCCCCGCCAGACTGATGGGTGTCATCGTCGCTACTATATCTTCCACGCATATGTACTTGCCTTTCGCGTCGACTGGGCGGGCGGTCGCGTTGTAAAATTGAGCCATGCAAGACAAAACTCAATTTGGGCTTGGTGTGATTACATTGCGAAATTTGGCGCAAGGAGCGTCGTTTCTACGTGCGGTAAGTAGGAAAGAGGTAATTCTTTTGTGAATTGCACATGTATGATCATGGTGTGGAGGTTGCGAGAGTTTGCGAGTCGCGCGATCGCGATGGTTATGTGGGTCCTTGTTTGTTCGCTTGCAACCCATGGGCTGATTCTGTATCTGCATTTCAGCATCTACCCCTAGAGCGCTAGCGTCACGCATAGCAACCCTCCCAATGGCACAACGCACGCTCGCATGATCCGGGCCAGGCACTAGCTCGCTGTCAATTATCGCTGCTATCAAAGACCTGCCCCCCATTCCGAGTCGGTGGCGCCACTTGACTGACAATCCTTGTGGCATGGGCCACCACCTCTCTCAAGCCCCCTTCAGTGACTTGCATTGACATGCTAGACTGCCTATGTCTGGCACGCTTGGAGTCTTTCGCCGCAGTCCTGGTGTTGTTGTGGCCCTGGCCACCTTACCCTTTTCACTATAAGAATCCAGCACCTTCGCCCACGGCTCTCATATCAGCTGCCTTCATCCTCTCTCGAAAACGCTAGTCGATTCTCCCTCCTCCACCTTGTCAACAGCACCTCCTGGCCTGTCACCCTACGGCTATCACACGTCGACATAAAACCCCCTTTAGTCGTTCATTCTTGCAATGCCCAAAACGCGTAATTGCACCGTCCGCGCCCGTGAAGAAACTGGCACCTCGAAAGAAGATCTGGTGCGAAACGCCGAGTCAGTTCGTCAACAGGCCGTTCAAGGTGGGCCGCCTCTCACCGCCAATGGAGGTATATTTCGTGCGGGAAACGTTGGCGTAATGGCACCCCCGGTGGCACCTCTACCCGGCCCCTCTGCGCCTCGTACGACGATGTTGTCCATCACGGACATGCTTTGTGACACGGCCCCAGAGAAGCCCGCCCCAAAGAAGCCTGCTGGGAGCGGCACCTACAGAAAGAGTGCCACGCAGCGCGACGGCGTTCCGCCCCTCACTCGCGAAGAACTTGGGAAGCTCGAGTTTCAGGTGGGTCTACGTGGACTCACTACTGCACACGCAGCTGATATGTTATTTGTCCGTTTACCCTGGTAACAGGAAGGAACAGCGGTGAGGGTGAATACTCTCCGATTTGATGGTCCCGGAGACGTGCCACGGTTGCGCCGCGGCTCTATCGCACCCTTCGCCAAATATCCGCCCTCCTTGGAGCGGCACTATTACCTCCCCTCGGTCAGTTGTCCGCTGTATTCATGTGACCGTGCGTCGACTTACTCAACTATGATCGCTTCCGCGACCACAGGGCAAACTCTGTCATCGCTACATGGTGATCATGGATGACACGCGGGCAGTGATGGGGCCCTTCTGTACCGCACTGGGAGAGATCCTTCTAGCAAGTGGGCTTATGTCTGCCAAACTCGATGCTGCTTAGACAGCCCCGCTCTTGTTCTAGGTGGGACGCTTACAGATATATCTTATCATCAATATTCAAGTTTCTGACAACGCTCTTGTGTCACTTTGTATATGTACTACCTACGTGTTTACCATGCTATCTTCCTGTATGCCAACGTAAAACGCTGAGCAGTGTTTCAAAGCACCAGGGAGAAGTGATTCATGTACGAATTTCTGTATGACCGTCGCGTCTGACTACTGTCCGTCCCGCCTTTGAGCTTCTTGAGATGCGAAGCGTGCGATGATTGGATGCACCTCCGACGCTAGCGTATATCTTCTCAGGGTCCGAAGATCGCCATCCAAGTCTCCTACTGCGACCGATGGGATCACCGTCAACGCTGTGGGCACATCCGCGTCCTGCATAAGCGGGCTAGCGAGCATGCCATTCGGGCGGCGCGAGTAGAGCACGCCCTCGAGCTTCGCGACGAGTCCCTCGGGCGGGGATGGACGTCCCTCCTCCGCCATGCAGCGCAGGAAGCCGCGCAGATCATAGACTGTGCCTCTCCGCTTGTTGAGAGGATCGGAAATGGGATCCATCTTCGTAGGCTCAGTGGCGTTGGGGGAAGCTGGGTCGAGTGCAAGTTGTTCGCCCGGGGTAGCCCTTCGCTCCTCGTCTGTCTCACTATCCGCGTCCGGCGCATAGCGTATAAACGCCCACTTCTGGGCGCTGCCAAAGTCCACCGTGCTCCAGTCCAGGAAGAACGCCCAGCTGCCCTCAGGGGCGGGGGAGACGACGGGATATGGGTGTAAGGGCACGCCGACGATGGCGCGATCGGACCACGACTGGTCCTCACGCTGATAGCCACTAGTGAAAACGGAGTACACCAGCATGGGCGCCGACAGCTCGAGGAATCCCGGGATGTCGAGCATATCCTCTGCATGCTGCAACCACGCGAAGTTCTTATTCTGCCCAGTCTCCGTAACGCTGTCCGAGTCACCACTGTGCTCGACGCCGTCTCCCGATTCGTGATGCGCTGTGTAAAGGCTTTCATCCGAGCGCCGTGTCAGCGGGATCAGCAGGCACAGTGCTTGAATCACCTGAGTAGGCGTGAACAGCGGGAGGGCCATGCCATTCATTTCCCAGCCATGGGCGAATATGAAAGTGAATGCGACCGGGAAGTCCGGCGGCTTTACGATTGTGAGGAACACCGGGTGAATGATAGCCTCGACCGTGAGGAATAGCGATGGCTGCGTCCGCACGAGCTCCAACAGCGCGTGGCCGTCAATCCCGCTGCAGCCAGAGACGTTCAGCCGGAGGAGCTGCGGGGCTGCAATGAGGATAGTGGGGATGTCGTGGAGCGTGACGTGCGTGTTCTGCGATATGTCGAGCGCGTCGATCTTCGGGCATTGTAAGACGAAGCTCATGATTTGGGCGGCGGAGAGGTCGAACCCAGAGAGGTCTGCGAGGCGATCTCCGGTTAGGTTGATCATCGTCACGAGGGTGCCCAAACGTTCATCTGGAAATGGGGAGAATTGGCGCAATGTGGTCTTGAGGTGATCCATCGCTGCTGCAATGGCAGCCATCTCCCGGTCGTTCGCACTGCCTGCGCCCGGTTGGGGCAAGAGTGAGAGGAAAGGGGTCAGCTCGTCCCTATGCACTTGCATAGGGACAAAACGGAAATTAAACACAAACGGATGTTGGAGTAAAACCCATCCCAGCTTTGTACCGTCCGTCGCAGGAGGTCTCGCGAGTCCAGCAGTAGCAACCCATTTCTTCGACTCGTCGTCTGCGGAGACGTCCAGCAGGCGTGCTACTACGGTCCTCCATACCCTCGACTGGTAGTCGGATGCGGAAAGTGAGCGTGCGTGGTCATGGGGCACGACGACGTGATCCTGTTCAGGTGTCCGGGGGTGAAAGTACACGTTTGGCCACGCCTCCTTCAGAACGTCCGCTGTGAGAAGCGGGATTCCGCATAGGCGCAAAATCGCTTGAAAATACATTTTGATCTCATCTTCGTCGCTTTCATCTGGATAAATGTCAGTGACTCAGTGGAGATTAGGAGGGATATTAAGGATTTACTTACCTTTCATACCGTAGTATCCCTCTAGATACTCATACGCAGAGAGCGGGCGCTCCCGTCTCAGAAAGCAGTAAGCCGGATGTAGGGGGTCGGTGACGTCGATAATAGAGATCCCCTCGTTGTTATCTGTACCAGGACAGAACAGTCATTAGCGATCGACAATACGCACATTGAACATAGACGTGGCCGAAGCTTACCACCACCCCAACACCCCATCGTTGCGTCTAGCACAGCATGTCTCAAAGTGAAGCCGTCGTATTGTGGGGACCCAATACTAGGGTCGAGATTGGTAGTCCAAGCAGTCGCCAAAAGAGAAACACTGTAAGGACAAGGGACCTGCGGCATTCGACCACCATCTTGTCGAGAGCGGCCGTATTTCCCGTCTATCTCGTGCAACTCAGTGCGTACTATGGCCGCATTCTCCGGTTGGGTGATGAGTCTGATGAAGCGGTACACGGCCCGCAGAGGCAACACCCCGGCGCAAAATTGGTGGTGGCAAGCGGCTATGCAGCGATATGCTGGTTCGCCGTGTTTAGGACGAACACGAGCGATGAGAAACGCCTGGTGTCGTTGGCCCATGGCGGTTGGATTGGCGGGAGTTGCACAGCTGCATGTGGATTCCAGAATATATCCAGATCAGCCTGGGAACACGATGAGAGATCGGCGGCTGACAACAGGTTTTAGATGATTGAGATTGGAGAGCTCAAAGATACCTGCCGGCACAAAGGGCTTCTGCTTCCGATGGGAACGGCGCACGGCCCGGGCTACAAGGATGGTCAGGCTACCGAGAGCGCCGTGAATATATTTTTGAAGGAGACATGATCGAGTTCGCTTTGAGGGCAACAAGTTGAGACCGTTCTGCTTACATGCACGTTAGCTTTGTTCCCATAAGGTATCACAACTACTACACCGGCACCTACCATGAGTACATAGGAGTCCCCACCAAAGCCTGTACGGCCATGAGGCGTCGTGTGTACGCTCCTGGCTTGACACAGTACGACCGGAGCGTGATCAGGGCCGGTGTCTCGTCCACCATCCTCACCTGGGCCATCTAGAACCGCTTCCGGAGCCGCGAGTCCACGTCGACCTCGACGCGAGACGGGGCCTCGAGCACGAGGTGCCGGACATAGCCGTACGCTCCCGACGCGACCTCGTCGAGGATACCCGTCAGGTCCAGTGGGGGCACCGCGTACGGTGGGTCAGGCCGCTCGGTCCATCGCTGCAGCACATGCTTCCCGTACCCGTACGCGATGCGAACTTTGGGCGGGCGAGCGGTGAGGGGGCCATCTTCACGCCCGTCAGGCAACGGACCGAGGCTTGGGGGTGCGCTCGTCCATGGCGCCTGGAACTGGTTCACGAGCGTGACCGTCTCGAGCGCAGTCATGCTCCTGATGAGGGCGCGAAGCGCAGCGACGTCGAAGGCGGGGAGCGTGTTTGGTCCGTCGCAGATAGCAGGAGAAACGTCCGCAAGCCACAGCTCGCGCACATCCGCGATCATCGCAGCGCCGCCTTCGTGCAGAGGATCGGTGGCTTCCTGTAGTGTGTCGCCGACCACGCGAAGAGTACGCTGGAAGCCAGAGGCGGTCATGCCCCATACAAGCGGAGATTCTTTTACGAAGTTATGTGGTTGTGGGTACCTGCCGATAGTGACTAGCGAGGGTTTGGCGTCAAGGTCAAGGATGCGGTGTTGGTGAATGGTCGGCTGGCTGGTATCTGCGTAGATGGTGTGAAGCTGAACCACGAGCGGCTGCTGATCTGCTAGAATGAGGGAGAGGACGAACGACGCCAGCCGATTGTATAACAACGACAGCGCAACTCGACGGAGGCGGCGACATGTTGTCGCTAAGACGGGCGCCCTTGGCAGAGGTCGGTATTCTGTCGGGTGGAGTAGGTCTTGTTGGTCTTCAACTTCTTCAAGGTGTAGCGACTCGAGTGCGTGGCAAGCCTGTAGGATGGACTCGAGGAAATTATGCACATGGGGTATGATGATCACATGAAGCGCGAGATGCGTGAGTGAGGATAGAATGTCGTATGAAGTGATGTCGCATGCACCCAGATAGAGGCGTCGGAGTCGTGGGAGGTGCTCTTGCATGAGAGGTACTTCGAAGAGATATTGCCCAGTTTCATCGGCATCTTCAGGCTGTGCGTCCTCGACGAAATGTATAGAGAGCGTCTCAAGATTGTGCATAGGACGGGAGAATAAGGGTTCGAGCGGAATCGACCAGATATGCAGATCGCCAAGGTCTAGCTCCCGGACCGTAGTCAGGAGTTCTTCCGCGTTTTCAGGGAGTTTCTGATCCTCCCAAGGCATAGGATTCGACAAGAAAGTCTTCAAGGCAAGGCCTTGGCTCCATTGAACAAAAAGTCGCAGCTGTGGACGAGGGCCATACGGGATGCTCGTCCACAGGGATGGACATCCCAAGGTAATGGCTCGGAGTCGCCTGCATGTGAAGGAGATGGGAAGGAGCATCGCTGTATCGTGCACGTCGATGTGCCACACTCGTCGAAATGATTCCATGGTGTACGGAACCATCTGGTCGGGGATGAGCGTGATGATCATCAGCAGTATCTCTAGAGGCATGGTCAGAAGCGGCTGTTGCGCATTGGCGGCTGCTCGAAAGTCAGCTGCCTGCAGCTCGATGGGTTGTGCCTGCGTCACGTATCAGGTCGTGTCTCTACAGAGTCAAGTTTCTGACGTACCGTATCTGCTCTGTTCAATCAATGGTGAGGCCATATTGTGACAAGACTATCATTTTACGGGAACACGTACGACGAGGCGGGGCATATTGCCGGCTGTTCAACTTGTAAGGAGGCGATCTCGGCATTGTCTGCGATTTCCCAGCCGCCTCTCCGAGTCATGGTGGGAATCGCGGGACCTTGGGAAACGTGTCTGAGCAAGGATGGTGGTCGAAAGCAAGAGTGGGAGTTAGATCTAGGGCCTGGATCTAACGTTCAACCGAGCAAGAGCTTCACTAGTTCACTAATAGTTGGAACCGTGGATTACCCTCATTCAATAGCACCACAGGTTGTAACCTCTGCAAGCACTCCAGTAGTGCCTTGACTATATCTCTCTCGAATAAAATCATCCTAACATACTTGCAAGCAATCACAAACACTACATTTGTTTTCGAGACACCGTACCGCCCTCATCTCCGACCCCACCACCCTCCCAGCAAACTACTCAACCCACCGCCAGCCTGTGCAGACGGCTCCGGGGTCGCCGCCCGCTCGATCTCCTCCACCTTCGCCCTCGACGCCGGCGTCTTCTTCTCCGTGGCCTGCTGAGGCACCGGTGCAACGACACGCGACGCCTCGACCGCCGCCGGCGCTTTGCCCGCACGCTCCTGCAGCCTGTCCATGTCCAGGTTGATGTAGTTGAGCGCGATGTCGAAGAAGAGCGGCTTCTTGTGCGTCTTGCTGCTCTCCGCGTCGAGCGCGCCGCCGTTATACGCGAGCCAGTCGTTCTTGAAGCTTGCGCTGTCGAGCGCGAGCTCCTCCTCCAACTTGTCGAGGTCTGCCAGTGCGAGTGGGTAAAAGGCTGGGGTGCCCGCGTTGATTGGGTCCGTCTCAATGGTGTCCGTGAGCATCGAACGGCCCTCCCGGAGGTGGATAGACGCGTGTTGCGTGAGCGTGAGCGTCTCCGCATACTTCTTGAGCGGCGCGTAGGACCATGCGAGGTAGAAGCACCGGCGCGCTTTGGTGAACGCGAGCCGTGCCTCGACCGCGGATGCGAGGTCGGGGCTCTCATCGACGATAGTGAGGGTGCGCATCTGCTCGAGCGACTGAAGGACGCTGTCGAGCAGCTTGACGATGGCGGGGTAGAGACGCGCGTCGACGTGCACCTTGCGTGATTTGCTGTGCCCAGCATGGCTCCGTTGTGCAGTGTGCAGTTGGTGCAACAGCGTCGACGTGAGGAGGAGGTCACGTTGTACGCGGCGCGAGAGGAGTTGGTAGACAACATAGGCGTGGACAAACTGAATGTCTCTGGTCCCGGCCGCTGGCGTTGCACCACTCATCTGCTCAGGAGGTCAGTACGCGGACCGGGTAGGTTATGCTGTGAGCACAAACCTTGTGAACCTCTACAAGCTTGCGCGACACATCCTCTGCCTCACTGAGGGCAAGGAGAATCGCGTCATATGAAGCGACCCCGCCGCGCTTGGATCGCGCACCCTTGCTCTTCTCGCCAGCGTCAGCACCCTTCTCTTCCGCTTTTCTCGCTTGCGTGAGCTTCTCCTCAGCTTCTTGCACCTTCAGCAGCACGTCCACGAGCTCGGGGTTACGAATCGGCACCGGCTCGTCCTCCCAGAGCAACTCCTTCAGCTTGCCCCTCTCCTCTGCCGCTCCCCCGCTGTCCTTTCCAAGGCGAGCGAGCAACGCGTCGCAGTCTTGCACGAGCGCATTTCGGTGCTTAGGCGCGACATCCGCGACGACCGCATCGACATCGTACGCCTTCTCTCTCCGGAGCTCGTGCGCGCAATGACGGATCTCGGGTCCGATTTCGTCGGCAAACGCGACAGCTAAGGCCTGCGCGCGACTCGTCGCCGCCGCGTCCGCGAGCGAGTCCAGCAAGTTCCGCGCAACGCTTAACTGCACGAGCGCATCCTCGAACTCGAAGCGCTGCCGGAGGAAGCGACCATTGAGGATGAGGGTGTACGCAGTTACCTGCGCGAGGTCCTCTGCGGAGAGCCGGCCCTGCCCTGACAGTGCCTGACAGTGCGAGAGGAGCTGCGTCGCCCAGTGGATCGCGCGGCGCATGCGGCGCGTCGCGTGCTTGCGGTGCGCGGAGGATTTCTTCTGCGCGTCTTCGGCGGCGGCCGCCTTGGCTGTCTTTGCAGACGCGGCGAGCTTGAGGGACTCTTGGTGCATCTCTTGGGAGTGCGACCACGCGCGCTCGGCCTCGAAAAGGAGCAGCTGCAGGCTTCGCTCTGTACTCAGACACTGGATTGCTCGGACATGTTGGACGCGACTCACTGTCCGTCTTTGATGGTGTCGAGGTTAATCGGAGGCAGTTTCTTGAATTCTTTGCCGCGGCCGTAATTCATCTTCAGGGACGACCGCAGCCGGTGCGTCCGGTTGTAACAGTGCTTCCTGCGCAAGTATCGGTTGACTGCCGCGTCCTCTGGATTGAGCCGACGTACCTGTAGCGTTCATAGTCGTTGTATCGTAGACCATACGCGTTGCGCTGCTCGTTGGCGATTTGCAGCGCTACACGGTGGTAAGTCTCGGTGAATCTGACGCGTTCAGATACGACGTACCTTGGAAATGGATCGTCGACTTCGCAGACATCTCCGGGGCCGCGATTGTAGTGGAATATGCGAGATCTGAGTAGAATGTGCTAGTGCGCGATGGGAGTAGAAGGCAAGCAGTATACGCGGCTATCAGGCGCGGGGAACGTGGTACCCCTGGGTGTCGCGGCACTACTTAATTCGTACCACCACCTTCACCACCTCCACACCTTTCTATACTCGTCGCATCTCTTGGAATCATGGCCGACGAGCTCCTGGACCCCACTCTGCAGAACATCCTCGACCAGAAGTCGTTGAAATGGATCTTCTGCGGCACGTCCCAGCCACTTGTGTGTGCGGGGTATATTTACTGATCTGCATGTCTTGTAGGTGGTAAGGGTGGTGTCGGTGAGTCTTATGCGCCCTAGAAGTCTCTGAAAAGCATCTCACAAGTGTGTGTTGTCAGGAAAGACCACGACTTCATGCTCTCTCGCAATCCAACTGGCCTCGTGCCGTGAATCCGTTCTACTTATCGTGCGGAACCCGTCCATCTCTTGCACGAAGCCGTTTTCTGAACGAATCTATAGTCGACAGACCCCGCGCATAACTTGTCAGATGCGTTTGGCCAGAAGTTCTCAAAGGAAGCGACAAAAGTAAACGGCTTCGACAACCTCTCCGCAATGGAGATCGACCCCACTAGCGCCATTCAGGAGATGGTCGAGCAATGTGCGTACTGCATAGTTGGGAGACCACGGGTTAAGCTGAAATGTGCTCAGCCGACTCGAACGGTATGATGGGAAGTATGATGCAAGACCTTGCATTCGCGATCCCGGGTGTGGACGAGGCCATGAGCTTTGCGGAAATCATGAAGTGCGTTAATTTCCTCTCGTCCGATGTCCGTTCACATATGCCGGTCATAGGCACGTCAAGTCCATGGAGTACTCTGTCATTGTCTTCGACACTGCGCCGACAGGACACACCCTCCGTTTCCTGTCATTCCCCACTGTACTGGAGAAGGCTTTGGGCAAGCTGAGCTCGCTTAGCGGCCGCCTCGGGCCTATGATCAGCCAGATGACCAGCCTTATGGGCGGCCAGGCAGATGCGCCAGAGGACATGTTCGCGAAGCTGGAGTCAATGCGTTCGATCATCACGGAGGTCAACACGCAGTTCAAGGACCCGGTATGTATTCGCGTGCAAGTCTGGGCAGTACATTGCTAATTTTTTCGTTGGTTTGGTTCATCAGGAAAAGACGACGTTCGTCTGCGTGTGTATCTCCGAGTTCTTGTCCCTGTACGAGACAGAGCGGCTAGTGCAAGAGCTCACCGCGTACGAGATCGACACGCACAACATCGTAGTCAACCAGCTCCTCTTCCCTAAGAAAGGTACGCGTACACCACTCACTTTTTTTAACCCGAGTACTGAGCAGCGCGGCCTCCACTAGCCTCGAATTGCGAACACTGCCAAGTGCGGCACAAGATGCAGCAGAAGTACTTGAAGGAGGCGCACGAGCTCTACGACGAGTTCTTCCACATTGTCCAGCTCCCACTGCTCACGGAGGAGGTCCGGGGGCCGGAGAAGTTGAAAGAGTTCAGCAAGATGCTGGTCACGCCCTACGCCGCTCCGGAGTAGACTGCGTAGTTTTACCTGGGGGCACAATTAGTGGAGGTTGTAATATATGGACATTGGTACAGGCAGCTCTTCGTATGTGGGCGTAGGCTGCTCTGTATGTTTCTGAGAAATAGCGGGAAATTGCAGCCACGAAATACACGGCCGCACGTGACGTGCATGTCCGAGACGCGTTGCGGCAGTTGGACGCGGGTGGACCGTCCCTTGTTTCCTCCCGCCACTCTCTCTCCCGTCTCTCCTGCTGAGCCTGTCCGTAAACGAATAGCATTCTACGGCTCTGCGACGATCTTGACTTGTAATTTTTGAAAACGACATAACTTGGCGAACGGAACAGGGAAACGCACAACATGGCTGCAGACCTCTCTTCGCTTTTGAACGCGTCAAAGGCGCTGACGTCCCACTTGGCTCGCCCCGACCTACCATCTGTGAACTTGTCTCTGGACCAGATTGAAGCGCAGTCCAGGAGGCTAGTCTCCAGACAGCCTGGGACCTCCGCAGATGCAGGACGCGCGTAAGTAAATCGGCCGTCATTGTTGAGGCTTCCAATATTAACAGAATTCATGACCAGAAATTATCTCCTGGCGCAGGCTCATGTCGATGCTCCCGCACTTGCAAACTCCATCGCACACTTGAACACCCAGACCACCTTTTCTCCCCTCCAAGCGCTCCAAGACACTGATGTCGCGGGCTACCTCCGCCATGCACACGAACAGAACCTCATTTCCACTATTGAAGAGGGCCGAAGAGAGACGCAGGAGGAGTTCTACCGCGTGCTCGAAGACCGAGGCCGGAGGGACTGGGAAGCACGTAAGAAACGCGTCTTCGAGCAGCTCGGCGCGCGTGTGGGTGGGGAGAACAGGGCGGTGGCGGACCTCAAGAAGAGTACGCATGGCAAGAACTTGTTATCTGTGAGTGCCATATACTGCAACTAGTGGCCTTCCCGAGAGGAGGTCCATCGACTGAGACTGACTTGCGTGCGTTTCAGGCGAGTGTGGGTCCAGCACCTACCCTGCAGATGCAGAGTAAGATGATGGCCTATGATCGTGTCGTTGCTGATCTCAACGCCTCGCGACTGCGCGGCACGTCGTACCCCATCGTTCACGCACTCGTCCAGGCGTCGCAGTCCACAAACTCTGACGTGAGTCGCTCGTAAACCAGGACATTGTACCTCTCGCTCACAACCCCCACATAGCCGCGCTCGCAACAAACCACTCAGAACTTCCATGTCCTTGCCAAAATCACCGGGGAGCCTGCATCGCTCCCTCCACTGTCTCACGCCGGCGCGCACATTCTCAATGCGCCACTCATTGAGCGCAAGTTTGCCCGTGCTTACTTGGGAGATCCTGAATCGCGGGAGGCTGTTGAGCTTCGCAGGCAGATTGCCAAGGGCGCACGCGAAGCGCTGGAGGAACAATACTGGGACGTCATCGAGCGTACCATCCAAGCGCGTGCAACGGAGGCGCGACTGGGCGGTGACCCGAGCGTGGCCAACAAGATCAGAGCGTACATCCTCCTGCGACACTACCGCAATGGCGAGTGGGAGGACAGGATCGAGGTTGGTCCACTTCAGCTCCTTCGGAATTGATTACTGACATCAGGGCATACATAGCTCGTAGCAGGCCAGCCTCTCTGGGCAAGACTGTTCTACCTGATTCGCACCGGACACGCGCAAGAAGCGCTGGAAGAAGCAACGCGCCTCCAGCAAGCGATCGAGCACCGCGAATCCAGCTTCCTCAGCCACCTGAGGGCATGGGTCGAGTCTGCAGACAGACGGCTACCCAAACCACACCGCGACCAGTTGCACGCGGCGTACAACGCGCATATGCTCCACTCTGCGACGGCAGACCCGTTCAAACTCGCTCTGTACAAACTTTTGGGTAAGATCGACCCGGCGCGCAGGAGCGTCGCGCAAGTCACAGTCACCACAGAAGACTGGCTATGGTTCCAGCTGTCGATGGTAACGTTACCTTTTGTCCTGATCGACGTACATTGGTACTTACTAGCCTTGTAGGTTGATGAGGACGAGTTCGGTGGTCTGAGAGGGCTTGCTGAGGTGCTGCTCAGCTACGGCGAACGGCACTTTGACGGCGTGCCTGGCCAGAAGGGTGCTAAGCGTGGCGTCTGGGCAGGTGTCCTGCTCATGTGTGGCCAGTTCGAAAGAGTGAGTTGACTCCGTCACCCCTCGCGACTGCATGCTCATGCATGGTCGTAGGCTGTCGCGGCGCTGTGGGACCACCACGAAACCGAGGTGGAGGCCGTTCATCTCGCGATCGCGCTCGCGTACCACGGCCTGCTCCGTGTGCCCTCACGGGCGGAGACGTCAGATGTGACGCCTTGTAAGCTCATGTACACTTCGGGTGTTCTATGTCGTCATGCTCACCGCAACAACAGTGACACTTTCCAATGTCTCGCCACCGGCTCTGAGTCTGTCGACACTGGTCTGGCGGTACATCAGGCAGTTTGTCAAGATGGACGCACGGGAAGCCCTGCAGTACGTTTACTGTGTCTGCCTGAGCGCCGACCAGCCCGGTGGCGTCGGTAAGGAACAGGTCGAGAATGCCTGGGAGCTCGTCCGTCGCATCATCGTCCTCGCAAATACTGGTCAGGCATGGGAAGAGCTCGTTGGTGGCTTCAGGCCCGACGGGACGCGCTTCGTACGTCCCCTTGATCTCTACCACCATCCACCCTCTGACATTGCTACAGAGCGGCGCAATCGAGCAGAACGCGCCCCTGCTCAAGCTCGACGACACGCGCGAGTACAATGAGCACATTCTCAACCGTGCCGCGAAGTCGTCAGAGGAGGCGGACCGCATCCCCGAGGCGATCAAGCTGTACAACCTCGCGGGCGACTACACGACCGTCATCTCGGTGCTCGCGCAAGCGCTCGGGAACACGCTCGCGCAGCCCAGCGTCGACGAGAAGGCGCGCACGGTTGAGCGCACGGCCGCGGACGTGCTGCGTCATTACGAGCGCACGAATCGTGCGGTCGGCCGCGAACGCGATGCGGTGATCCGAATGCTGCGCGTGCGCGAGGCGATGGACGCGAAGGACGCGGGGCGCGTCGAGAGCGCGCTCGAGGTGCGTTTGTTCTTTATGATGTGTGCAGATGAGAGTGGTGGCTGAGATGTGCGAACCCAGCTCATGGAGTCGACGGACCTTATCCCAATGGACGGCGACGTCGCGAAGATCACGAAGCGCGCAGAGGAGTTCCGCGAGCTGCCGGACGCGCTGCAGCGCAACCTGCAGACGTTCCTCGCGCTCACGATGGACGTCCTCGCGGCCGTGCACCAGAAGGTGAAGGCGTCGTCGTTGCCCGACGTCACGCGGCAAGCGGTATGTGTCCTTTCTCCTACCCCTGCACACAAGCTCGAGATGCTGACCGTACCCGCAGACTCTAGCCGCGCTACGCAAAAAGTCGAGGTCGCTCATCATCTTTGCTGGGAACCTCAAGTACAGGATGTCGCCCGATGTGTACTCGTATCTTGCGCGACTGGACGTGGAGATCGCGTTGTGATTGCTAGCTCTCTTTGTACTCTTCACGATATATTGCCCCGAAGGAATGGGATTACGACGTTCTGTTCGAAGCTGCTCGAGACCGCGTATTCGCACAAATACAGTGATTGTAAGCGTGGCAATTTACTGCACGGAACTACTATGCATCACTGCTGCCAAAGTACTACTGTACTCGTAGTCTTGTACCATGCCAGAGGGCAACTTGAAACGCTCAAGCACTCACCGGAGCGCCTCCTACAGATGACTATTGGCGCCCATAGGCGTCTATGTTGGGAATGGCGGTGGCGTTGTGGCGTAGACATCTTATGCCGCGTCTTCGAGCACCCGAACCACCTCTTTCTACGAAACGTATGGCAAGACAGTCGCCTTCAGTTTCATGATCGTACGGATGCAGCTGGAGCGACTGGGAGGCTGACCACGACTGCAGGGAGTCGGGCGATGGCTTGTGGCGTAGTTCTCCAGATCGGCCTACTCGGAAATTCCCCAAGGCTGGTCAGCCACCCGCAACTGCCTTCGGCGGACATGAACATCAGCGCGTGCCATCGATATCGGGGCCGCGAGCGGAGGTGGGACAATAGGCAGGCCAGATCAGGAAGCGGCTGACCGGGAAGTCGCGGTCGCGGAGTGCGAACCGCAGGTCCTGGGGATATAAGCCTGCGCGCCCGCTCCCATCCCCTCACACACCTTGCCCTCTCCCATATCATTCGCCCCCACCGAGTTCTGCCTGCTCAACGCCCTCTCCTCGAGCCGGCCGGACCGCTATATCTCCCTGCACGGCCGACGGCGGCATGCCCATTTCGACGCCACATTCGAGTACACCTTCGCCACCGTCGCCGCCATCGCTGTTCCACGCGTCAACCAGCCGCAGACATCGCTTGGCATCGCTCAACACCTTTGCGCGATGCCGCCGAGGGTCGATTCCACACGCATGGCCGGAGACCTTGAAGCCATGTTGCGCCACATCGAGGTCGACGGGCGCTTCCACCCCCGCCACTTCGGCGCGCTCACGGACAACACGGGGCACTCCTCCGGTACGCACGTCGTCATGATCTATGCCTCAAGGGGCTGTCCTCTGAGAGGTCGACGGGGGTAGAGGCGATAAGCGACGCTACCACAAGGCAAGAAGTCGACAACTACGTACCGTCGACGCAGTCGAAGACGGGCGTACGCACGATGAAGCTATGGCGCGCCGCAGGTGGTGAAGTCGCCCGAGTGTGCACCGCGCACCTCTCCCGATGTCGTATCGCACCGTCGCCGTCGCAGGAAACAGCTCGGACAACGACTTTGGCAGCTCCGCGGTCGCCCGCACAGACGAGCCGCCACCCCTCGGAACGTGGTCCCCGTCGGTGAAGACCTTTCAAGTCTTCGAGAGCAGCCGTCGTCGCTGCCTATATGCGAGCAGCATTGAGCGCAGTGCGGCCTGACGCGCTGTGCTGCTTCGCAGGAACATCAAGCACAGCCACAACAAGGCAAGGACGTACAAGTGCACGGCTGGGTCGTCAAGCTTTCAAGTCTCCATCCGACGCACTGTGACGCACATGTTGAAATCGTCCTGGGATACCGACGCGAGACAGTCAGAATCTTGGGCGAACACCAGTGCCGCGCCGCGCTCCCTATGGCTATAGGAACGTACGGCGCTGCTTGGAAATCGGGACCACTACGGGGACACCTATAGCGCCGATCAGCAAGAAGTCCCTGAACTTAAGACTACACGCAAATATAAACACAAGACATACCTTCGGACCTACACCCGGAATAATGGATGCGAGCACGCCGGAGCCTATGGAATCAGCGACGACACGAACATTGGAGACCCGTTGCGCAGGCTGTCTAAGGACTATCTAGCGGTAATGGACTACGACCGCCACACGGAGACCACACATGGGAAGCACAAGGCCTCGGAAAAAAGTGCGGCCACCCTGCGCAAGCGGAATACAGTGCCGAGCTAGGGGCATCCCCGCTACCCGAGCCCAAAATGCAAATCCAACAAGCCAGTGGCGAACAAATATGTTTCCAAGGTCGGCCGGTGCGCCCTTGGAAATTTGACGGGAACCGACGAAAGATAATGGGAATGGGGATGGGGGGCGAACCCCACTGCCGCGCCGCGACCATGCGGTGTTGGCAAATTGGAGCCACTACGGGGACGCCTACGGTGCCGATCAGCAAGAAATCCTTGGATCCAAGTCTACACGCGGATAACAAACACAAGACATACCCTCGGCCTTATACTTGGAATGTGCCAGTGGGACGCGAGGGCGGAACTTATGGAGCCAGCAACGACCTCGACATTGGAGACACGTGACCTCAGGCGTCCAAGTACTTTTCCGCCGACGACTGTCCCAGGGAAGCCACAAATTTCGAACCCAAGGCCTCGGAGGAAAGTGCAACCACGGAACCTGCGCAGGCAGTCGGGGCATGCCCGCTACCAATGCCCAAAATCCAACCCAATGGCGGACGAACGTTTAACAGTTCGGCCGATTCGCCCTTGGGATTGAAGGGGAAATGCCTAGCCAGCAATGACAGGCCGCAGCAAAAATATCGTGGACGGCGCATCCGGTAGACCACCGATAGCAAAAAACGAACTCGACAAAACTCAAGGCCGGGAAATGGAAAATGAGACGTACCTTGCACCAACGCCAGGCTACAACCTTGAGGATCAAATTATTTCGGGACTGCCAGTGGTACTCCCGGGGACTAAAAGGAGTTACGCACGAGACCGCAATATGTCGATGACTGCTATACCATGCAACAACCTGCGACATCCACGCCAAAGCACAAACAAATAAAAATCGCAAACGGAGAAGAAAGCCCAAAGCATCATTTGCACAAGTAATGCACAACTGTGCTACTCCGTGCCATGAAAGCATGACACAACCGGTCGTGCGATCGTCACTGGCCCATGATACTAGTGTCCATGAACACCTTACCTTTCCACCAATAAATGGTGGCCATGAACCATATGGATATCTGGGGTAAAATGTTTGGGCCACTTCACCACGCAAACCAAATCTTATCAGTGTACTGGTGGCAGGGCGGGCAAGCCCAAGGGGCGAAACCTGAAGAACGATTAGCGCCATTCCAGCCAAGAACAACAAGGATTTATATGCACGGATACAGCCTCCTTCGGATCGAAATCAAGGTGACCCGGCGCAGACACGGATAGAGTTGAAGTCGAAACGAAGAATACTACTCAGAGCCGCAGACGATCTGCGAAAAATTAGTCGATAGTCACCAAGGCTTCGTCTAAGTGGTGTAAACGGTAGTATGTGATACCACGTTGTCGACGTTTGTTGCGAGAATGATCGTGGGAGTGTCCGCTCGCCTTGTATGCTATTCCGTCCCATCGGGCGATCATAATCGCAACATATGAATGCCGAAGCATACACTATTCTCACCGGGACTTACCAGTCGCGCAGCACGAGAGCACACGCTGAAATTGAATAAATCGAAGCAATTTGGCACTCACAATCGCCCACCGTCCACACGCTGAGCAGAATATCGACACATCCACAGGTAGTGTAAGCATGGATGGTCTTCTGTATTCGGTAAACAAACACCTACAAGAGCAATGCACGCCTCGTCGTCTCGCCACGTCAAATCTGAGCCATTTTACCGCTGTGCGGGAAGCATCTCTTCGTCCTCCGCTTCGCCATCCTCCACAGCGTCTTCTTCCTCGCCCCCGTTTTCTTGCACGGCCGCGGCGCCAACCTGAGCTTCATTCCTGCGCGTCTGTAGATGTTATCGATAATGACAATTATGAGCTGTTTGTAGTAGGGTGAGGGAGGTGAATCTTACGTGGTACACGGCCGTCCAGTACCCGCTCCAGTACATCGCGGTCATCGCCCTCGTGAACGCCTCGTCCTGACTCACCATGGCTGCCTCGGCGCCCACCCCCAGCGCGGCCGCGCCGTCCATTGTCGGCGCAGGGATAGCCGAACCACCTGCAGCGAGCGAGGGGTCGTGCACGGGCACGAAGGTGTCGAAGTTCAGCGGAGTCGAGTCCGCATTCGTAGCGGCGCCATTCGAAGCACCCGAGGGGCCTGCTTTTGGCTTCGAGGTGGTCGCGGGAGGGACATTGTACCACCTGGCATAGGATAGCTGGGGTTAGCATGATAACAGATATTACGAAACATTGAATGGGAGCTGACAGAGGTGATTTTTTCACGGGCTCGTCCTTCCAGCTCTTGCCCTTCCCATGAAAGGCCTATTCGAGAGTCAGCATTCTGCACGAGAGCGCTGCAAGTATGTCCACGCACCTCATACTCTGCCGCCGCGCTGTTCCACGCGTCGATCAGCGCGGAGTCGTCCCAGATTTCGTCCTGGGTGAGCTCGCGGCTCTCGTCCTCATCCGCCTCGCCCTCCTCCTCGTGGTACTCGGCGTGCCGTGCGCTGCTTCCCGCAGACGGCGCGGGGGCGTCGTCGTACATCATCGGCGGCTCCTGGCTGCCAGGGTCGTCCCAGTGCTGCTGGTGCGCTCTTCCGCCGCCCGCGTACCCCTGCCTGTGCTGGTGCTGGTTCTGGTTTTGGTTCTGGTTCGTCCTGCGCTTCTTCGCTGGTGGTGGCACTGGGGGTGGGTTGGTGCGCGGTGTGGGTTCGGGCGCAACTATGTCGTCGTAAGATATCAGAGGCCGCATCCCTGCAGACATGTCCCTGCGGTTAAGAGGCGACGGGCTACGAGTGGTAGGATGAGGTGCGAGAGGTGCGAGAGAGAGGTCGAAGAGTACCGGCACGCCGCCTCAAATTTGGCGCTCGACATTGGGCGCTTATGACCAGCCGCCGCTTCCTTCTGACTACCATCTCGTGCAGCCTGCTGCTCGTGCCTACGCCTCACAGAGGCCGAAGCCAGTCATATTTACTACGAAACTGCTCCTGAGACACCCCTAAAAATGACCACAGAATACCGCTCCGTTATAGAAGCGATCGAGACGCTCCTCTTGCAAGTCAAACAGCAGGCATGCGCTATTTCGTCGTATGTGTATATATTTCATGAGATCCACGAAACAACGCCCTTACAGAGTTTTGCTCGCAGAGAAAAAAACTGTACGTCTGAAAACCTAACGTATGATCATCCGTATACTCAAGCGGTCGTCTTGACTGCGTGCAGCTGCTTCACGTCAAGCACCGTATGACGGAGACAATGGCTGACATCGACGAGGTCCTCAATGCACGACGACCGTTTTTGTCCATCCCTACAGAACTGCTACAGGCTATCATGGAGTTCATTCCCGACCCAGTTGATTTGCGGACCTGGGTTATGTATTGGCCTGTCTGGCACGCCACTGCGCGTGATTCTACCATGATCGTCCCTATCTCCCAGACCTGCAGGCGACTTCGCTCTATCGCTCTAGGCTGTCCTTCCTTGTGGAAAAGCTTCCCATGGAGTCCTCATTCACGATCGCATCAACTTATCCAGAGAAGCCAAGGCATGCCTCTCAAGGTTTTGCTGCCGATACAGGAATTCTCAACCCTCGATCTCACTCTCGCCGACGCTGCAGCAGACATCGAAGCGAGTGTCAAGGAGCTTGAAATCGCCAATTTCCCATATAGCAAGACTACCGACGCCCTCTGCTCTAGATCTTTCCGGATGCTCGAGTCGCTCACAATCCAATGGACACTCGAAAACAACAGTCTCAACGCTATGTGGCCCGAAGGGAATATCCTACTCCTCACGAAGGATTGTGCGCCGCGACTCAGGCGCCTCGCCTATTCCTCGGGCAGTCTAGCCTCCCTCGATATCCTGTGGTCCCTCACGCATCTTGCGCTCCACAACGTCATGGAGAGTCGTATACACGATGGAATCACAACCATGCTTTCCGCGTGCCATGCCCTCGAATCGCTGCATCTTGAAGGCGTCACAGATTTTGACCACCAGTTAAATTGGGCGGGTGTGTATCGACCCCTCCCTACGCCTTCTCCCCTGCTGGGGTGTCGTCTACTCCGCCGAGTCGCGCTCGTGTTACTGAAGGCTCGTTTAGCCTCTTTTATCCTCTCACTATTAGCAGAGCAGTCAACACTTGCCGTGCAGCTACTTGATATGCGTCTTGTAGGGGACGCCAACGTTTCGTATCCTCCTCGTCTTTTACCTGGCGGCATTTCGAAAGCCATCATCGGGAGATACCCCCGACCCAGCTGGCCTTCCGAACGTGGGCCCCCTTTCGTGTGGGGAATAACGCTGTCTAGCTTGGAGCATACCGTCCGCCGAACTGGGGAGGCGTTGACAGACATCATCGACATGCTCTATCGAGAGGGCGCCGGCAGCGGCGCATTTGAGGGCGTGCAGGAGCTGTGGCTTTCGGACGTCTTCCCTACTACCTGCGACGAGCTAAACACGCTGCACTCTCCCGAAGCGAATCAAGTTCGTGCCCTCATCCAATGCATGTCCGGACTCGAGTGCGTGACGCTCGTGAACCAGTTCCAGTCGCCATGGACCGGTGCCCCCTCAAGCCTCCGTCTGCTCCCCGATGCACGGGAAGACGGACGTTTCGGATCTCGCCCAGCTACGGTACGCATTGCGTACGGGTACGGAGAGTACGTCGTGGAACGATGGTCCGAGCCTCGACCGAAGCTAGTCCCCGCCGTGCCGCCCCTGGACCTCACTGGCATCCTCGAAGAGCTCGCGACTGGTGCCTACAGCTACATCGAGAAACTGGTGATCGAGGTTCCTCGTCGTGTGGACGTCGACATGGGAGACATCGAGCAGCGCCGCGCGCGCGTTGGGATAGTGGACCTGAGGGTGGTGGATTCGACCCCGACGATGGAACTCCCGGAATATTGTGCTGAACCCGCCGCGATTCTGAGCGACGAGCCGTGGCCATACAGACTTTGGTAATACACGTCGCTCTCGGTGCAGTCATGGGGCTCGGCACTACTAATCATGATCTTGCGTTTATTCACCTGGATCTGTGTAGAATGACCGCCAGGTCCAAGGCGCCTCAGAACTCGGTGGACTTGATGACATTGGTATTCTAATAGTTCGGAGCATACGAGTAGCACAACAGAATGATATGCCATTGAATATATAACTAGCGACTCGTAAACGCATGCCCTTTGGCGAAGACATCAAAACGTTAAGACGTGGACACTTCGTACCGATCAGAAGTAACAAGCGCTAGCTACTCCGCACCGCTTTCCATCTATACAACTCGTTGACAGGCACAAACCTGCGACGAGTACCTGCCAATTCGGACAACATCGTAGAGGTATTGAGAAATCACAGAAACCATACTGGCAACGAAACCTGGGGGCCTTTACGTCGCATTGCGGAGGTCCATGACGCGGAGCTTGAACTCGCCGGAGTCGCTGCTCGCATGACCTGGTCGCGGCTGGAATAAATAGGAGCGGTCGGTAAAGTAGTAAGGATTCCATAATACTAGCACTCAACGCACCGATCAGAACCCGCGCTTCGCTTAATGGAAGTACTCAGACGAGTACTGGGAAACGGACAGCCAAGCTTCGTCCAGAACCTTCACGACCTCCTCGGCTGTAAAACATCCTGTCATGAGCAACACGGACCATCAAAACATCGCAACAGATACTCACGCAGCGGGCCCTTCTCCAAATCGACCAAGTTCTGCACCGTGCAAACAGCCCGTTTAGCCAGCCATCATGGCACCCCATACCCAGTGACCGAGCGAGGAACACGCACCTCCTTGATGTGCTTGACGCTGGATGCGCCGATCAGGACGGCGTCGCCGTGCTCGGCGCGCAGGAGCGAGTGGTGCGAGATCCAGCGGAGCGCGACCTCGGCGAGCGTGAGGCCGTGCTTCTTGGAGACCTCCTCGATCGCCGCGAGGGCCTTGGAGTACGGCTCCTTCCAGTAGCGGGCACGATAGGCCTACACGCTTTCGTGAGCATAATGGAGGAGGGCGAGGAAGCGGAAGCGAACGGACCTGGCCCATGTACCTGTTTGGGTCGAAGCGGGACCCGGGCTCCACGCTGTCCTCGAGAGAGTGGTAGCGACCGGTGAAGAAGCCGCCGCCGACTGCGCGGGTGTCGCATCAGCATTCCAAAAATCCATAATGCCGTCGAGGCCGCGGAGAACACGTACGCGGGTTGAACTCGTAGAAGGCGATGCCGAACTTGCGCAGGCACGGGAACAGCTCCGGCTCGACCTTCCTGCATCACGCGTGGACGCGTCAGACATGCCCAGCAGCAGACTCTCGACGGCCGCGGGACGGACCTGTGTATGGCGTTATAGATGCCCTGGTACACTGCAGGCTTGACGTAGCCCTTCGCCTCGCAAATACCGACAATCTCTGCGACTTCCCAGCTGTCACACGCTTCGCGTTAATATTTGTGACGCATCCGACAGGCGGGGGAAGGGTACTCACGACATGTAGTTGGAGATACCGAACCGCTTGAACTTGCCCTCCTTGTAGAGGTCGTTCACGCCACGGAGGGTGTCCTCGTAGGGCGTCGTGCGGTCAGGGCCGTGCAGGTACCACATGTCGAGCGAGCTGCACCACAAACGCATCAGTTGGGCTTGTGGGCGACAACACCGAAAGTGCGCACTCGGTGTTGAGCGTCTTAAGCTGGCGGTCAAGGAACTTGCGCAGGTCCTGTGTGGTGCGAGGGTCAGTGATGGATGCCCAAGAACGAGACCGACACTAGACGGCGCACCTCCGGGGAGTGCGAGACAGTCTCGATCCCGAGAGCGGCCCAACGGGGGTCACCCTGCAACGCACGTTCGTGAGCCGTAATCGCCAAAGACAGCTTGGAGGGAACGATAACACACGGCGTTGGGGTAGAGCTTCGTGTCCATGGCCAGCCCACGCTCCTTCCAGTTTATCTTGCCGAGGAGCTCCTCGCTCGTGCCCTGGCTGTAGGTCTTCGCGGTGTCGATCTGTGCCAGATATTGCGTTTGCGGTGAGAGTTGCTCCAGCCAGAGATGGCAAAGATATAAGGGTAGGATGTACACACCTCATAGTGGCCGTGCGACTGAAAGACGTCGAGGATGGCCTTGATACCCTCCAGGTCGTGAACGCGCGCACCTGTGGACGGTCAGGAATGCTGCTCAGCGTATGGAGGGACGACGGCACAGACCTTCTTTTCCCTTCTCGCCAAAGGTCATGGCACCCTAAGCACAGCAAGAGCATGAGCGTACGAAGGGCGATCGTGCATGGTCGATGTGCCTACCATGACGATGTTCAGGGTGCTCTTCTGCTCGGGTTTCAAGACCATCTTGATGCTTTAGAAGTTGTGAGGGGAGGTGTACTCGACAGCGGGGGTTGAAGTGAGTTGGGTATGAGCAGGATGGGTGCGCATCCCCCGTATTTATGGCCTCCAGAATGTAGAAGAGCTCCTGTGGGCGCCAGTCATACTTTTTTACAGCGCGGGCGCAGCAGCTCCGTCTTTATGCCGACCGGGCATTCATAGGAGGGTTGAAGGCAGCATCCTGGGGCGTTGAGCTATACAGCAGTCATAAAAAATGACAGGGTGGGTCTGCCGACCCAGGGTATGTTTGGTCGTGGGGAGAAATCGGACTCGTGAACGTGAGGCGTCGACTGCTTCCAGAGCTTCTCCTCGACTGATGAGGCACGAGTTATCACGAGCCCGCCTGAGCTGCGCGCATTGCGCAATTGCAATACGTCGACGCTCGCTGTACGGCATAGTCCGTGTGGGCCGCGGCATCGATTATGTATGGAATTGATATGCTCACAGCGAGTGGGGAGTTGCGGGGAGGAGTTTCAGGAACTCACGGTGCCAGGCACCATATCTTACTCCATTCAAAGCGTTCAGAAGATGCGCTAATCGCCCATCACTGGAAAGATGAGGTCTAACGGCTCTGTCCTGCGAAATGCTCCGATGAGCAATGTTCGGACTGAAAGTATATGCGATATCGCAAAAAACCTTACCAGTGACATATCGCCACGGGGCATGCTGGTTTCTCAACGGCGCCTTTCATGATATCATCATGCCCCTTCTCATGACAGAAACCAGTGGGTTATAAAGGAGCCTAGTAAAGCAGGGGCCCCGGGTATGTGACAAGACTGACCACATCCGAGTCGGAACCGGGATTTGACCAAAATGTATCAGCATGCCTTTCGATACACCCATAGACAGCGTAATCGATGTGCGTGCAATTTCGGTCTCTGTTATCATAAAATATGAACGGTTCAATATCGGTAATGTGAGGCAAGTCAGATGCCGGAGTATGAAAAGACTCACCACACTGGCACATCCGACGCGAGATGCGGTCCCGTCCGCTACCGCCTCGCTCCCCCTTCAGCGCAGCAAAGCCTGAAGCTCGCATACGTTGTAGATGACTCGAACTCAAGGCTGCGCTGATACACATGGAACTACGCATCCTATTGTCATGCCAGGGCTTAGGCAAAAATGGCGGGTTCCTGTCGACGTCACTGGTGGCATCCGAGTCAGCGCAACATCAGATTGACCCACATACTTGTCGCGTGTACAATAAATCGACGCGGTCTATAACGCCTGCTCGAGGCCATTTTCAGAGCATCAAGACTGTGGCCGTGAATATGCTGGAGAATAAAGGGCGATCTTCCTAAGCGGGTTGCATGGGGAGGGAGTGACACAAATAGGAGCAAACAGGGCGCACCGCCTATCTAGTAAATGTTTACGCGCCTGTACGAAACGGCGATTGCCTCCGACCTCCATCAGGCCAATTGTCGTTGACATCGGACCCGTCCATATTCAAACTTACTCTGAACCTCGAGCTCTCAAGCACATCAAAATAAACTAGAAATGACACCAGAAGAATCCTCTCTCTTGGAGAGCGTTCGAGTGTTCGTCGCGCAACTCAAGCTGCAAACACGCGCCATCCCAACGTCGTACGTGAATACAGAATATTTTACAGTTCAAATGAAAAGATCTTACCAAAGGTTGAACTCCACAGTAAAGATGGCGTACGTTTATAGCTTGGAAGTGGGTCATAGACGACCTTGCGGCTGAATGATTCCGTTATATTCAACAGCTCCTTCGGATTACGCAATTTATGGCCGAGGCAACATGCGATGTTCATTCGCTACTCAACGCGCGCCAGCCTCTCCTCTCCCTCCCGACAGAACTCTTGCAAAATATCATGGCGTTCATCCCCGATGCGGTCATTCCCCCATATATGAACCAAACTCTACCTGTCTGGCGCGTCGACCTGTACGACACAACCATGATCATTCCTATCTCTCAGACTTGCAGGCGGCTTCGCGACGTCGCAGTGGGCTGTCCTTTCCTGTGGACGAGCGTCGCGAATTGCCCTCGCGTACTATCTCAGACACTTGCCCAGCGGAGCCAAGGTCTCCCCTCGAACGTTTCTTTGCCTGTAGGCAACTCCGAGGACTATGATCTAGTAGCCATTGCGGAGGACCTGCCAACAAGACTTCAAGAACTTCACGTCGGCCAGCTTCCCTGCGACGACTACGAGAAGTTCGAGATGGTCACGCATCATATGTTCTCAAATCCTCTGCCGATGCTCGAATCCCTTTCTGTGAAATTTCGTGGCCGCGAAGGTCCGCTCAATCGGGACGGGACGTACTCCTTCGCTTTGTGTCCTCCCCAGGACTGGGCCCCCAAGCTCCGACGCCTTTGTCTGTACTCATGCGATCTAGACTCCAATTCCATCATATCGTCGCTCACCCATCTGGCACTCGTTGACATACGCATACAACTCGTGCATGTGAGAATCAAGTCTATCCTGTCGGTTTGCCGCGCCCTTCAGTCCCTGCATCTCGATGACCTCACAGACTACGATCATCCAGACGGCGCACCATCTAGGTTCTCTCTTCCGAAGCCGACTACCCTACCAGACTGTCGCCACCTCCGCAGGGTCTCTCTTCGAAGATTGGAAAATTATCTGGTATCTTTCTTCTGCTCCCTTGTGCTGGCAGAGCAGCCCGAGTTCGTGCTACAGTTGCTCGAAACCTGGCAGAACCATAGCCACGGGCGTAGGCGGCCATCGTATCCCCCTTTTCCCAACGGCATCTCGCGATTCGCCATCGGTCTATATCCTTCTCACCCAAATGGCCCCATCTATCGGTTCCTATGGGCGATGACTGCATGTGGTACTCGACACACTCTCCGTGCGACTGCGAAGGCTTTGCAGGACATCGCGGGACCCGTGCTTCTCGACGCTACTGCAGCTTTCGCAGACGTGCGCGAGCTCTGGCTGTCAAACGTCTCTGCCCAGACATCAGCCTCCCCATCTCCCAATCAGACTGCCCTTCTCAAGGCCGTCATCGCAACCATGCCCTCCCTCGATACCGTCGTACTTGCAAACCACTTCCACGCGTCCTGGCCACTCAGTGGACGCCCTAGTCTCTCCCTGCTCCCCGACGCGCGGAGCCCCATTCCCTGGCCCCGTATCACAACCTTGCGCATCGTGTATGGGTCCGGTCCCCGCATATGGGAAGGGGGGGACGACGGCCACCTACGCGCGGTCTACTGCGATTGGCTCGACCTCAATGGCATCCTCTACGAGCTCGCGTCGGGCGCGTACGACTACCTAGAGCACCTCGTGATCGAGGTGCCGCACGGTGTATACGTCGACGATGAGGACGTCGTGCGGCTCCGCGGGTACTTCAAGACGACGCGGATCGTGGTGGTCGACGAGACACCCACCATGGCGCTCCCGGAGTACTGTGTCGAGCCGGCGGCGTGGCCGCGCCATGTCGATGAGCCGTGGCCGTACCGTATATGGTGACACGGACGGTGCGTGGTTGGCGACTTTCCTTCGTATGACGATGTCTCATGCGCCCGTATCATAGCTTGTATAGGCTAGCTTAGGAACTGACGTTTCCGCGTCACCGGAAAAGTATAACGCTGCCGTCTAGCGGGCGCGTTTCCCCGTATTGCGGTGGGCGCTCGAATATCTAGGGTGTCTTCTATCAATGCAGTGACATTTCTTGGAGTCCTAAACCGGCCTCGAACATGCGCGCGACATCTCAAGCTTGGGTATAGCGCGGCTTTCGGTGTATCTTCAGTCTGACAGCGCTTACTCGTATCAGGTTAGGTTTATCGTTCTGGTACGTGAGCGTATGGGAAAATCTGTCAACCGCACGTCTCTTGCACAGGCATGACAGCTCCCGCGTACCTGGCTATACCCAACGGCGAATCGTTCACTCAAGCACCTAGAGCTCGACACGTCGTCGCAAGTTGCCTCCCACCACCATCGCCGTCTAAGCACCCCATAGTTTGATCCCTCAACCTCAGCAAAAACGATCGAAAGTTTCCGACAATGACTCCAGAGGAGCAGTCTGTAGTAGAGAGCATCCAAACGCTCTTGGCCCAAATCAAAGAGCAGACACGGTCAATAACATCGTACGTAGTTCCCTTAGAATCCCTATTCGCAACGCTGACTTACAGTACTTCGAACTCGAATTGTACAGACACGACGCTGTACGTCCTCACTTCATCTTTTGGGCGGATACCATATTGCAGCATACTCATCTTCACGATAGTTCGCTCGCATAACGCAGTTGATGTTCAGCGCCACCACGGATCTGTGCGAAGTCTCGAACGCGCGGCGGCCTCTTCTGTCTATGCCCACAGAGCTGCTGCAGAATATCATGGCATTCATCCCCGATGCGACAGTGGCCCCTTCATCGAATGTGCTTCCCCCGATATGGCATGCCGCGGTGTACGACACGATGATGATCATTCCCATCTCGCAGACATGTCGGCGGCTGCGTCAAGTCGCATTGGGGTGTCCTACGTTATGGACAAGCCTCGCGGATGGTCCCCCTGCGCTGGCCCACAAACGTGCTCGGATATTCGCGCAGAGAAGTCAAGCCGCACCCCTCAAGGTCTACTTGCCCATAGGGCGGGGAGTCCGAGCGTATGAGCTGACCGACATCGTGGAGGGCTCACCCTCGCTGCCTTGGCCGGTCCAGGAGCTTCATGTGGCCGACCTACCCTCACCCAACACCAAAGAAGATTTGGAGCGCCTGTTCGACGCGAGGCCTATGCCGCTGCTCGAGTCGCTCTCCGTGCAGTTCTGCGACAACCCGCTGAACCACGAAGATCAGTACCACTTCGACGTGCCCGGTCTCATGCCGGAACATGTCCCGCGACTTCAGCGCCTCTACTTGGGCTCGTGCGATCTCGTCAACAGAGACATCATGGGCTCTCTCACTCATCTGGCGCTGCACAGCATCACCGTGAACCACGTCCACAAGAAGATTGAGTCCATCCTGTCTGCATGTCTCGTGCTCGAATCTCTGCACCTCGAGCAGATCGAGGATCTCTTCAGCCCGCCCGAGCCCCCGCCGGAAGAGGTGACCGTGCACGAGTTCTACCACCGGAAGCCTAGGGCTCTCCCCTCATGCCGCCGCCTCCGCCGGGTCACGCTCCTGAAGATGTACGGCTACCTAGCCTCGTTCATCGTCTCCCTCGTGCTGTCCGACCAGCGCGGGCTCGCGCTACAGCTGCACGGCATCAAGACGTCTCCCAACCCTCAACTTCCCGACGACCTCCTCATCGGCACTTCGCAGCTTGCCATCGGACGCTATCTCTGCCGTTGCGATCTCCATCGTTCTATCCCATGGGGGATCACAGCGGTAACACCCGAGCGCACGTTCCGTTCCAACGCGGCTGCGTTAGAGGACGCTACCGCCCCGCTCGGGAGCGATGGGCCGCTGATGAGCGTGCACGAACTATGGCTCGTCGACCTCCCATCAGCCGGCCCCGACGAGGAGGACGTTCCACCTGAAGATCTAGATGCCGCACTCATGCTCAAGGCCACCATCGAGTCCATGCCCGCGCTTGAAACCGTTGTGCTCGCGAACCACATACAGCTCGCGTGGATAAGCACCGCGCGCCCGAGCCTGCACCTCCTCCCCGACATACCCTCGGCCGTCTCCTGGCCATCCATCTCCACGCTGCGCATCGTGTACGGGTACGGGCCCGAGGTGCAGGACCCGAGGTCTCTGCCCGTGGACATGCACGCGCTCGTGCCCTCTTTGGACTTGACCACTATCCTGGAGGAGCTCGCATCGGGCGCGTACGACTACCTGGAGCACCTCGTACTGGAGATCCCGCCTTTCGTCCGCGTCGACGCGCGGGATATCGAGCGGCTGCGCGGGAACTTCGAGACGGCGGAGGTGAGGGTGGTTGACAAGATGCCTGGGATTGCCCCGCCGGAATACTGCGTCGAGCCGGAGGTGCGGCCGGGGGACGCTGGGGAGTCGTGGTCGTGTCGACTCTGGTGACCGCTCTGGCGTGTGACGGCGGCACTGTTGTCATGATATCTCCCGGGGGTGGGTACAATGTAACAGGATGATGTTCTGGGTATCTCCCGGGTAGTCGCGACGCTCGCAAACATGCGTGCAGTAGGGCGAGGCGAAAACTGAAGATTTGATGCTTGGGGAAACTCGCCGGATCCGCGCCAACGATAGGACACCATGCCGCAAACACGCATTGTGGAAGCAACCCTGCTCAGTTCTTCCATGACTGTGTACTTCGGCGGCAATGAATGCGAACGTCTCGATGTCGATGACGCATAGAGTGAGCAAAGGACGAAGACTATTCAAGGGAGAAAGTGGGTACTCGCAGCGGAAGCTCGGCACTACGCCATGATCCTTGGAAGGGAACAGTTAGGCGCGATGAGCCCATTTCCAGGGAAGACTTCTCGCTCACAGCATGCATGGATATTGCGGGACAACCACGACGTACCCGGAAGCTCATATGTACTGACATCATACACACCTCAAACCTTGCGCGTCGACAATGCAACTTTGAGTAGCGATGAAACATTGATGAGATAGCAGGACAACGTGTCGATAGCTGTTATACAGGACGATGTAAAATGTACCCGGAAGTAATGGACGCCGTACCGCGTCTTTACTCCTCCTCACTCTCCGTGTCCTCCGCCTCGTCGAGCCACTATTCAGGACCATCAATATTTGAACTGAACATGAGAGCGCAACAGAATGTACCTTGAGGAAAGGCTCGCTGGCCTTGCGAACCTTCTTCGAGGTGTCGCGGTCCACGTACTTCTTGCTGACGTGTGTGCCCCACTGCTTCAGCAGCTCCTCGTCGAGGACGTCCACTTGGTAGAACTCCATGAGGATCTTCGGGATGGCAGGGATCAGGTCGGGGTGCAGCACACCGACGAATCGCTCGATGCCGCCCAGCAGAGCCTTCTGGTGCTTCTCGGACGTCACCATCTAAATAGCCTTGTTAGTATTTGCTACCCTCATCGAACACCCGACACGACATACCTTGACGAAGAGAGGAGCATACTTCGGGATCTCGGTGACAATATCCTCGGTAAAAAGCGTCTGCGAGATGACCTGCACGGTGTTGTGCTTCTTCGCAATGCCGAGCTCCTCAGCCTTCTTGTAGATCTCGACGGCGCCGATGTCGCGGTTGTCGGAGATCCAGTGACCGAGCTGAGAGAAGGGACTGTCGGCGTCCTCATCGCTGTCCTCTTCGCCCGCGGCGACAAGGGAGACGCTGGCGAGGGAAGCCTCAACCGCCTTCATGCGCGCCCTGACAGCCTCAGGGGAGGTGTCCGCAGACCAGTCCTCCTTGGCAATAGCGGCATCGGCGTTAAGCTCCGCAGCCTCAGCCCTGATGCGCTTGGTGAGCTCGTCGTCACTCTCGCCGCCAGCGTCCTCGTCGCCCTCGCCGTTCTCGCCGCCGTTAGGGCTCGGGCTGCCGTCCGCGGTAGCCTTGCGCTTGCTCTTCTTCGGGTTCTTCGGCGGGTTCTTGATGATGTACGTCGTGAGCTTGTGCCGCATGTCGACGCCGGTGCGCTCGCCGCACGCCTTGCAGTCGCGGATGATGTCGTCGCTCTTGGTGATGATCAAGTCCGTCTCAGGGTTCTTGCACGCCTTGCACAGCACGAACTTCTCGATGAAGCCGTCAAGGAGCTCGCGGAGTTTGGCAGCGTCGTGCGCGCCGTTGACGATGTAGCGATCGTTCTTCTCATCGAGCACGGTCTGCGCGCCAAGCTCGCATCCGAAGAACTTGGTCGGATACGTGGGCGGGCGGCTGAGCGCGCGGGCCACGTCGGACATGTTCGGGATGACGGTCTTGATACCGTTACCCTTGCCCTCGATTTTGGTCAAGAGGACAGGCATCCTGAGAGGATATTCCATTCAGGTAAAACTCTAAAGCTCGTGGGCATGGGGTTACTCACCGGTAGCGGTAGAACTTGTCGTCGACATCACGACGAATGTTTACAACAGCCATATTGGAAGGTTTTCACCGCTAGATGTCATGAAGTCATCGGTAAGCTGGTCGGGCAAGCGCAGAGAGTAGATGACGGACAAAACTGAGTAGATGAAGCGGAAACTGTCTTTTGTGAGTCGGAATATTGTTTGGAGGTCGAAGCATGAATCCTCTGCTTGCACAGAAGATGTCGGAGATGGTGGGGGAGTAGGGCGCAATGGTGGACGACAGGACGACGGCGGGCGACGAGCGAGCGGACTCTCGAGGTGGTGGTAGGAGTGTGAGCCCTGTCCGCCCGCCCACAGCCAATTTACACCCTCGGACCTTCCCGGCGCGGATTACGTAACTGCCAGCTGAGTAAACGTGCGTTCTCCGCCGACTTGCTGCACCACGCACAACTTACAAAATTCAGTGTGGTATTTTGAGCGTCATGATGGGGCTCTATGAGGCCCAGAACTTCATCTGGGAGCAAGGAGAACGCGGGGGATGTGCCGCGTGGTCTCTGTGTCCGACAGGTGCTGTCCGCTTTATTAGCGCTAACGCGCCGTGCATTCCGTGGCAAGACGGCAGGGGACTTGGCTTTCGGTCGACAAGAACTTATTCGAACAGGTAGTTTATTAGCTGGGTAACAACCCGTACATTCACGCTATTCCCTAACAACTTGTACTTCGTTTTCGTGGTGATCTGGTCAGGCCAAGCAAAGAAGGACGCCGAGTCAGTGGACGGAGGAGGCAGAAACTCGAACAGGCGGAGCAATTCAGTGGGAGAAAGATACCGCAGACGGAGCGGACGTAGTAGCCGGACCGCGTTATCATCTCCTGCGCGTTGTGCATCAAGGAACGTGTCGAAAGTGCGGGTGGTCTGCGAACGACGTGAGTATCGCGGCCGGCAGAAATTAGACTCTGACGATGCTCACGTCGAGGTCCTCATTCATCTGTAAGACAGACCCGGCGCGCTCTACTAGTTTGGTGTACCCTATAATTACGATCAGCGCCGCCCTACCGTCCGTCGGAGGGTCCACGGGAAATGCACGAACCACGAGTGAAGCAGCATGTCCGCCTGGCAGAAGGCAGGACGATGTCGAAGAGCCGACCCCATTTCTCCAGCACCTTCTCTGGGATGGCATGCGGATGCGGCTCGACGGAGGACTCTTCGTCGAGATAATTTCGGACCTCCGTGACAGCACCAGGTGCTTCCTCACCGGAGAGCGTTCTCGTATCGACCCAGTCGGTTCCGCGGCCCGGTATATGTCGCCAGACCCGGTCTTCTTGTTCACTCGCTCCCACAAATTCTGAAGGGCTGAACTTCGCAAGGAGATAATACCGGAGACGGGAGTTGGGAATCCCGAATTGCAAAGGCGTCAAGAGTAGCTCCAGGGTGGTATAACCCAGAGTACGCAAGTTTGCAACCAGCCGTTCGCGGGTGCTGGACGACTGCGTGGTAATGGATATCAGTCTATCCCCGCGACGGCGTTCCTCCGAGTACGGCGCACCTCAAATCCAGCGACGTTCTCGACGAGCAATTTTTGCGGATGCTTCCGCAGTCGAACAAGCTCGGGAAGAACGCTCTCCATGAGCCGAATAAACGACTTCGCGCGCGGATCCTCGGCACCCTTCGCCAACGGGTTCAGCACCGTGTAAGGCTGACAGCTAGGCGAAAGCAGCCATAGGTCCGCGTCCAGCTCAGCAAGGTCCGTAGCCTCGAGCGACGAGATGTCGACCTGCAGAGGTGCACGAAGGGGGCGTCACAGACTGAGATATAGCGGTCCACACGGAGCGGACGAGAGGCGACTCATCGAGCGACCTTTTGCACGGCCTTGGGCCCGTAGTTCGCAGCGTACACACGGCAGGCGGCCTGGTCCCAGTCGTACGCGCGCACGACATTGCCTCGCGCCGCGCTCTGCGCGAGGGCGCGATGGAGCCCGCCTGCCATTCAGTAAGTTTTAGTCGGTGACGGCATGTGTGATCCCAATCGCACGGACCTATCCCCGAGTAGAACTCGAGAGCCTTGACTACCATTTCGTGCGCACCGTAGACGTCGGGGAGTCGGGCGTCGGGCGGGAGGCGAGGTCGCGCGAGTAAGCTGAGGGGCGGAGTTGCGCGACTTTCGGGTTTTGCACCCCGCAAAGGCAACGGGTGTCCAGACTAGCCCGGGCTTGCAGGGTCAACAGCGGCGAATATCAACGGAGGTGTCGCGGAGGCCAAAAGGCAGAAAATTGACGAGATTCGCGAGCGCGATGAAGCGAGCCGGGAGCGGTTTTGGTCAAGTGTGGAATCCGGGCGCGCGACCGCTGCGCGCCTGAGCGTCACCGCGGCCAGAGTCCCCTTACGTAAGCACGACTTGGTTTCGAACTTCTGCATTTCTTGTGAGTGTTCGAGTCTCAGCGATACCACCACCTCTTTCCCCCTCTCCTCTGCCTGTCTTTGCCTCTCCGCGCATTCCCTGCTGCTCTGCGAGTTGTGCTCTGTGTGCTAGGCTCTGCCGCTTGCGACGCACAGCGATCTCGGCTGCGAAAACTCCCGGGCCGCCGCTTGTCTTGCCATAAAGCTGCTGCTACCCCGGCTTCTTGACGCTCTCATCGTCCCCAGCATTCTGTTTACAAATTTGATATCCTTATTACTCTTGACGACTTCATGATGCTTCCTGGCCTTCTGGATAATCTTTCCGGTGAAGAGGCCGAGCTGAGCCGGGTGCAGGCTGCAGATGCCACAGCGAGCAGCAGGTACGTCCAGTGGCTGATCGAAGCAGTCCTGGCTGGCTGAGCCTATGCAGCTCTCCGTCTAGGACCGCTGGGCTTCTGCCGCCGTTCGGTGTGACCAAGATGTCGCACCTGCCAACACCACAAAGGTCAGTGCGGGCTGCCAGATCTTTGAGCGTTCCGCCGCCATGAAGGCCGGTCACATCGTGAACGTTTCGCTAATCCGTCAATTGAAGTAGCCCAAGCAACGCTGCCCAGTATGCACCAGAGCGGAACGGCTCGTTTGTATCGCCGGTGCACAATGTGTAAGACTTGTCGCTGCCACAGGTTTCTCAAGGTAGCTCACCTACTCACAGGAATAGGGAAGCAACGTCGTCGCAAGCTACTCACAGAGCTGCCACACCACTCAGGTATGTCTCATACATTCATAGCATCTGCCCTTGGACTCACCGCTGCACAGGGAGGAGCCACAAGCGATATCTGCTGCTTCTTTCATGACGCCGGAGTCCAGGTTCGTCAAAATCACGCCCCCTTCACGTAAAGTCAAGGCTCTGAAACCATCTTATCAGTCCTCTCTTTCCCCGGAAAGTGATGCATCCAGTAACACCACAACATGCGTACGAGGTTTCACTTCCTTCTCAGAAGTTTGTGTCACTTACGTTGCTCGATAGCAGCGATCCGTCCTCCGCACCACATACCCCTCACCGCAGCCATCCCGGATCGTCGGAAGCAGCAGCAGAGAAGGCAGGAGATAGGGTGGTCGTCGACACTGCGGTACCACCTCTAGCTCCTGCCCCCATCATCACCACACCCGTGTCCACCCACTCCCGAGGCCTCACCCCCGCCTCCCGCCTCTCCTCGCCGTTCCGGGGCAGATCAGCTGACCGGCGTGCGACGAACTCCCGCTCACCCATGCCACGTGAAGACTCGCCCATGGCCCTGGACGTCTTTGCCGGGGTACCCGCCTCGCTGCCCCCGCTCGCAACCCCCGTGCCGCAGCGCGCACTCGGCGGCGAGATCCAGCGGATCCACCTCCAGCTCGCCGCCGACCGCGCGGAGCTGCTCTCCGAAAAGGAAGCGCGGCGCCCAGATTATCTCGTGCGTGAGAAACGCTCTCACCCCGACTCCGACATCCCGACGCTCGACGAGCTCGACGCCGCGAGCATCGCGCTCGGGGTGACGGAGAGTCCGGTCAAGGGCCGCCGGTTGCAGTTGTTCCAGGCGACGTCGGAGGAGACGTTCGAGCAGAGCCTGCTTGCGGGTGGGTACCCGGGCTACGGGCAATCGCCCGCGTACAAGGTGCCCGAACCGCAGACGCCATTGCCTAATGCGAAGAGCGGCCGGGCGCCGCTGTCCCAACGTGCGCTGCAGTGGTTGCATCAAGCTACACCTGGTCAGCCCGGCCCGTCAACGTTGACCACCGTAGAGGAAGCGCCAGCGGAGGATACTGAGTGGGTTCCGAGCGAGAGGGAGACCAAGAAGCGCAAACGGCTAGACATGTTCAGGGAAAAGACAGCGGCGAAGGAGTCCGCCCCAAAGCTGTACCCAGTGGAGGTTGAGGGCCGCGGCCGTCTGCTGCTAAACGTCCCTCCCGAGGGATCGCCAACACATCCAGAGACGCCCGTAAAGAGACGCGTTGTCCGGCGCAAGAAGCGGAGGGGCGGACGGAAGGGCGCGCATGGTAGACAAGATGACGACGAAGAGGGCGAGCCGCTGGAGCCCAACTGGCCCGACGCCGCGTTCCCGTGGTGCATGCGTCTTCAAGAGCGCACGGATGTCGCGAAGATGGAGCAAGAAGAGCGGCTACGGTGGATCGAGCGATTCCTGGACCGCTCGAGCGAGAGCGACGAGGAAGAAGAGGAAGACCAGGTTCTCCGACCTCCACTGCAGTCGCATGACAACGACCAGATCGCGCACCGGCGGGGTCGGGGAAAGATGGTCCCTCTGCGCGCAAACCCGGAGAGTCGCACTCGCAACGAGCACGTCTTGACGCCTAGTGACCCCGCGGACGCACGCGCAGCCCTGCTCTCCAAGCGCTCCGTCCGCACGTTGTCCTTTCGTCGCCGCTCCAACGAGACCTCCGGCGAGGACGTGACGTGCATCGGGTGTTCACGCGGGGACGACGGGAGCGAGCTGGTGCAGTGCGACGAGTGCCAGACATGGTACCACCTGCGCTGTGTCGGCTTCAAGACCATCGCCGAACTCGGGCGGGAGGAGGACCCGTGGTACTGCGACCGGTGCCTTGACATCCCGCCAGCCTCGCCGCTCCCGGAACCAACCTTCGTGCCTACGGACGACCGACCGTCTGCACCCACATCCCGACGCGACTCGCTTTTTCTCCAGAACCCCCTCCTGCTAGAGTCTCCCGCACCACATTGGGATAGCGATACCGGAGCGGGGACGCCGCAGACCCCGGTGCGAGGAGGCGACGGCGACGCCAGCAACGCCGATCGTACCTTCTCTACGCGCTCTTCGTGGGGCGACTCCTCGCGCGCAGGACCGTCTACGCCTGAGTCGTCTGCGAAGGCCGTGCGGGTGTACCACACGCCCGGGCCGTTCTCACTAGAGCGCGACCAGCTCGACCCAGAGACGCCGTTCGACCCAACCACAACACCGTCGCGTGGGATCAAGTTCAGTGGCGGGCCGCCCCCAACGCTCGGGCTCTCGACGCCTCGCGGAGGGTACGGCGTATGGGCGGGTCGTGGCGGGCACACGCCGACCCCGGGGGCGAAGCTCGGCGGGAGCCAGGCGTGGCGGCACGGCGTGGACGGGAGTGGGGGCGGGCCTTTCTCGAGCCCGCACGTCAGGAGCATCTACAGCGTGGCGTACGACGATACCCCGGTGACGCGTGCGCCGCGGGTGCCCGAGCGGGGAACGACGGTGCAGGGGCGGAGGTTGTGGGGCTCGCCGGGGCCGGGGTTTGCGCGGCCGATGACGCCGAGTCCGCCTTTGAAGGGGGGAGGATGCGATGGAGACTGAAGGTGCGTGATCATGTAGTCTTTCGTACGAGGAGGAGGTGCTGATCTGCGCGATAGCATGACGATCGATGTTGACCTACCAGACACTCACGCTGCGACACCCCCACACTGTTACTTACCATTGGCGTTTACGTTTAACCCCCATTCATGTGTATATGGACATATGCTGCGATAGAATATGCTGTCAGGTAATGCTTGTGCTCAGAGAGCTGTTGTCGAATACGTACCGTACGTGTAGAGAATGAAATTGAATTTGTGCATACTCCCCTCCGTGCGCGTCAGTAAAACAAGCTATGCCGTAGTGCGCAGAATGATAACTCACTCGAGACCCTTCTACAGAGCCTTCGCGCGGGAGACACCGCCTACGTAGAATCTCTTTCGTCGCGATCGCAAGTGTATTTCGAGAAGCAACCACGTCACAAGGGGCGTCTTGAAAAACTCTCAGAGCACGCGTGCAGCAGGCCACGCCGTCCAGGACGCGTGTGTCTGTACGACGCGGACTGAGGCTTCGCGGATGACTGACGCGTCGGGAGCACAGGACGATGGCCAGACATATATTTGATTCTGTCATAGAGAATTCGACGTACCAAATGTTGCGCTCCAAAGTTCAGCGTATGGCGGCCGCGTAAGGCACGCGAATCTTCGTCGGTCTTTGCAACGCGTAGACGTGGTACCTTGAACTAGAAAAGCGTGTAAAAGGCGACGCAAGCCACGATTATAGCGGGTAAAAAGCGGCGGACTGCGCATACCAGCCTGCAGGGTGCCGAAGTACCGTCGAGCGGGGATCCGAGAGAGAGGACGAGGGGAGGACGCGTCGAGCTGGTTGGGCGGAAACGACAAAAACGCGACGTGAAGGGACTGTGACGGGTGCATGCAAGCGACGTGACCGACGCGTCTGAGCGCCTACGCCACGCGTCGGTGGCTGCCATCGTCGCCGTCCTTCTCGCGCGCTCCGAGTATCTTTCGGAGCGACGACCACGATGGACAGCTGCTGCACACACGGTCCCACACAGTGACTGACATAAGATGAATAACCAGCTTCGTATCGCCATAGTGAGCATCTTCTCCGTCTCTATCATGTCCCTGCTCATCGTCCTTCTCCGCTCAGGCACTCGCCGCTCTCCGGCACAAACCGACCGCCCAATCCATCCAAGGTCGGACGCACTTCCATAGCTCCATGCGGCTGACATATTTCTGACTTTCCGATGTCGAAATTATAGCATACATCCTTTACTTGCAAGCCGCATTTCCCGTAGTGTGCTCCTGTCGGCCCTGTCAAACGGGTTCGCAAACATCAGAACCCTGGCGCGAGCGTGCTCTCGCGCTGGAGAGCGACCTTGAAGACTTGCGATTGCAACATGAACAGGAGGTTATCAGTAAGTGTCCACATATAGCGAGTCTTCTTCGTCACCCGCAACGTCTTCGATACTTGATGACCACGACCCTACCAATCATCCGATAGCCTCTAGCAGATACACAGGCTCAGTACCCACGCACCTAAAACTGCTCGCTCGTCCCCGGAAGATTGCAAAGCTGACAATGCAACCCGCAGGGCTTCTCTCCATCCCGAGCCCCAAAGCCGCACAACCGACACCACAAGCGTCCCGCCATACGCCCGCCGATGACGGGCGTGAGACCGACCCCACCCCGCCGACCACGGGGAAGAAAGCAAAGACGAAGAAGACGAAGCCTCCGAGCGCAGCCATCCCGCCCGCTCCCGCTCCATCTCCTTCTCCTGCGCCTGCGCCCACACCGGCGCCAGGACCAAAGTCGAAGCTTAGCGCGCTCTTGCAGGGTGACTTCGCCGGTGCGTCATCCTGCCTGAAAACTTCCTTTCTCCCCTCTCTCGCAATCCAAAAGGCTCCTTTATGTTGCGGGATGTGTAAAGATTTCTCGAAGCTCCGACGTGCCTCACTGCACCTTGATGGGCTTAAGACGCGACTTGCTCTCTCTCCTGGAGCGCATTGCAAAGGGATAGATTGCACTATCGCTATATCGCGTCTGGCGCTCCGCCCCTTTCTTTCAGCCCTCCGCTACATCAGACCTAGGAGGATGCGTAAGTGAGTTCGGCGCTCGACATGATTGGCACGACCTGATCGAGTGGGAGCGCCTTCTGCTTGCTCTTCGTAGATCCTTAGTGCGCTGGTGTCTTTGATCTCTATCACTTTGCACCGACCGACACCACGCTGAGGGGGCCAGACTCATTCGTCTGTTCGTGGTGCGGGCATTACGCGCAATGAGGTCGGTGGCGTTTGCCCTGTCCACACCCCGCACTTTACGAGTTCCACTACAAATTTTCCCGGCAGAGATCACCATTGATCGAGCGTTTTCCGTGCAGCATCGCGGCTTTATCTGCGTCCAAGGTGCTAGACCCACCCGCACTAGTACATGATTTACAACACCGCGGCGGGATGATCATTTCCGGAGTGTCCATCCTGTTGGAGTCTGGAGCACGAGCGTCCACCGACGCGCTTCCGCGTCTTCTCCAACTATATGCGCGCCCGAAGCACTCCAAACGCCTCTTTGCCCAGCCCGTTCAATTAACGACTGAACAGAGAACCCGCGCGAAAGCCTGTTGCCCGCCCGTCCCGCTCTTCCCAGCTTCCCCGTCTCGCCCATTCCGTCTCTCCCTTTGCGGCTCCTCTTCGCAGAGACGCTCGCCAGGTACTAACCCCGAACCCAGCAGATTCGCACATCCTCCTGTCCGGGCCGTCTCACCGCATCTCAGGCGCACTGGACGCGGCAGACGCGCTCGTCGAGCTGCTGTCCGCGGACCCCACGGCAGCGTCCGTGGACCTGGTTCTCTCGACGACGCTGAGGGCACTCAAGGCCGTCCAGGCTGTCTTCTCTCGCATGGTCGCGCGCTATGGGTCTACGACTGGGACTTCTGGAACTTGTTCCGACGATGGTCTCGCGGCTGGCAAAACCTGGGATCCTGCATTAACACTTGATATACTGGTGGGCTTTGTGCAAACGCTCGTTTGTGCTGTGGTCCCAGCTCTTCTCGCGCGATATGCCGCCGCGAAGAAAGAAACCAATAGCAGAAGGTTCGGCCTCAAACGCGCTGGGGCTGCTTGCGCGACCGCCAGAGCTACATTGACCTCTATCGACGATATTCTAGGCGGTGTATACGAACTCCTGCTCGTCCCTGCCGTGCGCGCATTCGTACTGCTCTCGGAGGGTCACCTCGTCGCGTGCTTTTCTGGCACCTCTACGCCCCGTGGAAAGAAAAGACTCGATGACGCACCGCCTGCCGTCCCTGATCTGCGCCCTGACGTCTTCACGCTGCTCGAGGGCCTCCTGGCTATCTTGGACGACGTTCTGCCGCATATTGCGCCGCCCAGTCCCTCCGCCCGCTCACCTGGCCGCACCCCTGCTGCTGCGCCTGCTCCTATTCCGGGCTCGGACCAAGTCAAGACCATGCTCGCGCTCGAATGCATCCGCGAGCTCGAGCGGCTGTACCACCCTCACACGGAGAGCCCATCCCAGGACGCATCCGATTCGCCCGCGCAAGCCTATTCTCGCCCCGCGCACACCCCGGCCTCTCTCGCAGCCTCTTCCTCGGGGACTCACGCTGCACGGCCAGGAACAGCGCCCGCCACGCTGCCTTTCTTGGAGCGTGCGCACCCACGCGCGGCGCGGGACCTCGGGGAAACTGCCTCGGGACCGGCGCAGCACGGCGGCCCCGTGCGCGACAGCCCCCGAGCGGGCGCCGCATCTGCGTCCGGTGGGAAGGCCCAGCGCGGAAGAAGAGCAAGGCAGGTGGATGCTGGGGTCGACGCGCGGATCGCGAAGCTCGCGACGAAGGACGCGGTGTGGTGGCTCTGCGCTGTGCTTGACCGGCTCTTGCCTTGTCTGCCTCCGCCATCTGCTGGACTTGGGCGCGAGACTACTGCGGGGGACGATCATACTGCATACTCCGGACCTGTGCCTGCATATAATGGACCTACCGGTACGGCTGCAGTGGGCGCGGACATCGCGCACGAAGCGGTGTACGCTGCCCTGGCGGACTTGCTTCGGCGCACACGCGCACGCGCAAGCCCGCGCGCACCCTCGTCGCGTCCGCCACCACCCCCGGCTTCGCCTTCGTCTTCTCCTCGGGGGCTCTCCCCCCGCGCTTCGAATCACGCGGAAAGCAGTCCCCCGGCACCCGGCGAGGCTATGGATGATGTGGGACCCGGCCCATCGATAGGTGCGGGCGGAGGGAAGTCGAAGCGCGGGCTGGAGAAGGCGAGCACACCTTCGCGGGGAGAGTGTCCGCGCACGGAGGATCGGCGTGCGGGGTGGGCAGGTGCGGGCGACGTAGGAATGGGCGAGGTAGAGCGGGGGATGCTGCTCGCTGTGCTGGAGCGGGCGTGGCTCGGCGTCTGACGCGCCTGGGTGTGTATGTGCGCCTTCCATACACGTCATGACAGTGCGCTCGCTTCGCTTCTGCTTCCACCCTCGATATCGTCGCGTCGGGCGCGCGCGGGCGGAGCTCGCGCCTCGAGGCTGGCGTGGCCGCTGGGGGCAATGTGCATACACCGGCAAGGCAAGCGACGGGCTCTCGCGCGACGTGCAGGGCGGCTCGCGATTGGCCGCGCGCTCGGGAGGCAGGACCGCAGCGTCGACCGGATTGGCTGCGGGCCAATGGGCGTGCGCGCCGCGCGATTGGCCCGCCCGCTTGGCGTGCCCACGCTCCCTCTCCTCCGTGCCGCTACGCAAACACGTAAACACGGCTGTCCTGTATTCTGCTCCGTGCTCGTGGCCCGTTCTGCCGTCTTCCATCTGTGCGCCCCGACAAATGGCTTACGGACGTGTGCGCCGCGTTACCACATCCGCCGCCCTGCCCTCGTGCCAGGGCCGCGGCCGCGAGCGCGCGCGCGCCGACTGCCCCCTCCGGTGTCTATCGGGGGGAAGCCCGTGCGCCCGATGCTCCAGCTGGCAAGAAGCCCGTTCTAAATGCGCCTGATTGCGAGTGCGTGTACGTACCACATACCGCATATGTCGTCCCTCTCGCCCGCTGGCGAGGACACGTTGTGGTCCGCGCATGTCGTTGTCAATGTCGCTCCTGATGGTCCGAGGAAGAATAAATGACAGCGCGAGCGCCGTCACGGAGGCTGGTATGGGGATATACCTAACGCGGCGGGCTCGCGCGTCCCAGGAGGTGGTTCCGCCCGGTCTGTCAGTGGAGATGCCCGAGTTGTGGGCGCCCGTATGGGCGGCGCGCCGTTCGCGGATTTCAGGACGCGGCAGGATCCGCGGGGTGGTGCATGAATCACGTCCGCGCGTCCCCGGAACCCTGCGCGACGTCGCGACGCTATCGCGTCGGGTGCGAGGATGCTATCCCGGGACGAAGCGCGAGCACGAGTCGAGGAGAGGCACCGATCGACGCCGTCCTTCGCGTCCGAGCGCTGGAGGCCAGCGAATGCCGAGAGCGGACGCGCCTCTGTAAAGAAAGAGGGCGCGTCTCATATCGACTCGCGATAGCGCGACCCTATGAGCCCTAATTAGTGATATGATAGAGGAGCCATGTTCGCGTGCACCGTACGGGTAGACCGACTGCGCTCCCCAGATGGGAGCGGGGCGGGGGAGTGGATCCCCTACAGTGCAACTGAACTGAGACTGTTCCCGTGCTGCAAAGCGTTAGCACGCCTCGGACGCGGTTGAAGTTGGGGGCCAATCGGGTAGGGAAGGCCAGCCATCATGCAACGGGATTGGACACCGCGGCCGCTCCCAGCAGACGCAATGGGGCCTGCGCTGCGCGGGTCTGATGTGAGCATCTTCTGTGTGGGCGCGCGGGACCAGTACCAAACCTGCTCACCGGCCTCTGGACGTCACCCGTACTGAATGGCGGTGGATATACAACGCCATTTACCGTTGATGGCCGCTAAGCCGGGGAGTATACGAGGCTATTGGTTAACGGACGTCCAGGCTGGTGGGGAGCGTACTGTATGCAGCGCTACGCGCACGAAACAGCGTGGGCGTCGTGGCGTCCGGTTATCTACACGCGTTTGGCCTACGCCGTCGACGGCGGCGGCGTGTGTGAGCTGCTCGAAGGACTCTGGTCCGCTCGCGCGGGGCGGTAACGGCACCTCGAGCCTGGGCGCTGTCGTGTAGAGTGTTATCTGGTGGCGTCGTGGTCGCCGGGTGGCGCACAGCGCTGCCGGTAAGTTGCCGTACGAGGGTGGTCGCGTTGCTCTGGTGTAATGGTCTTGCATGTTCAGTTGCTTGGTTTGTGCGTGCGGTCTTGTGTGTGTGGCCCTGGAGGTGTCAGTGTCAGTGACGGTGCGTGGATATTACGGTGAACCCCCGATCGAGGCTTCAGTGAAGCGATATCTGAGTCTGTTCCGCAGTGTGATGGAGTTCGTCTGAACGTTTACTGTACCGTGGCGTAAGCTTAGGGGCATTTGTTGGGGTATGAATGTAATAAGTGTGTGTGTAGGTTGTAGCTTACGGTCTGGATAGCGGTCTTTGTAGCCTCGAGGAAACCCTCTTGGAAGTCGGCCTAACCGCGTCGCGGTGCTCTCGTGCAACACCCACCGTGTGGCATGCATGCACGCGACCCAGGAGGGTAAACTATGCCGTCAACAAGTCGTAAAGCCAAACACATGCGAATGTTACACGTACGGCAAAGCCAGGAACCTGAATTCCGAGGTGCAAGCATGCACCGCAGCCTGCACGCGTATGTCACAGCCCGTGGTCGACGGACGAGCGAGAGGGCCGAGTTCGTGAGAGTTGAAGCGAGCGTCGGCGAGGACATCAGCAACGCCCCTCTCGCCCGCGCGGACGATCGCCCGATCAGCCTTGCCCCATTGGGCGCCGCGGCGGACCCACTCGTGGCCACCGTCGGGGGCGAGCGGCCGTCGCGCTGCTGGGGCCGGGCACACCCCAGGCAAGCGGAGGCAGCGTCGGTCGCCATCAGCCGGCGGGTGTGCAAAAAGAACGTCGGCGCGGAACAGCGGGGGCCTGGCACCGAGCCACTCGCCCTGGGCCAATTGCGCGGGGACGCGAACCGTTCTGCCTGGGTTCTGCCAGGGCGCGCCATCGCGGGGAGTCGCGCCCGCTCTAAGTGGCTCGCGACCCCTGTCCCTCGCCCTCGACCTCTCGCGCGTCGGCGAAATGCAAAAAGAAAATGCAGGGCGGGCGAACGCTATCGCGCGCGGTGACATCACCTGCCCAGCGCGCCCCTCCTCCCCCACTCGCGATCGCGCTCCCCATTTTCCAAGTATCTTCTGCTCGCGCGCCGAGGCCTGCGCACCTTTTCTGATAGCAGCGGAGCCTGGTGCAGAAGCGCAGCGCGCCCGAGCAACGCGCGGCCGCGCGACGTGCGTCGAGGCAGCGCGCTCGCTGCTCGACGAAAGCGGCGGGTGGAGAGCCCAGCTGGGGCGGGGCCGCGCGCGTCCGCTTGGGCAGCTCGGTCGGGCTCGCGCGCGATGCGCAGCGCGCGACAGGCCGCTGACGTGAGAGGAGGCAGGGCCCGCGATCGTGGGAGCGGCGGGGGGCCTGGCTGCCAGGTGGCACGCAGTGCCTGCCCGATTGGGTGGGCGCACGGCTCGGCTACGCTGCAAATTACACCCGCGGGGCGACGGTGCGTCCGGCAAACAATTTCTTCTGCTCAGAAACGTTGCGGCGCGCCTGCGGCCGGGGACCGTCGACAGGCCGTGATCGAATACCCGACGGACCCAAATCCAGCGCGCACATGGCCCCGCTGCTGGGGTGCGCCACTGTCGTCGGTGCGACTGACGGCGCGGTGGCGACCGGTGTGGGGGGGTGGGGAGCAGCGCCGCGATATAGGAGGTTGAGACATGTGAATTGGGCCGCGGGCTCCTGGGCAGAGGAAGAAAGAGACAATGGTGATAGACTTTGAATGGGGGGAAGAGGCAAGCAGGGAGGTAGGACCACGCCGCGAGGTGGGCGCTGCGGAAAGGGGGCGCGGGGATTGGCGGGGGCAGCGACGGACGAGAGGCCACCGCCTCGGGGAAACCGCAGGATATTCCGAAGGTTTGGCCGAATCCCGGCAAGTTGCGCTGAAACAGCGACGCGCGACGGTCGATGTAAAGTTTATTTCGATTTGGCAGGTCCGCTCCCGCGCGCCGGGGCGCAGGCGCCCGCGTGGCCTGCCCGCATTCGCGTGCGCATGTATTTAACGATCCGGAGGGATCCCCGCCCTGCTCGCGACTCCTCCGCTCAGAGGCTGCCACTTACCCTCCTCCATCCTCCGCCCGCTCCAGCCCCCGCCTGCCCATCACTCCCTCGACCTCTCCCATTCAGCCGCCACCACACTCAACATGGCGCTCGCTCAGGTCCTCGTATCCAGGCTCGGCTCCCTCCCTCGCTCTCACCGCGCCGCCCTCCAAGACGATGCGTCCAGCATCATCTCCGAGGGTATGTCCCCGCGTCGCGTACCGTCCCTTGACGCGTCCATGCTAAGGCACGCGCGTTCGACAGATGCCACCACCTCCCTCGGCGCGTCCTCCATGAGCTCGTCATACGACGCGCGCTCGTGCCACTCCGAGCCCGCGACCTCTTTCTCGCAGGCCTCGTCCTCCCTCCCGCGCCCGCGCCACAACGAGCACCTCGCGGTCCTCCTGCAGAAGCGCCTCTGGAAGGTGAGTTCCGTTCGAACGCCCAAACCACATCTCCGCATCTTTGTTGCCATCGCGCCCCCCTCCCTCGCCCGTCTCCGAGCGCACGTGATTGACGCCCTCTTCCTCTGATTCGCACAGCCCGACTCCCAGGCCTCCCACTGCGACACCTTCATCTGCCGTAAGGCGTTCAGCATCTGGGAGCGCAGACATGTGAGCCCACGCCCCGCTGTCATCCGCCTTGATGAACTCCGGGCTCATCGTATCTTATCTTTGCGTTCGCTCCAACCCTACAGCACTGCCGGAAATGCGGCGGTGTATTCTGCGCAGAGTGCACGAGCAGGACCACGGCCCTGCTCGACACCTCGAAGCTCTCGTTCCTCCACCCCCCGCGGAACGTCCCCATCTTCTTGTACAACTCGCCCGACTCGCCCGTCCTCGACGCGCGCGTGTGCGACGAGTGCTGGGACCAGATCCACGGCTGCAAGAGCCCGCGCTCGCCCGTGATATCCAAGCTCTCAAACCCCATTGCGCTCGTGCGCGACACGGAGAGCAGCACCGGCTCCGGCTCCTCATCCGTGTCCTCTTCCATTAGCACGCCTCCGGATGGCTCACCGCTTTCCGCACTCGCGTCGCGCCCGGCGCTCCGACGCACCCCTACTTCCCCGCGCATCCCTGCGTCCCCGCTCCGCTCCACCACCCCCGTTCCGCAGTCTATCGCTGTCTCCGTCGCCCACCTCTCCGACTCAGAGCTCTCTCTCGGAGAGCTCGACTCGTATCCGCTGAAGCGCGCGAGCAGCGTTTGCAAGGCGAATGGCGGCGGACGGTGGGAGCCGAAGCCCATTCCCGAGTATGTCGCGAAGCGCATCCCGGGATGCAAGCCCGCGTACGAGCTCGAGATCGAGCAGGAAGCGGAGGAGCGTCGGCGGCGCCGCGCGAACCCGGTCATCAAGGATGGTGGTGAGTGAAAGCTTCTGTTCGGGCGGGCTGGCGGCGCGCTGACATGTGGCTGGCGCCCGTTGACAGACTTCCAACTTCGTGCGCCTCGCGAGATCGAGCCACGCTCGCCGGCGGGTCCCATCACGCTCTCTACCTTCTGAGTCCGGCGGCGGCGTAGTAGCCCTGCCCTGCTCTCATTGGCCATCCCATGCATCCCCTGGCCGACCTCCCTCCGTCTCGAATCTGTCCATCGCTGCTCTCTCCCTGGAAGGCCCTGCTGCCTAGGAGCCCTTGTTTTCTGTCTGTGCATGTGTCTCTCTGTGCGCCTATGCTGTGTACTGTGTATTCTTATTATTATCCCGCCCGCGACATCTCCCGCCTCCCCCGTACGTACGTATGTGCCGTTTAGTGCGTTATATGTGCTTTTACTGTCGATACCTTCCTCCTCGTTACCCTTGGCCGTGTTTATACCTTGTCAGTTATTGCCCCCACCTCCCCACCCTTGCCCCCTTTCTCTTCCCTTCCCCCCTCTCGTCCGTCCCGGACTCGGCGTCGACGCCTCGGACTCACTATATGTCTATAATTTGCCCGGCTCGCCCCGTTCTCCGAACCCTCGCCCGCTTCCCATCTCTCCCTCTCCACCTCCCTCCGCTATAATCGCCTCTCCGGGGCCCTCCATCCACGGGACAGTCGCTTCTCCGCTCTGCCCTCCACCCGCCCCGGCTCCCGTCTCCGACCCTCCTGCTCCCTCCCCTGCCCCCCTGCCTGCTCGTAGTCCCCTCACAGCGTGCAGGGCGGCGGCGGGCCGGGCGTTCGGTCGCTACTCGCTGCGTACTTATCGATATTCCGTATAGTGCCCGTACCCTACGTGTACCCCGCGTACCATATGATGCATTGCATGCAATAGACTTCCCCTCGTTATGACCTCACCTTCTGGCCTGCGTCTCGACCTCCAGCTCGCATCAAGTTCAAGCCCGACATCTTCACAAATGTCGGGTTTCAAGATATATTGCGTCACTTCACTGGCCTTCTCGGGGACTCTAGAGTCGGCCTCGACTCGTTCGGTATTCTACAGGGTCTCTGGTGCATCTATGTTGCATCGCTCTCCGTCCAACATATCTCAGATTTCCGCCCGACATACGCCAATCGGCTCGGCGTCCCCGGGCGCGCCCACCCCAGCCCGGGGACGCAGCGCAGATACACGTCGAGCCTAGCGCGAAGCGCGAAGGTCCGGACACGTCCACGTCCACGTCAATGTGTTCGAATTCCGCAGGGAAGCCCGCACGACGCGCGCGGACCTTGCGCGCGCATCCAGACGTCGCCGGCCACCTTGGGCAGAAGGACGCAGACCGATAGGGCGATCGAGCCTGCCGGAGCTTGCTGCCACTACTGGTGGTCGACGTGGACGGGAATTCGAAGCGAAGCGCGAGCGGACGCGGACGATTTACGGCGCCCGGGCCTGGGGCCCGTGGCCATGGACCGACGCTGTGGAGGCTTGTGCAGCCTTCTGCGTTCCCAAGTTCGCACCGCGCTGACGGTGACGAGGCCGGCCGGAGGGACGTCAGCGCCCAGCCGGATCGCCGTGCCTCTATCTAGCAGGTGTGGGCGGGCGGTGACGCGGTGTCGCGGACGCTGTGTGCGTGTGAGCTCTTGGAAGGGGCGATATGCCACATGCGCACGCCGGCCGCGGTACCTGGAGGCCGTCGTATGGGCGACGAGGAACGGGGGACGCATGGCGGAGCGGAGATGAGGCACTGGATGGTGGACGGCGCGCGCGGTACCGCACGAGCGCACAGGCATGTGCTATTTCCCCGGAGTCGTAGGTATCGACGGTGCAGCTGCGCTCGCGACGTTCGCTGCACGCACATATGACAGACAAGCCTTGGCCCTGGTTTCACAGCTGTTGTCTCCATGTACACCACGCTCGGTCGACATCATCCAAACCGCACCCGCGTCCAAGTCCGAAACCATCCCATCTGTCGATGTACGGTCGCGTCTCCCAACCGGCAACATACGCCGCGCCAAACGCCCGCTGAATCGCCGGCCTCTTGGACGGGTCGCAGGTTCCCATGCTAGCGCGCGCCGCGGGCGGGGGCACATGTCTGGCATGTCGGAAATGCCTTTCGCGTAAGCATTAAGGTCGGGACCCCGCCCGCGTTTGTCTGGCCCGTGGACGCGCGGGCGGCCAGGAGGGGTTTGGGCTGCTCTGAGTGCTCCCGCGCCCCCGCGGGCTGATGCGCGTTCATATTGGTGTGCGCGGGTCTGAGTCCGCGAAGGACGCCGATGGATGGACGGCGATGGGGTCTTGTCACTGGTCGGACTTGTGGTCTTGTTGCGTTGGTGCGTGATGGACGTCGTGTTCGTCGGAGGCCGACAATTGAGTGGTACTTACTGGGCACTAATTGCCGGCCGGCGTACAATATCAGAGCGGACGCGGAACAGGCTCCAGGACGTGCGCGGGGCCGGGAATCACGGGCGGGCAGCAGCTGGTGCTCATGAGCAGGCCTGAGCTCCGGCATCTGAGGTGGGCGCGACGCAGCCCCGGGGAAGCTCCGCGCTCTATCTGCGATCTGGCCGTCCCTGGAGCTGGAGGCGAAGTCAGCATGGGAGGCACGCGGGGGACTGACTGACCGTGGGCCACGAGCTATTGCTGTCGTGTTCATCAGCGTTTGACTGATGCGGGAAGTGCAGATATTATTTGGGGGCGGTCCTTATCCTGGTGCGTGTTCGTGTCTTGTTTGACTTTCGTGTTAGCGTTCGTTGTGTGAGATGTGGGCACGACGCGGCAGTGCACTGGACGAGATGCTCACCATCCATGGTGGGTCTTCTGGTATGCATCACGCCGATGGCGTCGAAGGTTCAGTACCCCGCGTGCAGTACCACGATAGCGCTGCGCCAAGTAAGTACGAGCAATGCTCGAGCAACGCGGAAGCGAGAACCTTGTAGAGTGAGTCGTCGGAATGGCGAGTACGCTCGATCACGATCAAGGTGCCACTACTACTAGCGTTACGGGATCGTGGCGCGCAGAAGTCCGGACGCCCATAACCTGCTCTAAGAGACCAGCGTAGGCGTTACCGCTCTCCTTGTTGCTCTAACGGCCGCTGAGCTAGCGTGAGGGCGTGAAGCCAATTACGGCACAGGTCTCAGCTTCGAGCTAACGAACCTCAAGCTCCCATCCATCTACCTCTGATGCCACCCACAGCACTCACAGACGATACCACCCAACACGCACCGCCGCCCACCACGGAGCCCACCATGTATCATGATGCCAGCCTCTCGAGAAGCACAACCCAGCACACTGCGGCCCGAACCGTATCATCCGCGCTGCACCGCATGCACGCTTCGCATCCCGAGCAGGCTGGAAAGAACACGCAGGCCTGGGAGCGGGGGGCTGCAGCGGCGTGGCGCGCGAACTTACCTGTGGGGTGGGCCCTCTGCTGAAGTGCTTAGGGCGTCTGCGGGCGTGTACACTGGAGCTGCTGCTTGACACGGGGGATCGCCGGTGCCAGTGCTCCCGCGGCGCCTGTAGGATAGTGTCCGGCGCTCCGAGCGACTCGAGTGTGGGATCGCACCGAGTTGGACTAGTGCGCGGGGAGCGTCGGAGTTGCGCGATGGGACGGCGGCGGATATGAGGAGCTGGCGTGGCAATATACGCAAGCTGAACTGGGTTGTTGAATACCAGAGGAGAGGTGCGACGCATGCGCTTGGGCTCCGAGTTTTGATGAAGGCGGAGCGCGGGCGATAGCACCCAATGTACGCAGGTATAATGTCCGAGTCGGAGTGGAGGGACGGAAAGAAGCGGAGTGGGGGCGGTGTAGGATAGTACTGGTTCATGGGGGACGCGTGATATGACGAGCGTTCGTGCTTAATGCAACAGGTGCTAGGTTGCTTCATACGGGGTGCTCTGAAGCACGCTAGAGGCTTGGAGCGGGTGTCAATGGGTTCAAGCGCTGCAATAGAGAAAGACAACGTCAGTGCATGCGCAGTGTTTGATCAAGTCGACATTGCCCAAAAGGTCGGTCTCTCAAACACGCCGCACTTGCGAGCGGCCGTGGATCCTCGTGCGCCACCTAGGCATCAGTTTTACTGCGCAAACCCATATGAACACATGCCTATATGCCTGCGGAAACCATACAAGTCCTGACGGAGCTGGAGATGATCAAGGCAACGATCGTCGCGCGCTGAAATGCCTCGGGGAGCCAGCCTAGCGACATCTGTCCATCCTGGGTTTCTGTGTTGGAGTTCCAGGTCTATCTATATGAGATATGAACATACCCGAATGCCGCCACATGGATGTTGGAGGAGAGAGCCAACGCACTCACAAGTAGTCGGGTCACCACAGTCTGTGCGGCCACGAGGCGACATTCCGCGGCCCGGCCAGGCGCCAAGTACGTCCCACAACCCGTACGTTGCTCTCTATGCTTCGAACCACTGCGACATCTCGCCCGTGTCCTTCTAAGCTCTTCTTATCTTGCTGACAGCTTTCAGAGGATATAGGTTGCCTTTCTCATGGCCCTTCGCGGGATCCACCATTCCGTCTGTTCTAACGTCGGAGCTTCTAGATGTGGCTCGTATTGACTCATGCTAAAGATCTATACCACCGAAACTCTAGCGGCCATTGACGTCGAAGTACGCAGTCATGGAAGTACGTACGAGTGAAAAGGTTGCTTCCACAACGCGTGTATGCGGCATGGTGTCCTGTCGTTGACGCGGAAAGGTTCCATAAGTATCCTAGGTCTTCGTCTCGCCTCCACTGACGATCGTCCATTCCTTAGTGACCTTCAACATGGCCTTGGAGTCATCAAGGATGGAACAACTTCCCGTGAGCCATGTACGTAGGCTCTCTGGATTGTATTGCTTACTCCGACTGTAGTTACATGAGGGCACTGCCCTTGCTCATAGTGCTTTCCTTCACACTCTGGACACCACTTCAAACCTCCTAGATCTCTCCCATGCCACACCCTGCCGCATTCGTCTAGTGGACTGCAAAAGCGTAGTCGAGCACGGCTTTCTGCGCATCATCGAATTTGCGGAGTTCCCCACCATCGCCTACGCCGCCATATCGTACCCGTGGCGCGGTGTATCCGTAAACCCCAGCGACACGGCAGATTCCCCCTTCTCTGTTCGAGGAGCGGAGCACGCCGATCCAGTCGGCGTCGACGCTCTGCGCAGTGCATGCGCGGCTGCTCTACGCCTCTCCTGCGCCTACCTCTGGGTAGATCGACTTTCCATCATACAAACGAACAAAGAGGACAAGACGTGGCAGATCCGCAACATGTACAAGGTGTATCTCTCGTGTCGTGTCTGCATTGTCCTCGCAGGCGGCTTGCGTCGTCTGGTCCGCCTCGATGAAGAAACGCCGTGGATCCACCGGAGCTGGACGTTACAAGAAGTACTCGCACCGCCCTCCACAGTAGTGCTGATCCGCTGGAAGCTAGGGCCCGGGCGTGCTTCGAGCGGAGGTATCAGCACCCCCGTCTCGGTCGAAGAAGCCGTCCCAGGCGCGTCCGCATACATCCCGCTCCCGCTCGTCCTCCAAGTCTGCACCACCGGCACGCTATCCTTCACCAGCACGCCCAGCGCGACACAGCCCGCGCGTTCCACTATGATGAAAGCGTGCATATTCAGCGCGCTCCAGCAGGACGCCCCGCGCGCAGACGAGATTCCCTTCTGGCAGCCGCAGCGGCGCATATTTGCACCGGCCGTCGTCGCAGTCGCAGTCGCGCTGGACGCCGTGCTCGTCGAATCCGATTCCGAGGTCCGCCGCTACGCCGTATGGCAGAGCGCGCTCATGCGCACCTCCTCGCGCCCCGTCGACATGGTGCTGAGCATCATGGGCCTCTTCGGCGTCGAGCTCGACCCGGGCGCGTTCCACGAGAACGACCGCAGGGGCGCGACCGTCGCGCTCGCGCAGGCGATCCTCGCTGCTGGCGGGTGCGCGAGCTGGATGGGTGCGGCGTTCCGCCTCGACCCGGACCGGTGCCTCTCGACGTTCCCGCAGTTTCCGCGGACGAGTGTCGCGGGCGCGGCGCTGGTGAGGACGAAGGAGGGTGTTAGGGAGGTGTCGCGGCTGGTGGGCCCGGTGTACCCCATCCAGGATGCGCTGGTACCGCTTCCGCGCGGGCGCATGGACGACGAGGGGTATGTCACGTTCACCGCAAAAGGTGTGCCGCTTGTAGAGGTGCTGGACACTCCCGGGCCCGACGACCCTCAAGCCAGCGACATATTTCAGGCCTTGGACGGTTCACGATGGCGAATACTCGACGACCCGCGGTCGTCTCCCACCGATAAGTCGACCTTGGACACGTATGCGATCCTGCTTGGCTGGTTCCACAAGTATCACCCCGGAGCCTCGCCTGCCAACGGAGAGACGATCCTCGTCATCCTCGCACAGCAGCATCTAGGCCAGCCCGCACGGTACCACGTCCGTTCCTTCGTCACGCTCCGCGCCAGCCACAAGCCACAGCTCCTCCTTTGGCCAGACCGCGAGTTCTGCGTGGGTGGACCGGATCCCCTGGCTGAAGGAGAATCAACTGCGACGGGACAGGAAGAGCCCATGGTCGAGACGTATGTGGAGAGAGACGCGCTGTGGCCGCGAATGCCTTGGAGCAAACCTATTGTGACCGCGGAGGACGAGGCGGTCCGTAAGGCGAGATGGGCTGTCCCTCAGCAAGTTCTTGAACGGAATTGGCATCAGGAATGATCCTGAGTGATGCTCGGGGTTGCTAGGAAAAAAGAGGGATCCCGCTATCAACGTCATCGTGATTAGAAGACTTGAGAGTGTACTTCTCGCTCATGATGATGGCAAGCACCGGCCACTAGTCTATCGCCAGTAGCGAGTATGTGACCAGGGAAGAACTGGGGATTGGGCGATTGTACACAACGGCATCCGTACATCTGGGGGACATGCCATGCTAGATAGAAACGTATCTAGGATAGCCTGCTTCTGCTAAATCGCATTTGTTAGGATGACATCGCAGCTCGAACACCTGGGGGACCAGAGCCACAACGCACCAGCACAGACAGTCGGGATTACCAGAGCGTGCTCGGCCACGGCTCCGACTTGACGCTCTTTGGCCACGCACCCGGTTCGACGCAGTACGCTGGGAGGTCCATCTCCGGCATGTCGTCCATCACCTTAACCTCCGCCGTCACAAAGTGTTCTCGAAGCCGTGCAAGCTCTCCCTGATTGACGCTTACGCGGTGCGGAATCTCCAGCACGAGGTGCTCCAGGTAGTCGTATGCGCCCGACGCGAGTTCGCACAGGATGCCCGCGAGAATTAGCACGGGCACGGGCACGGGCACGAGCTTGGGCCACGGCCATGCGTTCTGGTTCTGTACATTCCGCACTTCGGGGCGGTATCCGTACACGATGCGTAATGTGGTGATTGGCGGCCATGATACCGCGTCGCGCATGTCAGGCAAGAGGGCCAAGCTCGGGCGCGCGCACATCCAGTCGATCTGCATCTGGTTGGCCAGCACGAAGGTGTCGAGGGCAGGCATGGCCGCGATGGTTTTCTTGAGCAGGAGCGCAGATTCTGTGGCTAGCAAGTCCTTCTGACGGCCGGTGGAGGGCGGGACGTCCGTAAGCCACAGCTCGCGCACGGTGCCAAGCGCCTGAGGTCCTCCTCGGAGCAACGGGGCGACCGTGTCCAGTAACGTAGCCGTGGTCGCGCGGTACGTGCGTCGAGGCCCGCTCGCAGTCATCCCCCATAAAAAAGAGTAGTCAACGTCGGTGCTTGAACGATAGGGGTACCGCCCTATGTTGAGCAGCGACGTCCCAGCGAGGAGGTCACGGGGGAGCACGGGGTCGAGAGGCGTCCGGAGGTGGTGTAGCTGCAGTGCGAGACCGTCTTGATCTGCCAGCACTTGGGAGAGGATGTATGACGCCAGATGACCGTTCATCTTCAGTAGCGCCACCCGGCGGAGGCGGCGGCAGGCGTGAAGCGTGCGTGGCGTCTGGCAGTCGAAGGCGAACGGCGGATCCGGCTGGAGTGGGTCTGGGTAATCCCTGACATCTTCGAGGTGCAGGGACTCAAGAGTGTCGCAAAAGGCCAATATGCGCTGTATCTTTGATTGGGCATAGAAATAATCAACATTCTTGATCGCAAGGTGGGTGACGGGGAAGAGGAAACCGGGCGTGTCGAGGTAGCATAACTCCAAACAGACACGTCTGAGTCGAGGGACGTACTCCGGGTAGGTGTAATCGGGCACATCATGAAAATACCCCCATTGTTCAGATTCTTCCTCGCTCGGGTCCGGATGCTCGTAGAACTGGACGGAAAGCGACTCGAGGTGAGGCAGAAGGCCTTCAGTAAGTATGTCCTGCAAGGCATCCCTGGTTATGCGGCCTGCAGAATCCCTGACATGGAGCACCCGCAGCCTGTTCCGGAGATCCTTGGCCACGTCGGCCGGGACGTACTCTGAAATCCGTCCGACGGGCAGGAATAGCTCTAGGGGCATACCTCGACTCCTCTGCGCAAATAGGCGAGCACGAGAAGGCGGGCCCTCCGTGATGCTTGTCCAGAGGGCGGGACATCCCAGGGCAACTTGGCGTAGCCGTCGGCACGTCTGCGATATGGGGATGATCATCGCCGTGTCGTACATCTCGGCGTCCCAAACCGGCCGAAGCATGTCCGACTTCACCGCATCGGGGATGAATGCCATGATGATTTGTAGCAGCTCTGTGGGGATGGAGAGAAGAGGTCGTCGTGCGTTGAAAATTTCGCGTATATTGGCGGCGGTCCCGTCCATCAGCTGGATGACACGAAGTAACTGCATTGGGGATGAGGATACCGGAAACAACCTGTGGGTCATGCGAGGTTAAGACGTACAGCTTCATCTCTATTTGGTACATATTAGCATCGGGAAATACTCAGCGCAGTCCATGCAAATGCGATTATAACGTACGATGGCATGGAGCACATACGCCCTTGGAGTTGCGTGAGGTGCGTCTCGACGTTCTCCACTAGGGTGCGCTCTTCCGGTATCATCACTGGTATCTTGTACTAGGTCTTCCTGTGGTGCTTGAGATATCCAAACGCTGACAAGCCGTACGGAGCGCTACGTCATCGCCTCGACTGTCGACAACACAAGTGATGGTTGAGGGTAAGTAACTCGGGTATCAGTAACCGAATATACCAACTACTATGTAGATCTGATAACACTAATCTGATTCGAGTAAGATATTTCTGATACATCTTGACAACTAACCGATTATCATCACCCAAGGTCCTATGCCGGTTGGTTCAAAATGGGCGTTAGCTCTATCACAGATGTGTGAGCTGCCGCTACGCAGTGCGCACCTCTCCCCGAGAAAGTCTCCCTCAAGCTCTCACCAAATCCTATGTGGCCACGGGTCGTTAACATCAGGCGGCCACGCCGACCTCTCGACACAGTACTCCGGGAGAGCCATGGTAGGCGTCTCCTCGACCATCCTGACCTGCGTCGTCTTGAAGTGCGTGCGGAGCCGCGCGATGTCCCCGCCGTCGACGTCCATCCACCGCAGGTGGCCCGGAACCTCGATCACGAGGTGCTCAAGATAGTCGTACGCGCCCGACGCGAGCTCGTCGACGAGGCCGGTGAGGTCGAGCGGGGGCATGACGGGCGCGGAGCCGTCGCGCGGCATCTCCCAGTCCTCGCGCAGGTGCGGGCCGTACCCGTGCACGATCCGCAGCGTCGTGATACTTGGCCGGACGCGGGCGTCGCGGGCGTCGGGCAGCAGGAAGAGGCTGGGCCGTCCGCCTTCCGCCCAGACCGCCTGGAAGTGGTTAGCGAGGACAACGGTGTCGAGGCGCGGCATGGCTGCGACGATGGTTTTGAGCGAGGAGATCTGGCTGGGAGAGGGGGGATGGGCAGTGGGACTGGACACGTCCGCCAACCAGAGCTCGCGTGCATCCGTGAGCGCCGTCGCAGCGTTCTCGAGCAGAGGATCTGCGACCTCCTCAAGGGTTTTTGTGGCCGTGCGGAGCGTGCGCCGAGAACCGCACACGGACATGCCCCATATGTACCAATATTCTCGGTCGCTGAGCGAAGGATATCTTCCAATGGTGACGCAAGATACATCACCTGGGAAATGGCTATGAATGGGATGCACGAGGTCGCAGCCTCTAGGCCTCCAGATTTCGTGTAGCTGTAACACAAACCCGGCTTGATCGGCACAGACTAAAGAGCATATATAAGACGCCAGATAGCCGTCTATCACTTTGAGAGAGACCCTGCGGAGACGGCGGCATGATGGTAGGGCGACAGGTGCGGGAAGAGAGAATCCATGGGGAGGTCTGTACGGATGATGATCGCTGTCTGCTAGACTGTCAAGATGAAGGAATTGGAGGGCGTCGCAAGTCGACAGGACAGACTTAATCCTTGTATGTATATGGCGCTCCACGACATCGTGGAGCGCTAGATGAGTGAGTGAGGATAGGACGGTGTTGGAGCCTGGATCGCAAGAGTATAGATAGAGGCGGCGGAGCTTGGGGAGGCATTCTGTCGTGAGAGGTAGGGTGAAGGGGTATCCCCCCTCCTCATCCAGCGGCTTCTCATAACGGGAGTGCACACAAAGTGTCTCCAGCATCGGCAGAGTACTAGAGAGGATGCGCTGCAATGCAATGTCTATGTCAGGGCGGGGAGCGTAGCCAATATGAAGCTCCCGGGCTCTGGTCGGTAGATCTCCTGCGATGGCGGTAAGGTCGTAGCTGCGGGGCGTCCGAGTGGGTAAGCAAGCAATCAAGGGGAGTCCTCGAGTCCTTTGGATGAGTGACTGAGCAAGTGGGAGCGGGAGGCCTGCGAGATTCGTCCACAGGGAAGGACAGCCTACCGCGACCTCGCGGAGCCGCCTGCACGTCTGAGAGATAGGGATGATCATGGTTGTGTCGTATGTGCCAACGTGCCAGACGGGTCGCCGGGACATTATGAAGGGCGGTGCGATTGGATTTGGGATGAGCATCATGATGTCTTGTAAGAGTTCTGTGGGAATGGACAAGAGAGGTCGGCGTGCATTGAGGAGCACTTGAACGTCGGCAGCCGACTCAGCCATGCAACGCCTTATGTGAAGGAGCTGCGCAAAAATGTTCAATTCAAGCTTGAGTGTGCAACCGACGGCCCAGGCAAGAACGTACGGCAGCTTCCCTGTGGAGTTGAAACCGGGGTGAGATAGCATCCTGCATAGTATGCAATCACGTACGACCGTGAAACGGAGCACGTTTGCTGTTTGAGGTGCGCGATGAAAGTCTCGACAGTCTCTACGAGACAGCAATCATCCGGGTCCATCAGTGGTTGCTCTTGATGTTTTGGCTCTGGGGCTCTGGAGAGATTCGAAGGGAATTCGGGAACACTATTCACTCAGTCGAAGCGTATGCTGGTCGGAAGCAAGCCTGAGGCCGACTAGGGTAACCGAAGCGCTGATATATCTGATAACAACTCATATGATTCGAGTAAGGCATTTGTGATACACGTTACTAGTACTTACAACCCTAAGCCAACCACATCGTGACATACCTACTGAATTTCTCCCTCCCCTCCTATGCCGCAGCTAGGCTATCACAGCAACAGTAGACATCACCCGGGCCAGAGCCTGTAGGGCCACGGCTCATTGCTCGGCCACGCGGCGGGCTCATTACAGTACGCCGGGAGCGCAATCGTTGGTGTTTCGTCCACTACTCTCACCTCCACCACTTCGCAGTGCGCGCGGAGCCCGTCGACGTCTCCCGCATCGACGGCGACATGAGACGGGGTCTCCAGCACGAGGTGTCGAATATAGCCGTACGCGCCCGACGAAAGCTCCTCGAGTATGCGTGTGAGGTACAGCGGGTGCACAGCGGGCGTCGGATCGGGGCGCGAGGACCACAGATTGAGGACGTGCGGTCCGTATACGTACGCGATGCGCACCGTTGTGGGGCGAGGCACGGATACAGCGTCTTCGTGGACGCTAGGGAGCAGACGGAGGCTTGGGGACGAGCCTGTCCACGGCGCCTGGAACTGGTTGACGAGCGTGACGGTTTCGAGCGCGGGCATGCGCTTGATGAGGGTCGACAGCGCGGCGACGTCGGCGGAGGGCAGCATGCCTGGTACGTCGCATATGGCGGGAGAGACGTCGGTGAGCCACAGCTCGCGCACGTTCGCGAGCGCCGCGGCGCCACCTTCGCGTAGTATGCCGGCGACCTCGTCCAGGGTTTCGCCGACCATGCGGAGCGTACGCTGATCAGAGCCGGACGCGGTCATGCCCCATACATACGGGCCGCCAGGGACCCTCTCCGCAGGTTGCGGGTACCTGCCGATGACGACCTGCGAGGGGTTTTTGAGTAGCCTATGGTGGTGCATCGTGATCGAACGGTCGGAATCCGGATAGATCTTGTGCAGCTGCACTGCGAGCTGCGGCTGGTCGCCCAGCACAAGGGAGAGAATGAAGAACGCAAGCCGGTTGTACATGGACAGCAGCGAGACTCTGCGCAGGCCGCCGCACGACGGTACGACAGACACCGTCGGGAGGCGGCGGTGTTCGCCCGAAGGCTCGAATAAATCTCCCTGGTCTTCCATCTCTTCGAGGTGCAGCGACTGGAGAGAGTGGCATTCCGGCAAAATGGCTTCGATCATCGCATGGACAAGCGGTACGATGATGACGTGTAGTGCTAGGTGCGTGAGGGAGGACAGGAGCGTGTCGTATGAAGCCAGATCGCATGCACCGAGATAGAGGCGGCGAAGTCGTGGGAGGCGTTCTTGTGCGAGGGGCAGCTCGAAGAGATATTGGCCGCTTTCGTCAGCGTCCTCGGGCTGGGCCACCTCCACGAATTGTACGGAGAGTATCTCGAGGTTCGGCAGGGGGAGAGAAAATAGATGTTCTAGGGCTGGTGTCGACCTCTCCAGATTGCCAAGGTCTAGCTCCCGGACCCTCAGCAAATGATCTTTAGCGGTGTCATTGGATGGGAGGTCGTCGGCATAGAGTGTAGGGTTTGGCAAAAAGGTTTTCAGAGTAAGACCTCGGCTCCTTTGTGCGAATAGCTGGGAAAGTGGAGGGGACCAGCTTCCGACGCTCGTCCACAACGAAGGAGAATCGAGGGCAATAGTCCGGAGTTGCCTGCATGTCTGGGAGATTGGCATGAGCATCCTTATGTCGTGCACGTCGATGTGCCATGCGCGCCGAAAATTAGACATGGTGTCCGGAGTGAGCGCGTCGGGAATGTGGGAGATGATCATGAGGAGGATCTCTATCGGCATACTGAGAAGTGGCTGGCGTGAATTGATAGTGGTTTCGTCCATGTTCAAGATGTCTCTGGAGGCTGTGAGACGTTGTGGTTAAGTTTGGCCCGGATTGTAGTCTATAGAGGTACTGTTAGTACGTTCTCCATGTAATCAACGTCATCAATGTAAGGCGATAGTCTGCATTTCATGTGCTCACTGCTCACTTACGACAGAATGGTGTCTTCAAGGAGTATCTGCGAGGCCTGCAGACGCATGCGGTAGGATTGTGCGATCCGGAGATGGTGGTCAAATGCAAGGTCACGGATGGCCCTTTGATGATGTTGACCTCGGCCCGGCTAACCGGGGATGGCATATTGATGGTACAGTCCGACTCCCAGGGCCGCTGCGGCTTTCAGCTATGCATTTCATAGTCTAGAATACGAGTGGTAGTCACAGACAACAAGTATTTTACAACTTTCGCTACAGAGGACATTACCAGAGCTTATACGGCCATGGGTCGTCGCTCGCCGCCCAAGCAGCCCGCTCATAACAGTACGCGGGAAGCGAGATTGTCGGCGTGACATCTACCACCGTCTTTATCTGCACCGTGTTGCAGTGCTCCCGGAGCCGCTCGACGTCTCCCGCATCGACGGGAACATGAAAGGGGACCTCAATCACGAGGTGCTGGACATAGCTGTACGCGCCGGACGCCAGCTCCTCGAGGATACCCGTGGCCATGGCGGGAATCGGGTCGGGTCGTTCGGTCCACCATCGCAGGACGTGCTTCCCGTACCCGTGCTAGGGCGGTGTCCGATATGCCCGTCACCCTCACGCGCGTCGGGAAGGAGACGCAGGCTCGGTCGCGCGCCCGACCATGGCGCCTGGAACTGGTCCACGAGCACGATGGTCTCGAGCGCGGACATGCCCTGAATGAGGGCGCGGAGCTGGTTCGCTGTAGTGGCGCGTGGTATGTATGGCCCATCGCAGGTGGCGGGCGAGACATCCGCAAGCCACAGCTCGCGCACGCCTGTGAGCGCAGGATCCCCTTCGCAGAACATGCATGGAATTCCCTCGTCCTCGTCTCCAGCCCAACGAGCAGTGCGCTCCGAGCCGCATAGCGTGATTCCCCAGAGGGGGGGCAAGTCGTGGGGATCGGGATAGCCCTGGGGTGGCGCACGTTGGGGATACCTCCCAATATGGACCTTCGAAATGGCACCGATAAAATGACGGGGTAGCCGGTAGTGATATTCCTCCAAACGTGGTGTATTTGCACGGCGAGAGGTGTTATCTCCCTTAGCAGGGAGAGAATGTAAATGATGAGGTGGCCATCCAGCGACACGAGGGTGATCCTGCGAAGATGACGACATGCTGGTATGGGCAACGGCGACGGTGTAGGGATAGGGTCGTTTGCAGCTGATGGATTTGCGTGCGGCCAGTGGTCGAAATCACTAACGCGTCTAGATGTAGCGACCGGAGGGCGTGGAAAACGGACAGCATCGCCGCGATTTTCTCGTGCATACGGCCGACATGGACCATGTTGAGGGCAAGATGCGTGAGGGACGCAAGGATATCCAGGGAAGCTAGATCGAACATGGAATAAGCGAGACGTCGGAGGCGCGGTACACGTTCCCTCGAGAGTTGTACGGCATTGGCATAAGTCCCGTCTACGTAGTGCCCACTGCTATTCCGTTTCACCGCGAGCGACTCGAGCATCGGGAAAGCGTCAGAGAGAAACTGGTCCAGGGTGTCATCGTCTGGAATCTTTACGATGTAAAGTTCCCCGATACGCGTCCGGAGAGCACTCGCAACGTCTGCAAGGCCGAAATGAAGGGAGGGTGCTTGAGACGCCGACAGGATGACTGTCAAAGGTAGGCCGCAACTCCTGTCGATAAGGTAGTGCGATCGTAGGCGAGGGCCACACACAACGTCTTTCCAGAGCGATGGGCATCCCAGAGCGACGGAGCGAAGCCGCCTGCAAGTCTGAGAGACAGGGATGAGCATAGTCGTGTCTTGCAGGTTGGCGTGCCAGGTAGGCTCAAATTGATAGTGAGACTCGGATGGCCAAGGATCGGGTCGGGAATGTACGCCATGATTTCTTGAAGCAATTCTGTCGGAATGGATAAGAAAGGTCAGCGCACTTTGAAGGCTTCATGGGTGTCGTTAGAAATTGTCTCGGCCGAACGTTCTCCTGTGGAGGACCTGCGCGCGTTCAGGTCTAAGTAGTAATTTGAAACAGCCAAATAACGTACATCCTCTTCTATAAACAGAGAGCTCCCTTCTGAAGACATTTCTGCCTCCTCGAAGATCGCCGGGTCGTCACAGACAGTGGTGGTCAAGAGCAAGATCGCGGATCCGGAGTTCGTCGAGACTCGACGGAGCTCGACGGCAGGTGTGATCCGCGGCCCGGCGAGCCGGAAATGATCGACCGAGGCGGTGGGCTGTCTCCCGGAGCCGCTGCAGCTTCCAGTTCTCGCAGCCACCCAGATCCTCTCCGCCGTCGGTATCCCTCTTGCTACCGCTCGCTCTACTCACTCTCGCGCAAGGCAAGTGAGGCTACGACTCACGAAGTGTCCGCAGGGAGCACACCGCATAACAACACCTGCTAGACGAGGCCTACCCATTGTACTACGATCATGGCCGTCTCCTCGCGCCGATTGCAGAAGGAGCTCATGGACATCAAGAAGGAGGGTACCCCCGTCGGTGCGCCACATATACACCCACAGGCGTAAACGTCACGAATCTAAATGTTTGTCTACAGGCATCGAGGTCCTCCAGGCAGATGACTTCACCCGCTGGATCCTCTCTGTCGAGGTTCTCGGCGGCACGATCTACGAGGTGCGCACGTCTCCCTGTAACGTGCGCTCGAACGACCACATGTGTCGTAGTAACACGACCCATGTTTATAGGGCGAGAAGTTCGCGCTCTTGTTCCGGTTCGACAACCAGTACCCGATCTCCGCCCCCGCCGTGCAGTTCGTCGTCGACGACACCTACAAGGCGCCCATCCACCCCGTACGCCGCGCCTCTCCCCCCTCCTACCGCTATCCTCTGATCTGACGCCCTACCACAGCATGTATATTCAAATGGCCATGTAAGCGCGCCCGCCGCAGTTCTGACGCTGCGCTTGCAAATGTCTCTGGGGCGCAGCTGACCGCCCGCACCGTGCACTGCAGATATGCGCGTCCATCCTCGGGAGCGAGTGGTCCCCCGTGCTGAGCGTCATCTCCGTCTGCGTGACGATCCAGAGCATGCTCGCGTCCTGCAAAGTCCGTTCCTGCTTCCTTTGTCTCCCCGGATCACTGACGTTCATCTCGCACGGCGGCGTATAGACGAAAGAACGGTGAGCGTCCGTTCACTGCGAGCTGCCTTCCTACACCATCTCCATTGTTCTTTGTACTGAGAGAAGCACCACCGTAGACCCCCGGACAACGACCGCTACGTCTCGCACGCGCCCGAGAACCCGAAGAAGGTACGCGTGACTTATGCACCCCGTTCCAAATTCCCCGTGCCAAGGCCCATGACGCTCACCCCGTGTCCCACAGACCCGCTGGGACTTCCATGGTACGTCCCGCTTCCCTGCATACACTACAAGTGCCTCACCCTGCCCGCGCCGCAACCTATCGTCTGAAGATGACAAGTACGTCTTTCCTTCCGCGTCTTTCTCTATGCTTCTGACGGCGTTGCGCAGTGTATAACCATCCCCGCTTGTGGGTGTACAAACAACCGGAACTGGAACCGGAGGGTCTGGTTGTAGATGAGGGAGAGCGAGCGTATGGCTCGGGCTCTGCGTATAGGATAAGTGTTGTGTTTTGTGATATCATCGGCATTCAGATCGGGTTATTGGATACCCTGCATACGGAGGACATATGTGTGCGCTTGCGCTGGTGTCGTGGTGTATCGTACGCACGTATCTCGAAGTACAAACTGGGTTATCACAGTTCCCTAGCAACTAGGTGAGAACGTAGTGAGTGGAGAACGTGTTGTGGTGTTAGATATATGATACATCCGTTTGGCACAAAGACCCTCGATGAACGATGAGACTACCGTTACACTGGTATCCATCCTGTAAACCACTCAAGACCAGGAGCCGTGCACATATGTAAGACGGCAGTACAGAAAGCGAACTGATACAAAACCAGAGCACAACAAATACAGCACGCGAGCACCGCCAAGAAGCGACGTAGATCAGCCTGTATATCCCGGATTGCTGACGCGCACTATCCACAGCACCCGCCAACAGGAGCAGCAGTCCTCGCCCGGCTCTCCTCGACTTGCTCCTCCTCGCCCTCATCCACCCCACACCCCGTACATGAATCCCCACACGCGCACCGCCCCTCGGGGCACCCACATCCCCCGGGACAGTTACACTCCAGCTTCGGCACCGCAACGAGCCCAAACGCAGCCTTCCGCCCCTCCCTCCCCTCCCCGCTGAACAGATCCCGCGGGTACACGAGCACGTTCGTAGGGTCTAACGCGCCAGGCCGAGTACGACTCGGCGGCGGCGGCGGCAGCGCTGCCGCGCGCGCAAAGAACGCGTCGATGAAGTTCGCACCCGATGCAGATTTCTGCGGCGCGGGGGACGCGGGGATGAACGCGAAGGTAGAGGAGGGCGCGGGGAGCGCGACGCCGCCCTCGTTGTCGACGCAGATCCCGCACGAGCCCTCGGCGCAGTCCTCGAAGTCCGCGGACGCGTGCGCCTCGCCGCGGTGCTTGAGGCACCCGGGGCACGCGCAGTCCGTTCCGCAGCAGCACTCGGGCGCCGCGTGGGCGGTGATGGCGCTGAGCGGCGGGATGGGCGGGAACGCGGGGGGCGCGGAGCTGCTTGAGGATGCGTGGAGGTCCGGGGTGTATAGTGACGGCGTTGGGAAGAGGGGAGGGAGGGCGTGATCGTGCGAGGTGGATGAGGGGTGGGCGTGCGATGTGTGTTTGGATCGTTTCGCCTTTGGGCTTGGTGGGCGTGACGATGGTTGGCTCGAGCAGCATCCGCGGGAACGCTTCTGAGAACTATCGTCCAGCAGAACAGCCGCACTGGACGGGACTTGCGCTGTCATTACTACCGGCGCTACTTGAGGTAGCGGCGCGATGGGCGCCTCTTCTGCGCAGCAGAACATGGCCGCCTGGGCGAGTGCTGCAAGTCCACCATGTGCAGAAAGTGATGGTCGCGCGGAGCGTTCATGGCCACAGGTGCATATTGACGCTTCCTTGCCACCACAGCGACACAAGTTGACGGAGGCGGCACTGGACGGACCTGCGGCCGGGGCCATGATATCTTTGATACCATTTGGAAGGGCAGGTGCGATGGGCTTAAACCTCCGAGCTGTTTGAATGAGACCGGGCTCACAGACTTCAACGGCGATACAAGACTTACTTTTGGGCTTCGGAGCGCTCCCAACCTCGGCGCTAGCCTTCGACGCCAGCGCCTGCGTGGACGGGCCGGCCTCGGAGGGCGTACAGGTGCACTTCGAGTGCATGCGTTTCGTCTTCCGGAGCTCACGGCATTTCTCGCACTGCGACACCGGACGGCCCTTCTTTTTGATCTCGAAGAGCGGACGGTCGGTGTGTTGGCAGTTCGACGAGCGGTGCCCCTTTATGCACGCCTCGCTGGAATGCCGGGGAAAGTCAGAAGGCAATCGTACGGATATATTGGGCGGACATGGACGGACCAGGCGAACTTCTTGTCGTTGACGTACACCTTCCGCGGACTGTCAGTATCGCCATGGACAAGATCATGGGTCCCGACGCACCATTGAAAGGATCTCAATTTGACAGGCAGAATATACTGCGGCTCCTATATCGCCCACAGCACGGGGCTAGATCGATGTGAGTTATCGTGGGCGCCTGTGGGAAATGAATAGACGGCGGCGTGGAGCTGGCCGAGCGAGCTTTGGATGCCCAGCGATGGAGTCGCACAGAGGGGTAGAGAGAGGAGGTGGTGGGGAGAGGGAGAGCCTATAAGAGCCCGTCGAAAGCTGAGCAGGCCCGCTCACCGGAGCCTTCAGCTGATGGCGACTGGAGGGGTACCTGTCACATCGTGTCACACTACGTTTGGACCCCTGGGGCGCGCGCATCACAGATTTGACCCGGATCTTGCAATGGGTTATAATCCAGCTATAATGAACTTGCAATCCGTTGTAATGCTCCCAATGATCATAAGTTCGCAATCTGTCATAATGCCACTACGATCGCGTTGAGCCCCTTACAACCGGCACAATGATTGCAAAATGCCCAATCATTCCGAGGTCTTCAAATATTCCACGTGCACGTAAGGTGTATAATGGGCTAGCAGATTGCCCGCTTTTCGGAATCCGGATCGTCATACCGCGCACGGAGATGCAGGAAACACAATCAAATATATAAGACCATACTGTAAACATACATGCAGTCGAGTGATATTACATGTTCGCACTACTACTATACGTGCTACTCGGTACGCCCTCGGAGTTCCGAAGTCACCAGGAGAGGAGCGCCGTGAGCCGTGAGACAGAGAACCGCAAGACAGAGAACCGCGGGACCGTCGAACCGTATAGCCTTGGCCGAAGCTTGATCCAGAGCACTTGGCAGACAGTGAGGTGACAAGAGAAGACGGCCAGCACGGCGAGCGAAGACGACACGAAGCCCCCAGTCTAGACAGCTAGCATTCAAGTAGACTGAGTTAGAGTGATTGCCAGGGAAAGCGACCAGCTAGGGACCCGCTAGAAGCTCAAGTACAAGCACGCTAGTGACAGACAAGTCCGAAGAGCAGCTAGACCAAAGGGCAGTGATACGATCCCGACAATACACGAGAGAGAGATTTGCGAGATAGAGGGGAGAGGCAATGGGCGTCGAGGGGGAGAGTGAGGGGAGAGACATGAGTGGAGAGAGAGGAAAGGGCGCGCGGGATGTTCGTCACTAGGAGACTGAAATTGAAGCTCCGCCGATGAACTGTACAGGACGTCCAGCAGTTGTGCGAAGTGTCGGTAAAATCGAGCGCGCGAGTTGTGAGTGGATGGTATTGGGTCGCAAAGCAAGCGAGGATTGCGCAGGTTGCAAGACGATTGCAAGACGATGACGAGCGCCTCGCAACCTTGTTCCAAGCAGATGTAATGATCCGGGCGTTTACCATCAAGGCCGAGATTATGATGACTTTACAAAGTCTTATAACATCTTGTAATGGTGGGAATTCTTATTACTCTAACAACTTCGACGCCGTTTCTGTGATGCGGGTGCGCGGCGGCGTGAGATGGATGAGCGCAGGTGAGAACCAGCAGCGAAACAGGCTCAGATGACTGTCACAGTAAAAATAGGACGCACGCCTCTTCTCGATCCCTTACGACAACCTTCCTCACCAATACATTACATCAGGCTAGAAGAGCGGCTCCGTGAGTCCTCATGGGGCTTAAGTTGGGCTTAAGCTCACGGTTGGCCCACCCACGCGCGATGCGCTCATCCTGGTATGGGTGATAGTGCGTTTATAGAAGATCAAGTCCAACAATGAGCATATGTGGCGGTCACCCGCTCTAACCCCTTTACGTGGTGAGACTTCGACCTGCACATCCGGAAGCACTGGCAAGTCAGCGGGAGACGAACCATTGGCGATGACGTCCTTCGCTTATTCCCGGAAAGCATTCGCAGTCTCCGTGCTGTTGCAATGTGCAATACGGATGGTGAAACGCCGTGGCGGGAGGCCGAACCTCCCAACGGCAAAAGAAGCGCACATGATTATAACCGCGGATCCCGCCCACTGCGTAATGTGCACCCTATTTCGCAGCGGCACGCACGGCACATCGTCTCATTCCCGGGCCCCTCTATACCCCATTCAACCGCTATGCCGTCCTGTGTGATGATCTAAAGCGCGCCAAAAAATCTGAGAAGCACTATGATCCAGGCAGGCGCGCATCGCCCGAATATCTCACTCACCATTACTCCGGGAAGGTGGATAGTTTGGACGCTGATTGACTGTTTGTGGTTCGACGCCAGGGCCAAATCTCGCGGAAGCACTGTCAGTATTGCACGAGGGATAGTGCCGAATCTTCAGGTTGAAAGCATGGGTTTTCAGACGTAGTACGTACGAATCTAAGTCTGGCCACTCTCACTTCTTTGGTCTTTGGCGACTGGCAGAAGGGGTATACAGAAGGGGTTCCGGGCTTTGCAAAGTGCCGATGAACGCAGAACCACTCAACGATGATATCGTCACCCGGTGATTCTGCGGGGCTTGCACATCGCTGGAAGACGGCTTACTTCTCAGCTCGTTGACGGGGCCCCGACTGCCTCACGCCACAAACACAGCGGCGTCAGCCCTGACATGGAAGGTCAAGGCTCGACCTGTATAAGATAGGGGATTAGAAATATGACACACAGCGAGTTAATAGAGACGGACTATTCCACTCACGTCCCACGCCAGTGGTTGCAGGGCGCCATTTGTGGTGTTGTGAGACGTGCTTAGCTTAGTCTTACATTCATGACTACATCGTGACTCTGTCGAGGAGTCTCCTTGTGAATACTGGACGCTCATTTCTAGATGGTTTGAGCAGTGCGAGCAATAGTATTACAAAACATACATATAACACGGTCTCGAGGATGAGATCCTCTAGATACCAACCCGCCGACGGGGCGTCGCCGTGACCCGCGCGCCCGCACCGATGCCCGTATGGCGCGGGGTGCCTGGTACGATGATCTGCGAGCTGCCCGACGATGTCTTCTCCGCAAGCGCCTCCTCCTGCGCCTTTTTCGCGCTCCTGGAAATAGGGGGAGGCAATTTAGCGGGTGGTGCACGAGGTTCAGCCACTGTCACTCACTCTTCGCGCGCGCGCGCCATCTCTGTCTCGATCTCGGCCTTCCGTGAAAACTCGCGGTCGGCTTGTCGGCGATTGCCGCGCTCGTCGAAGTTCTTCTCCTTGACGGAGTAGAAGACGGACCCCAGCTCGGCTGTGCGTGGTGGCGCGATGAGCCATGTGGCGTGAGTGGGTGGACGGTGGCACGTACCTAGCCAGTAGGCGTCGACAGCGGTGACCTGAGTCATGTACTCCTTTGACGTGAGGATGAGCTCGTGGTACACAACGTACGTGGGCGTATCTGTCACGGTGGTCAGAACGAACATCCCGCGTCCACGCATCATGAGACTTACAGCCCAGACCGTATAGAGCGCTGGTAGGATGGAGATGGGTAGGCAGGCCTGTCCGGATGTTGACGAACTCCCCGATACCCTTCACGCGTGCCGCTTGGTGGAAGTAGCCCGCGGTGATCGCTTTCCTGCACAACGGTCAGCCCTCTGCGCGTGCCGTAGCTGTATAAAGCGCAGTGACATACCTGATCAGGTCGAAGTCCGTCCCGGCGGAGATGATCTCCATCTTCTGGAACTTCATGATGTCCTCCAGCTGCGCGCGCACCTCCCGTGCCTTCCTCAACAGCTTCGGATGCAAGAAGTGGCGCAGCGCCCAGTCGTCGCGGAACCCGTGCGACTTCCACTGGTTGAACACGTTCAGCAGCGTGAGGTGGTCGCTCTCGGGCACGTTGAACTTCTCGCGCGCCGCGTCCGCTTCCTCCTGGCGCTCCTTCGGGCGGTAGAACACGCTCGGCACGGAGAGCATCGACACGATCGTGAGCATCTCGCCCGAACACTTGTACTCAACCGACTGGATGAGCATCTTCGCCATGCTGGGCTCCATCGGGAACTCGCTCATCTTGCGTCCGCTCTGCGTCAGGTCCCCGATGTTGTCCAGCGCGCCGAGCACCCACAGCTGGTACATGGAGTTGAGCATGTTGGCCTGTGGCGGCGGGTCCATGAAGTCAAACTCGAGCAGGTTCTTCACGCCGAGCGACTTGAGCAGCAACACGGTGTTCGCCAGGTTCGTCCGCTGGATCTCGGGGATGTTGTTCGCAAACATCTCGTTCCGGAACGCCATTTCGGTGTAGAGCCGGTAGCAGAACCCGCTACCCGTCCGACCGGCACGACCGGTACGTTGGTTCGCGTTGGCTTGACTGATCGGCGTGATCTGCAGCGCGTCCATACCGACTTTCGGGTTGTAAACCTTCAACTTCGAGTATCCAGCATCGACCACGTAGAGGATACCATCGACTGCGCGTCTTCATGAGTGCCATGCAATAGGGAAAAGCGGCGACACACACCGGTCAAGGATGTCTCCGCGATGTTTGTGGCCACGATGACCTTCCGGCGACCGTCAGCTGTTGGTTCGAAGATCTTCGCCTGGAGATCTGCGGGCATCTGAGAGTAAATCGGCAGCACGGCCAGTGGTGCAGGATCGTCGAGCTGCGATAGTCGTTCTATGAAACATGTATCAGAGCCAATAGCACATATCGCGTACACAACGAAGCTCACCTTGGACGACTTGGCAAGTGATCTCAATATCCTCCTGACCAGTCATGAAAACCAGGATGTCGCCCGGTGGAAGCGACAGATGGATCTGCAGAACCTGCTTCACCGCGCTGTCCACGTAGTCTTCGCACGGCGACTTGGCATGGAAGATTTCGACGGGGAACGTGCGGCCAGGGATAGTGAAGCAAGGTGCTTGGCCATAGAATTGCGAGAACTGTGTATAAATAGTCATTATCGACTTCGTTATATCATTCCACGAAGGCATTACGCACCTTCTCGGCATTCATAGTAGCAGATGTGACGATTAGCTTCAAGTCTCTCCGGCGAGACAGAACTGCAGGCTCGATTAATGATCCGCACATGATATGATCGGGCAGGCGCAGCTCACTCTTTCGGAGAAGACCCATAAGTACATCAGTACTCAATGACCGCTCGTGAGCTTCATCGAGGATGATGACGCTGTACCGGTCCAAATCACCCTCATTGAGGGATTCGCGAAGCAAAACACCGTCGGTCATGTCTATCGAACAGCTGTCAGTACCACTACATTGCGAGGCTGATGAGCTGAGGACGTACATTTGATTTTCGTCTCTGGTGATGTGCAGTCCTCGAAACGGATAGCATAACCGACAGTCGAGCCAAGTTTGCACTTGAGACGCAGATCAATAACCTTCGTCGTGTGGACAATTATATTCCAACTACTCACCTCCATCTCTTCGCTGACACGCTTTGCAACGGACATGGCTGCAACACGACGGGGTTGTGTGCACCCGATGATGCCATATGAGCAGTAGCCGTCCTCGTACAAGAACTGCGCGAGCTGTGTCGTCTTGCCTGAGCCCGTCTCGCCGACGACGACAATAACTGAACACGACCATGAGTGTGGGCATCCGCATTCAGAGAAATTGTGCTGACCTTGGTTCTCTCGAATGACCTTCATCAGCTCCTCGCGGCACGCAAATGCAGGCAAGTACTCGCGCTGCTCCTTCAGCGTGCGGGTCCTCGCAAAGTTACTTACACCCGCACTCGTCTTCATGTGGGTCGAGAACTTCGATTCGCCCTTGTAGTCTTCTTCGCCCTCAGTCTTCGCCTTCGCCTCAGCCTCGGCTGTATACCAGCACACATCGCAACAGGCACACGGAAACAGAGACTACGTGAATGTCCAATCCAGACGCTAGTTCGGAACGCATGAGACAAGTACTTACCGTCCGCTGCGGCGTCCTCGTCTTTCACGCCCATGATGTTTCCGAGCGCCGTGCCGCCGAGTGCAGCGAGCTTCGCGGCGGCCTTCGCGCGTTCGGCCTGTTCACGCTTCTCCTTGACCAACGCGCTACCTTTTCGAGAAAAGACGGCCATGTCGCTGGTCGGGTCGCGCACTGGGTTGATCGGCTCGAGTTGTCTCGTGAAGACCGTTCGTCCATCGAGGAAGGGCGGTTTCAGATCGTGCACCATAACATGCACCGTCGACTCAGACTCGTCTTCGAAATCCAAGTCAATCTCTCTGCGAGTGGCAACACCGGAGGTAAGCATCCGGTTCGCCTCCCAGAGATCATTGTCCGCGTTCTGCAAGAATTAGCCGTCAACGCGCTGCCGGGTGCGGCGAACCAACGGTACTCACGTATTGCGCCTGGCGCGCAGAGACCTTCTTGACCTGCTTCTTCGCGAGCTGCTCCTCCTTGACCGCCGCGAGATCGTCATACTGCGCCAAGGGGTTGTACTCTTCCTCGCCAAGTACACCGCCTCCTTCTGCACCCATGTACCAGTCTCGGTCCAACCGAATCTGTTCCTCCTCCCATTCCCGCGCATCGATGCCGAGAGCCCCGTCGCCTCCGTCCGAGCCGGGAGACGTACCGCGGCGGGGAGTGGGGGCATCCCACCTTCTACTGCGCGAGCCGTTAGATCCTCCCGGAGAGGGTGGTCGTCGAGGTGTGGCATCCCAAGACGCGTTCGGAATGCGCACGCTAGGCATGTCGTCGCCTCTGCGGCTTCGCTCAGAGCGGGGCGTGGCGTCCCAACCCCTGCGGTCACCGCCGTGGTCGCGACCATTGTCGCGACGATCACGGTCTCGTCTATCATGAGGACGGTCTCGGTTCAATCGCTGCTGGAAATCACCAAGGCCACGAGGGCCGTCATTCCGACGTTCGTCCTTGGCTGTGATGCCCTCTGCCAATGCATGTCAACAAACCGGCGCGCTTCGAGCATACAGGAAACTCACCTCGGGCACGCCTGCGTTCCTCCAGTTTCTGTCGCGCCATGTCCGACAGACCACCGGGATGAGAAGGGGTCTCCTCACCTCGTTGCCGGAGATGGGATGTCCGTGAAGCAGGCATTGAAGGCACTGCATCTTCGTAAGATCCCAACGCTTTGAGAGTACAAATCATGCCGGCGTACCCTTGAAATGCGGCTCGTCTCCATCGTCATCTAACCTTGCCTTTTTCCGACTGCCCTCACCGTTGGCCGCTGCCGCTGCAGCCCTCTTCTCTTGCGCCAGACGGTCAAGGCCAAGTACAGATGCTCGAGGTGTAGGAGGAGCAAGCGGCTTGTTGGGCCTTCGGAATGTATGAGCCTGCATGCGTAGGAGCGTGAATACCAAGCCCCAAACACCTGCCTCTGCCGGCTCAAGCGAGTACACTCACCGCATCCTTGCGCACTAGGCCGCCCGCGCGTTCAGGTTCCGGCTCGAGCACGTCTGAGTCGTGAACGACGATGCCCTGAGCAGGCTGTGCGTCTTTGCCCGCGGCCTCCTGCTTCTCGTGCGACAAGATTTCTGCATGGAGCTCTGCAAGGAAGGAATCTTTGAACTTGCCGAAAGACTTCGCCGCTGCAAAAACCCGGCTCTCGTCAATGTCCCAGCCTTCCCGGGTTGCGCGCAATCGACGCACCTGCAATGAATCCGTCCACGGTGTTCGTCTTCGCGATGTCCTGGACGCGCTGCGCGAGCAAGTCGTTCGGGTTGATCAAGTTCAGCGCCCTAGAAAGACGGATAGCAATCTGGTGGACGAATTCGTCCACTCCCTCAGATGTGGAAGCCATGGAGGAAAGAGAGGGAGACTGATGGTGTGTAATGAGTGCAAGCAAGAGCTGCTGAAGGCACCGGCTGTCATAGTTAGACGCCGCCCAGAGCATCGTCAACCAAATACATGTAAATACCGCAAAGTATAAGAAGGCGGTTCCTCACTTCGGTTTCTCCTTACAATGTCTACGTCGTCCCCGCCATAGAGTCACTTGCTTCCTAGATATCTATCGCATAGGAAATTGCAGGCGCTCGTGGGGACGCAGAACAACCTCCTCATCTGGTCTAATCGTCGGTCGGTGTCAGATGCTTCGACCATCTTGCGACGAGATTAGGCGGGGGACAATTTTTGCGTCTCGCATGGGTCTTCTTGTACGTCTTTGGTAGCAGTCATTCCAACGGTTTCCTACAAAATAGATCTTCCTCGATGCTCCCACTCGCCCGTCGTGACTCGTCCGCCTCGCTCGAAGCTAGCAGTCCGCGTCGAAATCCGATGTCTCTGACAGTTGTGGTCGGGATACGGCCGCGTGCTTTGCATGCTAGCTCAGGTTGCTCCTGAAGCCGCTTGAAGGTCACTCCACTCGACGGCCTGAAGGCCTGAAGTCTCAATGGTGGAGTTTGCGTCTTCGGTATATCATAAGCGCATGCCTATTTTTGCTATAGGTCAAAGCAGTTGTTCCAGCAGTGTATACATCGTAATGTACATGGTACATATCTTCTTTCTTCTACTCGCCGGGGCACCTACATCTACTTTACACCTGCTCGTTGTTATCCTTCGCCAGCTGGATCTTCCTATCCCGGTCGGTGGTGATGTCGTCCAGGATCGCCCGCCCGCCCGTCTCGATGAGCACCTTCGCAAGCCTCGCGCCAATCGCCTCCGCCTCCTCCACCGAGTGCACGTCGGCCTCGATCCGGTGCTCGACATGCGTCTCGCCCTCCAGCGCGGTGATGCAACCGACGATCTCTAGCCGGCCCTTGGGCACGTCGCCCTCCGCCTCGACGAGCGTCGTGTGCACCCCGACTGGCACGCTGCACCCGCCCTCGAGTACGCGCAGGCACGCGCGTTCTGCGTAGCACGACCACTCCGTCTGCCAGTGCGTGATCGAGCGGCACAGCGCGCGCGCAGCCTCGTCGTCGGCGCGGATCTCGATCGCGAGCGCGCCCTGCGAGACGGCGTACATGAGGGTGGGCGGTCCCAGCTCGGCGGTGATGCGCGGACCCCATCCGAGGCGGACCATGCCTGCCTTCGCGAGGACGATCGCGGCGTAGGGCCCGTCGGGCGCGTCAAGCTTTGCTAGACGGGTGTTCCTACGGATTATTTAGCATGCTGACCGCGTGAGATCGTTGCATATATGCACTCACAAGTTCCCTCGCTGTTCGCGCGCGCAGGAGCGGTTACTGAGAGAACACGAGCAGAGAAGACAGGGCAGCTTACCACGTCCTTGAACACCAGCTTCGGGAACCTGCGCTTCAGCTGCGCGACCCTGCGCACGCTGCTTGTCCCGACCACGCTCCCGTCCGGCAGCTCCTCCAGGCTCTTCCATGGCGCATCCTTCTTCACCACCAGACAGTCCAGCGGGTCCGCGCGCTCCAGCACCCCCGCGATCTCGCATCCCGGGGGGAGCGACGTGGGTACGTCCTTCAGACAGTGCACGAGCATGTCCACCACGCCCTCCTGCATCGCGACCTCGAGCTCTTTCGTCCACAATGCCTTTCCGCCGAGCAGGTAGAGCGCTTGCGACTGGTTGTGGTCGCCGCCGGTCGTCATGAACGACGTCGCGAACTCGATTTCGGGGTGCAGCGCCGCGAGCGTGTCGCGCACGGAGTCCGTCTGGACCTGCGCGAGCTGTGAGGCGCGCGAGGCAAGCGTGAATTTGCGCGGGGTCGCGGGGTTGGCCATCCTGCTTCAGTTGATGTGCAGAGATGTGTTTAGTCTGGAGCTTCCGGGCACAGTTGAGAGGGAGATGAGAGAAGAGGGCCTGGCACAGAGGACATGATGGACGAGTAGATATAATCCGGCAGGCGCCGGCGGGCACTGCGACAGAACTTTGCACTCGGACGCTCGTATACACAGCAACACGTCGGCGAGTTCACACATGTGTTTGGGCGTGAGAGATGATTAAAATTACTTTCCCCGTAGTGTGAGTGAATTAGGTAGGATGTACAGGTAGATCTACACGGACATGTACTGCGCCATACTAGATGCCGGGGAGCGGTGTGCATTAGCGCGGAACGGACGGAACAGTCACCGAGGCCGATGGATTACCTCGACTCCTTCTTCTCATGGCCATGCTCCTTGGCCAGCTTCTCCTCGAGCTTTTGGAACTCGTTCAGGGCGATCTCTTCTTCCTGACCGAGTACCTATCGACGGCAATTTAGCACCTTGACTGCGTGGGCAAGCAATTGAGCGTACCTCCTCTACGCCCTTGACCTCGGGAATGTAGTGCACCAGCATACGCTCGATGCCGCTCTTCAGCGTTACCGTACTAGACGAGCATCCTCGACAACTTCCCTTCAGCTTCAGCTGGACGATACCGTCGTCCGTGAAATCCCGGTACTCGATGTCTCCGCCGTCCTCCATGATCGCTGGTCGTACGCGAGTCTCCAGCAGCTCCTTGATCATGGCGACCGTCTCCGAATCCGTGTCGAGAATGCGGGTATCTTGCGGCCCTGCCGACTCCCGGTCCTCCTCGGAGCGGAAGAGCGGCTCCCCAGAAGAGAAGTGCTCCATGAGCATGGCGTAGACCTCCGGCTTGATCACGGACCAGGCTGTCTCGGCGTCCTTGGACACCGTGACGAAGTCGGGGCCGTAGAAGACTTCCGTGACACCCTCGATGCCCATGAGACGGATGGCAAGTGGCGACTTGAGGGCGGACTTGATGTCCAGAAATTCCGCGGTGCCCTCGCCCATGACGGGCACCCCAGGGATGAATTTCAAGGAGTCATCGTTGGGCGTAGTCTCTGTCTGGATGAACATGGTACGGGCTGTTCCTCATTAGCTTCATGGACTACAGAAACGGACGTGGTGAGACTTACCTTGATCTATGCGTCGTACACGAGCTGCTGTACTCGAAACCCTAGTGGGTGAAGCCATGGACAATGTCGGACCATGGTGGTGTATGGCACTGGCCGACCGCCTCGACGAGGAGGCGAAGTTTCGGGAAGCTGTGGGTGCCCTGGGTATACTGCGGGTAGCCTTTTGGGAGACAGTCGTTCTCGGTATACGAGCGGCTACGCGCAGCGAACATGAAGCAAAAGACGACGAGGAGAGCATGGTGGTCGATGAGCAAGAGGTCCTTCCGGGACGGTCACCTCTACGCGCGCGAGTTAGTCAGGCGGCAAAGAGCGCCTCCGATTGGCTGAGGTGACATCACCGCTGCTATTTCCGGAAAAACATGCAGAAGGGATCATGACGCGCGCTCACGCTCATCGTTCCGCACAACCAGCACGATGTCCCACACAGCGAGCGCGGATGGCCCGCCGTCGCTGGGGACGGCGCTGAAGCTACTGCTTGCTTTTACGGTGACCTACACTCTGTGGCGCATCTACTCGAGGCCTCGTTCGCGGCCGGAGTTGCGGTCGGTTGCAATCCTCGTGCTGGGTGACATTGGCCGGAGCCCGCGCATGATGTACCATACGGAGAGTTTCGCGACAAACAAGTTCCTGACATACCTTGTGGGCTACGGTGGTGAGTTCGAGTCTCTTGGACACAGTGGCCGCAATGCTCCGTGGTCCGGGTGCGACTACCCCAGGCAAGGCGTCCGCGAGAGTTTGCTGTCCAGTGTCCATGTATGAACCAGCAGTCCATTGGTTAACACAACATCTGCTAGGCTCGAAGCCTATACCCTCCCTCTTGTCGATGCCGCGGGTCAAGATTTTGTACTTGAACGAGCAGCCAGCCTACCTGCGCGGACTTCCCTTCATCATTGCAGGACCCTTGAAAGTCGTCAGGCAAATTGTCGACATCTTTCATACACTCTTCGTGCGCATCCCCCATCCGCCCGAATTCATCCTTGTACAGGTAGGCAGCCAATTGCTTATTCTGGCCATGTGTATTGAGCTCCAAGGTCCGTATGCGTCGAAAGATAGAACCCGCCTAGTATACCCACACTTGCCATTGTGTGGTTCGTCGCCAAATTAAGAGGCTGCAAGATAATAATCGATTGGCACAACCTGGGTTGGAGCATACTCGCACTCCGCCTCGGACAGGATCACGCCTTTGTCAAAGTGGCGAAATGGTAAGCTCATTACAGTGTGAAGCAGCTGTCATGCCGCCAGCTTTAGGAAGAAATTGCTCACGTCCATCTCGCAGGTTTGAGTCCTATTTTGGTCGCACCGCATATGCACACCTGTTCGTCACTAACGCCATGCGCGAATCTCTAACCAAAGAATGGAACCTCCAGTACGTGCTCATGTCCCGGTCCTGAGTCGATTTTAACTTGTTTCTATTCAGAGGACACAAGGTGGTACTTCACGACCGCCCTCCAGCGCGGTTCCATCGCGCCTCACCCTCAGAGTCGCACGAGCTCTTTCAGCACCTGCTGCCCTCACTTTCCAGCCCGACTTTGACATCTTTCCTCCCCACTGCCAAACCGCCGTACTCAACACCTTTCACTCACATTCCTCCTTCCGGGCCCTCCAGTCCATCCCCCGGAGCCGAGCATGACTTCCGCCGCGTTTTCGACCCCAATGACCTCAGCCCGTTCGGCGAGAATATCGCGATGCCGGACTTGCGCCCGGACCGGACTGCGCTCGTGGTGACCAGCACATCGTGGACGCCTGACGAGGACTTCGACTTGCTCCTCAACGCGCTTGCGCTGTATGAGACGCGCGCCCGGGAGTGCGAGGACAGCGGTGAGGGCGACAGATTGCCGAAGGTGCTCATGGCCGTCACGGGGAAGGGGCCATTGCGCGCTAAGTACATGCGCAAGGTGGAGGGCCTGCAAACCGGAGATGATGCGTGGAAGTACGTGCGGTGCGTAAGCATGTGGCTCGAAGCGGATGATTATCCGCTCTTGCTTGGTACGGTTTTCTCTGCACTTTGACTCCACTGAGAACTAACCGGTGGATGGACTAGGATCATCCGACCTGGGCATATCGTTGCACTCTAGCTCGTCGGCACTTGATCTACCTATGAAGGTAGTGGATATGTTCGGGTGCGGGCTGCCCGTATGTGCGCTCGGCTTCGAGTGGTGAGTGCTTACAGTGCCTTGATACGTCGTATATTACCCTAATTTTCCCCTGCAGCCTAGACGAGCTCGTCAAGGACAGCGTAAACGGACTGGTGTTTCACGACGCGCAACAGCTCGCGACACAGCTCGAAGTACGTCTGTACCCGCTTCCCACCCGTATACCGAGCTCACGCATGTGCGCCGTAGAGTATGCTACGCGGATTCCCGTCCGCGCCGGCCCTTGCGGCCTTGCGCGCATCCTTCGACCGCGCTGCGCCGCTCGCGTCGGCGAGCGCGGGGACGAGCGACTGGGAGTGGGGTACATGGGCGGAGAACTGGAACCACACGATGCGGCCGCTGCTATTGCGCGACGTCGCGGGCGAGGCGCCGTTGTAAACTCTTATTGTGCTAAAAGACTCGCAATATCGGACAATTAACGAAAGCGCAGGTTAGGGTTGCAATTGGTTGCAGGCGCGTGAGCGCCCGGCTGCTTTCCAACAGCAACCGCACTATCGATTGTCCGTATATTTACGGTTCACAGCAGTACTCATATCGACTGGCTGTTCGCCTTGCCGTGCATTGCAACCACCTTTCTCTTCTGCCCTCTACTGGTACTCTTGACCACCGCCGTCTCTGACAACCCAGTGACAACCTGGCGATTTTCGAAGACGCAATAATGTCTTCAGAAGGGTGCTCGCTGCTCAAAAACGAGGATGTACGTTACAGGTTCTTCATACAGACTCGCGACTGACATGCCTGAACCCGGACGCAGGTCGACCAAGTGAGAGAACGTTCGGCCGAGACAATCGAAAACAACATCTATGAAGCCCTCAACGCGCGCCGACCTCTCTTATCCATTCCGACAGAATCGCTACAGGAAATCATGGCGTACATCCCCGACCCTGTTCCTTGGCAAACTCACCGCCGATTTGAGCCTACCTGGCACGCCGACCTGCATGATACAACTATGCTCGTCCCCATCTCTCAGACTTGCAGGCGGCTTCGCTCCGTCGCTCTTGGATGCCGAACTTTGTGGACAAATGTTGCGTGCGGTCCTCGCCTACGAATGCAGTACCTTATCGAGAGGAGTGGCGGTCTACCTCTGATGGCTTACCTGTCGGTGGATCAAGCACCACTGCTTTGTTTCGGCCTTCAAGACGTTGCGGGTGCTCTGCGGGCGCGCATCCGGGAACTTGACATCTCAGAGATTCGAGAAGATGACACCCTGGACCCCCTTCTCTCTGACGCCCTCCCGATGCTAGAGTCACTCGCGGTGAAATGGTATTTTACCCGGCATTTTAGAAATGGGACATATTCCAATGTCGTACGTCTCACGAGGGATCGTGCACCGCGCCTCCGACGTCTCGCCTACTCCATGTGTGATATAGCTTCCCTGGATATCCTGGCATCCCTCACTCACCTGTCGCTCAACATGTACTATGTGGCATACATCCGCGAACGGATCGCGGCGATGCTGTCCGTTTGTTACGCCCTCCAATCGCTACATCTAGACTCGGTTGGTACTTTTGACTTCTGGCCGCACGCAAACTCGTCAGCTACACACGACCCTCTTTCTACACCGTCGCCGTTGCCCCCACAAGCCTGTCGTCACCTTCGCGGGGTCGCTCTCGTGTCGCTGGACGGCTATCTCATCGCATACATCCTTTCGCTGCTAACGGAGAAAACAAAACTCGATGTGCAAATTCACTCCGTCCTGAGGGACCTTCACTTTCCCTTACCCCGCCATTTTCTTGGTGCCATTTCGAAGGTCGGCATCGCGAGGTACCCCCAACCTGTACCATTTTACAAATTTCCCCGTCCCCCCGACTCGCCCTTCATGTGGGGAATAACACTGTCCGGCTCGGAGCGCACTGTTCGTCGGGTTGGAGACGAGTTTGAAGCTCTTACCCGCATGCTTTACGAAGAGGACGCGGCGCTCGCAGGCGTGCGTGAGCTGTGGCTTGCGGATGTCTCGCCCGCCACCTGCGACGAGCCACATATGCTGCGCGCGGCCGAAGCTGACCAAGTCCGCGCCCTCATCCAGGGCATGCCAGTGCTGGAGACGGTCGTGCTCATTAACCAGTTCCAGGCGCCATGGACGGGCGCACCCCCGAGCCTGCGTCTCCTCCCCGACGCACGCGATAGTGACAGGCATATCGGACCCCGCTCGAGCACCGTTCGCATCGCCCATGGGTACGGGAAGCATGTCCTGCAACGGTGGCCCGAGCGACCCAACCCGATACCTTCCGTGCCGCCGCTGAACCTCACATGTATCCTCGAGGAGCTCGCGTCGGGCGCGTACGACTACGTTCAGCACCTCGCAATCGAGGTCCCTTACCACATCGCTGTCGATGCGGGCGACGTCGAGCGGCTCCGCGAGTATTGCGACGCGGTGCAGGTGAAGGTGATGGACGTCACTCCGACAATTTCGCTTCCGGAGTACTGCTATGAGCCGAAGACATGGGCTGCGAGCGATGACCCGTGGCCATACAAACTCTGGTGATGTTCTCCGTGTCGTCCTACGAAGCTGCATTTTTCGGTACGTCTGGGCGAGCACATGTTGAGTCGCTCGACTTATCGCTTCTCCTGAAGTACATTTACGTATGTCCTCCTCCGATGTCACAGTGCGCAATTCCTGGACTGAAACAACAATATAAAACGATATGCAGCAAACTATACGTGACAGAGCTAGGAGCGATACTTGAGGTTTGGTCCGTGAATGCCTACTTACTAGCAGCGGCCGAGCGTTTAGCTGTGTGCCGCGCCAGGCGATGCCATCGCACGTCGTGCTTTCGAGTAAAAGTCTTATGACAATCGGGGCACCAATAAGGCCGTTTTTTTGGGAGGCCTATCTGACGAGATGGCGCTGCTTCCTACATCTGACTGCAGCGCTGCTGGAAATGTTGACTCGAACGCACACGATGGCTCGCCGGAGGGTGTCGAACCAGTGTTGCGGCCTTCGTGCGTATGAAACGTGAAACGCTTTCGCGCAACAAATTTAAAGGCATGTCAGACTCCCCAAAGCGGATGGTTTCTGCGCTCTTCCTGCGATGCTACGAGGTTGGTGTGCATGAGTGAGGGGATCTTGAATCAATAATCTGGGTACGTGCTAGAATCTTTAGGACGCGCGGGCGCGCGAAGGCCGTCGCACCGGGAATGCGGCAAGCGTTGAGCGGCTTGAGCCTCGTGAGTATCATCACAGTTACTGTCATGAGACGACTACTTAGGCGAAAGGCGATGTGGCGGCAGGCAATGCATGACAGAGCCGTGAAAGATATGTATATATCAAGAACGTGAACGTCATGGAGGAGAAAACCTGATGGAAACTGCTGCGTAGCTTCAAGTCCTCCACACGGGTGGCACTGAGGCTTCGCTTGCCCTGTGCGTGTCCTTCGACCGCGCGGGGCGGCGCGGCACTCGACCGGGGCGCCAGGACGAGGAATAGGAGTATGGCATGACGGTGCGGAAAATAGAGAGCACGAGGTGCGGGTGGTCCTCCGAGGGTGCTGTCGCTGCGTGACATGTCGAACAGGGGGATAGGCTGCTTGTCTTCAGATGTGGAGGAGAGCGGAGGGTTACTGTATATTTGTACATAATGCATGTCAGTAAACGCAAACATGATGTGACCAGGAAGGTTGTAACGCGCAATTACGAGAATATATACAATTGAGCTCGAACGCAGGTAGGGGGTATACCGTATGGGATGGATTGAGGGTACTATGGTTCTTCCTGGCCTTGTATGGCGGCTGCATAACTCTTTTCATCGAGAGTTGTGCGTCGGGAATGGAGATTGGGCGTGCAGTGCAACCGTGGAAGAAGACGACTCGAACGACGAAGTGAAGCCAATGGGCCCAGCGCGCACGGTATCTGATACATAGCGTCAGCATGATATACGATCAGAGGGCATAAGAAACGGTAACGCATTGGCACCAGTACTGGGGGAGATGTACACACCAGGAAATGCGGTTGTCGGGTCCATGAAGGCCTGGCGACGGGGCGAGCCCATATTCGTGTGGCGCGACTGGAAATGTCTTCGCATGTCGTGCTTTCGGCTGAAGCGCCTTGTACACTCCGGGTCGGGGCATGCATGAGGCCTCTCGCCCTTGTGGACGTTGCGGATATGCACGTTCAGGTTGTATAGCCGCGTCCAAGCTAGAGGGACAAGGGGGTGAGTACTGGCTGAAGCGCGGATATACTGCGAGCGGTGTACTTACTCTTTCCCGGGCAATCAGAGCATACAAAGGTAGTCGGGTTGCTCTGCTTCCTGCGCCTTTTAGCCGCTCTCTCGTTGTCACGGGTTTGGATGTTGCACTGAGATAGTGCATCCTGCGAGAGGGCGTCCAAGGGGGCGTGCCAAGCGGATGTTTCTAACTGCGAAGCAATGGCGATAGTAGACGCGCCCATCGCAGCGTTCAGTCCGTCACTAGCATCCGCTTGTGTGCTCATAGCACCACCAGCAGGAGCTGCAACAGCGCATGGCGGAAACTGTTGCAACTGCTGCCAGTGGTCAAACGTGGGATGAGCACACGGGCGGTCAAAGTCACTGAGGTGCGGCAGAGTGCCATGATGGGCACTTACGGTGGACGCCTTGTTTTCGTCAAAAGAGTACTCGTGGCGTGCATCCAGAGGGTGAGGGGGGAGCTCTGAAGCCTGTAATAGGTCCATGCTTGTGAAGGTGAGCCCCGGGTGTGGCCACCAGTCCTGACACAGTTCGGAAGCGTCCGCATGCCGGTATTCTGTGCCGTGGTAGTTCGCGGGGAGATACGCCTCGTCAACGTCAGCTTGCTGATCGAACCGGTCACCACCATCTTCGTATGCAGATGACAGGGATGCAGTAGAGAATGTCATCCTTGAGGGAGGCACGGGGGAGAGAGAGATAGTTGGTGGGGGAGAAAGAGAACGAAGGCGAGGCGGAAGCTCTTATAACACTGACAGTTACCATTTTGACCTGTAAACAAATAGAGTATCCGCTCTGTGAGCATGCGCTTCGATATGTGTTGCACAGCGTACCTATATAGCATGAGAGGGCTATGTCAGATGTCCTCGCCTGATCTCCGTGTAAGAAAAGAAGCTCCAGTCACCGGCGCGACTTCTTCAAAGTCCACATATTACCGCAGTGTCAGTGACTCCGACCACGTTCGCCAAACCCTGCCATGGGTCCATCGACTCCGCGCGGTTCCGGTGAGCTATTTTGGCGGATGTGTTAGAGTCATCAGTAGCGCAACCCTCCCATCTATTCGTACCTTGACGAGAGCCGTGAAAGTGACTCGAGCATGCAGCCTAGTAGTCGGAGGAACTGAGCTTCGGCTTTCACCAGTACAGCGGACTGCGCCACAGGTCTGAGGACCACCACGGGGTGCTCTGCCGCTGTATACTACTCAAAGGCCGCGGAGTATGATGCATTGATGCTCCCAGTGCTTCGGCGGGCACCGCGGGGTGTTCCAAAATGCTGTACTGGTCAATGAAGATCACGCAGTACGGTCGATCAAGGGGGGGGGGGGCGGACGTACGTACTTCCTGTAAGCCCCGATGATCTGAGCGCTTTAGCAGAGCGTAGCTAGATTACCGCAAACCTGTCGGACGCAATCGTACTGTGCGTTGCCAGCCCTCCCCGTGGCAGTGCGACGCTGGGGTAGGCGATGACTCGGAGGGCGTCAAGACAGTACTTCGATCCCGCGCGCATGGGGCGTGGTGGGCTTTCATGCCGAAAACGCATGTGAATTCCCGAAACAGAAGGCGTTCCCTATCACAGGCTGCCTGCCGCAGTGCGGCGGTGCTGCAGGGTTGATGTGCACACGTGCATGAGTGAGGAGAATGCAATTAACAGTCGGAGCAAGTACTTGCCTATTCGACGTGCGCGCGAAATTGGACGAATGCGCTGCTGGTAAAATGCGGATAGTCCAGCGCAACGGGACAAACGCGGGGTGCATGATCGCCTCTCGCATGTGGGTTAAGTGCACGTTGCCCCGCATGGTCCGTGGAGGCATCGACGAGAGCGTGTGCACGTAATATATGTAAACACCCACAAACTCAAGCTCGGCGTTTATGTGGCGAGAATATGATAGCGATACTTCGGGAGTACACAACAATGGATAGATAGCTGCGGGAAGGAGTGGAAGAAGTGGAAAACATAGTATGAAAACAAGAAAGGGGAAAACGAATCGATGGGCGAGATTCAATCGAAAACAGAAAGATGCACATAAATAATCGGAGGCACCAGGCCTCGAAACAAGGACCGAACTCAGACACTCAACCTCCCTTCTCCCAAGCGCAAGCGTAGTCGTGGGGGCACTTCCCCGGTCCCTCGTAAGGTTCCCGGAGTGCGCCCCCGCCGACGCCGCACGCGCGTCCTCCCGTCTACCAGCTGCATAACGCCCCTCGTCGAGGGTCGCACGCCGAAAAACGCATCCAACACATGGGGCTGGAAGCGCAGGGTGGGCGTACGACCCGAGAGTCGCTATGAAACTGACCGGCGCGAATCGCGGGGTGTCTGTGAGCGAGTGTCAGTATCAAGAAGCGGGGCGGCTTGACGTAGAAGCTGAATGGATGCGGCGCCGCGCGATGCGCCGTGACCGCCGAGAGGAAGAATGACGAGAATTTACACGCACCGGAACGCTGGACGTTCACCTCCTGCGCGGAACGTTGTTGCGGGGCGAGCCCAAGTCCGTATGAAACGACTGATAATGACGCTGCATGTCGTGCTTCTTCTTGAACGCCTCCGGGCAGTCGGGGCACGGAAAGGGCCGCTCGCCAAGGTGGACGGTGCGGATGTGGTCCTTGAGGTTATATTCGCGCGCAGAGACTAAATAAACAAAGGTGGTCATTCCATGCACGTCGAGTAAATAATGGCAATGGTTTAAACGTACCGAATGCGCACTCATGATACGGGCAGGGGAACTTCTTTTCGGTGCTCTGCCGTTTACGCGGGGTGGGTGGCGGTTTTCGCGCAACAGGGGCGCTGCCTTCCGAAACAGCCGTGATGACAGCCTGAGGGGGTGCGGGCTGAGTGGGTGCAGGCCGAGTGAGCTCGGGTCCAGCGGGCACGGCCGTGGTGGTGGCGCCAGCCCAGTCGGTGAGCGACGAGTATCCGCTCGCTCGCGTGCTCATTCCACCTGAAGCAGAAGTTGCAACAGCATCTCCCAGATGCTGTTGCATCATCCGCCCGGAGCTCGTCCCGGTGTATGATGAGAACGCGAGTGTGTCGAGGTAGGGGGGTGGCGAGGATGACGGTACAGGAAACATTACCGGCGGGGGTATAGTGTTTCGAAGTGCGCCCATGTCAATGATGTCTGGGGGAGTTGCCGACCGCCTGAAATCGGCTTGGTCGAACATGCCGCGAGGCCAGTCAGCGTAGGCGTCGAAGGTCGGGAGGATTGCACTAGATGTGATGTCTGCGGAGCCAGGGCGCATGGGTTCGGTCCACCAGTGGACTTCTGCCGCGGGCTCCACATCAGCGAATATGGGGAGAGAAGGACCAGCAGAATGCATAGTAGGATAGTCACGAAGTCAAGGTGATGATAGCGAGTCAAGGCGATGTCTGGTGGTGGTGGTGGTGGTGATGAGAAGGAAAAAAAGTGTGGTGGGCCTCATGAGGGAGCTTATAAGTGAGCCCACCATATGCTTCTGTGCTGCAGGACACGTCTGGTCGACGCTCACCATTGGCCGACGAGTACGTAGCTGCAGCTCGGCCTCGTGTCGAGCGCAGCCCCGAGATCTGACGCTCTGTGCAGAATACTCAGCTCTATCTGTGCGCAGACTTGACGGACGTAGGCCACTGCCAAACCTGTTTCCAAACGCATTCTGACTGTGAATGTTGTGTATTACCGCTGCCGCAGTATGCGGATCGACACCTGGATATGACTTCGATGCTCGAAGCTACCTTGACGCTACGTTGCAACGATGTATGTTGAGGTGGCTGTGCCTGCGTAGACACTCCAGTGTTGACTGAGGAACGGTGTTCAACGTCTTCCAATCGACCGGTGCCATCGTACACACGTACATGCATTGGCCAGTGTGCACAGCAGCCTGACCACGTACACGAGGCTCGAGGCAAGCGTCAACGCGGTGGCTGCAGTTTTGATAGAACAGGCAGCACCCACACCGTGTCGGAGTCTGTGCGCTGGAGGACCGCGGAGCGAACTGCATTGACCACCATGGGGAGGACGCACCGATCAGGAGGAGATCGGGGCTACAGGTTGCTGCGGTAATGCGGGGAAATGCAGGATATTGCGGGGCGAGTGCGCAGTCCAGAAGACCTCGTTTAGGGCATGCGCAGCGACTGCGAGTATCAGCAGCGTTCGTAGTAGCGATGACTCGGGGCACTGACCTGCCGCGCAATGCGTTTGAGCGTCGGCGGACGGGCGCGATGCGACGATCCCTGACACTGGCCTAAAGAGGAATTGTGCTGCATATGAGCGGTGAGTGCTGCTGTACACCAGCTCTAGGCCTATCAAACGTGTGGAGGCGAAGCAGGTGCGCAGATGTTGGCAGTGCGATTGGTCGCCTCGACTGGGCGAAGCCTAACCTTTCATTCGCGGAACCTCCGATCAGTGAAGCTCTTCGCCCGAGACACCTACGATTCCATTATCGAGACAACAGTTCGGCATTCTTTACAGTGATATTCCTCTAGCACTCGCGCCTAGACACACCGCCCGTGTGCGCGCGCCCCTTACGTGTCCTGTACATAGTTCCCTGAACAGCCGTTAAGTATCCGCACACCATGCATATGAATGCTACGGTAGGAGACGTGGAGACGTACCTGGAAACACGCCTGTGCGCCCACCCAGACGCCCAGTCCACCAATCCTCAACACTATCAGTACGCTCGACGACCTCGATCCTGTCGCCCGCCTTGAACTCCAGATCGCCGTCGGCCTGTGCCTCGAAGTCGTACAGGGCGACAACGTATTGCACCGCGGGCTTTGGCTTCGGCTTCAGTGGCGGGGGAGGTGGTGGCGCCTTCTTCCCCGCGAGGGAAATGCCTGCGCTGGGGGCTGGAGGCGAGTAAGGTGGGGGCGGTGCTGCAGATGAAGAGGGAGGAGGCGGGGGCGCCTTCTTGGTGAAGCTCGATGAGGAGGGGGAGCGGCTGCCCGTGGTGGAAGTCGAGGTAGATCGCCCCAGGGAAGAGGGAGGGCCAAGTCCAGATCCTTGGCGCTGTGATTGCACCATGCGAGCTGTAAATATAGACATAAGGGGCATTCAGTTAGATGTTCAGGGGTTTGTGATAGTAGCCGCACCAGTAGAGATAAGACGCTTGCTAATGTTGAGGGCCTCGATGCGCTCAAGCGCATCGCTGCGCTGCGCCTCGTAGTCGCTGGCAATCTGGGCTGCCGGGACGGACACTTCAAACTTGCCCTCCGCGAAGCCGTTTAGCTTCTCCAGCATCAGGTAAAAGATATTCAGCCTGCCCTCCCGTGAGTACCCGGATGGCGAACGCAGGCATGAAATGCGTACTGCATGTAGTAGAAGGAGTGGAATAGCGGGTCAATGAACTGCGTGGCTTGCACGAGGAAGCGGGGCAGCTCAGTCTTCATGGCGGTGTTGATGTAGTCGTACTCTGTGGAGGCAATTTCGAAGTCTTGCTCCAACTATATTCGGTGCTCCATTAGCTATGAGATCATTCAAAGAGCATTTACACTGACCTTGAACAGATTCTTCTCATCGTTCAGGGTCTTCTCCTTCTTGTCTCGAAGTTTGGTCAACGAAGTATTGAAGCGGTCGTAGTCGACAAGCTAACCAATACGTGAGCCCTCAGTATGTATTGGGCCGTAGGGACACAGGGAGTCAGACGTGCCTTGTGTTCCCGCTTGGTGATGCTCTTTCGGATAGTCTTCAGGATTCCCTGGAACTCCTTGATTGGTCCGACGATACGGCTGTCGATCAGCTCGAGTTCGGGAACGACAGACGCCTTGAGCTCCTCTATCGCTGCCACATATCCGTCTACGTTGCCGATGGTGTGTTCTGCGTCAGGGTGTTTTGACTCCAAGGCATACTCGCTCCCTAAGGGGTGGAAGATAGTGGAGAAGTGGGTGGCGAAGTCGGCACCGTTCGTGAAGAGGTTTGTGACGGCCTCGGTGTACGCCTTGCTGTCCTTGAGCAGCTTCTCGGTCGCCTTCTCGATGGACTCGAACCGGCGGGAGTAGTCGTCGAATTCTGGGTCATTGGACTCTGTCGAATATGAAGCGAATGCCAGGAAGATCGCCGGTCGGGTGCACAGACGATCAGCGAGATTAAACGGAGATGGGCACGCGGTGACGCACTCTTCGACATGCCGACCTTCGAGGACAACATATGCGGCGTCCTGTGCGACCTGTAAATACCCCCACAGGCATACGGACATGGCTGAACCGCAGCCACACGTACCGCGCAAAGGCCTTCTGAATGCCCTTCATCTTGCAGTCTCTCGCGCCGCTCGCTGCTCGCTTTGGCGGGTGATGTTGGAGCCGTCGTGCACTGCAGCTCAGAAACTGCAAGCAAAGATGGGGGTATGGGGTCAAGGGGAGAATAGGGTGGTGTATTCGTTCGAGCTCAAGGCCAAGTGATCGCAGGAGCGCGCGGGCTGTGTGTATTCCCTAAAACGGTAATAATCACGGTCCCGAGCCCGGGTGAGTCGTCATTTCAATTGACACCGAGCTCTAAAGCTTGCCATCATAGATTCGACCGTGATCTTGTAAAGTTATCTAATCCTGCCACAATGGACTTGTAATTGGTTCTAAAGTTCTCAATGATCATCAATAGAGGTTATTTGCAGCGGGTTTGTACCAGCTCAGGTGGTGCCGGCGCTTGTATTAAGTACATGGAGCCATCGCGTGGGCCCCTCGCACTGTGAACAGGCTGAAATCTACAGGATCTGGTATTGCCTCACTCGCAATATTGAACTATTCCAACGGGCGCACCCCCACTGCAAATAACGTCTAATGCAATCTGTCATAATGCCACTACTTACAACGGCCGCAGTGATTTCAAAATTCATAAACATCCCGTCTCCTCTCATATTTACCACATATACAAGACGTGCTATTCTGACCTATTCCCTGCTTCGATCAGATATATCCAGCTCGTGATATGCGCGGGAGATGCGGGAGAACACAAGATAATTGGAAACACCGAGAGGAGCTCTGTACAAGAGTCGACAGTAGTACTACTGTATACACTGGCATGCGAGCGACCACGCGTGCCCGAAAGCGTTCCTCCATGCAAGACAGAGATCCGCATAGTCATAGAAGCGGACATGGTTAAGAGAACATAGACTAGGGACGAGCGCGGATGGCAGCACGGTGAAGACAGCCAAGGACTCGGAAGCTCCCAGAAAGACGACCGGGGAAAACATGCCGCACAGAGCCCTAGCAAGTATTCAATATTGACTAGATTGAGCCACACTAATAATAGTCAGACATGATGCTAGAGATAGCCACCAGCCAAGAACCCGCCAGAAGCCTTAGTACGAGCATGCTAACAAGAGACAAGTCCAAAGTACAAGAGCTAGCAGCAAAGCGAAGACTCCAGTAGTCCGACTCGGGCGACGCAGGCTATACTCAATATAAGGCCAAAGCTGTCAGTAAAAATTGTCAGCATAGAGAAACGCGAAACAGAAGGGAGGCATTAGGGAACATGGAGAGGAGCTGGGATGAGGGGAGCGAGAGAGAAGAGGGCGGCGGAATAAACTCACCTCGCAAAGATGCAATGATCGCGGGCGCTTATTATCAATAAGGAGATCACATTGGATTAATAGCGTGTCATAATGCCATCACAGCGGGAATCCTTATCCGTATAACAACTTTCGAAGTAGTAGTGCGCGTGGAAACAAATCGAAACCTTCCTCCTTTCTCCTCCACCTCCTCCCGTCCGCGCTGTTTCTGTGATCAGTGCTCGCCGTCTCTCACATCTTCCTCACTCCCAGCCTCGACGACCACGACTACAAAATGCCCATCAACCAGCCGTCGAATCAGATCAAGTGCGCCGACTGTATGATTGTTCTGTCCGCTCCGCTGAACGCCTAACAGTCTTGCCGCAGGCTCACGAACGTTTCCATCGTTCGCCTCAAGAAAGGCGGCAAGCGCTTCGAGATCGCCTGCTACAAGAACAAAGTCCAGGAATGGCGCAGCGGTGTAGAGACCGACATCGACGATGTCCTCCAGATCGCCAACGTCTTCATGAACGTCTCGAAAGGAGAAGTCGCGAAGAGTCAGGAACTGAAGAAGTCCTTCAACACGACTGACGTCAACACCATCGTGAAGGAGGTATGTGTTATGCATGCTCTCGGGCGCTGACCTGGTGCTGACTTCGGATTAGATTCTTCAGAAGGGAGAGCTGCAAGTCGGGGACAAGGAGCGCGAACACGATCTCTCATCCGTCCGACGTGAGATTGCTACTCTTGTTGCGGAGAAGTGCGTCGATCCCGCGACGCAGCGGCCTTACCCCGTCGGCGTGATCGATAAAGCCATGACGGAAGCCGGGTTCAGTGTGCGCCCTGGGAAGAATGCGAAAGCGCAGGTATGTGCTGGACCTATTTCATCCCAAATCGACGTGTCCAAATCGTGCTTGCAGGTATCGGAATGCATCAAGCTGCTCCAGACCAACTCGAAGCTACCCATTCAGCGCGCCAGGATGCGTGTTCGTGTCTCCCTCCCTGTCGCCGATGTAGAGAAGGTGAAACCGAAAGTTTTGGAGGGCGCTGACTCGGTGGAGAAAGATGAGCAGGGCGCAGACGAATGGGAGGCGGTAAGTCGACGAGCCCCCGCTCCATACCGTTGGGTCGCAGCATTCGCTGACTATACTTTTGGCTCCAGATCCTCCTCATTGATCCCAGTCAATTCCGCATCCTCAACGATCTGCTGCAAAAGGAATGCAAGGGACGCGGACGCCTCGAAACCTTGACGTTTGCCGCGACTGCTGGAAGTTAGATGTATTGTCAACAAGGTGTGATCGAACTCCTGTCCCGCTCCCTATGTATCACCACGTCTGTATAGGTAGACCCCATGTAGCGATGCGTACATTCTCCGGATATTCCTATCATCTTTACTCTGGACCGACTCTTCCTGCAATGGTGCAATCAGTCAGCGGAGTAGTTCTGTCTGCTCCAACGTCGCGCTAAAGTGACAACCGGCGTACAAGGGTACCGTGCACAGCTCTTTCATAATTATCATCTAGAACTCCAGGCACAAGGAACCCACAATCATGACCGTTCACCTGCTCTGCCCTGGATTGCAGACCCCCAGACGGAGGCGAACAAATCTCACCAAAGTACCTAGGGCTCCGGACCCGAGCTAGCGTATGTATCGTAGAGGTCCACTAGTAGACCTCGGAGACGTCGCGTTCCGGTTGGTGCCTGACTTGCGACAGCATTAGCGCAGGAGTCAGACATGCCGTTCCTTGCGTTCATTCTCGACCGGCGACCCAGCTTGGTGAGCCCTGAGGCATGTCCTCCAAAATATGGGATATAAATGCTTGCGCTGAATCCATCCACTACTCACTACCTCCACTCAGCCGTCACCCCACTCCTAAATTCATTATGCAGAACGCCGAGCGCGATATCTCCATACTCGTCCAATCCAAGCCGATAATCAGTGCGTTCTCCATTTACTCTCCAGCGGTGGGTTTCGTCCTGACTAGTGCGCCAGAAACGTGGTCGACGCTGGGCATCACCCCGTACATCCTCTACGGGATGGTCAACGCGATGCTGTCCGTCAAATCCGGGCAAGGACAACCGCTGGTGAATCCCGGGGATGGTCGATGGCTCATCGTGCAGCTGCCGTATGGGCAAGCCCTGTCACCCACCTCTCATGTCCCGGTACCCGCCGGGGAATACGAGATCAGCCTCCGTCAGCAGGGTGAGCTCGTCCCCGTGGCATTGCGGACCGTACCAACATGCTTCAATAGGCTTGGATTGCTACCCGCGGCCGGAGATCCAGCAGCTCAATTGGGACAAGGAGGACAAGACGAAACGCGATCCTAACGTTCGTACATTTCTTCATTAGGTAGTAGTGAGCACCATGGACTGCGCTGACCTCTCCGCGTTCCCGCCAGTTCGCAACTCTGATCAGAAACACTTACGGGCAGTGCGTCGTCACTGGTACCCCGTACCGCGTCGACATGCATGCCGCGCACATCTGTCCCGTCTCCACGAACTTTAAGATTGTGAGTCCGCAACTTGACTCGTTCGCGCGAATTCCTCTGACTGTGGCGTTCGCCGCGCGCAGTGGGACTGGCTGGCGCAGTACGCCTTCCACGAAGACGTGCAGATGACGACGCAGTTCCTGCACAGCGCGTCCAACGGCGTGCTGCTCCGCGCGGACATCCACACCGCCTTCGACGCGTACGCGATCACCGTCATACAAGATCCCGTACGTCTGCTCCTTCCCTGCCGCTGTCCGCATGCATAGACTCACACTTGGCGCGGTCTACCCAGAATGAGTGGTGGTCCTGGCAGGTCCTCGCCGTAGACCCAGCCTTCGCGGGCAACACGGGTATGCCGTTCGCGATCAACCGCCCGGCCGACGATGGCGACCGCAAGAGGCTGGTGTGCTCGCTCCAGATGCATTTCATCTACGCCACGCAGAAGTATGCCGGTGCCTGGTTCCCTGTATAATTGTGGGAGGACTCGTGCGGCGGCGCTGTGTTAACTCGACGACATGCTGTTTGAATGACTCCGAGAAATGATGGATGCCCCATTCCACGTTCCTTCAAACAGCCCACATGTCTGACGCTGTAACGCCCACAAAAGGGGTCGTAAGTTGCTTTCGGCCAAATAATGTTTCCTATACCGGTCAGTAAGGCAAGTATCCGCCGTGATGATATCACAGCATACCGCGACTTCGGGTCGCGACTTCAGCTCTCGATGGCGAACATCGTTGCTTGCAATCAACTGTGACGACACCAAGCCGCACAATATATATAGTAGTACACATAAATAGTAACATACCGCAGTCGGTCACTGCGCGTGAGCATACAGCGACATACATTTGTTATACAAGAGGCGAAGCCATACCATCCTCCCGATTCACCACCCATTCGTGATTCATATTCTTCGTCTTCAAGCTGGGAGTACTCTGCGTACCTGTCGGTATTACGTCGAGGCGGCCTGCTCTGAGTCCGCCATTTCCCTTATCCCCACCTCTAAGACCCTGATGAGGTTGGCATGATTGAAGGTTATTGAGAATGGACTAAGTTGAACATCGGGGGCCGCGGCTTGAACAGGCGCGTTTCCGGCTTCGCGCATGAGCGCCATGTGGTCCGCATTCGACTTCTTGTCTACTCCCATAGTTTGCAACGGCTCGCAATTCTTCAAGAAATGCCAAATGATCCTTAGATGCGCCGCCAGTGCAACGTCCTTCGATTCGACGTAGTTGTGCAGGTTCTCGATACCCGCATACGCCAGTGCTTCCCCTGTGCCAGACTCTGATTGGAAAGCGACCTTGCGCTTAGTGGCGAGGTTTGTGGCACTGGTGGCAGCGAAGAGTCCGTTGAATTCTTCGTCGAAGGTCTTCTTGTTGAACTCAGCGATGCCCTTGATAGCGGAGATAGACTTCCCCTTCAGCTCCTCGATTGTGTGCTTGAAGGCAACGTATATGATGACCCAGCAGAACGATTGGAGGTCGTGCGAGAGGGTGCGTTGTATGGCAGAAGGGAGTAAGCCCGAGGAAAGGTACACCAATGATTCGGTCGCTATAGTAGGACCCTACAAAGCGCAATTCTAGAGATTAGCTGTGTACTTAGAACACGACATATTATATCACGCACCGAAATCCTGACGTTTTGGGCTGAGGTTGACTTCTTCGACCAGTTCTCTACGCCGAGCAGCTGATAGGCCTCAGACTTCACCCCAGATGCTGACATCGCACTGACAGCGCCGTCGAGAGACTCGGTTTCCGTGTTGCAGGCGGCATTATCTGTGTGTCAATTTATAACAGCTTAGTACCACCGTACATGTATGTGGCCGGCCTGAAGCTTACCTATAGCGGGAGAGACCATCGTGTGGTACCTTGGATGAGTCACTGAACTGCTGCTCTGTGCGTACTTTTGAACACGAGGAGAACACGAGGACGCTGGATCAGTCTGGGCGGCAGTCAGGGGCAAGCAAGCGATATGATGATCCGAAAGACCTCCTGAGCGTAATCTATCTGGTTTGTTTCCCAGAGCCTCATGCCCTCTGGTGCGCTCGGAACGCCGCGTCTCTGCCAGTGCGTGATACGAGCACATCGCTGTAGATGAGCGGCTCGTTGGTCCAAGCACAGAGGTACGTTGCATCCGAAGCGTGACTGCCTTTGATGAGGGCTTGCTCGACACCCCGAAGATTGGCTACCTTCCGTCCGCGAATTACAGTCAGAACGCCGTCTGGCGCAGAGCTCGCACCAGACAAGTCGTGCATCAAGTAGCGTCGTTTTTCCACTGTTAAAAGCCACATCTGCTACCCTATGAGGATGGGTATGAGACTAGATTATGTATTGTTATTGAGAGTTGCTTACTGCAAACACAACTGTCATCACGATGGACAAGACGAACTTGCATCGGTCGCCTCAGCTGCACGCTGCGCGTTCTGATCATACAATAAGCACCATCCCGTCCGCTGCTCGATATAAGAGTCACGTACCTCCGCAATAACCTGCAATATGTGCTCAAACAACTTCACGTGCTTGTCGTGGTCCAATGCGAGCGCATATGCGCTCGGCGTGACGGTCGATTCCCGCGGGAGGGATTCACCCGTGATTCTCTCCAAAAGAGATCTATCGCTCTCATCTAGATCTGGATCCACAAAGGCCTGTACGACCGTGGGCTGGCACCTTTGGAGCAAGATCCATACAAGCCGTAGCAGCCGCACCAGAACGGAGTCCTGCGAGTCGATGCATACCAGTAACTCCCTGATGCAGTAGGAATAGAAGGCTAAATCCCTGGCGAGGATAAGGTGCGCGACATCGGGACTCGCGAACAGAGCACGTAGTTCGTTATCGAGCTCGGGCAGCTCGCCGGAATCGTCCCAGCAAGAGCGGAGACGGTTGATGTCCCGTTGAATGCGTCGGTAGACGGTGCATAGGAAGGTCCAGTAGACGGACTCGAGATCGTGACGCACTCCGTGCACAACAGTCTGTTTGAAACGGCAGGGCCCTATCATGTACTCCAGGAGCTCTGTCGCCATGAACGTAGTCGTACCCTGCCCGTTTGGATTATCGATATTAAAATGAGTGAGTATACGCGAGGTGGCGGTTGAAGCACGTACGGGGAATCTGAACTCTACTACTACTACGTCTGCGGGCGTCGGTACTGCGGCGTCCGAGCCTTCTCCAAAATCGGACTCGAATGTCCCGGGTGCGATCACAGCCTCGTATCCTGGTTCAGACTGCCGCGATATATCTTCTGAGCTTCCTAAGGCGTCCATCGCCAGAGGAGTAGCAGGAATTTTGCGTCGTGTTGGCGGGACTCGGTGGTGGTTTGTGGTGCTGTGCTGTTTGTGGCGTTTCTTGCTGGAGACGCCTTGTAACATAATCCATATTATTCCCACGGACAAACCGCATAAAGCCTGCCAGTACAGCCTACGTCCGAAATGCCCATTCTGAGTCTTTCCCCACATCCTATACAGCACTTCACGAACGGAAATATACTACCGGTAACGTCGTTCTCGCGAAATAGACAGATCCGAAACTATACTGATGGGATCGCCACACAAACTTCACAGACATGAACGGCGTCGACAGGTCAGACATTCCCTGTGCCCGTTTCCCCGACATCAACTCGGTCAAAGCAGCGATACAGCGCGGCCGGCAGCTTGCCAAGGCATACAAGGTGCTCGTAATCGAGGTGGACGACGTCGTGGTGAAGTACGGCCGGCGCGTATACAAGTCCGAAGCCCTCGCGATGCAACTCGTGCGCGACGCCACCACCGTCCCCCTCCCTCGCGCGTATGCATACTTCTCCGAGCCTGCCACCGAAAGGCGCGACCGATGCGGATACCTCGTGATGGAGAAGGTCGCTGGTGTCCCCCTCGTCGACGTCTTGCCGCGGCTCGATGATGCTTCCTGCGACAAGATCGCGCTGCAGCTTCGCGCGTACCTCTCTTCTCTGCGTTCTATACCCAGTGCAGGGAGGTGGGGAATGGTAGGAAAGAACGGCATCTTCCACGGTGGGCTCTTCAGATACTTGCATCACCCGCTCACGGAGGACCAGCGGCGCCATGGCAACCCATGTGTCGCCACTTGCACGAGGGACGTCTTCGAATACTTCGCCAAGGCATCTGACGACGAGACTGGGGCGCGGGAGACGGAGATCAAGCAGCTGGCTCCCGGCGTCGACTACTCGAGGCCCGCGATATTCTCTCATGGCGATCTCGTCCCTGAAAATATCATGGTCGACGAGGCGAGCGGCTCGATCACCGCGATCATGGACTGGGAGCGAGCCGGGTGGTACCCGTATTTTTGGGACGAGAGTCTGGCTTCGATGCGAATGAGTGCATACCAGAGCTCTCGCATCACCTCTCAGCGGTGGGAGTGTATACAGGATCTGGCGATCCGGAACGAAGCCGATGGACCAGCCGTCAACGCGTTCTGCACCGTCCAATTCATGGCGTTCATGCAAGGCATGGAACAATACGTGGATACCGAGTAAGGATTTCTCGTTTGTGCTTCTATCCGCTCATATCGCGTTAGGTGCTACTGCTGTTATTGAAGAAGGTCAGTCGACGACGATATGAAGCTGGGCATCGGAGTGCGTACTGCGCTTGCAAGTCCGTCCTTCGCCCCTCGAGAACCACGACTGGGTTAACGCCCCTACAAATCAAGCTCCCGGCTCCCACCATTCGTGTTGAAATACTCGTCGGTATAACGTTGACATTGTATCAACGGCTTGCTTCGACTATGTCCTCCAACCCCACCTTCAATATCTTTATGATCTTGTCATGGTCCAAATCTCGCGCGGAGTCGCTTGACACGATCCCGCCGGCCTTAGCGTCGGCGCGTACTAGCACTATGCCGGTTTGCTGCTGAAGAATCGCCCTTGCCTCGGGGGTCATCACGCCGTCCTTTCTCGGTAGCAACGGCTGGTAAGTCTTCAATAGATACCACACGGTCACGAGGAGCGACGCCAGTCCACTGTCTTTTGAATAGACGTAGTTGGCCAGGTTCTCGATGCCCGCGTCTGCCAGTTCTTCCCCTCGAGTACCGTCTGCTTCTGATCTCTTTCGAAACGCCTTGCCGCGTGCTTTGACGAGGTTGGCGGCGCTGGTGGCGGAGAAGAGCCTGTCGCGCTCTTCGTCGAAGCGGCCGCTGTTGAACCCAGCGATGCCGTTGATGACGGCCCGGGTGGACTCGGACGAGCTCAGTAGCTCATGCGCCGTGTGGTTGAAGACGTTGTATACGATGACCCAGTAGAATGACTGGAGATCGTGCGATACGGTGCGTCGGACGGAAGAGCCAGAGTTGAGGTATCTCAACAACTCGGTCGCCATAAATGCAACGCTGCCCTGCAGAGCGCGATTCCAAAGATTAGCTATGTGCTCGGAGCACCTTGTGCAGTAGGATGGCGCACGAAAGTTCTAGCGTGATGGATGGACGTTGAGACGTCCAACCAAGCTTCGTCGTGTAGTGACTGAGCCGCCTGGTCGCATACCGACGTCACAACAGGGCCCCGAGCGAAAGCGTCGCTGTTGATTTCGCGTCCGAGTGAGTCTGTTCGATACCCCATTACAAATTAGCACTATATAGTACGCCTACATGTCCGGGATAAAGCTCACCTGCAGCGGGAGAGGTCATCTTGATTGGCTTGTACAGGGCATGGGAGGCAGTGATACCATGTACTCGTGGGTATGTGCGCACGAGGCGAACACGAGGAACTTCAAGAGCCGGGGCGAGGGAAATTAGCCTCCCATGCACGTAGCTGACAGTACGAACAATCATGCCACATGCTCGCCCGGAGGACTTCTTCAAGCGCGGGTCCTTTTGCTTGCTCGTCGTCGCGACTCTGCTGTTCCTAATTAAGTACAGTGTCAGTATGTCTTATAGCGATGCCTACTCACGGTGCGAATGCTTCGTTGCCCTCTCGTTCTCACACGTTGTACTTCCGTACGCGTCGAAATCACAGATGGATATTGAGGGCTGAAGCATGCTCCTCGCTGAAGCTAGGGGCGAATAGGCTCGACCATGCGTTTGTGGCGCTGGGATAATCCGAAAGTTCTGACTAGTGTGGGCAGCTCAACTCAGTCCGAGCGCGGGGCTCAAAAGCCCTCATCGGTTATGTCGGGAGTGTGAGAGGTTTGGTACGGTGCCCCCGTAGCAGCGCACCTCAAGTCGCGTCGCCGTCGCGGTGTTGGGCATAAATCCTACGAAGGATACACGACTTCGTCAACGAACGCCCAAAAAATCCTGGCTGCTGCATAGGCAATGCGCACGTATCACGAGAGCTCTCGCACCGCGCGGAACCTGTGGTAGTGGCGTGTTTAGTATCAATGATTTATCTGAGCTACATAGTGGCGCGTATCAGACCGTAGAAAAAGACTGTGTTGAGGGATACCTTTGACACGCACCTTCTCCCGGCCCTCTGTAGAGGCTGGTTGAGTTCCGACACAGCACTCTGACGTTGGGGTTACGGCCGGCGTACCGTACATACGCCAGTTGTTTCCGAGACGGGGTGGAGACACTGAATTTGGTGTGGTGGCCAGGCGCGACGCTGTCGCCAAGATGAAGCGCTCTCAAAAGTCCCTGAATGGACACAGTCGACAACGGGCATATATAGAGCAGAGCGTAGCATGAGCGACTGGGACAAGGAGGAGTGCACAAAAGCGCGAAGTCCGAACAAAGATGGGAGCAATAAGCGAGCCACGTGGCCTCCGAAAGCCCCCCCAGCCTTCCGAACCCGTTCGCCTGCTCACCATCATATACCCTCTCGCCGCCGTCGCCCTCGTCGCCCCCGACGTGGTAGGTCCTTGGTCACCACCCTCAGGCTTCGTTGTTCTCCGTGGTCGCCCTGCTTAGAGTCGACTTTGCCCAACATGGTGTCGCAGCATCGCCAGCAGCCATCGCGGCTCTTCATCCCGCCCAACCTCAACCTCCAGCAGCCCATGTCTTTTGCAGAAAATGCTCCCCTTTTCTCCCCAGCGCTGCCCACAGCAATCCAGCAAGGCATGCACCCTCAATTCGCGTTCGGTGGCCAGGGACACCCTCTCCAAACCCCCATGCAACCTGGCTTCTTCCCACCTCCACCCGGCGCGCCCGGGCGACCGTCACTGCACAGAAGTCATCCCAGCGTCATGCAGCTCGCTGCAGCTGGCATAATCCCGCCACCTGGCATGCCAATGACACCCCTTGGCCACCAGGGCATGCCCATGACACCGTTGGGTCAGAACGGCTTCCCACCACAGATGACCCCCGGTATCGCGCCGTTCGCACCTCCGTTTGTCCCCAGGAGTAAGCGGTCGGCAAGCATGAGCGTGGGTGGGCCTCCGAAGGCCGTGCTGGGTGGTCCGCAGCGCAAAGTGAGTCCAATGCCTCCTGCAGCTCCAGCCACGCCCGTGGCGCCCGCGCCGGCCCCAAAGCAGAAGAAGGTGGTTGTCAACTTCCCTCGCGAAACGATTCCCGCGGAGGGCGACGAACCGCCAAAGCGTGCGTCTTTTGCTAGAACGGCTCTTTCACCGTCGGAAATCGCGGAGCCAGTCGAAATCAGGCATCCGGAGACGAGCACTATCGAACTATACCCACCGGACTCCTGGAGATACCACTTGCCGTCGACCGTGGACGTGTTCCTGCCTGGCAAAGTACGTGATGTTTGCTCTTTCTGACGTTCATAGCTCATCAGTACGGCAGGCTTCATGGGACGGAATCAAGCAGAGGATAATAGAAGAGAAGCTGCAGCGACTTGGGGTAGAGCGTGGAAGTGGCAGCAGCAGCACCATCCCTCAAATACACGCTCCCCACGCGCGTGCTGCCTCGGTGAGTTCGACACGCCGCGTTCATACATGTCCCCTAACGTGCAGGAGCAGATCTCGTCGCCGGCCGATCCCGCGCTTCTCTTCTTCAAACTGAACAAGCTCCAGCAATCTCAGAACGCGTCTGCAGCGAATTCGCTATCGACCTCTCCGCAACCCCCTACACTTTCTCCGTCTCCGAACGCCTTGCCCCCTCGTCTTCAGAATCGACACGGACATAGCATGTCACTGGCCCAGCCTCCTTCACATCAGTCGTCGATGTTCAACCCCGCCGGATTCAATCCGTTCGGGCCAAATGCGATCCTGGGCTCTGATCAGGTCCTGCCGCGTTTATCGCCAGCGCCTGGTTTGGCGCCTCCGGAGACTATCCATGCGCCACAAGGTCGTGTCCCCACGAATGTTGCTTCGCTTGCGCCACCGCCGTCTCAATCGCGGCCCGAGAGCCGACCAGACTTTATGCGCGGGTTCGGGGTTGAGATTCCTGAGGAGGAAGAACCGGAAGAAGTACCGCACGGGCAGGAAGAGGTCCAGGAAGACGAAGCGGTTGTCGAGACTGCAGAGGCTGACATGTCTATGGCATCAGTGGAAGAGACCGACCAGGAAGACGAACAAGATGGGTTGAGCACGGTCGCTCAAAGCCGAATTCACTCCCGACATATCTCGAAGCTCTCCGTTGCGCTCTCTCTTCGGTCCGTTGGCGGAATGGTTGATGACGACGGTACGATCCCGGAGCACGAGGTCGTGCCCGTGCGAAGCCCCACTGGGGAGATGGAAGTCGAGGATCTGGATGGGGATGGGGATGTGGACGCGGATCAAGAAGCTGTGGGCGAGTGGACGGGTTCAGAAGACCTACGGACGGGCCCTGAGACGTCGGACGACGAGGTAAGTTTCGCCTGGCTAACTTTGTATCTTTCTGCCACTGACGCACATACAGAGCATTGGCGAATGGTCTAATCCTTCAGACGAGGAGCGTGCACGGACAGAGCGCCTGCATCGCCGTATGATGCGTCGCGTGAAGCAGGTCAAGCAAGAGCTCGAGATACCTCGCCGGCTGCCCAACTTCCCGCGTCCGCCATCACTCTCCATGCAGGTGCCCGGCATGGGCGCAGCGGCGGACGACGATATTGTCTCTAACCCGAGCGATGAGGAGCATGCTTCCTTTGTGGACCCGTATTTCCCTCGCCCACAGTCTGACCACAGCGTAGGCCGCCCTCTTCCGCCCCTTCCGCATTCACGTAGCGGCTCGCAGTACTCTGCACAAACCGGACATGATCCTGCTCTTGCGCATTCGCGGCATCCATCGGAACAGTATCTCACGCCGGGTGGTCTTCAGCCACGCCCTCCTCAACCCCAGTCCGCGGCCCCTCGTACAGACTCGCTCAATCCGTTCGCGAAGCCATTCGTGTTCGGGGCAAGCCGTCAGTCAGGAACCTGGTCTGTCGGTGCCCTCTCCGGATCACCCTCAGCGACACCCCCGACACATACCAGGGCACCGTCATTGGGCAAGCCACTCAATGCTGCCGCGCAGGAGTTCAAGCCCGGAAACTTCACGTTCCGCCCACCGTCTGGTGTACCCCAGCTCTCATTCCCACAACCACAGGTACAGGTGCCTCGACCGCTGCCGACTCCCCCGCTCGTCATGCCAGAGCCTGCACGCGCCGCTCAAGGTCGCGAGAAGAGACAACGGCGCAGCCTCAGCGGTTCAATCGAGAGCGACGACGAGGATGGCCACAATACGATGACGTCGTTCAAGTTCCCGCCACCTGCGGACGAAACGCGCAACGTGCGACACTCAGCTCCTGCGAGCCCGCCCGCTACCAGGGACGCCGGTCTCAACGCCGCTGCGAAGCCTTTCACATTCTCGGGCTTCTCTGGTACCCTGCCATTCATGGCGCAGCATACCGACAACCTGCCGCAGTCTCCAGAGCTCAGCGATGACGAGGAAAACGACGAGAACAGGCCGCTGGTGTCTATGCCTGTGCCGCAGATCGGTGCGGAGGAGTTGCCTTTCCCGCCCGCCTCGAAGCCCAGGCGTGCGCCGATCCCGCTCGACTTTACGCATCCGGTTTCGACCAACACCGTCCCTGCAGGTCTGTTCAAGGCGCTCGTCAACAACGACGGCGAGGAGCGCACGCGCAGAACAGTTCGGTCGAGGCTCAGCTCACGCGACATCTACGAGCACAGCCCGAGGCAGTCTCTCGACGACCTGCACGTTCCCCCGATCTCACAGCGTATCAGCCGCGGCGGGAGGTTGTTCACCGATCCTGGCTTCCGCGATCAGTCACCAGAGCGCGACGACGTCTTCAGCGTACGCCGGCCTCGCCGCTCTTCGCTGCCGCCGCGCCACCAGGACGACGATGAAGACTCGCTCTCGGACATGTCCATCGCGCCGGTTAACCTCGCGCGGCGTGTTGAGATGCATCAATACGAGCTTCGCCTGGAGAGGCTTCTGGAGGAGAAGTTCGAGGGGATTTCGCGGGCGCTCGATCAGTACAAGCAGGCACCCGGCAGTCAAGCGCTCAACCCGTCGACCGAGGCCATGATCTCGGAGGTGGTCTCCCTCTTCCGTGCTCAACTGCAGGAATCCGCAGCGAAGGGTCTTGAGGACAGCCAGATGGACGCACGGGGCGAGCTCGACTTTGAAGTACTCAAGGGCATCATCGAGCAGAGCCAGGAGGAGACCCGCTCCACCCTCAGGAGAGAGATCGCAGGCATCCTCGAAGTTCCGCGGGAACGCGACACGGAGATCCGCCAACTTGTGGAGGAGCTCAGCAACCGGACGATCAACTCATTGGCCTCGGCGATGTCTCAGCTCGGTGCACGCATCCAGTCGATGGAGACGACGCGGGCACCCTCGGTGAACCGTGACCAGGTCGTGCAGGAGCTCTTGCAGACGCTGCTGCCTCACATCTCTGCGTTGCGTGCAGATCCGGTTGACTACGACGTGCTCACCGGCCGGCTCGCGCAGGCGGTGAAGCCCCATATCTCGCAGCTCATCGACCTTGCATCGGACAAGCGCGAGACCGCCAATCTCATCGTGAACCAACTGGTCCCGATCCTACCCTCCTTGCAGCCCAACATCAACTTGGATGCCGTGGTTGGTCGGCTCACGTCGGAGCTGAGGTCGATCGTGGGTCCCCTGGACCCGCACGAGATGAAGGAGCAAGTGTCAGACCTCGTCGTCGAGCGTCTCGATTCTCGTTTGGCCGTACGCGACCGCGCACTCAACGTCGATACGATGTCGGAGCGCGTCGTGGAGAACGTCCGTGTCCTTCTTGCTCCTCTCGCTGACATGCAGCGCAAGATTGAGGAGCTCGCGACCGTGCAGCCTGCCCAAGTCATTGCTCCTCAGCTCGACACTGCCTCTCTTCGGCAAGACATCCTCGGCGTCCTCTCTGACCTGCCTCAGCGGCTGGTCGCGGCAACTGAAGCTCTCGGTAGCGCGCAGACCGAGTTCAAAGTGCGCGCAGACCGCGTCGACAAGGATTCGGGCTCCATCAAGGCTCTCCAGAACGTCGAGGCTGCCATCTCGAGCGTCGCCAACGACCACAAGAAGCTCGTCTCACAAAACCAGGAGTTCTCCGAGTTCTGCAATGACATCATCAAGCACATCAACAGCCTCCCCGAAGCGATGGTCGAGGCCACGAAGGTCCTCCAAAACGCGCACGCCGACTTCGCTTCCCGGGACACGTCGCAGAAGGACTCGGAGGAGATCCGCAGGCTCATGGCGACCACCGCGGAGCTGCAGGTGCAGCTCGCGAAGGCCCGCGGTGCACATGGCCAGGTCCGTGTCGAGAAGGACATGCTCAGCGAGCGCGTCAAGGTGGCCGAGTCAGAACGTGAACGCCTACACTCACGTGTAGAGACGCTGCAAAACTCCGTGTCGAACAAGGCGGCGGAGGCGGCGGCATTGGAGGCAAAGAACATCGAGCTCGAGGAGGCCCTCAACAGAGCACTGGACCGCATCAAGGCGGCGGATGTGCAAGCCCAGAGCCAGCAGGAGCGGCTTTCCGAGCTGGAGAAGGCCAGGCACGAAGTTATGCTGGAGAAGCACCAGTTCAAGGCCAAGGTATGTGGGGAATGCGAATCTACCGTAAACGGTTTGGCTTCATATCGTTGGTATAGATGGATGCTCTCGAACTCAAAGTCACCTTCGCTACGCGGGAGAAGGAAGCGCTCGCCGACGAGCTGGCTGCGCAGAGGAGGCAGAACGACGAACTGCTCTCGCAGCAAGACCGGTGGGACGAGCTTCGCCAGGCGACAGAGCAAATCCAAGCGCTTGCCAACATGACCAGCCAAGCGGACCAGGAGGAGCTGAAGGAGCTCAGGCGCATCCGGGACCGCAGCAAGGTTCTCGAGGGCGAAAACACTGCACTCCAGCGGCGTGTCAAGGACTACGAGACCAAGATCACGAACAACGACAAGCTTGCGCAGACGTCCAGGCAGAGCCTTGTCCAGGCACGTCAGCGTGCGGAGGAGTGGGAGAGGCGAGCGAAGGAAGCCGAGGGCCGACTCGAGGTTACGCAAACCAGCCTCGACCAGGTCGAGCAGTCTCACTCACAACTCGACGCCGACTACTCCCTTGTCAAGCTGCAGCTCGAGGAGCGGGACGCCGAAGAGCGGCTCGACAAGGTACGTTCTTGTACATGTATCATAAGCGCCCGCGCTAACAGCGTCTCGCATAGGACCGCCAAAACAAGCTCCGCGACCAGATCGCCTCTCTGGAAGGCCAGGTCGCACGTCTGCAAGCGGAGGTCGACAAGGCCAAGAAATCTCCCAACCCGACCCCGAACGTCCTCCAGCCCGTGGCGCGCTATCAAAACGGCCAGACGCACCACACGCCCGCGCGGCCCGACTCGCGCGCGAGCACCGTGTACAACCGCAGCCGCGCGGTCACCCCGAAGGCGCAGTACAACGGGACGACAAACGACGTGCGCGTGGCGACGCCCCCGCAGGCGTCCGTGCGCGACTCGATACACGCGCCCTGGCGGCAGGCCGCAGCGATCACGCCCATGTCCAAGGGCGGGCTGAACTCGAATCCGTACTTCCGTGCGCCGTCCCCAACGCCGAGCACGGTCTCGGTCGCGCCCACGCTCGGCGACGACGGCTGGTGGCAATAGTTGTAGACGGCGCGCTTGACTCTGCCCGGATCCGGATTGTTATCTAATACACCCCCATGGTACTATACGTTGCATAAGGTCTCTTTTCTCTCTCTGCCCCGCGCCCGTCTTACTACACTCTCTGTCACTCACCCTCACTGCGTACGTTGTGTCTCATCGGAATTGCTCTCACTTGCATGGTTCTCGGGTTTCTCTGCTCGGTGCGTCTCGTCCCTTCCATATCTTGCACATAGCCCACCCACCCACGCCTTGGTACTATATCTATCTGAACATCTGCTGTTCCCATTCTATACCAGCCTTATATACCGTACACCACTGTCCGACGCTCGTCGCCCAATACCACTGTTTCCACCATCTGCTCATGCCCGACATTCACGCGCAGTGCAAGCACGATCAGCATGTTGTACATACAGCAGAATATATTGCATTAATCGGAGTCCTGTATAGTTGCACGAGGCGGCAGGCAGACCAGGGCTAGATGGGCACGCAGCGCGCCCTAGGGTCCTGTATGGGGGTGCGCCGGCGCGAGAGTGTATGTGTATGGTATGCGTACATAATTACGGGCGATTTACACGGGCGCGGGCGCCTTCGATTGATCGACAGAGGGGGAAGGAGCGACATCAGGACACGTACGACGGCGGGAGCGTCGGCCAGATGAACTTCTCCACTGCTTGTATGGCTTCTTGCGGATCCGAGGGCAGCCTGCACGCACGGGTGAGCCGATGTGATACAACAAGACGAGAAGACGCGGGGGAGAGAGGGAGGAGGGAGGGCGATACGCACTGCAGCTTGGGCTCCCAGCGGCCGTTCCGCTCCTGGAAGAAGCGCGGGACGTGCACCTCGCCGCGCTCGTCCATGCGCCGCCGCGCCTCGCGCTGCGACTCCTCGACCGCCGTCTTCGCCTCCGTCGCCGCGTCCATGTCCTTCGCCACGATCGCCCGCGTCAGCTTCGACCACATCCTGCCGCGCAGTCTGTCAATGTCACCTCAACGTTTAAACGTATAGATCAAACGCACCGGCGGGACTCATCCGGCTCTTGCTCATCTTCCGGTGCAACCCATTTCGGCGCAATGTTCTGCCCGTCTTTCGCTGCGTCAAACAGCACGCGCTTCTCTCCCTGTACGCGCGCGCAAGGCTGAATGTCAGCGCTGCCTCACACGGGCGTGCGCGCGCATGTACGTACCTTTGAGCTCTTGTACTCCATGAGCGCGCTCCACTTGCCCGAAACCTCGCCCGTCTCGGTGTTGCCGCGGCGTATTTTTCCCGCAATCGCGTTGTACGTGCCCGAGAAGTAGCCCTATGCGCGCGGTGAGTAAGAAACGGCGGCGCCATACAGGACGACATACTTTGGTCTTGAATTGAATGTCAGCGTAATGCCCCGTCTGTTCGTTCTTCGCCATGCACGAGTCGCCGAGCTCGAGGAACATCTTGCCCCACAGGATGCCGCGCGCGTACATATTGGGCATCGACACTACGTATTCTGTCGTACGACGCGTCAGAACAGCCGCTAAGCAAGACACGGCGGCGCGGTACGCACCCTTGTCATCTGGGCGCCCAAGGAGATACACGCGGTTCTCGCCCTCCATCGTCGTCGAGACGCTGTTCCCGAGGAACTTGGACTTTGGCCGCAGTTCACCGATGACGGCGACCTTGTTCGCGGGCGATACGTAGTAGAACGCGGACACGGGTGGATGGTGCGACACTGCGCGCAGATCAGCGTTGTGGCGCGCAGTGTGTGGGCGCCCGCGTAAGCGCACCTTGCTCTGCGATGTAGAAGCCCCGCGAGCCATCGGGATAGTCGTATCGGCAGCGGAAGAATTCACCGAGGACGGGGTTATATCTGCGTCGGCCACTCTTTTAGCGATCTGGCGCGCGCGCGAGGGGCAGGAGGCGGGGAAGCAAGGGGAGGAGACGTACGGCTTCTTCACACCCTTGGGCTTGATATGCCAACCCGCAAGGTAGTACTGCAGGACGCGGATAAACCGCTCCTCGGGATCGTCGCAGTTCTCCGCCCTGCAATGGGATGAGCGTTTATAGGGTGGGGCGGACGGGGAGCACTTGCCCGAAGAGGAGATCTGGGTGGGACATGAAGTCGGTGATGCGCTCGAGCATGCTTCGGGGCTCGAGGACGAATGTTGGGAAGGTGACCTTGTGGAGATCCATGCCGACTCTAATCGCGAGTGGGGTAGTGGGTCAGCCTTCAGCCCACTCCGCCACCCTCGGGGAGGATACCGAGGGGTCAAGCAGTACGCACCGTAGTTGGGAAATGAGAGATGCGATGATGGAGCCCTCATTCTCGTCCCTGTAGTCGTCAACGTCGTCGCAGGGGTCAGCGGGGGAGAAGTAGCGCATGAGGGGCAGAGGAGGTCACGGACAAGATCGATGTATCGTCCGGCTCAGTGTCCTCGGGAGCCTTGTCGTCCTCTGAAGAGCCGCGTGGCTTGTAGACCTTCTGAGCGGCCTGGTTGAATAGTCCCATCATGGCTGGATCGAGGCAGGAGGCGAGGGGGGCGGTGGCGGCGTGGATCAGGCAGGAGGTGCTTAAGTAGGCCGCGCTGTGCTGCGTAATGCGCTGCGATGCGCTGCGTTCTCGCTAAACGATTTGGGTGTCGAGCAGATGAGTACAGGTAGACTCCGTCGACGAGAGAACGAGATTTCACTAGAGAGTGAGGGGGGGGAGGAGGAGGAGATGAGGAGAGCAGTCGGCTCGGCGTAATACACAGCGCCACAGCCACCGCACAAAGCCGGAAGTAGACGTCGCCTCCGACTCGGAGTCGCCGCTGGTGACGCATCCGCCTTCCTCTATCCCTTCCTCCTCGGCCCGAACATATTTTCCTACCACTGTCCGCCCTCCTCTGCGCATTCCTCTGCGCAAAACACTTCGCATATTTGTTGAAGACCTCGAGCTGCCGCAGGCGAAGAATCATGAGAGCACGTCGAAACAGCGAGGCGCAAATGACGTAACGATCGAGAGTCAGAGCCGCGAGCCGCTCGTCCGCTCAGCTCGTGCGGTCAACTCTTTTCACGAAACACTCGCGCAGGCTCGTGAAATTATCGCGCCGTTGCCGATACGCGATCAATCAACCAGTACCCGCGCTACGACCACGAGAGTGCTGAATACTCACCGTGAAATGGACAAAACACTGGACAGCGCGGCCATAAACGGGTTCCGTCGAAAGGTTCCGTACAGTCGCCCCCTGTCCGGATGCAATAACACTGTACGTAAAGAGTGACCTATGTACAAGAACTATATCCTGACAGACCTCCAGATCGCAGCATTACCAGGCGATCTTGACGAGGTCATGTCGAAGGCGTTGTAACTTGTTAGCCAACTCTGTGCGTAACGTGCCATCGCCCATGTGCTTGAAGCTCGTGTTCACCTCGTGCACACGGATATGCCAGCACCGCTTCCATGCCCCGTCCGGGACAACCAAGATGGCCTCTCCCGTTGTAGGTGAGCCTAGTTCGGGCACTAAGTAGACGTACTACAACAGTATCAAAACCGCGGCCTAGAGAATCTCGAATGCCACAACAACACCAACACGCCCAACGGTGTTGTGACGGCGCCAGCATGCGATAGCGTAGGCTGGTCGTCTGATAAAGAGGAGCTGCCCGGGGATTCGACTTCGGTCCGAAACGCCAGAACTTTCGTGCGTCATGAGCACACACCGAGTTGGAAGCACTAAGCTAATCCATGAAATTGCGTTGTGTAGGGAGCTACCAGGGCGACAGGATTCTTGCGAGACCTCTACTACGCGAACCCGGGTTCATTCGTTCAACGCACCATATCGCAAGATCTCCAATCATTCTACTGGGTCATCATATACGCCGCCTTCAAACATACCGTCGACGAGATTGCCTCAGCTGGCCAGAGCACCACGAATGGTATTCCAGGGTTCGAGCACGACTTCTTCGAGTGGGAGTTTGGCAGGCTCTTCAGCGCCTCTAGCGCCATTGGTCTCATCTAGCAACGCGATCTCGCCTTCAGCGCTGAACGTTCTGGCCCGCCGGGCAAAGCTAGGTACTCGGACTACCCAACGACATACGCTGGCATCGGGAATCTGGCCGCATACCTCAGATCGAAGGAGCCCGCGTTCGCGGATTGGATCAGCATGATATGGATGCTCTTGAGAGAGTGCGAGCCTCGACTGATCCTCTCATCCGGCGAGATCCCTAGCAAATTGATCAAGTTTGTGAACGCGTGCCTGGTGAAACCAGATGCCGTGGTGGGTCCCGGGACGAAGGTGATATCTAGCGACTACGCGAAACGTTTGGATCATGCCCAAAGCATCGGAGCGTTCGAGCTTGGGTTGGAGGTTTTGGCGGACGGAGAGGATGCCTCAGATGAAGAGGGGTCGGAGCTCGCGCAGGCCCCAGTCGACATGACCGACGGGAACTTTTGAGCATCGTGAGTCAGACTGGATTGGGTTCCGCATGTCATAGCTGTACAGTGCCAGAACCACTCATTCTTTTTCTTCCTCAGCGCCATAGAACTACGGTCCGGTTATTGAACATTCAAATATTCACGCCTAGCGTTTGCAAAGGGTATACTTCAGCATTCATCAACCGTTTTGACGGGTGTGCAATGTATGAGAAGATGACAAGGCATTCGCCCTGGGCGTACTGCTCATTACTATAAGACGAGTTAACCGTGTACTTTCAAAGGAACGGCAGAATCATCGCGACCGTCGCCGAGCAAATGAATGGACCCGTGCTTATAGAAGCTCTCCAGACAACCATGCGGCCTGATCGTTCCTTCTGTCGTGGTGGCACGGAATATCAGTTCCTCGTGCTCACCTCGTGTACGTATGTATGCACAAGTCCATGACAGCGCCGCTTCCGCGCCCCGTGCAAGCCAACCCAAGATGACTTCTCCCACAGTAGGTGAGGGTTGGCCACGCCCTCCACGTCTCAGTACATATGTGCATGTGGCTGAATTCAATTGCGTGGTGGCAACGTCAGCCAGCCGCAATGTAGGGGGTGATAATGGTCTTGGGAGCACATCACCCGTCCCAGACATTAGGATGACCGTGCGTACTTATTGCTACACCTCGTCCCTGAACAGAATAATCGCGCACAGCTGATCTTCGACTTCGCACTCTGCAGCCCCGTACCCCTGCAGCATTCATGGCCACTGAGATGCTCGAATGCATCATGTACGACTCCGATTTCCCCACCCATCGCACCGTATCGCAGGATCTCCAATCATTTTACTGGGTCATCATATACGTCGCCTTCAGACACGCTGCCGACGATATCACCTTAGCCAAGAAGTCTGGTGGCACCACCCATTGTATTCCGGAGTTCAACCATGATCTCTTCCAGGCGGAGTATGGGAGGCTCTTCGGCGCCTCGAGTGCCATTGGTCTCGCTGAGCAACGCGAAGCCGCCTTCAACATTGTACGTCGACGTCCTATCCTGCAGGGTGCGCCTAGGAAAAAATACACTCTCACATACGCCGGCATCGAGAATCTGGTCGCATACCTCTCCTCGAAGGACTTCGCATTCTCAGACTGGATCTCGTTCATATGGGGACTGTTGCACAGCTGCGAGCCGCTGCAGGACATCAGGTCGACTGGCGCGATGTCTAGCCATTTCGCCGTGTATTTGGGTAGTACGCTGCCAGTGCGCGTTGTGCAACCATCTGCCGCCGCGACGCTTCCCGAGCCGCCCGACGTGGTATCTAGCGACTACGCAAAACGATTGGATCACGCCGAAGTCATCAAAGTGTTGAGGATGGGGTCGAAGGCTTTCGCGGACGCGAAGGAGGCCGCCGCTGAAGTGCGGTCGACGTGATGTAGCGGCTCGATCGGGAGTACGCCGAATGCGAAGCGTTGGTATTAGGAATACCAACTTGAATGGGCTACGGTGAGTCTGGAGAGTCATACGGAAACTCCTCGTATAACAAATATATTGCAGTCTGCCCGCGTGTAGTGAATCTTGTGTACTGACCATTAAACATATTGAACACAGACTCAACTGACACACAAAATAATCGTCGTTCCTGTGTCCACCGGATGATATACCCGAAGACTCTGGGAACCTTCCGCCGCTACGACGATAAGTACTTTCAGAGACAACAGTGACACCTGTTGCGATATGAGCGCAGAAGACGACAGTACGTGAAGAGCGATCCTGACCGGGCGCGCGTGAGTTCTTCTTGGCCTTGCATGATGGCCAGGAATTGGATGGTGCAGAACGCTCTGACAGCCGGTCGATCCGCCTCGTTCCTGATCGCCAGGTTGTGGATACGCTCCCATCGCTCAGACTTGATTTGAGAGCTCTGGTAAGCACTCATGCGCATCGAAGCGAGGCTGTCGTCCCAGAAATACGGGTACCACCCGGCTCGCTCCCAGTCAATGATCGACGTGATCGTGCCACTCGCCTCGTCGACCATGATATTCTCGGGGACGAGGTCGCCATGGGAGAACATCGCGGGCCTCGAGTAGTCGATGTTAGGGGCCATCTGCTTGACTTGCTGCGATCGTACTCCATGCCTGTCGTCGGACGCCTTCGCGAAGTATTCGAAGACGTCTTTCGTGCAAGTCGCCACACATGAGTTGCCGTGTTCCCACTGCTCCTCCGTGAGCGGGCGATGCAGGTATCTGAAGAGCCCGCCATGAAAGACGCCGTTTCTTCCGACTATTCCCCACCTTCCCGCACTGCTGATGGAGCGCAGGGAGGACAGGTACGCGCGGAGCTGCGACGCTATCTTGTCGCAGGAAGGCTCGTCGAGTCGCGGTAGGGCGTCGACAAGAGGGATCCCGGGGACCTTCTCCATAACGAGGTATCCACAGCGTTCTTGCGCGTCGGTGGCGGGCTCGGAGAAATATGCGTGAACGCTCGGCAGAGGAACAGTGGTGGCGTCGCGCACGAGTTGCATCGCGAGGGCTTCGGACTTGTACACGCGTCGTCCGTATTTCACGATTACGTCGTCCACTTCAACAACGACCACTAGATAATTATCTGCAAGCATCCGGCCGCGCTGTATGGCCGCTTTGACTGAGTGGATGTCGGGGAAACGGGCACTGAGGATGTCCGACCTGTCGACGCCGTCCATATCAATCTGGGGGATTGAAAGACTGCGAGTTAGACTCGGCGGATAAGTCTCAATCTAAGAAATGACATTACTGATGGCATTCTTTCGTTCGCTGATAGCTGGATAGAATGGACGCCTCAACGCGATATGTGGGGGACTGAGGAAGAGCCCATGGCTAAGACTCGCCACTGTTATATGCGGGTTTGCCCGTGGGAATAATACGGATTACGTCTCAGCGCTACTGAACTTGAAGAGAGCCCACAACAGCACCACTGTGCGCCCGTGCACTATGGCAGCTGCTAGTCGGACTCTGGCTAAGACGTCGACAATCAGCTACGCACTTGGCAATAGATGCCTCAACCAGCCCCGGGAGTATACCGCGGTCGTCTGGACCAGAGTACGAGGTCGGGATTGTTGCACCTACTAGGCCGTCTGGAGACTCGAATCTCAAAGCATACGTACTTCAAGTCAGTATTGCCCGTGAGTGCTTGCGACCAACTTGAACGAAGCGTTCTCTATGTCAACTGATCCCTATATTTGTGATGTAAATGGGCAGGGTACTACGCCATCTATAGCAACAGAGCTCTTGGAGCACATGAAGTGCCAGTGGCCCTACTACCAAACACCCGTCGTGCATGAATTGTGTCATGATCTCGAGTCGATCTCCTGGACCTTCATATGCACCGTCTACCGACGCGTCCAATGGGAGATCAATGCTTTCCACTCACGCCCGAATATTTTCGGTGAGTTGGCCGAGTTCAGTAGCAATCTACGTGGTCTTTTCGCGAGCCCCGATATCACGTATGGGGCAATCACCCTGAGTCAAACGTCCCAGCTCGCCAGTACTCCATCATCGACTCTAATCACGCGACGCCTCCACGGCCGGCGCTGGAGCCCAGTACGTTGACAGCGGTTGCACCAGGAGTTGCTGCAAAACGATCAACGACGCAAAGGCGGTGCTGAGACAAAACTTTACAGAGCCTTAAAAGCTCCTCAAGAGCACGGTAGGCTTGCGACAGTTCAATCCGCAGGATATCACTCAACCTCCTTTGGCCCTGCTTTTCCAGCCTACTATCCATCGTATCGTCTCATCCCTGACCGCTTGAGGGCTGAGGAGCTCCACAAGGAGCTCGAGGGGCTCTTCTGCGCGCCGGTAGATGCGAAATATCTTGCCTGGAAGCGAGTGGACCGCACGCCGGGCAAAAGACTCTGTCACGGCGCGGCTCCAGTGGGCGCTCTAGTCTGGCGCGGCGGCTGTATAAGGAACGCCCCGACCTCTCCTCCGCGCTCTCGAATGGACTCTCCTCGACAAGTACAACGCGCGCATGAAAAGCAGGACTACACGTACCTCTCCGCTCGGATCCCGATTAAGTACTACGTACTACTAATACTTACGAGGCACCCTCCTGACGTGGGAACCTGCCAAACATCCTACGGGCACCGTGCTCTCACACGTCATCCTAGTCGTAGTGGCCGCTATAGACGATGACGAGGACGGGGCCGGGTTCGGGAGTAGTTCACGCACCGGCGGGTCGGGGCACGCTCAGCTAGGTGGCGTATGTGGCAGGTTCCGGCGGAGGCAATGAGACTGAGGGCGCATTGAAGGATGATACCTTCGCACGGCCGATGTGCAAGAAACATTGGGCGCGCGGACGGTGAAGATTGGGGACTCGGAATACATAGTTCAAGAACTTGGGGCCCACATCGCTAGCGCCGGCGCCCTTCGATTTCTCGCATAGATTCCAATCTCCTATGAAATGCACCGTGCGGCGCGGAAATGCTTCATCTTCATCAGATGTAGACGTCTAGACGGTCCAGGTGGCTGCCGGGCGCCCTTGGTTCACAGGCCTCAGGCGTTGATAGTGGCTAGATGTGGCATTCTGAACATCGCGAGGCACATCGTGACGGCGCGATCCAGATACTACAGCATCAGTAAGCGCTCGTGGCGGCGTTGTGGCGTAGCTGCGGTGTCATTTGAAGTTGACCCCGTACTACTGCCACCTTGATCAAGGTAAGTTCTCCCGGAACTCCCGTGGCAATTGCCGCACCAGAGGCGTATCCACACTCACTCCTTCTGGTCACGTACAGGTCGTCTCCCGCGACGCCGCATCTACCACTGTCCATTGGAAGCAGTGGCCACTGGCACGGAAGCCGCCTCTTCAATTTGCTGTATGGTCTAGGTAAGCGCCTCCCCGTGTGATGACTGTTATTGCCTCATCGCCCCGACAAGCTATTACACTTATTCTGGTTGTGGCACACTTCACTAAGACGCCTCCGACGGCCACCGCCAACCTACAAACATATAAATACCGCGGCTTCATGGAGAGCAACAGCAGTGCGTATCCCACCTCCTCTCTACCAAGCACATAATGTCTAACGTCCAAGAAACCCCGGTCAAAGCAGGCGCATCGCAGTTCGCCAACCACAATGCGGTTCAGATCAACAGCACTGACTTCCGCAAAGGGTTGTTGCTCGAGCTCAAGAATACCGTGCTCTACAACAGGCCCGAAGTCGAAGACATGATCTTTCTGCCTCGAGAACACTCCAGCAACAAGGCACTCAATCTTCTATCAGGCAACGACGAGATTATGCAGAAGATGGTGAAGCGGGTCAAGCACGCGTGTAAGGATTCACTTAAGGATGTGAAACATCTTGCTGCGCGGGCGACGAAGAAGGGTTCACAGCCTCTCGTAGCTCCTCGAAAGCAAGAGTTGAAATTGTATGCTCCTTTGGTAAGTTTCAATGTCACACTAAGCTACCGCGCAACCCTCTAACACTCTGCATTACAGCGGAATATACTCGAATGCATCGAGAGTCTCTGCATTCGAACCAAGCTTGACAGACCATACTACCGCAAACTCATCTGCAACAGCGAACGTCCATTGAAACCCGACGATGGTACCACAGGGGACATCTTTTCCTTGAAGCCCGACTTTCCGCTTGTTGAGATACGGCCGTCAAAGGATGGCCGCTCCGAGATCGACATTGACCATGTCCCGGAGGATATTCTCTGGCGGCAGTGCCCAGCGTTTCTCGAGGTGAAGGCTGTCGACGCGCCCTTTCCTCGTAATAAGCCAAGCGTTGTCAAAACCACGCTTGCTCAAGGTGCCGATTACGCCCGCGCCATCTTCGCGAGTCGCCCCTTCCAGCTCTACGTCCTCGGCATGTACCTTTGGAAGACACACTTCTGCTTCGCGTATTTTGATCGCCGCGGCGTCGTTCTGTCTAAGGAGTACAACTTGCTCAATGATGACGGCCTCCTCAAGTTTGTCAAGGCGGTTGTTCGCTTCACTTGGGAAATGTCTCTGGAAGATTTAGGCCACGATCCGTCCGCCACGTTGATCGATGGCACCGCCTACTACGACCAGGAGCACCCTCGCTTTGAAGTATCCATGGGTCAGGAGCAGGACACCCGCAGATGGAGAACTTTCGGGAAGCCGCTGTTCGCGTCGCATTCGCTCTTGGGGCGCGGGACCTCCGTGTGGCAGAGTGTCTACCTCTCTAGCGGCAACAAAACTCCAGCCATCCTGAAATGTGCATGGAGGTCCGCTACTCGCACCAGCGAAACCGAGATCTACGACAAGATCAAATCGGCTCTTGGAGGTCGGGTTCCCGATGGCATTGCTCAGCCCTTCACCGGCGGTGACGTATACCTTCGCCATCTCCATAAGCCGCTGTCGATAGCCGCTCTGAGACACCCTATGGAAGTTCCCGGGACTGAGAAGCTAGTCGGGAACATCAGACTGCATCGAGTCACGCTTATGGACTTTGGAAAGACCTTGGTCGACTATCGCGATCCGAAACAGCTCGCGCTGGTTCTCATCTCCGTTCTTAAAGGTTGGCAATCTGCTTCTGCTCTGGGAACGAATTCGCTGACTTCAAGCGTGGTTGGGGTAGGACACAAGGCTCTGCATGAAGCCGGAATACTCCACCGCGATATCAGCCCGGGCAACATACTCATCAGGACACTGCCGAAGTGGATGGCAGATGGAAGGCTCGTCGTGGTTGATGACCCTGAGGATTCAGGCTTCTTGACCGACTTTGAGTTTGCGTCGGTACCCCAGCCTGGCACGGTTCTGACCACAATCCGCAAGACGGTTCCTATGCCCAACAGAAGCCGTCAAGTCCGCAAGCCGACGGCCTCGGATGCTCCTGACCAAAGCCGGCACTTGCGGTTCGAATATGTGGAAGGTAAAGCCCCGCCTAAGGTCCGCGGCCCTGGGGACGTGATCACGGTGCGCGATTGCCAATCCAACTGACTGAGGCACACGTGCTGACTCACGCCAAATAAATTGGCAGGGAACTGCGACCTTCATGGCGTCAGAGTTGCTGCTGGCTATCTCAAAGAAGGCCCGCATTCGACGTAGCGTCATCCACGACCTCGAGTCGTTGTGTTGGGTGATATTCTACGTCGTCTACCGCCGGTGTGATGCGGACGCCCGCAAAAAGGGGTGGGCCGGAGCTGGGAAGCTGCACCGAGAATACGTGGAACTCTTCTCCGCCATCGATGCCGACACCCTTTTCCAGAAACGAACCAGTCGCTTGTTCTCGAGGCTGAAAACCGAGGACCGCTTCTTTGGAATAGAAGCCTTGCTCGTGTATCAGAAAGAGTTCGAGCCTAAACTGGTCATGGTCAGTTTCCTCAAGATGCTCTGGTTGCAGCTTGGTAAAATGCAACCCCCACACGACGCTGGAGTCGTGAAGGCGCAGGGAGACCCCTTCTTAACATATTACTTGAAGAAACTGCCCCAAGAGAGCGCCCCACCCAAGCGCAAACGAACGAAACAAGACGACTACGAGACCCCAGACACGTCAAAACACACCCCTACCCATGACATCCTCATATTTTTGCTGCAACCTCTGACGGGCAGTATGGACGAAGAAGTGATGGGTGCGGCAGCGATGAACGAGGAAGGGGAAGAACAGAACTCGGATGAGGAAGGGGGAGAAGACCTCGAGGGCGACGAAGGAGGGGACGAGGAGTATGAAGAGGAGCCCGAAGCAATGGACGTGGACGAGGAAGAGGAAGAGGAAACCGAGGACGAGGAATCGGGAGCTGAAGAAGACCAGGTCTTGGGTTTGACGTCGGAGTCAGACCCCGACTCAGACTTTGACAGTGACTCGGATGATTAGGTCGGTGGAAGACGAGAACGGGGATTGAGCGCGATCGTTTTGTAACCCAGAGAGCATGAATCGATATCCAGCTACGTATTGCCGATGGTATAGGTCTGATGTTTATCCCGCTGTATAGATAGCACAACTCCCCACTCTAAGACATGAAACACACCCGTTTAGAACGTGATTTTCGTCGGTCCCTTGGGCACGGGGATATCGTCGCGGAAGAACGCGCCGTACGCGCCATGCTCCTTCTTTTTGATCGTCATCGGGAACTTCTTCAAGCCCTCCTCCTCGAAACCGCTCTCCCGCAGGACGCGTGCGAGCTCGCCCGCGAGCGAACGCTCGTGGTTCTCGCCGGTGAAGAAGGTGATCGACTTGCCGGACTTCCCACCACGACCTGGCAGATTGTGTAAAGATTCATCTTGCGAAGGTTCAAGAGCAGTAGACTTACCTGTACGTCCGATTCGGTGAATGTAGTCCTCGATGGTGAGCGGGAACGTGTAGTTGATGACCGCGGCGACATTCGGGATATCGAGCCCACGCGCCGCGACATCCGTCGCGACAAGCAGCGTCGAGGCGCCCGATTTGAAGCGTTGAAGCGCGTCCATCCGTGCGGACTGCGACATGTCTCCGTGCAAGCCCATAACGGAGAAGCCCTTGCTCTTCAGCATGCCCTCGACGCGCGTTGCTTCCTTCTTGTAAAGCGCAAAGATGAGAATCCGCGCGTCCTCGGGGTTGCCCTTGCTGTTCTTCGGCAACAACGCCTTCAAGTGACCAAGGAGGCGCGAACTGTAGAATTGTGAGCGTGCATTATCTGACGGTATTGGGCTACTCACTCTTTCGATCTGGGCTCATCGAAAACCTCAACCACTGCGGGATATGAGTGGTCGATATCATAAGGAAAATGAGATCGACGCTACCTTGTTCTACCCTGCTATTTGCGGTCAAGTCGTCGCTCCCAACTGTAACTCGTATGGGGTCGCGCTGGAATGTGGCAGCTAGCCGACGTACGGCATCTGGCCATGTTGCGCTGACTATCTCAACATGAGCACGGGGAAGACTTGTTTCAATGAAACAAACTCACACATGAGCGTCTGACGTTCTGCGCCCTGCAGCGTATGGCCGATGATAGCACGGATATCGTTCTCGAAGCCCTTATCGAGCATGCGGTCGGCCTCGTCCAGCACCATATATGAGACTCTAAACACGTCGCTTAGCCGCAGTTGATGAGAAGTCATGGTAATGCCTACCTGCTCAAGTCACACGCGCCGTCGTTTACGAGGTCGAGGAGACGGCCGGGCGTTCCGACGATGATCCTCGTCGTCCTCCCGTCCTTGTTCGCATTCTTAAGGGTCTTGATTTGCGGCGCCTTGTCCACGCCGCCGAAGACCGCGACGCTTGCAATCCCGAATGGCGCGCCGAGCTGTTCGAGGGTCTCGTGTGTCTGGATAGCGAGCTCACGAGTGGGCGCCACAACAAGTACCGATACGGTCGTACCCTTCTGCTTTTTCGGTTCTTTCGATGCATTCTGGATGATACGTGCGAGCGCTGGGAGGCCGAACGCAAGTGTCTTCCCACTACAGCCGACGATGAGCATAACGGACACGGCCAGACTGGATATGAACATACCTTCCGGTCTCGGCGATACCTACAACATCTCTGCCCTCGAGCGCGGGAGGCCATGAGCAGGCTTGAATTGGCGTGGGCTCCTTGAAACCGTCGAAGGCTGCACGAAGCTCCGCCGGGATATCCAATTGCTTGAAGGAGAGTATAGGAGTGGGCGTGGGGACACCGTCGGGCACATGAAGAGTGACTTCGTGCTTCTTGAGGAACGCTTCGGCATCCGACGATGAAGGAGCCGTGGAGGAGGACGCGACGGGCTCGGCAGAGACAACCGTCTCCTTGCTCTTCTTGTCCTTTTTATCTTTCTTGTGCTTCTTCTCCTTCGGGGGCTTCACTTCGGAGGGTGCGGGCTCTTCCGACTCGCCCTGCGCGGGCTCGGAGTCTTTCTTCCGCTTTTTCTTGTCCTTCTTCGAGGAGCTTGCCTCTGCCGCGCCCGCCTCCTCAGTATCGCGTTTGCGTTTCTTCTTGGACTTCTTGTCCGATATAGAGGGATCCTCTAAGCGAAGATCCTATCAGCTGCAGTTCTGTCATTGCTACGGCGAGGTTACACACCGGTCACATCGACCACCATAGCATCTATAGGCACATCGGCCTGTGTGACCGCCGGAGCTGCCTTGGACTTGGATTTCTTGGACTTCTTGTGAGCAGGGGCGTCCGCCGTATGCATGTCGGTGGTCATGATGGATGAGGCGTAAGAGAGAGTGCGGTTCACAACCAACTCGAAATTCGAATGTAATCCTGGGGTGGCGGAGATCTCGATCACCACGGAATTTTCCCGAAGCACGTGGCAGTGGGCGCTACCATCATCGTCGAATGGGCGCTCAGCGTAGTAGGAACGCTTTCCGCCACCATGACTGTGTACTCAACGTTCCTCCTGGTCGGCCTGGATATACTCTGCTGCTTCTATCGCAATGCGATGTAAGAATTGTCGTATACGGCATGGCAATCGTTGCTTGAACATGCATGTGAAGGTGTGCCTGGGAACAAATTCATTAACGTCCATGGCATCGAATGCGCATGGGGCCTACCGCAGCACACTGACTGGCCGTCGGGTCAAGTTTGGAGTCCCTTACTTTGACAGAATAGCTGCTAGCGGTCACTTTGTTTCCTAATAGCAATGACTAGTAGCTCGCGCTGCGACAAGACTCTAGCCAGTTCAGGGTAGTAGGTTGCCGTCATTTATCTCGCCGTCTCCGTGGATAGCTTCTAACACTATCAAGGGACCTGCCACTGCTGTGGATCCGTGCACAAATTGAGGGGTTCGCAAACCTTACGCCTCGAGGGTTCACGCATGCCCCTTGTTCCAGCGTTTGTATATATACACCGGCGCGATATTCATCGTTCTCTTGACACCGTCTACCTTGGTTCCTCTCGAAAGCAATCTCGCTCAATCATCATATAGATCTCACCATGAACTACCCCAAGAACCACAAAGGTCCTGGCTTGCTTGGAACGAGGAGTTCTTTTCGGATCGTCGCGATGTTCGAGAAGACGTTGTTGCGAGACGACATCGCGGTGGAAATCGCATTCTCGGATCTCGAACGTTACCTCCATGGATCGCCAACCACAGCAGAGGAGTTACTGGCAGAGGTTGAGGTCATTCCATTTTTACTCGATTTCATTCTGTGTGGTCAGTAAGCCCTTTGAAGTGTCTCTGTCGCACTGAACACCATATCTCTCTTCACCAGGCGTCGGTGACCGCGCATTCGAGATTCTACAGACCTCTATCTTGGCAGAATTCCCTACTATCGCGGACGGTTTCGGCTCTTCAGCTCATGGAAAACTTCTTGCGCGTCTTTGCAAATCGTCGCTCCTTCCGTATGTCAGGATCTCCGAGGCACCGCGAGAGTTCATTGCGCATCAGAAGTCCGTGGAGAGTGCTGCCTCCGTCCTCCAAGCACTTTCCGACCTCAATCTTCCAGAAGGTGCCCTGAACGACGACGCCGACGACCCGAAGCGTCTTGCCAAACGCAAAGCGCAGGCGAGACGAAGGTCATCGGCGGCTTCTGCATCGTCATCTGTCGCTGAAGCGGCTCCTTTCTATGCCTACGGCGTTCGACCACCCAGTACGCAAGCCGAGGCCGCCGAAATGATAATTGCTATCCTCCATAAGCAACGCGCACTTTTGCAGGTCGGTGCATGTACTCCCAGCCCGCACTATGTGACACTGAGATCGCGGCAGTTCTACCTGAAAGCTTTCCGGCAGGAGCCTCATTGCTCTTTCTTTCGCACCGCATACCTTCCTTGGCTTGCCAACGAGGAGGAAGCCGGAGTCTCCGTGGACAGCCTCCCCCAGACGCCCACGAGTCCGTCCATCCCAAGCAACATTCGCGGGAGCCTCCCTGCCCGCCCGCTTGACCAACCGCTGACGGCATCTTTGTTCATGGATGGAATCGAGAGCTTCGGAGAATGGCCAATACTGACGTCCCCCCGTGCTCAGCGCGACCTCCGCAAGGCCCGCAAAGAGGACGCGAAGAAATTCAAGATCATCGTCAAGAAAATCCAGTACGTCAGGCTCGGAGGCGCTTCAGCGACGTCGTTGACCAGCGTTTACAGGGAGCTCTCGAAAGGCCACTTCTCTGACGACAATCATAAGAGGCTGACAGGTCTAAATGTCGGAGTGCCCGTGTATGAGGCCAAGATGTCGCGAGACCTGAGATTGGTGGTAAGCCAACATTATGCATAACGCAAAGATGTCTTACAGCTGATAATCCATAGTATCAAATCCAATGGACCCCCGTCTTTGAGTCCGATGTAAGTCAGACAATGCAGACAAATCTTCATATTTTCTTGATCCCTAATCGCTTGTCTTAGCTCGGAAAACAAGGTAAAGCTAGTTGCGGCGATAGCGACAACGAGCGACTTTTGAGGGGTTTATATTCTGGTCATCTCTCATAGCAATCCGGATCTTCGGTGTATACACCCACGCCCAACTTGATGCTAGGTTTTGGAGCGCCGTCAGTCGATCGTCCGCCAACCAAGAAGCCGAATACAAGAAGCGGCGAGTCCATACTTTTTCTTGTTCACAATTACTACACTATTTACACACCCCGATAGATGCACCCAGCGCGACCGGGCGACGTACCGAAGGGGCGACAACGTCGTACTGCCGCTAGTATTCTCGGACTCTAGCGCGTCTAAATCGGAGATGCGGGAGCCGTCGCAAGACCTAAACGATATCGCCAAGGATCTCTCCAAAGCGGATATGGAAGAGGTATATCGACCAATTTATCCTGATACTAGCGGCTGACGAAAGCCGCGTCCATTCTTAGCTTCGTTCGCTCATGTAAGAAGACGCGTTCAATGAACTTCGAGCTTCACATGCTGGTTTTACTGACCTCGGACCGGTAGCTTGGAAGGTTATGTTACGTTTTCTAAGGTGTGTACACTCTTTATAACAGTCCTCATCAATCTAACAGCGGCATGTAGGCGTTCTTAAACAGTGAGTGTGAACAGTCAACTCGTACTAATAGCAAGATAAACGTCGCCTCATAGACATATTGGCGGACCAGGACGTTGCACACGTCTTCAATGTATCGTACGTTTGTAGCCATCCCTCTGGTTTGGATGCGTGACTAATTGGTAATAGGGAACCGGAAAGGGAGATCATCGAGTACCCCGACTCGTGCATTGTCGTCGGTGAGCAGTACTACTACTGCATGCATGCGGTTGTGGAAGACTCTGACGCGGTCTATACGCAGGGCGAAGTGGGACTGGGTAATACGCGCTCGGATCCTACAGCATGATTGCGCCCGCTGATCAGTTATGTATCAGGAAAACTACCACCATCCTGTTCAAGATGCTCGGCATAGAGCGCTCCGCGGAGGCGCAGGGAGTAACAGACGTAGCCAAGCCCCGCCAGCTGTTCATCACCCAGTCTCGCGTTCTCGCGGACAAGGTCGCAGAGTACTACGGAAAACTGCAGCAGTCATTTTCCACAGAGAACTCTACGCCGACCGAGCTCAAGGAGATGGCTGCCAAAGGGGGGACCGTGCATCAGAGGCGCCAGCGGCTCGTCGATGCCGACGAAGAAGTATACTGGGAAGCCGATCTCCCAAAACGATATGGAGCACTCGAAGACGGACATTTCCCGATGTTTCTGACGTACGAACACGTAAGACAGTTCTAATGTCCTTTCGTTGGTTCCAGACAAATTGATGAACCCTGTCTAGCTGTGTCGGCTCCTTGAGAGCGAGTTCAATGTGATGCTCTCTGAAGCGGACAAGCAGCGAGAGGTGAAGCACACTCTCCGGAAGGCGCTTCAACGCAGCAACTCCGAGTCGAAGAGCACAGCGTTTCGTGATACCATCATCACCTACAAGACATTCGTGGACATATACTGGGCCCCCTTCCTGAAGGGCAAGTGTGCGATGCCGCTCAGTGAGTGGATTTTCGTGACATACTTCGATCGAAAGGCTGATCCAACGTACACAGATCCGGATGTAATATTCAGCGAGTTTCTAGGCACGTACTTCATATCTGGTGCAATCGGCTCGTATGTTGATTCGTGACGGTTCAGGCGTCATCCAGGGCTCCGAACAAGCTTTCAACTCGGACACTGGTTATCTCAGCAAGGACGCGTACTGCGGCATCAATCGTCGCTCCCTTGGCGTGATTACGGACTACGGCCAGCGCGAGGCCATCTATGACCTCTTCTTGTTGTATCGGACGAAGAAGCGACAACTTTGGCAGCGCGATGCAGCTGACAGGCGCGTCATATCCTTCACGACTTTCCAATTGTATGCTCACGTCATGCCAGGGCATTCGATCTTGTACAATTTCTGAGGAAGAAGGGCCTCCCCGGTCGACCCGTCGACTACTTGTAAGATAAGTCTTCACTCCTTGCTATAACTGGTACTGATCGTGCTATGAAGGTATGTTGACGAGGCCCAGGACAACCTTCTCATCGACACTTTCGGTATATTTGCCGTCAGCCCAATGGATTCTGCCTAGCTGATCGTCCTCTTCCTGCAGTGCTCCGTGCCCTATGCCCAAATCCGCGTGGTATATTCTGGGCTGGTGACACCGCGCAGACAATTTCGGCGGGTAGCACGTTCAGATTCAGCGAGCTGAAGGCCTTCCTGTATCGGTTCTCTCATGTGAGTCGTTCTTTTGCCATCATAACTAGTAAGCCGTGCACTGAGGCCGCTTTCAATGGTCACAGTCTTCGCCAAACGGCCCTCCTCCCTCAAGCCCACAAATATTCAACCTCACTACAAACTATCGCTCTCACGCCGGCATCGCCAGCTGCGCGGCTACTATCGTCGAACTGATGACGAGATTTTGGCCCGACTCCGTGGACGTCCTGCCCCGGGAGGAGGGTATGACTGTCGGTCCAAAGCCTATGTTTTTCCATGACGAGTACTCTGCAAACTTGACCCAGTTTCTATCTGAGGACTCGTGAGTGATCGCCTCGGGCACCTTTTGAGTGATTCTCTAACAGCATTTTGCATATCAGGGAAAGTAGTACAGCCGAATTTGGTGCACGTCAGTGTAAGCAGCACTCTAGGTATACAGGCACCTCGCAGGCTAAAGGCTGATATGACGCTTAGGTATCCTGGTTCGGGATGAAGCAATGAGGGAAAGACTACGTCGTGAAGTTGGTCAGATAGGCATCATCTTGTGAGTCTTCTTTGTAAGCAAATCTTTCTCTCATTGAAGTAATGATGTGTTCCTCTAGGACAATCCCTGAGAGCAAGGGGCTCGAATTCGACGACGTATGATGCCCCGTTTTCTATCCTTCGTTCATTTTTGACATGCTGCGGCCGCGCAGATCTTGTTGTACCAACCATTCCAAGATTCTCCCGAAGAGTTTCAGCAATGGCGCCTCATTTCAAGCTGTGTCCCTGGAGGATATGCACCCGCCTTCAACGAGGTTCGCCATAGCGGGATATGCCGAGAGGTGAGGCGCACTTAAGTGTTGATGTTTTCGTGAAGAACGGCCGTTTAAGCCATCACGCCAGCTCAAATTCCTGTACGTGGCCGTCACACGGGCACGGATGAATCTCTGGATCATGGACTGTTCGGGTAAAGGAGAGCCCATGCGGGTAGGTACAAAGGGCATCCCGGACATCGCCGGCGCTCACACCCTGATAGAGCTTTTGGACGCACGCCGGTCTGATCGACAACCGTAACCGTTGGGATCCCATGCCACGTCTGGCCGTGTCCTCCAGCAAGGATGAGTGGGCGGAGGTCGCTTGGAGCCTGTTCCAGAAGCAGCAGTTTTCCGAGGCGGAATTGGCGTTCGAGCGGGCAGGGCTCCCAAAGGAACGCCGGATCGCGCATGCCTACCTCTTGCGCAACTCCGCTTTGGCGTCCTCTGCGGCTCTTGCCACCGAGAGTGGGGACTCTGCTTCCGCCATCAAGCGCTGCACTACCGTCGCTCAAGCGTTCTTGCAATGCGCTGAAGAGGCGGAAGATGTGGAGGACAAACGCAGCTACCGCCGCATCGCCGGACAATACTACGCCCTCGCGGGAAACGATCGGGCCGCAGCACAAGCTTTCTACGATGCAGGGTTCTACGATGAAGCTGCAAAGCACTACCGCGCTGCGGGCATGTTCGACGATGCTGTCCGCGTCGTCCAGAAACATCGAGAGGTCGACACCTCGCTCGCTGAGTCCATCATCTCCGTCGCGAAGCTCCAATTTTCGAGGGAGAACGAGATCGAGTAAGTGCTGCTGTTTATCTTGTGTACGTTATCTTACCGCATGCGACACCTAGGAAAGCGTGTACATTGTTTCCCTCGCAGGACGAAGCACTGAACTATATGGCTAGCTACGGTCTCGAGACACCTCGCGCAACCCTTCTCGAGCAACTTGGCAGATATTCGGAAGCTGCAGAGTGCCAACTGGCGGAGGGGAACATCTCTGAGGCTACTAGGCTCTTTCTGCTGGACACCCACAGCCCAGCGGCTCTTTCGCGAGCTGCGGGAACAGTACTGGATGGACTGTGGTCGGCGTTGTCCTTCACTGGGAGTCTGGCGCAGTCACCAATCGGCGAAGCCCGAGACCGCGGCTCTTTGGACGATCTCCTGCAATTGTTGGACATGTTCCAGGACTTGCCTATGGACGCCGAGGACCGCGACGAGGTATGAGATCTCAGTGCACTTCGAAGAGCATGAGATCATGATAACTATGTAGATGGCCGTATTCCGAGCGATATCACGGCGCGACCTGAACGCCGTCCGCCTCCTTCGCCACAGCTTCGCTCGATCCAACAACGAGGCGGCACTGTTCCTTTGCCTTGACACGGTCTTCTCCGTACCCCTCGAGCTAGATTCAATGTCCCCCGCAGGGATTGTTTCGTGCTTCAAAGCGTTTTTGGTCTACGCGGGCACAATGCGACACTTCGTTTGCCATCCTGATCCATGCAACTACCCGGCGATGAAGAAGCTGTTCACCTTCTCCACGTACGATGAAGATCACTGTCTCCTCCATCAAGGAAGTACCCTCATCTCTAGCGTCGAGTCTCCGCGCATCGAGCGGGATGCGAACGGATGGCTTGGCGTCGTGATACTTCGGCGAGAACTCGAGCGGCTGGTCAAGGATGCGCTCAAGAGGCGTTTGAGGAAGAGGGTGTTGGACCAGAACGAGACGTTCCACAACCTGCGCTCTATCCGACTCTGTTTCCTCTTCGCGACATCTCGTGGACGTTGTCCCCGTGGCGATCAATGCGCGAACTACCACGCCCCCGCGGAAAGCCACAGCGCCAACAACTACATCACCTTTGTTCGGATATATGTGCTGCATATCATGATATACCACACCCTGTACGCCACCGACATACCTTCCCGCGAGTTGTTCATGCAGCAGAGGTATGTCTTCGACGATGATCAACATATCACGCTAATTTTATCCTTGCATTGAACACAGAGCTTGGCTCCGGCGTTTGTATGAAGCCTTGTTCCCGCCGCACTACACACTTGGAGCCCCACATGTGATCACCGCTACCGCTGTCCCCGAGATAGAGCAAGGTCGCCACATCATCGCCGTATGGATCGGGGACCTGCTCAACAGCATACAACCTGGCTCGGAAGACAATCTCTACGTCTTTCTCAGCAATCTCATCAGGGTCACTCGCCTAGCCATGCTATTCGACCACGGCACAGCTACAAGGTCCCTACACCGCATTCCATGCATCTTCCCGAGGCGCCGATCTCTGCCATCGCTCTGGAGAGGGAACACCTATGTCGTGCGAGACCTCGTTTACGCAATGCAGAGTACCGAGGGGGACTCACTAGACAGAGGCGTTCTCTTCCTCAAGTACGTCGCACGTAACGTCTAGTACACGACTCGTGCTCACCACATACATCCTAGTCACGTCCTCGGCCAGCGGCTTCCCATCGATCTTAGCATTCTATGCGACTTCATGGACCAGCTTTGCGGCTCTCTGATCGCCGCCACACGACTTCAATATGGGCGGTCTCTCCACGACGTCACCATGCCGAAGAGCTGGGCGGCTCGACTGGTGAGAGCCCTACCGATGCTGCGGGGCAAATCGACGCGTCGAGCGACAGAATACGCGTATCACTTCAAGGATCTCCTCCAGCAGGTTTACTCCGGGACCGACCCCAGTACGTCAATTCCCCTATTCCAAGACTCTCAGTATGCTCGAACACGCTTTCTTCCCGTGTAGATTGGCATCTCTTCTTCGAGAACACCGACTTGTCCATACGAGGTGCTTACAAAACTCGAAACGTCTTGGTCGCAAGGATGTGAGTAGATCGCAATCGCTTTTGGCACGATGGGACGCTGGTTAACGTTAACATCCGCCGGCTCTTCAATGCAGCTGCAAGAACTTGTGCCTATGTAAGGAGTTATCGTCTGTTTGAACACGTTACCACTCACTGAACCCTCCAGGGGGCTACAACACTCGTTCTCCGGACCTGCGGCGAGAAATCATGGCGTCTATCGCTGCAATCGGACTCGGTGACATCGTCCTCAGTCCCGTCGTCTCCCCGTGCGTTACCAGTTCCATCTCCGGTACCACAGAAGTCATTAGTCTGACAGCTCTTACTCAGCTACTTGTATGCGACATCTTGGAGCGGCCTCGAAAGGGCTGTGCGCGCGTCCACCACCGGATCCGACCTCGACGAGATGGTTCAGTTCTGGAACACTGCACAAGGAGTGCGCATCGACCATTTCCAGAACGTCCGCCGCATCCCTTTCCGCCGTACTGAAGACCTAGCCACCCTTCCGGAATTTGGATACCCCCTTGGACTGGAACCGAAGACACTCCCCTCAGACTCTCAGGTCGCAGCCAGTACTTCCCTCACAACACCCTCGTCAACCGCCCCAAGTTCCCATGATTCTACCGCCGCGCGGGACCAAAGCCGTACAGCGCGTGCACGGAACAACGACGTAGACGGCGAGTCGGGGCGCGCAGCTCCGGCGCAACCCCTCGAGCCTGAGCAAACCGTTGCGGACGAAGCCGAGGATGCCCCTTCCCTCTCGGAACGCGAATTCGCTGCAGCCACCATCATCGCCGACGCCTTCAAACAGTACTGGGCACGCGTCCAGAACAAGCGTGACTCCTTGCAGGAAACGAGGCACCGGATCTACATGCAGTTCCGCGAGCAGGCGCGGAAGAAGTCGTGGTCCCGCCCGCTGTGCCGCAAGCTCTTCCTCGGCCCGCTGCCGCATGCGTACTTCGCGCTTGAGTGCACGAAGAGCCACCTGAACGCGGCGATGGCAGGAACGAGGGAGAAACTCAAGAGCGTCGACCACCGGGAGCTCGAGGTTCTGCTGTCTGCCTTGGACTCTCTTGGGTAAGTCCTCCGGTAGTAGTGCCGGGTTTGTGTCCTGACCATTTTATCTCTCGTCGGACAGGAAACTGCACGAGGGCGTCTCGCGTCTGCATCAGCGGCTCGAACCTGCGGCGCGGATCTACGACAATTGCGACGTCGCGACGATCAGGACGTGCGTGCTCGACGTGGATGAGGTGGTGCGTGCCGTGTTGGCCGACAGCCAGGAGGACGTATTGGTATGGCAAGATGATTTGGGCCTTGCGAAAAGCGTTGTTGCCGGCGTGTGAGGCCTTGAGGTCTGAACTTGAGGCCTGAGTTACTTGTCGAAGGTTGAGCGCTGTGAGATGTATGACTAAATACTATATATTCTGTGTTCGTATATTGTATGTGTATGAAGAAGGTACAAGTCTCAGTAAAAACTACCTTCTAAGGTTAATATGAAGTACTATGCTCGTAATATGTGGTCAGTACTTCAAGTTCCTGAATTCAAAAGATTCCGAAGTCAAGCGGTTTTCACATCTCGATTTGGGAAGAACGCGATCACGTGCGTCGTCGCGAAGTACACCCACCCCCGCGCGACGCGTCTTAACGCGTCGCGCGATCGAAGCAAGGTTGCTCGCGGATATATAGCAATCGACGTTTGACGGGTTTAATGCTGTATTTTATTATCGTCTACAGATGCCGATCTACTTTCAGGGATCTATGTACGTCAGTAGGTGGCATGTCGATCGAGCTTCGCTCTTCCTTCACGAGGTGAAGCCGAGTAGGTTCTTTCTATGTAGAGTGTCTTGAGTGCACATATGTAATTAATAACGAAGATCGACTAGAGTCGATCGCGATCTCATGTCGCGGACCCGTATACTTAAAGACAGAAGAAGGCTTGCCTCGTTTATATACCCCCCTCCCTCCCTCCCTCTCTCGTATAGTGCGTCACTGACAACCCAAGAGTTCCACATCTTACATCCCTGTTCCTTTCAGTTAATCTGCGGCTTCTTGACGCTTCGAGGCCTCTAATCTCCCTACCTCGACTCATGCCCAAAATCACGCGCATCCTCGTACGTCGTTTGGACACCGTATCGCTGCTGATCACGCTTGCGGCATACTTGTACATCGGAGGCCTCCAATCTACGGCTAGGGAGACGTGAAGACTGCAGAGAATTGCATGCAACGACGGACGTGAAGACTGCAGATAATTGCATGCAACGACGGTCTTACGACGTAAAACCTGAACAAAACTGAGATAGAGGAACTGTACTTGAACCAGTACGGAACGCCTCGGCAAAGCCCGGTAAGCGAACGGGCGCTTGCTCCGGTCAGTCCTACATTGGTTTCATTTCGCTCTCGCCCTCATCCCTTAACTACGACGTCCAGCCGTGCAACCTCATCAACTCCAAATTCTTCACTTGCGAATACCGCAAGACATACTGTGACAGCCACGTGACAGCGACACGCTCAAGCGTAGAAGTCCTCGCAGTGTTAACGGCGGTTTGGCAATTGCCCTACCTGCTCGAGGCCTCGTTGCAGCTCGAACCTTCTTCTCCATGCGCATCGCGTGCGTGAACTGTGTTGAAAGGAGCGCCTTTGCGTTCCGTGGCTCGAATTAGCATCGCCTGCGCGGCCTTGGTATCTGTCGTCCATCATGCGCGACGCCCCAACGAAACCCCCTGCGTCGAGAGCTCGTCGCGTCATGGATGCTGTACCAGCACTGCTTGACGCGACGCTGCTGAAGGACGAGTTGGCGATCGAGAACGCTCTTAGCGCTCTTGAAAGCCACCTCGTCGATCCAGCAATCCTGGTGGAGGAGGTTATCGCGGAGCTTTCGTCTGTCGCACATTGCTTGGAATTCGTTTTGTCAGGTGCGCGATCATACCTCTCTTACAATGTCCAGCACCAACAGAATCACAGCCGTGAGCGAGCCTGCTCACGATGTTCTACGTCATGCCATCTTGCAACACTACCCCAACACCCCCAAAGAATTCCTTTCGTCTTCCGCGGCCTTGCTGCTATCCCGTTTCTCTTTGCTCCTCCTATTCTTGCCTTACCCAGATGCTTCCCAAGAGCCGCCAAATCTTAGGAGGCATCGTCAACGAGTCGAATCTGCCGTGCCTGCTCTGCAAGCCCTTTCGAAACTTCGATTCGACGATAGCCCTGCGGTCGAGGAAGCACAAGCCGATGACCTCGACGAATTCGCGGATGCATTCTTCGCCGTGAAAACGAAGGGGAAGCAGAAACGAAAGCAACCTAAGCGTACAAATCGTGCGCCTTCCATCGACACGAAGGTGTTCCTCGCCTACGGCACATGGGTACCTAGGACGAAGGAAGATGCGATCGAGGTAGGCGCCTGCATTCTCCAAGATCAAATGGGTATATTGCAGGCAAGTTTCTCAGGCACTCAACGAGGATGAAACCTTTTTCATGTTTTGAACAGGAGTACCTGGATCTGTTTCGGCTTCCTAGCATAGCTCCCTTGGTCAAAACCATGTATATTCCCAGACATCCGGCAGGCGCAGACCTGGCGGATGCTGCCATACAGCTTGCGGACCTGTCCATCGCCTCTCAGGCAGAAGAGAGCGAGACCCCTGCCGCATACCCGCTTGTGCAACCGATGAAAGCGGCGCTATACTTCGATAGCGCGGATGGCTTTGGCGAGTGGAGGGTTCTGATCTCGACGCGCGGGGATCGTGATCTCCGCCAGGCTCGCAACAAGAGCCCACAGATGTTCAAAATCATCGTCAAGAAGATCAAGTAAGTAAACGTCAAACCACTCACGCGATCGCGTTCGATGACTGTTCACTTCAGGGAGCTCTCCATGGGACAGTTCTCCGATGACAACCAGAAGCGGCTCACGGGGCTCAATGTGGAGATTCCTATATACGAGGCAAAGATGACTGGTGACACGCGACTGGTGGTATGTCCTCTTAATTGGCGATGCACATGAAGTTATTGAAGGATGCGAATTTAGTATCAAGTCGATTGCATTCCGGAGTTTGAGAGCGATGTGCGTAGTCTTGACTTCTACGTTCGGACTGGGCTGGTTGCTTATACCTGTCAACGGCATTCTAGGTCGAACGACAAGGTTTGGAACGCTACAACATTCGTACATTGCATTATCCCAACATCTCTGCGCCTTTTCAGTCCTCAAGATCTTCGGCATATACACGCACGCACAGCTCGATCGTAGATTCTGGGACTGCATGAGTCAACAGCTGGAGCGTAAGGGCGCAGAGTACAAGAAACGGTCAGTATGACCGGCCCTATCTTTAATGCTGGAAAATTAAAGGCAACCGCAGATGCACGTTCCGCAATAAGCCCAAGGCACCGGGAGACTACGTTGTACTCCCAGCATCATGGCCGCCGCCCGCGGAGCCCGTTGCACTAGAGCCTGCCTCTGCCTTTTCCGATCTGAGGAAGGAGGACCTGGAAGAGGTGAGTTCCTAGACTATACGCGAAGCCTTTCTCACGTATATGCACCCGTAGCTTCACTCTCTCCTTGTGTAGGTGTATCTTGTAGTCGCGACTGTTGACGTGTCCTGACCGCTTATTCACAGCTTGGAGAAGTTTGTCACGTTTTCACAGGTATGCTCATATCTTTGTAACGTTCTTGCCATTTGCTGACAGACTTTTAGGCGCTTTTGAATAGTAAGGAGTGCACGCAAAGACTTCCGCAGCACTGCTGATATGGTCTCAGGTATTTTGGCGGACCAGGATGTCGCCCATGTCTTCGATGTTTCGTAAGACGCTCCTTAGCAGCTTACAAACCGGACACACCACTAACTTGGCCTGCATAGCCCCCATGAGAAGAAGATCATCGAGCACCCGTCCTCGTGCTACGTTTTGGGACGGAGTGGCACGGGGTACGCACTCAGCGACACACCTCCTGCAGCGTGTTGACGTGTATGACTACAGGAAAACGACTACGATGCTATTCAAGATGCTCGGCATCGAGCGTTCGTGGGAGAGCTACCGCGAGACGATGCCGAAGCCTCGCCAGCTCTTCGTCACGCAATCGCGCGTCCTCGCCGAGAAGGTGGAGGAGTACTTCACGAAGCTTCTCGAGTCGCTGGCAACCGCAAACCAGTCGCCGAAGGAGCTTGCGAGTCTCGCGACGCGGAAGAAGGACCAACAGCAGCAGGGCCTCGTCGATCGCGACGAGGAGATCTACTGGCGTGGAGATTTGCCGAAACGTTATGGCGCGCTCAAGGAGGAGCATTTCCCTATGTTCCTGACGTATGACCATGTTAGTAAGCTCCCCTATCATTGTTATGCATGCACTGACCGCGTCGGGGAGCAGATTTGCCGTCTGCTCGAGGCTGAGTTTCACTATTCCGACTTCGAGAAGCGCAAGGCCGCGGCTGTCTCGAAAGCAATGGAAGACGTCCTAGAGCTGCGAGATCCCGAAGCGCCTGATGGTACCCTGTCCAATGACTACATGCAGCAACGCCGTGCCTCGTTTGTATCCTTTGGGACGTTCCAGGAAGAGTACTGGTCCCATTTTCCGCAGACACTGACGAAGGGCCTGGGTCAGTATCATCGCCACCTTTGAAAATGTCGCCGCTGATAAAAAGTCATGTCATAGATCCCACTCTAGTATTCGGCGAATTCATGGGTATGTTTTTCCCGAACATCTATCCCCATTCGTGGTCCTCATACAGAAGACAGGTGTGATCAAGGGCTCGGAGCAAGCGTTGAGCCACTCAGAGGGCTATCTGGACAAGATCGCTTACTGCAAGCTGAGCCATCGCACGCAGGCGACGTTTGCTAACCAGCGCGAGAACATCTACAAGCTCTTCCAGGCGTATCTGAAGAGGAAGAAAGAGCGTGGTGATTACGATGCGGCGGATCGGTATGTCTCATTGCGTCCCATCGATCTGGCCAACTTGTTCAGGCTGTATGCAGAACGCACGCGCTCATCAATTGCCTGAAGGCTATGGGTGTACCTGGCGAGGAAGTAGACTTCATGTAAGCTAGCAGCATGTCAGGCTTCCCCAGATGCTCACCGTTATACATAGGTACGTTGATGAAGCGCAAGACAACCTCCTGATCGACGCCGTTGGTGAGTCTATCACGGCATGTGATGCGAATTGCGGCTTATCCGTCGCGTGCAGTGCTACGAACACTGTGCCGTAATCCTCATGGTATGTTCTGGGCCGGAGACACGGCACAGACCATCTCGGTCGGCAGTGCCTTCAGATTCAACGACCTCAAGGCTTTCTTGTACCGGTACGAGGAGGCCAGTATCTCGCATCGCTATCTTCCCAGGCGAGCATGATTCTTACCCGGTACATGATAGGCAACCGCGGGTGGCGACGCCCACAAACGTACCCAACCCGAGTCTTTCCACCTCGCAGTCAACTACCGATCCCATGCAGGCATCGTCGACTGCGCGTACTCCGTCATCGAGCTCATCACAGAGTTCTGGCCCCATGCAATCGATGCCCTTGGACGAGAGACGGGCATGATCGGAGGGCTGAAGCCCGTCTTCTTCAGCGGATGGGACCAGAACACCGTTCGATACGAGCAATTCTTGTTTGGAGAGTCGTGAGTGAACTATTTCGACATTCTGTTTTCGATGCTCATCAGCATCATTTGTACAGTGGAAGTCACATCGAATTCGGGGCACAGCAATGTGAATTCGAACTCCCAATGTAACGCGTAGGCAGGTCTAACCTGTGATTACAGGTATTCTCGTTCGCGACGAGGCTGCTCGTGAGAGGCTACGAGCGCAAGTAGGAGATATCGGCTTGATCCTGTATGTATTATCGCCTACGCTCCGAGATGTCTCTGATTGAAACCTGACCCAGGACGCTCTACGAGAGCAAAGGTCTCGAGTTCAATGATGTAAGCGGATGCAAAGACCACAAGATGACACCGCTGATTCGCGTCCACTAGGTCCTCTTGTTCAACTTCTTCGAAGACTCCACGGTCGATCTTTCGCAGTGGCGAGTCGTGCTCAATGCATTGGACCCGAATCAACGAGCGAATCATCCTGCGCCGCGTTTCGACGACGCGCGCCACAGCGGAGTATGTCGCGAGGTACGCTCAAGTAGTCCCCAACTGTTACCGCACAGTTATCGACCGTTACTATAGCTCAAATTCCTGTATGTGGCGATCACGAGGGCTCGCAAGAACCTATGGATCGCAGACTGCTCGGAGAAGTGTGAGCCCATGCGGGTAAGCAGACATCACTTCATCGCCTGATGTACGTTGCTCACTATTTCCAGGTCTTATGGACGCACAAGGACCTGATCGAGAACTGCGATCCGGGTACCGACGTTCCTCGACTTGCTATGTCGTCGACCGAGGAGGACTGGGCGAAGATGGCGCTCGAGCTCTTCAACAACCGCCGTTACATGCAGGCCATGCATTGCTACGAACGCGCCGGCCGTGCACGGGAGAAGGCGGTGGCGAACGCGTACTACTTGCGAGAGGTCGCGAGGTCTACTTCCGTCAGCAAGGGCGACGCAGCAGCTCGGACGGCCGCTTACGTCGCCGCGGCGGTGGCGTTTTCTGCATCCGCGCAAGAGGCCGTCACCGAGAAGCGAGCGTACTACCGTATTGCCGCCGAGTCCTACATCCAAATCGGCGACGACCACAAGGGCGCTCAGGCTTACGTTAGTGCTGGGGAGTACAAGCTCGCCGCTCAGCATTTCAGGAAAGCAGGCAAGTTCGACGAAGCGGTCGAGATCGTCAAAGTACACTGGGACGAGGTGCCGGAGGGCGTGGTGGAGAGCATCTTGGAAGTCTCTCGCTTATATTATCTGAGAGAGAACAGCATCAAGTACGTTATTCTGTATTTCGGCTCTCCCTATACTAATCTTTGAACTCTATAGGAAAGCGAGAGACCTCTTCGATACGGATGAAGAACTTCTGGAGTACATGGATGACTATGGTCTTGATGTAGTGCGCGCATCGTTCCTGGAACAGCTGGAGAGATACGGCGACGCTGCCGACGTCCACCTCGCGGAAGGAAACACGTTGGAGGCTATACGGCTGCTAACGCTGGATCGACACAACATGCAATCGATCAAGAAGGCGACCCACTGTCTACTTGACGGTCTATGGAGCCGTCTTCCCTGCGGCACAACTGTCAGCGACGAGCTGCTTCAGAGCGACGAGATCTTAGCAAGACTACTTCGCCTTTCCAACAGTCTCAGCGATCTCAATGCGGATGGAGACTTGCATGACGAGGTACCGTGGTGCAATTCACTCTGTTACATGTTCTGATCGTCTCTGGTAGGTATCCATGTTCCGTGCGATCGCGAAACGCGACTTTGTAGGACTGGAAGCCCTGGGGAAAGCGTTCGCGTCGCGAGGAAACCAAGCCGCTGCCTTTCTCTCTTTCGACCATCTCTTCTCCGTCCCCTTGAAGCTTCAAACTTCTCCACTGTCAGAAGTCACCAACAAACTGCACACGTTCTTCGAGTATGCGCGTTTTCTCCAAAAGTTCGGTATGGACGCACACGTTTGCGACAACGAGACCGTCCGTAAGGTCTTCGCGATTCGTGCATCTGGCGAAGAACTATTCGTCCTGCCAAAGGACTCGTTCTTGGGATCCCAAGCCAGTATCCGAATCACACCCAGCGCACAGATCACCGACTTGGGGCTCTCTATTCCTCGCGGAGAGCTAGAACGACTTCTCAAGCACGTCCTCAACAACTTACTCCTCCGTCGCGTCAACCAAGAAAATAGCACACTCCGCGTACTCCGTCGCCTCCAACCATGTTTGACCTACGCAGTCCTTCAACAGTGCAACCGTATCGAATGTCCTCGCCATCATGATGACTTCGAGCATTATGGAGCAGCAGTCTACAACAACCGCATCAGGGTCATCATGCAGCAAATGCTGATCTATCAAGTACTTCGCGTGGTGGAAAACTCTCGCGACCAAGCTGAACAGAGGTACTGAACACCCGCGTTTGTTTAACCTAGCCACATCGCTTACAAGATTGATACTGCAGGCGCCACTGGCTCGAGCAACTGTACGACGCACTCTTTCCGGCATACTACAAGCTGGGATCTTTCCACGTTCTCGATCCGAGCATGATTCCGGAGCTGGGCTCAGCATTGCAAGTTGCGCAGGTGTGGGTCCGTGACATGATCTACAGCATCAACCCTCCCGGCCGTGCGAGGGGCGCCATGGTCTTCCTAACGGTCGTGATGAGGGCAATCCGACTCTCCCTAGCCTGCGACACGCAGGCCGCTGGTGATTACCTACCACGTGTTCCATGCGTAGCGCTGCATAGGCTGGAGCAGCTCCTTAGGCGACCGGAACAGGCATACATCGTGCAAGACTTTTTGGGGCTCATGCAGAATAGAGAAGCAAACGCGCTGAACAGAGGGATTTTGTTTCTGAAGTACGTACATGTTCGCTCTCCGTTGCCATCATCACCTAACACGCACGACTCAGTCACGTCTTGGATAACAAGGTTCCCGTTGACGTTGCTGCACTGTGTGACTTCATGGAGCATCTCTGCGGCTCCTTCCTTGTCGCATCGCGGCTGCAGAAGCTAGGAACGCTACACGATCTAACCTTACCCAAAAGTTGGATGATGCATCTCATTCCGGCTATGGAGTCCCTGCGATCTCGGGATATAGAACTGTCTTGGTTGTTCCACAAGCATATGGGCAGCCTTCTGGAGCAGATATACTCCGGTGCTTGTAAGTATAAACGGCCGCCTGCTAAGCAGCGATGAACTGATCATGTAACACAGCGTGGCTCCTCTTCGATGGCCGCGAACTTGGATATCTGATCAGGAATATCTTCTTTGCTAGAGTGTGAGTCATTCCTTCTAGCCTTGTGAAGTAAAGACGTCTTATTCAGGCTTATACAGGTGCTCAATATTTTGCCTTTGTAAGTTCATGATGTTCGCTCATGCCGTAGGTCAGACCGGGTTCTGATAATACTCTTTATCAGGGGGTTACAACCTCCGTTCTTGGCAGCTGCGTAACGATATCCACCGAGCGATTTCCTTATTGCGAAGGTCCGATAGGAAGCCTCATCCCCTTGTCGAAAGGTAGGCCCTGATTGAACTCATTAATGCACTGCATTTACTGAAATACATACATGCATGAAGGTATATCAACGCTCGCAGCTGGGAACCCCTTACACGCGTGGTTCGCAGTTCTGCCACTGGAACCACGCTAGATGAGATGATCCAGATCCACCATGGGTCCCGCCCAGTTCCAAAGTCATCAGTGCCGAACGTACGACGCGTGGTTTATAACCGATTGGAGGACATTCCATGGCTTCTGAAGACCGGCGGCTCCAGCGTACCCGTCGCCAGCTTACGAGCGGAGGCCGCACCCTTCATACCAACACGCGCCAGCGCAGACGCAGTGCAAGAAACAGGAGATGATGCGGACGACGCAGCTGAAGATGGCGCGCTCGAAGACATGGCTGAGGACGATGTCCAGCAGGTGGTCGACATGGACAACATCGCACAGGCCATCGACGCCGAACAAGCGAACTCTGCTCCAATCGCGCCAAGCGCCGAGGAGATCGCTGCGGCACAGGCGATTTCAGAGGCGTACCGGCAGCATATGGCGCGGGCCCTTTTGCGCAAGACAACGGCGAAGGAAGAGAAGCGACGGCGGGTGTTCGCTGCGTTCGCCGATGCGGCGCAGAGCATGGACTGGCCACACGCGTATTACCGTCTCCTTTTCCTCGGCCCCATCCCTCACCTCTTCATCGTAACGGAGGTACTCAAGGGTCATCTCTACGAGGCAAAGAACAACGCAAAGAAGCGGCTAAACTTCGTCATGCACCTGGAACTAGAGAACATGCAATCGACGCTGACCCAGACGATGTACGTGCATTACCGTTCTTTCATATCTTTTCATTTCTGTCAGCTTCACTGACATCTATGGCAACGTCTTAGCCGGCTCATCAAGGAAGTCGAGAAGTTGTACAAGGTCCTCGGTCCCGGTGCGGACGTGCACAAGGCGCGCGACTTGAAGACACTTGAGGAGTACACGCTGCAAGTCGAGGCACTCCTTCGTAGCCTTCCGAGCTCCGTCTGGGACAAGTGCGGGGAGGACATGAAGATCGCGCTGACGGGGATCGTCGAGAAGAAGAAGCCACCGAAACGCGAACCCAAGCCGGAGCTGAATATGGAAGACGATATCGATTACGACTCAGTCGCGATGGACGTGGACATCTTCTCGGACGAAGCGATGGATGTGGACTCGACTTGATCATGGTGTTTCGGTTTGTGTGTTAGGAGAAGAGCGTCCCGGAATGAATGAAGAGCATGTTAGCGTACCGTGTACAGTATCATCATCAAAGATCTAGCTAAAGTACTTCACGCTTGTGAATCCACCCGTTTTTCCAGACTGGTATGGGCCTGTTAGAACGGTATCAGTACCTAAACGCTTGTTGGACGCCTATGAGTAGGCATGTCCAGTGGATACCTGACATTAGCGAATTGGCAGCGAAGCACAATAATCAGAGCAGTGAGTTGGGAGGAAGTACATTCAGTCCATCACAGATTACAAAAGCGCTGTAGTCGTACACGTATCGGACATCGCGAGTAAATGGTACATATCGCGCCGCAAAGCCCCAAGAGATTCCGAACCGCACAAGCCAATACTATACAAACGTACAACTTCCGGTCCGCCTATCACCCCTCGAGGAACTCCTTGCGCACGTCCGCGAACGCCGCCGCACCTGCGCCCAGCTGGCCTAGACGCGTCACGCACGCACTCGCCTGGCGGTACAGCGTCTCCAGTGCGGGATGCGCTGGTCGGCCTTGGGATTCTACGAATTACAGGATACGATTAGGAAGAATGTCAGTCACTAGAGTAAAAGACACATACCAAGTATAGCTTGGTTGACTTCAGCAGCGAGCGCGTCGCGCGCAGCCTGCCCCGCCATCTCCGCCACCTCACCTCCCGCAGCGATCGGGTCGTCGTACGCGACAACGCCAAATGTGCGGCGCAGGTGCGCGCGCACGCCCGGCCGCAGATCGCTCTTGTAGTCCGCCTCCAGCGTCTGTCCGTAGCTCAGCGCAGTGTGCAGCGCATTCTTCGCAGTTGCCGCCAGCGCCGCGTGCGCAGTTTGTACGGGGGTCGAGGCGATCGGGGATGCGAGAGGCACGGAGACAACCGAAGCCGACGTGGAGACCGTGGGCGTAGACGAGGACGGGGTGTTATGGGCCTCGGGCGATGGGTCGTCCACATCCATCGCGCCCATTCCATCCATCTCTCCCACGGCTCCATCTCCCGCGCCGTCGAGGATTGAATTGTCAGCGAGCGCAGGATCCTTGGCGCGCGCGAGGGCCGCTTCGCGTTCTGCCTCCTTGACCTTGCGGAGCGCCTCGCCAGCATCCAGAACGAGTTCGACGAACTTGCGACAACGCAAGCGGAAGAGGACAAGTCCCTGTTCGCGCTCGAGCACGGTAGAGTGGTCGACGCGAATCAAAGTCAGCGCGGTGTCAATGTCGCCGCGGATGATCGCGTTCGTAATGGACAATCGTGTGTTGAGGTCGTAATCGAGGCCGAATTCGGAGTCGCGCTTGACGCTCGTCTTGGGGCGCGCTGAACTGCCTGCCGCAGGAGTCTCGTCAGTCTCCATCATGGCTGCGTCCTCATCCTCTGGTTCAGTCTTTGTCTGTACTTGCTCTGTTGCAGAAGCCGCCTGCGACCGCTCCGTACATTGCTTCTGGAACGCACGTGCGGTCCGTGCGTACCCGTGGTGGGCCAGATACGCCAACACGAGCTTCCGAAGGGGTGCCTTGCTCTCTTCATCTTCGACCGTAGCCGTGGCCGCGACCTTGGTGTCCTCCATCTTACGTTCCTCCGCCTTGCGCGACCCAAGCCCCAACAAGCTCCAGTCGACAGGGCTGGTCATAATGTCATCCCACACATGGTCGCGCTGCGCGCGGACGTGCTCCTCGATGGCGAATCGGAACTGCGTGTTGCCAAAATTGGCGCGTATAGACTCGTTGGTCTGCCTCATGCCGATGCACGGGTATATGTCGGTCGTCTTCCCAACGTTCTCGAAGACCATACCTACATCAGCGTCAATAATGAAGGCGTCACAGAAAGGCTATTTCCAGGAACCGCACCGAGGAAGCTGCCGTTCTTCGTGTAGAACACGCGGTTTTGACTGAAGTCGACCCCGCAGCCAATCACATCGCCGGCTGTGGGGCAGTATGAGGATCGTCGCACACGTAAGAGGAATCTGTATGCGCACTGTCAAAAGTCGGGCCGTATGGGCTTCCATCTTTGTGTCCGGGGAAGGCCCAGCCATCGTCAGCGTGGTATCCCCAGCTGTTCCTCTCCCATCCGGGTAGACGTGATAGTCGTACGTCGGGGGCGGAGAACCTAGCAGGCATAAGTGTGACTTCAGGCAATGCACTTCCACTGAACGCACCCGATGCTAATGGGCCTGTGACGTAGAAGCGTAAGCGACACGGACATTTTACGGAGGGAAGCAGACCCACCCCTTCGGACACTTGTGCACAATCTCGACCTCGTAGTAGTAGATCCCACATGCCGGAGGAATCGGGTGGTTGGCCCGAGCAGCACTGGACTCTCGATCGCCCATGCACGATGGTCCGGTAAAGGTCAGCTCGCGCCCATCTAGCGAAACGCTAAGGGAAGGCGTACGATCCTGTTCACTCCAGCGTGTAGGGAGCATCAGGACAGTGTTTGTGCTGAGTACAGTCACCGCGCCAAGAGTAGCAGGTTGCGGTGGGGGTGGCGTAGCAAGACTCTCGTCATCACTGTCTCCAACCGGGGAGAGTTCGCGGCGGATGTAGGGGTACGGTATAGCTGGAGGCGCAGGGCTCGCACTTGACCGCGCATCGCTTGAGGCTACTGAATATGCTGCCGATCGTGCGACCGGTACCAGCGGAGATGGCGCGGGCTCTGTATGAAGCATCTCACGCAGAGACGAGTAGTCCAGATATTCCGGCCGTGGGAAGCCTTGGGATGTGGGGGCACCCCCATGAGTAGCAATGGGGATTGAACGCTGAGACAGAGAACTAGAGCTGACAGCGCTTTGGGAGCGTATTCCAGCACTGAGCCGTCTAGGGCGTACAGGAGACGTCGACGGAGAATAAGGCGCGTTGCATGACGGGTCACGGGATGGTGTGGGTGAGGTTGTCGCACGGATGATCCGGGGCTCGAAGACAGGGAGAGCGGATTGTGCGGGGCCAGTCGGCCGACCTCGGGGGACCATGTTGAGGGCAGAAGAGTAAGTGGCAGAGACAGACCGTGACATCGGCGGAGCAACGCGCCCAGGGCTGAAGCTTGTAGCGGTGGTAGCTGAGCTCAGACGGGGTCGAGGAGCAGGTGTCGGGCTGAACGACAATGGTATAACATTCTCGAGACTGCGTGCCGTAGAGCTAGCAGGGATGGGTATGCTGGCGGAGCGGGACTGCCGGGTTGACATGTTGGACGACGGAGTGGTGGTTGTCTAGAGCACAGTTCAAGTGATTACGGACCTTGTTGGCACAGTCCTGAACCTCTCTAAGCAACAGGAGAACGTACAGTGGCCTATGTCCGCGCAGACGCTTGCTGCGGACGGAGAGCTCCGGAGTATTCGGATAATCGGAGGCAGAGTTGATCGAGTGCCCTATGACGGCGAGAGGGTGCTCTCAGAAAGCTCCTAGTGTAAATAGCGGCTGAGGGGAGAGGGAGGAAGAGGGAGTGGGGGAGATGATGGTGGTATGGAAGGAAGCCACCGAGTGGGGGGAGACTTCGAGTCTCGGCCGCTCAAGTGACTCTGTCTCCTGACCACCATCTTCTCTACTCTTCGCTGCGCATACATCCTATTCTATGACATCGCAACAACCTCAACGACCTTGTTGTCTACGAGCAAATGGCTCGGCCTGCACTGTATCTATATAGGTGCCTCGGGTTACTTGGGACGGCTCAGCGCTTCAGCGGCTGAAAGGCTAAACTGCGCCGTGCGGCATGCTTGCGTGCTCATTTCTCATGCAGACTTCTTACTTTCTCATGGAAGGTGTACCTAACATTTGCTCACGTTCACCGCGACGTTGCGAAGGACGTTTACGATGAATGGCCGAGGACCGTGCCCTCATGCCTAAGAGCTAAGGGGCTGAGCATGAGCAGCCATTTTCCATACGTCATTGCAGATAATTTAATAGTGCATCAGTGGTGCGCCGTGCTTTAAAATCTATTCCCTCAATTTCTGCTCTGCGTTCTGCCTTGCACAAATGTATATTTGTACGCAGCGCTCTTGGTATGAGATCGGGACTAGACCATCATCCTGGAAGATGCTACTTCCTTAAAAGGAAGGCCAATTGTGAGCGTTGTGGCGCGAGCGCGCAAGGAGGACGAGTTCGTGAGATGCATGATGCTCATGTTGGACACCTTGCCTCTGTTCGTTCTGCGCTCTGCTCGCGCCCCCTCCCTCAAACATGGATGTGGATGAACCCGAGGTCACCTACCTGCCCCAGCAGCCCCTGCCGAGGGTACAGGTTCCTGCATTCTACGACGCGCACCGCGAGAAGCACACCCCGCTATGCATCGACAACGGCTCGACGCACCTTCGGTTCGGGTTCTGCACATCCGAGAGTCCACGCATGGGCGTGAACATGATCGCGAAGTACAAGGAGCGCAAGACAAATAAGCCTCTACTGCTATTCGGTGACGGCATTGATATCGAGGGCGGAGCCCGCTCGCAGGCGCGAACACCATGGGAGGGAGACGTGTTGCTCAACTTCGACGCGCTGGTACGTGCAATGTGTATGCTACTATACAATTGAGCAGAAATGAACGGCAAACTATGCAGGAGAACGCGTTGGACTACGCGTTCATTCAGCTTGGAATTGACACCCCAACTGTAGACCATCCTGTCCTCATGACGGAGCGGCTGGCTTCCCCGCTACACTCAAGAGCATGTGAGCATACGTACCGCGAAAAATCATCACGGAGAATTACTGATAGGCCCGTGCAGTGACCTCTGAACTCATGTTCGAGCAATACTCCGTCCCCTCCCTCGCGTTCTGCGTCGACTCGGTCATGTCGTTCTACCATAACAAGCTCCCGTCTCCACCCGTCCCCTTCCATTCCGACGGACTCGTAGTCTCTTTCAACACCGCGTCCACGTCCGTCATACCCGTATTAGATGGCAAGGGCCTCATGAACCATGCAAAACGGTAAGCAACGCTACTGCAGTGGCTGGGAATGAAGGCCGACTGGTACCGTAGAATACCCTGGGGCGCATCGCAAGCGACAGACTACCTTCAAAAGCTGATCCAACTCAAGTACCCCACCTTCCCGAACAGGGTTACCCCCATCCAGACCAACGTACATCGTCTATTTCGAGACTCTACCACTTGTCGCTGACATGCCTTCAGTGGATGCTGCACAACTTCTGCGAGTTCGCAACCGACTACACCGCGCTTCTGCGGCAGCTCAAAGACCCGTTGGAGATGCGCGGTGCGGACCGCATCATCCAGTTCCCGTACACTCTTCCCGTCGTCGAGGAGAAGACGGAGGAGGAGCTCGCACGAATCGCGGAACGCAAGAAGGAACAGGGCCGCAAGTTACAGGAGCTCGCTGCCAAGTCTCGCATGGAGAAGGTACTCTACTCTCGTCGATGCCTGACTGAATAATTGTTGACATTGTTTATATATAGCTTTTGCAGAAGGAGAACGACCTTGTGCGCCTGCAAAGCGTTCGGGAGCGGCGAGAAGAGGAGAGCAAGCGCGAATGGGCAGTAAGTGCGGGAAAACGTACTGAGGAGCTGCCGTTGATGGCTCTGATTAGGACACTCTAAAAGAAGAGGGCTTCCCGAACGACGCTGCATTAGAGGCCACGATCAAGAAGCTGGAGGCAGACCTCAAGAAGGCGCGCAAAAAGGAGGCAGACGGGGAGAACGAAGAGGTACGTAGCGCAAGAGCATACCCACAACACCATTTTAATCATGAAGCGGTTTCCTGTTAGCCCGATTTACCCCCTTCCTTCCCTCTCGTGGATGTCCCAGATGAAGATGTGAGTGGCGGATAAGTGGATACGCCAATCGCAATGCTAACAAGGGTGCAGCTCGACGAGGACGGCCTGAAAGAGAAGAAGAAGCAGAAACTCCTGAAGGCGGGGCACGACGCGCGCGAACGAGCAAAGCGCGAGAAGGAGCGCGAGCGCGAAGAGCGCGAGGCAGAGGAGAAGCGCGAAGTCGAGGAGCGCGACCGCGACCTTTCCGGGTGGGCGTCCCGGATGCGCAAGGAGCAGGAGGTGCGTTGTTGCGCCTGCGATGCTAGACTTGGGGGTGGGCAGGGCTGAACGCAGTGGGTCGCGGTAGACGATCATGACGCGCATCAAGGAGCGTAACAGGCGCAAGGCGGCGTTGAACGACAGGAAGAGCGCAGCGTCGCAGGCGCGGATGAAGAGCATCGCGAACCTGGCGGCGGACGACCGGGTCCCGAAGAAACGGCGCAAGGCGGGCGGAGGTACGCCTGCACAATAATTCGCATACCTGTGGTGGTTTGATGATGCACGCACCAGAGGACATGTTTGGTGCGGATGATGCTGACTGGGCCATTTACCGAAAGATCGTATGTATCGCAACGTGTCACATGCATTTCTACGCTGACAGAACCACACGATAGAACAATGCTGCCGCATCGTCCGATGAGGAGGAAGACTTCGCGACCCTTCAGTCGCTCGAGCAGAAACTGCTAGCCTACGACCCGACGTTCACCGAGGAGCACACGCACGCGTCGCTAACCTCACAGCGGTCCGCGCTCATGTCCGCCTTCCGCCCACAGTACGAGGAAGGCGACGTCAAGGGTCAGTATTGGTCCCCACCGTCCTAGACTCCGTCCACCACGCTGATAGCACCATGGCGACGGCAGGCAAGACACGCATCCACGTTAACGTCGAGCGTTGGCGCGTGTGCGAGGCGTGGTTCTCGCCGAGCATGGCAGGCATCGACTCTGCAGGGCTCGGCGAGGTCCTGCAGAACGTCCTCGCGCGCTTCTCCGACCAGGAGAAGGGCCGGCTCGTCCAGGTGCGTCTCCCCTCTCATCCACCTGCCTGCCACCTCACTCATTGACCCTTTCATGACCCGCAGAACGTGTTCCTCACTGGCGGCCCCTCGCAGCTCCCGAACCTCATCCCGCGACTGCACGCGACGCTGCGCCCGATCCTGCCGCCAGAGATGCCGCTGGACATCGTACGCGCGGCAGACCCGACGAGCGACGCGTGGCGCGGGATGGCGGACTTTGCGAAGACGGACGAGTTCGCGCGCGTCGGCGTCACGAAGGCCGAATACGAGGAGTGGGGCGGGGAGCGCATCAAGCGGTGGTGGGGCGGGAACTGGAACGCGTCCGTGCCCCTGTAGCGGATCCCGGGCCTGCAGCCCGAACCCAAGCTCAAAACTTGGCGCGTTGGTGACTGCGTGGGGGAATCTGTTGTGAACATTTCTTGTCTTGCACACATGCACAGATCCGTGTTGTACGTATATCATCACATCCTGTCCTGTATAAATATGTAGATTGCTGGAGAGAGACGCCTCCCGCGCCCGCCGGGCGCGCGGGGGCCAGCCGGAGCAACCGGGAATGAGACACTTCTGACAGCGGGGACATGTGTACACTAATACAGATGCATGTGTTCGGAGGCAGCGTGCGAGAAGGGCTGGGGCGGGCGGCGGGGTGGAGCGGAGCGGGGTGGTCTATCGCTGTCTAACAGCACCCGCCCGCGGCCTGGGAGGCGGGCTGGTTCACCTTGACAGAGTCTGCGCCGGGTTGGCCAGGGGCTGCACCAGCATTGTCTGCTTGCGAGTCGATGAGGCGGGTCTTGATGTCTCTGCGGAGCAGGCGCGCGACACCGGGTCAGCGGGGAAACATCGAGGCAATGACGGAGGGCCGGGACGGGGGAATGGAGCAATAGGCAACAACACTAACCTTGCGAGAGTGAAGAATGCCTCCTCAACACCCTCGTTGATCTTCGCGGACGTCTCCATGAACTTGATGCCGAGCTCATTGGCGAGCTCGCGGCCCTGCTCCTCCGTAACGGCACGCTTCTCGGACCAGTCGGACTTGTTGCCGATGAGGATCTTGTTTACACCCTCAGACGCATGCTGCTCGATGTTCGCGTGCCATGTACGGATGTCTTGGGGGTGAGATAGTCATTTAGTGAGCGGTAGCGGGGTGGATATAGCAGAGAGACGCACTGTTGAATGACCGCTCGTCCGTGACGTCGTACACGAGGAGGATACCCATAGCGCCGCGATAGTAGGCCGTGGTGATGGTGCGGAAACGTTCCTGGCCAGCAGTATCCCACTATCGGCGTAAAGGGGTCCCACATACACGGTGAGTACGACGTGCATGTGCATACGAGCGGTGTACGGGGCGGATACGCACAATTTGGAGCTTGATGCGCTTCCCGTCGAGCTCAATTGTCCGAATCTTGAAGTCGATGCCAATGGTGGTGATGAAGGAGGGCGTCCATGCATCGTCGCAGAACCGCAGAAGCAGACAAGACTTGCCGACACCTGTGTTTAGGATGCGTGTTGAGCACCGTGCACCTTGCTGATTGCTAGAGGCGACAATGTACCTGAGTCGCCAATGAGGAGGAGCTGGAGTGATGCTATTAGCACCCGCGCGGCCGATGTCTCTCAGTGACGCACCTTGATCAAGAAGTCATAATGAGGAGGCGGCATGATCTACAAGTTTGAGGGGTGAAAACAAGGTCGTCGACGCGGACACGGCTGCTGCGGAAGGAACGTACGATGGAGGGAAGAGGAGGGGGGGGCGAGGTGGCGGGAGGAGGAGCTGCGCCAGTAACGGCAACCATCTCATACAGCCCGCCACGTGGGCATCCCAGTGTGGAAGCTGTCCAGGAACAACTGGGCGAATCGCTAAGTCTTGCTCGCGTATCCCACATCTTCCTCTCCTAAATTCTCCAATTCTGAGGGCTCGACGACGAGGCCATATTTGCCAAGGCCAATGGTCGAGGAAATTCCGGACGCTGCGAACAGTTCCAAGTCCATCGAATTTGCGGGGATAACCCACGGATCGGATAATTTAGAGTTTCCTGTATTGGTAAGCGCCGCCGGAGGGACCGGGGCATTGACGCAAACTTGTAGCAGCTCACCGCCACCGACCTCGTTCTGGCCACCGACCACGACCTCCTCAGCGATGAGCTCGTCCTCGACGCCCTTCGCGTCCTCCTCGGATCGATCCTTCTTCTCAAAGTCCAAATACCCCACCACCGGCTCGTCCACTGTCGTCACCACGCGCGTGGTAGCCGTCCCGCGTTCTTCAGACCCCCGTGCAGGTGCTCCGGCAATCAAGGTCACCACTGCTCGCCCTACCCCTTCATCCTCCACAAAGCCCTTGCAAGATGGTGATGTCCTCAAGAGAAAGAATGAAGAAACCCTCTTGCATACGGTACACAAGAAACGACGCGTGACACCCGAGTCCTCACGCGGGGAGAGCCCGAGGGAATCCCAGCCCCGGGCGCGTGCATCCAGTGCTGCATCTTCATCCAGAATGTCTTCCTCGAGTCGACAAACCTCCGCTGCGCCTTCGCCACTCGCGAACGAGATGCTGTCTACCCCAAGTACGCGGGCCACGTCCGTGGCCAGTCCAGCTCCACCCCCTAACGCCGCACGCGACTGCTGGATTGACGGGGATGGGAAACCAGGCCCGGGGTTCTTGAGTTCGGAGTCTGTAGTGCAGAGTCTCATGAAGGGCTACAAGGCTTGTGAGTCCTCATAATTTTACCTGAATGTTCTATGGAGGGTCCATGTTCGCATCGGTGAACTCCTTGTGGCGTGCACTTTGTGGGTGTATGCACGCGACTGTGGGCTCCAGACCCCTAAAATGGGGCATACAACTCGAACTCTTCTGGACCCCTAAAAATGTGAGGTGCTTATATGCGCATAGATTTCTCAAATCCTCTCAACCCGGATGACCTGTCGTTCGACCCTCATCCTACTTTATACCCCTACGCCACACTGGAATATCCGAATACCGGCGCTAGCGAGAGGTACGCCCATGTGCCACATCGAATGACCATGTCGATCTCACTACCAGTCAGATTTATTCTGCTTGCTCCGAAGGACAAGGATCACTACAACCCCATCATGTGTTTAGAGAGTAGCTTGCATGTAATCATAGAATGTAAGTAATCTGACATTTGTGCCTGTAACTCCGCCACTCACATCTCTTCTGCAGATTATCTGACCCCTGCACAGCGTACACTCTTCGGCACACTCCCTACAAAGGACCTTTCCGATGAAGACCTGTACGAATCCGAATTCCCGCCCCCCGCCTCTCATGCGCCGTCTCCTCCAACATCTATACCCTCTCCCTCATCGGATTCATCTGCAACTACCTCCTCTTCTCAATCATCGCAGTGCTCGTTCAGCTCGTTCTCGTCAGACTCTTCGGCCTCATCTCTGTCGTCGCTATCTTGCATCTCTGCTCTCTCCTCATACGCTACACGGCGCACACCATCCAGCTCCCCAAGTGTGGACTACCTTCGCCTCTTGCAGCGCGCAATACACAAACACGATGGACCCTTGTTCCTCAAAGTCATGGACGCAATTAACGCGCTACTGGCCCTTTTCAAGTACCCGCCACTCCCCGACGATCCGTGGGAGCCCGCGCCCCCAAACCAGCTTCGCAGTGCGGTCATCTCGTGGACGGAGATGCCACAAGACGTCGTGCAACGCGTAATCGACGAGACGTACCAGCGCGCGGTCGGACCGCACGTACACAAACTCACCCGCTACGAGGCGTTCTCGTCCGAGGTGTACGGCGAACTAATGCCAACGTTCGTGTCTGACATCGTGCACGCGACGGGTCTCCGCGAGGGCATGCTCTTCCTCGACCTCGGCGCGGGCGTCGGGAATGTCGTGCTCCAGGCGGCGCTTGAGACGGGGTGCAGAGCGTACGGCGTCGAGATCATGCCGGAGCCCGCGAAGATCGCGCGCAGCCAGGTCGAGCAGTCCAAGATGCGCTGCAACATGTGGGGCGTGCGCATGGGCGAGGTCGAGTTGGAGGAAGGGGACATGCTCAAGAGCGAGAAGGTGGACCGGCTCGTAAAGGAGGCGGATGTCGTTCTTGTGAACAACAAGGTCTTCCTCGAACCCCGTAAGTTGTCCGACAGATTACTGCCGGCGCATATATGCTGATCTGTTGCTTGCTAGTCAACGAGGCTCTCAAGCAGAAGTTCCTCGATCTGAAGGAGGGCGCAATCGTCGTGTCCCTCAAGTGCCTGATGGGCTCTGGGCGGACCACTGCGCGCAACGGTATCACCCGCGAACGCAGCGCGTCTCCCGCCTTGAAGGAGCGCAACGTAAGTCCACATTCCACCCTCCTTCGCCACGCATACAAGACTAAGGACGCCACCATAGCTTAACGACATCAGCGAACTCTTCACGGTCACGTCGCGGCCCTACTACCCTGGGAGCGTGTCCTGGGGCGGCGGCGCCGGGGAGTATTTCCTGCAGCGCATGAACCGCAAGGACTACGCACGCCGCTATGCGCAGGTCGCAAAGGCGCGAGAGGGAGTCGGGCGGAGCACCCGCTCACGCAGATAGTGCCCCAGTCTGAAGCCCGGGCTCGCCACGATGCGGTGCCCGGTAACATCTTGGCCGCGCAAACACTGGATGATCATACTGGACCTCAATACCCGGAATGCTTTGGACCTGGAAGAGAGACGCTTCCACCACAGCTACGTCGGATGGTGCGCTGGTGACGGTACGGACCGTGGTCGAACTCGCTTTATATACTCACTCGCCGTCGTGCTCTCAAACTCAAGTCTCCCTCACCTCTTTTTACCACACATGTTGTCGAGATATCCGCAGTGCTGTCATAGCTAACACGTATTTTACTGTATATCTTAAGTTCCATAGTGCTCGGTCTGGCTGTTTTGTATCTGTACATCTTAGTCGTAGCTTACTGTTCCGTTCGGCGTACTTATAATGTGGATACACCCTTCGGGAACCTTTCCGAAGGTGGGTATCTTTCATTGCGGCTTCTTGTGAACTCGTTAATTATCTCATTCGCTACATGCAGAAAGCGCATCCTCAGGACCGCCTGCCCTAACAACTGGCATTATTGGCATAACTGCGCCAGCGATCACCGTGGTGCTCACTTCAAGATCGGCAGTTGGAGGCAGCACCGCCACAATCATTTATTATGCGCCTCATGCCTGGACCCGTTGATGCGCACCCTCTACATATATGATCTACTCGGGACTTTTTGCCATGACGGATCCTCTCCCGCCCTCGACTCCGCGCGATGTCGTTCTCCAACCTTGCGAGACACTTCCGACGGTCTCGCTCGAAGGGCAGCAGCGGGTCTTCCGGAACCCCCAGGGGAGACGATTCTCCGCATTCCAGCCGCAGCGGGTCTGTGCCTCTGGGAACGACTGCTGAAGCTGAAGACGGGCCCGTGGGGCAGACGCGTGTGGAGATGCCGACACCTATGCCCTCTCCTTGGGTCGCGTCACCGCTGTTGACGATGCCTGCACCATCGATGCCAGCGTCGGCCGCGCCCACTGGTCCTATGAATGGAGCGCTAGCTGACCTGACACCCTTGTATGGACACCTGGATGCTGGTCCGTCTGTTCCGCGAGAGCAGAAGGCTATGGACACGCTGGGTATGTATCTCACAGGGCTTAGGGAACATACGCTGACAGATGTTTCCATAGGCGACAAACTCGGCGGTCTGACCAAGAAAGCCAATGAGACTATGACCGTAATCAACAGTCTCTCCGCGACAGCGGCCGCTATAGAGAAGACCGACTTCGTTCAGAATATCGAGCGCGGGATACAGCACTTTACGGATGATATCCCGTGGCTCATGAAAGGCTTGGACGAACTGGCCAGGATACACCCCGCGGTGACGGGTTGGTAGCGCACTCGGTTGTCTGTGTATCACGCTCACGTTTGTCATAGTGGTGGTTCTGGCCTTCAAGGCAGTTTATGCGCTCGAAACAACTCGGCAAGAGAACGATCGACGTGTCATGACCCTCTATGTCGAGATGAAAGACATGATGATGGTCATGGTCCAGTACGTCCTCAGTTTCCGTTGCAACACCACCACTACTGACGTTGTCTGAAGACTCAAGGGCGTTGAAAACCGCAAACACGTTGGGCTTGACGGCCTCGTACTCAAAGATCGCCTGGAGGAGCTCGCGGAGAAAACGGCGCAGAATATCAAGGACTGCGCGAACTTCTGCGATACGTTTCTCAAGAAGCGCCTCATCGTCAAAGTCTTAAAGGGTCCTGCTTGGGCTGAGAAGCTTTCGGGATTCGTGAAGACGTTCACCGAACGCAAGTCCGATTTCCAGTTCGCCCTCGCGATGCACACGGCAAACTCAATTACAGACGTTAAGAAGCAAACAATCGAGATCGACGCTAAGTGAGAATATGCCACTAGTCTCCGGAATAATGATGTCGCTCATATGTGCGATGTAGGCTCGATGTTGTCATCGCACTCTTCGACCGTTTCCTGACAGCAGAAGAGCGCAAGCTAGCCGCCGAGGTCGAGCGTGAGGGTGGTGCGACGAAAGTGCGACAGAGCGACAAGTCGCTCAAAGCCCTTCTTGAACTGGACATCTCTATACGAAGTGCTCCGACGGAGAAGGATACACGCGAAAAGACTGCCATCAAACAACGCGAGGGTCCGCCAGGTGTTCGTGAAGGCCGCTCAGTAGCCAAGGACGGTACGTCCCGCGGCAAGGACGGCGTCAAACAAGCGGCGATGCCGCTGGACGACCTGAAGTGGGAGCTGCGTGAGGATATCGACGATGCTCTCGACCGGAACTTCGGGACCTTCATAAGCAAGTTCGAGCTCCAAGTCAGCTTGCTGCAAGTTGCGCTGGAAAGGTATATCCGCACCGAGAACGATCGTGTCATTGGAGCGGTGAAGGATGCGGTCACTCAAGGCCCCCATATGAAGATCAAACACCCCGTAAGTTTTTCATATCAGTCGCTGTAGACGTCGAACTGACGCGAAGGCATGATAGGAGCTGCGCAAAATATGGCAAGACATGGTGAGCGTCACGGGTCATTAAGGCTTGACTCAAAGAGGGCTTCATCTAAAGGAAACGCTGTCTCCTACAGAACTGGCGCGGCAATGTCAAGGCTCGTCTATTCGTCATGACCCTGCGGGACCACTATCGGGACGTCATCGAGGACGCTCAACACGCCTCTAGTAGTAAAGGAGACATCATCGTCAACGACGATTGGACTCTTGAGTACTTCGGGCCTTCGTGGCTTCAGCCGATGATGGACGCCTTCGACGATGACGTCTCGGGTTATGTCACTATATCGGAAGTCAACAAGGTCATGGATCTGCAACCTCCCTCTCTAGGTTGGAGGTACGCGCTCGTATGGTCTCATATCCGAGGACATGACTTACAAGTTTGATCAGTGTGCCTCGTTGGCTCGCGTACTGGGCTGTGGGTAAGCCGTGGCTGTTTCGAGCTGATCATTTCATCGCTATTCTAACACCAATCTGTCAGGTTGGGGGCTGGCTGCGACAAAATATGCGACGGCGATCGATGATACGCTGTGTCATATGCGCGACGCGCTGCCGCGTATCCTGGGCATGAACCGCCTCGCAGTCGACAGCTATCTTACAGAGACATGGGGACCTTCTCTCACCCTCACCGGTGGCGTCGAGTGGCACGGCGACCCGCAGTTACTCGCGCGCTTTCAGGTTTACTTGGACCACGAAGAGGAGCGTCTCCGTTCCAACTTGGAACACGTCAAGTATCACATAGATGCTTCCGATACTCTGTCCCTTGTGCTCGGGCCGCGCAAACTGGAGAAGGTAACGTGTGAGGTATTTTATGTCGTCTCTCATACTTACACTGTCACCACACAGTGCATTCTTCCTTTGCTGTACTTGCTCACGCAGAATCACTATCGGATGTTCAAGGCCGCCCAAGTAGAAGTTCTAGCTGAGCATGAGCTCGAAAACGCACGCAGGACTATGGAAACACTCTTCATCGCCGTTCGTGACAGATACTCTGAGCTGCAAGGTTAGCGCGTCAGATGATTTTTGCGTGGACTGAAATTGAGCCCCGCCTTTTCAGATCTCTTCACGGAACAGAAACTCGACCCCGAGGCACACTTCAAGAAATACGCTCGCGGCCTGGTGGGTCTACCTCGTCTCATTGAACGACTCCCTGTCGCTGATCAGTTCCAACTATAGTTTATCAATCACAGTCCCTTCGTAGATTTCTGGAGCGTAGACAACATGTTCCTCTTCCAACTGAAATCGGCGACCGAAGAAGACATGGATGTTACGGACTTGTCCGGTATCGAGCTGGACCTCGAAGGAGTAGTCGATACTAGCCAGTATGATGCGGTCGACGATGAGACCGAAGACGATCTTCTGGCACCAATGCCCGTCAACGCTGTGTAAGGCTCATGTTCATGCGTCTCACTGTCTATGCTCACGAGGACTCTTAGGCTCGGTCTCTGGAATGGCTTTCCGTTCGAGGAATCCGAGTATCCAGCAAGAGGAATGCTGTCCCTGCGCTTCCACTACTCGGATAAAGAAGGCGAGAACTTCATGGGCTCTGGTGTCGAGTTCGATGGCGACCGGTACACCATCTCTGGAACTTGCGAAGTTGACGAGGCCGGCCAGGTCTCCATGTCGTTCAGCATGACGTACGGCGACCTGGTCATCTACTACTCCGCCCGGCTCCTCGACGAATTCACGCTCGAAGGCTGGCGAGGGTACGAGCCTGATCAGTTGGACGACTGGCAATTCGTCCTCAAGAAGGTGCCCGCGGAGCAGATGTTCTTTCGGCCGAGCCCCAAGGTGCTGCGATCGAGCGACAGACCGCGCAAGCTCTGGCAATATGCGATCTCCACCATCGTGCACGACATCCGGCGAAAGAACTGGTCATGGTCGTATTTCGCTCTCCGGCGCGACGCACGCAAGCGCTATGTCAGACTCTTCGCTGTGTCATATGGACGCTTGATGCCCTACGAGGCAGAGGAGTGGATCCTGGCTAGATTACTCTGCACGGCGAAGGACGCTCGCTTCTATCACAGCCTCACCGAACGCTTCAACAGAATTTTCCCCCTGCATCAGTACGTGTTCGCGTCTTCAATGAATATCTCCGAGATCCGAGAGCTGATGCCAAAACTGTGTTCAGACCTCGGTGGTGTGACAACTGCTTCAGTGTCATCGGGGGTGCCCGTTTGGTGTGTCTTGACTGTGTGGTACAGAAGGCCAACTACCATGACCGTATCAACTTCTGCGACGACCCTGTCTGCTACGAATCCATGAGCGAAAGCGTCGACAGCTTTGGACAGGACCACCACCCTGGCCATGACTTTATGAAGGTCCGAACTATTGTAAACGCTGTAGAGATGGCCGAGCTCCTTTTCAAGGCCCAGTGCGCCTTGGACGACTACCGTGGGCTCTCTGGGTACGGCAGTCACCCATGTCCTCCGGACGCTCCGGGCGATTCGGTGGTGGAGAACCAGGCGGAACAGGACGTCAACCAAGATGAGACGTCGTCACCTACGAACGACGGAGAGCCGGGCTCACAAAATGCTCAAACGGAGCATCCGGGTGCCGTGTCAGGCGAATGCGAGTCCGTCCTTGAGCCTGCCCCCAAGCGAAACGACGAAGCACACTCGGCTTGTCCTCCGCCGCCAGAAGAACCGCCACAGCCCGCTGTCGGCATGGTGGAGCCCAGTGTCGCTATAGGGCGGACCTCTGAAGGAGCGGTACTTCCAGACGCAGTGACGCTCTCGGACCCTACCTCAAGCTCAACCGAAGCATTCCATGACAAGAACCTGTCCAACTATGACTCTCCGGAACTGAACACCGCGATTCCCGACTCGCCACGTTCGGCCTCCGAGTCCCTCGAACATCCTGATGCGGAACCATCAGGCCCAGATGCTGCAGACGACGACGCATACGAGGAACCACCACCACAGGAGTGCAAATGCAGGGTATGCCAAAATCCTGTTCACATCGGCAAGTGCTGGTTCTGTCTCGTATGCCAAGGTACGTGGATGCTGGATAATGGACCTGATCTATCGTATAGACGCTGACCTTCTGTGCACATGCAGACTTCGTCTGTAACGATTGCGACGCGCACCTGTACATCCACTGTCACGAGTGCAGCAAGCCGTTTCCACAACCCGAATGGTACAGCGGGATGCGAGCTAGTACGTTTTCTCTTGCTGCCTATAAGATACAATGGCACGCTGATGCATTTATCATCCAAGGTGACTTCATATGCCCGATGTGCTCCGCGAAGGGGGTCAAAGAGCGACCAGACATTTTCGACAATGGCGACAGGTCGCATGTTGGCATGCATCCCCTCGTCCAGTGCAAGCATAAGGTGCCAGACCCGCCCAAAGAGACGTCGGAGGTTGCGGAGGTGTCCAGCGAGCAGCGTCTCGCCAGTCTGGAGGAAAGGATGGCTGCTATGGACTCCAAGCTCGAGCACTTGCAGGAACATCTGGTGCGGCTGGAGAAGACGCAGACGGACATGCAGGATGTAATTCTATCCAGGTTGGACGAGGCGCTCTTGAGGGTAGTTGAGAGGGTATTAAACGGACAGGTGCGGCCAGATAGCTAGTTACTTCATCCAAAACTGCGCCCCCTTCATTACAATTGCGAAAAATATGTATCGCTTCGCGCATCACGAAGAGAACGTGTTGATGTGTGTCATTGCGAGGAAGCCCTCACTTCACCACTGTTTTGCTGCACTGTCGTTCTAGTTCGTGACTCTGCGCTTCGCCGTGGATCATGAAGGAGAACGATGGCGCTGTTGTAAGGACCCTGTTGCGATATAAACAACAGAGCCTGCAGGGACAGCCTCATAGCGTTCAAGAGATACATCCTCCTGTACATGGTGCACTGACAGTGCATCATGAGCTGTTCGAACGTACGTCTGCCATTCCAGGCAGCCTGTGGCGGAGATGTAGTCTCGTGACCAGACGTTCGGAGCGCGAATCGGAAGTGAAAACTCGGGGGTTGCCGCGCTCCTGAACGTCTGGTGGCTTTCCCCCCGTGACTCCTGGATCGGTGACTTTGCGTGACCTCACGCTGCCTCACGCTCATCTTCATGCGCTCTCCGACATCCCCGGAGGTCGTCATCTACACGCCTTTGTTTTGTGTCCAAGGTTCCGTTCCTCAGCTGGCCTTCTGAAATCAACTTATCACTGAGGTCCACCGTTCTAGGCGGCTCTGCCCGTCGCGCGAGGAAGAACGCACCCGGTCCTACCCAGTCCTACAAGCCGCGCGCGCGAAGGGCGCAGCTGCCTCGCGAGGCGACGCGAGCCTTCTGTGCTCCGGAAGGATGGACATAGTGTACGCGAGATTGGTTTGCACTTGGCACTCTGTATTACTGCTCTAAGATCTGTGGTAACCCTTTGCTAACCATCAACCCCGCCCATTCATAGCGCACTTTGGCGTTCGAAATGCGACCGGAGAAGTGATCGCTGTTGAATCCTGTTGAGAGTGGGTTGTAGTCGAAGTCGCCGCCGCCGTCCTCATCGACATTCGCAAAGACGGACCCCTAGCTGGTATGCAGCAAGGACCGCGCGCAGCAATTTGTGCGGGCCCTCGCGCGTTGCGCATCAAGTGGCGCATCCCTAGTAGCGCGCGCCGCGAGGACGCGACCACATTCTATATCCCGCGCGGACGTCGCGCGCACCGCACAGACACCGCGCTTAGTTCGCGACATAGACAGAGACAGTTTGAACGTCTTTTTATTGTTTGTGGCACATGTTGTGTTGGTATGTACAGTACTTATACCTCCTCGCGAACACACAACGAAGTCCGCATTAGCGCGTGCGTGAAGTACCTCAGCGATGTCGGAGAGTGCTGAAGATGAGCGTGAGGCAGCGTGAGGTCACGCAAAGTCACCGATCCAGGAGTCACGGGGGGAAAGCCACCAGACGTTCAGGAGCGCGGCAACCCCCGAGTTTTCACTTCCGATTCGCGCTCCGAACGTCTGGTCACGAGACTAGTTCCACTCATCAGTTGTATCTTCGGGGTTACAACAACCATTCTGTTTTAGGAGTCCGCTGGATATATATATATAAAGGGCGGAGTGTAAAATCTGGTCCTACCGCACCCACCGACCACCCCCTCTAGCCAACGTCGTTATGGTACCATGCCATATCACATCCGCGTGTACCCTATGTGGGCTTAATAGTTTCCGACAATTGCGATACGCTCACCTTCGTTGTGTGTAGCCAGATCATGGGGATACGGGCCATGCTTGTGGCGGAGTACTGAGACGGCGCTTTGCGTCGCGGCTCGCCGCCCAAGTAGCCACCCAGTGGCATCTTTCCGAATTCCATCGCGCCGGGGCCCACATACATACTCATCGCCTGCGCCTCAGTGGAGTTCGGTTTGCGCTTATGATACAGCGGGTCACTTACCACCTCTGTTCTTTGGATAGCTGCAGACGACAACTTACGAACGCGGCGGTACGTGTTCAAGTTCGAGCGACCAAATCCTCCATACCGTATGGCGTCACGCTGCTTGTTGCGCCTCTGCGCCGTTGGAGTGGCTAAACTGATATACTTTTCTATATATCAGAAACCTCACTCGGCGCGCGCACGCCCCCCCTTGTGCCACGCAACGCCGGCGGCGCTGTGCCTCCAGGCTCCAGGTCTGCCGATGTCTCATCAGGGTAGCTAGAAGAAGCTGTTTCCGCTGCCGTCGAGCGCTGATCCCTCATATATAATAACATGAACGTCCCTCTTCCCGCTCGCCCACGCTCTTCTATTTTTCACCTCTTCCCGCTCGCCCGAGCCTTCTCTTCTAGGAAGTTGCCACGATGGGCTCCTTGAGGTGAGCTTCTCTGCCATACAGAGTGCAGTACCGGCGCATTCACTGACAGTCAATCGTGCAGCGAAACACCCGGTGTCTCTTCGGGTATGCAGCGTCGTCCTCTCCCATTGAAGGTCTGCAAACAGGTCATCCACGCCGTTCGTTCTATCTCCCCCGGTTACGACACACTCCGCGAGGAAACCCAAGCAGTGCTCGCTTGTGCCCTCGTCTGCCGTGATTGGAAAGCGGTTTCACAGTCCGTTCTTTGGGAGGCCGTGGCGGTTCGCACAGACGAGCAGATCGAACGCTTGATCCACGCTTTCGGGCGCAAGACAAGCTCAGAGCAAGGGGACCCTCTTAAAGTTTACACCTTGTGCACCTCGCAGTCGAATTCTGGAATACGATTCAGCGCCGCAAGCGGCGAAAACGATGCCACCAGCACCGAGAGACCGAGAGATATCCAGGCAAACCCAGCGACCACTCAACTACGGGATCTTCTGGTGAAGCTGGGCTCCACTGGCACGGACTTGCGTACACTCGACCTGAATGCTGTCATATGGACAGAGTGGCCAATCCGCCTCGATCAGTTTTGGCAGTGGCCATTCGCCCAATCGCTCGAGGAGCTGCGGCTGAGCGGTTGTGCGTTTGTCAAGGCCGATAATTTGATCGACATCGCATGGGGATGCGCCAAATTGCAAAGGCTTGTCATTCGGCAAAGCGACATCCGGGAAGACTGCCATAAAATGGGGAAGTACTCGAAGGGGAGGCCCGGGCCGTGTCAGACGCATGCTCCGACTAAGAATAGCCTTCAACAGGCCAGTGGTATACCAGGCTCTGCTGTAGGCCCGCTACGGTGTACGTGTAAATTGACGGATTTGAAAGAGCTCCACCTGTCAGTACGTGACATTACAGTATACTTAATCATCGGAATACCAAGTACCAGTATTGACAACATCCGAACAGGGCGTGCCTTTCAATCCTAACGTATCCGCCATTGTGCATCTGATAGGCCCAGCGGTGAAGAAACTCGAGCTTGAACTCGACAACATTGTGCTTACCGGTAAGTCTAATTATGTTCGAGTGCCGTCTCATACGGTTCACTCATGTGCACTTCTGGATCCGCCTAGCTACCTCATCCCCGAAGCCGGATACTCTTTCCTCCAATATTGGAGACTCAAAGGACATCGAAGCCTTCTCCGCCCATCCCGACCTGCAGATGTCCTTGCTAGCCGCCCTTTACGAGGCTACCCCGCATTTGAGATGGGTTCTCGTAGCGCGCACTATAGTCGGCGACGATGATTGAAACGGTCGGCACGTATAGGCAGACCCGTAGGTATGCCTGATCAGACTTACGTTGGGGTTGTTTGTATGACTAGCTGACCGAGGCGGAAGCGAGAACTGGGGCATACTTGGTTTATCAACCGGAGGCTGTGATCCATGTGGCTGCCAGAACGGGTTCTTCGACGGAGTGATTGTAATCGAGCAATTGGAGAGAAGCGTACCAGTACTCGAATCGTTCACGGGGAACTCTGAAGGCTACGAAGCCGGGGGAAACAAGTCGCTATCTACATCCAGCCTAGGGAACGACCGGGAGTCCTCAGTCTATCACTGGACCCATGTTCAAGTCCATCGTTCGCCACCCTTCCGGCACGGAGAGGCTAAGCTCGAAAAAGACAGGAAGTCGATGGTACTTGCGCGGAGCGTGCTGCTGTAGTAGAACTGCCCTAGAGTACCTATTCCAACCCGTTGTGTCGTTTCTTCTGCTCCCTGTGCCGAGAACGGCTACATACAAGACCCGCTCTTCGTTATCGGCGTTGGTAGTCGATGTCGAGTCCGGTATTCCAAGACCCTCATCAGAGCAGAGGACCCACTGTGTACCATCCAAAGCGGCGATCATTGGTAATTTTGGTGTCCCGCCTAGCATAGTGGAAGATGGTGCTGCCAGAGAAGACTTCACCACTCGAGTCGCTTTGGCCGCGAAATGAAAGTAGCCATCATTGTCCATGCTTCCATACGGCGCCTGTTGCGACGAAAAGCGCAGCCGTATATCAAGGTGAACACTGCTGTCCGCCTCTTGAGCAACGTCTCTCCTCGCCGCGGAAAACCGGGGCGGTGCTGCGACGGTTGTCTCCGGGAGCTCCGGGAACGACGAGAGCCGCCGGTCAGGGGGCTCGTTCCAGCCCGCGATGAGCCATTCCGCTTGCCCGCCCGTCCGGAGGTACTCCTGCGCGAGTGCGATGGTGGCAGAGATGCGATCGCCCGAGCGATAGCGGCGGGGGTCGAGGGACACGCCGAATAGACCCATGATACTGAGCACCATGTCTACGGGGCGCTTGGACGTGCGCAGAAAGGAGGACTGCCACAGCGCCTGCCGTGACCAGTTGCTGCCCGACCAGATGGTATCAGCGGCGTCCGCAAGGGCGAGGAGCTCCCGCCGCCGTTTGTCAAGGGCGCCGAATATCTTGGGGAGAATGGGAACAGAAGCGTCGGTAGGGTGGAAGTTGAAGTGAGGGTGAGGGGAGGGGACGCGGATTGCGCGCAGCAGGGATCGGAGGTCCGCGGTGGCCGAGAGGCCGTGAACAACGTAGTTCGCAATGCAGTAGCCGAAAGGGTGTGATTTGTCGGTGACCAGAACCCCCATCGTGCTTTCTGCGGGGACGGGCAGACCAGCGATAGAGAACAGGACCTGTGTGATTGGGGGTACGATCGCCTCCTGCAAAGTCCACGCCCGAAGGATCCACTCGATTTCCTCGTCTAAGCCTACGAGTCGGCCGACTCCGCCAGGTAAGACAAGGCACACACCAGCCTGCTTGTAGATGTCGAACATCCTCCGGATCTGCCACGCCTTGTCGTCCGGATGTGTTTGCATAATGCAGAGTCGATCCAGCCACAAGTAGCTCAGGTTTCCATTGACGACGGCGATGGACGCGTGGCGTAGGACGTCGAGGCTAATTGGATCCCCGTCTCTTGCATCCTCGACTACGATGGTACCGCGAGCTTCTCCTGCGGGCTCTCGCACAGGGTTTCCCCTCCAGATGTAAGAGATCGCGCAGAATTTAATCCGCGAGGTGCCGAAAGCGTCGAATTCGTGGATTCGAAGAACCGGGTTCGCCTGGTCTGAGAGGGCAGTACAGTCCACGGCGCGGAAGCGTTCGGGGGTAGCGATGGACGTGATGTCTATTTCGTTTGTCGATGCGGCGTCCAGAGGAAGCTCGAGGATGATAGTGGAACCGTCGGCGGCCTTCCGAGGTACAGAGTTCGCCATCGACTGCTTACTGTCTTGGGGTGGCCCGGGGGTGGAAGGAGGGGATACGGGCCTAGCAGGAGCTGTGCGGAGCCGAGAGAGGGGCCGCCTGTACCACCAGCTGCAATGGTCGAATATATGAGAATGCCCTGCGTTGCCGTGCTGAGACTAGGACAAGTGAGTGTTAAAACGTACCTTGGCCTCTCGTCGCAGAGAAGTGGCCTCCAAGTGGTGTGGAAGACACGCTGCAAGCAGCCCTCAAGCGTATGGCAACGGGTTTGCGTAGCTTCTGCTTCCACGAAGTGCCAAATGCACGTGGCCGTACTCCTTGGAACTTCTTTGTGCGCCTGCCATGAGCGTTGACGGCCGGAGACGCTGAGCCTTACCACAAGCCCACCTCCTTGATCTTCATTACTGTTACCGCCACTACGTCGCGCATGCAAGGCAAGCGCTCCGATATCTGCGTGGACCACCATTTCTCTCTGACGAACGGCACGCCGGCGATACGCACTTCAAGACGTGTAAGGCTGCACAGAACGTCCCGCAGCGACAGCCCCGATGCTATATCCGCTACCTCCTGCCCGCAGATGGCATCAATCGTGCTTTCGTCTGTCGCGTAGCTCGTCTCAATGTGCACGATCAGCGTATGAAGAGCGGCGGGGTTGGCAAGGGTGGTGGCGAGAGAGGGAATGAGGGCGGGGCGTTCGTTCCAAATTTCTATGTCCCAGATAAATCCGGTAAGGATGAGTGTGTGGAGTGAGACGTAGGAGGCGAGGATACGCGGAAGAGAGTCAACTGAACGATGTCGATTTTCAGTGAGTGAATTCTGCGTCAAAGGTGTGCGTGTTTCGGAGGGCATGCTCACCAGATTCAGACAGGTCCCAATAGGCGATATCGAGTTTGCTAACGACAGAACCAAATACGCTGCCTGAGGGCGTGGAAGCGTGGTCGAAGGGGTGTCCCTAAGGCAATGGTATTAGTCTGATGCTGCCCTCGTTGCTCGACGCGTCAACCATAAACTCACATAGAGCTTCAGTTCCGTTAGCCTCTCGCACGCCCCAGGACGCTTCCGCATCACACTGAGGCGGGCGGCCTCCGCCTCGGTAAGACGCTCCCGCGTGAACGAGCACTTCAGCATCGTGAACCGCTCTAGGCTCGCGCACGCCCACACGATGTCAAACACATCCTTGACCGTGTGGAAGCTGCACGCGCATAGCTGGAGCTGCGCAATGCTCGCCAGCAACGGCAGCCGCATGCGCGACGCCCGCGCGGGAAACATCTTCCACGACACCTCCTCTATCGTGAGTACGCGCAGGTTCGGGAGCGTGGGGCCCATGAACACCTCCAGCGACACTTCACCGAACGGATGCATGCACATCGAGCGCACGAGCGGCGCGAGCCGCAGAGGGTCGCTGCGGACCGCTACGAAGAACTCGGGGATGATGCGCTCGCTGTGCTCGAAAAGCACAGCCTTCCAGAGATTGAGCTGCGCCCTGGGTCGCCAGGAACGACACGTAAGGGCGCATGCGAGCAGGGTGGGCCTCTGCTCAGGGTAATCGAACCAGTGGTCGCAGTCCGGGCGGACGAAGTCGATGATAGTCTCGCATAGCTCCGTGGGGAGCAGCGGTGACGACAGAGTTGTACGCAGCTCAAGATGCTCTGAGACGAGTGGTACCGCCGCCGAAGGAAGATATATCATCTAAGCCCAACAACTTAGTGATGTGTTATTGTGGGAAAGAGGACGGGGCTCGACACAGTGTGCACTGACCTTCGGTGCCATGCAAGGAAGAACAGGTCACTGTCAGTCTTCATACGACGATCTGGTGGATATCCTAGTTTTTCAATGAGGAACGCGCGGGCGAGAGTGTGTCGTTCCCTGCGCTACGGTGGTCGTCGTGGAGTGAGGCTAGAGTTGTTAGCGGCGGGCGCTTGCTAGACGGCGAATTGTCTTTCCCATAAGCACGAGGAATAAGGTTTCGGGGCGATGCAGCAGATGCTATGGATTTCAGATTCCTATACGCGACACTACGGTGATACATAATGTTACTGTACCATTCAGAAGCACGATAGATACACTGGGGCATTATTGTGTCCGAGGAACGTTTTGTAAGTAAATGCAGAGGTCAAGATACAGATACGCGACCAGGTGCGTCGCGCTACTAAGGCAATAAGTATAGGCGTATATGGAGCCTGAGGAAGATGCATCGAAAATGTCCAACGTCTAATGAAAAATGATCACCTTGAACTCTAAGCCCGAAACCAAGATGAAAATGATGATACAGTGAACGAAAAGCGGGTGCCTGTGAACGAGGAATGAAAAAAAGCCGTGCCGCACCAATGCGGGAGTCTAGTCCTTGTCGTCCGCAATCTAATGAAAGATGCTCATGCCAATGGGGCGCGGCTAGTGGGCGTCGGCGTTGGGGGTACCCCACTTGACTAGGCGAACCGCTCCGTTGTTCCAGTCCGTAACGCGGCGACGCGCCATGTGCGAAAACGTCGAGCGGTCCGTGCCCACAAAGCCCGCCGACATCGACTGCACGACCGCGTCCAGCACAACAGGATACCTGCACCGTGCGCCCCCACATCAGCATCTTCTCTAACCTCCTCACCACAAGTAACCATGCGACTCACCAGTTCCCGAATCGCTCCGCCGTACGTTCGCCGGCATGGTCGATGCGCAGCCACCCGCGCTCCTCGACCGCGCTCCACCACCCAGCGTCCTTCTCGTCCCCGGTCATGATCACATGCGATACGTAAATTCCATGCCGCAGGCGCACTTCCTCCTGCACCTCGCGCACGCGGCGCGCGAATGCACCCAGAGGCGCGAAGCATTCGTCGCGCGGGACCGAGCCACACCAGCCCTCAAAGTCACCGCGGCGTGCGTGGATCGCGATATACTATGTGCGTATGTGAATAAGAGCCGGGGAAGAGAGCGGGGAAAGGGACGCACAGGAGGGATAGCGGCGCCGTCAGGAAGTCGGAAGAGACGGCGAAGGTAGCCTCGCGCGAGCTCTTCGAGGTCTGATGTCCAGCGCGCGTGCACCATGACTTCACGCCACATCGGGCTGTAGTCCCGCTCAAATTCGAATGGCTGTACATGAATGAGCAAGCGAGAACTATGGAAGCTGGAGGAGACACGTACGTCTAGCGCGCAGACATAATACAAATAGTCGAAGCACGCGAGCTGCTCGTCCGGCGGGAGGGCGATCCCGTTCCCCTCTGACTTGCGCGTGGGGTTCTCGTGCGGGCGCGACAGCGCATCCGCGCGTCCCTCTGGGAACGCAAGTTTCGCAAGCGACCAGAACGTCGAGTGCGAGTCGTGTTCGTAGTTCGGGATCAGCTTCACCGTCGCGGGCGCGCGCGTGTACGAGATATCGAGATTGAGCAGCGTGGTCGAGTAGCTCCCGCGCGGGCCCTTGGACTGCAAGTTGTCGACCTCCCAGATGTTCCAGCAGCCGAGCGCGTCCTTGACGTTCTCCGCCTGCGCGCGCTCGAGGTCCTTGACCATGTGCCACTCAAGCACGGGCGCGTTTAGCGCGAGGACGAGGCGCGGGACGTCGAAGATGTCCGAGAAGGCGAGCGGGGAGGCCGCGCCGTCGATGTAGGACGTGAAGGGCGGGACAATGGGTATGCGCCCGGAGATGAGGGAGAGGTATATCAGGTTGCCCTACCGATGTCAAGGTTAGCGAACAGTCTTGCAAAGACGACGCCGAAGAGATTACTGACTATTGTGATTTGGTCATTTGCTGAGAGAACATGTCAGAATCAACGCGCGCTCGGAAGTGAACTGCAACTCACTCCACCCGGCAGAGAGGAAAGAGGTCATGTAACCGGTATCATTCCGGAGGCTATCTACGAAGCAAAATTTGTCAGAGTAGCACTAAAGATCCACCCTGCGGCGCTCAGGGCGGCGCTGACCTCTAAAGTGGGATGTGGCTGCAAGGCCTTCTAGGTATGTGTCCGGCCTCAAGTGTATCGGAAGAGCGTCCTCGGGCACGTCCGCCCAGTCCTCTTGCGCGTCCACCGGATTCGATGCTTCCTCTGGTTTTGGTGGTTGGGGATTGAAGTCGCCTGGCTGAGGTGCGCGCTGCACCTGACGCGAATCCACCGACCCCGAGAGCAAGAGAGGTATGCAGCCGACGGCCGCGAGCACAAGAACGGAAATGAGTACCCATCTTCGCCTTACGACGGCCAGAGGCAGAGGAAATCGCGTCGGCCAAAGGGGAGACTGAGGCGCGGAATGCATGAACTTCTCCTTGAAAGCACTAGGGCTCCAGGATTGAAAGGGTAGCAGAGGCACACTCTGTGAATGACGTCCGTCGTCGAAACTCGAGTCGGACGCGGTGTCGTCCTCCTGTCCAGGGTATGCTGCAGGCATCCTATCGATCCCAGCGAGATAGAAAGCGAAAGAGCGTGAAAGCAAGCCGGGGTCGTGAGGTGGTCGTGGAAGAAAGACAAAGGACGAGTGAGGAATGTTCCCCTCGTCGGGGGTGGATATGGACAAAGTCGGCCCGCGTACATAAGACCTCCGGGAAACTTCAAGCCTGCGGCTTGTGCTGACGTTAATGAGCGACACATAATCGATAGGCGGCCTGGAGCTGTCAGGGAAGGCAGATTAGCGGCGGAGTCTTGCACGCGCGGTGGGCATTCCCCCCTCAATTCAGGGCAAGACGTTCTGCGTTGCTCCAGGCCGGTGCCACGGTCCTCCTATAATTTATTTCCGCAGGCACCCAGCGAATTCCCGATCGACGCGGGCGGTCCGCCACTCCAGCCACGTTTTTGATCGAGGGTCGCCTCGAAACCTGTGCTCCGGTCAGGCAATTATGTTCTGCGCCTCGGCCCTCTCTTTTCGCCTACTGATTTTCCTGGGACGGTCGCCGCGGAGGGTCCGCAACGCCAGCATGACGTTCAAGAACCTTGGGTGGCGACGTGTTGTCAGCCTGGCTTGACTCCTGTATATCCAAGCCGCTGTCAAGGGGTTCGCTCGATCGAAAGCAGAACAAGACGAGACACACCTGGTTCTGCCACCCCTTGGATTCCGGCGCCGGGAGGAGCGTCGGCGGCATTTGTGGTAAGGAGGAGGTAAAGAAGACGCATGCATGAGACAACTCTAGCCCGATCTAATTGCAGATCGCGAGAAGGACGCCGATCTCGATTACCTTCCCATGCAGTGTCAGAATAGGAGCTGTTCTTGACATTTGCCACGGCTTCTCTTCCGAGGTCGGCTTGCCTTCACTAGGGGAACGTCTTGTAAGTCACCCAGGATCCGGAAGCGTTGGACACTGGATGAGCAAGTCAGCATCGAACAGCAGGTCTGCGAGGTAAGAGCGGCTTTCAGTGGGGCAGGTAAACCAGGTTTTTTTTTGCTCCCTGTGGGCGTAGTGCAGGTCGGTGATCCGTATAATATCGAGTGGGCATTTAGGACACGGGATTTATATACAGCAGGCTATTCTTAGAATATTATGGTTGTCGCAAGACACGGATGAGCCATACTACCAACGGTGACACACGCCCAACTTGAACAACAGCTTATATCCTACATCTTGCTATATACCGTTACATCATATGCAGTTACTTCCGTTTACAGTGTACAGATCCGGTCGTTGAATTTCTGCACATCGACAGGTCATACAGCAAAAGGCGAGCTCTTCACAAACCTCTGCAAACCCTGCCCATAAACCGTCGCAAGCACAAGCCCCAACACGAACACACACACCAACCTCACCATCTCCCCCGCACCCCCCGGCAACAGCACCCTCCCCGCCCTCAGCCGCTCTACCACCGCACCCCGCGTCTTCGGCACCTTGTTCCCCAAAATCACGACGCTCCCATCGCTCGGCGGCTCCGCCTCCCCGCGCACCTCCCCGCCCGCCTCGAGCGGCGCGTCCGACAGGTACGCGGAGCGCAGCCCCGGCAGGTCGTCGAGCGAGCGCACGTTCCAGCCCGTCCACCACGCCTTCATCCCGCCCTTCGCGTACACGCGCGGGCCTGCCTCCGTGTCCAGCGTCACCGTCGGGACCGGCGCCTCTCCGTCGGCCGCGTTTGCGTCTGAAGAGGGGGGGAAGCGCGGGGGGAACGCCGAGTCGAGTTTCTCCATCTTCGCGCCCCACTGAGTCAGCGCGCTCCGTTCTGCCTTGAACGTGTACATCGGCACTGCGTATCCGCACGACTGAGGGCATAGTTCAGCATTATATATGGACACACGCGGAACGGGTGTACGCACCGTGCTGACTTTGCGCACGTCGATGACGATCGCGGCGCGCGAGCTGGGGTGACGCTGGGCGGCGGGGATGAGCGCGTCGTATTCGGGCGTACCGAACTCGTGCACGGTGCCGCGCCCGTAGATGCGCAGAATGCGCGCGGGACCTTCGTAGGCACAGAACATTATCGTAATCCGCTTATTCTCGCGTATGTGCGAGATGGTCTCCACACCTGCAGTGGAAGCATGAGCATTGTGTTCGTACTACGCATGGGAGCGGGGGTACAAATGCACGGGAGGGATGATAGAAGGAGAAGATAAGGACGTACCGCTCCCGCTGAGGTCCTCGTACCACACCCGCGTGGGGCTCTCGATGTGCAGCGTCCCGTCCAGCCCCTTCGGCGAGACGTTGATGTGCTCACCGGTGAGAGGGGCCGTGGCGACGAAGAATATGTGCTGCTTCTTGATCCATGCAATATGACTGTCAGGGATTGCGTCGTAGAACTGGACCATGGTGGCTTGCGGCGATGTAATAGTAGCTGCTATCTACGCTCTGGTTAGGAGGGTGAGTGATGGAAAGAAGGAGTGGCGATCGCAATAAATAGCGAGACAGCAGGGCGCTAACACCCAGGCCGATGAAATTCGAAGACACCCTGTTGAGATACGTGACTTCCGAAGCAGCTTCCTCGTGAGTCAGAAGAAGCACACACTGCCGGGCTCAGCGGCATGTGGGGTAACACCGGTGCGGAAGGAATCGGGTGAACATAGCTCTGCAGAATGCATGGACGTGGGCCGAAGCAGCCTGATCATGCGCATGGCTGACCGATCCACCCATCACAGAGTATGTGCTCGCGGAGAAAGTGGAAAGCACCTCTATTTACGAGACGTCAGTGCACTATGGATACATGGGCTGGGATGACAGAGATATTAGTGATGAAATAGGGCGAGAACACGGGCGGAGGCAAAGAGAGCGCGGTCGTACGCGTCCATGACCTCTCATGCTCCGACAGTAAACGACTCTCCGCATCCACAAGCGTCCTTGATGTTGGGGTTCTTGAACGCAAACTTCGCGCTGAGGGACAGTATAAGCCACTGCAAATCAAGTAGGCACGGTCAGGCGCACCTCAACGCGTCCTCCTTCCAGTCCATCTCGCTTCCGATGATCGAGAACAGCGCCTTGCTGTCGATCAACACCTTCACCCCATCCTGCTCGACCACCTCGTCGAACTTCCCCGCCTTCTCGACATATTCCAAGTGGTATGAAAGCCCGGCGCAGCCCTTATTCCTGACACCAATGCGAATCATTTGCGGTGTTGGGCTCTTCAACAGGTTCCGCAAGCGCTCGACAGCCGTTGGCGTCTAAAGGTTCCGCGAGCCGATGCGTCATGTCAGTGAACAACTCAAGAAATGATAGCCACAACGAGACGTACCAAAGTGATTGCGGCCTTCTGAGCGCGGATCTTCGGACGTGGTCGCTCGGCCTTGGGGACAGGAGGAGGCCGTGCAGCGACCTGCGGAGACGCGGCATCCGGGGACAGGTTACGGGCGGTAGGAGGCTTGGATGGTGACGGAACGACGACGGGGGGTGTCTCTCCCAGCGCCGGGGAAGAGGACGTGGATGCGGTTGGTGATGCTGATGATGTCGAGGCAGTTGGTGGGGGTGCAGGTCGGTCATGGGAGAGGGCGGACATCATCGCATGGCGGTGGCCAGGGAGGTAGAGCAAACCGCGAGTCGGGGAGCTGTAGAATGTGGTATGCGCTGTCGCGCGCTGCAGACGAGCAAGTGCGGAGGACATCCCGTGGTGCGTAGACTCGAGCTCGTCGAAGTAGTGAATGTGGAGACCGCAGAGGCCGTCGTGGTCGTCGTCGGTGAGGATGAGGAGCAAAGTCGCGAGTTATCCCGAAATGGGTTTGTCATGAAATCAGGTCATAACCACTTACATAATGTGTGGGGTAAGAGCCACGAGCCAATCAGATCGCTTGGTTTGGTCTCGCCGCCGGCCTCGATGGATTCCAGCTCGCTTCTAGCCTGCCTCTATTAGTTTGTAGTTTGGTAAGTACCTTCATTGGAAGTAGGTCTTACTACTCTTACTAACTTCCTTCAATTGAGTGTTGACCACAGCGAAATGGCTACCGACCAGAGGCGCCTCCTTGACCCGAACCACCACCACCGCGTCTTTGCAACTCTACGCGTCTGACTCTCTAAGTGCGCTTTGCTTTGGGTCTCAGGGCTTCTAGTCTATCACAAGAAATGAAAGGGCTGCATCTCACAATGCATGTAATCAGTCTGCGCAGCAATTCATGCACTGCAGACAGATGGCTCTCTCTTGGTCTCAACGGCTCATGTCACGTACGGTCGGCTCGTGGACCATAATCTTGGTGAGATATAGATGTCGGAGGGCTGCATGAACGCAGGTCTGAGGTCGTATTCAAACTTTCCGAAGCAACGTGCTGGCCGGCCGACGCCTGCCCACATGACTCGCCGAAGATTGAGTCATTGCCGCCTGCCACTTCCTCCCGAACCTCACCCCATGAGTGCCCAGACTGACGCAACTCATACATAAACCTTCGTCAGACCCGTCACGCGCGCTGCGAGCTGCAGAAGATCCAGCAACTTGACGCTAACCACCCAGTTGTCGGCCGATACGGTCGGCCGCAGTGTCTCTTCTCGCTATCTCCTCACGAAGGTCTTACCACTAGCTACTCCCACTGGCACCCTCGCCCCGATCGCTGCAGCATGGGCAAGTTCTACGAATCCATCCCGCCCGAGATCATCCCATGGCTGCTGAAGCAAGAAGTCTTCTGGGTCGCGACCGCGCCCCTGAGTCCCGAGGCGCATGTGAACGTCTCCCCCAAGGGCGTGCGCGACTCCTTCCATGTCATCTCCACCACCCGTGTCTGGTATCAAGACCTGTCCGGCAGCGGCGTCGAGACCATCTCCCATCTGCGCGAGAATGGGCGCGTCACGCTCATGTTCAATGCCTTTGACGGCCCGCCCCGCATCGTCCGCCTCTTTGGAACAGGTACGATACTCCGTCACTTTTTTCGCAGCGCAGAGTCTGATGTTGTGATTATGTTAGGGACTGTCCACGAGTTCGGCACACCCGAGTACGACGCCCTCATCACCCCCGAGACCCGTCGTCCGGGCTCGCGCGCCGCCATTGTCATCGACGTGCACAAGGTCGGCACAGTGAGTGCTCTATCCTGCGATACTCCGCATCACAGCAGGCATGCTAACTATCATACAGTCGTGCGGGTACGCCGTACCGTACTACGAGTTCAAGGGCCACCGCCAGGTCCTCCTCGACTTCTTCGCAACCCGCGAGGCGGCAGACCAGACCGACCCCAACGCACACGCGAACAAGGGCCTCAAGGCATACTGGGAGGAGAAAAACATGCGCAGCATCGACGGCATCCCCGGGCTCGCGTACGCGCCCACCGTCGAGCGCATGCCCAGGTACCGCAAGGAGATGAAGCCCGCGGGCAATGCGGAGAACGGGGAGCTGCGGGAGAACGACGTGAAGGCCCGTGCCAACGGTTCTGCGAAGGCGAATGGTGGCGTGCTCGTCAAGACGGGCCGGCTGGAGGGCCAGCGCGTTTACGAGTGGGCGGTCGCATTCTCGCTTGGTTTGGTGGCGGCGGCCGTTTACGTGCAGCTGCAGCTTGCGCATGTTCTGTAAGACATGGCGCCATGTATGATCCTCACTCACTCTGTTGTATTTTGGTTATCCTGCAGCGGTATACGACGTTGTATCGAATGTATCGACTGACTTGCTGCCTTTTGCTCGCGAGAGGAAAGTCTCCCCAAATCGCACTCTTCGCTGATTGTGACGCCTGGACTTGGGGAATCTATGACAAACCCTCTGCACCCGTTATGCGCCGTTTGTATTGGAACGGGAACTGCTACGGAGCGCTCGCCCACCGGGCTCAAGTTGCACCGCCTGCCGTCGTGAACCACGCTCCATATATCTTGTCTTCATACACCGAAGGTCAGTCCACCCCACGAAGGCTCTTCTTTCTTCTCATATCACTCATTGCTCACTTGAGCCTACACCACCGGCTGACGCCGATACGGCTTCCATATCCAAGCAGGCGCTCGATCCGGTACCTGCTCCAGTATTGGATCGATACTGAGGCAGATATTGAATCTGCCTGTCCTTAGACGATACCGGATCAGTATTACCGTCCACTTAGTGGTTCGAGCCCCGGTCGTGTACTAGATATATATCCAGTCATTACTGATTTGATACTGAATGTCCAATATGGCTGGGTGCATACCGCGGCCTGCTCGCTGCTGGTCCCCTTGGCCCTGGGCGTTCCGGCTCACTCGGGCGCAATCATATATGCGCGCGGTGCGCACATTCCGGATGATGGAGAAGACATCATTGTTGATAGGCCACGACAAGTTACATATAACACATGTACGTAGATACTCGCTGGTGCAGCCCCGTAACTTCACTCTCTGCCTTCCGAGCCCATATGTACGGAAGGGGAACGTTCGCGCGCACCCGCGGCGGGGACAGAGATGTCGTCAGCCAAGAACGTACCTACGACTTTCTCAGTCGCATATTGGAGCTCCGTCAACCCTTCGTTCTCGTAAACCACGCGAATATGGCCGCCGGATTTGAGAGGGAAGCCGCTGATGTCGGTCTCGAGGAAGTGAGCGATGATCCTGCATATTTATCACATGAGCTATAGGAAGGATGCGTGTCTTCGAAAGAAGGGCTTACAGTGTTTCGTGCTTCTTACGAGCGGTGGCATCGTCGGGGCGAGGGTATTGCTCTTGGGCATTCTTCCGTGCATCGACGAGGCACTGGTCGATGTGCTTCCAAAAATCCCCGCGCTTCTTTGCCGGGATGCTGTCGTATTTGAGGGTGCACTGGCGCTGTGCCGATCACGGTATACGATCAGACGAGACCTGCGTATGGATGGCTGATAATCAGAAGCTTACCAAAAAGGCGAAACGTCCCCAGTGCTCCTTCTTCGGACGCATGTCGTTGTGCCGAAGGAGCGAATGAGTCAGCTCGTAGATGTCCTGTGAGTTCTTGATGCTGGTGTCGATCTGAACCCATGTGTTAGGTGTGAGTGTGCCTCTTTACAGAGTGACATAAGTGATGTTAGCGTACCTTCAACTTCATGGCCGATCGCTGGTTCGATAACTCGACGGCGATGGAGCTTTTGATCAGAGCCCAATCGGCCGGATCGCTCTTCTGTGCGTTCGGGACACCGAGGAGACGCTCTGCATGATCCTCGAGGTATCTCTGCCATCAGAAGCAAGACGGATTAGTGCCCGCGTGGCGGCGTCCACATGATACGCACTGTGAGCTGTGTAGTGAGCCCTTCGACATATGCGGGGAGGTTGGGCGCGAGAAGCGCAGCAGCAACTGCATGCCGCAGCCGAATCTGATCACAGGCGTGTCATGAGAACGTTACAAGGCTGATGCGAGCTTGCGACGTACGACGAAGTCCGGGTGGCGCACAAAGAGCCGGAGAAAGCGCTTCAGGATGTCGTTCTCGGTCCGCATCTTGTGGATCTTGATGTCGATGAGCATCATGACTGGCGATAACTGTCATATGTTATGCATAGGCACAGATGGGGGTGAGGTGAGCATGCAGGGTGATCTTGCCATTAACGCACCTCGCAAAATGCCATGAGCTCGTCATACTGGCTGCTTGAAAGGGCATACTTGCGGACTTTCTCCTGCACGTAGCTTTGATACTGGCTGCGAGAATGGTCGTTGAGAGAGAACCCGTTGTCGGCCTCGTGTTCTCCTGGATCCAAATCAGGAGTGAATTCCCATCGACCAGAGAGGGCATGCAAAGCCCGAGTGTGCGTACCCATCAATGAACTGAGCCTCGTGTTACCGGCCTCTTCATCGCCATCGAGATCCATTTCAGATTCGCGTGCGTCCGAAGAGACCGGGCCATCAAAGGGCGACATGTTGGCGCTGTTTCCGTCATCAGTAAACCTTGACACTGGTGTGTGGCCGCGTGAGATTGCTGGCGGCGTTTGTGGAGTCCCTTGCCCCTGGGCAAGACGGCTTTGTTTGGTCTGGAAGGCAGACAGAAGATCGCCGAGGCTGTTCATGGTGTGAAGGAAGCACAAAGACGACCACAAGAAAAAGGGAGGAGTCAAGGCCTCGAACGATTTGATTGTCCGACAGTTGTCCGACGCGTGACTTGGTACGTATGGTCCAATCAGAGTCGTGCTCACCTGAGCTCACCAGTTCAAAGTCAGGCTATGCGCGCATTGAATGACTGCGCGGCAGTCCATACAAATATGTAATCATCTTTGCTACACTGCTTTATATACAACTTAAACGAGTGGAATACAAATATTGAACTCAGTTTTCAAACTGCTTGCGGAAGAGAACCTCCCTCGCGGCGGTCGCCTGGGGATCTGCCTGTACACGTACTCGCCGCCGTTTCTGTACAGGTGCTGTCATCTCTGGAGGATCAGCGTTTCCGGCATGCGGTGGTGCAGATGCGCCTACTGCAGGCTCCAGCCTGTGCGTGACTGCAGCACCTGGGGCTCGCGATTCCGCAGGCGAAGGTTCAACGACTCCTGCGGAGCCGTCGACAACTTGCGGTACCTGCGCATCAAAGCCCCCGGAGTCTGCATCTAGTCCCCTCTTCGTGCCCGACTGTCTGCCGTGTGACTGAGCCAAAGCAGGGATCCCGCCAGGCGTTGTGCCGCCGCCCGTAGCGCCACTGGCTCGGGCTCCCTTCCTCTGCCGAGGGCCTCTAGGCGCCGCAAGAGGGCTCGCGACTGTAGCACTGGCCGTGTGGACTTCAGGTGGCAGGGCGGGGTCGTCAACAGACTCGGAGGTGTCAAGAGCGAGGCTTGCGCATAGCCCCAATGCATCCCCGACATCGCCGTTTGCGACACTGGCCTGGAGAGCAGACTCCGCGCTCTTGCGGACCAGGGCCTCCCGTGCGAGCTTCTTTTGAAGCTTGGTGTTGCGGAGAGACTCGGTGGCGCGTTTGTGGAGGGCGGGACAATCGTGGCAGGTTGTGGGGCGCGCATACAGAGACGCCGGCAGACATGCACGTAGACGAGATTGGTTGTGAAGGGCTGTGAGGTTGAGGACATAATGCACGGTGTCGGTGTGTTGTACAACTGTGCGCGTGCGTGTGCTTGCTTCTCGCTCCTGGCGAAGCTGCTGTGTACCTGATGCAGTGCAACCACCCGTGGTACAGTCATGCTGCACGTTCACCGCGCAGTCGAACATCTATGAATACTCGTAAGTATATAAACACTTGTTAAGCCATGTAAAATTACTCACCTCAGTGCGTAACACATGGACGTCTCCCGTGCGTTGTACCATAGGCATCTTGAGGTGCGGATGTATGTTGGGTTGAACAACAGACTCCCATACTACCACCCTTGATGGGATATCCCTCGGCGTTGTGGACTGGAGGATCTCCACAATTGAGGCGAACGTCTTCTGCAAAACAAAGACGTCTATCAGCCTCGCAGTAGTAGTATGCACGCGCTGCAAGATATCTTACTGTGACGGCGCCCGTGCTTGCAGGGATCTGCACAATCACCTCGGACCCTAGATACGCCATGTCCCCATTCTGAGTGACAAAGGACGCGGCGCGGTGCCACTGTCCTGGTAAATGTTCTAACGCAGGATTGAGACGAGCGGCGTCTGTGTGCGCCCAGGAGATGATGGGATGCTGTGGGAGAGGCTGGCCTGGACGGCGGGGAGGGAGAGGCAGAAGATTCATGTCGCCGGGAGTAGCGGACTTCTCAGGCGTCAGCCCAAGAAGCCGTGCATCGATAGCGTTGTCTCCGATGTGGCGCAGAACCCCGTCGCCTGCTCGTACCCAAGAACCCGTCACCTTGTCCTGCCAGAAACCTCCCGACGCCATATGGCGACAGCGATCCTGATTTGCAAATGTCCTCACAATGTCCCGGCTGGGAGCTTGGCGATTGCTGTGGATGGAACATAGCCGGAATATGTGATTGAAGGATTCGTATCGCTCTGTGGAGAAAAGCAGCGCGGGCCCAAAGCGCTCGATATGGTCCGGGAGATGGGCGAGGATGTGAAACTTGTTCTTTTCAGTCAGAAGCCCGGGACTGAGGGCGGCCGCAAAGTCAATGGTCTCCTGTATGACATCGCGGAGCTCCTTCTGTAAGCGGTGGATCAGAAATAGAATCAGCGCCACGAAGCGAAGTCGGCGCACCACGAAAACCTTGACATCGGCGATCTCGGTCTCCCAAAGTAGAACCGTCAGATGCCCAATGGATACCCACGCATTCTGCAGCGTCTCGTCGACCAGCCCGGAAATGGCAAATGCCATGACCTGGCTGATGGTCTTGAAGTGTTTGCCGATGAGTGCGCCCCGGTACCGGCACATGTAATCTGCCATGATGTTCGGTATCTTCAGTCCAAGGCGGGAGAGCGAGTTCAGACGAGCCTGGAACTCAGCGAAGCGCCCTTGCTTCTCGAGCACCCAGACCGTCTGGGCCCAGAAGTATTTCACTACGCCCAGCAGGTGCGTGTGAAGCGGCTCGACGGGCGTGTCTTTATGTACGTCAAGGCCTGTCAATGCAAGGTCATCGTGAGCGGGCATGTCACGACTGTCCTGGCTGAGCAGTTACCTTCCATCTCTAACAGGGGACTCCGTAGCGGCACATCAGTCTTCTTCATCAGCTCCTCATATAGCTCTTTGTTGACCAACTCCGGCGAAAGTGCCTTCCGCGCGGGGGTAGCCCGGCGCAGAATCTTGCCCTTTGCAATCAGCTGATTGAGGATGGGCATGGCGAACGAGTCCTTGACGCCACTCGTAGTGATCGCAGTTTTTAAGGGCTTCTCCCCCGCAGCGTGTGTTGCAGTAATGAGCTGGGACATAATGGCTTCCCTTGTTTCAGGGACTGTCCGTGGGCGCCCAGGCTATACGAACGCGAGAGGAATATCAATGTAGGATCGTTCATGCGGATAAGTTACGCACGACCATGAGAGAAGGGAAGCCTTCGTTCGAGGACTTGAAGGCCTGGTCGCCACCGACATGACACATACGGCAGAAATGGTTCCCTTGTAGTCCGATGTGGCTACATAGTTCTGCTTGCATAGGGTTATCGCCGGGCAGGAATAGAACCCAGGGGCGGATGAGGACATAGCGCTGCTTCATAGCGTCCCAGACTTTGAACGGCTTGGCGGCGCTCTTCCTGATGTGCGGATCAAGGTCAGAACGTCTTCGAGTGACACGGCGCGTGTGACTCACTTGATGTCCTCGCATACAGCACGGATAATTTCCATTGGAGATGCATGAGGAGAGGTGGCAACGAATCGGATATTACCATCCTTTTCGAGCTCAGCTCGTGGAAGCGCTGCGTTGGAAACGTAGCATGAGTAGTGGACGTTCCACTGTTTACTACTGTTGCCGGAGACGTCGTCGATGAATATGATTAGTGGTGGACATTCTACTTCCAATCCCTCTGCGAGGAGGCGGTCCGGGTGTGGCATTGACTTGGCGAAATGAGTGCTCTGTGCTAGAACATAGTAATACGCCAATGTCAGCTGCGAGCGAAGCTAACTATCACTGCCAGACTCACGCGCAAATATTTCTTTACCCTGCGCACGTTCCTTCACTTCGGGCCAGGGGATATCAAACCGAGCGCACGGGAGAATGCTCGGTTTGTCTGCAACAGCGAGCCCAACCTGCCCCACAAAGCACCTTGTTAAAAAGATGCATCACGGTGTGGAGAGAACCTGACTTACCGCGGAGTCCGTGGCGGCGTACCCCTTCGCCCAAAGAGCGCCTTCGAAATCGAAAAAGCGCGTCGGTATGAACCATGAACCATCCGTACAGTAGGCTAACTCGTTCACAAAGAAGTCCTTGCCCCGGATGCGTGTCATGGGTGTCAGAACCGCATCCGGGACATCAACAAGCCATTTCGAGGCGTTCCATGCTTCCTTCACGCGTTTGCCTGCAAATTCTGGATAGAGGTGCATCTGCCGGTGTTTAGCCGGGAGAGCGTAATCCTGTGGAAATGGGTCAGACTGCTACTGATGATGAGCATAGCTCAGACGTACCCGTGCAAGTGCTTGATATATTGTGTTCCTATAGAACACATTGCCGGAGGGTGCCTGAATCTTCTGGGTCGGGTCCCCGACACTGTCCAGGGCGTCGCCCTGAAACTTTTCAAGCCCATACAAGGTCGGGACATCCTTCGCACCCATCGCCTTCGCCCAGGCAAGAACTGCCTCCTTCTGCGAGCGTGAAAAGCGGATAGTGGGCGAGCTGAAGAGTATGTCGGTCTTCATCATCTGCGAGAGGCAACAGAAAATCAGTGGTCAACAAGCTAGTAGTGTGTGGACACGATCAACAAGCACATACCCCTTTGTTGGGGTACGGAAAGACGTCAGACGGCACCGTGGATGATCCAAACAGTATCTCGGAAGCTTCTTCGACGGTTGCTACGGGTCGTGCTATAGTAAACGAACACGAGTGATGAATATTCAGAGGAGAGAGCCCCAGTCGCAGATATGGTACTCACCAGGCGATGCAAGCTCATCATATTCAGGCTCCCAGCCCGAGTCCGACATCATAGAAGGCGGAGGTGGCCTCTCATCCTGCTCTACACTCATGACAGCTTCCAACAAGCCAGCCCCACTGAGAACGTCCTCGAGGGTGATCTCGGAAGTACCGTGCAAAGAAGGCATATCCGCGCTAGAGAAGTTGACCCCGCCGGAGAGCGCATGTTGCATGTCGAGAGGCAGATCGCGCACCTCCGTAGCGTGCTGCTCGGGCAGTCTAGTAGTAGGGTCATTCGTGGACAGCGGAGATGTTTCAAAGATGGAGTCGTCGAATGCTGGAGTAGAAAACCACGGGATCGAGTGCGTTGGTGTGGAGGGGTCAGGACAGTCTTCTACGTATGCCTGGTAACGCCGACGTGTCTCCGCCGGTACACCTCTCTGTTCTCCCTGGCTAACACGAAGTTGGGCTTGCGCGACGTTGTCTCTGTGTGTCTTTAGTTTTTCGTGGGCACGCAAGTTCCCCAGCTTGGTCCAAGCCGACCCTCCCTCGGGGGTATGGCATAGCGAGCACCGGCCCAGGCGGCCGTCAATTTCGAAATCTACCATTATTTGATTTCATTACCACTGCATAGAAACGAAGCTCAGCGTACCTTGGGGACGTGCAAGATCTGGCATGACAGACCAGGGACTGAGATGGTGGGCGGGACGAAGAGAGACAGCCGGGCGGGGTCCTGTGGCGCCACAAACCAGTTAGCCGCTGTGACCCCTATGCGCGGTGTTCACGGCATGACGGACAAGGTACTCGGACACAATGTAAGGTAAAGTTGCTCGCTATTGCAGGCAGCCAGAAGGGCGAACCAGTATTCTAAGTGACTAAGTTAAACGCGGCGCCGCTTGACACTCGGCCGCGATGTGCTGAGTTGCGGAACCGAGTCCTCTGCCTCACTGCTAGAGATGGTAATAACATCCTCACGGGTGCTACTACCCAGTCGCTTGACAGGAACGCTGAAAGGGAACGTGTAAACGGAAGCAAATCCAGCGGAATACAGTTACTCACAACTTTGGATCATGAGTACGGGACATGCCTGAAAGCGACGTGCGCGCCGTCGCTATCATAGTACGCGACCCCTTGGGCAGCGTAGATGGACCAGGTGCGGACGGAGAAGGGCTTGCGGGCTTGCTTTTGGTAGAGCGGCGCGGCTTCAGGGAGAATGCAGATGCCTTGGCAGACTGACGGCCACGGGCGGCGCGATTGGGCGGAGAAGCGTACGCACGCGAGAGAGCTGATGCATACACACCAGGAGAAGGAGAGGTGTCGGTAGGGGTAGAGGGAGACCCATACGCACGAGGAGCTGTGTATGTGTATGCGCGACGCGGCGTCATGATCTTCTGTGACTGCTCCGTGGGATCGAGGATCATTGGCTCTTCTGCGAGTGCTGCGCGTACCGACTCCAGATGACCCACGACCCCTGCATAGGCCGCCTCCATGCGCGCCAGCTCTTTCTCACATGCTGCCTGCATGCGGACCAGTTCCTCCCGCAGCTCCTCGTTCTCGTCCTGAGTTTGGTCGCAACACAACGCTATACCAGTGTAGCATCAGTGGGTTATACAGCTGTAATGCGTATGATATTTACTTTCAGCCAGGTCTGTGTACTCTGTCTGAGTAGACGCGTCGACGAGGTCACCGCGACCTGTACTGGAGTTGAGTAACCTCTACGGTGAGATCAGAGATCAGGAGACCGCTGACCTTCGAAAAGCGACGCATCGTGAGCGAACGAACTAGCCCACTGCGAGTCGGACGTCTGCGAATCGAGAGCTCCGCCGGGTTGAAACAGGGCGCTGTTACGCATGTCAGACAGAGCCAAACACCTATTATAAAATTCATACCTTGTACGCCGTGTGCCGATGTGCGCTGAGCGGGAAGGGCGCGACCTGTTTTCCAAGCCCTCCGGCTCCTCCATAAGTTGTGATGGCTCGTAAAAATCACTGTCGAGTTCTTGCGAGGCCATTATTGCAGCGGTGTGGAGGTCGAACGGCGCGAGGGCCGAGGACTTGAACAGACATTCTGCTGGCTCAGAAGTCACGAGGGCATGACCGAAGTCTGTGTATTGAGCTTGCTAGCAATCTGGCACCGCCCCAGGGGGTGAATGGTACTGGAGGGAGAGGTATGGATTGGATACTGAGGCAAGGCGGAATCGATACGAGCTCCGTTACTGATGGCGTAGCCCCTGGGAATATGGTCTCAATATGGAAACTTGTACATATCTAGTACTATCTGGGCATCTTTCTGATACCGACGGGGTCAGTATTTGCCCGATACATGGCTTCACCCGGTGGTGTAGACCATGTATCTTTACAATGAGGCGCAGCTAGCGCTTATGTCGTGTACAGATCTCGCAGTTGGCTGCGTGTTGTGATTTCCAGTCGTCATGAAGGGCTTGCTCTTATCCCCAAAGGTTTCGAGGTATCCGTGAAGGCCGGTAGTTGCCACATCGTCCGTAGTTGAAATCTGGTTCGTCAGTGTTGCAATGGTGCGCTGAGTATCGTCATTCGACTACTAATCGCTCGTGCTCTTCTGGTTTTACAGGCCATGCGTCTGCTAAACACGAGAACAGGCGACTTCCAGTGGATCGAGAACCCGGAGCAGATCTCGTACGCAATCCTCTCGCACACCTGGTCGCCCAACGGTGAACAAACATACGCAGAGCTCCTCGCTATCCAAGCTGAAGTCCGCTCCGCGCGGGAGAGCTGCGCGCGTTCGGGCTCACCGCCGCTTTCAGAGAACGAAGTACTCTTGCGAGCCTGCCCCAAGATCAGGTACGCATGCACGTACGCCCTCTCACAAGGCATGGAACGCCTCTGGATCGACTCCGCCTGCATCGACAAGACGAACAGCGTCGAGCTCTCTGAGGCGATCAATTCCATGTACAAGTGGTACGGCTACGCCGCTATCTGCTACGCTTTCCTGGAGGACGTCAATGCCAATGACGACCCGCTTGCGCCCGATTCGCAATTTCGTTCCAGTCGGTGGTTCACGCGCGGCTGGACTTTACAGGAACTCATCGCACCCAGGGCGATGTTGTTTTGCTCGGCGCAATGGGAGATGATTGGCGGCAAGGACAGCTTGGCGGAGCTCATCGAGGACATCACGGGAATAGACGCAACCATCCTCGTCCACGCGCAACCTCTCGCGTCTATCAGCGTCGCCCGCCGCATGTTCTGGGCGTCGAAGCGCGTCACCACGCGCAAGGAGGACGAGGCGTACTCCCTCATGGGCATCTTTGGTGTCAACATGGCGACCATCTATGGCGAAGGACGGCTCGCCTTCGTGCGTTTGCAGGAGGAAATTCTTAAGGAGATTCCTGACCAGAGTCTCTTTGCCTGGGAGAACAGCGGCGGGGTTTGGATTACCGACTTCGATCAGGAGGAGAGTGGGCATCCGCGAACGCTGTTAGCAGCCTCCCCGGCGGATTTCGCGTGTTCGTCCAACGTCCGGTCGATCACCAAAAAACAATTCAGCAACATGTTCTTGCCGAAGGGCGTCGAGCTCCCCCCAGAGAGCTATCTTGTCACCCCCTACGGCATCCGCGCCACTTTCCCCATTCTTCCCATCGGTGGCGAGATCAAGTTGGCGCTGCTTTCGTGCATTAACAAGGATAATCAAGTCGTTGCGCTCGTTCTACGGCCCGGAGACGACGCCAATGCCGACGCGTACTCCGTTGGGGCCATACTTCAAAACCACACCGACACCATGTGTTACTGGGGCTGCACTGAGGACCCTACCGCAAAAAGACCGTCCGGTGCATGGCGCCCGTTCTGGCATCCTATGCACCCAGGGGTGTGCTCCGAACAAAGCGATGGAGATGGTCCTGAGTTCAATCGTGTGGTCTGCCTCGCGCGGGAGATGGTTTGGACGACAGTCAACGCGTTCATTCATTGGAATCGCCTAGATAATCTGTTGACATACGTGGAACGCGCTGAACTGTGTATCGCGCACAAGCCAGGGCTCGCGTCTTTCCACGGAACGGCCCGTGGACGGGATCCTGGAGCGGGCCCTTCGGACGATCACCGTGCTCGCGCGTTTTGGCTCAACATACCTGCCCGTTGTCGATCGCATCTAGCCAGCGTGGGGTATACCCTTTCCATGTCCTCTGGCCCTACCACGACCTCCACCGTTGACGAGCGCTCGGAGCCTCTTGAGCGCCATTTCCCCGCTGGCCTTCGCTTACCTCCTTGGGTTCACACTATTCGAATCGACCCACCCCTGGCGAGCGACCGGCAAGCAGTGGTCATCAGCGTCAGGCCTTCGCATTGCCTCTGCACGTCTCATGGAGATCTGTGGGCCATCTCAGCTCGCGTGTCTACATCAACCGAACAGGTACTCGAGGTCGACCACACCCATATGGAGGATCACACGGAGCTCTCTTCATCCGCAAGCTGCGATGATCCCTGTGAGGATCCCTATGAGCACGTCGGGTCATGGAACACGAGCCAGACACTCCCGAACCGGTGGCAGCGCTTTCTCCTTCCTGCTCGTACTAGTGTCGCGGAGGGCTCGTCTCAGGGCGAGATTAGTGTCCCGGTCCCAGAGATGGTCACGCCGTTGCTGGTGACGTTCATTCGCGACTTCGTGGGGGACGCCAAATATCCTGCCGTCTTTTCTCTCTTCCTCGAGATCTTTCCCTCAATGCCACGCTCTGCATTCAGATCGCCGAATGTTTCCCGCCTAGAGTCGCGTCAGGAACTTGGGGAGGCAGCGGTGGATGCGGCGGCGGTGGACGAGGCGGTGGTGGGAGCTGATGCAGAAACCGATGGGCCCGGTTCTGCTAGCTCGGGCGCACAGGGCGGCGCGAACGGAGAGGAAGGCAGCACTCGCTCGAGGGGCGTGTTCCAGGCGGGCCCGAAAGGATTTAGGAAGCTGCGCATTTTTAGGAAGCGTTCGTAGGGTTGACACTGTCCATAGTATGTTCGTTCTGTACTTCAAGGGACAGATCGGGCTTCCTTAACCTCGAATCTACATCATATATCTACGAGACTCAGCAGGTGGTAGAAGTCACGAACAAGAAGACTGCGCCAAGTTACTATTATTTACCCCTTTGTATCGGGTGTTTCAGTGGTAAGTGCAGATGATTTTCGCCGGAGTCGGAGTCCGGACGACAAGACCAACATGCCATCCTCCATTCTGCATTCTTCCTTCGCTGTAATTTTACGAGTCTATGACGTCGCTGAGTAGCGAGCTATGAAGTGAAGATAGAGAGCCTACTTTGTGGATACGGCGAGAGGTCAAGTCGCTCGAGGGGGGCCCATATTTACTGAACCAGCAGAGAAGCATCATCCACTGGCATGCTGGGGTATAATTCCCGGAAGGACGTTATGCAGGGGCCCACGAGGTCTACAATGTCGCCGCGCGGTCCGGCTCCCTCCATAGCCTCCGTGTCCTTGCTCGGGCTGCCGGCAAGCCTACGCGCAAACACGACCTCCTGAGGGCTCGGGGAGAGCAACTTCAAGACAACAATGTATATATTGAGGCGCAATATGATATCCGGGGAGCAAATTACATGGTATGACCGTATCCATTCTCAGCGAGAGCAGCAGTACTAATAAACCCACCTCAGCTTGAATGAGTCTTCAAGTCCCGGATTCCATGGGAGACGGTACTGCGGCTGATCTTCAGGCGCCAGTCCCCAGTATTCCTCCGCTCCATCAGCGTTCCACATATCCCGCATCTCGAATAGACATAACTTCGACTCCTTTCCGTCCACCACTTCGACTGCAGCGACGTGTTCCCGGTATGGGGCGAGTGCGCTCTCGAAGTCCTCCAGCGTCTCCATGCGATCAGTGGGCGATTCACAGTGAAGCTGCAATGCGAGGCGATGAAGCGGCGCGCCCATGCGTGAGCGACTCCTCGCCATTTTCAACGCGGTGTCAGGTCCGAGCTTCCCTGGTGTACCGGAAAGACGGAAGTGGCCGGGATTGTCGCTCAGAATCTTGACCGATAGGACCTGGAGCACCGGGCAACAGGCAGACTCTTCTGCAGCCAGGGTGGCATAGAGACGTTCTAGGAGACACTGGCAGGTGCTCTCGCTGTGCATTTGTGAGCCCGGATTGATGCGTACCGCCAGCTCGACCAGGTTCAGTAAGAGGGGTAGCAGCTTGGGAAGGAGAGCCGGGTCTAGGACGCAGATGTGAAGTGTCCTGATGGAGGCGAGCGACAACATGGCACCGAGAGTCGTCACCCACGTCGTCCAGTGGTCTTCCGAGTTCGGGGGATGGACGTTATAGGCTACCACAAAGCTCTTCGCCCGTATCCACAACCCGGACCGCGTACCTTGAGCCACTACCTGCAGGTGATTCTCGTCTGTCACCACCTCCAGGTGATCAAAGCTTTCGACGAGGCCCTGCGAAGGGATAGGACAGGTACGAAGATCATCGATTAGGTCATCCTCAACGCGTTGCAGACCGTCCAGGCGCACCAAGGCGTCTTCTGGGAGCTCAAGCGACTCAAGGAAGCGCAGTGCGGCGCCTACATCGCTGTCGAGGCATGTGAGTGCGCGGAGCGACCGAAGGGTGACTGGTGGAGAGACGGAGGCAAAAAAGGATCTCATCTGGAGCCTCGAGAGGTGTAGGTACTGCAGAACTGGAGTGTTGGAGAGGAGATCCATCAGGTCTTGCATCGCTCCCTCGCTCGAAGCCCGCTCGTGGAAAGGCGAGAGGTAGAGATGCGTCAGGGAGGGGAATGAGGTACCGAAGATCGTAGAGCAGAATGGCTGGAGCGCGAGGGCCTTCAAGTGAGAGACGACGCACAGGTGTGTAACCCCTTCATGCTCATCGTCTCCTAGATAATCACAGTCTGCGGCAACGGTGAGGCATTCGAGGGAGTGCGGGAAATCCGGGCTACAATGTCCCCAGGGTGGGCCTTCTACGCAATCAAATCGCCGAACACGATGGCCGTGTTGCTGTAGTAAGCGGTCTACGCGCTCGTTAGGCATTCCAGGGAACATGTGCAGCCGCAGTGGCATCGTGCCAGAGCGAGTCAAGTACGCTTCTAGCGTCGCCTCGTGGCGATTGTCGACGTGCGTCCAAAGAGTCGGAGTTTGCAGCGCAATGGCGCGCCACCGGCTGCCCACTTGGGAGAGAGCCAGTAACGCCCACATTTCTGGAATGCGCTCGGTCGCCGCCTTCTGGCTTTTGACGGTGCGGTCGCTATCCGGCTGGACCACGTATTCGAAGATGTAGCTGAATATTTCGGGCGGGAGCCTGTCGATGGGGGCGAACCTATTGCGGTGGCGTCTGAGGCCCACACACACTTCCGTGAGGATATAGTCCGAGTCCTCCATCTGAAAGGGGTTGTGAGTGACAGGCGAGGGTAATGAATGTGGGAACATCTGTACGCACGTCTTCACACCTAGTACGAATACCATATCATTAAATATTCCGGGGTCTTCAAAGGTAGACAAAGAATTTCGCGTACCACTCAACGTGCATCTCACGATGCAGGGCATCTGGCAGCATCGCGACCAGTTCGTTGAAGGAAGGCGGTTCGGGATATGCGGCTGCACCCATATACGATGATGTCTGCTCCCATAGTCCAATCAGTTCGTGAACGTCATTTCAGTACGCCACCCTAGTGACTACATACCTGCCCCATCTTCGATAAGCTTCTTCAAGGTACTTGGAACTCGCAGGACGTTTAGTAACCAGAGAGTAGTACTGGCAACCGAAGCGACCTCTTATATATGTATTTCGGATATGCTTTGGTGCCAAAGACCCTTGGGCGACGACTCAAAGCCGTTGGGATGATTTCCCGTGAACGTGGCTCAAGCAGCACGCCTGTGCGTGTCTGGTCAGTTGGATTATATCTATGTCAATGATCCCTTTCAGAGTACTCCGACACAACCGCCCCGTGCGAGATAGAGTGGCGTAGTAGACCTGAGCGCCGGGTTTTGCAAGACATAGCACGAGCCGGCGTGACGAAAATGCGCCCTGCAAACGTATCAATCTATATCCTTGTATCATCAGATGCAAATTCTACGGCGCGGAGAAGACTTACAATATCGTGTCCTTGTCTGACACAGGCGGATGGAATACCGAAATAACATCAGGGCTGAGGTCGCATCGCCGGTGCCGGTCAGTGTAAAAGACGCCCGCACCCGACTCTGCCATGGCGTCCAGGAAATCACCGAGGCCCGCGCTGCTAAGTAGGGGTCTCAGGCGCGAGGCGCGAGACGATGCCTCGATTCAGTACAGGCAGGCGACAAAGTTTTCATATTGCGATAGCAAGACTAGATGTACATACAGACACGTCTAGGAGACGATTGTACCGTCTACTTGGAGCGGCGGGCAAGGTTCGGGAGCGTTATAGATCAGTGAAATGTCCGCACTCCATCAGGTGGGGAAAGGAGCAGATTGATGTTCCACGAGGGCAACGATACCCAGTTCAGAGGAAAGCTTGCGCTTGGAGCTTCCAGATGTTCGCATATCCTCCGTCTTGTTTGAGCAGCTCTTCGTGCGTTCCGGCCTCGACAACGACGGAGTCGTTCATGTACCTAATCACCAGTCAGTAACGCACTCACGCAAGCACCCGGGGACGAACACTCACAGAATCAAATCGGCGTGGCGCGTAAGGTTTCCGAAACGGTGCGAAGAGAAGAGCATCGTCTTGCTCCCACGGAGCTCCCGAAGGCGGTCAAAGAGGTCTGCGCCACCATGGTCGCGTTAGCACGGTGGGAGCGAAGCCCGCGTCGTGACCGGAGAAGCCCAGTATAATCCACTCACCGTGTTCCGCCACGGGGTCAAGTGACGCACTAGGCTCGTCGAAGAGCAGAAGGCCCACCCTCGCGTCTTCCGGCACCACAGACCGCATGAACGACCGTGCGCTGGATTAAGCCACTAATCAACATATACGTCTCGCGATGCTGCCGACACGGCCACTCACACTGCGAGCCTCTGCAGCTGACCGCCGCTCAGTGTAGACGAGTCGGTCGCCTTCATACCTCCGGCGTCGCGCAGCGCGCCATAGTCGACCTTGCGCCCGAAGAGCGTCGTCGTCCCCTCAGGCAGCCCGGCGTAAAGATCCTTCACCGGGCGGTCCAGATACGTGTCGAGCCCGTCCGGCAGCTTCTCGATGAACGCCTCCGCGCCCCCCAGGCGCGCTGCGCGCCGCACGTGTTCGTCGTCCCCTGCTGCGGACGGGTCTCCGATGGCGATGTTATCGCGGATCTGTGTAGGGCGTGGGGTGAGCCTGCGGTGCTGGTGCTGCGGTGGGGCGTTAGGTGGGGCAGACTGCACGCACCGAGAGGGGGAAGTGCGTGTAGTCCTGGAAGAGGACGGAGATGGCCTGGCGGAGATCTCGGAGGCGCAGCGTGCGGATGTCGTGGCCGTCGAGGAGGATCTGCCCCTCGTCGGGGTCGTGCAGGCGGACGATCAGCTTGAGCGCCGTGCTCTTTCCTGAACCGTTCGCGCCGACGATCACCTGAAAATGGTGCAGACTTAGCAGGGCCTCGATGTTGGGAGTTCGGACGCACACAGAGCTGTCCGGGGAGGATGCTGAACGACACATTGCGTAGCGCGTAGTTCTCCGTGCCCGGGTACTTGAACGAGACATTTCTACTCGTGTGTCAGCGATACCGTAATGACAGTGCTCCAAGGCGACATACTCACCTAAACTCAAGTGCTACCCCGGAACGAATCTGAGCAGCGTCCTCGGGGAAGGGGACGGTACCGTCTGGGACTTTGTTGGGGACACTGGCGACCTCATACAGCTTACGCACCTCGCCGATCTGAGCGGCAAAAGTTCGCGTCGAGTGCATCAGCTCTAACATACAGAAAGCGAACGTGTTTGTTGACTCCTGCACCATCTGCAGGGACGCGAGCGACACGGGCATGCTTGCGGGGTGTTGCACCGCCCGGAGCGTGAAGAACATCTGCAGGGTGCCCATGACAGGTCAGATGCGAGCAGTATGGGCGTGGCTGGGCCCGTTACCTGCGGAAGCTCGCGTAGAGGATATTCAAGCAGGGCCCAAAAACTAAAACGGTCCTTAATCCGGCCGTAGATCTGCCACTGTTCGAAGGCGCTGTCGCTGTCGCCGACGCGTCGAGAAGCGTTCTCGAATTCTGTGGCCCACTTGGATCAGTCGCAGTGCGAGGAGGCGGTGAGGAAGTAGTCATCGAGTACCAGATACTGCGTATTCGCCTAGGTTGCCCGCAACGACTTCCTGGCGATGCGCGGCCCCTTCTATGGCGCGCTTCCAGCCGCGAAGCTTGAGGTAGTCTCTGTCAGTCGTAGTGGCCGCCCAAGCTGCCGCGTAGATTGCTTATGAGCAGAAGATCCCATATGGATAATATGCAGTGATACTGACCTTGTGGACGCCCGCTTATCAACCCGGTACTAGAGAGCCACTGTATGGTTTGAGAAGACATCGTGAGCCCAGCGAGCATGTACCCGTCCTTTTGCCCGCCGAGCGTCTGAGCAAGCACCGCGACCTGGGCTGTGGCCTGCGTCGCCGCGCGCACGAAGCCGGACAGCATCTCGATGGTGCGCCAGACGCCGGGAGGCATGTAGGGAGACGTCGTGATGTCGTCGAGCTGCCGCTGTACCGAGGACAGCTGGTACGTCGGCACATCGAGGCGTGCGCGGGCACGGAAGATGTGCGCGTCGGACCATTGTCTGATCCGCCACACGAGGCTGGAGCGGATGCGGTCTCGCAGGAACTTGATGAGATGCGTTGCGATCGTGCAGGCGATGCGCCCGGCGCAGATGTGCATGAGGTGATCCTTGTCTACCGTGCGCGTGTCAATTGCGATTTGCATCTAGATTCGAGTGAGTTAGGTCTCGGGCGGGGATGAGGAATGAACTGATTCGTACTATATGCAGAAGCTGTCCTTGGTACCTGTAGTCCGCACACGCTGTCACGACGATGCTCAGTGGAGTAATAAAGATCATACCATAGAGAGAAGGCTGGCATGAACGCCTGGCCAAGTTCTGCGGCGAAGAACACCACCAATAGGAAGGCGCAGTATGGAAGGGCGAGGACATCCCTGAACATCCGCCACACAAAGGGCATGCATTTGACGATCTCTGCCTGTTGTTCGAGTACTGCCAAGCCCGGTAAAACCGACGTTGAGGACACCCTTTCCTCATACACATCCCATACGCCGTATCGAGTATGTTTAACGCTCTTTTTGTCGTTGATGTTGAATTCCCCCTTGCGGGCCAAGCTCGGAGGTCCCCAGCGTCGCATCGTGAAGGAGACAGAAACGGGGGGACGAGCGGATGGCAGTCTGCAGTCCACCGACTGGGTACTTATATAGAGTACGAGCTTGAGTCATGCCTGTGTGCGGAGCCGGGCCGACAAGGCTGGTCAGCGCCAGCCTGTCCGAGCGTGTCGACTGCGCCTTGATCAGACTCATACCACGGTCTTTGAATTCAAGCGGAATTCGTACCAGATTGCGGTAGGAACGCACTTGGACATGAGGCCTGAGGTATACATGCCTGCGCCGCAGTGCGCATTCGGTGGCGCACGTGCTAGACGCTGGGAGCGAAAGAAGCGGGCGGCAAACTGCAGAGGGAGAAATACCTTGTAAAGGCGGGAGACTGTCCGCGGGCATGGCAAAGGGAGTGGCTTAGCGTAGTTACTAGCGGGTGGCTTTAGTAGCTACCCTTTGTCCCGAAACCTCCGTGAAGGAGGCGTTGGAGATGCGAGGTGCTCACCGTCGTCGCAGAAGACACTAAGGGTGGGCTCTCCGCACCATTCCGCCTACTGCTCACTGTGATGAGCCGGTGATCGACAGAGGTGTGCTGACGTCGAACACGGCATCTGCATAACATAAAGCGAGTCATATCAGCGTCAACAGACGAGAGTGAACGATGCACACAGCCTACCGGTCGGCGAGGAAACACAACTCGGAAGGAGTATGTGCTCCTAAGGGAAAGGTGGCTCGAGATGAGCAAGGGTTCTCTAGCCTGATTTGAGACCAGCAGACGAAGCTGAAGGACGGACAAAAGCGAGACGCGCCAGGGCGGTCCACTCAGACTAGCACTGCGCAGGACGGGGCCCTAGTGTTCGAGTATCCGCAAAAGGTACGTCGAAGGGGGCAGGAGTTCGGGGCAGGAGAGTTCGAATAGAGAGGAAGCTCTCCAACCGCGAGAGTCCCGCGAGAGAGTGAAAGCATCGGGATCGTTTTGTGAGCCTCAAGCTGCCTCAAGCTCACATTAGGCGAGCTTGCCTACGAGCCTGGGACCGCGGTGCCATGGGTCGGCAAACTACTGATAATGCTTAATAGGTCTCTGTATAGCTCGTGGCGAGGATGGCGAGGGTGGGGACGTACCGAGTCCTGAACGTGAAGCAGGCCGCACCGATAACAGTACTTGGTTCCGCCAGTAAGAGTTCCACCAAGTTGTGCACGATGTAAGGAGTATGAGAACTGATTTGACGGTAGAACCAAGAGTAACATGCCGTCGAAAGAACGACCAGCTGCAGAACTGGGATTCTGGTTTATGAAGCTATGCAACCACGAGGACTCACTTCAGTTCGACTCCAGTTCCATGTAAACGATGCCTCACAATCCCTTACGTCGAGCGTGCATGAGATCTTAAACGCGCTGATTGTGCCGTTCTATGAGTAGCTTAGAGTAACCCAGGGCTCAAATTGTCTTGATATCATTTTTGAAGGGTTTCAAAGTAAGATATGCATCGGCCCAGGGTATAGCTGAGTTGTGTGAAGGAGGCGAAGCCGAAGGAAGAAATAAGCCACAAAGGCGCTGACGTCGACGTGAGGCCCGATTTGGGCTAGATTCCGGGGCCTGGTCGGCGTACGGGGATCCACTTTCGGAGGAGCTCCGGCGAGGGGCCGTCGTCCGGCGGGGCCTGGCGGAGCTGGGGTTGATGTGATTGGCCGCGGTGATTGTGGAGACTAAGCGAGCTTCGGGCGATCTGACGTCATGGGGCCTGGGCCGCCGACAGCGACTGGGTGGCCACGCCGAAACCAATATTCGGCCTTTTCTGCTGCATTCGCGTTGATTCCTTACCACCATCGTCCTCATCGTCCCCGACCTCTGCTCACCGTTGCGGACGTCGTTCTCACCCCTCCCCTCCCTCCCCCACCGTTCGCCACGACGTCTGACCCGGTCCCCGCCCCCTCCTCCGGCCATCCGGGGGATGCCCTCGACAGCTTTGCAGCTGCCATCTCGGCCCGTTATGCTCAGCAGACGACACCTCTCATCTCTATCAACAGCCCCTCCCTCTCGCCGCCGAAGTCGTCCCTGATGGCTCAGGCGACCGCGGCTGCCACTCCGAGCTTCATGCCGCCCCCCATCTCGTTCTCAAAGTCTCTTCCGAGCGCTGCATCGTCTTCCGGGGCCGCGTCTTCTTCCGTCGCCCTCCCTCCGAGCGCCTTCACGACGCTTCCTCCCTCCGCGCTGAAGGACGTACTATCCGACCCCTCCGCGTTGATTCTTGACATTCGACCGCACAATGCTTACGCGCAAGCCCGCTTGCCTAATGCACTGTCGCTTTCGGTTCCGTCAACCCTCCTTAAACGCCCATTGTTCTCGCTATCCAAGTTGGCGGATATGCTTCCTACGTCCTCCGCCCGGGAGAAGTTCTCAAAGTGGCCAGAGGCGTCACGTATACTTGTTTACGACGCGGACTCTGCGTCGATACCCCAGACACAGGCGAGCAACCTGCTCGGGTTGATGCGCAAGTTTCGCGGAGAAGGATTTCCGCAAGAGCGAGAAGTAGCTTGGCTTCGGGGAGGTTTCCACGCAGTATGGCGTGACTACCCTGATCTCGTGAGTCAAGAACCGCCTGCGGAGGAGGCGGAGGACGACGATATGCAGGCGGAAGCTGAGGCTGCGCCTATGGGCAAAACGATGTCTGCACCTCCGGCTACACGAGCTCTTCGCGCAAAGCAGCTGCCGATGTCTGCCTTTACGTCTGCCACGACCATTCCGTTGCGACCAAGGGTAAGTATTCCTCATTGTCTCTTCCTGCAAAATGTCACTCACCCGTATCTTCTTAGGCGATGCCTCCACCGACATCTGTGCCTATGCAGCTCGTACCGCCGACGCCCGCAATGCCTCGCGAAGACCCGTTTGCGAAGGTGTCTGCCATTCCCCCAACACCTGCATTCGAGACCGCACCGCCTATGCCAGCCCCCCAGCGATCTGGAGATTTTGCGCTGCGGCTTCCGCCCATGGGTCGCCCGAAGACCGTCGGGGGAACAAGTGGGCCACGAGGTCCATTGTATAGTATGCCTACATTGTCTCCTCAGTATACGCACTCTGGTGCGTATAATCGCAATACGAGCTTCTCCGTCCCAGGTCGACAGGTTCGTGACGATAACATGATATACCGCGTGCAACGCTGACCATGTCTACAGGTCGCGTTCAACCCCTTCTTTGACACCATTCGGCAGAACATCGAGCTCGGCAGCAGAGACGCAAAGGGCGCGCATGGAGAAGGCATACCACTCAAGCTCCCCAGGCGTGTCCGCCAACGGGTCGGTGAGTTGCCGTTCGAGTGGATCCGCCAAATCGCCAGGAAGAGCCGGCGCGTCACGGACAGCAGTAGCACTACTGAGGACAGCGACTCGTCCGCCAGTGATATCGATCTGCCCGGGGTGCAGCCAACACCTCGTCCGGAAATTCTGGGGTCAGGCGCTCCTTCACGTCCGCCGAGATTCGATGCGATGGCCCGTCGCTCGCCTCCGAAATCGCGATCGTCATCTCCATCACAACCGATACCCATCCCCCTCACGCACCCCCGAGCGGACGGGTCTTCGTCATCACCATCAAGCCCGACGCCCTCGTCACATTCGCGCTCCCCACCCGATGCGGAGGAGCTCACGCGAGCACTCGAATCCCAGTTCTACAACATAGAGCTGGGCGAGCAGAAGCGCTTACTCGGCGTCATGGAACGGCATAGTATGGAGAGCGGGAAGGTCATACAGGAGGGCGGCGGTGTGCGCGGAGCTCTCGGGGCTTTCCCGCAAGGCAAGTCCACCCAGGGGAAGCCTCTAGTCAGTGCCAGCACGGTCGGCCAGGTCGACGCAGAAGACCCCGCAGCCGTGGGCGAGGACGCCATGGCGTCCTTCCCGTATAGCATTACTGCTGGGTTGGAGAAAGGCGCCAAGAACAGGCGAGTCATGCTCATTCCTACTGACGTGTCTTGTATACTGATGTGGTCTTTCTGAAGGTATCGGAACATCTGGCCTTTCGAGCACGCACGCGTAAGGCTGCGGAAGACGAAACCGGACGACGACGATTACATGAACGCTAGCTACGTGCAGCCGCTCGGGACGACTAAGCGATACATTGCGACGCAAGGCCCCTTGCCTGCTACATTTGCGGACTTTTGGACGTGAGTCATCGCTCGATTTGACCCGTACGTTTCGACGGTCGAGAGAGCGTCGTCGGGGTGATGCGCTCGAGATTGCCTCGTCTGGCCCTTGCTTCATACTCTGCGATTGTAGCTCTTTGATCGTTACGGGCTCGGGCTATGTAATCTATCATGGCAACTCGCTGACGCTTTTTTGCAGGTTATGCTGGGAGCAAAATGTCCACGTCATCGTCATGCTGACGCGCGAGATCGAGGGCTCTTCCGTGAAGTGCGGAAAGTACTGGGAGGAGGGCTCGTACGGAACCCTTCGTCTGCGTTTGCTGGAAACAAACGACACACCCGAGCGGGAGCAGAAACGCCGCGATGTTGAGATCAACAGCGGATTTTTCCGCGCGCACGTCCCACAGGCCAAACCGAAGGCCGAGCGGAAGCCGAAGGAGAAAGGGAGCCGCGAACGAGAAGACTCTTCGACCATCAAGCGCGTCTTCGAGTTGACGAACGCCGCATACCCCCATGCACCGCCGCGAGTTGTGACGCAGTTCCAGTACCTGGAGTGGCCCGACCTGAACGTCCCCGAGGATCCCCGTGGCGTGCTCAACCTGATTCGCCAGGTCGAAGATGCCGTTGAGCAGTCTCGCAGCGCCGGAGAGAAGCAGTGGGGCGAGGGTCCGCTGCACCGGAGGACGCGTGTCAAGAAGACGAGCCCAGAGCGGCCCACGCTTGGGAACACCGCCGCGGCTGGTGCAGATCCTTCGGGCCAAGTTGACCCCGTCACGGGCGTTTCCTTACTCGCCAAGGAGAACGCGCCGGTGCTGCTGCACTGCTCCGCGGGGGTGGGACGCACGGGAGGCTTTATCGCTGTGGACGCTGTCCTCGACGGCATCCGGCGCGAGATGCGGAAGCGCAAGGAGGGCAAGGTCAAGGAGACGGCCACGGTGGAAGAAGCGTCAACCTTCGGGCAGGGGCGGTCTGGCACCGCCAGCTCGAGCCGAAGCCAGAGCACAACAAGGAGCAGGAGTCGCAGCCCGAGCATCGTCAGCCCCACGCCGGATCTCATGGAGATCGACTCGGTCCCCAGGACGCTCGCGCGCGGCCAAGAGGTCTCCCAGCTCACGGCACCGGTAGACGCCGGCGATCGCGAGGTTCATGTTCCTGTCGCGGGGTTCACGGACGCAGTGCCCATGGACATCGACGAGCGGCAGGAAGCGACGGCGATCAACGTCAAGGCACCCGTCCCGTCTACGTTCGCGTTCAAGCGCGGAGATGTGCCTCCACCGCTCATGCAGGCTTCTCCGGAGTTAGTGGACGAGGTCAGGCGCGCGACGTTCCGTGCCTGGCCCGCGACGTCCCTGGGGATGGCGTCGCCGTTGGCCGGGCCGTCGATGCCGCCGTTGGCAAATGCGTCAGTCCACCGCGGCGCGTCGAGCGTCCTGTCGGGGAGCAGCTCCGACTCATTTGCTCGCACCAGCTCCGTCGCCAACTCGCGCTCGCGTTCGTCCGTAAGCCCGCCCACAAGTCAAACGGACAGCTCAACAAGCGTGATGGTCGGCAAGACGGCCCGGCTCACGATGGCAAGTCCCTCGCCACCGACGAAGGAAGTCTCGCTACCACCGAGCGACGCAGCCAACGATCTTCTGCCGTCCTCAGCGAGGCCCAAACCCACGCCTGCCGGGCAAATGCAGCAGGGGCCAGAGGGTGCGCATCATGCTCCGTCGCGGCCGTCTTCTCAGTCGCATCGGCTCAACTCGTGGAGGTCAGAAGTGCAGTCTTCGGACCTCGGGCTGATAGAAGAATCGTCCGTGCCCACGCCCTCCAACTCCACCAAGCCGTCGCACTCGAGCTCAAGCGATACCGTCACGGGTGGGTCGGAGGCTGCTGCTCCGGTCGGCCCGCCGTCGCCGGATCTGAAGGAGCCGCGGAGACTGCACGACGACAGCACACCGCCGCTGTTGTCGATGTATGAAGACCCGATCCGGCGCGTGGTCGAGGACATGCGCGAGCAGCGCATGAGCTTGTGCCAGAGCCTGCGCCAGTACGTGTTCGTGCACCGGGCCATCATCGAGGGTGCCCTCGTCATCGTCGACGAGGAGAAGAAGAGGAAGAACAGCCTCCAGGAGTCTGCGGAAGTTGGTTCGAGCAAGACGCAGGTCTCCCCTATCCTCGAAGCACCTCGGGCCATATCACCGGTCTCCAGCATGTTGGTCGAGCCCGCCCAGGCCTCGGCAGCAGAAGGCGTGCACGCCCATGGCGTACGCCTCGGACAAGCGTTCGTGCCTTCTGACGAGCGTGAAGTCTCGCGGAAGCGCAGCTACCCGGAGTTTGTCGCCGGGAACACAATCGTCGAGGGCGTGGTCTCGCCCGCGAGCGTTGCGTCGCCTGGTCGTCCCAAGCGCGTTGGGAGCCCAGCCGAGCTGACCAAAGAGGACGTCGACGGCGGGGTGCTACTCACGAAGCGGCCAAGTGTCAAGCGCAGGCAGAGGCCGAGCGACGTGAGCGGACAGCGCCCGACATTCGACGCGGTTCTTCTCAGTTCGCAACCGCCTTCGGACGCGCGGTAGCCCGCCATTTTACCCCGGACTTTTCGGATATCTTTTCTCTTCGCATTTTCGTTCCTACATCTCTATTTCTACTCCACTCTTGTTCCTCCCACCGTATCGCTCTGGGCGTCTCACGCTCCTGCCTCCCTGTCCGTTGGAGGTTGTAGTATCTACTTGTACAGTTTCTTGTGCTCGTATATTTCCATTCCACGCATTTCTTCCATATGTACCTCTGCCATTAATCATCTGCCCTCTCCACATCCGCACCATGTATCCGTCCGCCCGTCCGCCCGCCCGTGTTGTCCAGCCCAGTCCATTCACCCGTCCACGCACGCAATGGCACGCCCTCCGTCGCATCTGCTCTCTGACCCCCGCTCGCTCGCATCGCACACACGGCCGCACATCGCTCATACTCGTATACCTCCCTACATATATGCACCGCCCCTGTAGCCCGGCGTTTCGTAGACCACATCGCGCACGCCGCCACTGTATCATACCGACATATACTGCCGCTCTCGAGCTTTCTAAACAATCGCATATGTATGTTCACGCGTCGCGTCTGGCTCGCTGCTGGGCAAGTGGCTGGGCGGCAAAGACGATTTGGTACGTGGCTATGTGCTGTTTTCTTTGCTGTTCGTATGTGATAACGGGGACAAAGGTTTTGGGGTCAACACGAGCGACAGGCGTATATATAAGCCTGGTTGCGCGCTCTGATTTTTCTCAACAGCCTTGCTACTTTCTTGCATATCTTGATTCTTGACTACTAGCCGACGCCGCGATGGGACAGGTACGCACTCGCTGCACGAAAATGCCCTCATGAACTAAAGCGGCAATATCGGCGACAGGCAGCAACACATATGGCGTTGACCGAGCCTACGGATCACCCCTCCTCTTTCAGTGATCTTGTTGCACTGCTGCCGGATGCCATGCATCGGGGCATACACACGGAGATGTACGCAAGTTCAGTTATTTCCTTGCGCTATCTCAAGCTGATGAATATACTAGGCGCGACAACGTGAGTGCAGATAGTTGACCGGTTGACCCTCCAAGCTCACTCGTTACTTACCCACGCATTTTTCAGCTGGAACTCTCAGACTACATCCTCACGCGAGCGCGCGTGGACCTCCGCCGTCATATCAACACGCGTGCCCCCATCTACAAGCTCCCACCTGAGATGTTCAGCTACATTTTCGAATACGTGGTTCAACCGAATGTTGACCGCACCGTGAAGAGCCACAAGCCGGCGACAGCACGCATACCAGAGATGCGTGCACTACTAACTCTCTCTCAAGTCTCGAGTCGGTGGCGCGCTATCGCGCTGAACACGCAGTCTCTGTGGACACACATCGACACTCGTAATGAGGTGACGCTAGAGGCTTTCTTAGCCTGCTCTCAGCAGAAGCCACTACGACTCCATATGCCCACCATGATTTACGGAAGAACAGATATGCACCGTCTGTTGCGACAGCACGGCAATCGTGTCCGACGACTCGACTTCGTCGAGACTCCCGCCGTTGGTGGGCGCCACCCGCCAATCCATCTCCTACGTCGGCTCGAATGTCTAACAGTAAGCTCAGACTGCGACTGGCGGCCGAACGAGGACCATGACGAGACCGGATGGACCGGCGCGATATCCTACCTGAAGGCGCTCGCGCTCCAGCCGTACTGTTCTTGGATGCCGGGCGACTTCTTTCCTCGCCTGACGCATCTCCACCTCTCGCACTTCCACGAGCGCGTCCGGGGGCAGGAGGCGATGGACTACCTGGCGATCCTCCTCCGGCGCACCCCGGCCCTGCAGTTCTTGCAGCTGTCGGGCCTCGAGCTCGAGTCGTTCTTCACTTCGGTCTCTCCGCCTGTCCCCCTGCACTCGCTCCGCGCACTGATGTGCCTCGAGAGCGATATGGCGGCCGCGTTGCGTTTCCTCGAGTCGCTTGACCTCCCAGAGCACGCGCTGGTACGTCTGGACGGTCTGAGTCGCTGGCAGTGGAATCCGCCCGTGGCCTACTTCACTCGCCCTCTCCCTTCGCTCGGCCTCGTCGCGAGCTTCGATCACCTGGAAGTGGTGGCAGACGAGACGGCCCTGCACGTAGTGGCCCAAGGGGAGCGATCCGGATTGTGGATACGGGCGGACAGCTTTCACGAGACGCCAAACTCGCAAGACCACTGGACGGAGTGGGTGACCAGCATGGGCGCCATGCTGTCGCTCGCCTCCATTAGGACGCTGCACATCTGCGTGCTGGACCCTGACCTGCTCCCCGCGCTGCTGCCACTTTTGCCGAATCTGGTCGAGTTGGCGGTGCGCATCCACCCGCGGTTCATGGGGTACGATGAGGGCCCCTGCTGGTCTCTTCTCGACTGTCTGTACACGACCCTCACCCCAGGAGAGACCTCTTGTTGTCCGGCGCTACAGACCCTCGCAGTCGAGATTTTGACAGAGGACCCAGACCAATTTCGCCTTCCGGGTGCACCGGGGAGATATGACAACATGCGTACCGTGCTGGAGATGGTGGCGGCTCGTTCAAGCGTGGGCAAGCCTCTGCGCCGCCTCGCGATGCAGCCGTACTGCGACTGTCCCGAGGGGCACGTCACGATGATAGAAACCTTCAGGACCGCCCTCGCGCCATTCGAAGAATACGTCGCCGTCGTTGAGGTGGTGGAGAGTGGGAAGTCGGTGCTGTGTCCACTCGAGATGCGGGGCATGTGGAACGTGAGTGGCGCGGAGGAGTATTGGGACGTTGCGCCGGGGGATCGGCCGGAGTACCGTCTTCCATGGGATGAGTAGACTACAGTCTCTGGCAGGTTGGGTATGTCTGCTCTCGTATCGTATCAACATCCATCTCGGTGGACTTAACCTCGTCATGTTTGGCAACCTGGCATGATATTGCATGTGTTCCCTATCAGGCCCATCAGTGTGTATCTTGCTTTCAAGGCTCATGGAGGTGAAGCTTTCAAGTAGACGTGTCGAAGGTAGCCGGCGAGGCTGTTGAGCCTCGTCCGCACGATCACTGCCGCAGTACAGGGAGTCCAAGCGGACCAAAGCATCTTCAGGGAGCTCGAGGTGCTCAAGGAGTGAGAGTGCAGCGCCCAGATCACTGTCATCGCACGTGATGGCACGAAGTGAGCTGAGGACGACACTGGCACTAGCAGTAGACGCGAGAGTAGAGACAAGTTTCGGAAGTTGTGTGAGATGAAAGTATTTGAGGAGCGGATTGTTCGACAGTAGGAGGGTCAGATGGTGGATGGTGTTACCATGCAGCATGCGTCCTTTGAAGTTGGAGAGGTAGAGGTGGGTCAGGTACGGGAAGTAGTTCCCTGGAAGCCACATGCAGACCGGTTGGAGGGCGAATGCCTTGAGATTGGTGATACGTTCTCCGAAGAGGAAAGGGCTGGTTGATTCGGCATTGTCCAAGTCGTGGATGAGATCGCACTCGGAGGAGACGGTCAGACAGTCAAGGAGGGGTGCTCTGAAACTCAGACACGTCGGAGGACATATCCAATCCGGATATTCGGTGAGATCTAGCCGCCGGATTCGGTAGCCCTGCACCGCTAGAAGTCGATCCATATGCTTGGGATCTTCAGTAAGCAGATGGAGCGACAGTGGCATCACTTGTGAGCGCTCCAGAAACGCATCGAGCTGCGCCTCATTTCGATTGTCGGCGCGCGTCCAGAGGGAAGGTGTCTTCAGTGCAAGGGTGCGCCACCTGCTAGAGACGTAGGACAATATGAGGACGGGACCCATCTGTACACATGCATCTACCCTGTTGTAGAGTCTGGTCATCCCGTCGCTATCGGCGGAAAGAACCACTTCATGGAAGATGATGCTGAGGATCTCAGGGGGGAGTCTATCGATCGGCGCGAGGGCGTTGAAGCGGCGACGAAGCCCAACGAGCACCTTTGTAAGTTTAGACTCTGATCGTGCGAGCTGAGTAGAGACACGTTAGCCACGGTGCTTAGAGCAAAAAGGTTTGGGCGCAAACACACATCTTCTTGACTCGTGCTATTGAAGAGATTCCTTAGTGGAAAAAACGTGGGTGAGGTGATGACATGTCTTAAGTACTTACCTGAGAGTCTGGCTGTCCCGATGAAGAGCATCTTGCAGCAGCGCGACGAGGTCGTCGAATGACTGCTTTTTGTCAGAACTCGCCATGTCTATTATTTGTTCGTGTTATATTCAGAAGGCTTTGACATACACATGCAAACAACGCTCGGAAAGCTCCGGGTCCAATTCGAGCGCCCATGCTGGTCCCCGTAACTTTATTTCTCAACCACTACACCCGTTTGAACAGCGAAGAGTCCCCGAAATGGGTACAGAGTTGGTCGCTGACGACTCGGAACTCCATGTCATTGCGGAAGGCCCACAGTCGGGACTTTGGATACGGGCTTCCTGCGCCGGGCCCGAGGACGGCGACGAGGGCTGGGTGGCGTGGATATCTATGCTACACGTCATGCTTTCCCTCACTTCCATCCACACGCTGTATATCTCCGTCATTGCACCTTCCATTCTCCCCCACCTCCTACATCACATGCCAAGCCTAACGCAGCTTACCGTATACATCAATCCGGACGCTATGCAGATCGACGAGGTGCTGTGCTGTCGACTCTTGCTCAGTAACCTCTACTCCGCACTTGCGGAGGAACCTCTTCACTGCCCAGCCCTCGAATCCCTGACCATTGAATCAAGAGAGGGAGACCCGGGGTCCTTCCGTTTGCCAACTCCGTTGCCAGAGGACTCCGACGAGTGGCCAGGCCCGCCAGATGCGGGCGTCCTGTTGAGGATGGTAGACATCCGCTCGCGGCTGGACAAGCCGCTTCACCGGTTTGTGCTGCACCCTCATTGGCACCTGGACGACCGCTTGGACCTGCTCGAGGAGTTCGAGGAACCTCTTGCCATGCTCAAGAAGCACGTCGCATCGGTGGTGTTGGTGGAGGACGGCGAGGTGCTATTGAGTGCGCCAATCTTCAACATGAGGGCGATGTGGCAGGTGGACGGGATCGAGAATCACTGGGAGCTCGCGGACGGCGACAGGCCGATGTACCGCATTCCAATGGCATAGTTATGTATGGGTGCGCTTTCCTTCTCGTAGTGGTAGTATTGATTATGATCGTCGGCTGACGATTTTCGCACGCAGATGTCCAGCGTAGGTTCACAAGTCCACGCGACGTATTGTAGAGGCCGATCGATGAGTACATTCATCTGACTGCTCCTTTGAACGACCATCATGGCGTGCGACACTCTAAAATTCAATACCATTGTTGCGGGTTTAGAGGAGGCGTTGTTTCGTGATGCACAGGAGGCTAGGTAAACGGATCAGTGAATCTTTGCATTTACTCCCGCTCATGATATTTGTAGCTACCAAGATGTACGTGGAAGGCGGTCGCATTGGCACTCTAAACTCGATAATTAACTACTTACCAGCTGCTGGTTGCACACGAAACCATGGCACGCGTCCTCATTCGGCTCTGCCGCCAGCTGAATGCGCTCACACCCGTGGGCAAGTTACCTCCCGAACTCCTCAGCCGCGTCTTCATGTTCTGCGTGCACCCCCCTGAAAACAGAACCGTGCACAACCTGCTGAACACCACCCATCGACTGACACCGACGGGCTCACTACTCTGCATCACTGGTGTATGCTCGCAGTGGCGCTCTGTCGCCCTGAATACCCCGGTTCTCTGGACGCATATCGATGTCCAGAATCCCACTCAGCTAGAAGCATTCATATCTCGCTCACAGTCCATGTCTCTTTCCCTCGTCGTCCGTTCGATGCGTCTCCGCTCGGTGCTCGAGCGCTATGGTTCGCGCCTGCGCAGGTTGGATGTCACCTTGACGGGCGATTTCAGATCACTATCTGGCTTGTTCAACTTGGAAATCGACCTGCCTCGGCTGGAGTGCCTGACGGTTCGCGCATGGAGCGAATACGGCCCGCAGGTTGATGAACCGGGAGCCATTCCGGCTACACTCTTCGGTCAACCCATCTCTCGCGTCACGGCGCTTGCGCTCAGGGAAGATATCTCGTGGTGTCCACGAACTTCATTCCCGAACCTCACACATCTGTATCTGGGTTGGGACGGAGGCCAGTCATGGCTGTCGGAAGATCCGATCAATTATCTGGGATCACTGCTTCGACACACACCTGCACTTCAGCATCTACATCTCGTCAACTTGGTAGAAATGTTCGACGAAACTCGTCCATCTTTCGCGATCCCTCTCCCCTGCATGCGCTCGGTAGTATGCTGCTCCAGCGATATGGGAACCGCCCTCTACCTTCTCCTCCTCTTACAGCTCCCCGAGACTGTGTTTGTGCGCCTGCACGACACGACTAGCATCGCCGACTTCCCAGAGGCAAACTTCCCTCCACGCACAGCTTCACCCCTCTTCCTGGCCAGTTTCAGTGATGCACAACTCATAGCTAGTCGCCATCAGCTATTCCTCGTCGCCGAAGGCCCTCACAGCGGTTTCTGGCTCCACAGACCGGCCGCGTACATGGTCAGCGATCGCAGCGGCTGGGGCTCGTACTTATCCGGAATAGAGCATCTAGGCCTCCTGCCATCTATCCAGACACTGCGCCTGAACGCGAAGGACGATGCCGACGCCGTGTTACAGCTGCTCCGTTGCATCCATAGTTTGGTCGAACTCACAGTCGTCATCGAGGATGGATCACAGGAGGACGTCCATTACAACGCCCGTGCTATCTATGCAGCCCTTAAGGACCCTACATGCTGTCCACAGCTGCGCTCGCTGGTCGTACTCGCCAGTACGCACGACCCCGAGAACCTGTGCCCCTCACTGCTGCTCAACATGCTGGAAACGCGCGCGCGTCAGGGCTGGGCACTCCGTCGTCTTGCCATACAGCAATGGTTGCCGTTGGAGTCGTCACAAGACCCTAATACTGTCCGCATCGAGCGCGAGCGATGGAACCAGGCATACGTGTCCATATCTGTGCCCGCGAAGACGCACGTCCAGGTCGTCGAAGTCGCGAGCGGCGAGGACCTCCGCCCGTTCACGATGCGAGATGTTTGGGAGGTGGAGGGGGCGGAGGACTACTGGAAGATCGAAATAGCGCATCGGCCGAAGTATCCCGGGCCGTTGTGAGAGTAGCAGACGGCTTAGGGCGTTTGGAAGGGTACGACGAGACGTGAGTAAGTATACTTCTCTGGCAGGGTCAGACATTTTTATCTCACTCCTCCATGTTAACAGGGTCCCACGTGTAGCTCATGTTTGTCGTTACATGCTATCCACTACAGATCATGGACTGACGACCTTGGGAATTAAACGCTTACCAGAGTATGGCTTGTGTTATTTACAGGAGCCTCCAAGCGCTCTCAGGCAGTGGCATCACTGTGTGTCGATCCCTCGGAAGATGGAGGCGGTCTACTCTGCTGATCTGTAGAACGGCTATGGGCGTTACTATCAGCTGAAATGAATCATAATCTTTCACACACAGATGTCGGGAAGATACCATCTAGCTCATGTAGATGCACGCGCGATCTAACCCTACCTCACTTTTTCGTCAGCCTATCCTCCCAACCACCACCATGTTGGATGCTAGCAGTCAAACAAGATTTACTACGCTCGTTACGGAGCTGGAGCATGCGTTTCTACGCGATGCGCAGGAGGCTAGGTAATTTCTTGCTCGACTCCGTGTACCCGGTGCGCGCTCAGCTTACACTGGCATTCTTATAGATACGAAGACGTACGTGGACGGCTGCGCCCCTCTTCAAGGCCTCTATATGACTGATGATTCACCCTCTTCAGCTGCTATCCGCACACGCCACTATAGAGCTTGTCCTCATTCAGGTCCGCCGTCGATTGAACGGATTCATACCGGTGGGAGCACTGCCTCCCGAACTCCTGAGTCGTGTCTTCGCGTTGTCCACGCAGCTCCCCGAGTACGACGCGGTATACCACCTGCGTGATACGGCCGGTAAGGCTGCACCACTTGTGACTTCGGGCTCGTCGAGGCTACTCTCCCTAATCCATGTCTGCTCCCACTGGCGCCTTGTCGCCTTGAACACCCCCGTTCTCTGGACACATGTTGACGACCGACATCCCGAGCAGACAGAGATGTTCATATCTCGCTCGCAGCCCATGACGCTTTCCGTCGTTGTGGATGCAACACGCCTCAGCACTGGGACGCTCGAACACTATGGATCCAGGTTGCGCAGGCTGGACATCATCATATCCGACAGTATCACCTCTCCCGGCCCCCTACTTCGCTTGGCGCTGAACCAGCCCGCGCTGGACTGCCTCACCATCAACTCAAAATGTCGCATATCGAGGGATCGTCTAGAAACCAGCCCGAGAACGTTTGGACAATCTGCGTCCCACCTCAAAGCGCTAGCCCTCCGCCTCGTCCCGTTGTGGCACGCAGGGATTCAGTTCTCGGACCTCACACATCTATACTTGGACTGGGGAGAAGACTCCGCATGGCCTTCAGAGAACGAGCCCGTTCGCCACCTATTGTCCCTCCTTTCACATACTCCTGCACTCCAACACCTACATCTCGTCCATCTGGACGATTCGGAACCAGTCTCCCATGTCATAGTCTCACCCTCGCCGATCCCTCTCAACTCCATCCGCGCAGTGACATGCTCACGTAGCAATATGTCCACCGCATTCCACCTCCTTTCCATCCTGAAGCTCCCCGAGACCGCATTCGTGCGTCTCGACAAGCTAGAACGCACCGTTCCTCTGGTGGCAGCACTTGCGCCGCGCACCGGTTCGCCGCTTCTCGTGTCAAGCCTCCGCCATGCCCAGCTTGTGATAGACAGCGACAACCTCTTCCTTCTCGCCGAGGGCCCCGAATCCGGCCTCTGGATCAGAGGTTCGATAGCGTATATCGAACTCGAGGGGAGCGACCCTAGTTGGCGCTGGGGCTCATACATAACAGCACTGAACCGTTTGGACATCCTATCGTTTATCCAGACGCTGCGTCTGAAAATTGAGCAGGACAGAAACGCTATACTCGAGCTTCTCAGCCAAATGCACAACGTGGAAACCCTCACCGTCATCATCGAGGGTGAACACTGGCAGAGCGTCCGCGCCAACGCCCGCGCGATCTACACAGCGCTCAGCGACCCGGAAGCCTGCCCACGCCTGCGCTCCTTGGTCATCCTATTCGGCATCAAGAATAGCGAGCACTTGTGCCGACCGGGACTGGTTTCCATGCTGCAGGCGCGCGCCCTCCAGGGCCGCCCGCTCGGCCGTCTTGCCGTCAAGCAGTGGTGGACTCCTACCACAGACCCCAAGGAGGTGAGGGACCAGCGCGGACGCCGGGAGGCAGAGTTGCAGGACGTTTTCTCCGTTGCTAGGCAGTACGTCGAGGTCTTGGAGATCGTGGAAGGCGACGACATCCTCCCGTTCGCGCCACGGGATGCTTGGAAGACGGACGGAGCGGAGGACTACTGGGACATACTGCCAGAAGACCAACCCAAGTACGACCCGCCACCGCAGTGGCCAACTGCAAGGGAGAATTAGAAGGAGGGGGGACAGTAGGGTCGCGCCGCTCAGGATCTGTTAAGAGTGAGTGCTCATGTTTGTTACGCGACGTTGTCGCGCTCGTATCCGAGCAGTGGGTGGCTGACAACATGGTAAATTCTAATTCAAGTAATATATGATAGGGCACCTCGTAGGCCATGACGGCTCCCTACCTCATAGGAAGGCCTGCGCTTGCAGCATCCACAAGCGGGCGTATTCCCCTTGCCGCTTCAGCAGCTCGTCATGCGTCCCCGCCTCGACGACGACAGAGTCGTTCATATATCTGCCCACCCATAATCAGTGACCCATCGTCATGGTAAGTGCGAAAACTGATACTCACAATATGAGGTCCGCGTGTCGCGTGAGGTTACCGAAGCGATGAGACGAGAACACCATCGTCTTGTTTCCTCGGAGCTCGCGCAGTCGTGCGAAGAGATCTTTCGTATCGTATAAGTAACGCAACTATGCAAGCTGATTCACGCGACGTACCATGCTCCGCCGTTGGATCGAGCGATGCGCTCGGCTCGTCGAACAGAAGCAGACCGACCTTCGCGTCCTCAGACACCACAGACCTCATAAAGGTCCGCGACCTATGGTTGCACATTAGTTCGACCACTTCTTACAGACAATGCCCAACTTACACGGCAAGCCTCTGCATTTGCCCCCCACTCAACGTCGGCCCACTGCGCGCAGACATCCCGCCGGCGCCGCGAACGCCCGAGTAGTCGATATTCCGCCCGAACAGCGACGTCGTGCCCTCCGGGATGCCCGAGAAGTAGTCGCGCACGGGGCGCTCGAGGTACGTGTCGAAGGCCTCGGGGAGGCGTCCCACGAACTCAGCTGCGCCGCCGAGCTCGGCCGCGCGCCGCACGCGGTCGTCGTCACGGAAGTGCGCGGGGTCGCCGAGCGCGATGTTGTCGCGGATCTGCAAGGAACGTCAATCAGCGATCTGGCTAACAGATTGTGAGAGACGCACTGAGAGGGGGAAGTGCGTGTAGTCTTGGAAGAGGACGGAGATGGCTTGGCGGAGGTCGTAAAGCCTGAGTGTGCGGATGTCGTGCCCATCGAGGAGGATCTGGCCCTCCTCCGCGTCGTATAGGCGCGCGACGAGTTTGAGGATGGTGCTCTTCCCAGAGCCGTTCGCGCCGACGATGACGCACAGTTGCCCAGCGGAAAGTTTGAAAGAGACGTCGCGCAGGGCGTACTGGTCGGATCCGGGATATTTGAACGAGACGTTCCTGTACAACGGCATTCAGAACCGGTTTTGATCATGTCCTTTAAGATACATACCGGAACTCGAGCGCGACTCCATGCTGGATCTTCTTCGCGTCTTCAGGGAACGGCACCTTCCCGTCGGGTATGCGGTTCGGGATCTGACCGACATTATACAGCCTACGCACAGTCGCGAGCTGCTCCGTGACGGAGCCGGTCTGCTCGAAGAAGCGCCAGAGGGTGTACGAGAACTGCGACGTCGTCTGCTGGAGCAGGTTCAGTGACGCTAGCGAGACCGGCATCGAAGCTGGATATTGCACGGCGCGCAGCGTGAACACGATCTACAGAGCTGTCAGTGAAAAATAAGTGTGAGTGTGGGCTGGGGCGCACCTGCGGGAGCTCGCGAAGGGGATCCTGGACGAAGGTAAGGAAGCCGAAGCGCTGGCGGCCGCGCGAGATGCGCCTCATTTCCATGAAGTCGACTGCGTTGTCGGGCCCGACACGCTCAGAGATCTCCTTGAACTCTGCAAAATTTTAAGCGCTACATACACCAAACTTGACGAGTGTCGTACCTGATGTCATGAACTCGGACAGGTTGCCTGCGATCAGCTCTTTCCGGTGCTCGGTGTTGTTTACGACGTGCTTCAAGCCGACCATGCGGATGTAGTCCTTATCCTTTGTCGTCGCAGCCCACACTTTATGGATGATTAGTATACCACACACAGAGGAAGACAGCGCAGTAACCTTGTCCATTTGCAAGCACTGTCCAGCGCGTGACCCACTCGCTCAGCGACGCCGAGAAGCTCAGGACGGCGAGCAGGAACCCGTCTTGCTGAGCCCCCAGCACCTGCGTAAGCACGGTCACCTGGGAGACGACCTGGATGGACGTCGACACGATACCGGACGCCATGACGAGCGTGTCCCAGGCTATGCTGCCCGAGGTCGAGGATGCTTCCTCGAGTTGCCGCTGGACCATAGGGTCCTCGAACGTCGGGAGGTCCAATCGTGCCCGCGCGTGAAAGAGGTGCAGAGAGTATTGTTGCTTGAGACGTCGGGAGAGTGGTCCGCGGAGCTCCTGTAGTGCGTGGTTGAGCAATCGTCGCCCGAGCGTGCATGCGATGCGGCCACCACAGATGTGGAATAGCTGGTTTTTGTCGACTGTACGTGTCTCTATCGCGGTTTGTAGCTGTAAATGGTATGATTAGCTGAGTCGTTGACATGGTCGTGGACTGTTCGGCAGTCCATGTCTTTGCGGGGTGGCAAACGTTATACGGGTTTCGAGGTGCGTCTGTGTTGTTAGACGGTTGAGATACGGGTCCCAAGCTAAACCCTCCGAAATTTGCACTCATAGATACACATGAAGAGTCATACGCGCTCGCGGTGGATACTTCACGAAACACAGTCAGACCTTGGGTTATAGACTTACTATAGTGATCAGTTGTCCAGAATACCTAACAGACAGGACGGCTCAGCACGCGTGTTCAACATACCAATAAATTAACGATTGTACCATAATGACGCAGCGGGTAGCAAAGAATGCAGAAAGTCGGCCGCGAGGTACGACACAAGCAGGAACCAGCAGCTCCGGATGGACAGGATGTCGCGGAGCATGCGCAGCAGGTACGGAAGACACGCATACGCCTCAAGCAGCTTTTCTAGCCAGCTTGACCCAGGTATGTGCTCAAAATCCGGGTTCTGCTCCTCGTAGAGGTCCCATACGCCGATGCGGGTGTGCTTCACGCGGCGGGTGTCGTCCGGGTTGAACGTGCCCTTCTTCTTGCTGCGAGCCTGACCCCAGCGTTTTCCCGAGCGAGCCATGCCAAGTGAGTGAAAGCGTCGTCAGTAATTCACGGTCGTACAGTGTCGTATATAAAGCAGAGAACGCGAGATGGATGGGTTTGGCTGCGCAGAGGAGGAGTGGGAGGAGGAAACGGTGGTGGTGGTGGCACCTTAAGGACTCGCACGCGTCCACAGACGCCCATATACGGGTTGCCTTTTCGAGAGAAACTGACGCGTCCTGCAGACGCGTCCTCGCGCGCCTCCGCGGACACCACGACCTCCACCTCCACCATCTCCCAGATACTCCCTCAACGAACATGGTATGTTGGCTAAGCATACAGAGGTTGGATGCAGCGAACTCACTCCGGATTCCCTCAGGATTCTCTGCGCATTGTACCCGCTCGCGACGATAAACCCGCAACGACCCAGGACACGAGCAACAGCTTTGGTCTGCACGACACGCTCCAGTATGGCCCTCGGAGTCTTGCGACTGAGGTTCGGAAGAATGGTGCTGTGAAGGATCGTCTTGAGAACGTACGTCTCCGCCCCTAGGGATATCTGCCTGCGCTAACCATTCTCCGCCGCCTTTCTTCGTAATCCTTTCCCGGATGCCGGGATGGTTCGAATTTCGATGCGTATCGAACAGTGGGAGGCAACGCAGGACAACCTGAAGCTCCAGATGCAAAGGCAGCTCTTCGGCCTGCACATGCCCATGCGCATCCTGATGGAGCGCAAGCTCGTGAGCCAGGTACGTTTCTACTCCGTGTGCATATATGGTTCCCCATAGCTCACACCATTCCTACTCGCAGAACTCACACATGCCCGCGCTCTCGCAATCCAACCTCCACCTTGACATTCTCATGGGACGCGATGAGATGCTCGAGTGCCCAGACTTCATGATGCCTGGTATGTATTCGGCGTGGATATACATTTCTTGTACCTCAGACTAACGTGTTGAACTTTCCAGCGGCCGAGCTCAGGCAGCCCAGCGATATCCACGCAGACATGGAGAAGAAGCTGCGCATGTAATCTATCCTTGGGGTGTGCTGAGGGTACTACGTCGTAGCCACTCATCTGCGCGCGGCGCATCTGTATTGTATTCTACGTCAATCGTCTGATCAACCGGAACCCGAGTGTCGGAGAGAGAACGCCGCCCCCTATCCATGCGAACCTCGGTGCGCCGCACTGTCACCGCGCGGGTGCGCGCGATGACTCGCCCCGCCCACCTGACCCCGCCCCCTTTCCATATCAGGCAAAAGCCGCCGCGCGGCGCGCCCGGCACCGCGTGATGGCGACGATCGAGGCGCGGCGCGGTGTGCAAGCGCCGGCGCGTCGCGCCCTCATTTAAGCCACGCGTGAGACGCGATCACGGGCAGCCACACCCCGCGTTGTTCTCCTTCTCCCCGGGGATCCCCACCTCTCTTGCTCCCGAACCACCACCATCCCCCGCTGCTACCACTAACCCGACTGCTAGAGAGAAACCGACGCGATGCCCCCGAGAAAGAAAGCTGCTGCGAAGACTGACGTCGACGGGGCCGCGACGCCTGCCGCGACGCGTGCGAGCGGGCGCGCCCGCGCGCCGTCCGCGAAGGCTGCGGCCGTCGCGGCCGTTGCAGCCAGTGCGGCCCTTCCCGTCGATACCCGGATAAAAGCAACAGGGAAACCCCCCACGAAGGCCGCTGCGAAGGCGAAGGGCAAGGGCAAGCGGGCGCGGGAGGAGTCGGACGATGAGGAAGACGCTGCTGCGCCTGCCGCCGGGGCCGCGGATGACGAGGAAGAGGAGGAAGAGGAGGAGGTGAAGAAGCCGAAGGCCAAGCGCGCGCGGAAGGACACTGCGGGCGTGAGTGTGGATGCGGACGCGGACAAGAAGAAACCCGCGAGCAAGCCTGCTAGCAAACCCGCGAGCAAACCCGCGGCCAAGAAGACGAAGGATGTGGCGGACCTGCCGCAGAAGATGGTACATCGCGACCTAGTCTTCAGACACACGGTGACGAGATTCCTTGTGCTGAACAACACGCTTGCAGGTCACCGTGGTGAAGCGCGGTGCCGCTCCAGTGGATGGTTATTCCGGTTTCGTCAGTCAGTGTTCCCGTCCCACCCCAGCGACGAGCGATTTTGAAAGCTAATACCATCCTGTACCTGCCCATAACAGTTAGCCACGAAGTGCTCGTCACCCCCGAGGGCGTTTGGGACGCGATGCTGAACCAGACGGACCTCGGCAAGAACGCAAACAAGTGCGCCACTCCCGTCCTGAAGGGCCATAGCTATCCTCTGACCGTTTGTTACAGATTCTACCTCTTGCAGCTGCTCCATCCCATCGGCAACAACGCCAGCTGCATCCTGCACACGCGCTGGGGCCGCGTTGGCGAGAATGGCCAATCTCAGCAGAAGGTTTGCCACATCGTGCAGGCGCGTGTTCGAATGCCGCTGATTCTGAGTTGAAGGGCCCCTGGCCAGCCGCTACGGCCGTGAATGAGTTCAAGAAACAGTTCAAGGCGAAGGCAGGGGTCAGCTGGGAACAGCGAGTGGGCATGGTTCCTGCGAAAGGTACTATGATGCGCGCATCCGAGATGTTTTGTACTGATGTATCTTTTGGGTGCAGGAAAATACATGTGGCTAGGTCAGTTCATGATTGTTTGCAACACGGGTGTGAACGTGCTCAACTTTAGGATAGAGCGCTCTTATGACGATGAGGAGACCGCCGACGCGAAAAACGGCTCTGGAAAGAGTGGCGAGTCGAGCAGCCAGGATGATGAGAAGATTCCGGACTCGACTCTGTCGCCCGAGATTCAGACGCTCTGCAGGCTAATCTTCAACTCCTCGTGAGTGAACTCTTACCGGACTGAATACGCCTCGCTGATATGTTTGTAGGTTGATCGATGCGCATCTGTCGTCGATGAACTACGACGCGAACAAACTTCCCCTGGGTATGCGTATATTCGGTCTGGTCTACGGCTCGCGTCGCTCATTACGGTGTCTGCTAGGCAAATTGGCCAAGTCGACCATCCTGAACGGCTTTGCTGCGTTGAAGGCATGCGGCAACGACCTTACAAGTGTGGTTTCCCGCTAACAGACCCCTTAGACGCTCTCAGAAATCATCGCCCAGCCCAACAGCAACGCCGCTCAGGCATTGGGTGGGTACCGGCCAGCCGTCGAAACACTCACTGGTCGATACTACTCGTATGTCTCGTGAATCCTCTCGACAGGCGGAGATGTGCTTACACAACGTGTCCAGGATTATTCCACACGTGTTCGGCAGGGATAGACCCATTGTGATTGATACCATCGACAGGTTGAAGAAGGTAAGTGCCCATTGCGAACAGACAGTCCCACCCTTAATAACACTTCTGGTAGGAACTGGAACTCGTCGATGCACTCGGCGACATGGTATGACCATCTCGCTCCTGTTATTTGTAAGTCAGTACCGACGCTTGCCTAAACCCTTCCCTCTGCAGGAAATCGCCTCAAAGCTAATCTCGTCGACGATCCCCCGTGACGCAGACGGGAACGCGGTGAACCCGCTCGACGGGCACTTCCGCTCGCTGCAGCTCTCGAAAATGGAGCCCGTCGCGCGCGCGAGCCCCGAGTTCACCGCGCTCGAGCGGTACACGCGCGACACGCACGGCGCGACGCACAGGCACTACGGCGTCGACGTCTTGAGTGCGTTCCGCGTCGAGAGGTGCGTGTCTCGTTATTGTTATGAGGGTATGGGTTTGACGGACGGGGTAGGGAGGACGAGACTGCAGCGTGGATGAAGGCGGGCTTCGATAGCGTTCCGGATGGGGAACGTCTGCTGTTGTGGCATGGGTCGCGCACGACGAACTTCGCAGGTAGGGCTAAACAAGGCGATCGTTTTTCGGCATTATGCTGAGGGACGTTGTATCAAGGTATCCTCAAGCAAGGCCTGCGCATCGCGCCTCCAGAGGGTGAGCCTTCTGATCGTTGTTATTGATAGCTCATGCTGACTCGATTCCCCCTAGCGCCCGTCACTGGTGAGCTATCATATATTTGTTGCTTGCATGTCCGTGCCAATATCGGCGGTCAGGTTATATGTTCGGCAAGGGTGTCTACTTCGCGGATGTGAGTCCTCTGTTTTCAAGTGACAATGCAAGGCATAATCTGACGAACGCGCCTACAGATGATGTCGAAGGTATTTTATTATCTCGTCCCTCTCCTTCCGCGTATTGACCGACCAACTTAGTCTGCGAACTACTGTCATACTCAGTAAGCTCGCCCTCTGTTCATTTTTGCTCTCGTCCTGACCGGTATTACAGTCTGAGCAACAACACCGGCCTGCTCCTCCTCTGCGAGGTCGCCGCGAAGCCCTTCTACGAGCAACACGAGGCCAACTACAACGCCGACGCCGATTGCAAGGCCGCGGGTGCACGGTCAGCTTCTCCTTCCTGCGGACTGCTGCTTTGATGCTGACGATGTCGTAGAGCGACGAAGGGCTTGGGCCGCTCGCAGCCTGGCGACTGGCAGGATGCCGGGGCGGCGCTGAACCACCCCGAGCTGCGCGGCTGCCACATGCCGAAGGGTCCCGCCGTGGACGTACAAGATCCGAAGGGATACCTCCAGTACAATGAGGTGCGTCGTACTGCTCCCACATCGATCTTGCAACATCTGACATAAATGTGTCCGAATAGTATATCGTGTACAACACCTCGCAGATCCGTTTGCGGTACCTGTTGATGGTCAAGATGGGCTGAGCCTTCTAGATAACTTGGCGTTATTGCTTTCGCTTTCTATCTTTGCTCTGGTGATGTCGTTGTTGCACAACTACTGTATGTATCTTGCTGTTCGAATTAGTATTTGTGCGGCTGTAATCAACACATCTTGCGGGGGAAGTTGCGTATCTAAGAGCCCTGCTCTCTAGCATTCCGACTACGTCGCCGAGCCACAGCGCCCGAGCACACGACGCGGGCGTTTATGCCGTTTCTGTGTTGAGCGTTGTGCGACGATGTCCACAAGTCCGCCTTGAGTTATGGCGAGTAGCTCAAGCGCTGTAACACCGAGGAGTGCATCGACATGAGAGGGATTTGTCGGAGGAACTGCCGAGGCGATACATAGAAATCCATTTGCAGACCTCCTGAGAATCATGACAACGACTACTGCTATGATACACATAAACGTACTTCGGCGATTCTGGTACGTGCTCTTTGTCTATCCACTGATAAAAAACATACTTCTTGGCTGACGCCGTATCTATCGAAACGGCGCGACGACCGCCGAAATAGAGATGGCCGGCGATATGAGTTTGGGGGCGGCTCACGGACTCTGGGAAGGGGCGACGCCGATCTACATAACATAAATTGCGTCAGCGCTTGGGGGCTGGAGAAGACCTAGACTAAGAACGAAGTCATACCTTGTCATCAAGCACGTCCGACGAATCAGTGGGACTTTCCAGCACCCATTTGGAAGGAGGTGACCTGGCAACGAAAAGATCGTCAGGTCGCTGCCAGATGCGTAGCGGCGAACAAAGAAGCCGCGCAACTCACTGACGATATTTCCTGTACATCTCAGCAGCCACATTCGCATAGTCACGCAGTATGTGCATTTCTTCCGGAATGTCTTGCGCCCTGGTGTTGAAGTGGAAGCGGAAACTGCGACCAGCAGGATCTGCGGGGTCGAGCTTCACACGCTTTTTCTCGATGTGCTCCAGAACTTCGGCTTTCCAGTCCAGCCAAACCGGCGTGTTGTCCGTCAGAAAGTGATCCAGTAATGTCGCAAGGTCGCGCCGATCCTTCGTAGACGGCGCGATCACGAGGAGGGCGAACACGACTGTGGATGTGCGCGTCCCGAATTTGTACTTTTTGACGTTCACCTGCTGCTGCGGAGCCTCTTCATCCTTATGCGGACCCGGAGCGACCGCAGCGCATTTGAGGTGAAGAACCTGTTTGAAGAGGACAGTACGGAGCAGTGTGCTGACGTCGGGAGAAGAAAGGTAGGAGTTGTATGCCCATGAGACGGCGAGTGAGAACAAAAAGAGGAGCTGGCCGTATAGGTGGCCCTGGGGCACGACCAGAAGCTGCGCGAGAAGCTGCAGAGAGAGGAGGACGGCGCAACATCCTATGTCGTGGTGCTTCGGGTGACTGTTGTAGCGCACGTCGAAGCGACCCTGCGTGACGGCGTTGAGCGTACGCCGCGGCCCCTTCATTACGACTATGTCGTTGCCCTCGTGGAGGATGCCCGTGCGTCCTTGCAGGTCCTCCGGGGCCAATGGCTTGAAAAGTCTGAACTCGAGCGCGCCGCGGCCCGCGACGCCGCATGCGATGCCGTTGCAGGCCATGCTGAAGAGAATCACCGAGCAGGAGTACCAATCGTCGAGCAGCGCGCACATCACGGCCGCAGCGAGAGATATCAGGACTGTCGTAGCGGCGACGATTTTCATGGACATGCTCTGCTGCAGCTGGGCGGAGGTGATTCGGGATCCCGGAGCATCATGAAGTTCCACGACGGTTACAGATCCGGGAGCTGTCTCCTTTCCCGCGCTCGAGAGGCAGGGCATCATGTCCTGACACTCGTCGAGAAAGAGGCGCGCGATGTGGCCAGTGGCAGACTGAAAGATGATGGACATCTTCCCCACGAACGTGTAGCTTGGACCGTTCTGCGACCCTTGAAAGTGAAAGAGGCTGGCGGGGTCGATGTTGGGACCGGGGTAGAGGGCGTCCCAGAAGCGGCCGCGGGCAAGTTGACCATATCTGCTAGCGACTTCGAAGCTTCCGGGCTGATTGTACCAACCAAACCATCGTCGCCCGGTGTAGATGTGCGTAGTCACCATGGCAGATAGGGCCACGCTCCCTCCAAAAAAGCCCGCGACGCCAGATGTGTCGAGGTCGAATTTTTCGTTCGTCGGCGAGGCGGCGAGGGTAGCGGCGCCGCCGACGTGGATAAGGATGGATTCCCCTTTCGGCAAACTGCATTGGGAAGAAAGGCGATGGGTATGGAGTTCAGAGATTGAACAAGGGCCCGTACCTAGCCGTATCGAAGGGAGGCATTGCGGAATGAACGCCCGAAGCAGTGTCGGAGGCGTTTTGATGGGTTGGATTGGGGGGGGGCTCGATAGACGAGCAACGTCTGGCCGGCTGTTGTCGCATGGCTTGTCCTTATAAGATGCTCGCAAGTGCGGCATTGACAGGCGTGCGAGAGGGGTATACAACGCGGCATAAAGTTCGTGTCTCGTGTGGTTCGTCATGGAATGAATAAAGAGTGAGATAGTTGACTGACATGCGCAATCAAGTATGACATCCGCGGTACGCCATCCGTGAAAACCATGCATTCTGCTGTAATACTAGGTATGTCAGGATACGTCTGACACGTCTACCGGCACGTACTTGCTTGACGTACCTTGAAGGGAAGGCCCGGTCCACAGGCAAGACACGACTCAACTTTGCACGGTATCGTAAGCATTGTATCAGTAGGAACAGCACGCTGTGGCGCTCCTCAGACATCGGGGGGACGAACGTCAGTATCGAAGACCTTGGAAGACCACCTTAAGCCCTACACTGTACGTATAAGCCGACTGCGCCGGAGGACTCAGCGCCGGAAGCTACTTGGAAGTTACTGGCTCGAATGTTTGAGGGCAGCTCGGTGCCGGTGAGGGTTTACTGCCACTTATCTGGGCTTTCGTTCTTGTCATCCCTAGGCAGACGATGTGATCTTGTCGAGGGGAGGCGGCTCGTCAAAACGACCCTTTTTTATTTGCAGAAAACGGATAAATCACCTCTCACCGAAACGCATGATGGAGGTCGCAAGCTGAGTTAAGTGGAGCTCCGGGTGGCTGGTAACACTGAATATAGCCGCCCGCCAGCGCCAATAGACTGACTCCAGAGCGCCTATTGACGCTGCGCATCCACTCTACTGCCACGCCGACGCCGAAGACTGCCAGCATGATCAGGCTCTGATCAGGGCGCTGAGCGAGCACGGGTTCACCATGTGGTGGTTCGTGACATGGCATGTATAGGGGGCGTCGCACGGGTCACTGCCCTTCCGAGAGTAGTAGTACGATGAGCTGAGCTGGGTGGATAGGCCGCGTCCCTACCAACTCGTCCAGCCAGGTGCGATCCATAGACCACTTCATATACGGTATAATGTTCGGCTGATTATCTTCTTCCATTAGCACAGGTATCGACCCGGTTGTGTAAACCGGCCATGCCTTCGCTGGAATTGATACCCTCCCCGACGGGCCTCCAACTTAGATCTGTATCAGGCCTCAGGCCTCAACAGCCAAACGAAGCGGCTCATCATGCCTGAGAGGAGGCATTCATGGCTCGTCATATACGACCAAGTCCAGATTTGCTAGCCGACTGTAGCAGAATAGTGTCGCAATAAAGATGCAAGTACGGTCCAATTTCAGCGCCCCGCAAGCTTACGTCTTCCCCTCATCGCCTCGCTGTCAATCTACATACTCGCTTTCGCAGAGCGTTTGGGGGTCCTTGGGATCCGACAGGCGCCACCCTGTCGCACCGTCACTTAAACCGCGCGATCATTGGTAATAGATCCCCGCGCTCTATCCCTTCGCACTCAGCGGCACCCCCCAGCTGCCACTATCTCTCTTGTCACCATTATCAGTTTTGGCGAATACCAGAGGCGGCATGCCTCGGAGGAAGACAGACGGCGATAGACCGGTAGCTACCCGCGCGGGCTCGCGTGAACGCAAGCCCTCCAAAAAGGCGATCGCAGCCAGAGAGGCTGAGGCACTAGCACGGGCATCCACTGCACGCAGGCGGGCGAAGGCCCTCCCGAAAAGCCAGGGTGAGCGAGTGCGGGAAGAGCTCGACGATGACACTGCCACAGACGGGGACGCTACGCTTGTCCACAAGGATGAAGATAAGAAGGAGGAAGATGTAACGAAGAAATCCTCGACGAGTCAAGCTCAAGGCCAACGGGGACCGAAGGACGCTGGTCCGGTGCCGACTACGGCTGCGCACAAGAAGACATCATCCCTCAGCAAGGCAGCCAGTGGCGAAGATATGTTGATCGTACCGCAGAAGATAGTTCGTCGCCCTATCAATTTCGAATCACGGTAGCGGCTTGTGCTAAATATGCTTCAATTTGCAGGTCGTCACACTGGTGGGCGCCGAACGCGGTCCCGCCGGTCAGTGCTCCTTACTCTGATGTGGAACTACTGGGGATACCGACCCTGGCTTGCGCCCAACAGACACGCACTACGTTCTTTCTACTCCTGAGTGCGTCTGGGATGCATTGCTCAATCAAACTAACCTAGAGAAAAATACCAATAAGTACGCATCGGGTCATTATGAATCTTCTGCGACTCACTCTGACTGCTCCGCTACTCTTGTGATGTCCAGATACTATATAATGCAAGTGCTCCGCCCATATGGTAGCGTCGAGGACGCACATGACTGCATACTCTACACTCGCGGGGGACGTGTTGGCGGGAATGGTCGGTGTGGGCAGACGGTGAAAATTTCGCATATATCTGGCTTTCTCATGACGAGTGAATGCTAATATCTGTGAAACTCAAGGGCCCACTACCACTGGATAGGGTGTTGATGCTGTTCAAGAGACAGTTCAAGAGGAAAACTGGAGTCTGCTGGGAACAGCGAGTGCACATAGTTCCCAAGAAAGGTATCCGCCATGCTGAGTACCAGCGACATGATTCAAAGGCTAAGCCTTGTGTTCTATGCCTGTAGGGAAATATATATGGCTTGGTAAGTGACCTTGCGCGGCTCACACGTGATTGTTGTTCATCAGTGGCCAACAGAGCGTTCAAGCATTGCGCAATACGAAATGTATCCCCGTTCGACGCTACCTGCAGAAATTCAGGTTCGTTCAAATCTGCCAATATCACTAACAGACATTAGCAGTTCCCTTGACGAATATTTTCTACGGTAGACACTTTGCAAACTTATATACAATGATTTGTAAGTACCCTGGCGGCAGTGATATGAGTACGCTCAGCCGGCTGGTTTCGTAAGGCTATTCGACACCCGTCTGTCGTCGATGAACTATGACATGAAGACACTTCCTATCGGTAGGTGCTATGCGTGCCTCATATCAAGGCTTCGTTCATTGAATGCGCGTACTAGGGAATCTTTCACAAGCGACTGTCCAGAAAGGTTATACTGCACTAAAGGCACGGTACACCTCCATACAACTTCCGACGCACCCCACTCAAAGCTCCATAGGCGATTTCAGAGGTCATTGCCGAGCCTAACAGCGACACTTGCAAAGCCCGCGGCGGGTTTGAGAAGGCCATTCAAACGCTCACGGAACAATACTACTCGTACGTCTTCGCCATGCTGATATGAGGATAATCAATGACCTAGCGCCTACTATGAAGAATTATTCCGCACGATTTTGGTAGACGGCGCCCAACTGTCATCGACAATATTGCTACGCTGAAGCAGGTGAACTAGAGCGTGCTGCCCTTCGCAGTGAGTTCACGCTGACCAACGTCTCGTAGGAATTAACGCTTCTCGATGCCCTGGACAACATGGTAAGGGCCTATCTATATTTTTCTTTCCAGTGGTCCATGGAACAGCACCAACACGTATTCTACTCACCACTGGCACCAGGAAGTCGCTTCGAAGATCATCCAATCATCGACTACTATACCCCGTGACGCTGATGGATGCCTAGTAAATCAGCTTGACGCGCATTTTCGCGGATTGCAGCTCTCGAAGATGGAATTGGTTGTACATGCAAGTCACGAGTTTGAGGCGCTCAAGACATACCTGCTTGACATGCATGGAGAGACACACAGGGACCACTGCTACCGCATCCAGCACGCGTTCCGCATCGAGAGGTACGTCGCATGACATGTCAATTCAGGAGCGTGTGGTCGTGACAATGTTGCTAGGGAGGTTGAGACACAGGCTTGGACAACCGCGGGATTTGAAAAACTCGCAGATGGGGAGCGGTTATTACTGTGGCATGGGTCGTCCACGACAAACTTCGTGGGCACGTAGAGACGCCTCGATCACCCTTCATTCTATCATGACAACTTGCCCTTATATCCAGGAATCCTTCGAAACGGCCTCCGCATCCGACCTCCAGAAGGTGAACATCTCTCAAGGTTCTCTCTCTATGGCTCACGTTGATCTGACTTGACTTAGCGCCTTCCAATGGTGAGGTGCTACGTGCTCATCGAAAGGAAGTGTTGCGCTGATATATACAACGGTCAGGCTCTATGTTTGGCAAGGGTGTCTACTTCGCAGACGTACGTCCTTGGCCCAATCGCAAGAGACTTACTCTCATGAGGCTTGAGGGGTGTATAGATGCTGTCAAAGGTTTGAGTTCCTCCTTTCAACCGACAAACTTGTGGCCTGACCTTCTCATAACTTGTGCAGTCAGCACGCTATTGCACCACTGAGTGAGCACATCATCTTCCTCTTTTCACTTTCATTCCTGACTCAAATAACTCATACGACAGTAAGAGCGACAATATTGGCCTGCTCCTCCTCTGCGAAGTCGCCGCCAAACCATTCTTGGAGCGGTACACGGCAAACATGAACGCCGAGACGTTCTGCAAGGCTGCGGGTGCACGGTCAGTCCGCCCTTGTTATTGTTGGCCAGATTGATGACTGTTGTCGCCCCCACGTTGCAGAGCAACGAAAGGTGTGGGTTTGTATCAGCCTAGCGGCTGGCAGGACGCTGGAGACGCGTTGAACCGCCCCGAGTTGCGAGGTTGCCACATGCCCAAAGGTCCTCCTACCGAGGTCGTCGAGCATCCGGCGCGGGTACATGAGCCCACCCGGGGGCCGATGTTTGGCCTCGTGTACAATGAGGTGCGCAGCAGTTCAACTCAGCAACGAGGTGGTTACAGGTGCGACTGACGTGTGCTGACTCGGACAGTATATTGTCTACGACACCTCGCAGATCCGGATGCGATACCTGGTGATGGTCTCTGATGAGAATCTGACACCGACCACCTGTTCAACGGGCCTATGAGATCTGACCCGCTATCCCTAGACTGATGTTTGAAACAGCGCACGACTGTGGTAGACCGTGGGACTGGGTTGTCTGCGGTTCTGAATGTATTGCCATCATATCGATCTTTAGCAAGTATACATGTGTCCCTCTATCCAGACCGAGGACGTTCTCTGCCGCTCGCAAGGGCCCGCCGTTGCCCCTGCGCCTTCAACAAACGGATCCTAAGGCCCGAGGCTTGGGCGTTGAGAAGTACTACATAAGCTAGTACTAGTAGTTTCGAAGTCACTACTTGGGGAATCAATTGATTATGCCTATAATGCGTCAGTCAATATTCTCAGTCGATATTGCGAACGTGGTTATCTAGACAGAAGGGATAATATGAGTATAGAAACCATGACATGTCGTAAACATTCCCCCAAACTCCGAAAAGCACGGATGCATAGTATCATAAGCGCCCACGCGTGTTGTTCTCAGCCACCGTACGGGCCGCCTTCATTGGGCTTGTAGCCTTGTACCGTCACGACCATTCCCTCCCATCGCGTGCCTCTCATTCTGCCCGCCACTACCTTTGCGCACCATGTCAAGTGCCGCGCGCAAACCTGCAGCACGTATCGCACGACCCGCCGCGCGATACTGGAAGGGCAAGGCGCCCAAAGGCGCAGACGCCGCTGAATCCGACTCTGACTATGACGAGGAGGCCGAGGAGCAGGTGCCCGAGGAAGAGGGCGACGAGCTCATACGCGATGTGGGAGAAGACGACGAAGAAGAGGAGGACGAAGATGGTCTCGAAGTGCGGAAGGAGGCGGTGAGCAGGCAGGCGAAGGGTGCGATCAATGTTGCGTTGCGGGACGTGAACATTTCAAGGGATGGCAAGGTCATTGTAGGCGGGAAGGAGGAGTCAGGAAAGACGGCGGCTGAGCTGGAGGAAGGTACGTGAATAACCCGTGGTTGGCTTGCACCAAGTGCTCAGGAACGCTCATGTTGCAGAGGAGGAGGAATCTGACGAAGAGGAAGAAGCTGGGGAGGAAGAGGAGGAAGAGGTAAGACCTAGCTCGTCTGTGGTATGCGAACTAATGGTCCTTATCACTTTAGTCTAGCGAAGAGGAGTCGGAGTCGGAAGAAGAGGAGAAGCCAAAGCTACAGTTTCGACCCGTGTTCATACCAAAGTTCGTACATTCAGCCCGTGTGCCTGCGCAGGTTGAACTGACATCTATTTTCGAAACCTACAGACGTGCTCGCGCAACGATTGCTGAGAAAGAGGCTCTGGCAGAAGACTCGGAGGAGGCAATCAAGCGGAAAGAGCAGGAGGCGGAGGAGCGCAGGAAAGCGAGCCACGACATGGTGGCAGAGAGCATCCGGCGAGAACTGCTCGAGAGTGAGTGATTATCACCTATACACTGTGGCCCGTCTTATTGAACGTATGACCGTAGAGGAGAAAGAAGAGGAGGTGCCTGACGTCGACGACACAGACGGGCTCGACCCTGAAGGAGAGTTCGAGGCATGGCGCCTGCGCGAGCTAGCGCGCATCAAGCGCGACAAAGAAGCCGCACTCGCGCGTGAGCTGGAACGAGAGGAGATCGAACGACGCCGCGCGCTCCCAGAGGAGCAGCGGCTCAAGGAGGACCTTGAGCGTGCGGAGAAGCTGCGCGCGGAGAAGCCCAAGGGCGCACAGAAGTTCCTTCAGAAGTACTGGCACAAGGGCGCGTTCCATCAGGTGCGTTTGCCTTTCTAGCTTGAACGTTCGCGTACGCGCATCTTACTATGTGGCCGCACGCGTGCAGGACGACGAGGTACTGCGGAAGCACGACTACACGGAGGCGACGGAGTCCACCATGGACATCTCAATGCTGCCTAAAGTCATGCAGGTCAAGAACTTCGGCAAGCGCAGCCGGACGAAGTACACGCATCTGCTCGACCAGGACACCACCGCCAGCACCGGTGGGTTCGGCGGCACGGGGTCGGTCAAGGCCGGCGGGTCGTCGACCGCGGGCGGGGGTTGCTTCCTCTGCGGAGGGCCTCATCTGAAGAAAGGTACGTATATCATTTATGCGGTTCAATCAAATCTGACAAAGTCTCACTTCCGCAGATTGCCCGCAAAATGCCAACCTGCCTCCGGGGCAGACCGCTACGGGCGCGAACAGCGCGCCGACCGGCGCTCGCCAATGGGGCCCGCGCGAAGGCGGGCGAGAAGACCAGCGTAGCTCGTGGCGCGACAATGACCGGGACGACAGGCGGCCGGACGGGAACCAGCCAGACCGCCGGAGAGAAGACGATGGCCGAGCGCGGGATCGCGACCGTGAGCGGACGATTGACAGGGAGCGATTCCACCGAGACGACCGCGACCGCGAGCGGGCGCGAGACAATTTCGACGATCGCGGCCGGGACCACGGCCACGACCGGCGGCGCTCGCGCTCACCGAGGCGAGATTGGGGCCGTGGAGAGGAGATGCGGAGGGACCGGCGGCGATCGAGGTCGCGCTCGTTGGACCGTCCGCGGGACGAAAAGCGACGGCGAGTGGATTGACTACTTGCAAGTTTGTTGTTGTACTGTTTCGGCGTTGACATCCGCATTGCTTATATTTATGACCAGTCTCCAGTGGTATCTGTTGACATACGACAAACTCACCCACTAGTCGGTACACTCATAATCAAGGTGAACAAAAATGTCTCTCCCACCTCCGGCAGGCTACGTACAGCAATTTGAGTGCACAGCATCATCACCTCTATCGGTGCAGTTTGTAGTCGGGCTTCTCTTCTTGCGTGAGTTCCCAGTAGTCTTCGAATGCGTCTACCTCCCACATCTCGCCCATCTCAAACGGGCATGGCGGCGGTTCGGCAGTCTCCATGACCTCAACGACGCTGACGTGCTCCCGGATCGGGGCTATCGCATCTTGGGAGAAGATCTTGCGAATAAGCATCATCTCCCGGGAGGTCTCGTCTTCCGACTTCCCGTACGGCGTAGGTAGCGGCTGCAAGATGAGGCGCGCGAGCGGTATGCCCATCTCTGACCGAGCAGCGACCATCTGGAGCGTCTCTGGGATTCCCGATTGCAAGTCCTCAGAATGTGCGCTGATGAGGAGGGATTCGAGGGTTGGCAAGCAGGAGCGTCCCCCTCCACGACCGAGCATGATGCATAGCGCCTTCAAGACCGACTGCGTGTCTACGTAGTCTGCGTCCGCGTAGGCCTGCAGCTCGGTGAGAGACGGCATGTGCGCAATGAGGGAGAGCGTCGAAGGAGCCCACACGGAGAAGCGCAGCGTTCGGATCGTCACGAGAGAAATCATCGCAGGTAGCGCTGCGACCAACCCCTTCCATAAAACCTCATCCCACTTGGGGTCCGTCACCCGTATCCACAGCCCTGACTTCGCGCCCTCTGCAGCCAGATGGAGGGACCCCTGGCAGTACCACACTTGAAGACGGGCGAAGCTCGCGAGAAAGCGCTCCGACGCCACGCGGCGGGGGAAGACGGTGGGTTGGCCGTCAACCGAGCGCAAGTTGTCCAGGCGCACCACGACGTCCTCCGGGAGCGTGAGCGATTCGAGCAGTTGGAACGCGCTCGAAAGCTTGCAGCCCACGCATGTCAGGGCCCGTAGGGAGCGAAGGACGACCGGCGCGGGAGGTAAGGGGCTGGGTTCCGTGCTGGGGTCACCGACTCCTGAGAGGTGGACATATCTGAGGGCCGGGGTGTTCGAAAGGAGCGTGATAAGATCGTGTGCGTCATCCTTGTATACCTCTATTTCGCTGCCCCAAAAAGCGAGAGAGAGATGTGTGAGATGGGGAAAATGAATGCCGGCGGGGAACAGATCCTCACAAGATGCTCCGAGCGCCAACGCTTTCAAGTTAGATACACCGGAGCCAAGGAAGTAGGCAGGTGCATCCCAGAGAGAGTCTCTCTCCGCTGATATGGTGAGACAGTGGAGACTAGCCACCTGGACAGAAAGATCGATAGGTTGATGGGTCCACTGCAAGTCGTGACACGGGTACTCCATGATATCAAGGCGTCCAAGCCGAGCACCCCAGTCGCGCAGTGCCCCATGCAGTCGTTGAAGGTCCCAGTCCTCGGAGAGTATGTAGCGCAGTGAGAGGGGTAATGGCTGAGAGCGGGCAATGAAGGCAAGAAGTGAGCCTGCGTCCCTGTCGTCGATACATGTCCACAAGGACGGCGTCGAGAGCGCGAGAGCGCGCCACTTTGCACAGACACGGGTGAGCGTCCAATGCATGTGAATGGGAACCCGTCGAGCTTGACTATTGTTCAGTAGTAGACGGGCAGCGCCGTAGCCTGATAGCTGGAGCGCCTTTCGGAAGATGAGGACCAGAATCTCTGCAGGGAGCCTTCCGATTGGGCAAATACCATTGACGTGGTGGCCAAGATCGATGAGCAGTTGCTTCATGGTAGAATGCGACTGCATCAGCTACGGGGTATCGTAGTCATAGTTAGTACATGGAGTTATGCCCACACTGAACTGGAGAAAACGCACGTCTTGCCACCTAGAAAGCTAATCAGCATGTCATCTCAGCCACTGAATCTATCGATGCAACTCGCCTCCATATCTGTGCGTCTCTATGCAAGAGCTTCTGCAGCGATGCAACGCGGGCTTCGAATGAAGCCTCATCGCAGCTTGTATTCGAATCCATGTGAGGGTTTGACACAGCTATAAGGAATGTTTTCAGCTGATAAGTCAGTCCTAGCAGGGTGAATGAACCTACGCGTACATGCAAAAGCCGTAGTATCGCGATCGTTTGCGCTCAAAGCACCAGCATTGAGCAGACTGAGACTCCCGATGCCTTGTGCACCCTGTTTGCTCGTGTTAGGTACTAATGCACGTGTGAACGACACCGCGACGGCGACGGCGGCCTAAACCTTCATACCTGCAATACATCTGGAAGCGCTAATGATGGAGTGCACGATCTGCGTAGGCTTCGAAGCATGGATACTACGGCCTTCCTTGAGAGGATTCCTGTCGCGTGTTCAACTAGGTTTCGTCGCAAATAACAAATTGATTAGTCAAGTTAATCACGTACGCTCTTGTGCAACGCAAGGACAAGTCAACAAGTATCAGTTCAGCGACAGACAGTTCGACCGAGTTAGAATGTGCATCTGCAAAGTGTTTACAGCCAGGAGATGTTATACCGAGGCCTCTCGTCGTCTAACAGCTCCCAATACTTCTCGAACGCGTCCATCTTCCACACATCGCTCATCTTGAACGGACACACCGACTCCGCATCCCTCACCAGCTCGACGTGCTCGACGTCCCTCTTGATTAGCGCGAGCGCCGCGCGGAACATCTCCGCCATCTCCGGCGACTCCAGGTCGCGCTCCAGGTGCGGCTGCAGCAAGAGGCGGCGGAGCGGCTTCCCCGCACGCGTGCGCGCGCGCACCATGCGCCGCATGGCCTCCGACGCCGGCGGGAGGCGGAAGTCCTCCGGGTCCCCGCCCCAGATCTCGATGCCAACGCTCTCGAGCGCGGGGCACACGAGCGGCGTGTCCGCGGAGAGCGCCCGGAAGATCTCATCCAGCAGCCCCCAACACATGTCCTCATCCATATCGTGGTAGTCCGGGTGGATGCGAACGGCGAGCGTGGTAAGGTCGGGCATGTGCGCGAGGAGGTGGTGCGGGATCACGGCCTGGTTCAGGAGGGAGACGTGCAGGGTGCGGATGCGCGCGAGCGGGAGCATCGCGTGCAGCGTGGCGACCCACTGCGCCCACTGGTCCTCGAGGTCATCGGCAGTGCACGTTGCGCGGATCCAGAGCCCCGAGCGCGGGCCCTCCGCGACGAGGTGGAGGTCATTGTCGTCTGCGGCGATCTCAAGGCGGGTGAAGCTCGCGACGAAGCGCTCAGACGCCAAGCGGCAGGGCAGGTACGTGTCATCACCCGGGTCTTGGTTGTGGACGTGTAGGTCGTCCAGACGCACCAGCACATTCTCTGGGAGCTCGACGCGCTGCAAGAGGAGGAGCGTTGCAGCGAGGTCGCTGTCGATGCATGTGAACGCTCGCAGAGATGGGAGAACGGCCCGCGTGGAGGTGACGGTGAGCACAGCCGCGGCCTGGAGCCCCGAGAAGAATAGGTATTCGAGGGCAGGGGTGTTCGAGAACAGCGACGTCAGGTAGCGCATGGTGTCATCGTAGAGGATGCGTCCGTGGAAGGTCCCCAGGTAAAGGTGTGTCAGATGTGGAAAGTGATTGCCACCAGGGATCCACATGTACAGCGGCCGGAGGGCGAAGGCTCTCAGGTTAGAGACGCGCTCGCTGAAGAGGATCGGAGTCGCTTCGGATTCGTCGTTTCGCACAGGCGCGCATTCGGAGGTGATCGTGAGGCATTCAAGCAGCGGAGCTGCGAATTGAAGGTGAGTTGGGGGATCCACCCAGTGCGGATATTCCGTCAGGTTGAGCCGCCGAATGCGGTGGCCCTCCTCTTGCAGGAGGTGATCCAGGCGCTCAGCGTCTTGGGTAAGCAGGTGGAGCGATAGCGGCATGGCACCAGAACGTTGAACGAAGGCGTTAAGCTGAGCGCCATTGTGATTGTCGATACGCGTCCAGAGGGAGGGCGTGTTCAGCGCGACGGCGCGCCACCTGCTTGAGACGTGGCACAGAGAAAGCAGTGGGCGTGTTCGTACGCGTTCAGTCGCACCATGGTATAGTTTGGGCTTTCCTTCACAACCCGACAGCTGGAGCACATTCTCAAAAACGTGCGCAAGGATCTCCGGCGGAATTTGATCGACTGGGGCGAGGGAGTTCAGGCAGTGGCGGAGCTCGATGAGTACCCTCGTCAGAGTGTCTTCGGACTGTGCCAGCTGCAAAGTATCGACCTTTAGCATCGCATTATCAGGCGGAATTCAATACGGCAAACACCGCAAGATATCACGACACTTGACAGAGTGCAAGATCGTGAAGCAAATAATGACTGTCAGTGGGACAGAGGAATTTTGGCAGTCATTATTCGCTTTATGTTCTTGCAACCAGCCAAGGGTTGTTATATCTGTGGATGTTTCCCGTGCAATTGCCCGAAACGCACATCTTCTTCCCTGAAAAGCTACTCAGCGCGGTAATGACAGGCATACACGTGGCTTCGACACGCTACTTACCTCTCTGTGTTGAAGTCCCGGTGTAGAGCATCCCGAAGAGATGCGACAATGGAACTAAACTTGGGCTGCCCATCAAGAGCGGGATTCTTCGTCATTCAGATTGTATGATACACTGGAAGTGAAAAGGCAGTTCCAGTAAATAGGGGCACTTCTGAACCTCATGCACGCTTGATGACCTATATATGTGAACTTTGCATGCGTACCTGTAGCACTTAAATAGGCAATGAATATGCCGTCAGTGACGGAAGTTTCCCGATTTGAGAAAACAGTCGGCGTGGATGGTAGAACTCTGGAGAGTACGCGTAGGAACTGGCAGGTCGGAACAGACCAAACTGAGGCGGCGTTGTTTGTACTTGTTAGATTCGGAAGCCTTTGGTCAATACATACAAACAACGCTGGCGCCAAGTCTATCTTCCAAAGTCGGCGCTTCGCACTTTCCTCCGAACTTATAGGGTTGAGAACACGATTTGCCTGGGCGTGGAACCCATCTATGTATTAGCATGGAATTCCAATGTGACAACGGCCTCGACTGAATACTATGAATGGACACAACAAGCAGTATCATTCGGGTTTCGGAGTCGAACTCAATGGTAACTCGAAAGGTATATACAAGTGCACACTCAACGTCATACATCATGTCAAATCGTGGTCCAAACGTTCAAAGTAGCATCGTCATAGAGCGCGACAAAGTCAACGTCCTTCCCTTCTCTCAAACAGCTTACGCGAGCACGAAACCACCGCCCGCCACCACACCAAGCACAGCAACGCCGACGCTCACAACCTGCGCCACACTCGGGACGAAGTAGCCACCAGCAGCGGCGTTTCCAGAACCGCCGCTGCCGCTTGCGGCAGGCGCGCTACCTCCAGGACCCGCCAGCGTCGCAGTCGCGGAAAACCCGATCGGCGCAGTCGCAGACGTGCTCTGGGTCGCGACGGAGCTCGCCGATGACGCACTAGACAACAACGTGTATCAGATACTCTGCGGCGAAGAACTATGAGGTCACAGGGGCACGTACGCAGAGCTGGCGGCGCCAGAGTCAATCTGAGTGTTCAGCAGCACGCGGTCGATGACGTGGAGCACGCCATTGGGCAGGAGGACGTCCGGCTGCACGATCTGGGCGGTGACGTTTCCTGAGGTCACGAAGTGTCCGGTGGCGTTGAGAACGAAGCTTAGCGGCTCTCCTGCGGCGGAGGTGAAGTTCTGGCCAGACAGCTCGGGAGAGTATACCGTGGAGCCGTTGATGAGCTGTGAATGGGTTCAGTACCAGCTGGTAAGCGAGTGCGATGAGCAGGTGCGTACGTGGTTTTGGAAGAGGGCTTGCAGAGCGGTGGTGTTGCTCTGCAGGCTCGAGAGGGAACTAGTGGCTGCCTGAATTGCACTGGTGTTGGGCGCGAAGAAGGTGAAGCCGTGGAGCTGCGTGTTCAAGATGTCAAAGAAGGCCGCAGAGCCCGACTGGCTGGCGGGCAGCTGAACCGACTTCAGCGCGGTATCGATACCGGCGAGCGAGATATTGTCGGCGGGAATGGTCACCGCGAGCGACTGCGGAATATTGAGGACGTGGTCAACGATGTTGATGGTGATATTTCCGGCGGTGGTGATGTTGGTTACAATGGAGTCGTTTCTGTGATGAGGGTTAAGCTACAATAGAAAACTGAATGGCAAGCAGCTCACCTCTGGCCCAAAACGTGTGTTTTGCCGTCCGCGCGGACGGCCCATGCGACTGCCTGGCTCTTGTTGCCCTCGAGCTGAACGAAAGTCGAGTTGTTCAAGAGCGTACGCCCAACCGTGGTGTTCGGATAAGTCGTCGATATGCCGGTAAAATTGCCCTGCACCACGTGGTAAGCAATGACACTCGAGAGGACGTCGACATCGGAGGTGATGTTCGACGGCGCACTGTTGACTGCAAGCTTATGTGAGTACAACGCGAGCTGTCTGTCAGATATGTTACTTACATGCATTGTCCGTGGGGGCGAACAGAACGAAGGGCGTGCCACTCGACAACTGGGAAAGCAGTGATTGGCCGGCAGTAGTCGAGTTGAGCTGTGTAGCGATGCTCGACAGACGAGTGAGGCCGGAACTGTTGAGAGCCTGGAGTAGCTCCCCGAGGACGGCGTTCTGGGCAAGCACTGCCGGAGCGAGAGCAAGGAGGGGTGCGGCGGAGAGGAGGCGCATCGTGAGGATCGTCAAAGCGTCGTTAGATCGTGGTCGGGTGGGAGGGTGGGAGGATGGGAAACCTGGTGTAGGAAGCGCGGCGGAGGGTTTATATAACTGGCGGGGAAGGTTGGACGGGAGCAGGGAAGGTGCCGAGGAGGCTAGGCATGCTCATCATTGGGCGGGGCGAGCTTGACGGAGATGCTCCTCTTCCCTGAAGGGAATATGATCGAAAGGCCTAGGAAGATCCGCACCTTGTATTTCGCCCTCTCTGACGTCAAACGGGCCTGCTTCGACGGGGCAGAACGTGCGACCCATTCATCACGGAACACAACGCATGAGTCGCGCCGGAAGGGCGCTTGACTGCACGCCCATGCAGCACGACGGCCCCCTCCGCCAACGTCCCTGCCGCAGACGGCCCGGCGCTCTGGGCGTGCGCAGTGTCCATCGTCATAGTTTCGCAGAGGAAATCGTTTACGCGTCGAAGAGGACAACGTCATTTGGCACGTGTTCGCGTCAGCGGCGCTTCTGCGTTCCTGCCCAGGTACCTGTTCGAAATTAGCTATGAATGCTCCAAAACACGCGGCGTTCAATATTTGCTCACCATGTCGTAAGGCTGGCTGGACGCTGTCCATGGAGCGAGTGGCTGGCATTGCTCCGCGTTCCTGGTATGGCGACACTGCACACATCAGAGACAGGGCACATAGCGTGCGGCGTACCTTGCACCTCCGGCACAAGTCGCAGACCGGTGAATTGTCGAAGGCTCACGCCCCCTTAGGCACAAACAACACCGCGACGACGGAACAGCCTTGGACAATGTATTCAGTGCGCCACGTGCAATAGTGCTCACCACGCAGTGCAATGTACGGAGACCAACACTGGTTTGAGATCGCGCCTGCACACACCTGAAATCCTCTGTTGCGCCTTAACCAGGGTCGATCATTCATATTTCCACTGCATCGTCGGGCCCTCGCGATCAAGGGGGAGGTCATGACAGAGTCGTTACGCTGTGTGGGTCCGAGGTTGCGAAGTTCGTCCCACTCGCACGGCGCTCTTCTCTTCCCTTTCCCCATGCTTCGCGTCCGGTCGCGGTCCCGCGCAGGTTGGAAGACCTGTACCAAGGCACGCATCAGTTAGGCTACCCTCAGAGATGTTATAGCAAAGAATCACCAAGTTCCTTCCTCCCCGCTTCCGCAGTTACGGATGTGTCGGTGCGCGCGTTGGCAGACAACATGACGGACGATGATCGATGATGACCGACCGGTACCCGCAAAGGAAACGCTCGACGAAAGACCTAGGGTAGAGCGAAGATACAAACAACGGCCCACGGGAGAGAATGCATTCAGCGACACAGCTACGAAAAGAAAAACACGATACATACGGGTCACTAATGCCAATAAAGCCGATAGAACGGAATGCTTTCTTCCGGCATGTTCCAGTACCGTTCCGCTTCGGGCATCGTCCACATCTCCCGCAGCTCAAAATGGCATACACCCGCATTCTTGAACAGCTGTAGCGCCTCCACATGCTCCGCCGCAGGCGCGAACGCCGCCTGGAATAGGTCGACGTCGAGTGCCACGGGGTATCGTGCGTGCCTATCGGGCCAGAAGTCGATCAGGTCAATGTCCAGTCGCTGCAACGGTCGGCCCCGCCCAGAGCGCGCGGCCACCATCGAGACCAAGTCGGCGGGCGACAGCTTGTCCGGGTGCGCAGCCTTGGCGCCGAGCGCGAGTACTTCGAGCTGAGGCAGCTCGGTGTCAGCGAGGGCAGCGTAGAGGCTGCTGGCCAGCTCGTGCGAGGCCGAAGGCGCATTTTCGCGCTCGTCTAGCGGCCCCGCGCGGATGTAAACCGCGACTGTGGTGAGGCGTGGTAGTTGTCGGAGAAGACTGGGGATGATTCGGCGATCGACAGCAGAGGCCAGGAGCGTCGTGACGGATGGGAGGGGAAACATGGTGCACAGACGTGCGAGCCACTCGTCCCACTGGTGGTCGTGGGCGCAATCAGCCTGTATCCAAAGTCCAGAGCGTGGGCCGTCCGCGATGAGGTGAAGATCGTCGTACGCGGCCGTGATCTCTAGGCGCGTGAAGCTTGCGAGGAAGCCTTGACATGGCAGAGGCTTGACCAGCGCTATGTGATTTGGCGTGAGGCACTTCACGCGGTCCATGCGGATTGTGACGTCTGCCGGAACGTCGAGGATGCTCAGGAGACACAACGCGGACTGCAAATCGCCACCGCCACACGTAAGACCACGCAGGCTGTGGAGTGAAGCGGTTCTCGTGGCCACCGTGCGGGAGGCATTGTGATCGAGCCCTTCGATGTGTAGATATTGGAGGGCGGGCGTGTTGGAAAGAAGCTCGAGAAGACGGGCTATTATGTCGCCAGAGAGAATGGGGCTGGAGAACTTCGCCAAGTATAGATGGGTGAGATGGGGAAATTCATTGGTTGGAATGCAGATGTGAGCGGGATCGATCGCCAATGCCTTGAGACTAGAGATGTGGTCGCAGAACAGCACAGGCTCACGGTCGCTGACTTGCACGGGCAGCTCCGCCTCCGAGACGATAGTGAGCGACTCAAGGTTGGGAGTCCGAAAGGTTTGGAGAGAGGGAAGATGTAAGAGATGAAGTGCGTGAAGCGTGATGTCGAGATGCTTCAGTCGATGACCACATTTGGCGAGAAACTGCGTCAAGGTGCCAATACGCTCGACCTGGAGATGCAAGGAGATAGTGGCATCTCGTGAACGCTCTAGAAAGGTGTCAATTCGATTAGGCGTGAAGTCGTTGGCGCGCTTCCATAAACCCGCTACGTTGAGGGAGACCTCGCGCCACCTTCGGCATACGTGGGTTATCACGAAGAGTTGTCGATTCCGAGCTGGGGTCTTCAGCCTGTCCCAGTAGTCGAGGGGGATGATGTCATCGTAGTACGAGGAACATGCAAGGTGTTCGAAGATAATCGACAAGATTTCAGGAGGGAGTCGGTCCAGAGGTGACAAGGCATTGATGCGGCTACGAAGTTGCAGTAGAACAGAGACAACCTCGGCCTCTTGACGAAGGAGCTGCAAATGACGGATTCAAGACTCGAAAATTTTCTGAACGCAGTACCCTTACTTCTTCGCGACTGACATCCAGACATGATCAACGATGACGGCCGTCGCAGAGTGCAGTTGGGGTGTACATACATCTTTTCTTTCGATTCTCCTGCTAGCGCGGGTTGTAATCCTTGGTTGAGCGCAGACAGCGAATTGGACCCAGAATTAGCTTGCATGACTGAAAAATATCTGAAGTGTCGGTCGCATATACGCGTGGGACGCCTGAAGCCAGTCCGGAAATTGCTGACCGTGTGTCCCTCCTTTATCTTCAGGAACAGGTATTGGCCCCAAGGATTGTCCTGGTGGAACGATAATGCTGGTGGTACTGTAGCACATTGGCGGACCATTTCGTACGGACGTGCCGTTCTATTTGTGCTTGTTATTTTCAGAGGCTTTTGGCAAACACGACCAAACTGCCTGCAGACCAATCGCGATCACGTGCATCATTTGACGCGTCGTCTCGAGTCTCGACGCGACCGTTGTCTTATTCGACCAACTAACCTTTGTGGAACACGCAAATCATCGTCCTCGGCATGTCAAGCCCGCTTCGACATTTTGAGACCCATATACAACCCTGCGGACAGTGGTTGGACGACAAGACAGTGTCAGTGGTTATAAGTACATGCACTCAGGATCGATTGACACTGTTTGACACAGGTGGAAGGATGAGATATTCCTCCCAGCCCAGTAACGCGTGACCAGGAAAATGCCCTTGTTTGCAAATGAACTATGAATACAACATGTACAGACGACAATACCATATTACAGACTCGGAGGCGCGCGTGCAGACTTCAACTTCGAACCGAGACGAGTCGCTCATGAGAGGCTGAGGTGAAGGTTGACCTGCACAGACTTGACGGCGGTGTAGCTACAACAAGATCAGTACAGCGACAAATCTGACAGCGATGAACACTTACTTCTTCAGCGCATACGACCCCAGCTCGCGACCAATACCGGACTGCTTGTAGCCGCCGAAGGGAACCTGCGGGTAGAGCATGTTCGCAGTGTTGACCCAGACGGTGCCCGCGCGGATCTTGTGCGCAGTCGAGAGCGCGCGGGTGACGTTCTGCGAGTATACCGAAGCCGCGAGACCGTAGATGGTGTCGTTCGCCTGGGCGACGATGTCGTCGTCGTCCTTGAACTTGACGACCACGCACACGGGGCCGAAGATCTCCTCCTGCACGATCTTCATGTGCGGCTTCGTCTCCGTGAAGATCGTCGGCCGGATGTAGTAGCCCTCCTCCCCGATCCGCTCGCCGCCATAGTGGACCGTCACAAAATTACATCGCACGGGTCCGAGGTACTCGTCTCACTCGCTCGGGGCCCTTCTCTTCCGCAGATTTTTACATGCCATTCGGTCGTCCTCTCAGTTTGGAAGTCCTGCTAGTACGAGAATACGCATCAGTCCGGACAATGTCGTGATAGTAATGGGCAATGGATTACCGAGATCCTCGGGGACCCTCGGACTCGAACGTGGATTGATGATCAGGTGTTTCTACAGATGCCGCAGGTGTGGAAAGGTTTCTGCGCGCGTTCACCCAGTTAGATGGCTTAACGAACGATGACGACACACAGGTGTCCCCATAGGACACTTTCGGCAGCGCGCTCGAGTCATATGGGTTCGGCGGCACGTCAGCCTCGTCGGCGGTTGTAACGTGATCAGTCCAGATTCCTGAAGCGTCGCGGGCTCGGGGCACTGACGAAGACGTCGACGTCCAGCCGTCAGGGATCTGAACTTCGGCCGGTGTCGTGATTGAGGGTGATTTTGGAGGCAACTCCACGCGAATATCGAGTGCATAGCAGACACTGGAAAATATGGGATGGTCGGGGGAGTCATCCCAGGGGGCGAAGTGCAATACGACCGTCGGGTTGCCCGGTGGCCCTTCAAAGTGTTTCCTGGCGTCCATCCACGACTCGACGTGCTCGTCACAGGCGCACGACGTTGGCTTGGGCTCGAGTCGTGCGGACTCGAGGTCGCGTTCTCCTGTCTGGATGAGCCGTGATCAGTATGACTATACATCTCTGACCATGATCTGTTACTACCTACCTGAATTGCACCGAGAGGATCCACGTGCGAATCGTGCTCCGACGCCCACGCAACGGTAGCATGCAAAGGCCCGTTCGGAATGGCTGGGCATGTGAAAATGGTCACGGTGACCGTTTTTCGAATCTTATAGCTGAGTGTCAAGTCATGGTACCAATACCCGCTGGGGGCCCACCATGGCAATGAGCCGCGCACGCCATCCGTATTGACCATGTCCCGCTTTCTGGCTTGAAGGGCGATAGGCGCCATCTCGCCGTCCTCGACAGAGACGTCCGCGCTGAATCCGAGGGCGTTGAGGTGCGCCAAGGTCCAGCAAGGAAGTAGAATCTTGCAGGGCCCTTGGAATTGGTGAGTCGACGCAGACATTAGAGCGTTGTGCGGGATCATAGCGAGTTCGGATACGGCCGACATGCGCTGATGTGGGATACAGACGTCTAGGAGAGCCGGAATTATGACCTTTTTGAGCGCGGCTGGGTCCAACAGAACTATGCGGGTATATGGCCGCGCATAGCGCAAGGTTGGAGTCCTCCTTATCCGGGCACCGTAACCAGACCGCCTTGCGTGGATAGAGGGCGGAGATCCGAGAAGGTGATCCGGCGAGGAAAGGGAAAGGGAAAGGTGATCACTCCGAGAGGATCTTCGCAACTCGAACCCACCGACCAAGTATTGTCCGCTCGAAACTTCGGCTGAGAGCAGCAACGCAGGGATTCGGCCGAGAGCGTCCTGGCAGGCGAGTGTGGCAAGCTGGATCTCGACGCCCACTTGCCTCCCTGGAGGAAGAAGACGGCAGATGGGGAAGGTGGTGCGAACGCCATAGCTGCTAGGGGTGTAGAGAGGTGGCCTCGATGCAACCGGGAGCCCCAAGATACTGCTGAACGTTCCTAAGGGAATGGGCGAAAATCCTTTCGACTGGGAAAAGTCCATAGGGCGCGAAGCAAAGAGATAGGCGGATTTCGACGCGCGTAGATTGTCCATCTGCACGCTCGTCAGCTCAGGCCACAGTTCTTCAGAAGGAGGCGGGATGCAGTGAATGTTTGACTCGATGCCCCACAGGAATAGGGACTGGTCGGGTATGCGCCTCATGATCTCCTCTTGAAGCCGTACGAACGCCTGCGAGCCTTCGCCGTATATCACAGGAAGACGGACCCCGAAGATTCCCATGAGGCAGTACGCCTCGTCCTCGACACGAGTCGTCTCGCGTTCTGCCGCCCAGGCCATCCGTTCAGCGACGCTTACGGTGTGCAGCTGCCGCCTATGGAGGAGGATGTCTGTGCCGATTCCGGTGACGTCCTTGATGATACTCGCGAGGCTCGCCTTCGTGCCTATCATCCGCCAGTCCTTGGAGAGGAACACATTCCGCGACGGGACGATGAGCTCCTGCAAGGTCCACCCGCGCTTGAACCACATGCTGCGGCGGAAGGACGAATATTCCTCCATAGGGCTGTCACTAGCAGAGACGTCGGAGAGGAAGACGTAGCAGACGTCGGCCCCCGAGTACCAGGCGAACATGGAGTTGATTGCTTCAGAGAGCTCCGCGCTGCTGGTCTTGTCGATGCAGCATGTGTCGATCCAGATATACGTATGGCCGTGGGCGCGAGCGTAGTCGCAGCAATGTCTGATCTTAGGGCTTAGCTGGGCGCGAATGGCATCGAGGAGGCATCTATCAGAGTCTGCGGGGGGGCTCTGGAATTGCTTTCGCGCGGCAGTGTGAATACTGCGGACATCCTGCGGACGGGCCTGTGAGACGGGCTTCGCGATGAAGCGAGTCGGGCTAGTCAACACTGACCTGGAAAGTCTGCTCTCCGTCGCCCCAGACGTGGGACAGAACCGCGTAATGGACTTCGGAGGGGTGTTGTACGAAGACGATCTGATACGTAGACGTGTTTAGCAGCCACATTGCTTCCTGTAAGTGGTGCTTCGATCATGTCAGCACGCGTGTGACCTAATGGCTGGACGGTTATCACCAGGGGTTCCAGTCTCAACCTGTGTCCGGGGAGGGGGGGTCTTCGATGAAGGAATCTAGGGAAAGCGATATATGTAAAGGTATTCAGGCCGATGATAGAGTTTCGGCTGTTCCTTGGTCTCCTGGGATACGAATCAGCAGAACTCAAAGTAGATCCCGACAATTGGTGCATTAGTTCGATATACAGAGTTCCAGTCCCAGCACGCTAACCTCAACAAGAGGATACCTGAATTAGCTGACAGAACAGGCTTTATATGACCGAGTATATGCGGTCTCCTGCGAAGGATAGTTTGGTGTGCACTCGTACATAGACATCAAGGGTGCCTTCAACCGTTAAGTCCATCTTCCCATTCCCACTGCGTCCATCATGATCTAGCACTGCGCACGGTATTGCGAGCGGCGACGTCGGACGTCTATAACGAGACCCCCGGCGCAGCTCATTTTCACATGTGTGGCAGCTTGTACGTTTGCGATGGCAAATTTCCGATAGCGTGAGGGTACTGCTTATAGCGCGTCAGGAAGATCTTGCACGAGTAAAACAACATAGCACCATGACGGCGAGAAGGAAGCAGAGCGCGAAGCGCGACGCGAAGGTCCCGGCAAACATTGGCACCGAATGAGGGCCAGATGCGATCGTGCGGTGACAGCAGAAGATGCACAGCCGCCAGACCACGATCGAGCATACCCCGCGCCGGACCCGCCTTCTCAGTTCTCCCTCCGAACCCTCGGCCGCCCTGGAGAGCCTGACTGGACCTCGTTATGCTCCGCGCCACCATCGATGCTCCAGCCGCGGTGCACCCGCCGCGTCCGTCGCTGCATTCCATGCACGTAAGCGGGGAGTGTAGCATTTTAGGGGCCGGTGCGGCGTCGGGATCGGCTTGCCAGTAGAGTTAACTTCCTGACGTCCGCGCTGACTAGCAAGGCATAGCGTAGCGGGTGGCGCAGAGGATCCGCGTAGTCTATACGACTACGCCGCCGCCTCATCGGCATACGAGATGAAGAGAGGAGACCGAGAGCTAGACAGATCTCAGTGGCGTCGCAAGAAGAGCAGCTGGAACAAAGCGCGTTGATGGGATTCAGAGGGTGCCATGCGGCGAACTATTGAAAGCGTTCAGACATAGTATGCACAGGCGGACCAACAGCAGGATATACTACAAATACACATCACAAGGTCGAGTAGACTTCGAATAAGGGAGCGCCGGATAGAGTATGTGGCCCCCGCGGGATGGCAGGACGAGGGGGGTTACAAGAAACGATAACGGCGCGCCCTCCACATGGATGAGGGGAGGGGGGCACACGGAGCAATCACGGCGCACGAGGGCGCGTGAACCCGCGAGGCGAGAGACCTCAGACGACTTCGCGCGGAGGGATCTGGCCGAGCGGGAGCACAAAGTAGCTCGTGCGGGTGTCCGAGAGCATCTGCGCCGTGCCGACGTAGAACGCGACGAGGGCGGTGATGATGCCGAACGCGCCGCCCGCCTTGTCGAGCGTGATTGCGTGCGCGGTGGAAAATTTGCCTGGACAGATCCTGTCAGCAGCTGCGAAGCTCCACAGCCTGATAACCATTACTCACCTGCACCGAGCAGCGCGAACGTGATCGTCAGGAAGAAGAACAGAACAACGAGGCCCATGTTCCTGCGCAGAGATCCGATGCTGATGATAGCGAATCAATGAGGGAGTCGCGTTGATAAAGGGTGGGGAAAACGCACAAAAGAAGGAAGGTGATGATCATCCATGTGAAGAGATAGATCCCGAGCGCCGAGTCGAGCTCTTCCGCGCTAGTGTAGGCCGCAGTGATGCCAGAGCCGGGGAGGAAGACGGTGGCAAACGACATCCAGAAACCGCCGTACATTGTAAACGCTGAGAATCAAACTCAATGTCAGTATCGGGCTTTCCGCTGACGCACTGTGGGGAGCGCTTGATAGGACTAGGCACTCACCGGTGGCGCCGAACGTGTTTGCGCACGCAAATTCCCACATGCCCGCCACGAACTGCGCGAGGCCTCCGACGAAGAGAGCCATGCCGACGACGACGTTGGGCGTGACGACACCACGCGCCTGGACGTTGTACATCGACAGGATGAAAGTGGTCGAAGCGAAGGCATAGAGGCCACTGAAAGAAGCGACATTGCGTCAGAAGAAGAGGTCGTCGTCGTTCGGGACTGCAGCGGAACTCACAGAGGACCCGGGTCCCCCAGCTTGCGGTAGTACGGGGATTGGCCCGCAGGATAGACGTGCTGGGGCGGGCTGTTCGCGCTCACGTACTCGCGCTCCTTGTCGATCTTCTCAATGTGTGAGTGGGCGGACATCGTTGCTGGCGACGTGGAGAATGTAGAGAGCGCGAGGGTGGGGGAGAGAGAGGTACGGGTCGACCACAAAGTGGGCCGAGCGAATTGGTGGTCTCTTTTTAGAGCCTGCTTACCTAAGCCGTTCGTGGGCGCCTGCCAGGGCCCCGTAGCCTATTCAGGAGTAGCTCGCCCACCTGACCGGGCGGTGATCCCCACGACGCCGGCGCGATCATCTGTGCAAGAGGGGTTTCCCCGCATGAGTCCTCCATCCCAGCCGGCCCCAGCGAGCCAAGCTAACTCCGTCCGTACGCGTCGCATCGCATTTCATATTCGCCACCCGCTCGCGAGCGCACTCGACGTCCAGAGCAGTGGTCAGGAGGCTCTTCAAGGCGTCGCAGCGGTCTCCTATGCCGCCCGGAACCCCGCTGCCACGCTCAAACACCCCGCGGCCGAACTTGGCAAGACGATGAATGGACGCGCCAACTTGGGGACGTCGAGCAATTCAACCAACCTTGTGATCCGCGCGACGTCCGGCTCATTTCGTAAGAAGGTACCAAGATCTCCTTGAAGAGGATGAGTACGATGATGGCGCGGTGGAGGAAGGCCTGACGCACCTGCTACACAACAAGTAGCCGTGACCGACCCTGGCTTCTCAACATCTCCCGGTGAATCGGCGAACGTACCTGCGACATACCGAGCAGCCCAAGCCGACCCTATTTGCCCTCTCATACCTTTGCCCGGTGAAGCGGCTTCCCTCGGATCGGTGCAATACCCGCGCCCCGAACACGCACTTGACAAGCACGATGGATTGAGGGGCTTTCGATCTTGGGTGATAGAGGATGAATAATTCATACACTCATGTGGTAGGTGTAGAGAGCTTCATAGGAGTACTACGACCTCTTCGAAGTGTGTCAGCATCAGAGCCTGAGCGAAATGGGCACAACGCACTTATGACACGACACAACAAGCCCCCGAAACCGGGTATGTCCCGCCCTCCGCATCCCCGCCTGGGTCCCTCCCACGTCCCTATTGTGTCGTTCCTGCCGGACACTATCCGGCTTCTCTAGGCTGTTCCGATGAACGTCTGTGTCTTGATGTGTTTCATGTCTGTGGGCTCGAACATCAACGACGTGTACCGACTTGGCTCAGTCCGCCGGTCTTGAGCGCTGTCAGAAGAACCGAGTGTCGCCGAAGAACAAGCACCCGCATCGGAACGGAAGCGCAGAGAAAAACCGCTACAAAGCAACGACGACGACCGAGAAAGCCAGTGGGACAAGAGACGAGCAAGGAGCAGAGTAAAGCGAGAGCGCAGGCAGGCGTCGCACGAAGGAGGGGGAAGCAGAAAAGGCCTCTTGCGCTGCCCGCTGCACGCCGGTCTTTATAGCGCGTCGCCCGTTATCGCGCCATGATTCGCCCTTCTTCGCAGCACATTGATCAGTTCCATTCTCGTGGAGGGGGCGCTTGACGGCTCTAGCGAGTGGTGGCAGAGTCCGGCGCGCGGCTAGCGGGCGGACGACGGAGGCCCGCGAGGGAGGGCGCATGACGTACTGTCAATCTATCGCCCCGATAAGGCGCGAGGCAGGGTTAAGACGCCGTGGTCGGCGGGAGGGATGCTTGTCCAATAGGCGTAGAGGGGGGCGAGAGCCGACGGTGCAGGCACGGAGGGAGGGGGCAGGCACCGAAACGGTTAGAGACCGGCGGCGAAGGTTGCCAGAGTGGGTGCAGAGGCCAGGTGAGGGCGTGAGGAGCGGGAGCAAAACCCGAGCGGGACGGTGCGGGCGAGTGCTTTATACCCCGCCGCGGACGCAGCACAAGTCGCTTGATGGTCCCAGGAGTGTCATCTGGTACAATTCATGTGGGCTGGCCATCAGTGTTCTCGTCGTGCACAGGCTACGTCCTGGAGGGGAGTGGAATTAGAGCGGGCGGTCTGGCGGACGCGCCAAGTATCGCCTTTCAACGTCAACGGGATCTTTTTCTAAGTGCGTCTTACTTACCTTCTAACCCGTCTATATGATTCCTTTAGAAGACAATCTAATCCACACTATCGCGCTGATTGCATGTAGTTTCCGCGAGGACGTCGGCGAGAAATCCAGGCGCATACACAGGAGCGACGGGCAGACAGGCAGCAGGGAGATGGTAGTGGTTCGAGGTCAAGAAGCAATTCCGACGCGTCCCCCGGGTTGTCTCAAGGACTCCCAATTCCGAGATGCTCCCTTGCTCTGCCTCGCCGCGCTACAAGTTCCTTGCAAGTTCCTGCACTTCCCGTCCGCACAAAAGCCGAACGTTCGTGCATGCCCGAAAAGGCATCTATCTTGCCGTATATGGTGATTTCGGCGCGCTTCGGAAAACGGGCGCAAGGGCGGAACGTCTCCGGAACTGCACGCAGCCTCACGCAGCGCGCGCGCCTTGGAGGGATTGCTGCTGGTCGCCCGGTTCGACCCGAACGTGCGGCGGGACGACGAGTATTATAGTGCGTCGCAGAGAAATGTCTTCTCGCCTTGCTTCTTTTGTTGCTGCTTTCTTCACTTGATACATCGCGTGGGCTCAGATAATCTCCCGCTACACAGCCGCTATGTTCATAGCATTTATGAGTCTCGTCGTCGAAAACTGCGACCTCGCCGACGTCCGAAACGCTCCGGCTCACCGCGCACAAGGTCGAGTAAATACCAGGGGGTTGACTTCGATAGGCTGATGGTACTTACTGTTAGTTACACTATCACAACACTTTATAATGCCTTGTAAGGGTGGCGGTGCACTGTATGTATTGCGGAGTAGGTCGGAATCGCGGGCGCTCGAGCCGATAGTAGAAGCAACTAGTACGGGATTTCTGACAATGATCCTCTTGGATGCCTTACAGACGTACACAACATATGGTGTTTTGTTCAAGGCCATATCTGGGGCATGAGCGGTGGTTCTCTTTCGTTCCATATGTAAGGCATAGGTCCTGAGGGACTCGACACTGTGGGAAGGATCAACATTTTTTAAAGGTGTTGGGCACAGCTACGACAGAACGGCTGAAAGAGGTGTTCCGGACATTTTCGAGCAGTGTTGGAAATAAATGTGCAGAACACCTCATGTGTGCATGTTTAGGTGTTTTGCACACTTGCTCCCGATGTGTACAACACCTGGTGCCACGATTTTTGCAGGTGTTTCGGACGCTACTGAGCGAGGTGTTCTAAACGGCTGTGCAAGGTGTTTCCAACCGTCGAATACATTGTCAACTACAGTGCATTGACATGTTTAAAACACTCGCCGAAAGTGTCGTGCACGCCGCCGATGGATCACGCCCGAATATAATTGCGAATGAAAATTTATTATGCTACATTTACATACGGACCTCGCAAGCTGTCGAGAAACGCCATCACGACGGCGCGCAGCAGCGGCTTCTCAGCGTTGTCCTCGACCTCGCTGTTCTTGCCCGGGTCGTTCCACGGGCGGTCCCCATACTTGACCCCAGTCGTGTCGCGCCCGCGGCGCGTGTGCGCCTTCGCGGAGTCCACGATCGCGTCGTTCACGAGCGACGAGTTCGGGTACAAGAAACTCTCCTCGAAGCGATACACGACCATGCCGGGCGACGGCGGATACACCACATGTTCGTTCATCAAGAACTTGTTCGGGCTCAGCGGGATGTACACGTCGCGCGAGCTGGACTCGTTCGTGTTGTGCAGCGTGACGCGCCCGAGGAAGTGCCCGCGCGGGCGCGCGAGGCGCACGAGGAGCAGCGCGAGCGACGCGGCAACGGACGTGGAGATCCCGTCCTCGATCGTTGCGAACACGGCGACGAGTACAGACCCGACCCAGATGACGAGCTCGACGAGGGACACGCACCAGAAGGAGTACATCTGCCGCGGGGACGCGACGAGGTCCGTGACGGCGTGCACGATCACCACGGAGAGCGTGGCGGATGGGATCCAGAAGAACGCGGGGTGAGGCCGTAGAGCGCGACGATGACGACGACGGCGCTGAAGAGGCCGGACGCGGGCGAGCGCACGCCGGACTTGGACTGCAGGGCGGAGTGCGAGAAGGAACCTGTGGCAGGGTATGCGCCGAAGAGTGCCGATGGTGTTGGTCACGCCGATGGCGATGAGCTCCTGGTTAGGATCGATCTTGTACCCGTTCACCCTACCGAATGCAGGAACAAGATCATCAGCGCATGCGACATGTACGGCAGACAACTTACCTTTGGTAGGGTAGCGCTTGGAGAGGCGGTCACAAATCCAACGGATGGCGTACAGAGACACGAGCCCGGTGATTCCGAAGGCGGCGTCGGGCGAGAACTCAGCGCCACATTGGAAGGGGGGAGAACGAACGTAACACGTACTGTAGCGGGTGATCCAGCTGAAGATCGGGAAGAGACTCATCACATAGTCGACCGCATACGGATAAGAGTGATGAGCGCGAAGAGGGAACGGAAGAGCAAAGCCGGTGACGTACTCGACGAGTAGGATTTTGCGCAAGGTTCTCGGCCCAGTCCCGCGACGAAATGACAGGGATATCCTCGTCCGAGGACCCAATAATATGTCTACACGTTCTCTTGAGCTTGGAGAGCATGGCTGCACTTACGGGGGGGAGGGATGGGATCAGGCTTCGCTGTCCATCCCCGCTTTTATCTCTAGCTCCGGTGAGTCCGGATGAGGGCGGCTGCATATGGGAATGAGCTAGATACTCACATATCCTCGAGTCCTTGAAGAATGGCAGGCATGGTGGTGTCGATGACGGGGGAGGGGGTCGAGACGTGATTGAACACCTGTAGGAAGTTGTAAAGAAATGACCTGTTCGTTGATGACGAGGGCATACATACAGATCCGTGGGTCGCGATGTCTACGCTGGAAGAGAGGAGAAAAAGGTGGGCGAGAAGGGTGCTGCACGAAGAAACAGGCGACAGACTTACGCAAGTGCAGGTTGTCTGTGTCGCGAACATCTGGGGCGTGGCGCCACGCCCCAGACTGACAGGGCCGAGGAAGCACAAGCTAGAGAGTGAGTGAGAGGAGAACAACACGGAGTAGAACCACCAAGTCAACGGCGAGTAGGCAGAGGTCCAGCAGCGCGAGACAGGACGGATTGTAGGTCAAAGACAGGGGCATGAGCACAGAGAGAAGGGAGTTCTCGTGTGAAGGAAGCGGAGCTTGGTAGGCGTAGCGAGGTAGAACATAGTAGGAAGATGGAAGGTGAATAGAAAAAATAGAGGACAAAGAGTGCAAATGAAACTGCACCTTTAACGGGTGACAGTAAAGACGGCAACCGCCATGTTCTGGACTCCGGATGCGTAGATACTATAATGACAGGGTCAGTAGAGCAAATACGAAGAGGAAGGATGAAGACGCGCCCAGGAGACCAAAAGGGAACAATTGCAAACAAAACACAAGCAATATCGATGCATACACTCACTGTATGTCGTTCGCATCGCGACGCGCAGTATGACATGTAACTGAGTAAGCTACCTGAGGATAGTTCAAGGCAGCTAGTGGCCAAAGCCTGAGACCTGAGTTCATAGCGACAAGCACAGCGCGCAGAGGGATCATCGTGGTCCGAGGTCAAGATGCAAGACGACGGGGAGGGAGCGTTTTCGCCAAGTTGCTAATGACGTCATCGCGATCTACTTCCCAATATGGAAACAGCGATAGACGCCCGATTCGCCTTCTCTGTTTGAGTCTCAGCGCTCAGCGCCTTTCACCCTCCTGCCATTCTTGCTCTCTCTGGCCCCTTGCGTCTCTCCAGTGTTCTGTCTCTCTAGGACGCCTTCGCAAGACAAAAATGCCCGACCCATCCATGGAAGCCAACCTGGTATGGTGCCCATAGCAATAGAGCCGTATGACTCGTATACGGTACATTGCGGCACTGGTCACACATCCGAGCGAGGCATCAGGCTAATCTCTGGTAAGCCAGGAATCCTATCGTTCACTCCAACCCGAGATGCACGGTGTTTGTGCACTCAAGGCTGCGACAGTTCACGAGTGGCGCATGCGGCGCGCCAAGAGAGCAACACGGCATAGCAGCACGGATGACATGCTTGTGCTTTAGGCCGTGCTCGCGCTCGCCCTGTCATGATAACTCTTGGTTTCGCATGTGAGTAATCTCGCTTTAGAGCTTCCGAAGGCGACGAGGGAGCTATGTCTGCGCCCAAGAGAGACCACCTCGGTCCACGCGACTCTCGCGTGTGTGGGGCTGAGGGGGACCGTATTACGGCTCTTTCAAGCTGCGGCCAGCCGAAGGAGACGACTTCCGCAAGTAGTGTCGCGTCGCGCCAATGATTGATGCCGGCGGGCCCATAATCCCCGTCGCCATGTCGGTTTAGGTTATGAATAGCGCGCATACAGCGTACCAGACTGGTCCGTCACCAAGCCGCCAAGACTTGTTTTGCGTTGCAGGAGCGCGGGGAGTGCGCACAGGCAAAGGAGGATGGCGCGGTCGAGTCGGAGGGCGCGTGCATGGACGCGACAAGTCCTGCTAGCTCTGAGGGCGACGGAAAATCGATCTAGTATTCGCATGGACTGTAGGTTTGACGCAGCTAGCGTGAAGAGCTGTGGAGAACACCTCTTGGTGCTGTCGCTGTGGAGAACACCTCCGAAAAATGTATATATAAGAGGCGTGCAGAACACCTCAACGCACAGACAGCGGTAACAGGTGTTTGAAACACCTAGTTATATCATACAATTATTAGAGGTGTGCGACTTTTCAGTGTTCGGAACACCTATTCTGGAGGCAGAGGTGTTCTGAACACCTCAAACAAGCGTTGATCCTTCCCACAGTGTCGAAGTTTGATCCGGGAACTGTGTAAGGCCTTTCGAAATCGGGAACTTCGCTCGACTCAACCCGGAATTCTGTCCTAAACCAGCGGGTAGTTCAGATGTGTGTAAAGCCTTGCGCATCCAGAAAATTGAGCAGGTCTCCAAGTAGTAGCTTTACGCTGAGAGCCGTCACCTCTTTGAGAACAACAGGCGCGGGCGCCTATGTATACTCGGCCATAATCGGAAGAGCGCGAAATTCGTTGAACTTCGCATTGCAAAGTTACGGCGTGCTGCAATCTTGCCACCTACGTCGAGTCCGCCGATATTCGAACAACGGCCTGGCCACCTCTTAGACTTCATCATTCACAGCTGCCATAGCACGCGAGGTGAGGCATCCGCCTGCGTAGCCCCTATTGTATGATCTGACGACAATTCCGCACGCGTAACGCACAGGGATACGTTTTCGAGCACCGTGGTGCTTCGACACTCTCGTACATCACTTTTACATATCACGGGCCACCAGGTGAGTCTGCGGTATCATTCGATGACCTTCATGAGTGGTGTCTGGTCTGGGGATAAGGCCTTGGCGCCACTCAGGGTCGCTTTACGAAACAACGGGCCAGACCCGAGTTTCTTGGACGTACGGGCCTTCCGTATGTCTTCCGTGCTGCCCCCTTGTGTCTCTTTCCGCAGTTCTCCCCACATTTTTTTCTTCTGTTCGATCGCGCGGGGGTGGGGCCCCATGGGGATCGAAACTAACCGTGCCTTCACAGGAGCTTCCTGCGACGCGCATCAAAGAAGAGCAGAACTGTACACGTCCGCATCTTGGCCCCCCAAGATCCAGGTGCTGCATTTCAATTGCTGTTGACAGGTTGGTCGTCTCTTCAGACGCACTAGCTGTCTAAGTCGACGTACCACCCACGCTAGCCTCCAAATTTGCAGCCGGGCGCGTCGTGCGACACACTGCGGCGAAAGATGCGCGCGAACGAGAACACCGTTATCGTGCACCCGGACGTCGTCTTGGTACCCTACAGGTGACGTTTCTGCGATCGCATATACCTGGCTCGGCCCTGGCTCAGTCAAAGTTATTGTTCCGCTCGATCGCAGGACAGAGCACATCGCCGTAAGCACCCTTCAGCGTCCGGCCACACTTGCAGTCGCATCGCATCCTGGGCGCTTACCATACGGAACTTGCAGAAGTACCACGAGTGGATGACCAGCGCCGAGTTGCGCGAGCTTACGGCAAGCGAGCCGCTTACTCTGGACGAAGAATATGAGATGCAACGTGAGTGCGGGGGCTTCCCTTCGAAGCTTCTGAACCCCGCGCCCCGCGCCCCCGCAGCCGCTAACGCTCGATCTCCCGTGGGCGCTGCAACTCGGAATGGTCATTCCGTGGTCAGGCAAGTGGCAGACGGACGAAGACAGTGCGTGTCTCTCGCGTATCTCGGGCACGTACGGCGTTCCTCACCGCATGGCGCAACCCCAGAACTGACATTCATCGTCTTGGACGGCACGCGATTGGTGTCGGCGGAGGGCACGACGATCTCCCCAGAGAGCCTGCGCGGCCTCCCGATGATTGGCGACGTGAATCTGTTTCTCAAGGGCACGCCCGACGAAGAAGAGTTCGAAGCCGAGGCGGAAATTATGGTTGCGGGTGCGCGGTTCCGGGTCTGTGTTTTCGACGTTCACTGAAGCTCTCCCCGCCAATCTCCTTCGGATCTCATTCACTCGTCCAATCTGCGCCGCCTGCCCATGCGCGCCCCGGTCACCCGCAGAACCCGCGTATCGGAGACGCGGCATTGCTTTCACCGCGCTGCAACTCATGTTGTCTTACGCGACGGACCCGTTATCACCATCGCCGCTCCCCGTGCGTCCGGAGAAGCTCGTCGCCCGCATTGGCGACAAGAATGAGCCCAGCATACGCCTCTTCGAGAAACTCGGCTTCTCCGTAACGAAGATAGTCGCCGTGTTCGAGGAGGTAGAGCTGCGTTACACCGGAACCAATGGCACGCCATGGATCGCAGGGACCATCACGGAGTTGTCAATGTGAAGTTGCCGCACGGGAACTGGCGGCGGCGTCACCATCGATCGGATACCGGATTGAGGTAAAAATCCAGATATATTGTTCGCCGTCCTGGAGAATAGGTACTGACGGGGCCCATAGTTGTGGATATCCAATGGTGTCTTCTTTTGGCGAAGCTGAGGCCAAGGTGCGGATCGACATAGGCGCGTGCCATTGGCTCCCACCCCAGAGTCCCATAGCTGGTGCCTAGCATACCTACTGTGTTCAAGCTAGTTGCTTCCGCCTCTCACGCGAAAATAGGTGGAGGGTTCTCGAGTGCATGGCTCCACGATCGTATGCGTGTAGAGTCCCGGGGGAGGGCGTTGTTGTACCGTGTACGTACGCCCATGCGCGGTTAGGGTTACGGCCTCCTGTATTGAGCGCGGCACGCTGCAGTGGGGTTACCCCTCGAACGAATTAACAGGGCAATCTGGGGCAGAATGTGGAAGTAAGCGTGTGTGCGGGGGCGCCAATCTCAGATTGGGAAGCTTCCGTTATTCATTTACGCGGCGGTCCGCAGTGCTCCGTCCGACCCCTCGCTTTCGCACTTTCCTTCCCCGCCTCCATTCCCCCGATTTCGTGTGCCCGGCTAACGCGCACCTCTCGACGGCGCATCAGCGCAACATCACCAGTTACACACATCGCCGCGTCCAGACTGACAAGGTGGACACATGAGCGTACCTCGCTCTACTGGACGCCACCCCGCGTTCCCGCCGGGGGACAGCTGACCAGATCCTGTACCGGATCGCGGGAACCCGACCGAGGGAAGAATGGCTCCTGCGCGATGTTGTAGCCAAGTCGATGTCATGCCTGCTGTGAACATGATCAGTAATCGCACTGTGACGGGGGAACGCGCCCCCTTTCCAGGTATAAATACAGGCCGCCGTGCTCCAAACTCTCTACGCCCTCCCCACTCCGATACCTCCTTTCCCCACACTCTTCACTGCCACCATGCCTGAGACCTTCGTCAAGCAGTTCGACACCCCCGCCTTTAAGGGCGAGGTTAGCTGCCCCCTGGGCCTCTACATCAACGGCAAGTTCGTTGACGGCTCGAACAACACCACCATCGAGTACGTCATAGCATACTCTCCGCCGGCGATAAGGCCACTGACGATGCTTCTGCAGTGTCATTAACCCGTCGAACGGGAAGCTCATCACCAAGATCAGCGAGGGCACGCCCAAGGACCTCGATCTCGCCGTCGAGGCCGCGCAGAAGGCGTTCGACACCACCTGGGGTCTCCACACCACCGGTGTCCAGCGCTCGCGCCTCCTGAACAAGCTCGGCGACTTGATGGACAAGCACGCGGACAACCTCGCTGCGCTCGAGGCCCTTGACAACGGCAAGACGTTCAGCTGGGCGCGGAAGACCGACATCGACCACTCGATCCGCTGCATCCGCTACTACGCCGGCTGGGCGGACAAGATCCACGGCCAGACGATCGAGACGTCCGAGGCCAAGCTCACGTACACCCGCCACGAGCCCATCGGCGTCGTCGCCCAGATCATCCCCTGGAACTTCCCTCGTACGTTTCCTCCCCGCGCTCTTCCCCTACTGTATTGCTAACTCTAACGCCGCGCAGTGCAAATGATGGCATGGAAGATCGGTCCCGCGCTCGCGACCGGCTGCACGGTTATCCTCAAGCCCTCGGAGTTCACGCCCCTGACCGCGCTCTACATGGCGAAGCTCGTCGACGAGGCCGGTTTCCCTGCGGGTACCTTCAACCTCGTCAACGGCTACGGCGCGACCGTTGGTCAGGCGATGGCGGACCACCACGGGATCGAGAAGGTGCGTCTAACTCACCCGGCCCGGATACCCGCACTCACCAAAGGCCATGACGTCAGATCGCCTTCACCGGCAGCACGCTCGTTGGCCGCAAGATCATGGAGGCCGCGGCCAAGTCGAACCTGAAGAAGGTCACGCTCGAGCTTGGCGGCAAGAGCCCGAGTATCGTCTTCGACGACGCCGACCTCCAGCAGGCCGTCCAGTGGGCCGCCTTCGGTATCTAGTGAGTATACTCCACCGAACATGCAGAGATGGCACGCTCATCTCGCCCGCAGCTACAACCACGGCCAGTGCTGCTGTGCGGGATCGCGTATCTTCGTGCACGAGAAGATCTACGACGAGTTCCTCACCCGCTTCACCGACTACGTCAAGACCCTCAAGGTCGGCGACCCCTTCGACCCCGACGCGTTCCAGGGCCCCCAGGTCTCGCAGCAGCAATATGATGTACGTCGCGCTTGTTGAACCACGAGTATCACCTTACTTACCTGAACACCACAGCGCATCATGGGCTACATCGAGTCGGGCAAGAAGGAGGGTGCGACGGTCCACTACGGGGGCGAGCGGATCGGCGAGGAGGGCTACTACATCCGGCCGACGATCTTCACGGAGACGAAGCCGCACATGAAGATCGTCCAGGAGGAGATCTTCGGCCCCGTGTGCGTGGTCGTCAAGTTCAAGGACGACGACGACATCGTCGCCCAGGCGAACGACACCATCTACGGTCTCGCCGCGTCGGTATACTCCCAGAACGTCACCCGCGCGCTCTCGACCGCGCACAAGATCCGCGCGGGCACCGTCTGGGTCAACACCGCGAACATGCTCTACCCGCAGGTCCCCTTCGGCGGCTACAAGCAGTCCGGTATCGGTCGCGAGCTGGGCTCGTATGCTCTGGAGAAGTGAGTGCTCATCATTCTCTGGGATATTGACAGCTTTACTGACATCGTCCTAGCTACACCGCCGTCAAGTCTGTGCAGGTCAACCTTCACCTCAGCCTCTCATGAGCGTCTGGTCTCGGTTCGAAATCGAAGTCTCTACGCGCGCCTCTGTAATATGGTATTGCCGTCTGTACATGTTGTATTCATAGTTCACTTGCAAACAAGGGCGTTTTCCTGGTCAAACGTAATTGGGCTGGCTGGCAGGAACATCTTATCATTCCACCTGCGTCAAGCAGTGTTAAACCGATCATGGGCGCATACACGTACCATCACTGTCTTGGCGTCCAACGATTGTTCCGCAAGTCAGTCTAATCAATCATAGCGACATGGATCCAGGGATGTCGAAGTAGCCTTAACATATCAAAGACGATGATATGTGTGTTCGACAAATCGTCGATGGGACGCGGCGCGTCGAGAAGACGCGCCAAATGCACACGTGATCGTAATGGTCCGTAGACTTTGGTCGTGTTTGCCAAAAGCCTCTGAAAATAACAAGGACAAATAGAGCAGCACGTCCGAAGGCAAAGAGTTCTGAGGTCAGGTCCGTGCTATCACTGGCATCGCGGTCCTACAGGGTCCTACCAGCATTGTCGTTTCGCCAGGACACTCTTTGCGGTTCATTCATGGCACCTGCTTTGTTATATACGTCGTTGTCTGCACTCATCGAGGCACTACCACTAGCCCTAACAAGTGAACTGCACGCGCAAAGGTATGTGTAATCTCACACCACTTTGCCGGTCTTCGTCACTGAGCATGACTTTGTGGGCCATAGTCGCGAAGAAGTAAGATGTCCTCGTTTAGACGCTATTTCAAACTCCAGTGTTGACCTGAAAGTTATAGTGTTTTCATCAAGAGGACGTGATATCCGCCGTTCTGCTGCAACTTCGTAGTCGTATCAATGCTCTATCACCTCTCGACCGACTTCCCCCCGAGATTTTGCTGAATATCTTTGAGCTCTTCGTCCACCCATCGTGCAATGACAGTGTTCTGCATCTCAACTCCGACGAGCGAATCAGCACTCCAGTTCGGACCCGGCAACTCCTCACGATCACCCACGTATGCCGAAGATGGAGGGAGGTTTCTCTCAACACAGCGACACTATGGACGCGCGCCGATGACTTCAAGCCTGCTCAACTAGACGCCTTTTTAGAGCGTTCACGAGATGCCGCTATCTCCTTGCATCTCCAGGCCGAACGTGCCGGCACCTTGACACGGTTCCTCGCCAAATGTGGTCACCGACTGAAACATCTCGATATCACATTGCACACCGATTCCCTCTCCCGTGTTCCCACTCTCCAGGCGTTTCGGGCGCCCAATCTTCAGTCACTTACTCTCGTCTCGCAGGAAGACCTGGACGTGGATCCCGGCGATCCTGAGCCTGTATTGTTCTGTGACCGCGTCTCCAGTCTGAGGGCATTGGCAGTTGATCCAGCCTACATCTGCATTCCATCCAACGAATTTCCTCATCTCACCCACCTCTACTTGGCAAAGGTCTCTAGCCGCTTTCTCTCCCGAGACGTGCTGTCCATTCTTCTCCAGCTTCTTTCGAATACGCCCGCCCTCCAATATCTACACATCGAAGGGCTCAGTCGCAAGGCTTCCAGCACTGTCGCTGCGCGTACCGCATCACTTCGAAGCCTGCGTGGTCTCACGTGCGGTACAAGCGATCTACAGTCCGCCCTATGCCTCCTGAACATCATCGACATCCCGGCAGACGTCGCAATCCGCTTGGACCGCCTGGAGTGCTTCGCGCCGGACCACGTATCGCTGGCCCAGCCCCTGCCATGCCAAGCTCTTCTCGCTAGCTTCACGCGTTTGGAGGTCGCTACCGAGGGCGAGGAGCTGCACCTGGTCGCGGACGGCGCGCGTTCGGGACTCTGGATACAGGTGCAATGCGTCGGCGGCGACTGGGGCGAATGGCTCGCGCGACTGTGCACCATGTTCCCCCTGCCCTCCGTTACGACGCTCCAGGCCTCGGCCGTGGACAAACACGTCATCCCCAGCCTCCTCAGGCAGCTGCCGCGTCTCACTACAGTTGCAGTCCACTTCAACGCGGGGCCACTGGACGAGGACGATGAGGCGCCTCCGCACGAGCTCGCTAGCAGCCTCTACGCCTCACTCAACGTGGACCTGCCTCTCCTCGAGGTACTCGTACTTGGTGCCAAAGCCTCCCGCCCAGACAAGCTGTCACCCGCCGATCTGATCTCGATGGCTGCTGGGCGGCTCGGGAAGGGCAGGCCGCTGCAGCAACTGGTCGTCGACCTCTTGGACTTCTGGCCCGACATGGGCGTGCGGGGCCCTGTGTCTCCTGATATCGACCTCTTCCGGGCGGCCTTCGCTCCTGCGGCAGATTTTGTGGGAGACTTGCAACTGCTTGAGCACGCAGGCGCGTGCGAATTCGAGATGGGAGGGATGTGGACGATCCCGGAAGCGGAGCGGTACTGGCGGATCCCGGCTGACGAGACCCCGTGCTATCGGCTTTTCTGGTAACCCGTATGTATCTTCCTTTTCGTAGCTATTCTGCTGAATGCACACACGCGTGGGCGATGTCTGTGTCTTCTTGGATTTGTCCTTCCGCACACTGGGATACCTCGTGGAACCCGATCTACTCCTTTAGCTAGGCACGCACAAACACGTAAGCCCATCCTGCAGTACGCAGCTCCATCTAGGGCCGGTAACTCTCTGCACTCGTCGCCCTTATGCAGCTCAAATATTTCCCTCCGGCACGAGATCCATCCTGTGAGGTGAGTACCACTCATCACGCGGAGCATTCAATAAAATCCGCTGACATCCATGGTGTGCCGTAAAGCCTCCAGTTTGTACTTGCTCTTTCAAGACGCTGGTGCTTTTGTGCTCGAGTGGTGCGAGTGGCCCCGCTTCGGCGCACGCGATGAGCCGGTGTGTGTGTATCCATCCCATCACGCCATTGTGGACACTCGAGCCGCCACACGTGTGAAAGCGGGCTGCGGGAAGTCCGATAGAGGTAACGTCTTAGGTCCGAATTCATCGGAATAACATGTCAAACATGCGCAGCTGACGTTAACTATTGACAGATCTTCTTTGATTTGTGTTAGCTCAGGCTAGTACTTGACCGCAGCCATATAAACTCTCAAAACCCCTTCTCGCACCATCGCACCAACTCCCTTGTCATCCCTCAGTGCCAGAGATTCGAACCCCTAGTAAGACCTGTGCGGTGCCCTTACGACGCTCATATTTACTGACAAGATCAACATAGAGGACGATGTGGCTGCTGAATACATCTACATACCAGATCGTCTTCGTGCAACACCCCTCCGACGCCCACTACGCGGTCCTATCGCACGTCTGGGCCCCCGAAGGCGAACAGACTATCCAGGTCAGTGTTAACATGCCTGTCCTGATCTCTCTCGAAACTCGCCTCACGGGCCAACCGCAGGATGTCCATGCCATCCACACTGCTGCGCGAAGCAGCTTCCCGGACACCCTCCAGGATACCGATCCGCGTCTCCTCGATGCCATTCGCGCCCGGCTGAGTCCGAAAATCAGACGCTGCTGCGACTATGCTCGCGCCCGCGGCTGCGCATACCTCTGGATCGACACGTGCTGCATCGACAAGACCAGCAGTGCGGAGCTCTCCGAGGCAATCAACTCCATGTTCACCTGGTACTCGCAGGCCGACGTCTGCTACGTCTTCCTTTCCGATGTCTCGGCTAATGACGACCCCGCGGAGAAAGACTCGTCATTCCGCCGCAGCATGTGGTTCAAGCGTGGATGGACCTTGCAGGAACTCATCGTCCCGTCGAAGAACGTGTTCCTGTCAAAGGATTGGCGGATGATAGGCACGAAGACGAGTCTCGCGAATGTCATCGAGGACGTCACCGGAATCGACACAGGCATCCTCCTTCATACTCGCCAGCTGCACACCGTAAGCGTCGCGGATCGCATGGCCTGGGCGGCGGGACGGGAGACGACTCGTGTCGAGGACGAGGCGTACTCCCTCATGGGAGTCTTTGGCGTGCGTCTCCCTATCATATATGGCGAAGGCTCTCAGGCGTTCATACGACTTCAAGAGGAGATCATGAGGCGCATACCCGACCAATCCCTTTTCCTGTGGGGAATGGAGCCGCAGGTCCCCTGTTGTCTGTGGCCCTTCGTGGAGAGCGTGCCGTTGAACAAACTACGCGCATCAAAATCCGCCTACCTCTTTGGCACGTGCCCCATGGACTTCTCTCGATCGAAAGGATTCTCGCCCATCCCTCTGGGAACATTCAGCAGGATGCTAGGACTCCCGGACGCCTCCCCTCCACCTCTCTACACCCCCGGCAGCTACGGTGTCCGAACCACGTTCCCCGTCTGCACCTTTATCGACCTTCGCCCTGACATAGGAGCCGACTCGGACATCAAGGTCCAACTTGCCATACTCGCCTGCCAGGATATGCGCGGTCGAGTTCCTGCTCTTCTCCTTTCCGATGAAAGCGCATGCTCCCAACACTTGATCGGCGGAGTCAACTTCAAAGACGGCTGGTGCGAGCGAGTGATATCTCGGAAAGAACGGTTCACAGGGCGGCAAGCTCAGACACATTCAACCCGGGCCCAAATAATCCAACCTCCAACGGCTGCCGCCATTCGGTACTGCAAGGCCTTTCCCCGCATAATTTTGTTAGAACCATCCATGCTGAAAAACCCAGATATTATCGCATCTATAGCCCTCCGTGACGTTTGCATCCCACATCAACGTATGGCGAGCGTGTCTGAGCTTGCCGTTCTCCGCCGTCCCCCTCAGACGGAGGGTCATTCTTTCCGGGGCCGCTGCCAGATCACCCTCCCGTGCTGGACCCTGGAGCATCTCAGCGCACTCGGGTACAGCACGGATGTAGTGGTGAAGAACGGGGAGATGGTTCCCGTACCTCTAGGCCGGCAGCCGGGACCAGTCGACGGTAGCTCGCATGGCCCTCTGCGGTGCTCCCATACCTTCACGCTCAACCATACCACTCGAGGGTCAATCACTGTGACAGTCTTCACATGTCCGTCACCCAGCCACTTTGAGTCGATGCACGCTGCCGTCGCGTGGAGACTGGCGTACGACTCGGGCGCGCAACTGGCAACGCAGGTGATACGAAGCCATGGCAGCTCTCTCATGTGCACAGCACTCATGACGATTTACAGGAACAACTATCCCTCATCGCATCTGCAGGGCCGGCACTAGAGGCCCAGTGCGCCCGCGAACACGTCGGGTCGTGGATGGATGGTCGCAAGCGTTTCGAAGGACTCCCGGGTTCCCCAACCGTCCAGCTACACTTCACCGCCTGGGACCTTAATGAGAACACGGACCCCGGGCTCATATCTGATTATGGACTACGAGGCTCTGGTTTTTCCGACGGAGATTGCTATGCTCTCGACATCCGTGTTGAACTCCCGGGCTCATCAATTGCAAGCCAAACCGCGAACACTACCGTATCCAGGGTCCGTCAAGGACGCCGGACCTCTTTCCGAGTGGATCTCGCCGGCGTCGGCCGCACTTCAGGCGCTGCTGCCATCGCTGACGCGAAGGATACCGGAGCATTGCTAAAGACCGATGTAGACATTGGTGTGCCATCGGCCGTGTCATCTGCCAACGTTTACAGCCCGCATCGGCGTTTCCGATAGCACCGCCCAAGTGAACTCACACTGAGGCCACGGATGAGGAGGGGAGCCCAGTAATTCCTGTCGGTATCGCTACCACTTGAATAGATTGACTGATGCACCATTTGCTCAGCCGCAGCTCCTAACAGATACCAACCTCTCAGCTTCCAGAGTCTTGACCGGACGGCGTCTGACTTCAGTGAAAGCAGTACGGTCTAAGCCCGCGGTTGGCAAGTACTTATGCTGATATGTGATCGTCTCGTCTTCCCACCGTTGTCACTAGGCATTGAATCAAACCGGTGCACACGTGTCCCGCCGTAGTCGGATCCCATCTCTTGAACTAGTATAAGAATCGAACGTCTCGGACAGCTTGCCCCATCCGCCCACACCCATGATCATCCCTACAGCGAGAGGGCTTTCACCCCCGTAATCCACCATTCTCAGTTCAAGCCTTCAGCCACTGGGTGAGTCAGTCTCCTCCATGCGGCCAGGCTTTCGCAAGCTAAATCACGTATTCAGGCTCATGCGGCTGCTGAATACCTCCACGGGTCAGTTCGTGTGGATCGCGGACCCGAGCGCTGTGCGATACGCCATTCTATCCCATACATGGCGGTCCGAAGAAGAGGGCGGCGAGCAGTCATACAATGACGTCCGGGAGCTCCAAGCTGCAGCTAGACACACTTCAACACGTCTTTTGCATCGTATCCGCGGGACCTCTTCCCGTCGCTCTCCTCAATCTTCGGTACTCTCCCATTCTGCCTTCTCAGACAAGGTCAAAGGATTCTGCAAAATCGCCCGTGAGGCTGGCTACGAGCTCGTATGGATCGACTCCTGTTGCATCGACTCGTCTAGCAGCGCGGAGCTCTCGGAAGCGATCAACTCGATGTACCAGTGGTACCGCCTTGCGGAAGTCTGCTACGTGTACCTCGCGGACGTGCCTGATGGCGATAAACCCGCGGACCGGGATTCTGCGTTTCGGACTAGCAGATGGCGGACGCGCGGCTGGACGCTTCAAGAGCTAATCGCCCCAAAGCGCGTCGTTTTCTTGACGCAGACGTGGCGCTTCCTCGGGACCAAGATGGGGTTTGCGTCGACGCTCGAAGAGATCACTGGAATCGACTTCGCTATCCTCACGGGCACCGCAGAGCTCGAATCTGTCAGCGTCGCGCGTAGGATGTCATGGGCGGCCGGACGCAAAACCAAGCGTATCGAGGACGAAGCATACTGTCTCATGGGTCTCTTCGGCGTGCACATGGCCACAATATATGGAGAGGGACGCAACGCGTTCCTTCGCTTGCAGGAGGAGATCATCAAGACAATACCGGACCAAAGCATTTTCGCGTGGGGACGTAGCTGTACCGTGATGTATGACATTTCAAGGAACAAGCCTTTCGTACCTCCCCCGGCCAAGCCCATGTACCACCTGGAGACGTCACGGCATGGGATGGGGCTCCTAGCGCTGTCTCCGCAAGATTTCGAGTCCGCCAGAGACGTCGCGCCACTCCCGCTCGAGGAGTTCGCGTCCCTTCTCGGCGGGTCGCCGGAGGACTTCAAGCTCCCCTCTCTCCATTGTTTATTCACGCCGCAGGGCGTAGCCCTCCACCTCCTTATACTCGACCTTTCCGCTGAGCTGACACAGATACCGGGGATTCTCTTCGAATACCATACGGGCCCCGTGCGGTCTGTCCACTGCACTCGCCAAGAAGAATTCCAGTCCCTCGCCCTGCTACGCTGCCAAGACGAGTACGGTTCGCTCGTTGCGTTGCCCTTGTCTAGGCTGCCGGAGGTAGTGCCGGCTCGCGTGCAAGAGCCCTTGGTCGTCGCAACTCACGCGGCATGCCATCTCCCGGAGCATCTACACATACGCCCTCGTAGCATCCGTCTAGGAAAGTCTACTCTGGCTACTGCTCGAGCTCAGCTCCTGGCGCCGCGGAAGGTCCGCGAGGTCTACATCCGTCGACACCTCAGCTCGGGCTTGTATCACAACGACCTCTCATCCACGTTAGGGCCTCACAGAAGCTTCGGCACCACGGTGACTGTCAATATCGCCCGCGACTCCGTAGAAGAGCTGGCCTCTCTCGGGTTCAAGGTGTCCCCCCTTTCCTGCTGGTACACTAACACACACCTTGACCAGATCCTCACTGCGAGCGCTACCTTTCATTCCGGAGGCGACACGAACGGCGACAGCAGCCAAGACATCAAGGTCGGCGTGATCCTCACCAACACCGCCGCGATGGAGATGGTTCCCCCCGTCTGGAGCACCTCCGCGCACTTCTCCGTCGACCATTTCTTCCGCACGCCCTTCCTGGGCAGGCGGAGCCCAGTCCCGCATTCCCCCGCGCGCTCCGCGACGTCCATGAGCAGCCACTGCGACTACGCGGTCGCGGAGGCGCCGTGCGCGGACGACAGCGGCGGGCGGCGCACCTCGACCGTGCGGCGTACGGAGTCCGGCGCGCTGCACGCGCAGGCTGAGTTCGTCCTCCACGCCGACGCGGACTGGGAGAGCGACGCGGCGGACACGCGCCTCTTGCGCGTCGCAGTGCGCGGCACCCCCGGTGCTCGCGCGGCTGGGTACGCGTTCGAGCTCACCTTCGAGCTCTCAGAGCGCTCCCGCCCCAAGCGGTCTGTGGGCGCGCTGCCCGCGCGGGCTCCGCAGGCGAGGCCGGCGCTGGCAGTGGCGCTCGATGGCGCCGCGCACGACGAGGCGGGCTCGGTGGCGACGTCGCGCACGGCGGTAGACATGAGCTCTGGGTCCGATGAACCTCTTATTGGTAGCGGCGGGCCCGTTGCCAGGACGCCTCTACCCAAGTCGTCCAAAGTTCACGAGCGAAAGAACAGGCGAAAGAACAGAGCAATTTCCGGAGACTCGCTGATAGATATCGGTATAGCGTCGTAAATACAAGAGACACGTCCCTAGAGAACAATAGCGTGAGCAGCCTACAGTACGGGTACAGAGCAGAAAAGAATCCATAACGAACGAACGAAAGCAAACGCAGCGCGGTCCGGCCATTATATGAGTGTCGGCGCCGAACATACCCCGCATAACCCGCGATCATGACCCGCAGCACGCCCCACTTGCCCAGCGACCCTTGTCGGGCCCGCCCAGGGAGAGGTGGATGCTCATACTCTGGTCCGCGTCGTGCACGTACATCGTCCGCGCCTCGAGCGCCTCCTCGTGCTCCTGCCGGACGACGACGCGGCGCGCGATGTACTCAAACACGTCCTTCACGCCCTCTCCCGTTTTTGCGGAGGTGAAGAACAGCTTCGGGTATCGTTCGAGCGGCGGCGGGGGGCAATATGAGTTTCCTGGTGGGGAACCCGACTCTGGAGTTGTAGCGGTCGTAGCGACTTCTGCCTGGCCGCGAATGAAAAGGCTGGGGGTGATAGTCGGTGCGGAGGACATGGAAGATGTGGACGGCATGCGGCGCGGAGAGCGGAGGGGAGAGTCGCGTGAGGGCGAGCGGGAGGGGGGCGCGGATAGCGCGGTGAATGCGGGCGAGGAGAGGGCGGACTCGAAGTTATCGAATATAGAGGAGGAAGGAGTGTGATAGATGGTGTGCGTCGTCGTCATCGTCCCGGCAGCGCTACCCCCGCGAAAGAGCGTGGAGCGGCTATGAGAGCGCGATGTCCGAGACGCACGACCGCGCAAAAGGTGGGAGTGTATGTCGATCGAGTCGGTACGCGAAGCGTCGAGATGTTCTGGAGGTGGAGAGGGGGGAAGTTCTTCATCTGAGAGGTCATCTTCTGGCGGTGCCAGGCGAACGGTGGGGGACGGGGGTGTGGCGGGACGGGGTACGAGCCTGTGCACATAGTCGATCGCCTCTGCCTCCGACACCGCCGAATGCCCGCTCCCCGCCGCTTGCGCGATGTCAATCTTGTTCCCCACGACGACACAGCAGAACTCGTCGACGGCCTCGTCAGGCACGGGTGCCTTGTCCCGGAAGTCGCCCCACCACTTCGTCAGGGCGTCGAGCGTCTGCGGTTGATTGACGTCGAACATTAGGATGACTGCATCCGCGCCGCGGAAGAACGCCGACGAGAGTGCGGAGAACCGTTCCTGCCCTGCCGTGTCCTAGCGTCCCCGCCCCACCATGGAATGAGTTACAGACAAAGGTATCTAAGCGGCAGTACGCACCCATATCTGCAGAGTCACCAGCTCGTCCGGCACATTGTGGTGGGGCAGAGTCTTCGTTATAAAGTCTGCGCCGATGGTTGCCCTATAGCCCGTCGTGAAGCGGCCTGAGATGTACTGTGTGAACCGGTCAGGCTTGTCGCGCGAGCAAGAGCATACGAACGTACCTGGTTGCGGATGCTGGACTTGCCGACACCAGATGCACCAATGACGACGAGCTTAACCGTGCGCATCGCCAGGAACTTGCGCAGAGCTCATGAGCAATACGGCAGAAGATATGTGGTGGTGGTCGAGATGAGAGAAGACGCGAGCCCGGTAATGGAATATTTCTCCCGCGTCCTCGCCGCAAGTCGGCGTCTGCGCCTGTTTCTTCCCAACCACGATGATCATCTTCAACCCCGAGCTCCAACACCAGCCGTCGACTTGGGACTCGGCCAGGGAGTGATGGCGGAGGTCGCGCGTGTCCTTTGTTCTCAAGGGGTTTTGCCGTCGTCTGGAAGAGGTGCGTCCGACGTACGCATCGACATATCGCAGCGTTATCTAACGGGTACCGCTGGTCCTATGTAGCAGCTTTCATGTACCACCTATGCCAGGTTGCTCGCACGGGTAGGCATCATCGTCCCAATCAACAGACTCCCCTTCGAACTCCTGGTGCGAATCTTTGAATTCACTGTCGTCCCTGACCGACACCGTATGGAATACTTGATGGAGCACAGTGACGGATACACCTACTGCATCCCATTCGTCGACCTCATCTGCGGCATACATGTCTGTAGGCTATGGAGAGACGTCGCTCTCGCTACGCTGAGCCTGTGGTCAGGTATCAACAATTGCAACCGCACGAGGCTCGATACCTTTCGATTTCGCTCGCAATCAGCATCTCTGGCCTATGAGATTTGCTGGGTGAACGACCCATCCATCGCGCAGCTGCTGCAGGACGATGCACCGAGAGTGCGCCAGCTCAATATATGCCGGGCGCCGCCGAGCCAGTGGCAGAAACAGGTTTTCCTCGTGCCGTCTACTCTGCAATTTGACGGCTCGTTTCTTGAAAGCATCAGTCTGTCGTGTTACTCATCTCTTTCTTAGTCAGTTCGAGTTAACACGGGGCTCCAGAGGATCAATTGTGAGGCGGTGAGGCTCATCGTGGGTCGGAAACAGTGATTGCACTGAGTTGGCGATTTGTGCTCACGTCGATTGTCATGCGAGAATGGCCTTGGTCATATACCAGTGGTAAGATTCTACTACCTACAAATGTGCCAATGGGTTATTGACGATAGCAGTGGCAGTGGCACCTTCAAGCAGGATGATATATACGGCTCGAGATCGTCCCTGCCTCGCCTGTCAAACTTGGAACTGATATAGCTATTGCTACGGCGCCGCGGTAGCATCCACGAACGAACACGAGGACCACAGAAATGGTTAATGAAGCCGAGTTTCTCGTCCTTCTCAGTCGACTGAAGCATGCCCTAGGGGACCAGATTTCGCAATTATCGTACGTGTCCTCGTCACATATTAAACCTACCCGATGCTCAAAACAGCCCATGTTTGTGTGTCAGATCCGATGAGGTGCGTACACTCTAGCTATCGTTTAGACCGATATACTCACCTGTTCGCAAGCTACGCACGGCACTTCACATCGTGTCGGACGCAGCATCAGACCTCAAACACCGCGTCAACGTAATCGCACCGGTCAGCAAGCTTCCTACGGAGCTGCTCGGCCTTATCTTCGAATTTGCCAAGGGCCATGATGAGAGAGTCGAAGTCGAGGGCGGCGCGCCCCTCACGACAAAGAAGACTGCCCGAACCAACCTCATTAACATCACACATGTCTGCCGTACCTGGCGCGCTGTTGCCCTCGCCTCACCCTCGCTCTGGGCAGACATCCTCGTCGACGACCACACCAGCAGATTACCGAGTGCAGACGCCTTTCTGGGCCGGTCTCAAACGATGCCCCTCTATTTGCATGCGTCACAGATGCGCGGCGCCGACCTGGCGCGGTTCTTGCAAGGCGACGGCGTCGCCTCTCGGATTCGGCGGCTTGACCTCTCTTGGGACCTTTTCCACGACACCCCTGCAACAAAGATCGAGCTCGACGCACCTCTTCTCGAATGTCTGACCGTGGTTGCAAGCCGGGCTCTCCGACCGATAGACCTCGTCATCTCCAATGCTCGCCTGAAGGCCCTCACTGTCTCCCTGAGGGACGACTTCATCTGGACACCGAAGATGTCATTCTCACACGTCACCCACCTGTACATGGATGCAGTGTGCCACTACTGGGACTACGTTCCGTACGGCCTGGGGCCCCTCCTGATGGGCGTACTGATGAACATGCCCGCCCTGCAGTACCTCCACCTCGTGCGCCTCACGGCGGAGGTCTTCGAGGAAGCGGAGCCCGAGCCTGAGCTGCAGCCGGTCGCGCTCCCTCAACTGCAGTGGTTTGCGTGTGTCGACTCGAATCCATCCGCTTCTCTCCGCCTTCTCTTGTATTTGCTTCTTCCTGAGTCAGCGTTCGTATACGTAGGCCATGGATGCGGCGCACGAGAACAAACGACCCTCGAGCCTCCTTATGAATTTCCCTCGCGCGAGCTCGTGCAGAGCTTCACACATATGGAGATCGCGGCCTACGACCGAGACCTGCGCCTCGTCGCAGAAGGGCCTCACTCGGGGCTCTGGGTGGAAGGCCGATACGCGTCCCCATCTGAAGTTCAGTGCTTGCAGAGCTGTCTCCTGGCAATGCTTCCTCTTGCGTCGATATGTACGTTGGACTTCCTCATCAACAACGCGGAGGCCGTACATGTCCTGCACAACCTCCTCCACCGCACACCATCCCTCGTCGCGCTGCGCGTCCGAGTGCACCCGGACCTCTCGCTCAATGGGCGCAGCTCATTGCCCTCCCCCACGCTCGGACCGGTGTCCCCGATGGACCTCCTGGAGGAGGCCCCAGTGAACGCTACTTGCGGAGGGCTCATGGAGGACTTACTCGCTGCTCTCAAGCCGGGCGACGGGGCTCAATCTGCCCCCTGCCCTACCCTGACTAGCATTGACATAGACGTACACAAGCTGAACCCGCAGGATGCCTGGACGGCGGATATTGCGCTTATGTTGGCTGCACGGGCGGGAGTTGGAGCCCCAGTCCGACACCTTGCGGTGCGGACATCTGTGGAAACATTGGTGTTGGATGAAAACTTGGAGGTCGGCCAAGGTAACAATAGGGACGCACTTGACGAGACTGAAGACTACGTACGCGGAGAGGACCTCAGTGTGGTCCCAATGCATAGGCACGAGTGGGACATGCCCGAGGAGGCGGGGAAGTACTGGATCGTGCCCGACTGGGGTCGACCGCAGTATACCGACAGGCTATATTCATTTACGGACATCTAGGGACGTGTGTTCAAATTGGTTTTTTTGTGCGAGGTCCTGTTGTCCCAGTGTTCAATAGAATCGAGATCGTATGTTGAAACGCACATTCCGGTTAGTACGTCTGATAGCGGTCGTCTCGACTTGTGGTTTGCTGCATTACACACTTATTTTGGTTGATATACTGACGACTCGTCTCCTCAATAGCATGAAAGTGGTGACAATTAATGGTGATTATGATACAACACGTAGATGCAGTGGTTTTGGTCAACAGCGTGGTGCGTTGATGAGCGTGGGTCGGCCGTCAAAAACGCTGCCTGGAACAGTACTCTCGAATTGAGAATCGGAATGTAGGATGCTTAAGCGTGAACTACTCACCGGTAGTCGTATTCGCGACGTCATCAGTTGCTCCCTCTCCCTAAACCTCTCCAGACCTCTCCACCTCGCAGCACAAGTAGCTTGTTCAAGCGGGGATCATGAGCTCTCCCCATGACCTGATTGCGGCAATTCCACCGAAGAAGACCGACACCGCGGTGAGGATGCTGAGGTTGCCGGGGAGGTTCTCCGGGCTCCAAACCTGCTCGCGCATGAAGCGGGAGAAGGCAGACTCGTTGGGGTCGTTAATGGCGCGGCGCTGGGGGACACCGAAGGGCGAGACGGCGGGTGCTGCACGACGAGACATTGTGGTGTTTGGAAGCGAAACGAAGGGAGGCGGAGGAGGGCGGGAGAGAGGGTGATGACGGGAACTGGGAGAGGCGTGGGCGCTCACAAAAATGAGGGTCGCGCAGGCGCTCGTCGTATTGCTCGTGGACCTCTCCCTCGTCCCCCATCCTCCATCCGCAAGCGCTGTCCCTTCGTGTCTGTATCTACGCAGACGGAGCTGTAACAGGCTCGCATAGCTCTTTATTAGGCTCCTGGGTAGTCTGCAATGTCTCTGCTGTCATCTGGCTCTCGGTTTGCTGCACGGACCGCCAACCTCCCACCGGAGCTGGTGGTGGCATGCCTCCACACTTCTGCACCACTTCTATACAAGAGCTCTCGGGAAGGCCCCAGTAGGCTACGAGACGGCCCCAGCAGACCCCGGGATGGCTCCAGCAGACCTCGAGACAGCTTCAGTAGGTCTCGAGACAGCTCTGGTAGATCTCGAGACAGCTACAGTCGCCCTCGAGAGAACTCCAGTAAGTTGACCTCACAGAATTCTTGCAAAGCTACTGATAAAATGCAAAGGTACCACACCGTCGCGTACCCGACTCGTGAAGGACTTGACGCCGTCATCCGGGAAGCTCGAGGTTGCGCCTTCGTTCCAGCGCGATGCTGCACCCCACCATGACAGGCCCCCCAGAGAGTACAAGCCGCGCAAGCCGGCTCCGCCGAGAATATTTGATTCTCGGGAGGGCAGACAGAAGTTTGTCGTCCCGGCGGCCGATGTGGATCTACCAGTGACTCTCAAGTTGTCCGGTAGCTCACGCTCAGTAGACTTCACGAGCGGGGGCAAGTACAAGCCCCCCAGCTCCAGCTCCGTGTCGTCATACAAGGCCAAAGTCGTCAACCCGCTCAGCGAGGACTTCGACCTGGACAAACACGCGATGCCGACATCGAATTTGCCAGACAAATTCACCTCCCCGCCGCTCATGGAAGGAATCGTCCAGTCGATCCACAACATCCTTGGTCCCGACGCAGAGCCGACACCTATTCAGGCTCTCTCGATCAAGCATCTAGTGAAGCCCGAATCCGCGACGCCTGAGGAACACGCGCAGTACCGCCAATTCCTCCTCGCGTCCGAGACTGGTTCGGGCAAGTCCATGGCGTACCTGCTACCTCTCCTGCAAGACCTCAAGCTTGCCGAGCTACGCGATACACCACGCCGGAGTACCGACCCTTCCTTGCCGCATCGCGCCATGAACCCTCGCGCACTCGTACTTGCGCCGACGCACGAACTCTCGAGGCAGCTCTCCGGCTTCGCGAAGGACCTCTTGCACAACGTGAAGTTGCGCGTTATGTGCGCGTCCCAGGCGAATACGCCGTCGCGTAAGAAGGTCACGGCGTCGAGAATGGCCGAGGCGATGGATGGAGCAGCGGAAGGCGACGCCGACATCTCGTCCGAAATCATCATGCGGCCTGGGGCGCAGAATCGCCCGGTGGACCTGCTTGTCAGTACGCCGTCAAAGGTGCTCGAGCTTTTCCGTGGGCGTGGATGGGACTGGGAGGTGAGGAGATTTAGGAAAGACACGTTTTCGTATGGCGGGGAGGAGGGCAAAATCAACATACCTCGGAAGTACAACATCGGGGAGCCCCAGATGGGTCTCGCAGATATCGAGTGGGTCGTCGTTGATGAAGCGGACGTTCTTTTCGGTAAGCTTAGTAAAGAGACTGTTTCAAGGCCGCTGCTAAGCATTACATGCAGATCCCGACTTCCAGGAGGCAACACGGTCGATCCTCGCGGAGATCAGCGCCGCTCGCGGGCACCCGGTTCCCTTCGAACCTGACCTGGTCCTGAGCACGGCGGACAAGCCCACGCCCATCGACTACCCGTTCCATCTCCTGTTGACGTCCGCGACTATCCCTGCATCGCTCGCCGCATACGTCAACAAGTTCCACCCCACACTGACGCGCCTCGCCTCACCGAACCTGCACCGGCTGCCGTCGACGCTCAAGACGGAGAACTTCAACTGGACGGGCGGCAACCGCGACGCGGACATCGAGCACCGGCTCCGGCGGGTGTGGTACGAGGACCTCCAGCAGAACAAGCCGCTTTCGCGCGTGCTCATCTTCTGCAACAAGAGCAACCGCGTCCTTAACCTCAGCGAGACGCTGAACGAGAAGGGCATCGCCAGCGTCGCCCTCACCAGCGCGGGTGAGTCGCGGAAACGCGGCTCGAACCACCATCTCGACGGGTTCCTGCGTGTACGCGAACTCGAGGCACCCGGATCCTCCTCCGCAGACGTGCCCGAGGTGAAGGCGGAGGTGGAAGCGAAGGTCGAAGAATCTCCCGCTGAGCCGCGGACGATGGGCGAGGTCAAGGATGTGCCGCACGTGATGATCACGACGTCGCTGCTCTCGCGTGGGCTCGACTTCTCCCCAGACGTGAAGCACGTCTTCATCGTCGACGAGCCGCGCAACATGGTCGACTTCCTGCACCGCGCGGGCCGCTCTGGGCGCGCAGGCGAGGACGGGAAGGTCGTCGTGTTCGGGAAGCAAAAGGGTCGCGGGTCGGAGAAAGCGCGGATTGTGCGCAGGAAGGTGGGCGCGCTCAAGGCGTGAGCCGTGGCGCGGTCGTTGGAGACTTGAGAGGGTGCAGTGGATGAAAGTATTCTACGGGCGTGAATCATACATCATCTAATCATTCGTAGGTACATCTAGGACCAGCTAATCTACCACACCACTCTGGCGCGTACGTCGCCGAGGCCGCAACGTTTGTAGGCCTTTTAACACATCATTTGCGATACGTTGGTACTCCCTTTGTGGTGCGTACCAGGACTTTAAGCTTCAAGACTGAGGCAGCCACCACGTTCTGCACAGAATGAGTTGATTATTCACGGCCTATTCCCGTGTCGCAGGTGGGAAGACGTCCACACTGGCATAGTACTGTGTGAACAAGTCGGTGGTGGTCGGTCATTTGAGTTCCCGGGCTGCCGATCTCGGAGTACCGTACGCGTCGCACTAGCCCCGCTGGGGCAACTTGCCTTTGACCCGCGACCGCACGACCACAGCCGATGTCCGCGTCCCTCTCTCCCAAAGTCGTGCTGGTTACTGGTTGCTCCAGTGGCGGAATAGGGTTTTCGCTGTGAGTCACGAGGGTTGCGTGTCTGGCTTGCCACCACACAGCTGCTGATTATGGCCGTTAGATGTGAGGAGTATGCCGCCCAAGGTTGCAAAGTTTACGCGACCGCGCGCAGGCTCGAAGCCATGGGCGGATTTACTCATAACACGGTCGAACGACTTGTGCTGGACGTTATGAGCGACGATAACGTCCAAGATGTCGTGCGGACCATCCTCGAGAAGGAGGGCCGCATCGACGTCCTTGTCAACAACGCCGGAGTCCTGTGCACGGGTAGGCATGACCTCTTCTAGATTCTGGCGTGTTGATCTCGCTTCTGATATATTTCTCTTCCAGGTCCTACAATAGATGTACCGATGGATGAGATACAGCGCGCGTACGATGCCAACGTGTTTTCAATTATTCGCATGTGCAGGGCGGTCATACCCCACATGGCTTCACGCAAGAGCGGCACTGTGGTCAACATCAGTTCCGTTCAAGCATACGTGTACATTTTCAACGACCGCATCCCATCCATGCTTAGCTGACGCATCCTCCTGACGCGATAGACCGACGCCTTGGGCAGGAATTTACGCCTCGACGAAGGCGGCAATGCACTCCCTCAGCGAGGTCCTCTACATGGAATGCACCCCGCTCAACATCGCCGTCGTCCTCGTCACCACCGGCGCCGTGCGCTCTAACCTCGCGAACAACCGGCTCGCGACCTACCCCGGCCTCCCCGAGGGCAGCCTCTACGCGCGCTATCTGCCGAACATCATCGAGCGCGTCGGCATGAGCCAGGGCACCGACAGCATGCCCACGGACGAATACGCGCGCCGCGTCGTGCGGAGCACTCTGCAGGGGAGACCGCCGCGGCAGATGCGGCTCGGGGGAAAGACGTTGCTGTACCGCGTGTTGCAGTGGCTCCCGAGGGGCTTCGTGCTGTGGTTGATGTGGCGTCGGTTCTCTCGGGCCACGAAGTGAGGATAGTAGGTCAGTGTAGAATCCCGTACGTGATGATCGCGCCATGTCTAGTATTCTCGTTCACGCCCGCTATTCTCGTCAACAGTCCACTTCTTGAAAGTCATCGCCGAGTTCGCGGCGACCGACGCACTACGTTTGTTTCGTCCGACCCGCCCGCGGCTTTTCTTTTCCTCTTGCCGATCCTACGGCTCGGACCGTCCTCCCGCACAGCTTCATCAAGGCTCTGTACGAGAGCGTGCGTTAGTCGACATCTCTTCGCATTATTGGTACACATAGGCAATTTACCTCGCTCCTGGACACATCCTCTGTAGTGTCCTCTGCGTTCGGGATGTGGTCTTCTAGGTCTGCTACGAAGGAGGTCTTTGGTTGAGAGATTTCAGATACGTTTGCGTTCGCGGTGTTGTTTGGCGGAAGTTCCAACCGGATGTCGAGTGCATAGCAGTCGCCAAACAATCCAGAGGCTTGCAGCGCATATCTGGTCCCGAGTGCATAGTCGGACTCATCCCAAACGGTGAATTGCAGAATAACGCTGGGGCAATTCGGGGGCCCTTCGAAACGCCTCCTGGCGTCTGTCCATGAGTTGATGTGTTCGTGGACGCATGCCTCTTGTACGGGTTTTGCATGATCGGCGTGTTTCTCTCCTGCCTATAGAAACCGGACATGATGAGTGACCAGCATGCTGAACGACAAATTCCTGTCTCACCTGTGTTGCGAATATCACATCCGAGCTATGCCTCGCCCTCAGATCCCATGTGACGGTAGCGTGCAACGTCGGCAGGAACAAGGAGAACGCACAAGTGAAGATCGTTACGGAGATCGCCCCGTGAGTGGCGTGATCAAGAGTGAAAGTATGGCCATAGCGGCTGTCGAGCACCTGTGAGCTGCGCGATCCAGCCCTCTCCCGGGGTAGTTTGCCCAGAGACACAGGAACCATTTCGCCGTCCTTGACCGTCACATTCGAGTCAAACCCGAGCCCGCTGAGATGCTCCAAGGTCCAGCATGGGAGGATAAACTTGCAGACTCCACGAAATCTATCGGTGACGGGTTTCGGAATCGCCGTGCGGCGGAGGATAGCAAGCTCCGACACAGCCGCCATGCGTTGATGTGGGACGCAGATGTCGCGGAACGCCGGGGAACTCACATTTTTCAGCACTAGCGGGTCCAGCAAGGCAGCTCGAATAGATGACCGGGAAAATCGCACAGTCTGATATGCCGGAGTAGAGCGAATGAGAGACGCTGAGTTGAGGCGGATCCGACCAAAGACACTCAAGGTGGATGGAATTGGAAACCGACTGTGAGAGGGTTCATGAAGATCGAACCCACCAATGAGGTATTGGCCGCTCAATAGCTCGGCTGAGAACAGTAGAGCAGGAATCCGACCGAGCGCATCCTGACAGGAGAGTATGGCCATTTCAACTTCGATGGCAGAATCGGGTTTCGGGCGTCCTACGTCGTTAGCGAGCGAGAACCGGAGACTGCAGACGGGCAAGGTGGCGCAGACACCATGGCCGCTGAGAGTGTAAACCGGTGGACGGGAGGCTCCCGGAAGACCTAGTATATCCCCAAAGACTCCGAGAGGAATGGGAGAAAACCCCTTGGAGTCAAGGAAGTCCATAGGGCAAGATGCCAATAGATATGCGGACTTCGACGCGCGTAGAATATCCATCGGCACGCTTGTTAATGAAGGCCGCCTTTCCTCGAGATTTGCGGAGATGCAGAGCCTGGCGTTCGGCTTCATGCCCCACAGAAAAAGCGATTGGTCTGGGATGCGCCTCATGATCTCCTCTTGAAGTCGTACGAACGCCTGCGAGCCTTCGCCATATATGACGGGGAGACGCACGCCAAAGAGCCCCATAAGGCAGTACGCCTCGTCTTCGACGCGAGTCGTCTCCCGCCCCGCCGCCCAGACCATTCGATCGGCAACGCTTACTGTATGCAGCTGGCGAGTATGAAGGAGGATGTCTGTGTCGATTCCGGTGACACCCTCGATGACGTGTGCGAGGCTCGTCTTGGTTCCTATCTTCCGCCAGTCCTTCGACAGGAACACGTTCGACGAGGGGACAATGAGCTCCTGCAAGGTCCACCCGCGCTTGAACCACATGCTGCGGCGGAAGGACGAGTCTTGCGCCGCGGGATCATCACTGGCTGAGACGTCGGAGAGGAAGACATAGCAGACGTCGGCCTGCGAGTACCAGGTGAACATGGAGTTGATCGCTTCGGACAGCTCCGCGCTGCTCGTTTTGTCGATGCAGCACGTGTCGATCCAGAGGTACGCGTAGCCGCGAGTGCGAGCGTAGTCGCAGGAGTATCTGATCTTTGGACTCAGCCGGGCTCGAATGAAGTCGAGGAGGTGGGGATCGGTAGCCTCGAGGGTGTCCGGAAAGCTGTGTCGCGCGGCGGTATGGATGGTGTGGACGTCCTGTAAACGGGCTCATAAGTTGGGCTTCGTGTGAGGAAAGAAAGGGAGCGATGCTAACTTGGAAGGTTTGCTCTCCGGCGGAGTCCCATACGTGCGATAGGATAGCGTAATGAGCCTGGGCGGGGTTTTGCACGAAGACGATCTGGTATGTAGATGTGTTTAGGAGCCACATTGTCGCCTGTGGGCAGGCCTTTCAGTATGTTGAAAAATGCAAATTGAACATAACCAAATCTTACTCAAAGTTGGACTGGGGATACCGAGGTCGGGGGACGGGTAGTAGTAACAGCATATATAGTCAGCAGCATGTTAGAGTTCAGACAGGTGTACTTGGATTCCTCAGGTCCAGGGATAGTTGGCATATGGATAACCTGAAAGAAGATCTATCAATGTCAAGTACGGTTCGTGATGTATTAAGAGAAGTAGAACCCACGATTGAATGTGGGCCGCCCCGGGAGAACTGGCATGTAACACCTAACCGGGGTCTATAGTGCTGAAATCTGTCAGTACGGTCATGAGTTAGCGAATAAGCCTGAGCTCCACGGTGTCGAGTACGGTCAAATCCGTATAACACTGAACATGGTTCAGCTTCTATTGACATCTGATATACATACGTGAAGTAGGCGGGAAGCGAAACGAATGGGTACAGCCTGAGTCAGCTCATTACCCGTGATGAAGACCTGCTGAAGCCTAGCGAGCGCGTCAGCGAACTGTTACTGCTCTGCAGATGAAGTGTGTACATGGTGATGATTACCGAGAATGCTTTTGGAATGTGAATCAGGCTATAGGCTTTCCTTTCCAGTACGTCGGTGTGTTGTACCTAGATGGCGCAGTTGAGTATGAAGGCTCTGCACACCGTTCAGTTGGACTCGGGGGCAGCTTACGGTCTTATAAGCAACGGCACCCACATTGTGCCCGGGACAATCCAGTACCTCTCCGCCTCCTTCGTCGGTGCCCAATGATCGTCATATCCCGCGACGTAGCTCGGGTCACGACAAAGCTCCAAATTCAATTCTTGAATGTGATTTACTGCGGCGCTGTACACGCTCCGCAGATGCTCAAGCTCCTGCTCAAGGGCGTCGTCCGTAGGTTCCGGCGCACCCACAGTGTACGTGGGCACGAGTTGCAGAGTCAGCGCCTTGAGCGGCACTCCTGCGCTCGCGCGTGCAGCCAGCAGGTCGACGACCCGAGGGGCCATTGTTTCCAGCTGGCCCCCTTCGTCCTCGATGCAGAGCGTGGTGAGGCTACGGCAGCGCGTTAGAGTGCCTTCGTCGCCCGGCATGAGCGGGAGAAGCAAGCCGTCGTCAAGCGCACAACAGGAGAACGCCACAGGCGTATCAGCGCGACCAGGGAGGTAGGACGAACCCATGGGGAATCGGAGTGTCCCTAGATAGGGCAGACGGTCGAGGGCAGCCTGCAGCAGGGCGATCTGGTCGTGGCTCTCCGCGAAGAAGTCGAGCGATCGGACGGACTCGAAGAGGAATACGCGCTGCAGATTTTGGAACCAGAGAGGCCGATCGATGTTTTTACGATTGTCTTCAGAGGCAGAGGCGATCCCGCCGTCTGTGTAAAACCCGGAGTGATCGCCTTCCGCAACTAGCCATACGGTGTCTCCGGCGCTGCATAGCTCGAGACGGGTCAAACCAAGAAGCCACTCCTGCGATTGCAGCTGATAGTGCCAGGGCATATTCGGCGAGATGCTCAGCGGGCTATTGAAGGAGACGAACGCCTCGGCGGGGAATTGCAACATCGCAAGAAGGGGAAGGAATGTGTCGAAGGGGGATACTGTGCAAAAGAACAGTTTGAGCTGAGAGAGCGCTACGGGCTTCGGGGTATGCTTCGAGGGGACCACCCGAGGAAGAAAGGAGAGATGAAGAGATTGGAGTCGAGGAGTTCCGGTCAACATCGTTGCGAGGGACTTCAGGAGCGGCGGGTCCTGCTCGTCCCTGAACGCACCACCGTAACAGCCACGTAAGAGGAGATGGGTGAGGTTGGGGAAGTGCGTCCTTGGTATCCAAAAAGTCATCGGTAAGTAGAGCGCTAGGGCTTTCAAGGAGGAGACTGATTGTTCGAACGCCTTCGTACCGGAAGGCGCCCTCCCGTCGGTAGACTCCGACTCCGACGCCACGATTGTGACGCATTCGAGACGGGAGCCATCAAATTTTGTGCGTGGCAGCGCGAGGTTGGAGTCATGTTCACTGATATGGAGTTGCTGGAGTCGAGGTCCGAATTCCTGCAGCAATCGCCGTGTGAGAGCTGACCCGGCGTCCCCCGGGATTTTGAGGGAGAGAGGTAGCGGCTCAGCGCGAGATGAAAACATCCTAGCTTTCATCATGTCGCTGTTTTCAACGTGCGTCCACAGGTTCGGCGTGGCCAGTGCGGTGCTTCGCCAAGTACGACAAACATGCACAATGGAGATGGGGTCGACGTACGCAGGTTCTTTGCGACAGTCTGGTGTGCGAATAGCGTTTCGAAAAGCATATCGCTCGTCGCGGAAAGTGGCGTATTCGAAAACCAGCATGAGCAGTTCAGGAGGCAATCTGTTGAATGGACAACACATGTTGATGTGTTGCTTGATCGCCATGATCGCGTCTGCCATGGTGCGAACCGCCACCAAGAGCTACCACAGACAAGTCAGTCTAGTCGCTGCTATCTAAAGGTCAGATATGAGAGATACGTACTCGATCGCGACTGCCCGGCAGCACGGTGACCAGAGTGTTAGTGACGCGATGGATCACAGACAAAGCGTACTGACGGCATGAGGTGCACATCACGCTGCAGGGAAAACGGCAGTTGTTTTATGAGAACATTGAAAGGGAGATATTCCTCAATGCCGGATGAGGCCATCGCTGCAAGGGTATCGCAGGAATTGAAAGTTAGAGATGGTGGTTGGTCGAGAGCAGCAATTTGAAGTTTACGCCGGTTGACGCCCATAAACACATACATCGTGTCCTTCGGCAGTCCTGAGGCTTTCGCGAGTGAAAATAACCTATAAAGGGAACTTTCACAGGCAACCTGAGGTAGTTACATTATACTGTACATACGGCGTACAGTATGTACATAGACAGCGCACGATAGCCAACAGTTGTGTTTTACTGCGGATGAAAAAATACACTGAGCGGGAGTCGAACCCACGCCGCTTGCTTGGAAGGCAAGCATGATACCGTTTCACCATCAGTGTGCATTGCATCATGGAGTATGTTCAATCTATGGGGTTAGGCACCTATAAAATGTACCAGGGGCATACACCGCCATGATTCTGGCATGTAGATGTAACCTGGATTTGGCATGTGTTCCACCGAGCGCCGGCACCCGACCACTACCTGGTAGCCAGTCAAAATCCAGAAAATTACCGGAAATAGATCCGTCGTGGGTCCAGTTATGGGCCGTCGTCACCTGTCAAATGCGTGCTGGAGTCAGTCGTAGCCGGTCACTACATGTTGGTGCAGCACGATGTCAGCAAAAACTCGCCCGAGCGTCCATGAGTTGCTGAACCTATATATCACGTATTTTGCAGCTCAGATCGGCCTTGGAAGCAGGTGCACGTAGACACAGAATGTACATGATAAAGCCGCAAGGTGATTGATTCGGTATATAATACATGCGAGCAGTGTGACTACAACGATACGAGCTACTAAATGGGCGTCGATGCCCAGGAGCTACTAAACTGCTTGCAAAAGCGCGCCACAGATGCCAGACGGCCTCGCCGCAAACGTTCACATAGTCCAGGGAGAGGGGCAGTGGACGATAAGTGCTTAATGGCACATTCCCCGAATAACGACACGGCAGCGAGCCGCGGAGCGAACAGCTCGGGAGTCGAACATATGTGCTACGTAGGATCCCCGCACCAAGCAATACGACAGAAGTCGCAGAGCAACAGCTCGGGATGTGAAGAGGACGGGGCGAAGAGGGAGGGCGGCGCGGAAAGCGCGAACATGATGGAAGAGGAAGAGGAGGACGTGGCGATGGGGGGCAGCCCCGTCGCGATACTTGAGTCAGCAGGTTGGGGCTCCGCCTCTATGTTCTCGGAAACAGCCAGAGAGGCTGATGTCAGTGAGACGAGGAAGCGCGTACCAAACGCCCATCTCTGGGAGGAGGGTGCCATTGATACCTGGCGGCCACATATCTCGCAGCTGAGGTTGGCTGGAAAGCTCAGACTGGAATTCTAGCTAGCGCGTAGGTAAATGAAGTATGTCATCCGGGTATGAGACCGGCTGATTAACGCTTGATGCCGCCACATAGCAGGGATATATCTGGCACTTGGCGGTGTATGGCACTCGTCTCGAATGGTCTTCCGTGGCTGCGTGTCGCTCAGGGAAACCTGAAGGCATTTAATTCGGAAATAGCGTATGACTAGTGGGGCATTGTGATGAGGCTAGTAGCGGTACATAAATAAGTAATGTCCATCATTAAGTCAGAGCAAAGGAATGCAACGTCAATATATCATCGAAAGTCCAGCCGGATCGTGAGTCCATCCAAACGAGCGTGAACCGCATCACTGCAGCAAGGGAAAGCGTCCATAGCGAGACAGCCTCATTGTGCGGCCTTGATGAGGTCCGCCGCCTTCTCGGCGACGCCGTACAGCGTGCTCGAGAGGTGTGCGCTGATCTGGATGGGGAGCACAGAGGCATCGACGACCCGCAGGTTCGCCGTGTCGTACACCTTCAGCTGCGCGTCGACCACACCTGTCCATCGCACGCTCATGAGCACACATAACGAAAAAATGGGTAGAAAGAAGGAACGTACCGCCGAGGCTCCGCTTCATCATCGCGGCAGTGCCGACGGGGTGCGCGACAGAGGAGAAGCCGTTGTTGCCAGACTGGACGATCCATTTTCTCCAGTCCGCGTCAGAGCCGCCGTTGCCGTCGTCGGGGACGGTCTGGAAGCCGGGGATGGTCTCTCCGGCAGCCGTCAGGTCACTGCGCATGCAAGTGTCAATATGGCGAAAGCAACAGGTCTTCAAAGCTCGGACATACCTGAGAGGAGTCGTAGCGAGAATCTTGCGGGAGAGGCGGGCGCCGGCAATCTGCACGGAGAGATCGAAGTCGACGCTGAAGTAGTTGACCTTGATTTCGGGCTTCGTGAAGGGGTCGTTCGACTAGTTCGAAGGCGGTGAGCCTCGCGGAACACATGGTTGCCTCAGCTATGCTGCGAACGCACCTTGATCGCCACGCTGCCTCTGCTGAAGGGCAGGAGCTGCCACATGTCGATTCCGAGGTCACTGCACATCCTGTGGTCAGCGTACGGCCATCGCTCCAAGTAGCTCTACTCACGCAGGGAAGCCGCTGTCGAAGAACAGTTCCGCGACGGGTGCTACAGAACAATGTCAGCATTATTGCCTCACACACGGTACAATCGATGCCCACCGTTCTTGTTGATGATAAGGTCAGCCTGAATGCCATAGATCGTGTGCAGCGCGTCCGCGGAGAGGGCCGAGTCAGCCTGGGACTGCGCCCAGCCGGCAATGTTAGTCTGGATCCTCTGTGCCGCCGCGGCCGAGTCGTTCCCGAAGAGCTGGTGGATGTTCGGGTACGCAATGGCGTCCGTGGGGCCCCTGCCGCCGGTGTTGAAGCCGTTGCCCTTCGCGCCGAGCGAATTCATCGTCTTGACGAGACAGCACTCGTTAGTTCTCGATACAAGTAAGAGTATGTGCGGTTGTGCACTGACCTGCTCCTGAAGGTTCTTGCCCACCGTCTTGAGGTCGACAAGTGTGTTGATACCAAGTGGGCCGAGAACGTCGGAGTCGCCAATGCCCGAGAGCTGCAGCAAGGCAGGCGTCTATGTAATGGTGAAACAAGATGTGTAAGTGGAATATGGTACGACGGCATGAACTGATTCCTACCTGGATAGCGCCAGCGGCGAGAATAACCTCCTTCCGCGCGAACGCCTGGAAGCGGCTCCCGCTGCCATCGGCGGCGGCGAACTCCACGCCGGTGGCAGTGAAAGGCGCGCTGTCGCCGCTGAAGAGAACCTTGGTAGCCATGTGTTCGATAAGGAGCGTCCATCCCTGACGCTGCGTCTCCACAGGGGTGTAGTATGCTTCGATCGAGGAAGACCGGTGATCGTCTTCGTGCCAGTTCAAGCTCTGTACGCTCGTGAGAGGACGCAGCGACTTCGGATGGTGTTAACACGCACCAAGGGGGTGATCGAGACGCAGTTGGACTTCCCGCCGTTCAGGTCTGGGAGTTCCGTCATGTGGGTGAGGCCAACGGTGGCAGCGACGAACGCCTTCATCTGGGGGCCGCCGTACATCGCGTCGGGGTACGTGACCTGGACAGGCCCAGTCGTGCCGTGGAATGACGCATTCGACGCTGCACCCTTGGCGCGTTGTTGGTCGTTGGGCGCGGAGAACGACTCGGCCTGAAGTAGCAATACGCGTCAGTAAGTATAGCCACAAAGTTCTGGCGGTGAGAATTACCTTCTTCATGTATGAGAAGAGGCCTTCCCAGTTCCAACCAACGTTGGCGTCCTCAGGCTCGAGCAACGCAGAGAAGGCATCGTATTGGGCGTCCAGCCCGCGTGTCCAATGGCCGCCGTTGATCGAGCTGCTACCTCCAAGCGTCTTTCCACTACAATAAAAGCGTTGAGAAATGCGCCTGGAAAAATGCAAAAGTTGGGAATGCTTACCCGTGAATTGTCTTGCCCTCATCAGCAGGCCATGCCCAGTCGAGAGGGCCATTGAACGCGGCACTGTACTGGTAGATGTCGAAAACCTCGGGGTTCGTCCTGTCGTCACCACCAGCTTCGATCATGAGGATCGACAACGAAGGGTCCTCCGCAAGCCGGGCGGCCACGGTCGTCCCCGTCAAGCCACCGCCAACGACGATGTAGTCGTACGTCTTGCCGCTCGCCGCATTAGGATCGCTGGTGATGCCGGAGCCCGCGCGCCTCTGATGGCGAGGCGCTGCAGAAATGCCGACTGCGAGCAGTGCGACAGCGGCACCGAGCTTGACCAGGGAGCGCGAACGAGCCATTATTAGAGATGCTGTAAGGATGTGGGGTGAAGGGACGAGCACTGGGGGGAACCGCGGACGCAGGGATCTTTTTTAAGCTACGAAGGAGGGCGGTAGCGAGGGCGAGTGTTGCTCCAGTGCTCGCCGGGCGGTGTTCCGCGACCGGCGATGGGGGCGGATGCTGTGCGCAAAACCCGTTCGATGTGCGTCCATGTGCGCCCCGGGAGTACGAGAGCTCGATGCAGCCGCCACTGCCGCCGGTTTTCTGCACTCACTCTGGCAAGCCAAGGGATTGAACAGGAGGTGGATGGTCATCCAAGGCCGTGACGTCCCTCCGGCGCTCGGATCGGTCTTGATGGGATCATGAAAGCTGGCATTAGTCGGCCATTGCTCGACTTGCGTGGGGAAGTATACAGGCTGTGAGCGTCTGGGCGATGTAAGTTTGCATTATGATCGCAACCTCGTTGCTAAAGACGGCCTTGGCATCCAAACAGTTCACCGTATGCCGATGGGCGCCTTCGGACGACTGTCTCCGGCGCTTTTAAGTACCAGGATGAGGAATGGCTCGTAAGTGGCTGAGGATGACTACTTGTGGCATGAGAATGTGGACCTACGTCGGGGTTTACTGCCTAAATAGGGCTTCCAGGTGTACACGCCTGACGGAACTCAGTTGCACGGGTGCCTTGCAGAGCGCGCTGTAGTCTGTGTGCCGACGCCTAGGTTTTGATACGAGGTCCGTCAGTCGAGTTCGAGCGAATAGGGGATCAAATGCGACGAGAGTGGATGTTCTGCTAGCGTTGTATGTATAAAGTATTCGGTCGAGAGAGGTGACCCGGACGTCGGAGGACCGCGACGTCGGACTCGGAGACGCTTGCCGGGAGGAGTGTGTTTGGTAGTATTTGCCAAGAGCTTCTGAAACTAATATGCGTAAACATTGCCACCGCGTCCTCTGCAACTCATGGTGACGTCACACCAATCGTCCTTCTTCCCGACCATGTCTCTCCGCGACATGGCAAATACCACTCTTCAGCCGCCCTTTGGCCTCAGGACAGATGCGCAAACACGGGCTTTCCGTCTACGCTTGTAATTCGGCCCCAAAGGTAGGTGTTGACTGAACGTCTGCAGCACTTTGCATCACGACGACAACGCTGACCACCCACGACTTTTCTGTAGAACAGCAGGTAGGAAACACTTCTAATGGGAATACAAGGGATGGACACCCTGCATACACTGCACCACATACCGCGCGGAGCTGGGATGGCTTCGTCATAAATCCGGATCCACTGGGCTGGCGCGAACTTCTCACCTTCGCGGACTATCGTCTCCCTCCGTATCCCAAATCTCCCTGCAACTCTTTCCCGCAATTTACAGCAGGTCCTGCTCGACTTTCGACCTCAACCTTCTGGTGTCCTGGGACCTGGATCGTGTCCGGAAGTCTCGGTGCTATTGGATTCTGCTGGCTATATGCGCTCCCCGACAACCCTGATCACTACAGGCAATTTACATGACACCCTTTTCTAGGCTTTGGGCTACTGGTAGACATCGTGTGGCCTATTGGACGATTGGACGGTCATCGAATCACCCGACGCATGGGCGCTTCATAACGCACGTGGACCCATGGATCTGGGCGTGGGAAGTTCTTGGGCGATCAGAGGACATTTGCTCGTCATGCGGGCCGCAAAGACTGGGCCCCTGTTCACACTCTGCAGAAATTGCCATCCGGGTTCTGGTTCTGGTCTTCTCACTATCAGCTCTTCGCTATAAAACCGAGGAGGGCCTCTCTTTGCACACATCTGCTGCGCCATGACCGCCCTCGAGGAACCTCCGGTTGTCCTGCCCACTCTCGATCGCCTCGGAATCACCTCCGTCCCGCAGGATGTCGATGCACTCAAAGTGGCGAGCGTCTGGTTCGGCTCCTTCACTCAGGCCGTGGCAAAGAACGACACCGATGGCATCCTCTCGCACATCGTGAGCGACGGCTGGTGGCGCGACATGCTCGCACTCACCTGGGAGTTCCGCACTCTCCACGGGCACGCCAAGATCCGGAGGCTGCTCGAGGAGCGTCTGGCGCCCGCGAAGCTGTCCGCGTTCAAGCTCACTTCTGCCAAGCTCGAAACGCCATACCCTGATCTCGCCTGGATCCTCGCGGGGTTCACGTTCGAGACGGAGTTCGGGCTTGGAAGCGGTTACTTCCGCTTAATCCCCACCGCGGACAGCCAGTGGACCGGCTTCACCGTCTACACGAACCTGGAGGATCTGAAAGGGCACGAGGAGAAGATCGGGGCAAGACGCAACTTCCTCCCGAACCACGGCAAGTGGCTGGACGAGCGCGCGCGCGAGAAGAACTTCGTGGACAGCGACCCGACGGTGCTGGTCATTGGTGCGGGGCAGAGCGGTCTAGATGTCGCGGCTCGCCTCAAGCTCCTGGACGTGCCCACACTGGTGATCGACAAGAACGAGCGCATCGGCGACCAGTGGAGGTATCGGTACCAGGCTCTGTGCTTGCACGACCCTGTCTGTGAGTATCCCACATATATTTCTGGCGCGCGTCCACTGAGAGTGTTCTTCTAGGGTATGATCATATGCCGTACATCCCGTAAGTCTCATGCCCAGCCCAGCCCTCTTACGCATTCACGTACTCATGCGCGGGCCGAAAGCTTCCCTACCACCTGGCCAGTCTACACGCCGGCGCACAAGCTCGCTGGGTGGCTGGAATACTTTGCGGAAGCACTGGAGCTGAACGTGTGGACCTCTTCTACTGTTACCAAGGCTGAGCAGGACGCGAACAACGAGTGGAACGTAACAGTCGAGAAGGCGGACGGCACAACGCGTGTGTTCCACGTCAAACACCTAATCTCCGCGATCGGGCTTGGGGGAAACAACCCGAACATCCCCGAGTTCCCCGGACGCGACGAGTACAAGGGTCAGATCCTGCATTCGATATACCACAACTCGGCGAAGGATCACCTGGGGAAGAAGGTCGTGATTATCGGCGCAGCTACGTCAGGTCAGCTCGCTCAGCGTTATACATGATGTACGTGCTCATTGTCTCTTCAGCACACGACCTGGCGGCGGATTACGTGCACAACGGAGTTGGTAAGAACCCGAACCCTCTGGTCGACGAAGAACCTTAACTCATTTCTGCGCGACTGGGCTTAGACGTGACGATGTACCAGCGCGAAAGCACGTACGTCATGACCACCAGGGAAGGCGGACCGCGCATATTCGGCAGTACGTATACTCGACATGGTAGACGTCCACACGATGCTGACAATGTGCAGAGCTGTGGTGGGAAGGCGCGCTGCCTCCGGATGAAGCGGACCGCGTCGACGCGTCGCTGCCTATCTGGGTCAACGAGCAGATTGGCAAGCGGACGACGCAGGAGATAGCAGAGGCGGACGGGTACGCCCCACGTCCTTTGACCATTCTCCGTGCGCTGACTCTTCCCGCTCCTGCGATTCAGGAAGCTTCTCGACGGGCTCAAGAAGGCTGGCTTCAAGCTGAACTTGGGTCACGAGGGTGGCGGCTTTTTCGCGCTGACACGGCGACGCGGTGGCGGCTACTACCTTGACGTCGGCGCATCGCAGCTCATCATCGACGGCAAGATCAAGCTGAAGAACGACAGCGTCATCAAGCGGTACACGCCGACCGGCCTCGAGTTTGAGGATGGCAGCACGCTCGACGCGGACGTCATCATGTTCGCGACTGGATTCGCGAGCCCGGTAGTAAGCCTCGCGAAAATCTTCGGCGAAGAAATTGCGTCGCGCGTCAAGCCGGTATGGAACTTGAACTCGGAGGGCGAGCTCCGCACGGCATGGCGCGACTCGGGAGTCCCCAACTTCTGGTTCATGATGGGCAACCTCGCCTGGTGTCGCTTCCACTCTAAGCACCTGGCTCTTCGTAAGTGCCCTATCGGCCTACCTCTACGAGGGCAGAATGCTCATTGCTCCCGGCTTGCGCGCGGCAGAGATCAAGGCGCAGGAGATTGGTGCTTTCCACGGGAACGCGTCGCGGTATGTGTAGGACCGACGACGTGCGCGAGAGAGTTACGGAAACGAAGCAAAGGAAGCAAGAAGTCAGGCAACGCACATTGTATACTCTACTTCCAATTCAGTGCATTTACGGCTTGCCACCGCTGTCAGCTTGAGAGTGAGTCCGGGCCGCGCATGTCTTCTTAGCTTAACTTCTTTAGCCAATCCTCTCGGGCGCACATGTGAATACAGCACATCCCACGATTCCCTGGGGATACTAAGCAATACCCCAGCTGTGGATCAACCCTCTTTCTATCGACTGCTGACCCCCTGGGCTCTCCGGTTCGCCACTACCGACGGTCGCTAGCCACCTGCATCTCATCTGCTGCTCACGCGATCCTCTTCACACCCTGATCTTCCCGTCTTGACGTCGACATCGAGTAACATACGGGCCTCCGTCCGCGACAGCTTCCGCAGCGAGAGGAGGTACACCTCATCACAAGGGGTGCGTGACCCTCCCCGGCTCCCGGCTTTATCCACCCCCTTGGCAATTAAGGTGTCTCACCTCGCTCGAGAAACTGCGCTGTGTCCCCATGACGCGCGCACCTGCCTCCTTGGGCCTTATCACCTCCGTCCAGCCCCGTCCGAGGCTTGGTTCTCGGACCCTGCCCGCGTTGGGGACACCGCGGCGGTGGAGGATGGAGAGGCGCGCGCTTGCAGCTCGAGGATGCGGGGTTTGCGATCCACGTGACCGAGTCAGAAGAACACTGCGCCCGTCAGTTGACCTCCTCCCGACCCCTGTGCAGCGGACGCGTCAATCTGCTGTGGGCTTCGCCGTATCGGCAGTGTGAATATGGTGCGCTATAAGTAGTACCCGAGGCATATCTTCTGCTTCTCGTACCCCGCATTTGCTTAGCCATGGCCGCCGCGACCCACACACTCCCAGTCACCCTCCCTACCCTCGACCGTCTCGGTGTCAAGGCCGTCCCGACGGACGTCGACGCCGAGAAGGTCGCTGGGCTCTGGCTCGAGCAGCTCGCTCAGCACATCACCAACGACAACATCGATGGCGCCCTCTCGCTCTTCGCGCCCGACGCCTGGTGGCGCGACATGCTCGCGCTCACCTGGGAGTTCCGCACCTTCCACGGCGCGGCGAAGATCCGCAAGCTGCTGCAGGACCGCCTCGCGCCCTCGCAGCTCTCGAACTTCAAGCTCGCGTCCGCGCAGCTCGAGGCGCCGTACCCGGACCTCGCGTGGATCCTCGGCGAGTTCACGTTCGAGTCCGCGGTCGGCGCGTGCAGCGGCATCTTCCGCCTCGTGCCGACCGCGGACGGCCGCTGGCTCGGGTTCACGTTCTACACGAACCTCGAGGACCTGAAAGGGTTCGAGGAGCGGGTCGGCCCGCGCCGCAACTTCCTGCCGAACCACGGGAAGTGGCTGGACGAGCGTACCCACGAGCGCGCGTTCGAGGACAGTGACCCGACTGTGCTCATCGTGGGCGGCGGGCAGAGCGGCCTGGACGTCGCGGTGCGGATGAAGCTCATGGGCATCCCGGCGCTGGTCATCGAGAAGAACGAGCGGATCGGCGACCAATGGCGGTACCGCTACCAGGCGCTCTGCTTGCACGATCCTGTCTGTGAGTCACTATTTCGTGCCCCTCGATCGAACATCTATTGAGTAGTAATTTGTATAGGGTATGACCACATGCCTTACATGCCGTGAGTACCGCGCCTGTACGGTGTCGCGCAACAATGCTAACTTGATCTGCGCTCGCGATAGATTCCCGCCGTCATGGCCCGTCTACACCCCCGCGCACAAGCTTGCAGGGTGGCTCGAGTACTACGCAGAGGCGATGGAACTGAACGTCTGGACGTCGACGACGGTGACCAAGGCCGAGCAGGACGCGAACGACGAATGGAACGTGACTGTCGAGAAGAAGGACGGCTCGACGCGCGTCTTCCACGTCAAGCACCTGGTGTTCTCGATCGGCTTGGGCGGGAACAACCCAAACTTTCCCAAGTTCCCGGGCCAGGAGGAGTATCAGGGCGAGATCTTGCACTCCATCCACCACAACTCCGCGAAGGACCACGTCGGTAAGAAGGTGCTCATCGTCGGCGCGTGTACCTCAGGTAAGCGTGCTTGGGCCGTTCGCGACGGAGTGACTTTGCTTACTATTTCACTAGCACATGATATCGCTGCAGACTACGTCGAGCACGGCGTCGGTGCGTCGATGCGTGCTCCGATCGCAGTGTCAATCATCTAACTATCATGATCTGCAGACGTGACAATGTACCAACGCGAGAGCACGTACATTATGACGACCAAGGAGGGTATGCCGCGAACACTTAAAAGTACGTGCATAGCGAACGTCTCGAGTTAAGATCCGCAACTCACTATCCATTTCATATCATCAGCCTGGTGGGGAGGCTCGAACCCAGACCTTGGCGATCGTATTGACGCGTCGATGCCCATCTACATCAACGAGGAGATCTCCAAGAGGACGACGCAAGAGATCGCAGATGCGGACAAGTAAGACATCGCGCTCCTACGCGACCTGGTGTATCATCTGACAGTACACACAGGGAGCTCCTCGAGGGTCTCAAGAAGGCTGGCTTCAAGTTGAACTTCGGACACGATGGCGCCGGCTTCCTCTCGCACACACGTCGCCGCGGCGGTGGTTACTACCTTGACGTCGGCGCATCGCAGATGGTCATCGACGGCAAGATAAAGCTCAAAAATGACAGCAAGATCAAGCAGTTTACGAAGACTGGGTTCGAATTTGAGGACGGCAGCAAGCTAGACGCCGATGTCATCGTCTTCGCTACTGGGTGCGTCTGGCCTCCCCCTTTTCAGGCCTTTTGTGCGTCGTTACTAACACAGCGTTCGACGTCCTACAGCTTCGCGGGCCCCCAACCTATCATCAGTAGCATATGCGGGGACGACGTCGTGAAGCGCCTCAAGCCCATCTGGGGCCTCACGCCCGAGGGCGAGTTCCAGACGGTCTGGCGCGACACGGGCGTGCCGAACTTCTGGATCATGATGGGCAACCTTGCCTGGTGCCGCTTCCACTCAAAGCATCTTGCCCTCCGTGAGTCTCGTTCCCTTTTGCGTGCGGCTGGAGAGTATCGCTAAACGTAGTGCCTTCGTCGATATTGTAGAGATCAAAGCGATAGAGGAGGGCCTGCTCCGGAACGAGGAGCGCTATGTGTAAGGCTTGGCTTAGAGGCCCGCGGTCTAGAACGCGCATCTGTATTATCAACGGACTTAAAAGAGAAGGAACCTGTACTACATATCTCCAAGCGTCAATCTCACCCTGAATTACAACGATGGATGTTCGGCGCGTCTTCGAGCTCTTACACGATATGCGCAGGCCCGTTTCCAGATTTGTCCCATGATATATGTTTCATTCGTTTTGGACCTCGCCGCCTCTCATCATTTGTCCTAGGCTAGGCATATGATCACCACTGAGTAATACCGACGGGGACTCGGAGGGGCGCTACATTTAACTGGGCGGCTGCTGGTCTCGTATTGCCCCTGGCGTCTCTGGTAACTTGTTCGTTCGAGTCTCAGATGTTTGCGGTGGACAACTCTGATCCAGTAGGGTGGCAGGTCTCTGAAGTTACCAAACGACACCCGGACGGCCTCCCCATTCCGCCCCCAACCAACTATCCTGCCGCTGACGGTAGCATAGCGGCATCGCGGTGCCGACTCCGTCTGTTCGTTAAACACAACCAGTTGAATCACGAACTTTCGAGGGCGCCCGGCGCTGACAGCAATTCGCATGGGCGCGGCGGGTGCGATGTCTACATCATGATTCGAGTATTGAAAACGAGCGTCCACGTGGGGGACATAAGGCCGGGAGCGCTCCGGACGTGTAGATCGTATGCGCAGCGTACGCTTCTCCGGTGGCAGATCGCCACTGGCATCACTCATGCCTCTGAGGTTGCTGGAGAGCTCACTACGCAGACACACTCATCATGCGATTATCTGCAGTGTGGACGACGTGCGGGTGAGAGGCGGTTCAAATCTAATCTCCGGGTTCTATGCGGCATTCCAAGATCTCACTGATGCGCCATTTACTTTTCCCCAAGTTTGTTCCTGGTCAGTTGCCTTTTTCGGCTGTGCACCGGGGCGGCCACATCATGGACGTTGACGACCGCCCGCTCGGTCCTGTGTCCTCCCACACCGCCGCTATCTCAATTCAGTCTCATGTGGTCGGACCATCCGTTGCGCCGCTACTGATTCTAGCTCTTTGGACACCCAACAGACGATAGGCCACTCAAACTGTCTTCGGTGACCACAAAACTCTGCTTGGTGGCAGCCCCCGGCGTCCCGATCTCCAACCATCTCGTGCTGGTATCCAGCCTGTCATATGCACTGCGGCTGTCGCGCGCGACGCACGTCTGGATGCCATCTTTGATGATGGTTTGCACAGCTGAAGCGATCTCCCTCAGCGCGCCCGCCCTGTGGAACCCGCACTGCATCTCGCCAAGGCCACCGGAATTCGTACCAATGCACCATCTCTTCCGCGACGACCAGGCTGATCTGCACCGCGCGCCGGACTTCGGACGGCGCGCCCTGAACACGCGCAGCGTATAAGTATACACGCACGATGGTCGGTTGTGCCTCACGGGTCCTGGTGATTCTCCTTCGTTCTTCGCTCCCTCTCTTTTTCTAAAAACCCCTCCCTTTTCCCGACGTTTACGTCGCTGTACGAGTCTCGACGCCATGGTGTTCACTCCGCTCCTTATTGCTGCTCTCCTTCCCATTGCTGCCCGCGCGGCGAACGACTGGGCCCAGCCGTGCTTCGGCGAGTGTAACTGGGACATCACTTCCGACACTGGCTCCGGCACGGTCCGGATTGTGAGTATCATCATCTCTTCGGCATAGTGTTGGAGCGCGTCACTGACTTCGGCTTGCGACATGTAGGCCGGACCCCATGCCGCCGTGTCTGACATCACGCCTGCCGCGGGATGGATGATCATGGACTGTGACGCCAACGCTGCCGACCAGGACATCCGTCTTGTTTGCCAGGACCCATCCAAGGGTTGTGACCACATCTACACTGATAGCGCGGCCGGTACTCTCGTTCGTCTCCCGAAGAGCGTGCGTTGCCTAGGTTTCCTCCTACCAGTGTGCAGAGATTGACCTTTGGGCAGTGCGGTTCTACTCCTTTCGCGCTTGTCACCCGCGACTGGGTGCACGCGGACCAGTCCATCCCCGCCAGCAAGCGTTCGTCGATTGTCCGCCGCGATGGCTCCGCCCCCGTCGTAAAGGGCATGAGCCTCGCGACCAACTTCGCGGACGTCGATACCCCCACGTATGTCTGCTTCCCGAGTCCATGACAACATCTCATTGACGAGTTCTTGCAGAAATGGCAATGTCACTCTTTTCCTCATGGGCTCGTCCGTCCCTGGCGCCGCCGGCAACTTCACCGTTGATCCCCCTACCGGCACTGCTGCATCGAAGCGGGGTCTTGGTAGCTGGATCGACGACTCGCTTAAGGGTAAGCCTCCAACCAGACATGGCGTACGGTTGGGCACTCTCTGATGGCTACTTCTGGCAGGTCTCTCCCAAGTGCACGCGGAGCTCATCGGCAACTTCAACAAGAACATCACTGGCAGCAGCCCGATCAACTTCGACAAGGACTTCCCCATCTTTGACCAGAAGATTGACTGCCCCCAGAACGGCGCCGTGCCCGGGTTCTCTGGGGAGGCCAAGGTTGACCTCGACGCTAAGGTTGATGGTACCGTCAACTACGGTATTGCCGCCTCGGGCAGCGTCATCCCGCCCAAGATCTCTGAGTTTGGTCTCTTTGTCGGTCTCGACACGACCATCACCGGTACCCTCGGTCTTGGTGCCACGCTCACTGTGAGTACGATCCGATCCCATGGCGAAGAGTATATCTGATGAGGACATCTATAGGGCTCCATCAGCTCTGGCAAGATCTCGGTGTTCGAGGTCGGCCTCCCTGGTCTCGACTTCCCCAAGTAAGCCACAGTGACCTTTTACCTAAGGGTTTCGATACTAACATCTACTTTAGAATCTTCTCCATTGGCCCGACCTTCAGCGTGAACGTTGAGGCGACCGCGTCTCTCGACGCCAACGTCGACATGGACGTCGACCTGGCTTACGACGTGAAGGGAATGGAGCTCTTCTTCCCTCCCGGCTCCAACTCCCAGGCCGGTACGTTCACGCCCGGTGACTCGAACCTCAAGCTTTCCGTCAGCCCCAACGTCACCTCGCACGGCCAAGTTGCGGCGCACCTCATCCCCTCGGTAAGCGCCCCGCTGCCCACACGCGTTTCACATTACTGACGGCGGTGGCTTGTACAGCTTGCGTTCGGTATCAGCGCGCTCGGTGGCATTACCAAGGCGACCATCAACCTTGACCTCGACGCCGACGCTGCCCTCGACCTGTCTCTTACCGCGGCAGCGCTGGCTTCGACTTCAACCAGCGGCAACGACGCGTCCACCGGTTTCGGCGGCTGCGTCGACATCACGAGCGGTCTGGCGGTCAACGCAGGCGCGGACGCGGACTTCTTCAGCATCTTCAAGAAGGGCCTCCAAGTCCCGCTCTTCACGAAGACCTTCGACCTCTTCAAGGTACGTTTGCCATCTCTTTCTCAGACGAGTCCGCGTCACTCATCGAATGCTCTTCAGAAATGCTTCGGTAGCAGCGCTTCCCGCAGGGCGTACACCGGCCGGTCTGAACGCGCAGCGCTCATCGCGCGCGCCGACCCTCTGTCATGCCCGGCTTCCATCCTGGGCAGCGCTGCTAGCGTAGTTGAGGAGACGGTCACTGGTTCGAGGTAAGCCCCGCAGCGATAGCCTGGACTGCGCCGATGCTTATGACACGCTTCTCAGCCTGACCCGCTAAACCCTGATATCCATGACCTTCCTTTCGATCGACTCTGGGGCTTTTTAGAATCCTTTAATTATTGTTATTGGCTGAGGGGAGCTCTTTTTCACTATACCAGTTTTCATCGCAATTCATGCGATCACCCGCACAATCCTGTCTGCTTGCCTGTTACTAATCGCGGGATACATATGTGCCTGCTAGATCTGAGACATTCATCTACCCCCGCGTTGGAGTCTGTTGGAGTCTGGAGTCGTGTCTCGCCTGTTCTCGCCCTGCCCGATACCCGAGGTCTGCAACAATGGTAAGTATGAGGATCCTCAACCCCGCGACCATGATCCCCAGGCTCCAGCTGCCTATCTCTGCGTGAGTGCTTGGGGATATCTGTCTGGAGAGTAATCTACTCAGCCTGCCGCAATCGCACAGGCTGAACCTAACGAGCGGCCCGCAAGTATCTACTTATCTCAAACTTATCTACATCCAGATTGCCACGCGCCCCGGCCACGGAAATCCGAGGGCCTATATGATTCCTCACGGAACAGGAAACGCTCCCAACGCCGTTCCACCTCGAACTGCTGCGACGACGCACGGTGACTTGCCCTAATCGGTGTACGGCCAAGAGCTCATTTCCGCCCGCCCACCTCGATCACGGACGCCCAACGCCAACACACCGGAGACAACTTCGCGCATTAGTACCGATACGATGCCGCCACCCATCAGCGACGCGGACAAACTGGGGTTCGAAGCCGCGTTCGCGCAGGCGCAGCAGAGCTTCGACGAGGGCGGCGTGCCTATCGGCGCGGCGCTCGTCGTGCACGGCGACGCTGAGGCGGGCGCGGGCGGGGCACGCGAGGGCAGCGGACCGCGGCTGATTGGACAGGGCCATAACGAGCGCATCCAGAAGAGCTCGGCGATCCTCCATGGAGAGATCTCGGCCCTCGATGACGCAGGGCGGCAGCTGCCTAGTGTCTATCGCAACGCGACGATGGTGAGTCCCGAGCAACCCGGTGCATTCAGTTTGAAGCACGCCGCTGATTCGAGGAACTGGGGCGCCTGCCATTGGCGGAATGCTTGCAGTACACGACGCTGAGGTGTGTGATGCGACTGGCCAATTGAATGTCTCGCCGCTGAACGAGATCACATCCGTACATACAGTCCTTGCAGCATGTGCACTGGCGCAATATTACTATACAAGATTCCGCGGGTCGTGATCGGAGAAAACGCGAACTACCTAGGGGGCGAGGACCTTCTACGGAGCCACGGGGTGGAGGTGATCGTATTGGACGACGAGCGGTGCAAAAACCTGATGGGACGGTACATTCGAGAGAAACCTGAGGTATGTGATAGTTGGTTGGAATCCATGGACTGGGGTCGGTTCTGACTCGATGTGTAGGACTGGAATGAGGATATAGGCGAGACGGGTTCGGGATAAAGCGTGCACCTGCGGGCAGCGAGCGAGTCTTCAGCGGTGCAGGGCTTGCTATCCAACAACCGCGGGCGACGAGGGTCCAATCACCGCGGACGGCGGGGGTCCAATCACCGTAGGCGGAGGGGGGCGGAGGGATGTAGCCAATGAACGCAGAACGATTGCGGTGTATCATATGCGTCTACGATCAACTTGACTTTGTAGACCACCATGCCTTAGAAGGTTGAGGCGTCGTGATTGGCTATAAGGTATACTGCCAGTCAGTGCTCGTTCCCTGGAGGCGTGGTATGTCAAGTCCACTTACTAGCACAAGGCACACATGCAAGCATTAATCATCAACCCGCATGGGTTCATCGAGGCGATACTACATCGCACGCATTGGGTCCTCCGAAGGGCGCAGCACCCAGTAGTTATGACTGGCATGCCAGACCTCGCTCACGTCCCACTTCCACATCTCGTCCGACACGAAGTGCAGTTCGTCCACGTAGTTTACGACCTCGGCGTACTGCTCGGTGATATAGTCCACCGTGTAACGGCTCGGGTCGACACGGATTGTGAGAGAACGCAAACGCCGTTTGCTTCGGTGACGCTTATGCACGGCAGTAAGCATCAGCTTGGGGTCAGGAAGGTCGCAGGAGGAGTCGATGTAGAGCGACTCCAAGTTAGGCAACGGGACGGGGTCATCCTTGCAGAGCAGTCCCGCCAGGCAGTGTAAGACCGCGTACTCCAACAGATCCGGAGGGAGGCGGGCGTATTCCTCGACGGCCAGGTACTTCACTCGGGGCATGTGGTGTGCGAGATCCGGAAGGATTTCCCAGAAGCGAATAGAAAGGCGAAGAGTTTCGACGTTGGCCAAGGATACCATTTGCGGGACCCTGAGGAGCCATTCTTCCCAGTCTTCGCAGGACGGCGGGGTAGCAAAAATGAAAATGAATTCGATCCAGAAGCCCCCGCGGCCAGGTTGCTCGCTTTCCGCGACGAGCTTGCGCCAATTCTCGCCAACGATTATCTCAAGACGGGTGAAGTCGTTCGATATAGTGAAGGGATTAGGACGGACCAGGGTGTCGAAATCATCCTCGCCCTGCTGCCAAAACCGGAGGGAGTAGAGCCTGAGCATAACGTGGGCGGGTAGATCGAGGTGGGAGAGGACGTGCGGAAGAGGATCGAGAGCTAGATGGCCCAGAGACATATTGCGCAAGTGAGGGAGGGATACAACCGTGGTCCTCCTGCCGTCGAAACCGGAGATGTCAATTGCGCACTCATCGACATGTAGAAGCTGAAGCCTCCGGGTCCGCTCCAAGAGACCCAGGAAGATGGCGATTGGGAAAAGCGGAAGACGGGATAGATACAGGTGGGTGAGGTTTGGAAACGTATTAGATGGGACCCACGGCACTCGTCGTACAGCAAGGGATTTTAGGACCGGTGTTTGGCCAAGGAAGAGGCTACGGATGGTGACAACTCCCCCGCGCTGCGCTCCAGCCATAACGACCGACTCCAGTCGATCTGCTAAGACGTTGAGTTGTCCAGGAAGCCTTTTGAGGGAGGTCGAATCCTTCGCCCAGAGGTGAAGCTCCCGCACACGATCGCCATGAGATCGCATAAGATCCACGAGCACACTTGTGGCGTATTTGTCCAGAGAGAAGCGTATGTGGAGAGGTGCCTTCTGCGTCCTCCTAAGTTTGACGAGCGCGTTGCGATCGTATGCGAAGTCTATGAATGTCCAAAGCGTAGAGGTGGAAGTTGCTACTCGGTACCACTGGTAACACACCCTTAGGGCAGAAAGGACGTCAGTGAAGTCATACAAAGGCCCCGTCAAGTCAGCGGTATCGGTGATCCCCGGCGTACGCAACCATTGGAATATGTAGCCTAAGATTTCGGATGGAAGCTGGTTTGGCGGTAAATGAGAGTTGTACTGTCTCCGGTAATGGATGATAGCAAGGAGTGCGTCGTGTTCAAATGTATACAGCTGAGAAGTAATTTGTCAGCAACGACGTAACGACAATCTACACTGTACTACGTACTGTCTGTACGCTTACGCCACATTCAAAATAAGTATATCAAGTGCGTGGCACTAGATGTTAGTGCTTACCTGATAGGGTCATCCTCTCTTGAAAGTGCATCTTGCAATTTGGCCACGTATTTTACAGCAGAATTTGATGCCATAGCCGCCCGCTTGAGAAAAAATGGTTAATCCCGCTAGACCAGCATGAAGACGTATCCAGAGCCTACCAAATATATATCGTAGCTAGGTTCGAGACCAGGTAGAACAAATGAGCATAGATACAGTTGAAAACGGAGCGCATCCTCAAGCGCCTGTGGGAGGCGCCACTCCATGTTGTGGTCTGTTAGGATCAGAGGCTGCAGCCTAACACGGGCAAACAACTCTCTCCTTCCCGGCCGAGACTCGTCCTCGAAGTTTCATTGATCGCCAACTTGCTGCGTCTAGGACTCATTACTGCACGCGGCGCACCTCAATGAAGAATTACGCCCGCAGCTTAGAGCGGACTTGGATCAGGATGACCCCTCGAATTTAGAGTGGGATACCTCTGTCTCTCGTCCATCGCACTGGCATAGGCTCTTGGCACGGAGCAGTCGCGCAATAAGTATGTGCTTTCTGATGCATGTTATAGGCTATCACGCTCATACGTCTAGATAAATATAATTCGTTCTGTAGCGGTCATTTTCCGATGTACAGCGCGTTCTGCGGGCATATACTGTACATTCGCTAATCGCCATGTAAGTTGTCACTGCCAGCATCCCAAGCCCATTACTTGCAGCTAGTATGTGGTGATATGGTACATCATCATGACCTATACTCATGATTCATCACGTCATCGGCCACTTGCTTGCGCAGCTTCATAATTTCAGGTGTTTGTACACGAGGAGTCTTCTGTAGCCAACCGCCTTCATAAGGACTCGGAGTGGACTGCATGTCTATCATGGGGTCCCGCAGATAACCAAGTCCACGAGGCTGGTCGATATGTACCATCTTTCTGATCCGCCCTCGGGGGTTTCATCCACTCAAGAACGGTCCATTAACACCCCAAACCCTGCTCCAATACTGCGCAGTCACTGGTTCCTCTTTCAAGGAGGGCCATCGGAGCCGCTGTAGAGTAACTCCGGTACCTCATCCTTCAACATTCCGAGCCTTCAATTAGCCCTGAAAACAGTAAATCTGATGGTATAATGATTGCGATGGGAATGCATGTGGGGTAAGTGATCTACTACATGTACAGTATGTGCTCGTAACGTGGTCAGCGTCCGCACCCGAAGCGCTACTAAGTACTCGATGCCTTTTTTACACTACTACCGCGGAAGTGCCAGTGGGCCGCTCCCGCGGGACTACACGGTTTTACAAAGAAGCGAATATGTATCATACCAGTTATGTGCAGATTTAGTAAGTATATGCCGCCGCGCCCCAGGGGGCCGCCGCGTACCTCCGCCCGCCACTGCCGTACTATCCATACACCGGGGGACACTCGATCGCGCCCCGACGCGGCTCCACCTCCAACGTACACCTACAAGGGGGCACTGCACGGCGCTCGCCGCCCAGGCCCCGATCCTGATACCCCAATCGTCGATCGAGCGATCGGCGGACCGCCTAGTGGTGGTACATCGGTCCCGCGAAGTACGACGACGTCGGGGGTGTGTGGCAGTCGACGCCCGGGCCGGCCGAGGCGTACGCCCTCTCTGGGCAAGGCGCGGGGCCCGTGAGCATCCGTGCCTCCTCGATGATGGGCCGCCAGCTGTGGAGGAGCTCGGAGGAGGGGTGCGCCACGGGCTGCGGCTCGTAACACACCACGCCCGACGGGATGTATAGATCGGAGTGGAACGTGGGGATCGGAAGTGTGTACATCGAGGTGGGGGCCGCCACGGGGGCCTCGTGCCAGGCGATGTCGATAGCCACGGCGGGCGCGGGATGGCTTTCCAGCGCTCGGGTGCTGTCGTCTCGGAGCGATGCCTCCCGGGAGAGGCTGCCGATCGAGGAGGTGGACGATGTGTCGGACGCGCTGTCGTCGCGGTAGTGGTTGGAGTAGTCGAATTCCAGAGGGGACACGGGTGAGGGTTGAGGCATAACGAAGGAGTCGGGGGAACTGGGGATACTCTGGGTAGGTGGAGACCAGTGGATGGGGGCGGCGACGGCGACGCCTGACTCGTAGTAGTGTTCGTGAGGGAAGGCGGAGGCGGGCGGCGATGTGTACGACGCGCGCGTGGGCGAAGGGTACGGTGCCGAGCGGGTGTCCAGCACCAGCCCGGTAGGGCGAGACTCCTTCGTCGAGCCCCTCACGCTATTACTATGCACAGCCTTCAGTCCACATCGAGCGATGAATGTTCGGTAGTCTCACCTCCGCGTTGGCCGGCTCCGCTTGCTCTTCCCGAGCACAGGAGGTTGGCGGAACTGAGACAGGCTCTTCATTATCACTGGGCTAATGTCCAGGCAGGCAAGGGCGGGCATCGACGACGGTGTCTGCAACGCGCCGGAGCGGACGTCTGAAGGGTAGTAATAGGACACGAGGTGATAGGTGGTGCCTTCTACTGACATGGAGATGGTCTAGACACTGCGGTCAGCGCGGAAGTGAGGCACGGCAGGGTGAAGAAAATTTACCTTCTTCATGAGCCCGTTTTTCTTGAGGCCCTTGCCCTTGTTCCAACTGCCCAGGATGTAGTGCTCGAGGTCAGCGTCGACTTGCCGTTCGGCTATGTCGTCCGGAGACGCGACGGCAGAGCATTGGTAAGGCGACGCGGCCTCCGGCGCGTACTCGTCTTCCCGCTCGCGATACATCTGTGCGCGCCAAGAGCGGTCAGACCGGCTGCAAATTCGCGCGGATTGGGACGAGGTCACGTACCAAGAAGTTGCCCTGCATGCGCGAGGCGGACCACAAAAACGGGTCGGTCCATCTCTTGATGCCACTTTCCTCCTCAGTGAAGACGAGGATCGCGCCGCTCTGAATGATGCTGCGCTTCTCGAGGTCGTGGAAGCGGCGCGTGACGCGCGGCACGATGCCCACGCGTGTCGCCTCGAAGACGAGGATCGCGTCCTTGGTAGTCTTGATCCACCCGCGAAGGATATCCGCCTTGGGCGGGGCGGCGGCGAGGGGGCGGGACATGGCGGTTGAGTCGAAGGTGGAAGGGTTCGCCGCACGCGCCCTGAATCGAGGAGCTTGGAGCTGAGGGCCGGGCGGAGGGAGCAGGTGAGGAGCGGAGAGGCATGCATGTTTTCAGCCTGGTATTAGAAGCATGCAGGATCCGCAAGCGCACAAACGCGGCATAGCGTGGCGTTGGACGGTTCCTGCCAACCATGCAGGGAACAAGAGCAGCGCGCGAAGGCCTGGGAATCCACGGGTTGGCCTGGAAGCATCGACTGCATGCCGTCACACCTTCGAATAGGCCCGCTTGTGGGTGACCACCGCGCAGATCGAGATCGCGTGTACGCCAGAAACGCCCAGTGCGCGGCGGCAAGCCGCGGTCTTAGCAGAAGTGTGAATGCCTCCGTGAGGTGCTTGCCCCCGTGCTGTGTTATGATACTGCCCTACGAGGATATATTGCACCGTTCGAATCGGAAGGGGAGTTGCGGTCCCGAGAACGCCGCGAGTGCGAGTGTGCTGAGGCGCTGGTTTAAGCCTAGAGGGGGCGGGGGCGAAAGTCCGCGAGCCCTAACGCACCCGCGCAGCTGGAGGGCCCGGCCAGATCGGGACAAAGAGGACCCCTGCGCAGATGTTCTTCGGCTGACGGGCATCTTCTGCGTAAAGAGAGTTTCGACTGTTAGGCAACCAGGGACGCGACGCGAGAATAACGCACGGCGCGGAGAGAAGCTCCTTCCGCTTTGCAAGAGTGATTTGATGCCGCGGCGGTTGTGCCTGCTTCGTTGACACCGCGAGCGGCCTCGGGGACTAGGGTGTCTTAGCGCAGATCGCATCGAGCGCGGGGCGCGACCAGCCGCCTAAGGATAAACGCCGGAATACTTGCAGCAGCATCTGAAAGCACGGGGTGGATGGGACGCCGCTAACGCTGACGCGTTCGATGTTGCAGCGCATTACCAGCCAATCGGGGATCGCACGGCGAGGGGCAAGCAATCTGGCGAGCCAATGAATGCTGGTGAGCATCTAGTGAGGGCCGCAGGGGAGGAGGCGTAAATGGGGCATGTCTGGAACAGAGAACGGTCTCAGCAGCGATTGAACCAGGGTACGTATCTTGGTGCACCCTCATCGTGAGCAACGTCGATCTAGCTGTATATGGCGTGCGACCAATCCGAGGTGCTCGAGAGCTTGACAGGTGGAAGAGGTTCCTGTTGGGCGTATGGCCCCCGACGTAACCGATTGCTCCGTTGGAAGCCCGCGAAGGGTCAGGGGGCGAAGGCCGAGTGCACTATGGTGGGCCATTCCCGCTTGCGCGCGATGTCGAGTTCCCCGTGTTCTACGAGGATCTGTACCACGTTCCAGTAGCCGCGTTAGGTCAAAATTGCTTCCGCTGCGCTGTCATTGGCCGGGGCTGAACGGCATCAGAATGTTTCTGTTTTCGGCCATCATTCAGATTGAAGATATGAAGTCCTTGAGGCTAGCAGTCGCCCAGGGAAATGGTCCAACCGTCGAATGGATGCGCTCTTGAGCACCAGAATGGATCTTGTGAATGTTAATAACGCACTTCGCCGGTGTTCGTGCAGCCTAAGATTTAGTGATCTGACTGGCTCTTCTGATGAAAGACCATCGCATAACGGGTACAACGCGGAATGGCGTGCGTATATCGTCTGCTCTATCTACTAGCACTTCGCAGGCCCTTGAACTCGCTATGATGAAGCGTCTGAGTAGCATGGATGCACTCACGGCGTTCCGAAGCGTTCCGGGACAAGATGTAGGTCGCGGCATCGGCATTGGATATTTCGTTTGCGTACCTCGTCCTGTGGCAATATGGCGGCGTGTTATACTATCCAGCTTTCGACATGACATGTATAGGGAACGGTAGAGAGCTGACCGATATTCAGCCGTGCTATATCGCCACGAGGAGGCCGGAATGTCAGTCGGAATGGCGCCAGGTACATGAAATACTTGTGGCCCCTGGATTTGAGGGACACAGCAGAAGTTACTCCACAGCACGAATCGTGCTGGTTTCCTCGTTGAGCAACGCAAACAGAACGATGAACCTGTTGCAAAAATCACTACTCACATCTGTTCCGACGCGGCGACGATGCGGTATTTGCTCGCGCTAGTACTTGGTTGCTGCGTGCCGTTGTAGCTGATAGCTACAAGCGTCGTCAGCGCAATATCTGCGCGTCAAAAGACTCTCGGTAAATTCCTCGGAGGCTTGCAATTGTCGATCTACACAGTGGACGCAGCTGGAAAGTACGATGGATATACGTCATAGTGGGAGAGAGGCTGGGCGGGGCAAACTCAAAGATAGGCAAAGTAAGCGCATGTGAATCGGAGCTATGGGCTTTCCTTGCGGAGTTACATGTATGATAAGAGGTCGCGTGGCGGAGATTGATCTTAGCTCCCGATTACGGGGCGCTTAGAGCCAGGTGGGACACGGAATCGCAGTACTGTACTACTTCCTCCGTGCCTCTCTGCTACTCTCGCACCCATATTTGGCTTTTCTGGACGACTCTCTGACATACTTTGGCTGTCTCTTGTTCATGATCTGACTCTGAAATCGCACTAGAACAAGCCCACCATGGCGTCGCTCGAGTCGAGCTCCTCAATACCCTCCGGAGCATCCGCTTTTCTGCCCAGTGTTTCCCGAGGTGAGCCTTCATACTTCTCGGTCGCCCATCAAGTGCGGGGCTCGGAGCGTGCGTCGGGGGAATGGTCTTGGCCTGTGCGGACCGTCGATGAACGCCGGACGCCGTGCGGGAGTGCGGACGGAGCGTGTGGCGGACATCATCGGCATCCCACAAGTCTAATCAATTCCCCGCGCCCACGAGGAACGCAACTTTACTGCATAAATGCAGGAGTCATTGTGAAGCGTACCGTCGCGTTCACGGCTGCGCGAACATACGCGGTGTCCTTCGCCTTTGCACAGAGCTGAGCGGTCCGTTCCGCCCGGCCCTGTCCAAAAGGTGGGGACTTATTGGACGAGGAACTTTGGGGTTGCCCAAGTATGCGAACATATCGTTCTTAGTATGTTCCTCATGAGTGAAAGATGACCATGGCGGTACGTTGACATGACTTCCGCTGGAGACACTCGACCCAGTGTTCATGAACGCAGGGACCGTTGGGACGAAGCCTTGATTTTCGCTCCCAAGGCTCGCTTCAGACAGTAGATGTGGCCTGTGTTCTTGACCTGCATGACGTTCCCACTGCACGACTGATATATACGTGGAATGTCATGCAGGAGATACCGTCGAGAACGTGTGTAGCTCATAGGGTCGAAGGGAGAAATAGCTTCCCGGAGGTTGCCGATGGGAATTCAGCGTATAGATGCATGGCTCCGTGCCCGATATCAGTGTTCGATATGAGAGTTGCTTTGTCGTGCGCACGTTCGTGTTTATCATGTGCATGTTAAGCTCCTTTGCCTTGCCTCTGAAATACTTTTGGAGGCGAGGCCACGGGTCTCATCACGCAACATGCGTTCCGTTAATGCATTTATGGGAGCGGCCGCTCCGGCATTTCCATCAGTGCCGCTAATTCTATGCCCCTGTGCCTCGTCCAATCATGCGCAGGAGCATACCCATAAGACATCTCCGTGCGGCGGCCGGAGGGGGCCATGAAACACAGTACGCGGAGGTGGTTGAGGGTGCGGAGCTTTCCGCGCAGCATGTGGGGCTGCAGCGATCCTGTCCAATGGCAGACGGGGATCAGCCGTGTCGGTACGGTGCTACCGAGGTTGGTCATAGTGCCTCTTGACTAGCATTTGCTAGTGCGGGCACATGAAAAGACATTCCCGAACTGCCTCTAGTAAGCCGGGGCATGAGCATGCTTCCGTGTCTTAGGCTCTGCCGAGGGCGAAGCGGTAATTGTATTGGGAGTTCACGTCCTTCTTTCTGGCACCGCTTTGAACTGGACTCAGAGCTGAACTGACGCAGCGATTTTTTGTCCCAATCAGGTAGCGGCATGTTAGATTCTCTCTATCAAGTCAGGCTACTTTCTGCCTTACGGAGTGGTGAGATTCCTTGTTTATGCGAACAAACCAGTAGTACTGAGGGGGCCGTCTAGGGGATCCTGCCCGGATCCACCCTTTCTTGGCGGATATATCAAAGGACCGGCGCACTTCTTCTGAGAGTGATGTAGACCTGGGTGCTGCGGCCCTTCATCTGGCAATTCGCTGTGCTTCATGTGAGTGTTAGCTGTCCTGTCTGCCCCGTGCGATGTCTCATTGCCCCGTCAGGCGATACTATATCGCTTCTACTATCCCACCGATCAATTTCGCCCAACGCCGTGTACCCGCCTGGGTCCGGGACGACCGCGCTGCACCTCGCGGCATCGCTGTCGCGAACGGACGTCGTCAATCTGCTGCTCGACGCCGAGGGCATCGACGACAGCCTGCGCGATGCGAACGGCAAGACCGCCCTGGAAGTGGCCAGAGGCAAGGAGACCATCCGCGCCATCCGCGGTAAGTCCCGAGAGGGCACTCCCTCCGTCGCGCGGACAATCTTACAAGCTTGATCCTTTAGACTCGAGGGCGTTCCTCACCGCGTCGTACCGATCACTCTTGCGGACGTATATTCTCTCGCCGCCCTCCGCGTCACCACCGGAGGCGCTCATGAAGCTACTGTCGTCGCCACGGATCCGCCTCGTCGATCTCTCTTATCTAGATGACGCCTCCGGCCGCACGCTGCTGCACGAGGCGGCGCGGCGCAAGGACCTTCGCCTAATTGAACTTGCGGTACGGGCCGGTGCCGACATATTTGTTCGGGATCGGCGCGGCCGTGCGGTATACGACAGCGCTGGGAAGGACGACCGCGTGCGGGCATTTCTCCGACAGTGTAAGGTCGTTCATTTTTTCATCCCTCCGCTAGTTTTTGACTTGTGCTCTTCGACTCAGTCACGAACCAGGACAATTCGCTCATCTCGGAACCGTCGGCGGAACCACCGGAGCTTAGAGGTTATCTCAATAAGTACACGAACGTCGCGAAGGGATACAACGCACGATGGTTCGTGTTGCATAACGGCGTTTTGTCTTGTAAGTCGCTCGGCACCTCTGCGATCGAACCGATGTTCATTGATTTTCTCCAGACTACCGACACCAGGACGATGAGACCGTAGCATCCCGCGGATCCATCGCTGCCAAGAACGCAGTGCTCACCGTCCCGGGCGGCACATCAGGGCTGCGTTTCGAAGTACACTCAACACCGTCCCGCGGCCACTCATCCGTGCAGAAGTGGTACCTTAAGGCGAACCACCCCGTCGAAGCTACACGCTGGATCACCGCGATCCAGAGGAGCATCGAGATCGCGAAGCGGGAGGGGGAGCAGCCGGAGCGCAGGAGCGGGGAGAGCGACGCCACGAGCCTGAAGCCGGCGTCGTCCATCGGTGGGGCGTCGCACTATCTGAAGAAGAAGGACCGTCCGATGGCGAGAGCCCTGCAGTCTGCCCCCAGCTCCGCGGCCGGCGATGTCGACGATGCCGGAGATATCAGCGACCGGAAGGAGGGCGACCATCCCGCCGATGAACAGGAGGAAGAGGAGGATTCTTCCGACGCAGGCTCGACGCAGCAGGCGCCCCCTCATACCAATGCGTTCGAGCTCCAGGGTAACGCACTCCTGGCCCAGGTGGATCTCACCTCGCAGCTGCTCTCCAGTCTTCCACAGCAGATCCCCGGCTCCCCGCGCGCCGTCGAGCTCAGCAAGGCTATTGACGACACCTTCACCTCCGTCTCAGGTATGCTCACAGAGTACGTGCATATGGTCAAGGATCGCGAAGAGTGGTACAAGGCGAAGCTCGACCGTGAGCGCGAGCGCCAGAATATCTGGGAGGAGAGCCTGCAGGCCGTTGTGCTCGAAGGCGACAGGCTCGAGCAGGAGCTGCGCAGCCGCTTCCGCCGTAGGAGTCGTGCCCCGAGTGCGAGCGCCGGTGCTGGGGATACTCTTCGCCGGAGGACGTCGCAGATACTCGGTTCCCCCATCCTTGCCTCCCCCGTCGTGGTGGAGAACATTATCGCCCCTGCTGCTGCCGCAGCCGCCATCGCCCGTCAGGAAGAACCGGGCTCCCCAACGGGAGTGAAGACACCCACAGCTACGACAGCGCAACGTTCAGTGCCGCTCCAGCGCCCACCCATTCCCTCACCCGCTCACTCCACTGGTCGTTTGTCTCTGATCAAAGGCGGGGGTAAGGTGCTCGGCGACGATGACGACGAAGCGTACACGGACGAGGAGGACGAGTTCTTCGACGCGATCGAGTCCAACACGCTCCCGAACCTTGTCATCACGCAGTCGCTCATGCACCCCGGCGGGACGGAGTTCTACATCAGCAGGGAGATGTACAAGGGCTACCTGAAGCTGCGCGACCGGCTCGCGATCTCGAGCGACGACCGGCCGCCGATGAGCCTGTGGGCGGTGCTGAAGAACAGTATCGGCAAGGACCTGACGAAGATCTCGTTCCCGGTGTTCTTCAACGAGCCGACGAGCATGTTGCAACGTATGGCGGAGGATATGGAGTTCTCGGAGTGCCGTGAGTGTTCCCTACCGTCCAATCGAGGTCGTGATCTGACATGGTCACAGTGGATGCCGCACAGGCTGAGAAGGATCCTCATCGGCGCATCGCCTTCGTCGCGGCGTTCGCCATGTCCAACTACTCGTCCACCATCGGCCGTATTGCCAAGCCTTTCAACCCGATGCTTGTATGTATTACTGTCCCAACGTCATCGGACATACCAACTAACGTGTTATCAGAGCGAGACGTTCGAGTACGTGCGGTTCGACAAGGAGTACCGCTATGTGTCGGAGCAGGTCAGCCACCACCCTCCCATCTCCGCGTGCTGGGCCGAGTCGCCCCATTGGCGCTACTACGGCGAGGTCGACGCGCAGAACAAGTTCATGGGCAAGTCGTTCGAGATCCGGCCTACTGGTATCGCGCACGCCGACCTGTTGCTTCCGGAGGAGATGGCTCCCGATTATCCCAAGGCGAAGGGCCCGCATGTGAAGGGTCAGGTTGTCGAACACTACAGCTGGAAGAAGGTGACCACGAACGTCTCCGGATTCATCCTTGGATCACCCACCATCGACCACTACGGAGATATGATCGTGAGTCTGCCTCTTCTCGTCGTCATAACATCTACTGATGGACATTACCCAGATCACGAACCATCGTACCGGAGATCAATGTATCCTCACATTTAAACCGCGCGGCTGGCGCGGGAAGGATGCGTACGAGATCTCTGGATACGTGCAAGACACACGCGGAAACGTCACTTACGAAATCGCCGGACGGTGGAACAGCCAGCTCGTCGCCCGCCAGGTCGGCACCGGTGTAGGTCAGCTGCACCCCGACGTCCCGCTGAGCAGTCCTACCTCGCCAACCGCTTCGAGCGAGTACATTCTCCTCTGGCGAAACTCGGTCAAGCCTCCGGCACCGTTCAACCTCACGCCGTTCGCCATTACCCTGAACGACTGCCCCGAGGACACCTTGAAGCCGTTCGTATGCCCCACGGACTGCCGGCTGAGGCCTGACCAGCGCGCGTTCGAGCTCGGCAAGTACGAGCGGGCGAACGAGCTCAAGAACAAGCAGGAGGAGTTCCAGCGCGCCGTGCGGAAGGCGCGCGAGGAGGGCCGTGCGCCGCCGCACAAGCCTCGCTGGTTCCAACCCACGACGGAGCCGGACACGCGGGAGCGGGTGTGGATGCCGGCCATGGTCGAGGACCAGCTGGAGTACTGGATCGAGCGCGAGAAGGTGACGAAGGCGAAGCAGACTGGGGTCGAGGAGGACTGGAACGAGGTGGACCGCATCTTTATCGAGGACGCGCCGTAAGGCCTTGAGAACATGGAAGGAGGCGCACACGTTTGATTTATTCATCCCTATCGCGACGATGTATTGTACAATCTGGGTTTCTGGAGCTCGGGTCGATCCCGGCGGCTAGTCTACACAATCGAATCGTAATGTACCATCTGTTCACCGGTCACCAGTCGAGTTTGGCGTCGCCGCAAGACGTGCCGCCGCCACACGCCTGGGGCTCCCCGGTGAGTATAGCATCGGACGGACCGACGATCTCGACGGTAGACTCCGCAGTCTTGCTAAGAAGCTCTGCTGTGGCTTGCCGAACCATCCACTTCGAGGTGCCGATGACTGCGTCCAAGTCGCCCTCGTCGGGGAGGAGAAGGGAAAGGTCTTCTCCATCGACTTTGACTTGGAAGGGTATAATGCCGTACGAGTCGTCGTTCAAGCAAGCGCCGGAGGTCAAGTCGTAGTTGCGTTTGTGCATCGGGCCTATACAAAAGTCAGTGAAAAGCCCAGCTGAAGATTGTGTAGAGAGGTCGGATACGAACACGACACGTAGACGGATCCCGTCTTGGGGTCATCGCCAATAATCCCGTGGTCGAGCACGAAAGCTCGCCTGTGGGGGCACATCTGCTGCGTCGCAAAGTAGCCGCGACCAGGCACATGAAAGATGGCGATTTGGCTGTCCCCGTATCGCACGGCTGCAGATCTGTATACTCCGTGTCAGCTGCAAAACAGATGTGCGTACAAACTCCCTCAACGCACGTCGTCCCACTATCCGTGGGAGTGAGATCGTGGATAGTTGCCACCTTCCGCCACCTCCATTTGTCCTTGGGAAATGCTATGTCCGTCTCTCGCAGTATGAGCGGAGCGGTGTCCTTGCTCCAGTCTGCAGGCCGGGTCTGACCCCTCTGGACGATCATCTCCGTCTGTGGTACTCGCTCATCCTGCGGGCCAGCTGGTGAGCTGACCAACGTGTATGCAAAAGTGATGAAGACTCGCCGTATTGACGAACTGGCGGAACTTCCGTTGTCGTTCTTGATCGTCCACCACGGCCTTCCACTCGTCGAAGTACGTTCCAACGAGCTCGTCCATGTCTCGCTCAAGGTCCGCACATATGCCCAGCTCGTCGTCCAACAAGACTCTGCGAAGTTTCTGCGAGTAGGTGAGATAAGATGCGTACGGGGTATTTTGGTCTAGTATGATACTTACCTCGATGCCTCCCTCCATCGACTCCAACCAGCGCGCGGTGCGCATCAACTTGTCAGCCGTACGAATGTAATACATGACAAAGCGGTCCAAAATACGGATTACTCTGGATGGCGGCACATCGGTCGCCAGGATGGTGGCGTGTCGTGGATTTGCACCTAATACGGGAGGTCAAGGTGAGGCTGAGCAGCCTGAGCTGCGGCCGACGATCTATGCTTACCGCCATTACCGCAGACGTAAACTGAAGATGGCATCAGACTACTTGCAGAGCGGTAGTATCTGGGCGGTACTCACTGTTCCATCCCTTGTCTGTAGCGATGAGACCGAAGTCCTTACCCTGCGCTTCAGCGCATTCCCGTACGCAGCCGCTTACGCCGCCCTTGAACTTGTGAGGCGAGCGAATGCCCTTGTATCGCTCCTCCAATTGCACGGCCACTGTAGAACATAATCAACGGCAAGGACACCATAGGTATGGATATAACAGCATACATCCGACTGAGTCGCCGATGCCGTATCGACACCACGACGTGCCCACGCAGGACTTGACTGTTCTCAGCGCCTTCCCTATTCAAGCTCATATTTAGATCACAGCAAGTATGTGACATCGTTGGCGTGAAACCGCTCACCGTACGCGTGGCCGCTCTCGAAGCCCGCATCGACCAGCTCTTTCCAGATGGAAGGCAGGTCTGCCTTCTCGGCACCGAAGAGGTCTACCCGCTGTCCGCCGGTGATCTTCGTGTAGAGACCATCTGTATATTTTGCTCGGTACGTCATGGGAATGCACTGTATCTTCGATACTTACATTTTTTCGCCACCTGTCCTAGCACCACTAGCTTGTCCGGGGTTATCTGCAGTGCGCGCTATGAGCAGATTGGCTAGCGCGATTCGCATGGCAGTCGCACCTCTCCTGCCGGTACACGTGGGACGACCGAGAATGTCCCTGAGAAGAGGAGTCATGAATCGGACTCGTTTTGTCATCGAAGTTCTCAAGACGACTAACCATTTCGCTGAATATTGCCTAGGAACCTGCGGCGGCAACAGAGATTAGCATTCTTGTAATGGGCCAGTTGCTCGGTGAGCAATACCGATCATTCGTGTCCTGGTTCCTATGAACCACATTTCATTAGCAAGTTCGGAGCCGAGCGGGAGCCAAATGAAACTCACGCGTGGTGCGCGGGGTCCATGATGTGCTCGTTCCACAGCGATGACAGAATGCTCCCGACTGCGGGCTTGCAGACCTCGCAGCCTAACGCGTTGGGGTGTGTGCCCGCAGCCTCCATGATGGCAGTTATTGTCTTCAGCTTCTTGATCCTGGAGAGGACATGAGCTTATTTTTATCTTGACAGAAGCGCGTACCTCACTTGACGACATTGAATAGATCCGCCCTAGACATTGCAAAGTGGGGACACAGGTTATTGCTCACGGCGACGCCTGCTTTCTTGAGCTCCGCCTGAGGAAAACAACATCGGTAGTCGGATCTCACGTATCATGCCCGATAGGGCGCCGCGACGTACCTGCACGATATTCGTCAACAGCGGCACGCCTGCATAGCGCGAGTGTGTCAGCCAGAGTTGGCGTTCCAACGCGCCATATCGAGGAGCCAACGTACATCCTCCACAGCCCGATCCAGCCTTAGTCATGGTCTTGACATCGGCTACGCTCTCGGCGCCATCCTTGATGCATTGCACGATACGGCCCTTGGACACGTTCTGCGCGCGTGGCGGAGCCCCGTCAATACAAATAACATAGCCTTTCCCCATGCGGCGACGTACATGGCAGCTGCAGATCTGCGCGTCGTCGTCGAGGTCCGCTCCAGAGTCGTCCTGCCCGGCGCGCGAGCCGAGGATGAACTGCGACGGCACCGCGTCCAGGGGTTTCTGCCGCGCGCGACGCCAGTGCGGGTTAGTCGCAGCCATGGAGACGTCGCTTTGAAACGATTACGGACCTTCTTCTTCACCAGCGCGACTAGCTTGACGTAGTCCGACGTGTCTCCTACCATCATCCCGCCCAGGAGGTATCTGCCATCGGCGCTGAAGATGTATCTAGCGCGCAGCGACGCAACGCGGTTAGCCGAAGGCCCACTCGCCAGGAACTGTGGCTTATACTATACTTCTTATAGACACCTGCGAAGGGATCGCGGTACGTGAGCGCCTCTACAGGGCCGTCTGCTGCCGCTGCGGCTCCGTGACGCTTCTTGGGCGCGGACGCGTCGTGCGGTTTAGTGGCTGCGCTTGTGGCCGCCTCTTGTGCAGGACCTTCTTTGGCAGGGCGCGATGCCGTCGCCCGTATACGTTGCTCTGCCAGATAGTCGCCGAACGACGCTACCTGCATGGAGAACAAGGCCACAATGGTCAGCGATGGGGGCATGAGAAAGGCGGCAGATACGGACGTCGACCCCCATGAGCTTCAGCTTTGTCGACAAGTCTGGTGTGTTCTGCAACCACATGAGTGAGTTATTCATATCGCCGACGAGCGGTCGTGACTGTTCACCATCTGACGCAGCTGGAAGGTCCCGATCTGCGTCCTCGCCTGCGTGAAGTTGAAGGCGAGGATGTCCGCCATTTCGATCCCGGGAGCGATGAGCCCGTACGTGTTGTTCTTCCAGCTCGCGCACTCGCCAATCGCATAGACGTCCGGCGCACTGGTCTGCAGGTGGTCGTCGACGACGATGCCGCCCCGCGGTGCACAGGCGAGACCAGCGGTGCGCGCCACGTCGTCGCGCGGACTGATGCCAATCGCAAAGACGACGAGGCTGCAGTCTACCGTTGAGCCATCCACTAGCTCGAGACCGGACACCGCCCTGTTGTCGTTGGTGATTACCCTCTTCACAGACGTACTGCCCAAGAACGTTACACCCATGGCCTCGATGCGGCGGAGGACGATCTCGCCACCTTGCGCATCGAGCTGCCGCGAGAGAGGGAAAGCCTGTCTGTGGATGATTGTAACATTCTTGACTGACGGCAGGTCGTACACTGCCTTGGCGGCTTCGAGCCCGAGGAGCCCGCCCCCAAGGACCACGGCCTAGTAAAATCAGCGCATGTCAGTGTTTCTGCGGTACGTGAGTGGATTACGGGTTTACCGAACAGTCCTTCATCTCTCCCTTCTCCGCGTACTCGAGCAGCTTGTTGACGTCGGAGATGTTACGGTAAACGAAGGCACCGGGGATGGAGAGGTCGGCATAACTCGGAAGGGCGGCATCCGAACCAGTTGCCAGTACGCAGTAGTCGTACACGATCGTCCGACCCTTGTCAGTGGTCACAGAGCGAGAGGCATGGTCGAGAGACGCGACAGATTCCCCTACGTGGAACGAAAACAGTGCTGGGTCCTGCTTGGCATACCAGTCCGCTGTGAGGTCACAAGAAATCAGTTGTGTGGATAACATATGCACGCGAGCTGATTGGCGCACCGGGGTTGAGGTATAGCTTCTCGATATTCCGGTGTTGAAAGTACTCAGTGAGAGCGACTCGATTATATGCCACTGAGTACAACAGATATCAGTGCATGGAGCTGTTTCGAAAGACTGATACTCACAGTGCGTCTCCTCGCCGCAGGTTACGATGCGGTAGTTGTGGGCGGTGTCCAAATCGAGGAGCTTCTCGATGAAAGCTAGAAAACCGAGATCATTCAGTATGGTTCCCTTGGATAGCAAATGAGTTAGAAAGCCTACCGATCCCGACCATTCCTAGGCCGACGACGACAATCGTCTTGCGCTCCGTCGTTGTCTCCGCCATCCTGTGGAGCGCGCAAGGGAAAGCGTAGCTGACGAGAGGTCGAACTCTGAACTAGGCTATCGTCTTGACGGCGGCTTTGCGACTATAAGTGCAGGATGGAGGGACCACCATAGCCCGCTTCAAGACGCTCTCCTTGCAGCAGGATCGTCAACGAAGCTCCCACTGTAGGACCAATGAATCACGTTGCGTGCTTCTCATGAGAGCCGAATTCTCTTAGACACGGAAGGAGCCGGTCGCAGGGCGAGCAGAGCGCTGGATAAGACGCGGCCGATGAATTGGAGTCGCCGGACCGCGCCGCAGGCTCTGTAAGTTAGCTTATCGAAGGCGCGTGCGAAGAAATGAGTGTAAGCCGTCAGTCCGTTGGTGCTTCTCTTTCGTACTTGCTTATCGAGAGAGGTGATCAAAGAGGAAAAGAGATGCTGATATCGAGCAGCCACAGCAAACCTACTATACAAGGATCCACAACGAGCACTCAGCGTACCAAAAAGCGTCAGAGCTTCGAGCCCAAGGGGCCAAACTTCGGCTTCTGCTTCTTTTGGGCGGCTTTGACGGCGTCCATGAGATCCTGCGAGCACAGTCAGCACGGGGGCCCACTATGCCCCGCATATACGCGCCCACCTGGGTCTGCAGCATCGCGCTGTTCCATACGGCGGTGTACTCCAAATTCTCCCGGACGCTATGAGTAAACGCGTCTGAGTATCACTAGCAAAGGTAATTTATGAGATACATACGTGTGATCCCGGGAGTGCAGCAGCAGATGCTTCGTGCCTGCGACCGCGACAGGCGACTTTTCCGCGATGAGCTTAGCCACCTCCAGCGCCGCGGCGGTGACTTCGTCCCGTCCACCCTCCACCACACGCGAGACGAAACCCATCTTCTCAGCCTCGGCGGCAGAGAAGTTGCGCCCAGTGTATGCGAGCTCGTGCACCAGGCTGTGGTTTCCGGCGACCTTAGGGACACGTGCGAGCGACCCGATGTCTGCCGCCAAGCCGACGTCCACTTCCTGCAATATATGGTAGGTATAAACCATTCTCGAGAAGCGAGAGGGAAAGGTGCGTACCTTGATCGCGAAGATGGTGTTCGCTGCCGCATAGCGCACGTCACAGGCCGAGATGATGTCGACGGACAGTCCGAGGGCATATCCGTGTGCTGCGACTACCACTGGGTACGGGCAACGCTCTATGGCCGATATGCAGTCCTGGAAGCCGAGGATGTGCTTCTGCAGCTGGAATGCACTGCGCGCGGGATCGCTGCCGTTGTTAGGAAGAGACAAGGCGGAAACTGAATGAGAGTTCACATCAGCATTTGTGCCAACAGCTGAACCGGGACACAAGAGTGAGTAGGCGGGCTTACAGTCAATCCCCGCTGAGAAAAACTTAGGCAAAGCAGATCCGAGGACGACGGCGCGCACAGTAGGCTCCTGACTGATCTTGTCGAACACCTGGCCTAGCTCCGTCCAGAACCTGAACACAGCGATGAGCATGTGTACTACAAAGTCGATGGAGCGGCTTCGGCAATGCGAAGGTCAGAATCCTGGTGTATACGTACGTTTCGTGGAAAGCATTCACGGGGTTCCTGCATAAACGACATGTTCAGTTTCTGGCAGCCACGTCACAGAATCTTTGCTCCAACTTACCGCGACAGCTCTACGTAAGCTACATACTGTGCTGGTGTCGACACTTTGACAAAGGTGGTAGACAAGTGGTTGTATGAGTTGGCTTCGGCCATGGTGAATTGACTGTGTTTGAGGGGGTCTGTCTGATCTGGTTCTCCTTTCTGTAACTGAGGGACGTGGTTGGGTAGAACGACAAGTAGAGAGAGCCCCTGATCGTTGCGGTTCAATGCCAACTCACAAACAGGGAAGCTGTGATGTACGGTTAGTTTGGCGGCGATGCCGGTATATGTTGTGGTAATGATCCTGGGGTACTTTTCACATGCCGCGACTCGCCCGGTTTGTGGGGTACAACTTGGCGCCTTCCCAAAGCGGCAATACGTACTAGGTTCGCGTTCAAAGGACCGGCTCCCACCAATCCGTTGGAAGCCTGAACACTCTCGATGTCATCGGCGCAGGGACCTGCATAACGCTGCGGGTATCTCGCAATTCATTTGTGAGCAGCCAGACATGACTCGCGTATCCAACGGGAGAGCAGAAGCTCGCGAGCGTCGAAGATCAAGTAAGACACAGGAAGGAAGAGGGAGCTACAACATACAGAGGCTCGAGAGGAAAAGGCGCACGGGCTGAAGGGAAAGGGGGAGGAGGGGGTGGGAGGAGCATGGGTAGAGACCAGGGTGTCTGGTCAAAGCAATTGCGCCTACGTAAGAAAGAGGAAGGGGAAGCGTTAACGGATACATGTCATGGTATGCCCATAAGCGATAGAAGAGGTGAGATTGAGTCCAGCCGCTGCCGCGGCACGTTCCTCTGCCCCGGGAGGGCGGGGTCAGCATCCAAAAAATCAGAAGTCGTCCGCATCGTCCACCAATATCCCCTTCACGCCCCCGCTCTGCGTCCGTCCACCGTCGCGCGCCTTCGCCGTCCGCATCTGCGGCACGCGCTTCCCCTGCCCCTGCGGATCCGGCGGGGACGGCAGCGCCTCCGCCTCCTCCCCGGGATACGCCGCGGGGAACGGGTACTGCACCTGCACCTCCTGCTGGTGCGGCGCCGCGCGCGGGGTCTTCGCCGAGGCCGAAGTCCCCTTCTTCGTCTTGCGCCGTGTCTTCTCCGTGCTCGCCGTCGTGGAATTACTAGTTGTCGAACTCGTCGAGTGGCTCTTCGCGATCGGCATTGGCGCCTCTGTGTGGTTGTGGGTAGCGCGGATGTGCACTGGCTCAGGTTCGGACGGCATCATGGGCGTGGGGAACTCTGCGGGGTCCTCCCACTCCTCGTCGTCCTCGTCGTCGAAGCTGAGCGAGTCCTGGCTGGAGCGGCTCGACGGCTCGCGCTTCATGCGCTCTGGCGCGCCCGAGTCAATGTCGAATGACGCCTTGCCTGCGCTCGGTGTCAGTGGCGCGATCGGGTCGTCCTCCGTGTCCACTTCGGACTTCACGCTGCCGCCGACGCCGGAGCCGTGCACACTCCCTGCGGGGGAGTTCCCCAGCGAGAACTCGTCATCGTCGGGCATGTCGATGTCGGGCTCCGACACGGACTCGAGGCCCATGTCGTCGGAGTCCGACGGGTATTGCGGCGGCTCGTTCGCCAGCGAAAAGATGCTCTTGTTGTTGCGGAAGAGCTGCGCACGCATCAGCACGGCAACACGGGCGAGTCATCCTGCGGACACTCACCTCCGCTATCCGGTCCTTGAGGTCCAGCCACTCGGCCTCGTCCTTGCACAGGAACCCGAGCAACATGCTAGGATCCAGTCCCGACAATGGCATCTTCCTCACGCGGTCGCAGTGGAATGTCTTCAGCTCCGTCTGCGAGTACGCAGTCACGTAGTGGCGCTGGACCGGGTCAAGGTCCGCGCCCAGCCCAAGCTCGCGGGAGTCCATCTCAGCGGAGTCGTCGGGCAGAACGCTCGACGACTGCCAGCGCGCGTGCATGTGCGATTGCGAAGACTCGGACTGAGAGGTAGACGCGGATGAAGTCGAGAGCTGCTGTTGCAGGGGCGAGGGCGAGAGTGTAGGCGAACGGTATGAGTAGGATGACGCCGACGTGTTTCCGCTCGTCCGCCCCGAGAACGGAGAGGTAGACGAGCGCACATGGTGAGGCGGCCGGTAGGTCCGGTCTCGATCCCGCTCCATATCCGAGCCATATGCTTCGGGCGAGCCCTGTCGTCCCCACGAATCCACATTGCGTGGCGGTGGGCGTAGGGGAACCGCAGGGCGCGCATGATGAGGGTCAAGGTAGAAGAGATTGTCAGCCTGTGAGCCGACAAAGTAGTATGAGGAGGAAGGCCGTCCGCCTGCGATGCCGACCGATTGAGGGAAGGTATACAACGTCTAAGAAGTACGCGTAAGCATGACGGAATGCGTTGTTGGATGGGAAAAAAAACTCACCTTGATGGTGTTATAGTACAGAGGGTTCACACCCTCGATGCCTAGGCGGATGCCAATGAGTACGAGAACAGCGCGATCGCCCCAATCCATGCGTGCGTGGCCGTGTCTTCGGGTGGAATACATCACCGATCGAGACGCCGCGTAGACGTCTGACTCGTACAGCGTGCCATCGACAGCGTTTGCGACTCCAAGGGTCGCTTCAGGGAATGCATGTACGAGCGTCCTAAGCAGCCCATCATGAGCTCTGCAAACGCTCAGGAGGACAATATGAGCCTACTTTATTGCACCAGCAGCCGTACTGGGGCCGAACCACTGTCCCACGTCCTTGCCGAGGTCCTTGCCAACAAGGGCCATCCGGTGGACGCTGAACGGACATAAGGGGGAGGGATTATCGAGGAACCATGTCACGATTTGCACATATGTTGCATAATCGGCGGTATACACAGGATGGGGAGGTCGCCGCCAGTCTGCGTAGAGTCAAGGATCTGTAAATAACGGAGACAAAGGGGGCACGCACCTCGGCCAAGATGGAGATGCACCAGCGCGTTCGCTAAGAGCGATTGGCCCGTGCGCAGCATACAGCCCCATCCCGCGTCGGTCGTCCACCCTTTCTCCCCGCCCAGAGGCCAATTCCACTTCTTCGTTGGCGGGCTGCTGGGAACTCCGGTAGGATTGTCCATGAGCTCGGCGTCGAGCGCAGCTAAGGTGGTATCGCGAATCGGGAAAAACTGAGAGCGATAGGTGAGCCATATCCGAGATGTGAAGTCGGCGTAGAAGACAGGTGGCCAATTCTTCGACGGGTCCTTGGATGGGCCTGCCGAGGCTGGAAGAGACTGGGAAAGGGACGGGTCTGGTGGAGCGGAACTAGGAGTCACAGGAGAAGAGGAAGTAGACGAACGGAAAGACGATGGCGACCGGCGCGAATCGCTCGAGTTGCGCCGCCCAGGACTTTCTGGGAGGTCGGGGATGGGATTAAGGGAGGGTTCGTAGCCAGGATGCTGCACGCCCAGCAGCCAGATCGGGTCCGGACACTTATCGGGCGTCGCGTCGCTGTCGAGCAGATAGCGCATGGCTTTGTCCAAGTGGCCCTTGCCGTGCCGCGCCGCAGTGAGCAGCGCAGAACCCTTGCCCTTGGGTGAGACAGCCGCGTTCAAATGTTGCTGGGAGAGGAGCGAGGGAAGAGTGAGGTCGGTTGAGGACGAGCTGAAGGTGTGGGCAAACCACCCAGAGAGGCGGGTGGGGAGGTCGCTGAGACGTGGGTTAGACCCTGGAGAGTAATATGGTACAGACGAGTAGTTGTCCGATGCTGGTCGCTCTGAGCGCGTTCTTGGTCGTGGGATGGTGACTGGCTCGACAATGACGGGGGTTTCGTCGGGCATATCCTCGACGTCCCTAGACACATCACCGAGGTCGACGTCTTGAGATTGGCGTCGGCTACCAGCATCCCGGAAGATCGAACCTCGCCGGCCTGGCTTCTTGTGTTTTGGGGTCTCGGGGACTATTGGGCTCGAGGACGAAGAGCTGGGGGTGGGACTGCCAGAAGGGTCGACCATGGACCTGGAGCGGTCGCGCGATTGCTTCTGGAGGAATTTGGGGAGCTTAGAGCCATGGTTTGAGGTGGTCGGCGACGATGGCGAGGGCGATGTGCGCGATGGTTTGCTCGACATCGTCGTCGTTGGAGGCAAGGAGGTTTCGGCCACCGCCGCGCGCGAATGACGGCGTCAAGCCACATCGCCCTCTTGTTCTCCGACCACTTCCTCTTTCAACTTCCTCGCTCTTTGCTCTCGGGCTCTACGGCCTGGCGAAATTACTCAGCGTGGTCTCATGCATCTTAGCCTGAGAGGAATTCTAGAGAAGCGCGGGGAGCAAAACAGCTACGATGGAGGCTGCTTTAAGGCCTCTGTACCCGTCTACTGCGGGCGCATACCCCACGGGAGCTGCACGTAGTTTCTTGATTGTTTGTGGGTTCATTCATGGTTCATGTCAGGCAGTCATTAATTCATTCATGAACCTACTCCAGTCCTCTAGGTTTGCTGCAAGGTTGCCCTGATGCCGTGGCATATGCGCCCACTCGCTTACGGTGGCCCGGCGGAAGGCCCTTCCGAGTCCACCGAGGACTCCGAGCATCCTTACAGGCCCAGGCGAATACCCCAGGCGGGCGTCGAGAGCCGTCAGCGAGAACGCCGACGTAAGATGACGCAGCGTTCCCTTCGCTTGAGGCCGGCCTTCATTCCACCTGGACATGTGGCCACGTTGACACGCGGTGGGACGTGCTGGGCTGATTCTCTCAGTGCTGGTCGAACGTCGTGCGTCGCACGAAGATATTTCCTAATTCTTGGCGTCGGTTTGTACTTGAACACTGATGAAGTATGCGGTCGGAATCTAATATGCTAATATCATCACAACCACCCTGCTTCTCCCATCCTCAAGAAGGAACTACAGCGACCCGCCCTGTGTCTCGCATTGTATGCCCCCCCCCCTGTTTGGGAACGCGAACGACCTGCGACTGCACCCATTTGGGAACGCGAACGACCTGCGACTGCACCCATGAGGACAGTCGGATATGCAATTTTTACGTCTTTTTGCGACCGCCTCGGGGAGGGTGAATCCGCGACGTATGTGCGTTATTTTTTTGTTCTCGTCTTCCGGACGCTTCTCACCACTCATCTTCGCAGCAATGACCACAATCCGCGTCGATAGACCTCCGCCATTCTTCGCTCTTCTGGACTAACTCAAATCCTCCCTCGAGCATGATGTGCATCCCATCTCGCGAGTATACTTCGCCCTATGATCCATCGAGGGTAACGCTGACGTCTGTATGCTGCTTTTCAGTCGCGATGAAGTACGCCGTTCTCATACTTGGTGCATGACTTTCGAACGGTAGTCAAACGGCAATGGCTATGGTAGTGAGTGATGGTGATTTTCGTTATAGCGGATGCCATCTTAGAGATCAAGCATACCATAGACTCGCGGGTTCCACCCCACGGGAGCCAGATATCGGAGGCGGAGAAGTACTGGATCGTGCCGGACCCGACGTTCGTGCGTCTACCATGGCTCGAATTCTCATCGTAAGCATTACTATTCAATCGCTCACCTAGTTCTCATGCTGAAATGTATCTTGAACTTCCGATATATAAGCGTCCCGGAGAAGGCAGTGGCCAACTGTCAAACCGTTCCTAATCACATTTCATAGACGTCTTGGGTCTTGGTGGTGTTGCGGTGCTGGCAGTGCAGATGTTCGAATCAATGCCAGGGAGGAGCTGAGCGGTTAGTGTGCCACTTGAAGTAACTCCTTTTCTCCATATACGTACGCTACATCCAACTTTGCCCCTTCATACAAAATTCTTCTGTCATAACATGTTCGCTATTGATAGATCTTCCCTAGGTTTCCAGGCACTGCCGGCGGCCGTTTGGTCATATATACCGCTGGTCACCCAATTGCCTGACGGATACTCCCCCGCTCTATGGCATCTCAGTCTTCGGATGACACCCGGTAAGAACCTATCATAAGCGCACAATTAGTGAATACTCATGCTATATCCGTGCAGGCCAAAATGTGGTTGCTCAACACGTCTACGTACCAACTTTCCTTTAGGCAAGATCCGCTTCAAGTCCATTACGCCATTTTGTCGCACGTATGGGACCCTACAGGCGAGCAGACATTCCAGGTTAGTATTCAACCTTCTGTTTTATTCGGTGAAGCCTGATCATTCAACGACTGCGTAATGAGGACGTCCAAGCTATCCACGCTTCTGTGCGAAAGGATTTCCCAGATGCTCCCGAAGATGGCGACCCGCGCCTCCTCAGCGCTATCCGCAACCGTCTGGGTGCGAAGATCTGGCGCTGCTGCGACTATGCTCGCGTCCGAGGCTACCCGTACCTCTGGATCGACACGTGCTGCATCGACAAGACCAGTAGCGCGGAGCTCTCTGAGGCGATCAACTCCATGTTTGACTGGTACTCGCAGGCCGCCGTCTGCTACGTCTTCCTATTCGACGTATCTGCCGGGGTTAATCCCGCGGCGAAGGATTCGTCTTTCCGACGCAGCATGTGGTTCAAGCGCGGCTGGACCTTGCAGGAACTCATCGTTCCGTCAAGGAGCGTCTTCCTTTCAATGGACTGGCAAATGATAGGTACAAAGGCGAGCCTTGCGAGCACCATCGAGGACATCACCGTGATCGACGCAGACGTCCTGCTCCATAGGCGGGGATTGCACACTGTTAGCGTCGCGCAGCGAATGGCTTGGGCATCGAGACGAGAGACGACTCGTATCGAGGACGAAGCGTACTGTCTCATGGGCATCTTTGGTGTCCGTCTTCCCGTGATATATGGGGAAGGCCCCCAGGCCTTCGCGCGACTTCAAGAGGAGATCATGAGGCGTATACCCGACCAATCTCTTTTTGCATGGGGTATCGAATCGAATCTTCATTGCATTTCCCTTCAAGACTCTCGACCTTCCGTGATGGCCGTGCCAACCGACAAGGTGCGCGCCTCCAAGTCCGCATATCTATTCGCCTCATCTCCGGTGGACTTCCGCCACTCAAACGGCCTGTCGCCCATCTCTCTAGACACATTCGCGAGCATTCTTGAGCTCCCAAAGGCCATCTACCCACCCCGATATACCCCCAGTGGTTACGGCGTCCGCACCACGTTCCCCATCTGTACCCTACTTTGCTCGACCCAGGTACTGGACAGCCTTGTCGAGGTCCAATGTGCCATCCTCGCCTGTCAGGACGCGCAAGGTCGGCTCCCTGTTCTGATTCTCTTCCAGGAGGGTGCAGGCTCTCAATATCTAGTCGGCGGCTTCCAATTTCTCCGTCCATCCAGGACGAGGACCCCTCCGCTAAAACCCTCTTCTCCTATTCTGCAGATCGCTAGCCGGGTGTCGAGAGACACGGCCACGACTACAGACATGCATCACCTTCCGCCCGTTCCCCGCATAGTTCTTTTGGACCCGTCCGTGTTAAACAGCGCAAGTCCCGGATTCGTCACACCCCCTATCCTCCGCAAGGTCTGCATTCCACATCAATGCCAATCAGTGGTGTCCGGGCTGGCTATTCTACGCCGGCCTGCGAAACGCGATAGGTTCAAAGGACTTTGCAAGGTCATCCTCCCGTGCTGGACCCTCGAGCATCTCAGCGCGCTTGGCCTCAGCGTTGACGGTGCTGTCGAGGATGGACGCTCGATGATGCCTGTCCCGCTAAGCCTGCGACATAGACACGGGGACACGCGTGGCGCACAGTGGTACCACAATTTCACGCTGAGCCATACTATGCACCAGACAATCACTGTGGCCGTCTTCACGTGCCCATCGTCGGACTATCTTGGGCCCTTACATGCCTCGGTCGAGTGGGGGCCTCAGTACCATTCGGGGGCAAATTTTGATACGAAGGTGAGAAAGCTGGTTGCTGTCGCTGCTGAATAAACATATTGAGCTCCATACCGCTGCATAGACAGGAGAACCTGGAGGATCACTGCCAGAAAATTGCGCGGGCGAGCACGTGGACGCATGGACAAATACCCTCAGACGTTTCAAAGCCCCACCGGGTTCCCCAGATGTCATACTGCACTTCGGTATTTGGGATGACTACGACGTATGCGTGACTGGGACGAGCTGTGTCTATTCGTGCGACTGCTATGCGCTCGACATCCACGTTGAATTCCCACCGTCAGAGCAAACCCCAGATGTGGACGCATCTCGATCACCTCGCCCTTTGTCTGGTAACATCTCCCAGTGGAGTGCCATCCGGAAAAGAGCCCTTCCCGTACGTCCAGACGCATACGGTTGGTCAATCTAAGCATACCGTTATTTTAAGTATACTAACACCAGATGTGTTCAGTTGACAACATCGAAACCACACAGCAGAAGCAGCGTCGAGCACAAACACCAAGGAAGGGTATTGACCTTACACCACGTGGCGACGAAGGCCCGGGCACGCAACCTTCGGGAGAATATGAAGCGCATCGAAAGGGTGCTTCGATGCAGAATGCCTCGCTCAAACGACGGCCCCGTGATGACACGATCTCTCGCCCGAAGCCGGTGGGGCCACGAAGTCCTCCCCCTCGAAAAGGATCAGGACCCTCGTAGCAAAAACATGCCTGCAAAATCGTCCTGTGTGCTAGCACACCATGTCGAACGAAGTGAGTGAGTAACGGTGCTAGGTTCAAATACCCGTTTAATCGATTTACAGCTAGAATAAGTAGATACGTCAGACCGTGAAAGCCGCGTATGTTATGAATCTCAACGGAAGCAGACAAATAGCAAACTTGTCATCAGCTCTATGCTCGGACGCGTGATCGGGACGACAAAGCGATTATCCATTGCACTGAGTCGGCTCGTTAGCCCAATCGCTTGAAGGTGGTAGTATTTACGCATCCACCAAGCAACGAGAGTGTTTAAGGAAGCTGGTCGACTTGAACGAACACGCTGATCTTGAACGATAGCCTGTCCGCAATAAGTAGTAGATCATTGATATAGATCAGTAGTGTAATATATGAGAGCGTATACAGCAGGTGTCAGAGCAGTGGTATCGAACAATGTGACTAAGCAGTGGGTGGTTCGAGGTACAGAGTGGTGTTGTTCGGCGAAAGCAGATTGCGATAATTTATTGCAGCTGATAGCTCCGTAGATGAATCCTGTGTGCTCGTGAAGTTCCAGTATATGCACGTGTCAGAGGTTCATTTACCTTCTTCTTCATAAGCTCCGTTTTCATGAAACGATGGGACGGTTGTTGGGGTCCAACCCAAGCTTGTCGCGAATACTTTGCGCGAGCCGCTGTTTGTTCTTAAACCCGCGGAGGTACGCGTAGTGCTGATGCGCTTGAATGAGGTCGGGATAAAGCGCTGCCCATAGGAGTAACCGCTGTAGCCCATTGATGGGTCGGAAGAGGGAACGCCGGCCGGCCCAGCGTGCCGCCATGGCGAAGGGTACCGAGACCGCGAAGGGGATCAGGGCCTTCGTCTCATAGTCCTGTGCACCGTAGAACGCCGTGTAAGCCACACCAAGTACTCAACAACCCGAACCAATGACGCTCGTACCCCGTACCCTTCCCCGAACTCGCTGTCCTCGGCCTGAAAGGTGTTTGCGATATGGGTAACCCAGCGGTCGTAGTCAGCGAGTGTCGGTGGAGAGACGACGTCTATGCCGAGCTTGAAATGCGAGACGATCGCGGCTCTGATCCAGGTCTCTTCGCTCGACCATATGTGGTTGTGCCACCAGGTAAGCTTGCCCCACACTCCTGGGGAAGCCTGGTAGGCGTCTGTGCCGTAACTTCAGCTTTGACACGACTGAAGCACGTCAGCCACAAGGGCTCACCGTTACGAGTTCCTTTCAACTTTTCCTTGATCGTAGGATCGATAAACGGGTCTGCTACCTTCGTCCATCGCCTATCCGAGTCGCTCTCCTTGAGAGACCGCGCTGTGAGTTCGAGCAGCCAAAGATCTGGGTCGTCCAAAACCTCCCGTCTGAGCTCGTCATTGACTCCGGAGGCAATGGCCTCTACAGCAAGATAGCCGTATATCTCGTGCACACGCATGGAGGTGAGGGTGGGTAGGCGGCGAGGGGAATACCGCCGGTACCGCGTGTGGGCCACATAGGACACGGCGAGAACGGGGAGGACCAAGAAGAAGTTGCTCCACTGGGGCTGAGGAGGCTATGAGTATCCACAAGACCTAGACAGTACGATGCCCAATAAACACTCATACGTACAGATCGAGGTGCCGTTGCTGACGCTCTCGCACCCGGACCTCCTTTACCATCGTCCGACCGGCCCAGGTCGACTGTTTCCAGTTGCTCACCCAGGCCCTCTTGCAAACTCTCTCCAATGCGATCCATCCCCCCAGCGGTGCGTGCACCAGTTGAAAGAAGGCGGAACACTCTGACTGATTAATTCGAAGGAGACGAGTGGTCGACGAGCGGTCGCTGGACAAGGAACAGAGGACGCCCAAAATGATAGACGCCCATACCGCGTCGTTCGCGCGCCACCGCGCGCGTCTTGCACCGACTGCTCTCTCACTTTGCATCAGACTCCCATCTTCTCTCCGCTCTTTCGTGCCTATTCACGCCGCAGGAGCTATAGAATCTAGCGGTATGTCTTAACAGTTGGATTCATGGGTAATTCTGACGAAGCAAACACGCAGACTTTGAATGGCCCAAGATGCGGGTGTCATGTCCTCGGTCGACGAGGGAGCCTTCCACGCCCTCTGGCGTTCGTTCGCCATGATCATCTTCTCAGAAATCGGCGACAAGACGTTCCTTATAGCTGCTATTCTCGCCATGCGGCACCCCCGCCTCATCGTCTTCGCCGGCGCGTTCGGCTCTCTCGTCGTCATGTCTATCCTCTCCGCCGAGCTCGGCCACCTCCTCCCCACGCTCATCCCACGAAAATGGACACAAATATGCGCGGCGGTGCTCTTCCTTGTGTTTGGTGCGAAGATGCTACAAGAGGGACGCGAGATGAAGGCGGGCAACGAGAAGCTGCAGGAGGAGATGAAGGAGGCCGAGGAGGACATCGAGGGCGACGACGCCGCGCACGACGGGGAGGACGGCGTCCCGCTCGAGGCGATGGAGGCCGGCACCGCCCCGGGGCACGTCCGGCGGCGGTCGAGCTCGGCCGGGCCCGCGTCCGCGAAGAAGAGCGTGCAGGGCTACATGGAGGCGTCGCGCAACTTCTTCAGCTACCTGCTCGGGCCCGTGTTCGTGCAGGCGTTCGTGCTCACCTTCCTCGGCGAGTGGGGCGACCGCAGCCAGATATCGACCATCGCGCTCGCCGCGGCCGACGTACGTTGTGGCGCGGGCCCGCTTGGTGCTATATATACGCGTGCTGACGCTTCGCCCGATTATAGAACGTGTACGTGGTCGCGCTGGGCACGGTCATCGGACACTCGTGCTGCACCGCGCTCGCCGTCATGGGTGGCCGGTACGTGTCGACGAAAATATCCGTGAAGCACGGTGCGTCCCCGGCCCGCCTCGAAGTCGCGCGCGTGCAGTTCTGACTCTCGTCCTTCGCACACAGTGACGCTCGCGGCGAGCGGGCTCTTCCTGGTCTTCGGCGTCGTGTATTTGTATGAGGCGCTGCTGTCGATAGACCCGGAGACGACGGACTTCCACCCTGACCCTTGATGATCCTGATACGCTCTTATACCTCTATATAGACCGAGCGGGTTCGGGCCCGGACGATCCCTAATGCATGGATGGACTCATGACAGACAGAAGCCTCGTTATGCATGCTGAGAAGCCTGCCCGTGGATCTGGGACAACCTTGAACGAAAAGGTGAAGCGTAGGGTGCACCTTTGCATGGTGCACTGACACGTGGAGCAATGGGTTGGCTACCTATCCCTTGCGCTCGGGATAATGCGTCCTCTCGTGAACATGGCGGCCTCTCGAAGGCGTCATCCGCGACGCACAAGTGCTTCCACTCACGTAGCTGTCATTCGGCGGCCCGCGAAGAACCGTGCAGTCGATGATGCGACGCAGACAGGCGGCGAGTACGGGAAGCAAACGGTACGTGTATTCTCACGTCTACTTCTCCCCGCGGTGTCTAATACCGGGGAGTGCTTTGCAGCGATGACCGCTGTGCTATCGTCCTCCGCGCTCCCCAGCGATGCTTGCGATCAAGGAACTACGCCGTCGACCCGTATGCCAGCCTGCATACCAGCTCAGCGTATTCTCGCAGTGATCGCTACGTGACCAAGCATTGACATGCTTGAAAAGCACAAGTTGTTGTCCGCAGAGCTGTTTAGCGTGTAACGCGAGCAGCACGAACAGCGGACATTGCGCCCTTTTGCTCGTAGAGGAGTTCAGGTACGCGGATTCCGCCTTCTCGAATCGTTTGCACAGCACTTGTATCCAGGCTTCCTAATCATGAGTTGTATACAACATCATCTTATGCGCCAGTAAATACAGTGATGCGCGGCATTCCGGGGCGGCGCATCCGGTGTACCACGTATCTCCAAGATCTACTGCCTCTGGGTACAGAGACTACCCGTGCCCAACGCGTATCGACCCTTGACATGGCAAATGCCTGACTCACGACAGAGGTACATGTTGCAATACTTGGCTAACTGTTGACTTGTCAGACTTCAGGCGGGCATCGAAGGCCAACACCGACATGTACGACCTCGCAGTTGTCACCACACATAACTTGGAAGTCGCATGCCGCCAAGGCATCATTGTTGAGATCGAGAAGAATTGTCAGAGGCGTTCGCACCGGCGCCGTCAAACGGAGTCTTGGGCGAACATAGTCGCCTCACAAATTACCCCAGGACTAACATATTCGCAACGATGGTGAGTCTGCTCATAGCCCACGACATGGGATACTGATGCCCACGCTGACTACCAGGTTGCTGACAGACCGAGCGCTCCCTTCATATCCATCAAGGCCTGGATAACAAGGGAAAGCATCCACACGCTAGTGCCGTTACCGACTAGCAGAACCCACCGTGGCCGCAGCCGCAGGAATGATGGAAGGACTGTTGTGATATCCACCACAGTGCTGCGGATGGAGCAAGCGGCGACTAACCTCGTCTTGCTGAGCCAACCTTCCAGCGAGCAAGTCGATCTCATCGCCGTCTCCGTGAACGGGTGCCCTGTCATATCGAGCGTAGATGAAGAAAGCTAAGCACGAAAGTGGAACAAGGCGCAACACCGAGGGAAGCAGTTGGGTACAGATGTGTCCCACTTGGGCACCCTTATATACGAACACCGTGGTACGTGGTACACGTCTTTTCGCGTAATTTGCGCCCACTCCTAATGTTGATTATCGGATATTCGACGATAGGACGCCGAGAGGCGAATGAATGAGGGGGCAGGGGGGTGGGAGGGCGACGGGGTGTTTCGCAGAGGATTCCCCAAGCTTTCCCCGTGGGTGATAGAGTTGGGTTCTGTTCACCGCGGGGGGCGTCCGGCTAACATCGCCAGTCAGTCGCAGGCCGGGCAATACAAGGTGCGTCGTCAAGAACGGCGTCACGTGACGGGCTCTGAAAGTCTAATTGGCTAATTGGAGAGATCCCCCGGCGATACTCGACCCGTTCGTGCGCTATCGGAGTGCCTGTGCAGCCGCGCCCGCCCCCACATGCCGCAGAACGTGCGAGCGACGTGGGAGGCGTCGGTGATTGCATCGATGGCGACCAGCCCCAGAAAACCACGGTGCACGGCCGGATTCAGCACATGGGCGGCATTACGGGGCGCGGCGAAGCTCGCAGCGGGACCGGTGCTATATTGGCCACACACGCGAGGTGCGCTAACAACAGCGCATGTCTCATTGGCGTTCTTCTAGGCTGACACGATCGCCCTATGAAGCCCTCATCCACGGCTCGCGCGCGGCGCGTCTTGATCATCAGCGCGGTCTCGAACGCGCGCGCGAGTGGGCCCTGCGCATTCCCTCGCGCGAAGTGGGGTGCGCCCCGTTCTTACGGTGTATCTCCGTCGACGCCTCTCATGAGAAACAGGGTGTGGAGAGCGGCACTCCGCACAAGAATCGCAGACGCCCACTTGCGCCAGAAGATGGCAAGGTACGCGGAGAAGCGGTCCCACCGGATTGTGCGAGGATCCCTCGGGGACAAGCCGCAGCGTTGGCGCACCCCGTCCATCGACGCCTCGAAGCCTCGGGGCCGGCAGGGGTGAGTTTCTACGCCCTTTCCACCGCGGCTGCTGCGGATAAATATGCGACAGGGAAGATCGCCCCGGGATCCACGTCTTTCATGCAACAAAAATTCGGGGCTCCGATCCCGATCCGCCAACGCGTTCTCAGGCCGCCGCTTTGGTCTCCAAACGTCGCCGTTTCCCTTCCTCGCGCGCTCTAGGCCGATGATCAGGCGCAAACATAGACGGTTCCCAGCGGACAGCGTGCCTGTGCGCGGGTGAACAATCCTGGCAGCGTAGCGTCTATCTCGCGCCCAATCTCGCTGACCAAAGGGTCCGCCCCCCGAGTCTCCACTGTTCGGCGTGCCGATGGACGAATCAGGGGCGCCCGGACGCGTGTCCTGGCGCAAACACGGACCCAGGGCCGCGTTCGCGACCGCGCTGCCACCCCCATTCCGCCTGTGGGCTCCCATGAGATCCTTCTGCGCCCCCCCGCGGCCCCCATCTTTGTTCCATATGATCCCGTAACGTTCGCGGGCCCCGAACCGCGCTGGGGCCGCGGGTCCCCATTGGTGCGTTCCTAGCCCCGGCCCTGCCTTCGTCCAACCTTCCGCTGATTGTGTGGGAACCGTGGACCAACAACGCCGCGCCGATCTGGAATCTGGCCTGGGGGTGCTTGTTTGCCGGGGACCGATCGTCGCAGCGCCTTACGGACGCTGGCGACACAGTCGCCCACACGGTTTCAGGTTGGCAGGCCGCCCACGACGCTCGGACCAGCACCGGTTCCGACGCCGGGACTCCCCCATCCGCGCACGGAGCAACGCTTTTGCGCTGATGAGGACTCTCGGAAGCCTCTTAAGGATTTCGGCGCAGCGCTGCGAGTCCCACTCCGGCTGGGAACCCGTCGCAATAAATCACGATGCTGTAAGGCACATTAATATCAAGCGTATCATCTCTGCTGAGATCAGACAACCTTCATTGCAGCGGAAATGACCGTAGGACAGTATGAATATACATATACGCCTCCAGCGGGCTGTCAGTATATATTTATTCGCCACACACTGTTGGGCGTTTCCTTCGAGCCAGCCAAGTCTCCAGCGCTACGCACCGGACGCCCTGCAGCAGTACTGCATCTTCATTCCAGTTGAGCTCATCTCAGGGCTGTCTCACTCACTCAATATTCACACTGTCGTTCCGCAGCTGCGACATCGTACCATTGCTTATAGCATGTACACATTGCACTTGCTTCGACACGTGTTCCTAGCGTCGCCGCATGGGAATATTGTACCAAACGCATCTCGGCATCCCTCGTAACGATAGCTCTCCTCTCTGTCGGGATGCGTCTTGGCCGTGTCCCGGCGGCAATGCCAGCCATGACATGAATGGGAATCGGCAGAGGTTCTATCTCTGCCGTAGATCGTTCCGCTGATTACGTGCTTGACAATGCGCACCGAACTCTGAATTTCTGCACCGGTGGGCTACGGGCTCGGACATGTCGGCGACCTAACCGCCCGGTGAAAGAAATTGCGCACATGCGCAGTCCGCCATCCATTCCGTTCTAGTCTACATCTATCGCAGCGTCTACGCTGCGTGCACGAGAAGTCGCCCGCCGCACATTTACCTAGGCACTGTCTGCGTCTGCTCGCCCTCCTTGATCTCCCAAACGCTTCCCTTCTCTTCGTGGAGGCGCTGATAACGACGTCAGCGCTCAAGGAATATACGTTAGATGCCGGAAACCTTACGTCAGGCTCGATCTCAAGTCCGACGAGGGCCTCGAGCACAGCGCGTCCCGTCCACGCCTCGACGCTCGCCACTTCCTCAGGCGTGATAAAGTCCTGCGACGTGCGCGAGGCGAACACCATCTGCGCAGCAGCTGCCCTAATGCGCGGGGGTGGCTTGAGCGGCGCATCACCCGCGGCCGAGGTCGCGACATCGGGGATGGCCGCCTGCGTGGACGGTAGGTGGGCCGGGTAGATCGAGGGCGCCGTGGCGTCGCGATCGAGCGGGGGCCCTGGGCTGTTGGTCACGTCCTTGGCCTCCGCGCGCCAGCAGGCCGCGAGGTGGAGGATGTGGAACGTCTCCATCTGGGGGACAAGGGTGCGCGTTTCAAATACAGGCGGGCGCGGGCGGGGCTTCTAGGCATACCTCGAAGGTGGCGAGGTCCGTGTGCTCGGACATAAGGCGGTCGATGAGGTCGGCGTTATGGTCGGGGAACGACGTCTGCCGCCCCTGCGAGGAGTAGAAGCTGCGCGGAGGGGGTTAGGACGAGCGCCCACAAGAGAAGCAGGCGTGCCGGATCACACCTGTCCGCCGAGGCGTTCAAGGTGTTGTCTACTATCGGGGTCGCCACGCCTTCCGGACGCGTCCTCTTCAGGGCATCGACGAGCTAGCGAGAGGAGCGTGCTTCATTGAACTTTACGGAGCGGAATCGCTGGGGGAGAAGCTTACGGCATCGTGGACGATGGGGTCGGCAAGGACCTGCAGCAGGTGGGTCAGAAGCCGGCGGGTGATACGAAGGAGAAGACCTGCCGGCTTGCTGGTTCTGTATGGCAGCTCGCCCGACTGGCCATTGACGAAGTCGAAGTCGTAGTTTCTGGAGACAGCGATGCTCGCCTTCGGCACAACGACGCTCCCGACTGGCACATCGATGAGGCCACCACAGGACCCGAGCCTTGGGCAAAAATGACGTCGTCGCGATATGTCAGATAGGGCGAAGCGCGGGCGAGCCGTCCGGGAAAGTTCATTGACCTCACCACGACCATGTCGCCGGTGAGGCACTCCCTTACCTCGCGGACGAAGAAGTCTGCGTTGGGGTGCCCCATGCCGATGCTGACTATGGAAACGGGCACGCCCTTGTAGCGGCCGGTGATGGTGGTAAACCCGCGCTCCGAGGTGAGCGTGAACGGCGTCGGAGTCGCGTCGAGATACGAGGCGATCCCGTGTGCCCTCGAAGGCGCGCCCAGGGTGAGCTTGGCGTCTGTGTTCAGCTTCTGTCCTGCCACCTCGAGCAGCAGCACGCCTGCTTACGATGCGATTGGCCACCTCGCCTGCGCGCAGGCTCAAGTGGTAGACACGCTGGTCGAGCGTGCGGGGAAAGTCTAGAAAGGCGCGGAGGCCGAGAAGTCAGAAAGTTAATCTCCCGGCGAGTTTTGACACATACTTGCGTCAACGATGAGGTTCTTCATTTCTCTCGCAATTCGTGCTCGTCCTGGACGAGTGGGTGGTGCAAACGAGGCGAATGACTCGAGCCGAACGTAAACCAGTCCGAGCGGCTCGGGGCTCGGCTAGCGAGTGATCGATGAATCCGGCCGTCACACGTGACAAACCCTCAGCGGTCGTTTGGCGCAGCGGCGAGCCTGTCACCACTCGTTGCTCAGCACCACCACGACGTCGACTCCGGGCGAAGATGCGCATCCTCATGGCCAGCGAGATCGACCAGGACGGTGTCGCGCTGCGAAGACCTCGTCTTCGAATTCGTCGCGTGACGCTCCGAAGCCGGTTTTGAGGCGACAGGCCCAGGCACTAGCCCGTACCTTGTGCCCTCTAGCGCGTTAGCGGTATGTCATCCCTCGGAACTTTTTGCGACACCCAGCAAGCTGTCGGCAAAATTACTCAGCTTCTTTCCAGGCCGCAAACCTTTCTCCAAATTTTCTGCCCCGCAGCACAGCGGTTCCCTCCGCGTCGTGGCACGTCGTGCAGACACGGCCGGGAAGTGTGGCCTAGGAACGTGCCTGCATCCGACAGAGGATCCTCCGCACCAGCTATTCATAGGCGCGTCGACCCACGCTCGCAGTGCGGCTCGTACAGGCCTTCGGGCCCAATACCTCTCGAACCGCCCGCCGTGGGACCCCACCCTCTTTCCACCAGTCGGATAGGCAACTTTACGTGCGTCTTCTCTGCGGAACGCAGAAGGATCCGTGGAGGTGCCCCGGCCCCTGCGCAACCCTCCCACTCTCTTTCGCCGTCCACGGCTGTGGGACTCGTCCGAAGTGCAGCTCGGCTCTCACCGCCGCGTCAACCGTGTCACCGGCGTCGCCTCCACTACCTGAGGTCATCGTCGCGGAATGCCCTGAGAGAATTGGACAATAGGGCCCGGATGGACTGCCTATGGTCGGTGGAGACCCGCGGTAGGATCAAAGTCCCACCATCAGAGCACCACGGGATACAACTCTGTTCCATTCCTCAATCCATGCCATATTAGGCAAGTTGACACGCAGGTTGAGTACCAGACGCCTGCTAAGCCATGGCGTCGTTTAAACCTTATTGACGCGTATTCTTGTTTTAGCCCAAGATATCGAGCGTACAATGTTTTGCGTATGAAGTCACGTCGGCGGTCGATTAAAGATGAAACACTTCCCTAGGACAACGTCAGGTAACCGTGCTATCGAACAAAGACTGAGGCAGGGGTTCTGCAGCACCGAAGACGCCACAAAAGAGCGTCAGTAATGTTCGGCGGAGAATAGCTGAACACGTACGAGACTCAGGGCGCACCCTGCACAGAAGATCAAGAAGTACGACGCCTCACGGCGGTGAGGAGCACTACCGGTGAGCAGTTACCGTTTGTACCCCGGATAGCGCCACCACACGGGCGCTGAGACCACCATCCCGTGCGCTGAGCGAGCAAATGACCACTCCCCACCACGTCAGAACACCGCAAAATACCTCCGTGAAGCGTTGTGCGGAGTCGCCGTCCCCGTGTGCGCTACAGGACGTCTCGCAGACGTGCCTTGCCAACAGCCATCCCTCCACTCGTCCTGACACTCGTGGAAGCTCACATGCATGCTCAGGACATGCGAAGAGCCTCCCGAATATGCGATCGTCGGTTTCCGAGAGTCTGCCTCGACGTCTGCCCGAGCCCCGCTATCGGTGGACCTCTATCAAACTGACCTAACAGCTGAGCGCGTGCCTGACGCTTCCGGGCCACCCGAACCCGCACTGCCGTTCGTAGTGGGACACGATACGGCCGGCGAGCGTTGCAAGCCCGCCACCCGCCGTGCCCCACGCCCACCCGGGCGTGCAAGCCACGACAACGGCGCCCAACAGCACGCGAGGCCGCCGACGGTTCCCAGCCGTGCGTACGCCCCGCCCGCTGCTATGACATCAGTCGCAGACAGGCTCTCGTCACGCGACGCGGACGGGCGAGCCACGCCCTGCCGCTTCTTCGTAGCGCGGGCGAACGCGGGGGCCTCATGACCCCGCCGCCCGCGCGTGCGCACGAGGCCGCTCTCACTGCGCGAGACGGTGCGCACGCCCGCCCAGGCGGGTGACCTCGTCCCCGCGCGGCGGATGCGGGGCTGCCGCCTGCTGCTGAGGGTGTCACATGCGGCCTCAAGCTCAGCTTCTGCGGTATCGCCGGTCACCCCGCTGGCCTCGACCGCAGCGTCATCGACATCGACGCCGCTCGTTCGATGCAAGTGGGGCGGACCGCGAGCGCGGCCCACCGTTCGCTCGTTCGCCGTCCGTCCGTCCGTCGGAGGAGGTGAAGGCGGTTGTGGATGTGGACATACACGTAGCGGGTTAGTGCGCGGAGGATGGGCGGACGGACTTTCATTTGTCGAACCTCGGCGGATAGAAGAAGAGCGCGCTTCTGCCAAGCCTGATATCGCCGTCGCTCTTGGACGAGGAGGTGCACCGCGGCGTGCGCGCCTTGCCTCCTACCGCACAGATCTGCGATAGGCTGCGCTATATCTCGATGAGGCGCCGCGGGCGGCTCGAGCGCGCCCCGCCGCGAGGGTGGACTAGCGCAGGAGGGTTGTATGCGTGCGTGCAGGTGGACGCGTGCGCCAGATGGTCGATCGACGTGCACTCCGCGATCTTCGTTCCGTACGGAGGATGACGTACGCTATATCTGGCCTCATCGTCTTGTTGTGAAGCAGAAGGCGACGCTTTCGACCGGTTCTCCAGGGCCCGGAAGGTCGCTGGCACGGGCGACAGCGCGCAGTATCCTTGCAGCGCAGTCCCAAAGCGCAGACGGCGTTGGCTGGCCTGCTGCCGTCATAGCGGCGCCAGTGAGGATTCGCAGACCGCCTCGGAACGCCTCAGACCTTGTGGGTGCTGCGGGGTCGCAATCTGTGCGCTCTGCAGCTGCATGCGCCACGGACGTCTGCACATCATGGGTCAGCAACCCTAGCCTCCATCAGCACCCGAGAGAGGTCCGGGCTCACCCCACGGAAAGAGACGGTGCACGTCGTGTGCGTGGTGATTTTGGGGAACCGCAGACCACACAGAGACAAGGTTCTTGGTGGCGCAGGGAGCGCGAACCATTAAGCCCAAGTCCAGGCTGTCATCCCCTTGACATTCCTGCTTGATCTCGCACGCGAGATCGACGGTTCCCCATCGGTGCTGACCACAGTCCATCGACGTAACGGCGCCTGCAGGGGGTCGTTAAACGCATTGTCCTAGCGCGCGCCATGGGGTACGCGGCCTGTGCTCGGAGCGGGAGCATCTAGTGGCACTCAGGGTCGCATGCGGGTTTTGGGTTCTGCGGGTGAAGGAGAGCTACACGTGGCGTATCCGGCGGCCCAGGGCCCGCTTGGATCTCAGCCAGCATGGCGACATCGAAGATCGAGGGACCGACCATACGCGGGACATGTCCTGCTGGACAATGTCGCCAATTTTGCGCCGAGCGGTAGGCGGCAACGGGCGATAACATGCCTGGTTTGCCGCGGAGAACGCCTGTGACGGTATGCCGTGGCCCGGCGGCGGCGGAGAACCCAGGGCGGCGGAGGACGCATGCGCTGCTCATCATGGACGGCTTTCGGCGTGAGCTCGGGATCAAGAAGGCCAGGATCACAAGACGGCGAACACCGACCGTATGGGGCGCAAGCTTCCTGCGGAATTCCAGACGGCAAGAGGGTGCGCGCCGTGACTGCAGGAGCATCACAGGCCGGACTTCTCGAACGCCTGCACGGCCGCGGGGGCCAGCGGGCTGGTGTGGCTGCGGGCGACAGCCGCGGGCGGGGGCGAGCGCGGGAACGTTGATCTCGAGGGCGCAGAATGAATTAGCGAATTATGGATGGGTGGACCGGTGCGTGCGTTGCGAGGCGTCGTATTCTTCCGATAAAGTGTACACAGTGTGGCCCATTCACTCGATCGTCCTGCTAATCTCTCGGAGTCGGCCTCGGGCGCGGGGGCGCGGGCGCGGGGTGGGCGCCATCGCCCATCAACGCGCGAATTCGACCGCCTCGAAGCGGAGAGACTGGTTCCGCGAAATGGGGAGATTCTCCGACATGAGCGAGCGCCGAGTGCGGTTCCCACGCGTGCGCCGGGGCTGCAGCGTCATCGCGAGGCCCGCAGCTGTGACGGCGCGGGAGTTGCCTTCGCGTATCGCGAGTCGCAGTCGAGGCTCGTCGTGTTCGCATGGTGCGCTGCTGCAGACTCGCGTTCCTGCCTTCGCTGCAGCTCGCGACGCGGCGAGCGATCAGCATCTGAATCTGGCCCTCGGCTGTGCAGACGGTCGATCAGATGGGTAGCCGCGAGTGGGCACTGGGCGGGGCTGCTCGGACCTGGGGGCTTGTCTGTCACGCTGCTGGGCTCGAACTTGCGGTCTGACTGGGCTGGGGGCTGCCTGTTCTGGGCGGTGCTGATAGGGCCGATAGACCTCGCTGGGCTGGTGCACGTCTGGCGGTCTGAGATCTGGTCTGGCTGGGGAAGACGAACATCATGGGACCGGGGTGATGAGGGCGCCGTGACTGGGGAAGGGGCGGGGTGACAGAGAAATCAAAGCTAGCCGAAAGCAGAGACCCACAGTCTGGACGAATCTAAAAAGGCAAACTTGCAAGGCCGATCCGGCCAGCTGGGCCCCCCGCGCGGGTCAGGCTGCCAGCATGGCCAGCGACCGTGACCCCCGCATGCGGGTGCGCACGAGAACGCGCGAGTTTCTGGGCTGAGGCGGGCGAGTGACGGCGCGGGTGACCGTCTTCCCTCCGGACAATCCCTGCAGCAGCTCCCCCTCCCCCCCGTCCGTGACAGCACCTCTCGCCGGGCCCGGGGCGGCTGCGCCCTCCGGCAGGACGTTCTGAGATCTGGCAAGGCTCCATTTGGCCCGTTGCGGCCGTGCGCGTGCCTGTCTCTCCCCGCATCCGCGTCTGCGTCCGGTGCGCGTGTGCGTGGTGCGTCCTGCTCAGCCCAGCTCTCGCGCATCTGTCATCTCGCATCTGGCATCTTGTCTCTGCCAGCACCCGGCATCGTGGCTCCCAGCTGAAGGCATTTCGGACTCGGGCTCGGACTCGGACTCGGATTCTCCCCCCGGTCCGTTTCGAGGGTTCGGACGATTGGGAGATCTTGCAGTAACGCGAACGTCCAATGTCGTCCTCTCCCTGATTCGCCTCGAACTCACGCTTCTCGGAATGCGCCAGAGAACGCGGCCTTTTGCCATCGCCTCCTCCCTCCGACCGTTTCCCTCCTGCGCATGCTTTGCCCCCATTCCCATTCCCGTCCGCATTCATAACGCCCTCGCCTCTCCATTCCCGTCCGTCCCGTCCCTCCGCCCTGCTCTCGTCTCGCCCGCTGCGGCTTCCTCAGCCAGCACCCAGTCCTCTGCTCGTCCTCATCACAAGGCGTCTAATCGCCCTTGCCCTTCTCCAGTCTGGTCCCGGCCTCCCTCACGCCCTTCTTCTCCCTGGACTTCTCTGCTCGCACCCGTCCTCTCCGTCCTGCTCGCGCACGATACCTCTCCCGATCACTCGCTGCACATCGCCCGAGCCCGAAATGAGTCGCTACCACCCGAGCACCCAGTACACCTCGTCGGCAATTGCCGGCCCAGGACAAGGCCAGGATGCCGCCCGAGTGGACCTCCGCCACGAGCGAGACGACTCGCTGTCCGACTCGGAAACGAGCACGTCCTTCAACGCCTATTCGGAGAACGTCAAGGATGATGCGCCCGTGCACGGTAAGCTCCCAGCCTGTCACTTCCGCCGAGGCGCTGCCCCCTCACTGGCAGCCCGTTCGCTTCCCCAGACGCAGATGACCCGTACCTCGCGCTCACGTCCCAGACTCTGAACGCGGATGGCACCCCGAAGCGTCCCATGAACGCGTTCATGATATTCGCCCGGAAACGCCGTCCGCAGATATCCGCCGCGAACCAGATGATGCGCACCGGGGACGTCAGCAAGATCCTGAGCAAGGAGTGGAACACTATGGAGATGGTCAGTCGCCTCCCCCGCGCGTTTTTGCGCGTCCTCGCTCGCTCCAGATCTGACGGGCAAGCGTGCAGTCCGACAAGAAGTTTTACCTCGATCAAGCGAAGAAGCTCAAGGATAACTTCAATTCGAAATATCCCGACTACGTGTACCGTCGGCGGCCGAACAACTCGCGCAAGAAGCGCAAGCCCGACGCCGCGCACGACGACGGACACGACGTCGGACATGCGGACCCCGACGACCCCGGATACGAGGACACCTCGCCGGTCGACGGCGACGATACGCTCATGATTCCCTCCCCACAGGAGGTGCAGTATACGCGCACGCATGCGCTCAACCCCTCGCCCGTGTACCACACCCACGACGCCGTCGGCGGGCCCACCCCGCCCCCAGGGTGCACATATCCTTATTCGTCCGACTTTCACACCTCCCACGCCGTCCCGCCCGCTCGTCATCTCTCCCATCTCGCGCCCGAGTCCGCCATGCCGGGCTCAACCGTTGGCGCCGTCCGACCGTCGTCGTCGATGCACGACCTCAACGGGCTTCCCCCGGGCTACCCGCCCCACTCCATGTACCAAAATCCGGGCCACCAGTCGTCCATGTATGGCGCGCAGGGCCCACATCCGTCGTCTGCCGGTCTTTGGGATCCCTCCCGTGGAGGCGCAGGCGCGAGGTCTGAACACACGCGTTCCAACTGGCCGGTCCTGCCGGCACTAGATATTACCCTCGCGCGGCAGCGAACATACGCCTCCTCGACAGGACCGCTCGGGAATGCAAACGCCAACGGGAAGACGGAAGCGTACTCGCCGCAGCTTCCCAATCGCCCGTGGTCCAGCGCGACCTCGTCCACCGCGTCCAGCAGCTCTGGCGGCGCGTCCACGTCACACTACGGGGGCAGCAACCAATTTCCTACGCTCAGCTCCGCCTTTTTTCCGAGCGAATCTCCCGCCGCGAAGGGCATAGACGTCTCCTCCCCCGCCTCCGCGCACACCACGCACGACTACTACCCGCCCTCCTCTGCCGCCGGGCTCCAGTCTGGCGCCGTCCCCGGGCGCCGAGGAAGCACAGGACCAGGGCCGGGCCCAGGGCACGAACAACAGGGGAGCTACGGATCGGCAGCGCAGTACAGCGCGGGGGCGCAGCAGAGCGCCGCCCAGGCGTGGTCGCAGCACTTCTCGCGCGGAGGCGCCGGGGGAGGCGGAGGGGGCCCGCAGCGCGGGTCGAACTTGCACCAGATGTCTCCGTACGGACTGCAGGGCTCTCCGGGTGCGGGGGAGGGCAGCTCGCGCTCCCCAGGATCGGGCTCGAGCGCACACTCGACGGCGCCGCCGCTCAGCTTCTGGGACGAGCGGTTCGGCGGGCGATGAGTCGTGCGGCTCGGTTGGGGCTGTTCCGTCTTTCTGCTGTATGGTGTAACTAGGTGCCGCGCGCACGCATGGGCTCTCCTCTCTTCTCGCCGCTTGTGATGGTTCCGTGGACTCATCGATAGCTCTCCCCAGGTCGCATGATTGTGATACCATAATGTCGCTCGGATAATGCAGCGCCCCTACGCCCCCACCTCGCTCGTCGCCGTCCGGTGCGTCCCGCCAGGCCTTTGTTCCCGGCGGGGCTGCTGCGACCGCGGCGCTTTTGCGCTGCTGTTGATGATGATACGAGGTCTCTGATGTTTTCGCTGCTCGGGCCCCCGCCACTGTTGTTATTCTTTGTTCTATACCAATCCAGAGACCCGCTTCCGGACCACCACTAGCCCCCCACTACGCACGTTGTTGTAACCGCCATCGCCACGGCAGGGGCGGCGGCCCCGTCTTTGTATCATTAAATCCGCGCCGCGCGTACCCGCGCGTGCGCCGTATTATGTACCGCCATCTGTATACTATCCAATCGCGTCCCCCGCCGCTCCCCGCCTAGCGTCCTGACTCCTGAGAGAAGTGCCCGAGCGAGGGCCCCCGAGGCTCCACTGCGCTGGCACCCGGCCGCACTGCGGGCGCACGCTCGCCCGGTGACTCCAGTCTCCCCCGCCGCTGCATCCGTGCGTGTCACGCAGCCCCGAGCCGATGCGGAGCTGTCATGCCACCGCTTGCGCAGGCGGACAGGCAATGCGTCTGCTGCCCCATATGTGTACCCGCTGCGACGTGGCCAGCAGCTCCAGCCTTCGCCCGCTGGCGGCGCTGACTCACGGCGCCGCGGCGCGAGGTAAATGTCGGAGTGTGACCGTCGGGGCGCGTGGCGCGAAGGCTTCTTGCGCGCGAGCCCCCTGCTTCTGTCGCATAATTAATACAGGCGGCTCGGACGGCGAGGGGGGAAGCGTGCAATTACGGTTACGCTGCGTGCGGTGGCAGGGACGCGAAGATCGCCAGCCGCTGGGAGGCGGCGAGGGCCTTTTCGGGTCTGGCGCGCGCACTGTGCGCCGGCGAGCTGGACAGGCGGCAGCGGCACTTACGAGACCTGCAAAGCTTCCGGCTGGGCATCATGCATATCATGGCGCCGACAGGTTAACGTATGATCCTAGTGCGGCTCTAAGCCCGACGTGATTGCGCCCGTGCACACATGCACTCCCGCTGGAGCACGGAGTCGACGGGCACTGCGCCGGTTCGTCCACAGCACGTCGCGTCGCTTCCCCGGCGGCTGGGACGCGCCCGCACGTCCGATGCGCTCAGGGTGCAGCGGGAGGCGATCACGCCGCCGCTCGGCACGCGCGGCCCTGCCCAGCACGGCGGAACCCTGGAGGCCGACTTTGTGCTCGTCTTTGTCTCTGCGCAGGCACCATCTGGACGCCTGGATGATGCGGGAAGAGGGTGGCTTCGCGTCGCGCCGTGACAGCTCGGTCTCGCCGCTCGAGGGTGCGGGCGTGGGAGGTCGGTGATACGGACGCGTCAAGGTCCGTGTTCTGCGCGGAGGGCGAGCGCGAGGGGCGACGCGTTGCGGTACGAGTGGCCGGCGAGGAAGGCAGGGCTTGCGACGGGCTCGGGCCGAGCTGTGGGCGAGCGCGAAGAGGAAGGCGGGCGAGGAAGGCGTCGTTAATTGGTGGCGGCGGCGCGTGAGTCTCCGAGTGCTGGTGATGTGTACGTGCGGACGACGGGTTCGCGCGCCGGATGGGGCAGGGGAAGGGACGCTTCGGGGCGGCGTGCGAACGTGTGAGGGCGGGCGGGGCCTGTGTCTAAATGTTAACATGCCGATCGTGCCACGGGGAGTGCGGTGGGCCCTCACGTCTACTGCCTTCTCCCATACTCACCACCGGCAAAGTCGTGTCAGTGCGCGAAGAGCGTGTCAAGCGTTCGGGGAGCGATGGCTTGCCAAGCGGGGCCTTTCCGACGATCTACACCGTCTAGGGTGGAGGAGTCCAGGAATGTCAGTCGGCGCTCTCACAGCGGCGCGCGTGCCACGGGGCCACAGGGGAACGTGAAGCCCTCAACTCCGCTGGGGGAGGAGTCAAGGCTGGACGTTCCCACAGAAGCCAGGTCAGTACCAGGTTCGCGCAGTCGGATTGCGGCATACTGAACTTCTTCCTTCACAGCGACAGGACACCGGCGCCAATAGCGGCTAGATGGACCACCGCAGCCGATAGGTGCGTCGAGCAGCGAACTGGGGGCAAATGAACGGCGGACGGACCGGCCGCAGAGGAAGAACGAACAACGTACGTAGTACCGGTGCGGTGTGTGCGGTGGCGTGCTCGCCACCCACCGTGGACCAACAAGTCCTGGAGAATGTTTGTGCCCCCCCACAAAGCGGTGATCGAGGAATAATCATTCGTGCGTCGCAGCCGGGCCCAACTGATGCGCCGCGCGTTCGCGGAGCCCGACTGATAAGGCGTCCTGTCAGCCTGCTGAGGCCCTTCGACGCCGCGACGCTCGCCTCCCGTCGGACGGCGGGGTGCGGATTGGTTGGGCCCCGCGCGAGCATGCGTCTCCTGGTCGTCCCGTCAATTGCCCACGTCGAGGTTGCGAGGCGGGGAAGAGGCCGGTTGCTGGCTCGCGGACGCCGCCGCCGATCGAAACGAGAGGCCTGCCCAGCCTGAGAGCGCGGAGTCCCAGCGCGGCGCCACCACGACTGCGGCTGGGCTCGGAGGAGAGCATGCTGTCTTCCGCTCCCGTTCCCACGCACATTTACCTCCGTGTGAATGGGTGGCGATACACAGACATGCAGAGCGGAAGAACACACCCAGCTGTGTGCTCTCCGCCCGTCGGGTGAGCCAGAGCAGAGAGAGAGGACAAGCTGAAACCCTCGGCGAGCCCATGCCCGGACCGAACGGGCGCTCCGGGCATCCAGAGTACCCGGCCCGGGTGCGGCGGGGTAGAATCAGCGCCAGGCGCAGTTGGACGCAGCCCAGGTTGACCGCAACCATCGCACCTCGCAAGCTCACGTCCAGAAGAGTCCGGTTGACAGTGCGGTAAAGCTACGAAGACACACCGCAAATCTCGTACATACACAGCTAGTCAATCATGGCCCTCCAACGCCACGTCGAGCCGGCGCCTGTCGCCTCCACCGCAGTCTTCCACAAGGACCTCTTCAAGGGAAAGGTCCTCTTCTGTACCGGCGGCGGCTCTGGTATCTGCAAAGCCATGACCGAGGCGGTGGTAAGCACGCCATGACTACGCACTCACCCTCTTTGCTAAAACTTCATAGATGAGGCACGGCGCCCACGCCGCCATCGTCGGCCGCAAGTAAGCCGCCGTGCAGTCCCGGCGGTAACTTTGGAGCTGACATACTGTGCCCGAGCCAGGCTAGACCGCCTCACCGCGAGCGCAAAGGAGCTCTCCGAGGCGACTGGGAACCAGTGTCTCCCCGTGCAGGCCGATGTCAGGGACCCGAAGCAGGTGCAAGACGCCGTCGCAAAGACGGTTGAGAAGTTCGGGCGGATCGACTTCGTTATTTGCGGTACGTGGTAGCTGCGTCGTGGCGCGCCAGCCGTTCGTTCGCTCACCGGGAGGACCATGCGTGTTTTTGCAGGTGCCGCTGGGAACTTCCTCGCTCCCATCTCCAAACTTTCCGAGAACGGGTTTAGGACAGTGATCGAGATAGACACGGTCTGTCTCATCTCCCCGCATCGAAATCAAGGGATTGGGCACTCACTTTGCATTACTCTCACAGCTTGGAACGTACTACACCATCAAGGCCACCCTGCCCCACATCCGGGCCACAAAGGGATCCTACATCCACGTCAGTGCGACTCTGCACTACAGGGGTGCGTGAAACCTTCATACGCCGCACGCTGCCGAGGAAGACTGACCGACCCGCTCTACAGGAACGCCCTATCAGGTCCATGTCTCCGCCGCTAAAGCAGCCGTCGACGCGAGTGAGTGAGAACGGCAGCGGAGAGCGTGCACAGGCGTTGACCAGCGGCAACTTTCCAGCGTCCACGGTGCTTGCCGTCGAGGAAGGGCCCCATGTACGTTCCCCACCTCTCTTCCCCACCTACCCCACGGGGAATGGCGCGCGCTTCCCAGGCGTGTAATGCTGACTGGCGCGCTCTGCAGGGCGTGCGCTCGAACGTCATCGCGCCAGGGCCTATCGGCGGCACGGAGGGCATGGACCGGCTGAGCGCGCGGGACGCGAGCGGGAAGAAGCAGACGTGGGGCGGCCCGCTCGGGCGCGACGGCGACGTGGGCGACATCGCCAACGCCACCGTCTTCCTCTTCAGCGACGCGGCGCGCTTCATCACTGCTCAGGTGATCGTCGTCGACGGCGGGTGCGAGCACGTGCGGCCCGACCCGCTGCCGTACCCCGAGTCTGTGCTCGACCCGGACGCGGTCGCGAAGATGATCAGGCCGCGGCTGTAGACGGCGCGATGCTCACTAGGACGGATCTTGGGCGACGACGCTATGCGTGCCGCCCTGTGGGTGCTGACCCAGGGCACATTCTCGCACGGTCGCTGTATACACGGATAGCACGAACAATGTACGCGTAGCGAATACGTACGGATCTGCGCTCTCGTCATTCCATCCCGCGCACGGCGGCGGGCCCGGGTCCCACACTCCCATGCGAGCGAAAGAGGCAAGTGTCTACGATCGCGCGGGCGCTCAGAAGGGCAACACGCTCGGCTAAACGCTGCGGGGCCCGCGACGCGAGTGCGACGCCGAAGCGCACGCGCGGGCACAGCGCAGAAGGCGCACGCCGCTTCCGCAATATATACGCGCGAAGATGGCACGCCAGATATCCGTGCCGCACGCCAGCTTGGGGCGTCGCGGGGCGTAATCCGCGGCAGAACTGCGCGCGGGGCGGCCGGGGCGTCCGAGGCGTGCGTCCGTGCGTGGGTGCGCGTGTTGAGACGTCGAGACGACGCCCTCGCAGATCGCGGGCGCGTCATCCGGGCATGGGACGGAAAGGGGCCCCCTGCGTGGTGACGACGGGGTGGGTCCGCACGAAGCCGGCGCAGGCGCGGCGGGGCCTGTGTCCGCAGGCCAATTGGGACACTCGCACGCGCAGATCGCCCTCAGCGATGGGAGTGCGTCCGTTGTGTGCGCGCCGCACATATGCGCCTCCAGGCACCGGACCGCTTGCGCCCTGGGGCGCACGCCGCGCGTCCCCGCGCGTAGGGGGGCGGTCGAGGCCGCTCGGGGGTGGGCTGAATGCTGAGTGCTGGGTGCTGGGGGCAGGTACGCGGGGCTTGCATAGATCCGGATAGCGTTGCAATAGAGCTGCTGGGAACCGGGCGCGAGGAAGGCGGGGTTCGCGCCGGGCTGGGGGCGGGAAGCGGGGTCAGGAGAGCTGCGTGCCAGGGCCCGTCCGAGGCGTTCCCAGAGGAATGCACGCGGTGCGCGGGGAGTGGGGTCGGCGGCGCGCGGGCCTGGCGGGCGGAGGGCCCTGAGCGTAGGAAAGGGCACGCCAGAGCGAGAGGAGCAGCGCATCAGATGACAGCGTTCGTGAGACGGGTGGCGGGGACGAGCAGGCGGCGCCAGAGCCGCCAGCCGAGAGAAGGCGGCGGGGATGACATCTTCGAGGGGTCTGTGGACAGATGCGTCCGATAGAGTGCGCGTGGGCCCGTGCGGGGGGCCTCCCGGTGCTATCGCTCCCGGCACGGGCCCTCTCGAAGGACATTCGATAGTTTGCGCGCCGATGAGCGTTCGTGCGGACACAGTAGACCCCGCAAAAGATGGATGGGGGAGGATCATCAGAACGTCAGAGAGCTTCCAGTTGCACGTTCGGACTCGATCCAAAGCGCACGCGGGCCGAGGGAGAACGCCTGTTCGAGGAAGGCAGAGCCGTGGGGGAAGGGCTTCGTGCGATGGTCGGCTAGCATGCGTAGGCTACGTGTGTGCATGGCACACGGACAGGACGGTGGGATGTCCGGCATCGGCGACACGACGCTCGCTGCGGTGCGGCGGGGCCGGGCTCGAACGAGTGGGGTTTGCGATTGCGCCAGTGACCAGTGTTCCAGGCCAGGAGGTCCATCATGACAGAGGAGGGCTCGAACCGTACCGGGGGCCGACACCAGAGGCCTCCAGGGGACGCCTAAGCGCGACGGAGAAATTCGAGGTGGCCTCCTAGATGCAGATAATGCCCGATTTATTTGAGCGAGATAACTTACGGACAGATCTGGGGGCTGTGACGCCAGAGTACAAGCCGACCCTGCCTGAACTCAACCGCCTTAGTGTGTCAAAGGAAGCGGGTTGCGGTGAATATACTCACATTTTCGCCGCCCGGAGGGACAGCCACGGCGAGGAAGTAATCCGGGGCATTTCCAAACGCCCTCCGTTGGAGGCTTGCGGTCATCGATGGCAGTTCCCGCAGGTACGGAGCGTTGAGATGCATCAATCTACCGTAAGTCGCCATCTGGGCGACATTCTGAAGCACACCACTGAGTGGAGGAAATTCGGGGGAATCGAGCGCGACTTACGGTCTCTCAAGAACCTGTTACGAGATTCTCGATGCTAGGAATATCCTTATCCGGCAGCGTGTGTCGGCGCCTCCAGCACGATGCCTGGATACGAGGGAGATTGTGGATGTGAGTGGTAGGTGCAAGTGCGGTGTCCTGGCTGCGCACCGAGAAAATGCCGAGTTGTTGTGCATCACCGGTTGGGGGCCTCAGCACTGGTAAGTCGCGGCAGATTCACGCGGAGAAATGGTATTTCGCGGATGAAGAGAGCTGAGGGAAGAGCGAGTATAAGGTACGGGTGCGACAGGTCGGCCGGGTAGACGTACCTGGCGGTGTTCTTGGTGCAGAGCCAAACGACGTGGGCTTGCGAAACAAGTTGGGATGCGCAAGTTTGGACGGGCGCAGCACTCTCGGCCGACGCCGGGTCTTCCCACGGGCGCCTCATTAGGCTTTCCTCCTTGCAGTCGTCCCACCACGACGACCGACCGCCTTCCACAGATCCTCCTCGTTTTCGGTTTGTTTTATCCAAACGTCTGCGGATGTGTCACGCTTAGTGCATTCTCCTGTCTCGGTTGTACCACATCATTGTTTTTGGCGCCGTCATCGGCGCTCGATGTACTGCCAGTGCCACATTCTTGACCGCGGTAACAAAACATTCCTCCTGGTGATGTACAGGTGAGTGGCGGCAAGCGTATCTCCAAACCCTTGCTGATTTTGTACTCTGATTTCCTCTTATGCGAAAGACGCCTAGTCAGTAGAACAACAGAATACATGCCTGCAGGCCGGACTGCGGACTGTCTAGCGTTTCTACCATGCCGGCGCTGCTTCGATTTAGATCATGCGACTCTTGCTCGTGATGCTTTCGCAACACATCCCGGCCATCTTACGTTCAAATTATGCACCGAATGTCAGTCCAGCTACTTCATTCGCTCACGCTTGCAGTTAATCTAGGCGAACCGAAAGCCAAGAGCTAGCGCCCTCTGAGCTATAAAGTCGCGTGAACGGGGCTTCCTCGGGGACGCCTCGCCCGTCGCTTAGCTCCAGCCCTCCACTTACGCTATGCGGGCGATCCTATTCGCCGCACTGCTCTTCCTGCGAGTGATCGCTCTAGCCAGGGAACCTTCAAAGTTTGAACACGGCAGAAGCTTCCTCGCAGACGACAAAGCGCCTTCGCTGAATGTGTCGTCATGTCCAGGTCAGTGCTTCGTCTGTCGCGTATCTTGTTTACACATTTCGCCGATTGGATGCGTAGATTGTTGGGGAATATCTGTACCTTGACGAGCTCTGCGCGGCCCAGATCTTACGCCGCCCTTACTTCACAACGCTGTTCTGTCAATAGCTTTGACATTGTAGCATGCGGCGCTAGATCTCGATCGCGTAAATTGAGGAGGTTCCATGCTGTATTTGCGTGGTCGTATACCATTTGTGGCTAACAATCATACAGGATATGTTGTCGCGTCACAACAAGAGACCCACAATGGCCTGACGATCCAGCTTACGCTTGCCGGTCCGGCCTGTAGCGCTTTCGGCCACGATGTTGCCAATCTTACCGTTGAAGTCACCTACGAAACAACGACGAGGTGTGGCGGTTCCCGCTACAATACCGACCGCGGAATTAACGGCCTTTCTCTTTGCAGACTGCACGTCAACATCTACGACACAGAACAGAGACAATTCACTATACCGCCGGACGTCGTCCCTTTGTCGGCGGGAGAGGATGACGCGACTTTGCCAACGGGTGCTGACCTCGAGTTCCACCACAACACGCACCCTTTCGAGTTCTGGGTGACGCGACGGTCCGAGCCAGACGCTACCCCTCTGTTCGACACGCGCCTTCAGTCCCTTCCGCCGACGCCAATACCGGCCTGGGTACCAGGGGATAACTCCACTGCGTTTGACGGATTCCCGCTCGTGTTTGAGGACCAATACCTGCAACTCACCTCGGCGTTGCCGCATGGTGCGAACGTCTATGGTCTCGGCGAAGTCCTTGCTAGTAGCGGCTTCCGACGAGATGTGGGCACCGATGGCGGGTCTGGGACTCTCCAGACTTTCTGGGCACGAGACAGTCCGGATCCTATAGATGAGAACATGCAAGTGCATCCTTTACGCCCCAAAAGTTTGCGCTGACGTGCATTTTCTCCTCGCTTAGCTATGGGTCGCACCCCATCTACCTGGAACATCGGTACGATGAGAGCACCAGGCGCTCAAAGTCGCACGGTGTCTTTCACTTTGGGTATGCCGAGTTCCTCCCCCTGCGTCGGACTTTAGGCTGACCCACCTGACATCGCGCGCCTCCCTCGCGCAGCGCTGCAGGGTCAGACATCCTGCTACAGACTCCGCCATCTTCGCCCGTTTCGTTGATCCAGTACCGGCTGGTTGGGGGCACACTCGACTTCTACTTCTTCTCTGGACCCAGCCCTCAGGAGGTGATCGAGCAATACGGCGAGCTCATCGGCCTGCCCACTTGGCAGCCCGCCTGGGGCTTCGGCTTCCAGCTTTGCCGATGGGGATACGCCAACGTCAGCGAGACGAGAGAGCAAGTGGCAAAGATGCGAGAGGCGAACATTCCACTGGAGGTCATGTGGAACGACATCGACGTGTATCACGCGCTTCGCGACTTCACGACCGACCCCGACAGCTTCCCTGCTGACCAGTTGAAGGACTTTATTGCCGAGCTGGTGAGAGTGTGCCTCTGCGCCGTCACACCGTGGCACTCCTCCCGCCCGCCGTTTGTGCTAACCTGCGTTTAGACGGCCAACCACCAACACTATATTCCCATAGTGGACGCTGCGATCGCGAAGCTCGTCAATGATTCCGACGTGGTACGTAAACGAAGCTCCCTGATTCGTTCAGGAGGCTAACACGCCTCTGCGCAGTATGACCCTTACACAAGAGGAAACGAGCTGTATGCAGGCCAAGTTCACGGAATTGGCTCTGGCGTTTCTCACATTATTCTCGGATTAGGGACGTATGGCTGAAGAACCCCGACGGCACAGAGTACCTTGGGCAGGTTTGGCCAGGATACACGGTGCGTCATAGCGGCGATCTATGTGCGTCTCGACGGCCCTTGACCGAGTTGTCCGACCATGCAGGTGTTCCCAGACTGGTTCGCGAACAACACCCAGGCGTTCTGGACCGAAGGCCTCCGCAACTGGTCTAATTCAGGTGTGAACTTCTCGGGGATATGGCTGGACATGAACGAGGCGTCATCGTTCTGCATCGGCTCATGGTACGTCGGCGTTGACTTTCTAGATGGTGCCTCTTCGCTCATCGCGATATCCTGACAGCGGAACCGGAGCTAATCTGACCGCTGCTACAATTCCGACGATGTTCTTCCCTGGCACGCCAGGGAACCTGGTAACGGACTATCCTGAAGGGTGCCGTTTTCGCTGTCTCGTGCTTTCACGTCCACCTGACCTTCTCCCGTGGCAGCTACAACGCGACCATCTGGGGGCCGAGTGGAAACATAACCATAAATGGCACGCTGACGTTCGGGAACTCCTCCTCCCCGCCTCCGGCACTCGCGAAGAGAGGCCTCGGAGAAGCGGCGGAGCCCGGCGTGAACCTCAACAGCCCTCCATATGCACTGCACAACGGTTCGCTTCCGCATCCCGCAGATCAGCGCTTCTTTGTACTCATCTGATGTGCAGCGGACGGCTTCTTGTCGACCCACACGGTCTCGACCAACGCCACACATGCGAACGGGCTGGTCGAGCTCGACGTGCACAACCTGTGGGGCCTGATGGAAGAAAAAGCGACACACCACGCCCTGCTCGACGTGCACCCAGGAAAGCGTCCGTTTCTGATCAGCCGCTCGACGTTCCCTAGCTCAGGCAGGTACACCGGACATTGGCTCGGCGATAACATCAGCAAATGGCAGTACATGGTGCAGAGCATCCAGGGCGTGCTCCAGTTCCAGCTCTACCAGATTCCCTTCGTCGGCGCGGACACGTGCGGGTTCCAGGGCAACACGGACGAGGAGCTTTGCGGGCGCTGGATGCAGCTCTCTGCGTTCATGCCGTTCTATCGAAACCACAACGTTCGGAGCGCGCTTTCGCAAGAGCCGTATCGGTGGGAGAGCGTGGCGAACGCCTCACGCACGGCAATCGGCATCCGATACAGCCTACTACCATACTGGGTGCGTACAAGGTCTCGTTAGGCCCAGCACCGCCCGCTGCGTTCGCGTGCTAATCACATGCTACTTATCGTCGCAGTACACACTCTTCGCCAACGCGTCGCTGCGCGGGAGCCCGCCGGTCCGTGCGCTCTTCTACGAGTTCCCCGACGAACCGGAGCTGTTCACTGTGGATCGCCAATATCTCGTCGGGAGAGATCTTCTGGTCACCCCCGTTCTCACTCCAAACGTCTCCACGGTCGACGGTAAGCGTGCATCTCATCTTTTGCCCTCGTAACGGACGCTGACGGACATTTTATCGGTACAGGTATCTTCCCTGGGCAAGGACGCGTCATCTGGCGGGACTGGTACACCCACAAGGTCGTCGATGCGGCCATCTCGGCGAACACGACGCTCGATGCGCCCCTCGGGCACATTAACGTCCACATTCGGGACGGCTCTGCCCTTCTGCTGCATGCCAGTCCGGCGTACACGATCGAAGAAACGCGTGGGGGTCCGTTCGCACTGCTCGTAGCGCAGGCCGCCGACGGCTACGCCTTCGGAACGGCATACCTGGACGATGGGGAAACTGTTCCGCCGACGCCCAACACGACACTGAAGATCTCCGCACGCAAGGGCACTGTCTCAGTTGTTCCTCACGGTAATTTCAAAGTCGTGCAAACTCTAGACAAGATCACCGTTCTCGGGGCGTCTGACGTTTCGCCTACGGAGGTTTCTGTCAACGGCAAGCCCGTCAAAAGCTGGGAGTTCGACTCCGAGGTCCAACGGCTCGTAGTCTCGGCGATTCATGTCGATCTGAATGTACCTGCGACGGTGTCGTGGAAGTAGTCGCGGATTGTAGCGTTCTGTTGTATTGTCTCGATATGACCGAACAACGATGTTGTCGTTTCTACTTTCCAACTACACGTACAAGTAGGATCCCTCAGTCCAATTGCGAGGAAACAAAATATTTTCTGCATTAAGGGGGAATCGAACCCCCGGCGGGTCGATGGCAACGACCCAGGTTACCACTACCCCATTAATGCTCATAAGAGGGGACGTCTGTGCTATATCTCATCGGTATTTCCTTCTCAAGTTGTATTGTGTGCCGTAGAGGCAATTGCGCAGAGGCGCCGTCCCCCTCAGCTCGATTTATCTTGGACCATGATGTACTCGCATCCTACCGAACTACGTGAGATCTGGAAGCGTATTCTGGGGTTTACATGAAGTACGAAGTTAAGCAGACCAGCTCCGGAATTCCGCAGCGAGTCGGTTACACGCTCAACAGTGAAACTCCGAGCTAGGGCGATGTCGCAACTTTCAACAAACGCGTTGATCAACCGGTACGCAACCGCAACGACCCAAGCAAGCACGACTGTGATGCATGGTTGCAATTGTGCTACACGTAGAACGCGCTGCGCCTGCTTTGTTCTGCTACCCTGACAAAGCCGTTTACGAAGGTTGAGCCACTTGCGAGGCCCAAGCTCACCCACTCGGGTATAAAGAACCAGTCACTCGCACAGCGTCGTTCGAGCAACTACACCGCCGCCCCTCTCACAACAGTCAGTGTCTCGTCGCCTGATATATTTTTATCGCTAATGACCGTGACCTCACGATTTACTAGAAGGACGCTGCCACCACCGATCTTCAACTCATCTCCTCGATGGCTCACACGAGTGTTACGGGTTGTGCCACCGACGCACACGTAGTCAAGATGGAGAACAACAAGGACGTGCTTCGCTTCACCTCGGATTACGATGGGGCAACAGCGGGTTCGCCACTCGACACAGTTCACTTTGCAACTGGCACGCTGACTCCGCGTGCCGCTGAAGCGCTCGAAGCGTTCCTCCATGGCCCGGCGTGTCACCTCGAATTCGCGCGTCTTGTAATCGATAACCCGGAAAGGCTTCTTGCGTCAAGTCCGGGCATGGTTTCCGCCTTCGCTGGTTTGACTGGCCTCGCCTACCTTGAGCTACTCGGCGCAGGGCAACACTCGCGCGAACTTCTGCGAGGCCTGAAGGCGGAGCTCGTCATGGTGAACCTTGTCATGATCCCGGTGGAAGAAGACTTGGACGAAGAGGACGAGGCCTGGGAGGAAACTGGGCGCAACCCGATCACGCTCCTGAGCAACTTCCAGGGCACTCTGGAGGGCCTGATCGGAGAGGGGACTGAGACGCTGTGCGTCGAAGAGCTGACCTATCCGCAGTGTTACCCGAACGTTAAAGAAGTCACACTGGAGGGTGTCGACATCCCAGTCACTACGCACTATGTGCACGCTTATCCGAACCTCTCCAATCTCAGAATCCGCACCGACCCCGAGGAGTTCGTCGAGCTACTCGAAGGCGGAAAGAGAGAGATTGGACTCCGCCGCCAACTCAACATTGTGGAGCAGCTCGAGTACGGCTGCTGGCCGTCCTTGAACCACTGCGACAGCACACTCGGTACTCTCTACGTCCTCGGACTGCAGTGTCATGTCCGCGACCTCCGTATCCTCGCCGATATCGAAGGCCCCTCTGGAATGCTTGGCAGCGTCCTGATGGACACTCGCCCGACGATCCTGACCCTGCACCAGTTTCGCCTCGGCATGCTGAGTAGCAGTGGATTCGCGTCGCTGATGCGCGGACCTAGCGTCCGGCAGCTCAAAACACTCGAGATCACGCTCATCCTCGACGAGGACTCCGGAAAGGACATTGGCATCGACGCTGCTTTCGTACGTCTATGCTTCCGTGTGCTGCGTTCCTGCTGACCAAGTGCACCCCACAGAGCGCCATGATCTCCGCTCTCAAGCCACTCACGATCAGCGCCTTCGGAATCATGATCATTTGCAACTTCCCGGGACCTTATCCTCGCGAGGCTGGTGTGCCGGTGCCCCGTATTTCGCTCACTGCGGAAGAGGAGTTCCTGAATGGCCTTCAGCTGGACGAGTTGGCTGAGCGGATCCTTCATGCGGTCAGCTCTCTCCAGACCGTGGCTGTGATGATGGTCGCCCACCGCACGCGCGGACCCGCCGCCGCCGCGTTGGGTGCGCATAGCGGTACCGAGCTGCGCACTTACAAGTTGGCGAAGGCTCACGGCCTGCTGCCTGGTTCTGCGCCGGTACGGGTTTGAAGTTTGGTTTCCTTATATGATATGTCGTCATGGGCAGAGATTTGATGTTTTATGTCTTTAGTGTATGCGCGCTCGGCAATGAAGTGTTCATGTTAAGTACTATTGCATATGTGGCGGTTTAAAACGGTATTTTTATTTGGTTCAGGCGCAAGGAAGGCTGCGGCGTAGTTCTCCCCAACCGGCTCCGTTCACAGTCTTCCTGGGTTTGTTGAAGGCATGTTCATATATCTCTCCTCCGGTGCGCTTGCCTATGGCCTTCCTTGATGTTCCCGCGCCACATGGGATGTGGTTGCGGGCGGTTACAGCGCATCGATGCGTCAAGATCGATTCGCAGCTGGAGAGTGGTGATCCTCTCGGATAGCCTTCTACTACATTCACGAAATCCTCGATCTTTAGACCTATCCAAACATCGATAGCACATTACTGGCATGGCAAGAAGGAGCGAGCATGGGTTATCAGAAGTGGACCGGCCGGGACACGAGACGTTCATGGCCAGTGGTCATGGTGGCCACGAGGCGTCTGGACCCGTATTTACAGAATTGGACCAGCCAACCGCAGGACGGACACGATTCGTGAGTAGCACCATTCTCATAGATAGACACACTATTGATTGCACTGTTTATAGCCCGACTGGAGCAACTTCTGGCCTCTGCCCCTCATCGGAGTTTCTTATCTCGCGCACATTCGATACAGGCGGTACTCCCCACGCCGCCTGCCCACTCTTACATCGATGAAACTCCCTGAAATATATGCCTTCCTCGCCATCATCCATGCTATGGAGGGTGCTGCGGGCGAGCTGAAGGACGAGGTCATGAACGACTCGGATCTCGAGCTAATCGAGAAGGTGGCGCGCCGTTTCAAAAATGACGTCTTCTCCAATAAGTCCTTCATGGAGACTGTAGACCGGTTTCTGGATGACGGAAGGAGGGAGTACTCGAGGAGTAGACGTAAGGTAAGCTCTCAATACTTGCTCTAGACGTATATGTATTCATCATGGCCGCAACATACTAGATATGTACAATCATGCCGCTAGTGGCGGTTTACTAGGCAAGCTTGCCTGGTGGCACGATCACATATGGTCGCATGAAGAGACCTGGTACCGGGCGTCGGTAATCTGGGTCACCAAACTTAAACCGCAAGACCTCTCTCTGAACGACTTCGACCGCTGTGTCACGCACCTCGCCAATACTTTTGAAGCGGACGACGACTTTTACTATCAGGTATTCGGATGTCTCAGCCTCGTAGCTAACCGTACTGGTGGTACCACTTTAACTGACGCTTTTAACAGGACTACGCGCTCTGGGCTTTCATTCCCTTCGGCGTCTCTATACCTTTCGCTATGGCAGCACGATGGGGGCAGCGGCGCGCCCTTTCCAGAGTTATAAATGGGCTCCAGCGGCTGCTCATGTGGGCAACGCTGTACCCTTACAATATGCAGCAGTACCAGCACTATGCAAACCTTCGAAAACTGGAGAACAAACACGCAATCGCTCAGCGTATCCGCGACGTGCTCGGATTAGACCCGCTGACTCGTAAGATGGTGCCCTGAAGATCAGCGCGCTGAAATGTTCTTGTATCCCGTGGTTATAGGTGAGTTCGACATTCACGCATTACACAGTACTCCTCGGCAGACACGGAACCCCGCTGACATTTTGGCCAAGTTCTTCCTATTCATATTTAATCTGTTCTCGGCTTTGCTGCACTACAACGTCTTGTATCTGTGATTTCTTGCAATAGAACACTGCCAGTGTACTTACTAGCTATAGCCTATGTGCTACTTTCCAAGTCCGAGTCGATGTTTGCTGTGTTGTATTCAAATCACCTATAGGCGCCACGTTATCGTTTACTGCCGGATTTATGCGCATCTTCTCAGTGCCTTACTTATCCCCGCGAGGCTGGCGGACCTGTTGGATTTTTGGTACCTGAATCAGCTAAGTACCGATGTTCACGCACTGGCACCACGTGCGAGTGCCACGCACACGGGCGTGTGCGCGCTAAGATCGGCGCACATTGCCGTGAAGAGCCGTCATCTACTCCGAGTCGGCTAGTCTTCCTACTATACTAACGCGATATACGATCCCTGCATCCATTGCAACGTTGACCACACACTACGGGGATGGTGGGATGGACCGGCTTGCGTTATGAGGCTGTGGACGCGAACAGTACGGGACAGCAAACCTCCGACAGCGGCCGCGAGGCGAAGGGGTCCGATTCTATAAAGCTGGACAAGCCAGCTTCAAGACGAACTCAGTTCGTAAGTGGAATGAGAAAATGATGAATATGAGTATTGATTACCACCGCTATAGCCCAGTTTGATCCATTTTCTCGATCTACCCATCCTTGGACTCGTCTACCTCGCACACGTTCGATACAGGCGGTACTCTCCTCGCCGGCTGCCCACTTTCACCTCGATGAAGCTCCCTGAGCTCTATGCCTATCAAGCCGTAGTACATACTGGTGTGGGCATCGGGCTCGAGCTAAAGAACGAGGTCCTGGACGACCCGGATCTCCAACTACTTGAACAGGTGGCGCGCAATCTGAGAAATAATGTCTTTCACGACAAGTCCATCATGGAACAAGTAGACCGCGCCCTCGATAAAGGCGCGAGGGAGCCCATCAGCAAGCTACGTAACGGTAAGCTCCCGCCTTTGTTTCTTGATCAGATATATGCTCATTGCGAGTGAACCCGCGTATATAGCTACGTACGATCATGCTGCGGGTTCAATGGGCAAGAGAATAGCCTGGTGGCACAATCACATATGGTCGCGCGAAGAAACGTGGTACCGGGCATCGGTCATCTGGCTCGACATGTACGGCGAGCAAGACATCTCTTTGAACGATTACGACCGCTGTGTCACGCACCTCGCAAACACTTTCGAGATTGAAGACGACGACTTTGGCTATCAGGTATCTCACTGGACTAGCTTTAGACCTCACGGTAACAATCATCTCTGATGCTTGCAACCAGGACTATGTTCTCTGGACTTGGATCCCATTTCTGGTCTCCATGCCCTTCGCAATGGCGGCACGTTGGACGCAACGGCGGGGGCTCTTCCGACCCATCAATGGGATGCAGCGGCTGTTGATGTGGTCAACGCTGTACCCTGCCACCATGCAGACGTATCAGCACTACTCGAACCTTCGAGGATTGGAGGCCAAACGCGCTATTGCCAAGCGAATCCGCGAGAAGCTTGGGATCGACCCTTTGATCAGCAAGATGATTACTTGAGACCCAGCGCATTCACCGGTAAGCTCGACGTTCATGCGGAGCACGGTAGTCCGCGGTAATTGAAGAAACCCACTAATAGTTAGTAAGGTCTTCCCGTTCGAACTCGATCTGCTCTCGGTGATGCTACAACGCCGCAACCCTTGATATCAGCGTCTTTCAATATTCCTGATCATATACCCCCCTCCTCTCGGTCACCCTGTACTAGCTATGTGCTGCTTTCCGAGTCGATGCTTTTTGTGCCACTGTATCCATATTACCCCCCACTCTATACCATATGTCTCCCGCAGCCATCTCGCATTTTTGGCGCGAACCTGCTTACGCCCGGTTATATATAGTGATCTTGCTTGCAGGGAACCCCGGACCGATAGTCCAGGACCGCTGCACGGTCCGGGTCGCTAAACATCATGCATCGCGACGCATGTTCCCATGATCACGAGCCGCGCGCTGTGATGCTGACACTGACAGCCAAGGCCACATCAGCGGCTGTAACGTGCCGGACGACTGCCATCTTACGTTCGCATATTCCTGTAGGTCCATCCGCGGTCAACGCACCGCAAGTTCATAGCGCGGATATGGCGGAAGATCAAGCTCGACGAGCTCGTGGTCCTGAGACCCCATATATGCCAACCGACAACATCCTGGATTCGCCGGCGTCGGTCGACAACTCTACATTGGACCTTAGCGCAAGCCGCGCAGACTCGTCGCCCTCGCCGCAGGCCCGCGTCAATCTCTCCAGCCCTGCACCTGCTCCAGACGTGAGTGATGAGGGGCCTCGTCACCGTGCAGCTTTTGAGCCGGATCTAATACACCATGCATTTCTTCTTTGTCCGGGTCGATAGTGGACACGATACTGGCCAATCCCGATCTTCGGAGCCGCGTACCTGCTGCACACAAGCCTCCGCCGCTATAGTCCCCGGAGACTGCCCCCGCTCACGTCTCTAAAACCGCCAGAGATATACGTGTCCACCACGGCTTACATGCTCTGGCTGAGCGAATACGTACACATCGCTCAAGAGGCCAACCGCGATCGAGATATGTACACGATCCTCGCTGCCACACACATACTCCGATTGGAGTTGGAACCCAGGATGGAGAAGTGGAGAGGTATGGATGAGTGGAAGAAGACCGAGACGCATGATGGTACCGCATTTTCTTTCTCTTTCTTCCTGCCCCCATGACATACTCACAGTATGTGCCTGCACGATATAAGCTGCAGGCATTTCTCCTCCTCAAGGGGGTCTGCTTGCCAAACTTGCGTGGCGGTACAACTTCATCGCCGAATCTGACCCCGTTGCGGTCAACGCGGCAATCCAAGTCATCACGCACCTGGTAATCGAGCATCTGGGAGATGAGGGGCTCAGGCGCTTTCCGCCGGAAGATGGAAAAACCCTGATGATACTCCTGGCAAATAGCATCGTTGCAGCCGAAAAGGAGGCCGCCGAGAATTTCAAAGTAGGCATACAGGGTGCTCGACATCCTGAAGAAACGGTCGAACCGCTGACACTTCTCCGCCACCAGGTCAGGCAGACAAGATGCCTCATCGGTCTCGGCCTCGTCACACCCCTCGCGATGTGGGCGCGGTGGACCCGCCGGCGGTACCTTGTTCATCCACTGAACATGGCGCAGCGTCTTCTGGTCTATGGCGGCATCTTCCCTGACATCATAGCCATCCATCGACGCGTACACTACGCATCGACTATACGAGACAAGCATAGGGTCGCGGAGCTGTGCAGGGAGATAATACCGAAGTTGAGTGAGACGGTGGACGGGCTGATGCAATCAGGAGTCGAGATAATAAGTATATGAAGCGACTCATATGTTTGGACCCTCGGAGGTAGAAATTCCCGTGCCTGCTTCTCTACCGTTTGCAGCAAATCTGACTTGCATTTCCAGGATCACATACCCTCGCACGTACGGACGTGCCGCAACAACACACAGTACGGAACCCTGTCGTAAATGTTATGATAGTCTCGACACGCTCGTAGACCTACTAGTACTCTTCACGAAGTCCCCCGCTCATAAACATTTGTATCACCTCGTCTCCGCTATCGTCGCTGTGCAGTCTCTCATAGTTAGTAAATACCCACCTTCCCACCGCTCTATCAATTTGCTTCACAAAGAATTCTGACGATGCCGTACTCAGGTATCGCGCAAGTGTTTACGACACCCGTTGCATTTGAACCCGCCTTACGAAACAATAGTTCTTCGAGCCCAGCAGTACGTCTGAGCCGCCCCCGTCTTATCGGGTACTACACCCCGCCTCGCCCGTGTAGCGACTGTTATACTACATGAGTGCAGCTAGCTCCTCGAACGAGTCGACCACCACATCGACTTCGCCACCCTCCTCCTTACTCTTAACCAAGTCTCTGACATTTATGTCTTCCGTCACCCTGCGCACGTACACCGTCTTCATTCCATGGCTCGCCGCCGCGCGGAGATCGAAGATGTGGGCCGCGACCATGGCGCACTTCTCGGGCGGCACCGAGAGGTGGTGGATCGCGCCGAGGTACACCTTGGGGTTCCTAGTAGCGTCATAAGCAAGAATGGCTTCCGACTTGGCAAATGTAGTCACGCACGGTTTGTACGACCCGAGAAGCTCTCCGGAGAACACAACGTCCCAGGGGAGGTCAGCGTGCTTGGCCTGATCGAGAATACGGCGTGTGTCAACTCGGTCCAGCGAGGTGTGATGGCGGAGGTGTGTGCCTTACCATGTTGACGAGCAGTCGCACATTTCCGTTCGATAGTGTTCCGATGACTGCTTTCCTCTTCATAGCGTAGAGACCCTTGCTGCTGTCTGCCCACCCTACATGGTGAAGAAATTCATCAGTATATGACACAATCGTGACGGTAGTTCCGAGAGACGCAAACCGTCTAGCTTATGCCAGAAGCGAACCATCGCCTGTCTTTCCGCGTCGCCCCAACGAGCAGAAAGGTGCTCCCATCGTGGGGAAGCCAGCATTCCGTCGAGTATCTGCGTACAGGGGTTGGTGTAAGTCAGAGCGAAGCGACGAGAAAGTGAAGTGGAGTATCTCGTACTTCTCTATGCATAATGTCTACGATGATTGAGCCCTCTCCACCACCAGCCACCCTTGCGCTGGAATGGGAGTGTTAATTCTTGGTGAAATTCCTACTACTACGCGACAGTCCGGGATGCAGAGTCTGCGGACTAGACTGACGTGTATTCCTTGTACCCGTTCCGCCATTCCTGCGCAAAGCTGCCCCAGTCTGAAGGGAGAGTCAGCCATGTCAATACAATGCAGGATAAATTGATGCGCATCATGATTGCCCAGCTATCAGTGCGAGTCATATTCGGTCTGCTCCGTACTGACCTTCGTCTTCAGATCCTGCGAAGTCGGCCAGCGCTCTAGTAACACTGCCACGCCAGTCTACGACTGTGCCAAATACATCGAAGACATATGCCTCAACTCCTAGCAGCGGGTTGGCCATGGCTGAAGCTCGAGGGTTGAGTACTTGCGTCGTGAAACTGGTGGGATGAACCAAAGTCCCCACCGGAGGAGGCGGGAGCCCGCGATTGCTCAGCGGGTTGTGTTGCGTCATATTTGTCGCGTTTCACATGATGCTGCATATAGCTACGCGCGTGCAGCGAAAACAGTGTTCAGTACAAGTCTATGTGTCCCAAGTGTACAACAGAAAACAGATCAGGGAGCAGCGACCGTCGCGACGGTCTTTTCACCCTTCCCTGACGCACCGACCTCCACCGCGCTGACCTCGAGTGCGCCGTCCTCGCCGACTTTGACCGTCACCTCTAACCTCGTCGTCCAGCGGCCGCCCTTCTGCTTCGCTTGCGTCGCGACGAACGAGATCGAAGTGAGAACGTTCTCCTTTTCGACCGTCTTCTCCTTGACCTCCTCCTCTTCGTCCTCCTCTTCCTCGTCTTCAGCTCCGCCCTCGTCCTCGAGCTTGGGCAGCTTGACCTTCTCGATCTTGATGCCCTCCTTCGCCTCCCACACCTCGAAGCCGAGCTTCTTCTCGCCCTCACCCTCTCCGAGGTCGACATCGAACGCGACGATGCGGCGCGCAGGGACGGGCGTCTCCTTCAGGAGGACCGGGACCCACTGGCCGCCGAGCGAGCTCTCGCCCGCACTCTCCTCGGGGAAGAGGAGGCCGATCGTCTTCGACGTCGCCTTCGCCTGCGTGTACTGGTGTCCGTGGGTGAACGACGCCTTGACCTCGCGCTCCTCGTCCGTGCTCTCCGCGAGTTGGATGAGGATCTTCGCCTGCAGTGCGGCGCCACGCGAGAGGATCGTAGTCGGGTCACCAACACCGCCACCGACGACAGTACCCTGCGTGAACGGGGTGACGACCGTCTCGGAAAAGCCCTGTGAGAGCGCCTCGTCCAGCCCGGGGAGGCTCGCAGACCCGCCGGCGTACACGATCTCGTCGACGTCATACAGGTCGAAGCCGGCAGCCGCGACGAGCTCCTTGACCTTTGCGTATACGGTGTCGTAGATCGTGCGCACCTCCATGTCGAAGCGCAGACGCGTGATCGTGCCGGTGAAGTCGAGGCCGTCCTTGAGCGACTCAACGGAGCAAGTGGCCGCGCCGGGCGACGCGGAGATGGTGCGCTTGGTGTGCTCGAGCGCGAGGCGGAGCTTCGCCTCGGCGCGGCGGTCCTGCGCATCCGTCGCGGGAGCCACCGTCAACGGCGCCTTCGTCTTCTTCGTGAACTCCTTTGCGAAGAACTTGACGAGCCTGTCGTCGATCGCGTCACCGCCGACAGTGTGGTCCGTAAGAGACGCAAGCGAGTGCACGAGACCGTCGCGGATGGAGAGCAGCGACAGCGACAGGGCGGATGCGCCGAGGTCGACCAAGAGCTGCGTGCGGTCGGCGGCAAGGCCTTCTGGCAACGCAGTGGACGTCGTGCTGACGGCGGCAGCACCGGCCTCCTCCAGGAGCTGAAGCACGGTGATACCAGCGTCATTCGCGGCCTTCTCGAGCGCGTCTTTCTGCGCCTGCTCGAACCAGGTGGGGATGGTGATAACAGCACCCTGAACCTTCTTTCCGAGGTATGCTTCTGCGGACTGGATCAGAGACTTGAGGAAAATCGACGTGACCTCGGACACGGTAAGGATGCGCTCGACAGAGACGGGCTCCGAACGGGGGGTTGCGGCGTGCGAGGCGGCAGGGGTGTTCGTTGCATTGGTAGGAAGGGGAGAGGGAGCGGGTTGGAGAACCTTGACCTTGTAGGCAGGCTCATCGGCGATCTCTGGGTGCTGGATGACCGGCGCGGAGACGGGGGCAGCAGTAGCAGAGATCTCGGAGAACCTGTATTAGTTGTTAACGGGTATATAGATGTAAAGAGTTGAATTTGTGTACTTCTTGCCAAGGAGGTTGCGGAAGCTCGTGATGGTGTTTTGGGAGTTCTTTACAAGCTGGTGCTTGGCTTGGTTGCCGATGTACTTGCGACCCGCCTCAGCACGATACGCCGCGAGCCGATAGAATACAAACTCACCAGCTCCTCGCCATGGAACGCGATGGCACACGCAATCTGGCGCTCACCGTCCTCGTTAGCGATGCATTCTGCCCCTCCTTCCTGCACTCCACTTGTCAATTTCAGAGCTCAAAACAGTATCGCTGAGGTGTCGCGAACCTTCGCAAGGACGGATATCGAGGCGTACGAATTGCCAAAGTTGATACCGACGACCGTCGGCAGTGCCGGGACCTCAATAGGAGCTTCCGCCGTTCCGTTGGGCTGAGCTGCCATGATTTTGGGTAGAAAGATGGTGGGGAGAGGGAAAGAGTATGAACTGCTACTGGCAGACTGCCGCCTGCACGCCAACTTTGCCAAATTTTGGCCGCGCGATTAGATAGGCGCTCGTCACGATCAAGACGCGTGCATTATGGGCGCTTACGCGTCTAGCCTCTTCCCCGTACCACAACCATCCTCGTTTACCGCAGAGACACTCGCAGAGACAACGCTTGATCGGAAATAGTGCGAATACTGGAGAAGTGAAAGAGAATTTGTAGCTGAAGGTATGATCGTCGATATCGAGTGGCACATCGTGATGGGGGCATGGAGGGCAAGGACTTACGGGAACTCGGGTTAAATTCAGTTCACGAAGATGTCTTGCGGCCACATCGCGGAAATCGCTCGTCTACAGCCTCCCAGACTTTCTCAATCTGTGCATCGGGAGGAGTGCACTCAATGTTTCGAAAATCAAGTAGGAAAACACGTGGGCCGTAGGCACATCCACGGTCTAACTGTGTTTGTAGGACAGCCCTCTGGGAGTGGACGTCTGTTTGACATGCTTTAATGGAGCATGCCTCGACAAGGAGAGGCACCATGCGCGTTCTCATGCAGCCAAGACGGGGCATTCGTTCACATTGAATGTCAAACGCAAGCTGAAGCCTTCGGCGAATCGCGTGAGTGGCTTTACGCATAGATGTATCAGTGCTAGTCTGAATCTGGGGTGTTCAGACGGACGAAGATGAGCCGCCTGCGAAGATGAAGAAGCTGGCGATCGTCGAAGACCGCGAAGAAGAAAAGTACGAATTCAAGACGGTGCTCAAATGCTGGAAGTGCGATTCGCAGAACGGACTTGAGGTCCCGGACGCGTCTCACGACCCGCATGTCAAGTCTCTCATTGATGGGGTCATGACCTCTTTGTCTTCTGCTCGCCAATCGGAGGTGAAGGCATGGGAAGAGGAGATCACCGCGTGCGAGCATACACTTATGCTCCAGCAACATGCGACTGGGCACATTGCAGCATCTGGTACGTCCAACGCTTAGTCTGCGCAAGTCGCCTGAAGGCTAAGACATATGCCAGGACTTGCACACTGTCAGAAATGTGACCTGAAGGAGAACCTTTGGCTGTGTCTTACCTGCGGTTCGCTCGGTTGTGGTCGTCAACAATTCGGCGGCATCGGAGGAAACGGGCACGGTCTGCAGCATTACGAAGAGACCCGCCACCCGGTCAGCGTCAAGCTCGGAACGATTACGCCCGAAGGCGGCGCCGGTACGTTCGTCGTCGATTGCGTTGCATTTGTTGCTCAGCATTGTTAGATATCTACTGTTACATCTGCAACGACTCCAAGGTCGACCCTGACCTGTCCAGGCATCTTGCTACGTTTGGCATCAATGTTCAGACACAAACCAAGACGGAGAAGTCCATGACGGAGCTAGTACGTTATACAGTTGTCGCGCTTGCGAAATAGCATTAACATCCTCCCTCAGCAAATTGAGCAAAATTTGAAGTTCGACTTCTCACTCACGGGGGAAGACGGCAAGGCCCTTGAACCAGTCTTTGGCCCTGGTTTGACCGGCCTGTCGAACCTCGGTAATAGGTGTGTAAAATTTTAACGGCTTGGCGTATGCTTGCTAACTCGTGGTAGCTGTTACATGGCGTCCGTAGTGCAGACCGTGTTCTCGCTACCCGCCTTCCGCCAGCGCTACCAGCCGACCTCGGCCTCTCACTGGGAATCATGTCACGAGACTCTTCCTGCGGACTGCATTGACTGCCAGATGCATAAACTCGCAGACGGCCTCCTCTCGGGGCGCTACTCTCACCCGCGACCGCACGGGTCAGGATCTGCTTCGGCGCCCAAGGAGACCAACCCTCTCGCGCACGATTCGCCCACACCCGTGTTCCAGGAAGGCGTCCGCCCGACAGGCTTCAAGGCGCTCGTTGGGAAGGGCCACGAGGAGTTCGCGACGATGCGGCAGCAGGACGCAGAGGAATTCTTCACGCATCTTGTCACCGTCCTCCGGCGGCATGCGAAAAAGGTCGGGCTGGACGAGAAGAAGGAGCCGACGGAGGTGTTCGCGTTTGGGATGGAGCAGCGACTCGAGTGCGGGGACTGCAAGCGTGTGCGGTACCGCGTCGACGCGACGGACACCGTGAGTGTTCCGGTCCCGGCGAAGGAGAAGGGCAAGGATGCGGATGGGAAGACGCTGTATGAGGATGTGCAGCTGAAGGAGTGTCTGGACATTGTGACCGGGACGGAGGCGCTCGAGTACCAGTGCCCGGGATGTCAAAAGAAGGTTATCGCGACCAAGTGAGTGTTCGCTTTCATGGTGAGCTACAGCTACTGATACCCTACTGTAGGCGGACGCGCTTCGCGACGTTCCCGGAAGTGCTTGTGGTTCACGCGAAGAAGTTCCAGCTCGTGAACTGGGTGCCGGCTAAGCTCGGTGAGTAAATGTCAAGTTGCGTCCGCACGCTACTAATAGACATACTATAGATATCCCGGTGATCCTGCCCGACTCTGATGAGCTGCAGCTGGACGAGTACCTCGGCCGTGGTCTCCAGCCTGGCGAGACCGAGCTGCCCAACGACGAAGCTGGTGCGTCTGAATCTTCTGTGAAACATACGGGTCTTGATATATGACTGCAGTACCCGGGTTGCCGCAGTTCAACGAGGCCGCGATGGCCCAGCTCGAGGCGATGGGCTTCCCGGCGATTCGCTGTCAAAAGGCGCTGCTTGCGACGGGGAACAACGACGCGGAGGCTGCCATGGAGTGGCTCTTTGGGCACATGGAGGATCCGGGTGCGTATGCTTTGGATTATCTCGGAGGCTCGTGCGCGGATCATGAGCGGGGTCCGCGTCACCCGCTCAATCACGCGCCGTGCATCGTGGATGGTTCAATCTCGCGATGCGTAGTGGGATCCCGAAGTGCTTGCTGAACAAATGCTCTCCGGTAGACATCGACGCGCCTATTGAACTCCCTTCTGCCGGTGGCGGTGGCGGAGGCTCCGAGCCTTCCTCGGAGCAGGTCAGCATGCTCGCTGATATGGGCTTCACGCCTGCGCAGGCCCGCAAGGCCCTCCGAGAGACGGTAAGCCTTGGCGCACTCGTCTGCTGCTCGTTATCTCACGCAACTGGCTCCGCAGGGCGGCAACGCTGAGCGGGCGGTCGAATGGCTCTTCTCCCATCCCGATGACACCGGAGAGGACGCGCCTACCGGGTCCGCGGCCGCAGGGCAGTCGCAGCAGGCACAGGGCGGACCGGGCGGGTCGTCGGGGTTGCCGGCGCGGTACCGGTTGAAGGCGTTCATCTCGCACAAAGGACCGTCGGTGCACTCCGGGCACTACGTCGCGCACATCCGGACGGAGGAGGGGTGGGTGCTGTTCAACGACGAGAAGGTGGTGAGGGCGGACGCGGAGAGCGTTCGCGAGCTGAAGAAGCTTGCGTACCTGTACGTCTTCGAGCGGGTGTGAGATCCGTGGCTCCGGTGGGGTGGGGAAACACGCGGTCCGGCAGGTAGTAGGATTGGCGAAGAAAGAAAGAAATTCCGGACATTTGTACACGAATATCTTGCACCAACTGACACGATTCTGACATGATTCGGGCTACGTGAATGCGATCGATATGTGGTCGAAAGGGCTGGGGTATCAGGAAAGGGCGAATCCGCTGGGTCGAGGCAGGCCGCATGCCCGTCGCGGGTAGACGCGCGATATACACGGTACGAGAATTGGAACTCCGCCGCAGGGAGCTTTTTCCAAGATTTGTGGGTCCTACACGCTTGCCTCCGCCCGCGATCTTTGTGCCATCCTCCGCTTTTCTGCACGTCGACGCCCGCTACGATGTCTTCGACGATCCCTATCAACCACTTCGACCCGACGGCGCCGACGCCCCAAAACACGCCCCTCTCACATGCTCCCATCGCCGCCGGTCTCTCGCGCCCCACAGTGCCCGATATTACTGAGGACAATGAGGAGGAGGATGACGCTGGCGCAATCCAGCAGGCGATGCTCGGCCTTGTGCACGGCAAGCTCTCTGGGCTCGTAGGGAAGAGCTCCGGTTACATCGAGAACCTCCCCGTTGAGGTCAAGAAGAACGTCGAGGCGCTCAAAGGGGTGCAGGTGAAGCAGATCGAGCTGCAGAACCAGTACAAGCGCGAGTGTCTCGAGCTTGAGAAGAAGGTGTGTATTTCATCCTGTGGGCGTGGTGGATTTTGTGTGTCTTTCTTCGAGGTGGTTCTTTCCGGCGTGCCATTTGCATGGGATATATACATATCGCCTCCCGCGAGTGTGTTGATCGCCCTGCTTCTGTGCATCGGACTCCAACTACACGCCGCAAATCAGGGTCCGGCCATCTATACAGACTAGCCCTGTGCGATCTCAACACTTGGTGGGTCGATGTGCGGGGGAGGCGCATAAGGCTTCCAGGATCCGCTCGTTCGTTGCCCCATCGAGCGGCTCGAAGCCCCTTATGAATACTACTGCGAGGCGTCCTGTCACCCTTATCGTTTTGAGGAAGACAGGAGGCGTCAATCGCACCTAGATCCGTGCTCGCCATCGCGGGCACTTGCGCCTTCATCGGTAACAAAAGACAGATCCCGCAGCGCCACATTTTTGGTCCCTCAGTCGCACATTCGTGAAAGAATTGCATTCGCAGTTTTTCTTTTTACTACGGATTGTTGTGCGTTTAGTTTTAACGGCACTAAAACTCATTTCTTCCAGTATCTCGAGCTCCAAAAGCCGTTGTATGAGCGCCGTCAGGCAATCATCACTGGTGCGGCACAACCTACCCCCGAGGAGATCGAGGCGGGTGAGGCGCAGTCGACCAAAGACGACCCTGAGTACACCCCTCTGCCCAAGGATGTCGCTCCGGCAAGCACCGGTATCCCCGAGTTCTGGCTTACGGCGCTCCGGACGCACGTCGCGTTTTCGGATATTATTACCGACCGCGACGCGGACGCGCTCAAGAGCCTGTCGGACATCCAGATCGAGTACCTCCCCACGACGGAGAAGAAGCCGGGCTTCAAGCTACGCTTCTTCTTCGGCCCGAACGACTTCTTCGAGAACGACGTGCTCGAGAAGACGTATCTGTACCAGGAGGAGGTCGGCTACTCAGGCGACTTCATGTACGACCACGCGATCGGAACGGAGATCAAGTGGAAGGAGGACAAGGACCTGACGAAGGAGTTTGAGGTCAAGAAGCAGCGCAACAAGAGTGAGTTTAGCATCGGATGCTCACATGTTGCCATAGTGCAGAGTGTTGATCTATCGTCTTGCAGACACGAACCGCACGCGTCTGGTCCGGAAAGCGCGCCCGACCGCGTCGTTCTTCAACTTCTTCAGTCCTCCCCTGCCCCCCTCAGACGAGGCCATCGAGAGCGGTGACCTTGAGGAGGAGGAGCTTGAGGAGCTCGAGGAGAAGCTTGAGATGGACTACCAGCTCGGCGAGGATCTCAAGGAGAAGGTGCGTCGGGACTCTTCCCTGCCATAACTCCACCTTGCTCACAGTCTGTTCAAAGGTCATCCCTCGCGCGATTGACTACTTCACCGGCAAGGCGCTTGAGTACGAGGACTTCGATGACGAGGATGACTTCGAAGACCTTGACGACGATGAGGATGATGAGGATGATTTCGAGGATGATGTATGTTTGTATCCTGTCCCTTTCTTCCGTGGCCTTGCGCTGATCTCCACGCCGCAGGATTCCGACTCTGACGCTGAGCCTCCCGCAAGGAGACGCGGCCCGCCGAAGGGCCGCGGCGCGGGTGCGGCTGCGGGCTCTAACCCCGAGGAATGCAAGCAGCAGTGATCGCGTCTGATCCTTGCCACGCCATGCTCTCCAACTCACCGGTCGCTCGCCTGAAGCACGATCCCTCCACCATCTTGCCCCTCGCACTCTTCTCGAATCTCAATCGCATCCCTCATTATGGTCATGTTCCGCGTCTCGCCCCCAACCCCTTTCCGCCCGTCTCTGCCGGCACGTAAAGCAAAGTTGTAATCACTCTCCCTTTTTTCACACCTGTATTACCCGTCGAACTTGGTTGTGTGCGATGCTGTTGTTACTACTTCCAGAACCACGCCCGTTTACGTTGACTCCGCCCGGGCCTCCCCCTCGAATGAACCAAATTGCTCTTCCCCCGTAATACGCGATCGTCGCATAACATTCCCCGGACAAATAAACGTTGGTACTGCCCCGCCAGTACCCGTTAGCAGTACGTTATTCGCATGAACAAACTTGAACCGAAAACTGGTACACGGCCGGTACCGTAGCAGTACTGCGAAAGGATCTGCGCTGTGCAAAATTCGCGTCGCGTGTTTTGACGGCTCTCGAAAAGGGAAATTTCCTGCGAAAAGCACGGCAAAGCGCGACAGACGCCCGGGCCATGCGTCGCGTCGAATCGCGGTCCGCGCGCAACAGCAGTTTCGAGCAGCCACCTCTGCGCATTCCCCTCTCCGTCCCCCTCACCCATCCCCGCGAAACTCCCCATTGCGCTCGCCACTCACCACATCGATGAAGCTATGTCTGGCATAGTCTACTCAGAGCTCGCGAATTGGGACGGCGGCTACTCCGTCTCGGGTTCCCAGGCTGGCAACACGCGCGAGCCCACTGGCAGTGCCGTCTCCGACTCAGGGTCGCCTGCCCCCGCCTCGGATCTGACGTCGGCTCTGGAGACTGCCTTTGCTGGTCACGACGTCTCTGGCGCGAGCGAGCTTGCTCCTGTGGTTTCTGGGTCGTCCTCTGCTGCAACTATCTATCCGGCGCATCCCCATAGCGGGCACGGGGCCACAGAGAGGATGTCACCGCAAGACGCCCGGAGGAGCGGAGGCTTTGCAGCACAGAACGGGAGGCTAGACGCTGCGAAGAAGGTGAGTGCACGGAAGAAGGAATGCGAAAGCTGGAGATGGGAAATTGACTGCTATCATCGCGTCCTGCGTGGGTACTTTTCTGCCAGACCCATCACGTCCCCGCGCCGACACGCCAAACTCCAATTTTCACCCCCGAGCACGAGGCTGCAAGACAACCTCGCGTTTCTCTTGAGGGACAGCGCGGCTCGTCGACGCGCCAAGTATCCGCACACCATTCTACCCATCCCGCAGCACGGGGCCCCGCACAGCCTATGCGACACCATGTATCATCTTCAAGCCACACGCAGTGGTACGCGCCCAGCGCGAAGCATGCAAGCGGATCATCTGCGAAACAGCCTGCTGCCCATACACACTCTTCTGCTCCTCGATCAGCGCAGGAGTCATTTACGGTGCGTGATCTCGTTTGACCATATTGACTCCTTCAGATGCCAATGCGTAGTTCCCTACCTCACAGCCTGTAAATCCACCCACGACACTACACTCATTGCTGGTTGCGTACGGCGCAGGCCCAACGCCACGCGAAACCCCTGCAATCTCTCCCCCCGCGGACGGGTCCCGCGACCCGGTAATAGAGGACGACGTCAGTTCGCTACTCGATGCGGATGGCGAGACCGATCACGAAAGTGCGGCCGAGGTCTTTACTGTCCATGTGCCCAAAGAGCCACGTTTATCCGGTTCCACCGCGGGGAACGACGCGACTGTAAGGAACCCGCTCATTAGCCTAATTCCGAGTCTGTTAGCTGACGGCACACGATAGCACTCCGACGCAAGGGCTTCGACCGAGTCTACGGCGATGGTTGACAGCCGTGCCGCAAGTTGGGAACACCCAATGAAATCCACTGCCGGGTCATACTCAGCTGAATTCCTGGAAGCCTCCCAACATTACTATGTCTCTCGCTCGGTACTCGATATTGCCCACCACGAAAACCCATGTATTGACAGTAACCTGCAGCCTTCGGTACAGATCATTGAAGCTCCGCCTAGTAGTCAACACAGCGCTGCGGTAGCTCCTAGTGCACCTACAGTACCTCAGAGTGTAACCAGCCACCACCAAATAGCATCGACGAACAGGGGCCAGAGCGTAAGCTTTTAAATATGTTGCATGTAATGCGAAGCTAATGGAGAAGTAGTCGATCAGCCGCAGGAGCCCCTCCGTGATCTCCCTGAGTTCCCTCACCACGCCTACATCATCGCCTGTTTCATCATCGCCTATTTCTGTGCGCACTCCGCCTGCGAAAAGAAGGAGGCTCGATTTCTGTTACGTCGAAGTGCCCCGATTGCCCTCATCTAGGCGCCACTCAATATACAAGCTCGCCCGCGACATACCGATTTTGCATCGCGCGGCTCCAGAGGAAGACTATGCTACACAGCTCCAGCGAGCCCTGAATCAGGCTTCTGCGACCAATGCGGCCTTGATGAATTACTCTCCCTCTGCGAGCCGCGTCGAACGTCGTGCTCTGCGCAACAGGTCAACTGTGTCGGTGTCCCCCACGAAGAGTGCTCCGCCCAAGCCCAAAACTCTGGCTAGCTCGTCACCAACAGTGCCCAAGAAACGCGGTCGTCCACTGGGATCGAAGAACACGCCGAACACCAAGCTAAAGCTGAAGCCTACGCCGAAGGTCGAGCAAAGCGAAGCACAGAAGGAGGAGGAGGAGGAAGAGGAGGAAGAGGAGGAAGAGGAAGACGAGCACCGCCCAGCAGACGTCATGGAGCCGCATTTCCCTTCCATAGGCGTCGACATCGGAGGGCTGCCTACACCGTCGGAGGCTCTGCTCTTCGTGACATTCCGGGGATTATTCCTGGCTCAGCGCGATCGGGACGCCCGTTTGGCCACCCCTCCTACCTCTCTCAAGAAAGTCGTCGCCCCGATCACAGAGAGCGCCCCTCGTCCGCCGATACCAAGACGTTCACTGTTCCGGCGGACTTCGTCTGTTCCCACTTCGCAACCATCTGACCCAACCGTTTCTTCTTCTCGTGTATCTCCACCCATGTCTTCTCCCTCTGTACAACCTCGTCCCCGCACCCGATCACCATCTATCGCCGCGCCACAAGTCCAGTCTCTCGAACAGGAGCCGGTGCATCCATCTGCACCCACATCTCCCTCCTTGCCGCATCCACCCGCATCGGTCGTCGCATCTAGTCGCAGTGGAGATGGCAATGGTCTAGACATGTTGGCAGACTACACCTCCTCTCCACCACCGGACGCATTCTCTGCTTCCAGCCTACCAAGCGATGACCCGAGCGCCCACGCCCCTGTACGCCCGCCAAATTCTTCGAGCCTTAGCCCGGAGACCCAGCATCGCACCTCGCAGACAGGTATCATGCACTTCCATCACGCGTCACAGTACTCCGTCGCCGGTCCGTCAGGTGTCGCCGACATGTTCGCGGCGGACAAGGCGCTCCGCGACGCGCACAACGGGTACGGCGACATGCCATCGGCCGATGGCGAGTCCTACTTCGCCGCTATGGACCTCGATATTCACTACGAGAGCGGCGGAGCGGGCCATCCGTGGCAGCCCGACGCGGAGCCACACGTCACACACGCGAACGGCACTATCGACCCGTCGTTACTCGGAGGCATCCTCGGTCCGCCACCGCATCCGCAGCCACTCTCGCCTTCACCACCTCCGGAAGCACCAGTCGCTGGACCTTCCAACACCCATTCGGTAGAACGCGCGTCACCTGCAACATCGTCGCAGTCACGGTCGAGGTCAGGCACGCCAAAGCTCACGCGTACGGGGTCGACGTCATCGGCCGAGTTCGACTCTGACGCGCGACAGCCGCTCTCGCTCAAGCGGAAGCGGTCGCAGCCACAGCTGCCGATCCGGCTTCCGTGCGAGGAGGAGCGCGACGAAGGGAAGCGGCCACGCCGGCTCACGCAGCGCGCGCTGGCGTCGTACTACGAATCGGCGTCGGATGGTACGCCGGACATCGAGCCTGTGCAGAAAGCCCAGGGCCCCGGTAAGGGTAAGGGCAAAGGCAAGGGCAAAGCAAAAGCCGCGGGGAAGGGAAAGGGCAAGGAGAAGGCAAAGGAGACAAGCGTACCCCCTGGCGAGGAGCCCTCCTTCAGAGACCTCGCGGAGGCGCCGACCTTCTGCCACCAGTGCCGCCGGAAGACGATGCGCGAGAAGATGCGCTGCACCGTGATCAGAAGCTCCGGCGACCCGTGCGGCCTCCGCTTCTGCGACCACTGCGTCGAGATCAGGTGCGTTACGCCTTCCATCTGCTGCGAAACCAGCCCGCATACTGACGGCCTGCCGCACACAGGTATCCCGAGATCGAGTTCAACCCGTACGCCGTGCGCTTCAACTGTCCGCGCTGCCAAGGCATCTGCAACTGCACCCATTGCTGCGCACGCCGCCAGGAGCCGTACATCTCCGCGCGCATCGGGAAGCTGCCTCCCTCCGGCTCCGCCGAGGCCCTCGCGCTCACCGCGGCGGCGGCGGCGGCTGCGACAGCGTCGCCGACTAAGCAGGGTGCGACCAGGGCGTCTACGGCAAAATCGAAGCTTGGGCTCGTGGGCGGCGAGTACTTTGGTGTCATCTACGGCCTTACGGGCGAACGCGTCGGCGCGGGCTTCGTTGGGTCGGACAACCAGGGAATCGTGTTTGGAGGCCGTCAGCAAATCAAGGCGGTGGCATATGTTGGAAAGCCTCGCAAGGGCGCTGCTTCCTCCGCTCGCCCCGCCCCACAGGTGGTCGGCGCTCCTCCCGGCGACAGCGCAGGCGTCTCACAGGCCAACGCTCAACCTCCACACCCATCTGGCGCATACCTTAGCGTCTCTACCAGCTCCGTTCCTCTCGGTGACCCCCCCGACCCGTCTGCATCTTTGACCGGAACTCAGCACATGCCTCCCGCCCCCGTCGGCAGCGTCCCGCCGGCGCCTCCCCGCAGGATGTTCGTAGGGAACCGTGCAGCCCTGGACAAAGGCATGTACGTCCCGATGGATGTGCTTATGTCGATGATGGACGCGGAGCAGGAGGAACAGCACGCGCAGGATCGCTCGCAAGAATGGGCCGCCCCGTCGTCGGACCCAGCGCAGGGAGACGGTCCGTCGAGCGACTCGCAGCACGCGCAGGGCGCGAACTCTGCGCCGCCCTCGCACGACGAGGTGCAGTGGGCGATCGCGCTGGCTTTGCACGCGCTCGAGGTCGATGCGGCGCAGAGCTGAGCTTGGTTTGCGTTCCGTTCTTGCGCGGGTAGTAGTATAGTGTACGGTGTTTTTGTTTGTGGGTATTATAGTCTATACATGGCCGGACGTTTGGCCTGTTTTGTCGATGTTGTACAGCTCTTTGGTAATATCTTGCTTATGCCGCATGTAATGTCTCCTTTGTAATGTACTTTCAGTCCGAAGCCCCCATGTTGAATGCATGGGCCTATATACGGTCTTCCACTTAACTATCTCCATGCCCTCAGAGGATAGATTTAAGTGGACACCGGCCCAGCACTAGCCTCACCAGCTGGGAACACTGGTGGGAGTGAATAAGTATGGGCGTTTACGCGGCTTGGCAGGACGAACGTACGGCAAGCGGCGGCTCTGCGGCGCAGTCTAAGATCTGGATCTCACTGCACTTATGCCACCTGCTTTTCGTCCACACCCCACTGCGCAGCATGATACTAGATGATACTACTGGAACCGACCACCATCATCTGCCCATAAACGCAGGTTGCACTCACGGCTTTAAACATGGATCGTGCCGAAGGCAGCGCAAGTGAGTTATCGGGAACTGTCGATTTGCGCCGACTCGCCAGTCCTGCCAGTGGTGCCGGAGCGTTGTCCAAAAATCCAGACAGCCCAACCTCGCAGAGAGCTCGTTTTGTGTGTATAGTTCCGCTATCTCATATATACTATGGGTCTCAACACACCTCTTAGCCCGACTGGACCAACTTCGCGGCCGTTCCCATCGTTGGGCTCTTCTACCTCGCTCACGTCCGATATCGGCGGTTTTCTCCTCGTCGGCTGCCTACTCTCACCTCGATGAGCGTGAAGGAAGTATACACCTATTTAGCGGCAACTGAAGTCGTCCAAGGAGTCAACATAGAGCTCCAAGTTGAAGCTATGCGCGATCCTGATATCTGCCTGATTGAAACGGTAGCGCGGGTGTTCCGGCAGCACTTCATCAAACCCCCGGTGGAGGATGCAGACCGTTTCCTTGAGGTTGGAGGCAGAGATGCGCTGAAGAAGATACGTGCCAGTAAGCCGCCACGTTAATGTCTACGTGCCTCGTGTCTAAGCTGCATTTTCGGGGTAGGGACCTACGAGAGTGCAACGGGAGTGTTGGGAAAGCTGGCCTGGTGGCACAACCACATTTGGTCGAGCGAAGAAACTTGGCTGAGGTCAGCGGCTTTCTGGGAAATCGAGTTCGGGGAGGTCTTCGACTTTGGCTCTATCGCCGACTGGGACCGTTGGCTCACCCACCTCGCAAATATCACGCAGTCCGAACCCGAAGGGGAAAATGCTCTGTTGTATCATTATGCGGTACGGACAGAGTCACTTTGGAAGGTTCGCACATACAGGGTGACACACGACTCATCGCAGTATACAGGACTATAGGGTGACGGCCCTGACACCCTTCGCGGTCTCGATCCCGCTCGCCATGGCAGCACGCTGGACAGGGCGGCGTTCTCTCTTCCGACCGATCAATGGAGTGCAGCGGCTGCTCCTGTGGGCGTCGATATATCCCAGCTTCATGAAGCACTATCAACACTACACGTACATTCGTGGATTTGAGAACAAACATCAATACGCACAAGACCTTCGCAAGGCTTTCAACGTAGACTCGGAAGGCAATACCCTAGCTTCATGAGGGCAGGTTGCAGATCAAAGGTGAGTTAAATTGCCCAAATGCACGGTCGTGTGGCCAACGAGTACGCAGGGTCGACGGTGTCCCCTCAGCGCCACTGCCATATTCCATGCCCCCAGCGCCACTCCATAACTCGAATCTACCCCTGCTCAGTCAGATTGTTCGGCCACCACTGCTCCGATACATTTCGTGTACTCCCTCATATACCACGCCACTACTCTGCATCATGTATCCGGAAAGAGGTGCCATCAGCACAGGCTACCATTCACCGCTGGATCTAAGCACCAGGGTGTCACAGCCTCACCTAGTATCGATCCTGAACAGTAACACATCTACACCAGCAGAGTAGTACGTCGATCTCCGATATATGGCAAGCCACAGTTCTATGCAACCGTGCATGAACCTCTCCAAATTGCGGTAGTTCACTGGTACGTTGTAGTACTGATTGTGTATACTATATGGAGAGTATACGTCACTTACTAACTTTCATGCAGCACCCCGGTTCTCCGCCTTGACGGTACGTGATGCTTGGACTACCGATCTCTACACTTGGTCTGTACGCTTACGGACAAGTCTAGGCATGATGTCCGCTTTGCCCTCTTCCAATGTCAAGCTGGCGAGCAAAGCGTCGGCTCCTAGAGGTATATAATCCATCGCAGACTCTCCTCTGACTACACAGTGCCCCCTCAACCCGCCTACCACCCCCGTTGTCACCACCTTCAGCAGTCGAGCACCACAATCATCCCTATCTCCACTTCGTCATGGCACCCAAGACGAGAAACTCCTACGGCTCGCAGGAACCCGGGGACGACATACAGCGCCTCACAATGCAGATCGAGGCCCTCGAAGCCGGCCCCGGATTCGTCGGGGGAGCTCGACCCGCAGCCATGAACAACGCACGCCCCAACAAGCGCAACTCCAACGCGCTGCCTACTGTCACACTGCCTCAGTTGGTCATCGCTGACCAGCCCCCCGCACCGCCCAGGCCCAAGGTTCGTACGCTCGAGGAGCAAATGCTCAGGGACCCAGACGCAGCCCTGCGGCTCTCTCAGCCTCGCGTACGTCTTCCCAAGCAGGAGGCCCCTCCTACGCCGGAGGTGACGCGGAAGCGCACAATCATCTCGCTTCCGCTTATTGCGCCGGCTCAGGGCGCGGGCAGGGCTCCGTCGAGCACTCGAGACAGCTTTCGCGTGCGGATCGTGCCAGCCGAACAAATGAGCACCATGTGGGACGACGATGTCGACGACGAGTGCGTATCCGACCAGCTTATGCAATGTTTATCGTGTCTGATTGGTTTGTGTTGGTTCTCTGTCGCAGAGGACTGTTCGCTTGGCAGGGCACACTCGTCGTGCGCAGCTCAGGGCCTGAGGCGTACACCTACGCGCGCGAGGCTGTCAAAGACTTCAAGATCCAGTTTCGAGGGCATGAGCAACCGCTTGCGCATGCCGCTCGATCCTCCTCTTTTGCAACGCAAGCCGGGAGCGGCGGATCATGGTGTGCACATTACAAAGGCCACCGTGAGCGCGCGCGCGACGGCCACTTGCCCTGCCTCGATGTCTCCCATGGCATCGTGGTCGAGAGACTTTTGGAGCCTGTGCCGTCGCAAGGAGCGGGTGGGAATACGCTCACTTGGTTCATACGGTTCTGGGTGCCTGTGCCGGTCGCTCTGATTGCGCGCGCGGAGCACAAGTCGTTCGTGTGCCAGGCGAGAGTGAAGATCCAGCATGGGGAGTCATCGTCTGAGGAGATGTGGGTGTCTGCGGAGGACGTCGTCGTTGGGATAGAGCGGCTGAAGCTGAAGCAATTGCCTGTCAAGCCTCGTGCGCTCAATGAATAATCTCATAGTACTGGTATGTCCCTCGATCTTTTTTCGGTTATAATCCCAAACGTTCACGCATCTGATATAATACTCATTCCCATTAGCTAATCCACGGCGACAAATGATCTTGTGCGCGAAATATCACCTCGGACCGTCTGTGACATGATACACCTACTCGCCTACACACACTACGATGCATATTCAAGTACTGCGTGTCCATTGTCCGTAACACATATCCTCAGCAGTTCTTCTCTGGTATTTCTCGACCTCGGTGTCTATACGTCGGCGAGTGCAGCCGTGTATATGGCCGGTCTCTTCCGAAACTCCGAGCGGAACTCTAACTTTGCGTCCAAGGACAACCGTATGCGTACATCGATCTACCACATCTGCGCCCTTGCTAGATCCCCCACACGCCGCCTCAAGGGCACCTCCCAGTGCTCTACTTAGTTTTGCCGCCCCGTCCTCAGGTCGGCTCTATTGGTCGCTGCAAGTGAACGGTACACCGTTAACGATAATTCATGCCCGTTTCAGTGACGATCACTCACTAAATTTATCGCAGTTATCCTTGTGGCATCTGCGGCGGGCCTCACCGCGATTTACCTCCCTCTCGACATCCAGTTCACCGCAAGTATCAGGGGCCACCGTACCTATGGAGAACTGCCCATTTCCGATTGAGCTATGCGAGGCCGTTATCGATGGCACGATACCGTGGCCGACCCACATACGCCGCTACTCGCCCCCTTTGGCTCAGCTGACGGTACAGCGCACGCTCTACGCTTGCGCATTGACTTGCCGCGCATGGCGGACTCGTGCGCAGCGTCTGCTCTGGAGCTACGTCTACCTCAAGAATGCCCCTACGGCCATTTCATTCGCATCCGCCAGCCGCATCGCCTCCGGCGAGTGCAGATCGCTCCTGTCCACACTCTGCATAGGCGATGAGCTCCGAGGGACGCTGATCGACGAAAAACATCTGGCAGTAATGGATTTGGCCAACGTGAACGAACTCTTCATGCTCCCTTTCCCCAACCTATTTACACTTCACTGTACCGCCGTGCGATTCAATCTGGGCCCCGGGGTTCTTCGTATGCGCCTGCCGTTCTTCTCTACGGGCAGCTTGAACACCCTAGTGTTGCGGCTATGCATCTTCGACTCCGCCAGGGCGTTCCTGGACCTCGTTTGGGCATTCCCCAATCTCTCCCATCTGCATGTGGTGTACGGCAAGCTTCGGAGAGAAATCCTTACACCTGCAGGAGCCGCACATCTGGCTTCCGTTGGCAATCAACTGCAAGCTGGGAGGAAGCTGACCTCCGTAAACTTCCATCACGTACGCAATCCAGACGCTAAGCTCCTTGGCAGTTCATGTTGGCTGATCACGACCAACTTGGAATATACAGCTCAACGCCTTTTTCGGAGGCTCCATTGGAATTATGCTTACCCGGAGTGTGTTTGGTCCAACGTTGACTCATCTGACCCTCGCATTTTACGATCTCGACGACGCACGTGCGTATGCATCCTCTCAGAAAGGACCAAAGCGGCTCATTATACTTCGCGCTCATGTAGAATGCACGTCCACTCTTCTCGCGGGGGAGCCTTCAAGTTTCCCCTCGCTGATCTTTCTTGACGTGACGTTGAGGCGCCGATGTGCAGACTTCTGCGGTTTCGAGAGAGGTCAAATTCAGTCCGTACTTCAGTTGGCCATCTCAAGCTTAGCCTCCCCGAGCAAACTCGAGTATCTGTGGCTGGCGCACTTGCAACCAACTATCCGTTCCGACCTATGCTGGATGGAGCTTGTGGGTGGCCCAACGGAAGAGCCTGGCAAAGCGCAACGGTTGCGAGAGCGTTTTCCCCATCTCCGCCAATTGATGATAGTGTTCTGCCCATGGAAAGAGGAGACGATGGACGCCTACGTCGAATATTGTTACGAAAGACTGTCCGATCTGGGCAGAGTCCTTCGCTTTGGGCGTGGACCTTTCGGCGTCAATTCGAGAAGCCCAATCGTAGACTACAAGGTTCCCCGGTCGATCCGGCGTCGGTACAAATCTTCGGTAGCTCGCAGTACTACTTAGCCTGGAGTCGTCCCGCTCGGTACCATATGTTCTCTTCCTGTTTCTTTCCCTGCGCTGTCAACGTCAACGGTTCGCCGTCGTTTACCAAATAGTACCATGCAACGCACGAGGCCATTGTACACATGCATTTTATAGGACCCCTGAAAACTCGTATGCAATTCTATCGCTCGATTGGACGATCCTGGGGCTGCGAGTTATACTTCGGAGAAGCTGTCTGCAATATGTGGGTTGCTGCTCATGAACAGTGATGCACGGTACGCCATCATAGGGACCGCACGGAAGAGTCTCCCGTGCTGGGAGAGATACATGATCATGGAGTGAGGGTAGGAGACGTTACAACAGAGCCATAGTGTCCAAGAATCAGTCCATACGAGTCCGGGCCAGAAAGAGTCCGAAACGTGGAGTCCGCACTCCGTTCGAAGTTCCTGAGAGGCCATCGATTACGAGTGCTGGAGCCTGCATGGCAATGAGAGTGGTGCAGGAGAGAGTGCAGGGAAAACTACTCACTGGACGTACCAGCGCTGGTCGGTCGCGACGCATAGCCCGCCTTGGGCATTGTTGGCAGGGGCGCAATCGGTAGACAGCCAGGTGACGAGCTTGGACTGTACGACGCCATGTCAGCACCGAGCAGCAGCATACGACGAATCACAATCATACCCATTCGGTCCGGCAGTACACGAGCGTGGAGAAGTCCTGGTTCAGGAAGTACGTGAGGCACGTCCCGTACTGCATCGTGATCTTGTTCGTGGGGGTCTGTGGAAACAGACGACGTCAGCCTATGCAGCGCGAGACGGGTCTGCCGTACGTACGCCGGTAGCAGAGACGTTGAAGAGCACGCCGACGTTCTGCGAGTCGTATAGCAGGGCATCTGCTATGACGTTGCAGTCGCTAGCGCTGGGGCCGCCGGCCGGAGTGAAGCAGAAGGTGTTGCCTGATACGGCGAGGGCGGGCGTGAGTAGATCATCTGCATACGTTAACAACGTGCACTCACAAGCAGCGCCGCAGACATTGCTGCTCTGCCTCTTAGCAAGGGCAGCCGTCGAGGCGTCTTCGTCGCACTGGGAGTACGAGACCTTGACATTGTGGTCCTTGCCGATGTAGGTCTCGTACGCAACCTGCTCGTTAGTGCAAGTCGGCACGCCTCCGGAGCCGACGAGGGCGGCGGAGGTTGCGGTAAGAGTAGCGAACAACAGCGAGAAGAGCGAGAAGACTTTCATCTTCGGGGTGTTGAGATGTTGGGGAGGGTGAGGAGCAATAAGGACGGGCGTGCACAGCATGAGACGACACGCGTCTTATATACACCAGCCGCGCGCGGAAAGAAGGGTGTCATATGAGCGATGTATTCCTCCGATATGATTTAGAGTACAGGGTGGAGTACGCCGTGTGGCGGGGAGTGTTATGCCCAGTGCCCCAGGATCACCGAGACCACGCGGGATTCTTGACCGGTGACTGGTGCCCGCTGAGTGACGCCCCGCGAGCATCATACGGAGAGCTCCAGAGCAGCGCAAAGATGGTGGACCTGCGGCCAGAAGAAGCCAGAGGGATGCCCAGGTGATCCTCGGCAGGACGGACGGGCGCTTACGTACGCGTAGAAGACTGGCGGCGTCTCGTGTGTCCGCCGCGGCAGAGACCGTACGCTCCAGCCAGGACTCAGAGACGAGTGAATGGGCGACAGGGGGATGCCGGGATGCTCACAAGGAGTGAAAGCCGTCGGCCGTGAAGCAAAGAGGCCCGCCTGAGCTCCGAAAGAACCGAGCGTGTGAAGGGCGAGCGAGATCGTGTCGAAGCCATTCAAGCTTGAGACGACCAATGAAGGGGACCTTGCAGTCGACTGTCGTTCAGTGGATCCAAGTATCCGCACGATACCGACAAGTACGAGCTGCAGATGCCGGATGTCCAGACTGATATCCCGATCGAAGAAGTTAGATTGAACGCACCTGAGCAAAGCCGGGGGCATGCGCGTCGCTGGAGCGGAAATACTCTCGTACTTGCTGGCGCAGTAGATGGGAAATATGGAATCGATATTCGAGAACCGGCAGCCTTGAGGTGCTCATGGAGAGGAGTGGGGTATCTCTATCATCCAACCCATGAGTAGTGGCAGCAGGCGGAGTTCAGCGCAGCTGACAAGGCCAGGTCGTAACCCACGCAATCGCGTACGCTTGGTTTGCATAGGAAGTTGTCCAGGAGAAGATATACGGATGCATAGCCTTTTGCAGAGACAATTGTGGCAGCCACAGTGGCACGCGGAGACGAGGTGGCAAAATAGAGGTGGTCGGAGCGCTGCACAGGTCCGAGAGGCAACGGAACAAAGAGAGTTCCGCTCCGGCCTGAGAACGCCGCGTTCGTTCAGTCTCCGATAGCCCTGTAGTGATCTCGGCAGAAGAACAATCACACTCCGACAATAACATCTGCTAAGCGGACGATGTCGGAGAGTGAAATAGCCGACCTCGAGGCGCGGAGCTGTGGCGTGGCGCTTTGATACAATTGCACACGAGGACAATGAAGACCAGCGTGTTTGCCGGCCGTCTTTTGTGCTCGCTCACTCACGTCTGCGCGTACATAAAGCTCGCTGCGTCCAGTTAGGCTGCATCAGTCTTCTCCTCCCCGACTACGCGCCTCTCCGGACTGTCTAACGAGCTGCTCTTGACGAGAGTTCCAGTCACGAACCACACACGGTCTTTTTCTGCTGCTTAACTTCTCCTGGCCATCTGCCTCCCTAAGACTCCTACATCTCCCACAACCTTTTTACGACGCCCTCAACTACACACACCATGAAGCGCACTGCTATCTTTGCGATCATCTCGGCCACCGTGCCCTACGTCGCTGCTCACGGCTTTGTCTCCCAAGTCGCGATTGACGGGAAGGCCTACGCGGGGAATGTCCCTAATGACTACCAGGGTACGTTTCTCTGTTGACTTACGATATCTCGGATGGGGAGCGGGGTGCGAGCAAGGTGAAGCGGAATGAGAAAGCGGAAGGAGTCGTTCTTGATTGCCTGATTGGGACGCGACACCTTTGGCATGTGAAGGAGATTGTACCACAACACCGTCCTTTACAGCCTGTCGCTCTCCCCTGCTTACCACCACCACCACCACAAACGTTCACCCGAGTGCACTCCCTGCGCGCGACATAAGTTCTCGACCGTTGTTTTCCGAGCTCTTACCTACCTCGCAACTCCCGCTCTCCATTTCTTCATGCGAAGCAACGCCGGGGCCCTGAGCTGACCTGTTTCACTTCACCCAGGCCCGAGCCCTATCCGCCTTATCTCAGACATAAGCCCCGTCAAGGGCGCGTCCAACCCGGACCTCAACTGCGGCCTGAACGCGCAACTTGCGGAACTGGTCGTACCTGCCAACCCGGGTAGCTCGGTCGAGTTCCAGTGGTCGGGCGGCGCCGGCCAGAAGGTGCGTACACATGCATCCCCTTTCCGCCAGAACATTCATCCTGATCCGTACGCTCGCAGTGGCCACACAATACCGGCCCCCTTATGACTTACATGGCCTCGTGCGGCGACACCACCTGCGACAAGTTCAATGGCTCCGACGCGCAGTGGTTCAAGATCGACGAGGCGGGCAAGAAGTCGGGCGATTCCTCCACATGGATCCAGCAGGATATTATGAACGGCGACTCATTCACGGTCACTCTTCCCCAGGACCTTTCCCCCGGCGACTATCTTATCCGTCACGAGGTAAGCACCACCGCCCACACGATATTGCGCCCGGGCGCTGACGTCTACGTCTGCGCAGATCATCGCCCTCCACCTCGCCGTGACCAAGGGCGGCGCTGAGTTTTACCCGTCCTGCACACAAGTCCGCGTAGGCGGCAGCGGCTCCGGCACGGCCACCGACACCGTGACGTTCCCCGGCGGCTACAGCGACAGCGACCCGGGCATCTTCGACCCCAACGTCTTCGACTCGGACGACAACTACGTGTTCCCCGGCCCCCCTGTCTCGAACCTCGCCGCGACCTCCGCTGGTATCACACCTCCGGCGAGCGCGAGCGCGACCTTCCCCGCGGAGGGCGCGTCGGCCACTGCGACCGGCGGGTCTGGGTCTGGCTCGGCGACGAGCGCCACCCATGTGGCGTCGCCATCTGCTTCCGCAGGCACGAGCGCTGGCGTGGCCACTTCGGGCTCGCAGTCGCAGTGTCGCCTCAAGAAGGGCTCGACGAAGAACGCGACGTCAAACTTGAGCGTGAGGAACATGCCGCGGCATTATAGCCGGGTTATGGCGCGCATTATGCACTCGAGCTGAGCGGGCGGGGCGAGGACGACGTGACGACGGATACATACAGGGCAGGCTCCCATGACCGCGACGACGTGCTGATATTATTTGTAGTTGTAGATATACGATCTTTGTAGCGTTTAGTTATCGGGCTTTTCAGGCTGTAATCTTATATCGGGCTATCCACGAGCTGTTTCCGCGCGACGACCGTTGAGTTGTATCTTGCTTTTTCGGTATATCTGGGTAGAGGTAATCGTGGCAAACCTACGGACTCTCGGGCATGATCTGTGAGTACTGCCTGTCCCGAGACGAAGTTTTCGGGATACTCACGCGATCTTCTAGGTTGAAAACGGTCGGCCATCCACCTACCGCTCAAGACACCGGTAGACCTGTTCCACCGGCACGTTTTAGCGTAGTGGAGTCGCCGCGCTTCTCCATTTCGAGATATCTGCGCTGATCGCAGTGGGTCCCGGCAACCGAGTAAGCAGTGGACGAGAATGGTGTAGTCCATAACGGAGTGGCGCCCGGGGAGCCCGACGTGCTGGGGCCCGGGCCCGCCGTACACACAACCACAACCTCTGATTGGCCGGGGCGAGTTCGGGCGGCGAGGTCCCGTCTGTCAGCGACTCGGAGGACAAAAGCACGCAGGGCTTGCGAGACGAGTTCAGCCGCCACTTCCCGCCGCCCGTTCGGGTCGGGTTCCTGTTCTTCCCCGGGGGGAGGCTGCGAGGGCGGCGCCCTCGAGCGCAGCCGGTGAGTACGTGCATAATTTTGGGACAGTCAGCGTCGCCGAGGGCGACTTCGGCGTGAAAATATTCACAGCGAAAATCATTCACCGGCGCCGTACACACGCTGGGTCAGCGAGCGGCGGGTATTACATGAGAACCACTTTACCATCGCGTAGCGGTGCACCGTGTGTCATACGCCTCATAATTCTAGATTACTCGCCGCATCCCGAGCTACATTAATGGCGTCGTAAACCGGATATGAAAACGGATATGGTACTCCACTACTGACGCAGTGACGGTCTGGGTGTGTGGTGTGCCCTCGATCAGCCTCGGACATGTGCGAGTCCTTTGCGGTCGGTACTCTGAGCACATGGGCTCGATTGAGATCGCTGAGAGAACCCCGGCGGCTGACTTGGGTCCGCAAAAACTGGGGTCTGCCCTGTGCAACCTCAGAGGATCGCGCAAGCCAGCACCGGCTTTCTGACTGGCTACGCAGGCGAAGCAATTCTTGGAGTGCGCTCGGGTCGGTGATCTGCTGCACAAGCAGGCTGGGTGGTGCGAAGAGGGAGGAGAGGCTAATGACATTGCGGCACTGGATGAGCGGATGTGGGGGCGGATCTTAGTGGCAGCCCGATATGGGAGGCCTGTTGCCGGATATGGACGTGCCTGCGGTTCGTTGTGAGCCCGCGCACGAGTTTGCCTCGCCGATCGGCGTCTCCTCCTCCCATCAACGCCTGCGCGCAGCTGTGGGTCCCGCGAGTCCCGCATCCCCGTCAGTGGTATGCTGCAGCAGCATTCGCGTGTGCGTACCGCGTGGACGTTGGAGTGCAGCTCGCCTTGAAAATGGAACGCAGGTGAGCACGGCGTCCCCCATTCTCCCGCTGCCCGAGCCTCGCTGAGCAGCAGACTTTGCAGCGACAAGAGCCCGTCGATCAGTGTGTCCAGGCTCGCCCGACGGGAGCGTGGGGCTCGCACATAATTCGTCCAGGAAAGGGATAGGCTGCGTGCAGAGATCTCGCAGTGGCCACTGCCGATCTGCAGCAGATCCCAATTGGGCCCGATCGGCCTCGGAAAGGAGCGTCGAGTGAAGTGCGACGCCCACTCTCCCGCGGAAGCAATGGATATGGCATCCGAATATCCGTCGCGCATTTCCTTCTTCCTCCATCCTTCTTCCACCCCTCAAAGTCTATATCTTCAGTCCTTCCCGGGCCTTGCTTCGTCCATCATTCCTTCACCATGTCCACCGCACACCTATCCCTCGACGACTACACCTTCCCCGGTCCCAAGCAGCACTCTTCCTACGAGCTCACTTACGCCCTGGGGGCCCACCAATCCTCGTCGCTATACCCACACGCTGGTCTGGATGCTTCCTCCTCCAACCCGCACCGCGACTCGTCCGCGCACTTCCAGCACCTACCGCAGGATGCCCCGCACCACTCTATGTACATGCCCGACCATCCCGAGAACTTCTTGGCACAGTACTATGTTGGCCTGGGATACCCCAACTACGACGCGCACCTACCTCCTTACGCTATGCCGCAGCGCCCTCCTTCACCCCGGACGCTTTACACCGCTAATTCCGGCTGGGGAGCCCCCGAGGGCTACGGAGCGCCCGTAGTTCCGACTCCGTCTAGCTCGACGTTCCTGCACAACCTCCAGAACGTTATCGACTCGTCGCACACCTCGCAGGTCCAGCACCAACAGCACCAACAGCAGCACGAGCACTCCGCCCAGGTCGCTCAGCAGCAGTCGGTCGGGCCCTCTTCGTCCTCATGGACGCTGTCCGGCTCGCTCGACCCTGCCACCGGTGTCTTCCAGCGCAGCGTCGAGCATCCCCGCCTTCGTACCGCTCAGGCGTGCGAGAAGTGCCGTGTTCGCAAGGCCAAGGTACGTTGTTATTTATTGTCTCCGTCGACACTGCCTTACATAAACCCAATTTATAGTGCAGCGGAGACCACCCTGCTTGCCAGCGGTGCATGTCCAGGGGTCTCCAGTGCGAGTACGCCCCGGAGCGCAAGATGCGCGGGCCGAACAAGCAGAAGCGCAAGAGCGTCTCTCAGCGCCACGAGTCCTCGCCTTCTGGGGATCGCAGGAGCTCCATTGCGTCGATCTCCTCCACCATGTCCTCCAGCTCCAGCGCATCTGTCTACGACGCAAACGCAGCCGCCGCGGCCGCGGCCACTGCAGCCGTCAACCGGAGCGCTACTCGCCCTTCGAGTCGCAGCAGTGCCCATGCCAGCATGCCTTCCTCTCCCATGCGCATCGAGAGCACCCGTCCTCGCTCCACCACCATCGCGCTCGGTGCCATCCAGCGCGCCGCTGAGTATGTGCCCAGCCCCCTACACTCACAGCGCGGTACCGGCTCTCCACCCCTTCGCCAGCGGCCCCCGCCGCTCGACCTGAGCGACGCGCGTCAGTTCAACATGCGCTACCCTGCAATGCTAGCGCAGTACACTCGCGGCGGCGAGCCCATCGGCGCATACGGCTCTTCGTCCGCAAGCGCCAACGACTCTGTCGACGGTCGTCGGCCGTCGCTTCCGCCGTACCTCGTTGAGGCATACTCCCGTATCGCGTACTCCCACAGCGACGCACCTCCGCCGGACTCCGCAGCGTTCCACCAACCCTCTCCATTCGTCGCCCCTCCCGCATCCTCCTTCACCGAGTCATCGGACATGGCTCGGTATGTCCCCTCCCACTACCACCTCCGTTAATACCCGACTAATTGGCGCCCCTCTGTCCCCCTCCCATCATAGCTCTGACGCCCTCGACTCTGACGCCATCGACTCGTTCATGTACCCCCCGTCCTCGCCGCACGACCTGAGCGCGTACCTGCAGAGCTCGCCCGCGGACGCGCTCTCCGTGTACTCCAACCCGCGCTCGAACTCGTCCGACGTCTCCGCGCCCATCACGCCGCTCTCGCTCTCCGACAGCGGGAGCATGTTCGATGGCATGCCGTCCGAGCTCGCGTACCCCGCGTTCGAGTCCGTGTTCGCGCACGCGACATCCGCCGAGCCCGAGGCGGCCGACGCTGCGTCGGGCTTTGGCGAGCATTCCTACCTCGCGGACGGTATGCAGACGTATGGCGATATGGAGGACGCGCTCCGCCCCAAGAGCGCGCCTGAGCCGCTTGGCGCGAGCTGGGACGTGTCTATGGATGACGACGAGACGCCGCGTGCGGACAACGAGCGCAAGTTGTCGCATGTTGGACGCCTCATGGCGGACATGACGGACATCGTGCTCGCATAGCAGGAGCTTACGGGGTCGCTTTAAGTCCCAATTAGATGTCTGATCCCTCTACCTTATCACCTACATTACTGTACTCCATTTCGTGCTTCATCCTGTTGTATCCATTACTCTGCTCGCCGCATCCCGCTGTATCCAATAGTCCCGCTCCAATCTTTCGCTGCTCTGTATCACATAGAAATCACATCGCTTTACTCCAACTTCGTCCGCCCGCCTCTAGCCAGTCACCCACCGCCCGCAGCGCACCTCGTATCGTGCGCAACGCGGCCACCTACCACTCCGCTCTTTCGCTGACTTGACGCGGGCCCGTCCTGCCCCGGCGCGCGCATCCTGCCATGCCCGACCGGGCTTGGAGACGCTTAGACATGTTTGCTTCCGCATCCCACCCGTATTCCGACCGCGCCGACGCGTCGCTGCGGGACGGCGCGCCGCAGCCCACGTGATTGCGCGATCCCGCCCTGGAGGGCAGGCGCACTCTATCGCCAGTGCTTGGTGGCGCGCGCGGGCAGACAGGAGCAGCGCTGTCACTCGCGCACGCCGGGAGCAGTCGCGATCGGCTGCGCTTGCGCGGCGGTGCCGCCGCGCAGACCTTGGGATTTGCGAGGTGGAAGGCGTGACGGAGGCGTGCGCGCGCGAAGAGTGCGGCAGCGAACTTGAATCTGGAAGGCGAGGCTGCGAGGGCTGGTACCTGCAGGTTGCGGGATCGAGGGTGGGCCGCGATCACCTGCTGGGCCGCCGGGAGTCTGAGGCAGGGGTACGTGATCGTGGATCTGCAGGATCGAGGCGTGTACGTTGGGTGCGAGGACTTGTGGGGGCGAATGTAGGGGCTATGGTGCACACTAGTACGCCGCGTGGGTGCAGTAGACAGTTGTGGGTGGTCGTGGTTGCATGGAGTGTTGATGGAGTGTGCTGTCCCCTACGAGGCACGGCTGATAGCAGTGTAACCAGTGCAGCTGGGTTCGTTTGGCTGACGGCGTCTTGGTATCTCGGTTCTGAATGTGACTGCGGGCAAGGTCCGAGTACTCCTGAGTGTATCGTGGAGCGATTCGCGCATGCGAGATCGACGTACACTGTTCGAATTCGAATGAACGATACACCAGATATCATGTGTACGATAGAGGAGGGCCAGGCTCACATTGCGTGTCCAGAACGGGCGGAAGCCATAGGGTCAAACGTCCATATTGAGTACCAACGCGCCATACAGTACCGGAGCGCCGCTCCAAGATCGCCATGGCGGCATTACAACGGTGTGTGCCAACATGTCGGCTACATCCAAGAGCAGTACAGAACATAGGGGTAGTCGTTCCAAGAAGAGCGGGTATCCGCCGCACGACCGAGCCAACGATGACCACGTCACAGACGGGGCAGCATACACGGATACGGAGTCGCGAGGTTCAGGAGACGGAGACGACGAGCGACCACACAGAGGTGATGGTCTGGATAACGGTGCAGATACCGAAGAAGACGGCGAGTACCGTGCCCCAGAACATCCAGGGCTCCTCCTTCTTGCGCTTGTGGATGTCGCGCCGAAGACGACGGTACCAGCGCCGCCGCCGGCGCAGCTCGGTCTCGATGATGTGCACCCGTCCAGCGAGGAGCTACCGCAGGCGTAGTGAGCGCCCGAAGGAGACGTTGGGGAAAGCGGGACGGGGCATACCTGAGGCGGGTGGTAGGGCATCGGGTCCTTGTGCTTCTTCTCGATGATGCTGGAGACGACGGTGAGGTCGTCGTACTGCCCCCGCCGCTCGCGCTCGGCGTCGATCTTGAACATCCCGAGCGAGATCGGCAGCTGGTACTTCTCGCGGAACTCCTCCTTCACGAGCGCGCCGTACGACTGCATGATCTCGTCCCCGTAGTGCGCCATGCCGATCGCCCTGTCCAGATTCGTCAACGGCGGAAATAAATCGTAGTGCGGGGGGGGGCGCCCCACACGTACCTCGCGACTTTGTTCCTGTCATAGCTGAGGAGCAGCGCGATCTGCTCCGTGGAGAGCACATACACGCTCACGGCGTTCCCGTTCAGTTTCAAGTGGTCAAGCATGAACGGCGTAGGCTCGATGATGAAGTCCTCCTCGATGAGCTCGCGCGCGCTGAACGTGAAGCGCTCCGGTCGCTTCGCGCCCTCCGGGACCGGCGGGAATACGATGTTTACCGCGCCTGCGAAGGTGCGCGGCGGCGTTGGCACCAAGGCCGGCGAGAGGCCGACCACGGACAGCAGCCCGTCCATGAGGAGCCAGACGTACTTCAGGTGATCGGCGTGAGGCTGTCCATCCGCGCCGCATACAGTCAGAGCGGTGCGCGTACGCGGCGCGGTATGCACGCACCTTGTCATTCAGCTTCGCGGGCCAGTGTGGTGTCGCCTTCCGCTCCTCCACATAGCGATCGACGAGCTGGTCGTCCCACGGGCGCTGCTCGAGGTACCTGACGAGGGCGCACATGTTCTCGACGCTGTTCCACGTGCCGTACCCATCGAGCTTAAGGTAGCAGATGTTGCCCGTGGTCGGCTCTGGGAGGCTGTCTTTGTTCTCGAAGAGCACCGCTGCGAGGCGCGAATAGAGCGGCGCGGTGAAGAGGCGCCACGCGATGCTGGACCGCGCAACGTCCGTGTCATCAGGAGAGGGAGGGCGCGCCGGTACAGCAGGGGCCACAGGCGGCGGTGCAGGTGCAGGTGCAGGTGCAGGTGCAGGTGCAGTGGCAGTTGCTGGTGCGGATATCGGTGGAGGTATCTATACATGTAGTCAGTATTGGCACGAAAATTGAGAGAGATATCACATACAGAAGTAGAAGAGCTAGTAGGCGGAGGCTGCACGATTAGAGGCTGGGGAAAGAGGGAGGTAGGGAGAGATGCGTCATGCGTCGTTGTGGACTGACAGGATATTTATCGTTCGTTTAGTACCACTGTGCACCATCAAACTTGCGCAAGCACGTACGAATGGCTGTGGCATTGGGGGCGCTTGCCCCTGCGTCGGCTGCGGGAAAGCCAGAGGGACGGGCATTGGAGGAGGGACAGCGGCGCCGCTGTTGGACGACCCTGCTTCGTTTTGACCCTGCTCCTCGTCGTTGTCGGACATCGCCTCCACAAGACGTGCCAGAAGAAACGCGTTGATGAGAGCGTTGAGGTTGCCTACATCCTGCTGAAGGTGATCTCGACAGTTGATATTGAATGCGGATACTGCGTCAAGAGAGACTAGCTCACCAGAGGTATCTGCTCTGCTGCGTCGTCGTTGGTGGACATGTTGGGGGGCTGCTGTATCGTGCGATGAAATCTGGGGGCAGCTGTTCGCGCACTCGAGGGGGCTTTATTCCACCCGCGATGAGGCGCTGCCGCCTTCACGCTGCCGTAGGTGCGGCAATGTCACTCACAGCATCGCACCGGCCTGCCTATCCAACAAGGTTTCCTAGAAGAAGAAAGGACTGCGTGACACTCCGCACCGAGTAGAACAAGCCAGATCCGTGAAGGACTATACACGGCGCAGTACCAGGCGGTTCTATGAAAGCAAGAAGCCAGAGATTCGTGGGGATTCGTCCGGGGTGGCTGCCCTTGCCCACGCTGCCGTAGGTGCGGAAATGTCACTCACAGCATCGCACCGGCCTGCATATCCAACAAGGTTTCCCAGAAGAAGAAAGGACTGCGTGACACACCGCACCGAGTAGAACAAGCCAGATCCGTGAAGGACTATACACGGCGCAGTACCAGGCAGTTCTATGAAAGCAAGAAGCCAGAGTATCGTGGGGATCCGTCCGGGGTTGCTGCCCTTGCCCTAGTGTGCTGATATTTGAGTTCAGTCAACGGCGAGGTGTAGAAGCAGATACGACCGCTGCGCCGAAGCGGGAGCGCACGGAGTCCTCATGTAGTAGCACTGTCTTAGGAACGTCTTCGCGTACTGGTTGGTGAGAAGCACAGACCGTGCTTGAAGCGTGTTGACATTTACGTCGAGTACAATGCTGGATACTTGCGCGGCGCTCCGATGGAACTACATGAAGCCTACGCGTGGTTTCTTGAGACATGACGGGCAATGCACAATCGCATCGTGCACTCACTTTTTGTCTAGTGTACACAGCAGCCTATTCGCAGCACATGGAGAGTGACTAATAGAGAATCATCTCTGTTTCTTGAGGTTTCTCGTTCTGGAACGACTTTCGGAGAGGACAAGAGAATCAGGGTCGGACCAGGAAAACTATAGGGCTTCGGCCGCGGAGATGTACAGTACTGGGAATGATCGTTAACGATCAGAAAGACCGAGATATGGAAACAGCACTGACCATTGTTTCCTCTGATGAACGCGTCTCCGTACTTGTTCGTGACTCTCCCGTTGACATGCTCCTCCGTCTGCTCCAAGGCGATGTTCATGTAACCATCCAGACATGAAAGTATCCCTATGACAGTCATCCATCAGCTACGTGAGCACACATACCCGCTCAGCCACGCGTTCCAGACATACCTCGATAGTCTACCCCAGAGGTCAACCGAACGACGACGCGTTTGCCGACCACTCCCTTCAAAAAGTCGGTCGGCGAGCCAGAGGTCATAGGTGGAGGGGGAGGCGACGGCTCAGCGGGTGCAGCAGGGGGAGGGGGAGTAGACTCGTCCATGCTGTAGACTGAGTGTCGTGTGGGACGTGATGGTCGTCGCAGACGGTGAGCTCGCAGTTGGCTGCAGCACCGACGGCAGCGCCTAAGGCCTTCTTAGCGCTCATTTCAGGCGCCCTGGATGCCGAGAACATCGGAAAGACATACAGTATGTTCTTGCCGCCCAGCCGCGTCGCTTGCCGGGCCTCTCTCCTCTCCTCCTCCATGTTGCTCCGTTCATGATGCAGACGTCCCTACCGTGCTTGGCGCCCCTTCATCTTCTCTGACTCGGACTGGTCGGATCTCGGCTACAATCGTTATAACGCCCTGAGCGCGGAATGTCTGGCGATGGCGAACGGGTCGTCGACGGAAAGCTGGGACGCTTCGTCAGAGGGGAAGGGCTCTTGGTGTGTTTCCTGTAATGCATATATCCCCCGTGACACTGAAGAAGGTGATACTTCATAGTCACACAACTTGGCGCACTGGACGGTGGCCACTTTGCTGGTGGTAGGCTATGCATATGAAGTGCGAAGCCGACGTCGTACCCCCAGACCTATCACATCGGTCGCGAGCATGTGGTCACCGCCAGCGGAACAAACATACGGCTTTATAGCCTTGGCATATTTTGGATCCATCCCTTTCGAGCGGATGAAGAAGCTGAGGGAAAGCGATCGGGATATGCGAGCGGTGGCCATAGCGTCATTGCAGCAAGGAGAAGCGTGGTTCAAGACTAAAGACTCTCCGAACCCGACATCGTCTTTTCCGGACACAGACCCTAGTGCGTTGCTAGACTGCACCATACATGTTTCGGAATCTCATTCACATGACTCCCAGTCGGTTTGGGATTGCCTTCCCCCGGTGACCGTCTATCCTATCTTGCTTGGAAGATCCGCGGGCATATATTTCTGGACGATCGCGCGTGGCTTCATTTCTATCGTACGCTGGCCCTTCGCTACGCGGACAAGTACCCAGATATCACTGCGGCCGACTGGGACATATGCGTGACGCATTTTGCCAGTACCGCCTTTCTGGGTGGGCATACGGCGCCGGTAGTACGTGTCTTTTCCGGAGTCTACTCGAATCTATACATGGGCTGACGTACATTTGCTCGTATGATGGGTGGTAGAAGATCTCACTTGCTTCCCTCGACATATTCATAGGCGCACTTACCATCGACGCGCTCATGAGATTGCGATGGACGTCGCCTCCTCGTATGCTTCGTCTCGGTCTCAACCGCATCACACAGGTGGCGTGGTACATCGCGATATCTGGATTCTCTCTGTTTTCCGTACCGCATCTACCAGCCACGCTACGCCCGCTGCAGCTGCAAGATAAAGCCCGCGTCGCCGAGATGCTGCGCGAGGCATACCCGGGTGTTGGCTGAAAACATGGCTTGCGTTGTTCGCTCGCAGTCTTAGCATCTTACGCGGCATGATAGACACCGTTTGCACTCATTTGCTGTTTTGTAGGTTGCTCTCGTTATGGTACTATTACTTACTCACTGGTAATCAGCTTTAGATACCCCCCACCGCTCTCGCATGCTGTATCGCTTGCTTTGCGTATATATAACCATCTCTACTCTCGTATCTTCGAGGGAGCCTCGTCAGCGTGGGTCGCTGCACGCAGCGTTCCTCAGCGTTCCTCAGCGGACACATCAAAGTCTCGGGAACACAGGTTCAATGGATGTTCGATGGTTTGACGAAATCCACCTGCTCATTCACGCGAGGCCGGTCGTAGTACCATGGGCTCTCCCGTGTCGAGGAATTGGTTGTCGCAAAAAACGTAGTGGTCGTTGTGGACAAGGACACCGAGTTCGCCGCCGGAGCAGCGGTAACAAATTAGTGCAAGGCCCAGTTAGCGCCCATTCAGGCGCCTTGATTTCCGCGAAAACATGCGCTGAACGTCTCTCTTTCCTCGACGTTGTTCCACTATGACATTCATGAGACAGACTGTTCGTCTTCACTAGTCTTACTCGGGAGACTACGGTCCATCTATTAGGTACGGAATGTCCGGTGATGGCGAACATGCTGAGGGGACCCTGGGACGCATCGGAGGAGGTTTACTGGTTCGTCTCGTGCGATACGCGTTCGTATGTGTATCATACTGATACACGGGATACCCCACAGTCCCCGGATATCAACTACTGGCTACTGGCTGGGCTTGCTGTAACATTGATCCCCAACGTGCGCGGACGCCGCCATCTCCCAACGCCCTCCGTGTCGGCCCAAAGGGCGTATCTCCCACCATTATGGCAAGGATACGGCGTTCTCGCCATACCACTTATCTGTGACATTTACACACAAAAGGCGCAGGAGCAGATGAGGAGCGACCGGGATCTGCAAACGCTGGAGGCCAGAGCACGTTTACATGCAGGAGTGTGGCTCAAGAAGGCTGAAGCTTCTGCGAACTCGATGTTGGAGTCTTTCCCCGACACAGACCCTGGTGCGTTGGCATTTCGCGCTAGCTGCGAAACTTTGACTGAATTGCGAAGTTCAGTCGGCATAGGACTCCCTTCCACTGGTCATGGTATCGCTTACCTCGCATGGAAGTTCCGCGGGCACCTCTTCGTAGACGATCACGCATGGCACCATTTCTATCGCACGCTGGCCCTGCGCTACGCAGACAAATACCCGGACATTACCGCGGCCGACTCGTTGCCAGTACCGCATTTCTCCTTGACACAGTAATGCCGGTGATGGTGAGTGTGATCTCGACTCCCACACGACAGCGGCTGACATGCAACTGCCATCCGATGTGTGCCAGCGCTTCTCCTTCAGCTGCTGTATGGCATTCATCGGCGCAGTATCCCTCAACTTCATGACATCGCGATGGGCGGCGCGCCCGCGCATGTTGTTCCTCGGTCTGGACAGTGTCGCGAGGCTGGGGTGGTATGGCACGACCCCGTTCGTTTTGGCTTTCACGTCCATCGCGCTGCACTATCGTCGTCCGCTACAGCTGCAGGACAAGGCCCGCGTGACCGAGATGCTGGGCAAGACTTATGTGGATGTCGACTGGCAATACGGCCTGCTCTCAGGCAGGTGAGTGACTGGTCTCAAACTCGCTCGTGGTGCGATCTTACTGGTGTTGCCAGTAGACGTCGTTTGAAGCCTTGGTTTGATGCCGTGTAAGTTGATTTCAGTATTTTAGTGTTCGCGATCTGGTACTTAGTATACGGTACATACCTTCCACCGCTCTCACACGCTGCGTCCCTTGCTTTCTATGATATCTAAACCTGCTCTCCCCTCTCGCCTCCGCGAGAAAGCGTGATCAACATGGCGTGTCGCTGCGTGTACATGGTTCCTCAGCGGGCCCGTGAAAACCCCAGTATCATGATGTCAAGTCGATGCGGAAACATTGTAATTTGTGACCACGTTCGATGGTTTACTGTTTGACAACCAGATTTGTTACAAAATCCATCTCGAGGACGGCGTCAGTACTAGTACTCAGCGCTCAGCGTCCAGCATGTGAAAGCATTAAGCTTTCCGCAAACATCGGAACACCTTGCCGTCTAGCCGCATCGTCAGCGTCAGCGCTTCAGCTGCCCGCTTTCTCATTCTCTCTTCCTCCCGACATGACCTTGCGTATCCATGACACAGTTTGCTGTGCTTAGAACACTGCCGGTTTCTCTGTCTTTGGCCGGTCTTGCTCATGGGACTACAACTGGCGTACTCACAGGATGTCTGGTCATATTGTCAGCGAAGATACCGACGGCAAGCTAGAACGCTACGTCAGAGGGGAGGGTCTTTTGGTACGTTTCATGCATTGTGCAGCCCTCTCATCGTCACCCTGACGCATGAATGAACATAAACTATGTACAGGCACCAGATTTCAAGCTTCGACACTTGGCTCTAGCCTGGCTTGTCACAAGCCTCGCTCTCGAAGTGGGCAAACGCCGTTCTCCTAAATTACCCGCCACGCCGGCCTCAAGCGTGTATTCTCCATCCATATCAAGATTTAGACTGGGAATCTATGGCGTACTCGGTGCAGAACTCTTTGCGCTTCATTCCATAAACAGTATGATGGAGCAGGTGAAGAGCAACCGCGATCTGGGAGAGGTGGCCAGGGTTGGGAGGCAGCAGGGACAAGCATGGCTTAAGGCTGAAGCCCTTCCTGTCTCTGCGAAGCTGACTTACCCAGACCGGGACCTCGGTGCGTGAGCAGTCCATTTTACCCTGCAGCAATCTCATCGTCGCGCATCGTTCAGCTCAGCCAGGACTGCCTCCTCCTCCCGGCGAAGGCCTCTCCTACCTTGCATGGAAGATCCGCGGACATGTCTTTTTGGACGACCGCGTATGGCGACACTTCTACCACACACTGGCCCTGCACTACGCGGAGCAGTACCCGGACATCACCGCGGCCGACTGGGACGTCTGCGTGACACACTTCTCCAGTGCCGTGCTCGCGGACAGGACGCTCAAGCCTCTGTTTGTGAGTGTAGCGCTCCTGCCGTCTGCCTGGCTTGGCACGGCGGCTGACATCCTCCATGCTAGGGCATCGCGAAGACCTGCGGCTTGGTGTTCTTCGGCACGACGTTGCTGCACACGGTCATGGCCTTCGCATGGACGTCGCGCCCCCGCATCGTTATCCTCGGTCTGAACGGGATCGCACGGGCGGCCGTGTACGGCTTCTCGTGTCTGGTTACTATGCCCCTCTTGCCGTTGGTGCTGCACTATCGGCGTCCGCTGCAGCTGCAGGATAAGGCACGCGTTGCGGAGATGTTGCGCGAGGTGTATCCGGATGTCGAGTGAGCGTGCCTGGTTTGCGTTTGCGGGTAGGCCTTCACTTGCCCATGGTGTGACCTTACAGGGACCGGTAGACGTTGTCTGCGTCGTTCTTTGCTTTTTGATTCTCTCTCATATCGTTATGTTCTCTGTATATATCCCCACCGCTCCTCGCATGCTGTATTTCTTACTCTCTTATCTATATCATCGTCCCCTCTCGTATCTTCTGCGTGAGCTCGTGAACGTGGGCCCGTTAACGTGGTCCGAAGCGCACACAGGACTGCTCGGGGTAACATCTCTGTTTCTAGTGGTGCGTACTTCACGTACGATGTCTATACTCTGGCTGGCTGGCACAGCGAACGCGCTCGCAGTGACAGACAGTGATGTGTACTCGCTTCGTTTTCCTGCCCTCCGCCCATGCGCACACCTATATTCTTGGCATCTGAGGCCTGAGGCCTGAAGGTTGACTCGAGACGGCTGCCTTTAGCGACCGCAAAGCCCGCTGCACTCTTGCCGTCCAATGAATTACAATGGCATCTGCTTGGCGCGATCGTGTGCGCACACAGGGGAGATACCAGCACTTCGCGTACCTGCATAGCCAATGCCATTCCCCAGAACCCTCGAGACAGGCGCCGCATGGCTCATTGCCGTATTGTGCAGTACTTTGGAGAACAGCACCGTCCGATAAGGCGTTTCTGTACACATAGCGTTTGACTGGGGTCCGTGGCCGGATTCGAGAAAACTTCATGACGGATCTTACCCCCTGTTGAAATTGAGAGCACCTGGTAGGGATTATTTCAGAGCATGTCGCTGAACAGCACTCTAAAGCACTCACTGGATTGGCCCCACTTGTCGGCCGATTCCAATAATAACGCGGGCATTGGTAGGCGTTCAAGGTACGAAGAGTGACTCACGCCGGACCGGTGAGACGTCCCGCGTGCCACTCTGCGCTGGGCAGCAGCCTTCCGAGCATCCAAGAGGTTCCGTGTGGATGGTTGCGAGCTCACAGATATCGACACGACGCACATACAGTCGCACAGCCAGGGGGCGGATATGGTGGAAGGAGGCAGATTACGTCGCGGCGCTAGACGAGCAAATCTTGGTGGCGTCGAAAGAGGCGCCCATCCATTGCGGCGATCGGCCGGTTGGCGTGCACCGTTTCCCCGCGTTTCTCCTCTGCATATTTATCTGGTCCCGACCACACATGACTATCGAGCCTCCTCTTCATCCCCATCGTCGACGACAACGCCGGCGCATCTACAGCAACAGCCACAGCGACGAAGCGCGGCATGAGCGACCCGCGCCGCTACGATCCTCGGCTCGGGGACGAGGATGAAGAACCCGAACATGCTCCCCCACCTCGCTCCGTGCGCCGCGTGCGCATTCCGAACGATGTAGGGCACGATGCGGAGGATACGTCTTCCCCGCTAGGCGGCGCGCGAACGGAGAAGAGCCGCGCGGGGCTTGAAGAGCCCCGTAGAACGCCTCCTGTTTCTTGGGCGTCGCGCATCGCGAGGTGGAGCCCGCTGGACCTCTCCTGGATTTCGGCGAATTCGACTTGGTCAAATTGGAAGCCCGCGCTCCGCTGCGCTGCCGTTTGCTTTGTCTCGGCGGTCTTGATGGTCATCCCGAGTGTGTACACTCCCATGGGACAGGTGAGCCTCATTTAAACAACATCTCTCGTAATTTGTTAGATGTGTTCTCCTTGCGTTGGGTCTTTGGGCGGCTTGAAATGTGGAGTACATTATAAGAGCGGGGGTAGTGTGAGAGATTCAGAACGATGAACCTCCGATTTCTCTCCTGACGCCCTCCCACTCTCACCGTTCTCCGCCGCGGATCATTGTTTTTACATCCTCATACCCCAAAATTCGGCCTGTCTGCTATTTGATTGGAGCGTCGAGTTGTGGCCTGCGATCAGAAATGTCCTACCACAATTGAGGTCGAATGGAGAGGAGGAGTGTGCATATATTTTTCCGACCAATCTACCCTGTTTACGCTTTACTCACCATCCTACCATCTTTCAGGGCAGCTTCCTGATATTGATATGTAAGTAGTATCTTGCGTAGCGCAAGTACTCTTCTGACGCCTAGTAGCATCTTTTTTGGATGTGCCGTCGGACCCGTTCCTTGCCGTACTCGAACGCGAACTGATATTCCTGACTTTCGTTGTCGCCGCCTGGGCGTGAGTGTTTTCATTATGCTTTAACGCGCCATCGCTCATAACTTCACTGCAGATACTGCTGTCTGGGCATTTTTCTCGCCAGTCTTGCTCGAGTACACACCGACTACAACGCTAGTCTGGTCGCCATCCAATCAGGACAGTATGTGGAAGCAGGTCCCACCGTGATCCTCGCGGTTTTTGTGTTCTTCGGCTGTGCCTTCTTCCTATTCGTCAAGGCACGCTTTGGACCTGGACCCTATCTGTTCGCCTCGATCTTTGGGTGTATCTGCATCGACATCTCTATGACCACGGCGGTACTGTTCCCCTATCCCTATTATCTGGTGGGCCAGGTCATTGCGCTTCCGCTCGCAGTACATTGCGGGTTATGCATTTTGTTCTCGGCGATCATCTTTCCATCCACGATCACGGCTCAATACACCCACACGCTCTTCGCAGTACTCGATCCCTTGAATGACTTTCTCGCGAACCACCGGCGGGTACTTACCCTCGATCCGTCCTCAGAGGATTTCAAGTCCACCGTAAAGGCTATCACCGGCGCGCTCGGAAAGTCGGACGGAAGGCTTGGGCAAGCGGCGGCGAACGTGCGACTGCTTAAGCAAGATATCGTCTATGGGCGCTTTTCTCCCGCCAACGTCGGGGCGTTCCAACCTATCGTCCGCCGCCTTGTCACTCGCGCCAACGGGATGGACATTTTCTTCACCCTTATCGAGCCTATGAGGGAGAAGTTCCCGGTCACCCCGATTCCTTCCCGGCCTGCAACTCCTCGTACTGGTACGCCCATGAGTACACGCCCCGGATCGCCGACGACCCCTAGCACCCCTCTCCCCGGTTCGCCTCCGAATGGGCTGCGGGAGGATCCAGAACAGATAGCCCGGCGGCGGCGAAATTTACAGAAGCGTGCCCTCGAGCACTCGCACGGGCACAAGTCGTTCTCGCGAAAGCTGCACCTGCGTCTGCGAGAACACACCGAGGAGCACCACCACCATCAAGTGCATTTCTCGCTCCTCAATTTCGCGCATACGCTTTCGCCGCTTGCGAGGGTGTCCACGACAGCGTCCGCGGAAACGGCCGTGGGCGTCTTCGAGTCGCAGCGATACATGGCGATCGAGGCGAATCGGCTAACGCATCCGGACCAGAGCGACGTGACTGCGCACTTTGTGCAATTGTTGCAGGGATCGTGTGACGATTTGCTTGAGACCACGCAGGGCGTTGTGAAGGGGGTGCAAGCTTGGTTTGCTGAGGCGCGAAGAGGCAGCTTCGGGGGCAGGGCGAAGATCGAGAAGGCACGGGCCGAGCGGCTCGCGAAGTTGGAGGCCCTCTGTCAAGGCGTGAAGGCGGCTCTGCAACGGTTCAAGAAAGACAAAAGGTGCGTGGCGTCGGCCGTCTGAGAGTTTGCTTGCTCACTAATTGCGACTAGACATCGCGTCCTGGATCCGTACCGCTCAGCATTCGACCCGAAGCACGTCAGTGCGATGGGCGGCATCTCCGAGCCTCCTCCGCACCGCTACCTCTTCCACTGTTACATGTACCAGTATCATCTCATGCGCTTCTCGAGTATTCTTACCGAGCTCGTACGTCCTCTATTGAGCGAACGAGTACAAATGCTGATAATTCAGTCGGTGTAGCTGGATACTATCATCAAGCTAGAGAAGGAACACCCGAAGGCGCGACTGTGGTGGCCCGGTATTCCTATCCGGAAGATGCTCGAATGGAGCCCATGGACACCATCGGAGGACATGGATAGGGATGACGACGAAGACCCTGGTATGTCGGCCGTGGATAGTCCTCACGCGATGCTCATATAGCTCGTAGATATTATCCAGGGCATTCACCCTGAATGGAACGACGACCTCGGGATAACGCGGCGGCGCGATCCCGATGCCCTCCCGCCAGCCAATGCATTCCAGCATGTGATGCACTGGGTATACGAGGTGGTGACGGCGCTGGGTCGTGGGAACGCGCTGTTCGCTCTCAAAGCTGGGATGCTAACAGGTATGGTGCTGTTACGTATCGTGTGCGATGTGTATTCACCCGCTTCAGTCATACTATGCATACCTAGCTTTCTGAAGGAGACGGCCGCCTTCGCATATAGTACGTTCACCTTTTTTTTCACGAGGAGTCTGGTCTGATAGTTGTCCAGGGGAGCGCTTTGTATGGGGCATGTGCGTATCACACTTCTTGAAGATGCGATACGATCTGACTATCTCTCAGCTTTATGGGACAGCTCACCTTGGCGCGGTTCCGCGGCGATACAACGTTTGGGCTGGTCGCTCGTATCGTGAGTACCTTCATGGGCGGAGTTATCGGCACGACAATGTGGTATGCCTACATCATTCACCCCGAGTTTGTGCAGTATATCTCATTCTCGCACGAATAGGTACATATCGACCGGGTCTGGGAATGGTAATCCATACGGTCTTGCGGCAGTCATCGGAGTCTGCGCGCCATTCTTCTTCTTTTGGCGTCTATACTGGCCCGTCCCGCCGATGACGAACATCATCCTCTTCGTCACCACAGGGCTGGTACTCGGCTTTTCGTGGCAAAATACGCACACAACCCTGCCGTTCCGATTCATGGGTTGGCAGCTGGCATGGGTGAGTGAATGTCGGGTGTCCGCTTTCGCAAACCGCTAATGCTCCGTCCAGAGACGTTTCGTGCTGGTCGTTTGCGGCGTCACGGCGGCGTTGTGAGTGTATCTATTTCTGCACTCTTGTGTATCTTATTGTTAACCTCGTGCAGCCTCTTCTCATTCCTACCCCCGTCAACAACACTGAGGAAATACCAGCGCCTGTCTATGTCGACTACAGTCTCCGAGCTGGGGGCTGTGTATTGTTCGATTGTCTCATTTGCGAACACCCGAGAACACCAAGAGATTTCAAGAGGGGATATCGTTCAGAGCCTTGTCGCTATTCGCCTCAAGTTGAAGCGATCCATAGTGTTGAAGACTAATATCGTGTACGAGGTAGGGCTTGCCAAGCTTCCATTTTGTTTTCGAAAGATTGACCTGGAAGTAGTTCTCACTGCGAGGGCGGTGGCCGTCGGACAGATATCAGAAAATACTGGATCTGCAATTGTACGTTTCATCGCGTTCTGCACCGGTTTACGCCCTCATATCTTCCCGCAGGCAGATCGCGTACCTACTCTCCCATCTGATGTCGGTGGTAGAGCATCTAGAGCCCGCATGGTCGCGCGCATTCCTACGCCGGACACGGTTCCTTGACGCAGACTTCCAGGGAGATGTACTTGCTGTGATCAGTATGTCGCCACCCGTCGCCGAAGCCGCGATGTTCTGACACGCTCTGACCAGGCATGATCTCGACGGCCCTCCGCACGGGCAACCCGCTCCCCCAAATAACGCCGTGCCCGCTCCTGGACCGGTTCATGATCCATACGCACGGGCTGAACGTAATACGGCAAGAAGCCGACGATGATTACGGACTTCCGAGGACAATGACGATTGATACGCTCGAGAACGAGCAATACCTGTATGTCCTGCTTCTCTTCTGTCGCCGCGCCGTGCGCCGGACGTTCTCTTCTGTGGCTGAATCGCAACTACGCGATATACTAGGTGCTTCTCGGTGGGAGTCACGACTGCGTTCGGCATCGTGCTGCGGCTCGATAAGCTCATGGTCGCCACCAAGGAGCTTGTCGGCGAACAGTACCACATCCACGGCATCGGTGTCCCGGAGCTTCGAAGTGCCCCCGTGGGAATGAGGCCGTCGAAGGACGTATAATTGCGTCGCCGGAGGCCCCCGCCATAGGTCTGACATCCGTATATTTCTCTGTTCGTCTTTGTATCATAGCCACCATCTCAGTGATTTCGTCCTAGGTCGATCGTGCGTCAGCACCGACCATCTTTAATCTTGCGGCGCGATCGCATTCGTACGGATCCGCGCTCGGAGCACTGCTGATCTGAGAATCACGGGTAGACTTGAGTTCACGGGCGTGAGCCTCCGAACGCAGTCATGCGTCTTCTTGACATTGAAGACGCTCGGTGTTACGATGCAGGTTACACGCATAGCCGGAACGCCGGCATGGAAGGTGCGTCCACCACATGTCGCTGCATCCCTCGGCGCAACTTCTCTGCGAAGATCTCACTTCCTCCGCAGACTTCATTGCTCGATGTAACCAGGGCAATTGGGAATAAGCCGTGCGCCCGCGCATCCGGACGTCCTGTGCATCTGATGCGATGGTCACTTTGACATACGCCATCATTCAGGTGTGTCCTGAGGTTGCTTCCTTAGCTCGGGGCTCCGTCCGAGTCATGGTTAGATTCTTTCCAAGTGGGGTTCTTAACGTAACGTTCCTTGCCGGTGAACCATAACCTGACACGGGAACTCTGTTGCACTAGTGAAACGATGCCGCGGGCGGTGACGCCCATTAAACGAAAGGTGTTATATCCGTACGGCGTAGGCCTTCTTGGCGTTTGCGGTGCCCTCCTCGCCCCCCTATCTCGCTAGAGATGTCTTTCTGCGACAGCCCTCGGAGCCTATTGCTTTCCCCTGCTTTGCTTTCGGAAAGTCCGGCGTCGACGCCAAATATACTCAGTCCGGCTTCGTCGCACTCAGACGAGACAGTAGTAGGAGATGAACTCACGAAGCCGAAGCGAACCAGGACGCTGAGGGCGGCGTCGATCGCGCTATTAACACCCAGTCTGCTAGGAAAGATCCGGCGTTCTGAAAGGCACAAAGGTACGCACTATTGCATGCCCTTCGATGACGTCTTCTAGTTCGCTCACCTCGAGGGATACAGAGGACCGAGTCCTTGCCGTGAATACCCAGGTCACCTCCGTGGCTGAGCTCGTCTCCCCGCTCTCTTCTGGGTTACAGGGGACTGCCGTCAAGATTGCCCAGTATAGCACCAATGTGCTGTTGGAAGGCTTACCGGAGCTGGTGAAGGTGCTTCAGGAGGTCGCAGCAGTCCACCCATTCATCGCGCGTGAGTGTGTGTAGCAACTACAGGTTACGCTACTCGCTGCTCACTCGATCGGACGCCCATACTAGTTGCCGTGGGCGCATTTCGAGTCGCGATCGAACTCGACTTGAAGAGAAGAGAGAACGATAAGAAGATCAACCTCCTTTTCACGGAGATGAGAGACATGATGACCGCGCTTGTCGAGTATGCAGTTCCATTCGCATTTTATATGAATTTCATTGACAATCCTGTCTCAGATTGGGGGATGTGAAAGAGCCGAAGCGCGTCGGGAAGGATGGCAAGACCGTCCAAGAGCGGCTCCAAGGTCTGGTGGACATCATCGAGAGTGACATCCTCGACTGTGCCAACGTCTGCGACGCATACGCTAAGAAGGGCATGACTGCTAGGGTCCTCGGCAGCATACGCTGGAACGAGAAGCTGCAGCAATATGTGAAGCGGTTCACGAAGCATAGGGCGGACATCGAGTTCACCCTTGCGATTCACCTCGGTATCAACATTGACATCGCGAACCGGAAGTTGGATTCAATTGATTCGAAGTACGTACCTAACGACGTCTCGTTCATCCGTTTACTTTACTGATTACTTCTCCAGGGTCGAAAGCGTTCTCGAATTTCTGCAAGGCTGTACCTCCCCTGAGGAGAAGGAGCTTGCGATGTTCATCGAGTCGCGCGGTGGTCGGGACGTCGTCTTGAAGAGCGAACGGCTTCTACTCGAGCTCATCAGCCAACGACCTCGGGCCAACAACTCTAGCGCAGACGGCCGATGGGCGAGCAGACAAAGCACACTGGACCTAAGGGCACTCAAAGAGGAGCTCTCTGAAGAACCCGAGATCTCCATCACTCGCAATTGGAGCGCCTTCGAACGCAAGTTCGAGATGCAAGAGAGGGAACTCGGACGAATCCAGGAGATCGTTCACGAGGAGAATCAGCTTGTCATCAAGTCGGTGACATCTGGGCCTCATGACAAGATCCGGGATAACGTGAGTGCACATTGAGATTATCATGCGGAGATCTACCTGACGACGCGACTGAAGGACTTGCACAACATCTGGCGAGAGATGGTGCGTCATTTGTTGTGTGTCATCCGCACGTTCTCATGATACTGTGACGTAGCGATGGCGAGGGAACGTGAAGGCACGCCATTTTGTACTCGCCCTACGTGACTATTGCCTAGAGAGGCTCGACAAAATCAAGAAGAACGAGCAGACGTTTGTCGACTGCGACCGGCCCACCAACATTGACGAACACGACGAGTGGACGCTCGACTATATCAGCGTCACTCGCTTGCAGGCCATCATCGAGGCTTTCGACGATGACGCATCGGGCTTCATCACAGTCGGGGAGGTGAATGCGTTTACAGCGTCGAAGCCACGAGAGTGGAGGTACGCCGTCTGCACGACACTTTGACGCCTACTCTCTTAATCCATGTCATCAGTCTCCTCCACTGGATGGCGTACTGGGCGATCGGTTTGTCTCATCTATCCTTTCCTTGTTCCGGTCGTTGAACTTCCTGATTAGGTTGGCAAATGACGATGACTCGATACGTGATAGAGATCGACAGCCTCCTGGACAAGATGTTCGCGTTAAAGAAGCACGTCCTTCCCGCGAACCGACGATCGGTGGAGCAATACCTCGACGTGGTCTGGTCACCCATCACCGAGCTTACCACAGGGTTCCGGCGTATCGAAAGGAACGATGTGGTCGAGGAGCGCTTCCAGTCGTACGTCAATGCGGAGGAGACCCGACTGCGGGAAGCCCTACAGGACATCAACTATGACATTGACGCGGCCGACATCCTCCAACTCGTCACGGGCCCAGGGCGTGTGGAAAAGGTACGGCGCATCGTCGCTCCCCCTTCACACGCTGACCTTGCTTTTCTGGATAGTTCCTCTTCCCGCTGCTTTGGCTTCTTCTCAAACGGGACTTCGAGATCCTCAGGCTGTCCCGAAACGTCGTTCTTCACAGAGACGAACTTTGGGATTCGGCGTCGAGTTTGAAATGGGTTTTCCGGGCAGTAAGCGACCGTTGCACCAACCTTGAAAGTAAGTCATCGTGGGACATTTCATGATAGTCCTCTGACGCCATGCACGCAGACTTGTTCAAGCAGCAGAACCTCGACCCAGGACAACAATTCAAGGTGTTCGCGGCCGAGTCGGTAGGTCGGATCCGTGCTCTGTATTGCTGGTATTAAACAGGATCGCCTTGTATGCCTTATAGTTTCGCTATTGGCACGATTCGACCCCGCTGTGGTCAACCGAGCGGTTACGTGAAGCTCACTACCTCGAAAAACCCTACAATGATGCCGATGAAGACGCATACGTCGATCCCTCCCGCCTCCTCAATCACCCCGCGGAAGATACTTCGAATCCTCTTGAGTCCTCGCAATATTTCGAGACGAACGAAGACCAGCAGGCGAATGGAGCTATCAGGCCCATGTGAGTTGACAACTTGAAGCTTTTGTCATCTGTCTGACCGTGTTCAAACCCGTTTTAGCCTTGGGCAGTGGTCTGGATATGTCGGTGACTCTGGCATGTTTCCGGGCGAACCGATGATGCGTTTAGACATACACGCCTCACCGTCGTCCAACTTGTTCGTCGCTTCCGGCACTATTCCCATCGGCACACGATTCAACGTTTCGGGTACCACGGCATCCCCGAACGGCACACGGAGCGTAACTTATCAATTCCAGCTCACCTATGCCGCACGCTACTGGCCGCGGATCTTCCGAGGCAGGCTCAGCGACGACGGACGGGAGCTCTCTGGCGTATGGACGTGCAAGGGAAACTACACGGAAGGCACTTTCCTGTTTAGACGTCTTCCTCCTGACTCTATGCGCTTCTGGCCGCTGCTCGCCGATGTCGAATCAAGAAAACCCCTCACGCTGTGGCGCTTCGCACTGTCAGCGGTGCAAGACCAGGTTCGACGCAAGATGCTCTCCATCAACCTGCTTCGCGAGCGACAGGCGATTCGCCAACGCTACCTTCGTGCCATCCGCGTCGGACTCTCCACCCAGCTTCCCGACGAGAAGGATCGCCAGACTCTGATACACTGTTATCTCTTCCTCACCCCCTCCGAGGCACGATATTATTACTCGGTGTATGAGTCCATGCAAAGTATCTCTCCGAAGCATTTGTGAGTGATACGCACCCGTCTGTCATCTTGTATTATCTGCTTATGCGTCTTTTCCGTAGCGGTATCAAATGCGCTCATTGTCGGGCAGATATCTATGGCTCTCGTACCATGTGCCTTGACTGCGGTATCCGGACGACTGTAGACCTCTGCAACAGGGCGGAGTGCCGAGAGGCCACGATTGGACCGGATCGCCGAGACGATTTGGTCCTTCCGCATCTGCCGTCTCATCGTATCCTGAAGGTCCGCCGCGTCATCCACCGCCACCGGGAGTTTGGAAAGATGTACCGCGCCGCGCAGGCCGCTCTCATCAGGGCCGAGGAAGCGCTGGCCGACGCCGACGACCTCAACAGTCCGCAGATTCTGCACGGCGGCCATTCGCGACACCCGAGCGTTCGGATTCGGACAGAGCAGCTTGTCGACCGCGAGCTCTCCTGTGTCGGCTGCAAGAAGCGGGTCTCGCGACCGTGCTGGTACTGCATCGATTGTGACGGTGCGTCTCTCTATCTGTCGTACGAACCTTTCCTGACGATCTACTGGCAGGCGAATGCTTTGTCTGCCCTGGCTGCGAATCGACGAAGATCTCGTTCTCCAACGGCCACAAGCCTATTCATGGCCTCGTCCGCTGCGCTCTTCCTCGTGACGACATGGCTAAGGCGGCCGATCTGGAGTGGTCGCACTCGCGCATCGACGCCTTGGAGGCGAAACTCGAGGTGTTCCAACGGGACTCGGCGTCTCGCTTCGACGCGCTAGACGGCAGGCTTTCTGGTCTTGGGAACCATTCCGCCGACTTGGAGGCTATGCAGGTCACGTCGAACCAGAAGCTGGAGACGCTTGATGTCAGGCTCCAGCGTATCGAAGGCCTTTTGTCTGCGATTGCTTCCAAGCTGTAGTTCATATGCTCTATCCTCGTATCCTTCTTGGCTTGCCGCTTGCTTCGCTCGATGTTCTCCACTCGCCCTTTCTGTTCGTTCTATGCTCTGGTTTACTCCATGTGCCTGGTTTCTAGCGCTCTCGTCCCTACTATCTTCTCAACCGATTACTCCTGGGTATTGTGTATATTAGTCACATCGACAACTGTGGTCACTTGTACATAGCTAGTGTATCTACTTCTCGCACCCTCCCCACCGACCTTGCGGCGTTCGCTCAGACGTTGCCTGCGTCCGCCCTGCAATGGGAAATTCTCGAAAGTCCAGCATCACCGCACCCCTCCGCCCGTAACTACCAGCACCTGGGCCATGCTAGGCAGCGCTTCAGTGATATAGGCGTTGCATGACCTCCCTGCGCCGTTGCGAATACGAAGTGCCGTCAGGTTGGGCAGGAGTGAGCGCAGCGACGACGAAAGTCCATCCGCAATTTCGGGTTTGCCAACCAGGGCCGAGCAGCAGTTGTGTTGCACCACCTCCTTGTAGATCACCACCAAGGTGAGGCTGATGAGCGCAGCGGGAGTCGTCAAGGAAGTGGCGAGAGCGTGCAGGAAGGAGGGTTTAGTGCTGTTAGCGGAGCGCCCTGTGGTGAAATCGTCGATGGCGACGTAGAGTTCGCTGAGAGCGGGAAATGACCCTCGTAAAAATCTCGGAAGGGACTCTGCGTAAGAGTATGTTAATGAGGATCCTTTCCATCACTGGCACCGAAGTTATCTACGCACGAGCATCAATGAAGTGCATATAGGTAATATCCAGGGCGGTCACTGCCGAGCCAAAGACGGTTCCGGGCACCGTGAAGGGTTCCAACACAAAGGGATACCCCTGCAATAAGGCACATGTCAGTGTTAGGCGGAGTAACTCTGGATCGGAAGGTGGACCTAAGAAGCTACTTACATAGAGGAAGAGGGACGTGAGCTTACTACATCCTCGTACATGTTGGCATGCTCTTTCCAAGTTCGCGGCGGCTGTCTCGTGGACGTTCTCTTTTGACACACGAGAGCTCTGAAGAACCAGGCGGGCGAGCTTAGGGGTGGACCATACGAAGTCAAGTAAGGTCCTCAGGGTGGGGAAGTTGCATTTCTCCAATTGCAATTCTCTGATGCTGGCGAAGAACGGAAGTCGCATGCGGAAAAGTTGCGGATGGACGCTCCAATTCACCGCGTTCGCGGAGAGCAGGGTGAGGTTTGGAAATGGCTGCATGAATAGACCTTCTGCACGGGTTCCTAGATCTGAGTGCAGGAAGAGGGAGGAGACGAGGGGTGTCCATCGCTCCGGGGCGTTGCGAACGGTAGCGATGAATGAGGCGACGGATGGCGCTGTGTCGAGGAGGACGTCGTGCCAGAGAAGGAAGCACGCATGTGTTGACCATGCTCGACACACGCGCGTGCATGCGCTGAGAGTACGCTGCTGCTGGTGGAAATCGCGAGTTGGGATCGGCGAGCCGGCAAAGCCGGGAAGCCAATGAATTTCATCGAGGATGGCCTCCCAGATCTCGATGGGTAGGGACTTCTTCGTCGCTTGGGCCTCCATTCAAGCTGTAGAGTTGAGGCCTCGCGTTTCCTGCGGGGGCGTACTAGGCTGTAGGTTCGAGAAGAGAATGCATCGTCGACGTGTACGAAGGTCCCTGAGGAGCCTACCAACACGCGCAGTAGAACCCGGTCGTGACAACAGTTTCTCACGCCATGCCAGTCGACTCAATATCCGTCTGTTCAACGTCCATAGACATGATATATAATACAAGGTGAGTACTGGTCAGAGAGTGTTCAAGCGCAATCATGCGGTAGCGCAGGGTCTTCTGTGCAGCACAACCGCCGTGTGTACAGCCGCTCGATCCCAACCGCAATGTTCTCCGCCCATACTGGCACGGTCTGCTGCGCGCCGCAATCCGTATGCCGAATCAAAACGCTTGCCTGGCACACAAACGTCTTGTGCTCCGCGTGAGCAAACAAATGAGCAGGCACGGGTACCCAGAACTTGATACGCCATGTGAGCGGGCCCCCTGGCTGTTCCGATTTCTCGCGCGAGTACGAAGAGTCGACCATGATCTCGTCTCGCTTGCTAGCCTGAGAGTCCGGGGAGTCCGGATTGTTGGTGCGCAGGGCGTGCCGGTAGCTTATGTTCCATATGTCGTATTCGGGGTTCAAGAGGAAGGAGTCGGACTGGGAAGGGTCCGTGATCGGTTCGGCGATTGCGCGAAAGTCGATGGCGAAGTCCTTGATAACGTCGCGGACGTGGGTGTACCCCGTCGGCCAGACGTCTTGCACCACGAGCATGCCCGCCCAAGCGTACAAGTACCTGGAGTCAGAAGACAAACTGGTTAGACTTGACGGAGACTCCTTGAGAGGCAGCGATACGTACTCATTATCGACATCCCACAGCGTGGTGTGGTTGTTGACAGGAACGATCCGCACGCTGAAACGGTCTTGCAGACTAATACGAGGCCTAATCTTGATAGTCAGCTTGGGCGCGACATCGACACGCTCTTCGTTCTTCCTGTTCTCCGCGTTCTTCGTGATGTTGGTCGCCACATCCGCCGCCGCCGGAGGGGCCCGAATCTTCAAATGCGCGCGAAATTCTTCGCGCTCGCGGGCCTCGACCGTGCCGCTTCCCGCGACGTTTACTGCCCCGTCCAATTCTGCGAACTCCCGGCCTGTACTGACTTTGGGCGGGAGCGGTGCAGAACGCAGGCTCGAGCGCATCGGCCGTGGCGGAGGTGCCCTGATGGTTTCTGTGGACGGTGCGGGGGAAGCTGCCCTCAGGAGTCGAAGGCGCTCCTCGAGCTCCTCGATAGTCGTCTCTAGATTCTGCACTGCGATCGACTGCGAGCCATAGGGTGATCTTGTCCTGTAGTCCATTGCAAGCTTGACGTGGCGATGTTGGTGGGGATCAGCTGCTGAGAGGTTAGACAAAGGGAATTGTGTGGTGAGTGGCGCTGAGATGTGAGGGGGGCGATATCGACCAACGGCTTTACGCGTCTACTTATATCTCTCAGAGCGGACGCTTGGTTCGACGAACGCTTGGGTCGGGGAGAGGGCAGGCAAATGGTATGTCCAAGCGGCCTGTCACGTAAAGTGTGTATGTTGGAAGGGGCGTGGGGGGTGGCGTGGGTAGCTGGTCCGGGCGCAGATGTGTCACTGCTTGCTCCTCATCTGTACGAAGCAACCCTGGAGCACATACGTGATACAATATTCGAACATTATACGACAATGCTGTTCAGAGAAAAATTGAGCAAACGAATGTAAGGCTAAGACGGTCACATACCGGGGAGCGCGACATCGCGAGACCCGTTGAAAAGTGACACGAAAAGGCGTAGAACCCGTGAAAACGACTACTCTGGCGGTGGCTGGTACTCCGTCCACTCGCTGGCCGAACCACCATACCCGAGATGCAGCACTTGACCCATGCTGGGTAAAGCCTTGTAGATGTGCGCTGCGCACTCTGCCGGCTCGCAGGCATAATTGAAGCGGATTCGGAGCTCCTCGAGCCCGGACAGAAGTCTAGGCAGAGGAAGCCTAGCGTCGTTTACCTCCTCGCTTTTGCCGACAACCTCCTCGCACCACGCCTCATTGCTCTTTGCAGCATGACTCTGAGTGAGGTCGATCTTCTTGAGCGTGCCGGGTAATGCCTGACTTGCAGCGACGGCATGAAGCCACGGTTTCACTGGGCCAGCGCTAGGCGCTTCAGCGTCCGGAATATGGACTGGGTCGACCGTGATGCACCGCAGTGCTGGGAAAGAACCGTGGAGGAAGCTGGCGAGGGTCTCTACATTCGAAAGGTACGTGAGGAGTGTGACGAGCAGGAGCGGGAGGTGTATTTACGTGCATCGTGGATGAAGATGTGCAGCCTGGTGACGGAGCACCCAAAAATGCTCCCGGCCACCGTTGATGAAAGGTCCGAAGATATCGACTGAATGGAGGGAATGTCAACGACGTTACCTAAAGAGAACAGGTTGGACCCACCGCCCAATCTAGTTCAAGGTTGACGAGCGCTTGGCACGCTCGCAGCTGCTGGCAGCTCGTAGATAACAGCACACCCGCTGCTGTAGGACCACGTTTGGTCGCGATGGTGCACCCGAGCACCTTCAATGAGGCCAGGTTCGGGAAGGCCCACACAACGTCCATCATCGCCCTCAGCGAGTTAAAGGTGCAGTCCCAGAGCTCTAGCGCAGTGAGGGAGTCGAAGAACGGCAGGCGCATGCGCAGGAGGCGCGTGCTGGGCCCGCGGTCGAAGCGTACGTCGTCACAGATTAAGCGTCGCAGATGGGGGAAAGGGCGTACGAATAGCTCGCCCGCTCGCGCGAGGTCGAGTTTCTTGTTATGGCTCCGCCCGGCGAGTATAAGAGTTGAGATGAATGATGACGGCGCAGTACGCAGACCAGATATGAACAGAGCGAGACGCTGTTCGCCGACGAGTCGTGGAGAGCTCCAGAGGACGTGTTGGGCCCGAGCGCGCCATGCGCGACATGTGAGAGCACACGCGCAGAGTGTGCTTTCCCACTCCCTTTGTTCGGAATAGGCGTTGTTATATGCGAGTGCGTCAATAACGGCCTCGCAGAGCTCGATAAGGGGTAAGCGACAGGAGTCCATATGTGCGGGAAGAGGAAGAGTTGAGGAAATGAAGTGGCGGGGGCCGCGGAGGCGATGCTGCCTTCGGCGAATGCCGACAAGTGCAGCCGCCACTCGCTAGCGGTGTGGCAGATCGTCGCTAGGTTTTGTACATGTCAGGATGTGAGATACACATTATTGACACTGTAGTGGTCGTTCGCAGATCCGCGGAGCACGCGACCAAGATGAAAGTGTATATCGACGTACGGGATCGAATGGGAGCGTACAGGAAATAATCCTCTGAGAGGCAAATCACTGGGTAGCCGGCAACGTGTACTTGATCCAAGGGTCAGAATGGGACGTGCGGTACTCGAATCTCAGGACGTCGCCCATGCTAGACAGAGCGGAATGGATGACCGCGGCGCATCTCTCCGGGGCCCTACATTCGTTCAGGCGAGTCGTGAGTTCTTCCAGGCCAACCAGCAGCTCTCGTAGTCGATGCTGCGAACCGCCCACCTCTCCGCTCGTGCGCACCATGTCCCGGCAGCACTTGTCCGTCTTCCAGTGATGAAACTCGTCGATGACTATTTTCTTTAGCGTGCCGGGTGTTGCTCGGCTTGCGGCGATTACGTGTAGACATGACGGCGTCTCGCAGTCTTCGGACATTGTTGTCAGGTCGTTCCAGAGGTAGATCGAGTGCAGAGCGGGGAAGGAGTTTGTGAGAAAGCTGCTGAGGAACGCTAAGGAAGGCAAGTTTGAACGATATCGCAGCGCGACGGGAGGGTGTTGAACGTACCCGCACGACTGGGCATCCCGATTTCCAAGTTTGTTACGGCGTGGCCAAAGACGTTTCCGGAGAGCTGTACTTGCTACAAGAAGCGCAGGTCCGACCCTCGTAAGCAGGCGCGTGTTGTGAGAAAGCACCGCTCGACTTACCTCTAGGATGTTCCGGTCTAATGCTAAGTGCGTGAGTTTCCGGCATGCTCGTCGATGTTCGCAAATGGTGGATAGATGCCCGTTTCCTGCGCCGTGACGGAGCTTCGTCCACTCAGACATGCCCAGCCGCAAAGAGGAAAGGTTGGGAAAGGCCCATATCACATCCAGTGTCGCCCTCAACGAGCGGAAACTACAGTTCCGCATGTGTAGAATGGGGATGCTGTCAAAAAACGGGAGGCGCATGCGGAGAATCTGAAGGGGAGGTCCGCGCTCAAAGGACACCCGGTGGCAGGACAATTGTCGCAAATTGGGGAATGAGTGCATGAAGAGCTCGCTTGTAGAAGAGAGGTCGAGTCGTGAGAGAACGAGCGTGGTGGTGAGTGATCTAGGGGCGGTAGGGAGAGCAGCAGTGATGAGGGCGACGCGGCGGGTGTCCACTAGGCGGGGAGAGATCCAGAGGAGGTGCTGTGCTCGAGCGCGCCATGCGCGACAGGTCAAGGCACACGCGCAGAGAGTGTCCTGCCACTCTAGACCGACGAGCCAATCGAATTGGAGTGCCTCGTGTTCGGACACTGCGTCCATGATGGATTCGCAGAGCTCGATGGGGATACGGCAGGACTCCATAGCGCAGACACAGACGCGGTGCTATGCCACCCGATGGTCTCTGAAGACTGTGCGATGACGTTAGAGAAAACACCAAGAAGACAGAGCGTAAAAGATGAGACGGACCGGATGTTGCTAGGCCCGCCTCCGGAGCCGCCAGAGGGGTGAGTCTTGAAGTTGGGAGGCGGAGATACGGAAGGGCACTCGAGCGATACACGCGTACGTAGAAGAGCTTGGGCGGACAAGTATCCGGCGGAGCCCAACGGTCCGGTCTTCTGGTAACTGCCTTCTGTGGAGCAGAGATGGGAACAATGTCCCGTAACCGGATGGTATATTTAGATCGTGCCCTTTCGAAACACGGTGAAAGGGAGAGCGAGAGCGAAAGACGCGTGGGGCGATTGAGTGGTGGGTCAACGTCAAGTGCACGCTCAGGAGTCAGAATCATGATGGTGAGCTGGCGAGCGCTGAGCATTGAACGACCGGCGATATTCGCATCCGGATGGAGGGCTGAAATGGAACTTGTAGTGCCAAGGTGGGGGAGTGAGCTGGGCAGAAAAGGAAACAAAGAAGGGCCAATCTGTAAGGACGCGGGGGTTGAACAACACCGAACACTGTTGCTACCCGAGCTATTGGCCGGATTAAAAGAGTTCGAAAATTCTCTGAAGACGGAAGGTGAGTGTAGGTAAACGCCGCGTGATGAATGCAGAGATGTAGCGAATCTGTACATTCAGAATGAAGGACGTACTTGGCGTGGGCAATTGCAGCGAATTATTCGGCCGCCCGTACCGTGTACTCCACCCAACGGGAATCCTAACTATGCTCAAAGGACTCAAATCAAAGGACGGGATGCAGGCCAGGCAGAACAGAATGCGTGTATACGGCGCATCTTTGCAGGTTTTTGTAATGTTTGAGGCCGGTCGTAAGGCTCTCCAACCTGGACACCATGCGGAGCTTTGAGCGAGTACGTACTGAGATCCGCTACTAGAACTTGTAAGTGATGATAAATCTATCTTGAGCATCTTGAGCATATGTCTCTCGCTAAGAAAACACGTATGTCCCGATCAGTACCGGTTCGCATAAGTGTGCCAAAGCACAGAGCAGTGTAATGCGCTTACCAGAGGTCCTCAAACGCTCGATAGCGTGGCTTTCTGCCAACGATCCGGTAAGGACATTTGCGTCAGACGCGGAAAGGACATAGGAATCAGCTGAGGGTACATGCTTCTCCGATACTTGCACCAACGGTTTACAAGTGACAACGCGGACACGTTGCGAGTTCGCTGCCAGCCACGCGCCTTGGCTGACACTGTTTGCTCGATTAGGCAGGAGCTGTCATCGTGAACGAAACGGGAAACGACCCCACAGCTGTCAGCCGATGACGCGAATATGGGAGGCTGACTTCATGTTCAAACCGTCATCTTCGTCCCTGTTGTCAGCCAAGGTACTCGACCAACTCCGTACCCACGCGAAACGTGCACGGGTGAGCGCGAGCACCCGCGGACAACTGAAAGAGAACAGTAGAGACAGAATGTTGCCGCCTTCCGCCTCAGAGGGCGACGATGCGAAGCCGCTTCTCAACGTACTGGAAGCAAAGCGCGACTGGCCAGCTCCTCTGAGCCAAATGTCGGCAGCCCGTCAGTTCCTACGGGATTGGTGAGCACCTCCAATCCCGTCAGCTAGAAAAGTGCTCACATTCCTATCACAGCGCGACCGCAAATACCCCCACGCTCCTCCTACCTGACAAAGACGCAGACGGGCTCTGCAGCGGTCTCATCGTCTACCACGCCCTCCTCCACCTTGGACTCGCGCCCGAGAACCTCTCCGTGCACTTCCCCGCCAAAGGCTCAAACATCCACACCGCACCCGAGCGCACCGCGATTGCCCGCCACGGCGCACACTTTATCATCATCACCGACCAGGGCAGTCGCGGGGGCCCGCCGATCGTCGACGACCCGGCTGCGCGCACACTCATCGTCGACCACCACTCCAGCACCGAGTTCCCGTGCGGCGCGACTGCGTGCTCCGCGGCGCAGTGCCTGCCCGTCGCGACGTCCGCCACTCTCGCGTACGCGCTCTGCGTGCCGCTGCTCGCGGAGTCGGCGGGTGCAGGGCTCCGGGACCGCTTGGACTACTTGTGCGCGATGGGCACGATGGGTGACCTCGGGACGGGCTTCAAGTGGGCCCCGCCGTTCCCGGATATGCGCGAGTGCTTCAAGAAGTGGACGAAGAAGGTGCTGGGCGAGGCGGTCGCACTCGTGAACGCGCGTACGTACCCTTTGTCGTTGCGTGTGTGCATCGCTAACATCCGACACAGCGCGTCGCACGGCGGAGTTCGACGTCCTCTCAGCGTGGCGCGCGCTTCTCGGAGCACGCTCCCCGCGGGATTTGGTGAACTACGCCACGAGCAAGGACGTCGCACGGCTCTTCGAGGCCCGTGCCGAAGTGAAGACCGAAGTGAATCGCTGTGCGCGCCAGCCCCCGACGTTCTCTGGCGACGGCCGCGTCGCACTCGTGCGCATAAGCAGTCCCGCGCAAGTCCATCCGGTACGTCGCATCGATTCGTCTTTGGAAGAAGACTGTGCTGACAGAGTCGGTAGCTGATCGCGACGCGTTGGTCGTCCTCGCTCAAGGGCGCGCGGCTTGAGATCGTCATGTGCGCCAACGACGGGTATTCGCCTGGAATGACGAACTTTGCCTGTCGTATCGCGCGTGCAGGGGGCGGCGTAGCCACAGCCACAGTCGGAACGAAGAGGAAGGCCGACGAGGGCGCCCCAGACGGCGAGGAAGGACGGACAGACATCATCGCGGTATTGAAAGAGTACGCGAGTAGGGTGCCAGGACTACGAGAATCGATGGGCGATGACTTTGCGCGCGGCCACAAGCAGGCGAGCGGAGGTATCGTGCGGACGGCGGATTTTGAGCGTCTGTGGGAGGTCATGTTGCATGCGGAAGGAGCAGAAGGAGAGCGACCTACGAAGAAGAGGAAGGTGGCTGTGACGGCGCAGAAGAATACGCTAGAGGGGTGGCTGAAGAAGCCGTGAGTCGTAACACGGACAAGAGAGGTAGTCCACAGATATGTGCTGTATCCCTACCGCCATTCCTGTGGCATACGTGCTCTTAGCAATCCGTCGCGATCAAGATTGGTTGGACAGAAATCAAAGAGTGGTGTGTGATAGTCCAAGAGCGAACGTCTATGAGATCATTGCTGCTGTGACAACCGGCGCGCAAACTCGATCAGAGCGCTGTAAGACGATCAGCATGGTCGCGAGCAACTTCATAGGGCCACAGATGCATACCGCGTTGGTCGGCCAGTCATGCCCTTCTCTTGGTACGCCGTACTCCGAGATGCCTAGCAAACCCAATTAGCATTCGGCCGTTATGGAAAATCGCATACGTACCTCCATCGACCCTGCAATGTCCAGATGCGCCCATCGAATAGTTGGCTCCTCCGCCCCGTCCGCAGGCTCGACGCCCTCGACGAACGACTTGAGGAACAACGCAGCAGTACAGCATCCTGCCCGCGAGCCACCAGTCTACCCATCCAATGTATGAGAACGCAGATCAAGGACGGAACGAGGGCAACGAATACGTACGTTGACGAGGTCTGCATTGTGCCCGTAGATCTGCGGGCCGTACTCTTCGTCGAGTGGCATCCGCCAGAAGCGGTCGTGTTCGCGCAAGCCTGCGGCGTGCAGCTCGTCCCAGAGCGAGTCCGAGTTCTACAGGACCCACAGAAGATCAGGGTGAAAGATCGTGAGATAGACAGGAAGGGAACGTACGGTGAAGACACCGGAGTAAACCTCGCCGACACCATAATCCATGGAACTACGTGCGAGGTCAAGAAAGTTATAACGACCGTGTATGTCACGTAACCTACCCAGTGAGCGTCGCGACATCGATGAGCGTCTTCGGCTTAAACTCAGTCGATCCGTAGTATATCGCGTCTACGCGTTGAAACATGAGAATATAAGCAGGAACACCGAGCGGGACAACTTACCGGAAAGTACTAGCCGACCCTCGGCGTCGGTGTTGTCAATCTCAACGGACTTGCCGTTCATCGCATACACACTGAGGATTTGTGGTCAAATACTGCGCGCCAGTGAATGCCATGCCACTCACATGTCTCCAGGCTTGTTCGCAGCGGGGCCCGGCATGTTCTCCGTGAGCGGGGTAAGCACGATGAGGTTGATACTGAAAGCACAGGCATGAGCGAGTAGACGGACGGACGAAACGATTGAGTGCGTACGGGACTTGGAGTTGTGCGATCGCCAGCGCGGACGCACACACGGTAGCAGCACCGCCCATATCTCCACGCATGAGGGACATGCCCTATTCGACAATGAGCTCAGTGAGAGTTAGGGGTGCGAGAAACTCGGGCGGACTCACGGACGAAGGCTTGATAGAGATACCTCCCGAGTCAAACGTGATGCCCTTGCCGACGAAAACGAGCGGCGTGGCATCGGCAGCTGCACCCTTGTAATGGCTGAACGTCTATTAGCACCGCGGGTGACCGAGCAATATCAATGATTTCTCACATCTCGAGGAACTTAGCCGGCTCTGAGGTGCCCTTAGTGACTGAAAGGAAAGTGTTCTGTGGAGAGTGAGAACGATGAAGAGGTACATAAGCGTACTGCATTTACCATGCCCTTCTCCGCGGCCCACGCTGGAACACTGTATGATGAGCTCATGCACGCCGGTAGGTGATATGCAGAACGCACCAGTATCACGAACGATAATTTCAGTATTCGGGACCCCAGCGAACTCGGCCTTGATGCGCTCGGTGAATGCCTAATCAATGTTATGAGCACACTCGTTAACATGAGGTATATCATGAGCGATTCTTGCCGGCACTCGACCAGAAGACCCAGAGCAAGGTGCTTTTTCGCAAGTCACCACGTGTCATGCTAGATGCACAGATACAAATCGATAGTCTATTCCATCCGGGCCCTCAGGACTCAGCAGACTTACCGTGGGGGTCATGATATTGGCCGGGAGCTCCATGAGTGTCCGGGAAAGGTTCTGTGCTTTGGCGTAGATGACGCCGGTCTCCCAAGCTTTCTCCGGAGAGAGCGGTGAAAGCTTGAGCTTCTCAGGCAGAGGCTCCGACAGACGAGGATCGAAGGGAGAGGTAGGTTTCGTCTTCAGAGTAAAGTTGTACGCCGCGAGATGGGCAGCGACCGCTGGAGCAGATTCAACGGGTGATACAGGTAGTGTAACTATTAGAAGGACATACCAGCAGCATGAGGGTCCGCGGACGCATCGATCACGACTTTGCTCCCTTGCACACCCTCGCCGAGGTCGCGCACCTTCTTGACACCACTTGCCACGGCCTTGCGCACGGCCTCGCGGCGCGCGTCGCCCTTCTTCTGCGCAAACTTGTCGCCGAGCGACGTGAGCGCAGTGACAGTCTCCTCCTTCGGCGCGCCGTAGAACAGATGTGTCGTTCCAAGGCTAGCAGGCTTAGACTCGAAGGCAGAAGGAGTGGACTTCCAGAGCTTCGTGGCATCTACGCCCGTAGCAGCGGCGGCAGAAGGCGCGCTAAGGTCGACGGGGAGCACGTAGAAAGACGACATAGTCCTGGCGAGAGGTGTTGAACGAGAGAGCAGACGAGAGCCGGAGCGAGCGAGCAGCATGGAGGTCCTGTCCAAGCCACGCAGAAACGAAAGCAAAGTCCTCACCGGCACTAGACGCTCGGGCTCCTCGGGGGTTCTGCTCAGTACTGGTCAGGTACCGGTCACCGCCGGCCCGGAATATCGGGCCGACGGTCACCGCGTAAACTGTGAAGTTTGAAGTATGGTGTGGATCGCAAGTCGGGAGGACTGGCGGTTGAGGCTGGTTGAGGACGTTCGAAGAGGTGTGCACGCAGGCCGTCTCAGATCTTTACATACATCGCGATAAGAAATCGCATGATAAAGGCTCGATAAATAAGGACAGATGACCTGACCGGCGTGGCTTCTAGTCCGATGCGGAGACCGCATGGATAGTAGAGGGCATCAACGTGCCCTCGAGGGTCAGCGTAGTATTAGGCCTATGTTATGAGATTCATTTCAGTGGGTAGCCTCGATGCGTGTTGATCCCCACTCACCCTGGCCAAATTCTGGCGCACTCAGTCCTGCGCCGGCTCGTCACGTTCATTGTGCCCATTTCCATTGTTCCGGCGGCGCTCGTCATGTCCATTGCCATCGTTCTGACGACGCTCGTTGTGTCCATTTCCGTCGTTCCGGCGGTGCTCGTTGTGCCCATTACCATCGCCGCGGCTCTGAGGAAATTCCGTGGCCCCGCCTGCAGGATGCTCGTGGCCGAGACCGTCAGTCTGACGCAGCCGGAGCGGTTCTGCGTCTCCGATGATGAGGGCGTATCCACGACCATCGTATCGAGGCCCCGCACGGCTTTCAACGACTCCCGTGAATGAGACAGCCTGAATGAAAGTGTTGTGAGTAGGAGAAATCTCGAAGGAGATGTACGGGATGCACGAACCGTGGACACAATCGGAATGGGAGTGGCAAGGGCGAGCACTGCAAAGGCCGCAATGATGAAGGTCGCGAAAAAAGTGCGCATCTTTACTCGAAGCGTGGCTTGGTGGTTGTGAAGTGATCTGGCCAAGGTAGAGGTGCTCTGAGCTGCTGGCTAGAGCCTTTGGGAAGCAGCGTCCTTTTATCTTGGAAGGACGGTATGTATCGGATACTGAGAGCCGGGTCGGTCTGTGCCTGCTGATCCTCGTACTCCGACACGGACACGGAGTAATCTGACCTGCACATATAGCGTCCGTACAACCAACCTGTGAGACTACGAACGAGCTGTCAACCCTTGCATCGCACGCCCGGTGGTAAAGGACATGTAACATACCTTGCCTGTGACCGGTGTCGCCGGCACTTATTCCTCAGGTCATCAACTCATTTCAAACACCATCTCAATATACATGGTTGAGATGGAGGAGCAGTGCGCTAAGCCGGAATCCCACTGAGTGACGGTCTTTGGACTCCCAGCCCGAGCATATGTAACCACGGCGCTGTTTTGCGCTTGTGATTGGTCCGGGTGCATTACGGTGGAGGCTGTGTGTAGGAGGCTTAAGTCGGTCATTACAGGATCTCTGGTTTGAAGGCATATACTTACTACTAGTCCACCAGTGGAGCTACGGTTAGAAAGTCAGGCGATAACCTTTACCAGAACGGGTGCAATGACACTACGGCAGACAGCCTGAGTTGCGAGCGTGGGCAGTAAAATCAAGTGGTGAAATGCGCCGCGTTGTAAAACGACGAGGAGAACGGAAAACAGCCCATTGAAACAGAAAAATTCAACCTGTAAGCAGTACACAAGTACTTGAGTGAGTGAGTTGAACGTCGACTCAGAGGAGTACGGAGGAAGGTGACGTAGCGCGCCGCGTGAATTACATCAAATCTAGATCTGGCCCGATCATTGGACTTTGTCTCTCTTCAATCTCTGCTGCTGGCAAGCCTGCTGTATAGTATATTATCATCCTAGGGCCCTCTAAATGTACGCCTCTTGGTATATTGTAGCGCACAAGAAACATGTCTGCGGTGCACATTGATATTTGACTCCCTTCAGTCCATAGATCTAGAGTCTACCAAAACTTCGGCGCTGCGGCCTCGCGATCAGTTGGCAGGCCCAAGTACAACGATACCCCAGAGTGCTTTACTTGCCCGGTATGTGCTGCTCCTTCGCGTCGCCTCGGGGCCAGCTCTTAGGCCATACAAGGCGCTCATTTAAAGCCACAGGATGGGAGTCCCGAGCGCGAAGAAGGCCCACGCGACGGCGTTGCCCTTGTACTCGAAATGGAGCTAGTTGTTGGCGTCCGCAGAATCCTACCCTCCCTGATATGTTTCCCACCCAGAACAAGGCTTTTTGATGCCGCTAATTAACGCGTATCCATAACTCCCAGGTCAGCCGTAGCTCGTTCTTCCCAATATTGCCAGTGCGGCTTCCTCGTCTGGCACGGCGCGATACAGCTCACTCAGTATGGTCTCCTTTATTCTGTAACGCGTACCCCAAACTCCGTCTGATGTGATGCGACACCCACATAGGACAACATCACCCGAAAGCGCTCACGGCTGTAGCCTGTAGTCCACGACGAATAAGAACCCTCACCTGCAAAACCCTCCTCCACAATCTGTTCCCTTAACCGCCTCTCGTCTCACCATGATGTCCAGCGCTGGCACGCAATTCGTCGACTTCACTCCTTTCTGCGACCCGGCCCTTCTCTATGCTATCAAGAATATGACAGAAATCGGGCAGGTCCTCGATTGGATGCATTCTCTCCCAGAGACACTCCCCCCAAGCTTCCCGGCAAGATGGCTGCCGGTCTTCGGCGAAGTCCTCTTCCACCTGGACGTGGCGGACGTCGTACGCATGCGAAGGGTATGTGCATCGTCGCTGATATAGATTCGACTTTACTGACGCGCCCTACAGGTATGCAAGTCTATATACTACGCCTCGCATACGCGCGCCCTGTGGGCCTATCTTCTACGCAAATCCGACCCCGCCTCCCTCCCGCCACTCCCTCCCGTGAGCGAAATCGGCCCCTTGGAGCAAGGGGTGCCGGCGTCTCTCAGCGCACTCGCCATCGAGCGCATCGTCGTTCGCGGTGCCTCGCTGCGCGCGAACTTCGCGTGCCCGCACCCGCGCCCCTTCCGCATATGGGCGCAGGAGACCTTCGCATACGTTCAAGACGTTTTTCTCTTACCTGGAAGCGATCATCTCGTCGCCATACAGCAGGACATGACGACGAAGGTTTCCAGTATGGTGCTGTACAAGCTCGATTGCGCTCACGACGCGGAGGCGATGGTGGCAGTCCCTTTGTCGGGTCAGCCAGTTATTGGGACGCTTCAAGCGAAGTATATGACTGTCAACGGAGTACTTGGTCTCACTGTCGCTTGCATACAAAAGATACACGACACAACTTGGTAAGCGCGTTCTCTGTGACGGTGCCCTCCACATATAAGCTCATCACTTTTCAACCAGTGGTCTCGTGGAATACGAATGTCGCGCGGCGCATCTTTGCCCAGAGACCATGGAGCAACTGGCAACAGTCTACCCGCCGGACTCGCCTCGGTATCTGTGGCTTTCGGAGACGTTGCCGGCCGCCTGCACGTCGATCGCGATGCCTGTTCCTTCGAGAGCGCCGTCTCGCGCGCTCACGCTGGGGATGATCGCCAACACGCCATGCGTCGCTTTCGCGCGAGAGACCGGGCCATGTAGGAACGAAATATGGATTCAGAGCCTGGAGGGCGGGTGCGGAGCGATGATGCAAGTCGCACCGACAGTCGTTGAAGATCCTCAATACGCGAACGCGGTACGCACTCATACGCGCGCTCTTCACCGACACATTCTGACCCGACGAAATCATAGGAGTGGCGCATCAGGTCGCTTAGGATACTGCCAGAGCAGCAGAGCGTGCTCGCGATTTCGCATTACGTCGTTCCATCGCTCTACGATACCATGTTCGCGCCGATCCCACTCAGCCACAGGATAGACGTCTTCCCTGTGAGCCTGCCCGGAGTAGCGCATGTCGCTCCATCCAGCAGCAACCCCGGCGCGCGCATCCACCACCTCGCATCTAGCGCGCACGAGGTCCGCGTCACAGACCCGGCACTCCCCGTTCCTGCGCAAAATTCCATCTACGCCGCCGCCGGCCTCGCACACGACACTTGCGCCCCGATCATGGACATCTTCGTGCACTCGATATTCGAGAAGCGCACCACAGACGCGTCCGCGGTCCCGCTCCCCACAGCCGGGCCCGCAGTGTCCTATACCCCCGAACTCGACGCCAATTGCCTCGGCATCACCCCCGATAACGTGCGCATCCTGCCCGGGGCGCGGAACCCGCTGCTGTACAAGGTCGCGCAGGGAAAGCTGGACATGCTGCCCGTGGAGGCGGATGTGGCACCTGGGGAGCGCATGGAGGGCCTCCATGCGCTGCGCGGGGACGTCACCACGGTCGAGGTACAGGGCGTGGTCGAGCGCTTGGGGTGGAATGGTGGGGACACGACGGTGGGCGCGGTCGCGTGGGACGACACGGTCGGGCGGCTCGTCATCGCTCACCCGGAGCGGACGTCGTTCAAGGTTTTCGACTTTGCGAAAATTCCGAAGCTTGGTGAGTACATCTCGTTGGAGGGGTCTACTTCGGTTCGAGAGCTGACTCGTGACTCGTCGTTGTAGATGCTCATGGGGACCGCTGGCCGATCCCCGTGGTGCGAAATGAATAGGCAGATAATGGAGCTTCAGGACAGTCGAGGAGGGTGTCTGCCGCCTGACGAGGTCAGCAAATGCCAAATCGTTCCAAAATGCGCCATCGTTATGGTCGATGGTCGGTTGGAGGGGTATGGGGCACGGTGGGTGTGCTCAGCGATGTTGATAACGGTACAGTTTCGCGCGCGTAACTATAATACATAATCCGGCCATTTGCTAATCATAAGTACACAATAATCAACTCTCCTTCGAAAATACGAACTCACCGGCGTGTATTGATCGGGTCGATGAGTCATCCGCGAGGAACCGGGTGTTCGATCCAGGTATCGTGGAGACCCTGACGTCTTCATTGTACATCTGCTTACCCTGTGCTATATTCCATTGGAATCCTGACTGTATGCTTCAGAACTCGGAATCGCTCTGGCTCAAACTGCACGCCGCAGGCCTGTGTAAGCACGGCTACTTTTTTGCGGAGTACAGGCTGAAGACCTATGGGCACAATGTGGACCTCATCTATGTATGTCCCTGTGCCATCGAACTGCTGCGATCTTGGACGTGAAGACTGGCGGTTTTCGTGCGGGCTGCTACGAGGTTACATTCATTCCGAGGTCGCTTGCATAGGGTGTCGAGCCCGTGGACGGGGCAAAGGAGCCCGCAATCCGGTGGTCGGGGGCACTTTGTAAGCTCTCTAGGGAGCTGCAGTATATGTGTAGTAGCTATGAACACACATGCAATGAACCCAGTGGGACATTGGACGGTGTTTGCAGCGGGCGAAGCGAGGCCGTCCCTGCAGCACATGGTCAGCGCTGGAGCAAGAATCTGACTGGGCGGAAAAATTGGCTCTTAGAGTATTTGTAGAAGACAATGCGCTTGGCGTTGTGTGGCAGCGGGACTAGAGAGGTCGATCAGGCATTTGCACACTGCGAGGCGGTGGGTAGGACCTGGAGACGAACAGAACCTTATTATAGGGGAAGCCCAGATGTATTGGAACCATGTTCAAAAGAATTATCAGCCGCCGTAGCCGGTATCATTGCGGTGTACGAGGTCCGAATGGGCAGATGGAAAACTGGGCAAGCGGATTGGGGTGGGTACGGCACGCCTTCCCGTCCCGCCCCAATCTTTCTCCGATTCCTCTACCTCCACATTCGCTCCTCGAACTGCTCCAAGAACGTCTCTCTCCCACTTCGCACATCGAGACGATACAGACTAACCTCTGCACACCAGTCCGTGCACATCCGGTACGTTCATTCTCTCCAACTTTCCGAATTTCCGATCATTTTAGCAAGCTCATCGGATATCCTATAGATACAGTGTCTAGCTCCGGAATCGTGCCATACCCAATCAATGCCGAGTCCTTCATGGAGGACTGTCGCTTGCCCATCGAGCTCTGCGAGGCTGTCATGAACGCACTACCGGACTGCTATGACCTCGGTCCAAGTCTCCCATTTGATCCTCTGCAGGCCTATGACGAGACATTATGGAGGCAAAGAGCACTTTGCTCGTGCGCTCTTACCTGTCGTGCGTGGTGCGCGCGGGCGCAGTACCTCCTCTCAATCTTCCCTCATATCCTCGATGATGCACGCCTCGCAAAATTCACCATGGCCGTCCAAGAATCCCCCATCATCGGACTCACGCTAGGAGATTCTTATAATCCTCATAAGCAGCTCGATGCCAGCAAGGCAAGCGAGTTCTTCATGCGTTCCTACCTTCCTTTGGAGCACTTGCGGTGCATCAAAGTCCGCTTCGACCGCGGACCTCCTCTCCGAGTGCTTCGCATGCGCCTGCCATTCTTCGCCAATATAACCACACTGCTTCTGATGGACTGTGCCTTCCAGTCTTTGAGGGCGATTCTCGACGTCGTGTGGGCCTGCCCAAACCTCGCTATGCTGAACATAAGTAACACTATACTCAAGATGAAGCCCTCTTCCGCCTCGGGGATCCGGAAGATGACCGCCGCTGTGGAGCATCTGCGAGGATGCCAGAAGCTTACAAGCCTCCATTTAGACGTGTACAACCTCCTGGCAAGTTCATACTTTCCGCCGTTCATTTTGAAGCGGCTCATGACCTATTTTTACATAGAAGTCCTGGGACCACGCTAGCGCAGGATTGTGTGGTGTAGGCCGCGTGTTCGGGTGTAACATCACGGAGCTGTACTTTGTCAGTGAGGGCAATGCCGATGCTCGCGGTACGTGGAACACAGTTGAGCTGTGAGACATGGCTCACTCTCTCAGATCTTTAGGGATGCTCTACAGCATATTGAGGGATTCGTTTCCTGCTCTACGCTCAATCTGGGTTGTCCCTGAATTCTCAGCCCCTGGGAGTATCAACGAGGACGATCGCCGGATACCGCCCTGGCTCCATATCATAGCTACGGGCTGCCCAATTCCCACAAGCCTGAAGATTATCGTGCTGCAACATTTTCACAATCAGAAAGGCAACCGCTGCTGCAAGATGTTCGTGGGCACGAGCGAGGAGGTAGTCGGTTTTGAGAAGCGACTGCCGGAGCTCTTGGTCGGGCTAGAGGGGCTCACAATTCGCTTCGATCAGTGCAGAGACCCGGGGAGGTGCGTCGCGTATGTCTGGTCTGTCTTGCAGGGGATGCACAATGTCCTTCGGTTCGAGTATCGCTCACATTGGCGTGAAGACTGGTTGCCGTACACGCTACCGGCTATGCAGTGATTATCCCCCGATCCCCAGATATATTCCTTGTCACCTTCATCCTCGTCGTTCTTTTTAATACCCCCGTTTACTGGATTTTCGTTTCACGACTTCAGACCATATTTATTCAAATATGTGCCCTCTCCGATAGCGCCTTATGTATATACCATTCCTTCGTATTCATCAAGTAGACGACGAAGCGACTTAGAAATAATACACGCTGATTATCATCCGAACATGCCGCCTGGCCTGAGCCGAAGTCTAGGGCAAGAGCGTCGACCGGCACAAGGGAGGAGGAAGAGAGCCTAAATAGTCAGATGTCAACAACTAGATTGAATGAGCAGACAAAGGAGAGAATGTTCCGACCAGCGCGTGAGCGTGTAAGAATGCAGAGCACGAGCGATGAGGAGAAACGAAGAGGGGCAAAGGTGACGATGAGCGATGGGGATGAGCGACGAGGGTGTGCGGGGTGTGCGTGCTGCATGACTTTAAGTGCTAAGTCGGACGATGCGAGAACAGGGAAAACCAAGCTGAATTCCGTGAACGCAGGGCTCTCGTACATATGGGGACACCGCTGGTGCTGCGGGTGTCTTGGCAGGCGTCGGGATGTGCATGTACGGTATATGCGAACGTTCATCCGATACGGCCGCTGCGCACGCCGCGCAGATACCGACTCCGCCGTGCTCTGCTACTATTTATATAATTGTATACACAGAAACCTGTTGAGCCCGCGCACACCGACATCGTGAACCTATATGGTCCATCGACCGCTGAGCGTCGCCGGCTACCTATCAACGTCGGTATGGTATGCGTTATTGTGGCTCTCACAACACGAGACTTGCCAGGCCGTGCACCGTGCACGCTGCATTTTTGATAGCGCGAACGATGCTCAAACTCGGGAGGCGAAAAAATGTGCAGCGCAAAAGTAAGGTGCGGCGTACTTATATGTACAGGTCATACATACAACATACAGTGCCGCGGTCGCAGGGCGGTCTGCGTGACTAACGGGAGGGGCAAGGTCGGCCGCACGATACACACAGTATGAGACACGTATGACACCGCGTACGGGGCACGATGGGTACTTCTATGCGCCTGAAACACCCTTAAGGAATCGTATACCAGCGAGCGGATGTTTTGAAATCGTCGAGGCTTAGTGTTTCTTTCTGCGATGGCGAGAAAACATTAGCAGGAGTTTTTACGGGCGCGCTTGCACTTCCGCACTTACCTCATATGCGATGTCACGCGCGTCTTAAGTGTATAGGATATACTAGGTCTAGAGCGGCGACGTGAGTCGCTGTAGCGCTGAGGGGAACCTACGGAGGTTTGACGAGGCGAATATTGGAATGACCTGTTGGATGACGTCCATGCTGCCTTATTGCGCTGCTACCAGTTTGAAGACAAGTGCGCATCAGCTTTGGTTCAATCGTGAGCAGAGGCAGCAAGTACGTGTCGACGTCAGTAGAGGTGACTGCTGATGCTCGATGACGCCGTCGCCCTCGTGTCTGCGACAACAACCGTGCCGAACGCCCACTGCGTATATAGGACGTGCGCCGTACGTACTGGGGTCCACTGACGCGTTCGGCTCGACTTACAGCCTTGCTCATACTCAGACAATACCGCACTCTGGCAGGCTCGTCGTCCTTATATATTCACAAAGTTGGCGCGGTCATGGTCGGCATGTGCAGACGGCAGACAAGTGAGAGAGACAGGAGTTTGGCAGAATCCCGGACACGCTGTGGAAAAGGGACGCCGCTCGCTCATGTCGTCTCTGCGTCGAGGCCCGTGCGCTTGCGTGTCCGACGCATGCCAAGCCACGCTCAGAGCCTGTGTGTGCCCCGTCTGTCGCATGATTGCACCTATTTAGCTCTTATTATCGGCCGAAGCACGCACCTTGGATGTGTGGAGCTTAATCTCGCCCTCCATCTTCTTGTCCGTCTGAGCGGCGTGGCTGTCAACGTGCTGACTGGGAGTCGAGTGGTCCGGTTTGGGCACCATGGACATGTGGTGAGCAAAGATATGGCGGAATAGCAGAGATTGGAGATAGATCCGGACATGAATCTCTTATTCGTGCGAAGAGACGGCGGCACGGTCGGACTCGGAGGCGTTTCAGAGCGCGTCATGGCACGCGGATCCCGTAGACCAGTTCCTCTCGCGTACGGATCGCGTGTGTGCTCCAGTGGCCCGTACTCGGGTGTATGTGACCTGTAGTTCAAAAGTAGTCATAAACTCAGACATTGGCAGCGATTGTTTAGCATTTTAAACAACCCCTCTCGCACGCCTTCTACTCACCTTGGTCGTCCTCTGATATAGCATAGACGTGTCACCTATCCCTGACTGAGCTTTGGCTGTCCACGTCTCACCTGTCCCTAGACAAGCTTATATTTTATAATGAGAGTTCGAGGCGGCAGCGACTGCTTCATTATGGCTATTGCGCAGAGATTGAGGACGTACAGCAGCCGGTCCTTCGTGCGCAGAGAGCCTGTGATAAGCCGGTAGGTTCTCGTCCATCAGATAAAATGTCGTGCACATGGTATACACATCAAGCAAAGCCCCAAGGCTACCAATCAAGGCAACAACGACATGAGAGCACGGACGAAAGAAAGAAAACCTACCTCAGATATCGGGTGAGTCCGGAAGGGGAAGTCCCAGCAACGGCGGATGCGCAGGCAAAGTGAGTCAGAGAGAGCATAGAAAGAGCAAGTACTACAGATTAGAGATACAAGGGAGCTCGCAAGACGTAGACCAGAGGCAGCAAGTACTGAATGCATGCCGATGCAGAAAGAGAGAAAGCGGAGACGCCTGCGTTCCAGCGCAACGACGGGCGCCTGTGAGGAGCCAATCAGGAGGCAGGAGGTCCGGCGTGTGACGTCGTCCCATCGCGGTCGCTGCTCTCTTTGATTTGACACGCTTCACCACCAGCCTACGCCCTGTACGCGCTACAACTGCAGTCGTACAAGCACGAGTGCGTACAATTATCTGAAGAGGAATTCTCTTTCTTTTCAGCGCATGGCCCGGAGCGATGTCGGTGCTGCTAGCTTTCATATGCTCTCACGTCTCTCGTATCTGGCCAGGACTAAGTACGTCGTCTTTTTATGTGCTACCTCTTGACCCCAAAGTGTCCTCTTCTGTAGCTGACACTGGCGAAGAATCCGCCCAGATATGTAAGTCTACTGTTTCTGCCTTTGAACTCAAGCCGGCTAGCTTTCACACAGCTCATCGGCTCTACGCTGCGTTGAAAGAGAAAGTACCGCAGCCCACCGCACTCACCTCGATCGGCGCCAACTTCGCGCGGAAAAACGACGATGGGTGCTGCGAGAACCGGATGCAAGGCGGTAGACAGCGCGTGGAAAAAGGTCCGCAACCTCGGCCAGCGTGTACAGGTGAGTAATGTCGGCATATACGTGCCTGCCGCAGACCCTCATGCTACACCGCAGGTATTTTATTCAAACTGTCGTGCTGTATGTGACATCCTTTGAACTCCCTCCAACGATCGCTGTCCATATCGCAGCGTAGAAATTCACCCTGAGGTGCCTCCATTTGTGAGCAATCGTTGACATTTCCCCGCTTTTCGTGGCTCTGATCCACGCTCAGCCACTACAAGGGGGCCATCGCCAGCACCACGCCATTCGTCCGTCAGCGAATGTCTCCCTGTCAAACCCACGTGCGTATATCTGCCCAAATTCCCCGCACTCGGGAGGCTCTCTGATCTCGACATCGAACAGGGCATGTCACTCACGCCAGGAATTCGCGCTCGCGCCGCTTCAGGAGCTGTACGCGCGTGTTTATTTCCTGTGTCTGTATATCACTCGACCCGCCGCGTATACGCGATGAGTGGCAAGTCGGTTGAGATCGACTACGCGGACACCGAGCGCCGGCTCGTTCTGTCTGGTGCTTATGTCCTGTTCGTCGCTCCTGCCAATGTTATCGACGTAGATGAGCAACATATAGATGCGATTTGGTATGGGTCGACAAAGTTGAAGCTGTAGAGTCTCTTCGACGCCGCGACCCTCGCCGGGTAAGCCACACGCCATGGAACTACATTAGACTCTTGGCCGACGTATACACATAGATCTATGACTGATGTCGGCGAAGTCTCCTCGGAGGTGTGTACAGTACGTGGAGTCTCCGCTATCGGACGCTCGATGTATGACTCTAACTGCCCATTATGCAGAAATCTGCCGCGCTCTGGAACGATCTGCGTGCTGTGGGCCTGCACAAGCACGCCCATCTCCGGCAGATGCCGCTATAAAAGGGTTACGGTCCACTGCAAATATACGGTTATGACGCCCTGGACGTCGTCAATGTATGTCCTCTCGCCCTGCATCTGCCTCTACCTATATTTAGACGCATCGGACGTGTGCAGACTGGTGCTATCTTGCATGCGGTGTTCTGCGCAGCTACTTCGTCCCTAAAGAAGTTCGTTGATAACGTCGGTCTCGTGCATAGGGTGTACAGCTCATCCGTCATTCGGTGGGCGGGGGCGATGTGCGAACTTGATGGGGAACTGTCCCGCGGCCATATATACGACTTGGCTGTGCATACACAGGCAAGGACAACCGGCGGGGCATCGGACGGTGTTTAAGACGGGCGACGAGAGGCTTCCCCGCAGCGTGCTTGCATAAGAGTTTGAATTGGCGGAGAAGGTGGTCCTGAATGTTCGTGAATGGCGATACGTCTGGAGCTACTTGACGCGGGCGAAGCAACCGCGTGCAGTGGCAGGATTGTTGATATCGATCAGGTATTTGCACACTGCGCTTGAAGCAGCCTCGGCCAGTGGTCAGGACCGGAGATGAACAGATCCATATTTCAGGAGAAGCCGGGATGTATTGCACAGGCGTCTCAAAAATTTCAGCCGCAGCGGCCGGTAACGTTGCGGTGTACGAGGTCCGAATGAGCAGAGATAAACTGGGGAAGAGGATTGGGGGAGGCACGCCTGCGTCCCCGTCTTAATCTTGCTCCTCTACCTCGCTCTGCGTCCGGGACTCAGACTCCTCCCCGTACCTCGCCCTCGCACCTCGCACATCCAGACGCTCCAAGAGACTCTCTTAAAAGAAGAGTCAGAGAGCATCCGGTTCGTCCAATTTTCAACACTGCCCACATCTTCCGTAACTTCCGCAAGCTCATCGAATTTAATACAGGCACAGGGGCTATTCCCGGGATCCTGCCATACCCGCTCGTTCTCTTGTTCCCCATGGAGTCCTGCCGCCTTCCAATCGAGCTCTGCGAGGCCGTCATGAATGCACTCCCAGAACGCTACCAGTTTTCACTACCGCTCTGGCTTGCGGTTCCGAGGGACCATGACGAGAGCGTAGGCGGGCAACGCGCGCTGTGTGCGTGCGCTCTTACCTGTCATGCGTGGCGTGTGCGGGCGCAGTACCTCCTCTCAACCTTCCCTCATATCCGCAATGATGCAAGTGTCGCTCATTTCACCATGGCCGTCCAAGAATCCCCCATTACTACACTCACGCTAGGGCAGTACTACAACGACCTTGATCATCTCGATGCCGGCAAGGCAGGCGAGCTCTTCATGCGCCCCTACCTCCGTTTGCAACACTTGCGGTGTCTCAAGGTCCGCTTTGACCGCGGGCCCTCTTTCCGACTACTCCGCATGCTGCCATTCTTCGCCAGCATAACCACCCTGCAACTGTGGAAATGTACCTTCAAGAACTTCAGGGGGATGATGGACGTTGTGTGGGCCTGCCCGAACCTCGTTATGCTGGACATAAATGTCGTTGAGTTCAAAGTGCAGCCCTCTTCCCCCACGCGGCTCCTGCAGATGTCCGCTGTTGTGGAGAGTCTGCGAGCATGCCAGAGGCTTACAAGCCTCTATCTAAACATGTACACCCCAAAAGCAAGTTCAGATGTTCCGCAGTTCATCTTGAGACCGTTCATGACCTGCTCTTTATATAGGAAACGTGGTTCCCCGCTACCGCCGGAATAAGTGGTGTAGGCCGCGTGTTCGGGTGTGCCGTTACGGAGCTGTATATCAACGTGTCTTCCAATTATCACGGTAAGCGGAACACACTCCAGTTGCGACGCATGGCTCACACATGCAAATGTTTAGACATACTTGGCTCCCTGTTGAGGGACTCATTTCCCGCTCTGCGCTCACTTACAGTCGCCGATGGTTTAACGTTCTCGATGGACGCTGAGGAGGATCAGGAACGGCCCTGGCTCCATATCATAGCCATAGGTCGCCCAATCCCTGGGAGACTGAAGATGATATTCCTGGAAGACAGACACCGTGCGGAAAGGCTTGAAGACAACCGCTGCTGCAAGCTGGCCGTCGGCACCAGCGAGAAGGTGGTTGGATCCGAGCAGAGGCTTCCGGAGCTTCTGTCTGGGCTGGTGGAGCTTATAATCCGCCTCGAGCACTGCGAGGACCCGGAGAGGTGCGCAAGGTACATCTGGTCTGTCTTGCCGGGTATGCGCAATGTCCTGCGGTTTGAGTATCGCTCATATTGGTCTCAAGACTGGCTACCGTACACGCTACCGGCTACGACGTGATTATCACCACCGCCCAGATTTATTCCATTTTGGTCACTTTTATCTACATTGTTCTCTATCACATCCTCGTTTATTCGATTCCGGTTCTACGGCGCCATGCTACATCAATTTCAATATGTAACCTGCTCGACAGTGTAATATATATGCCATCCTGTTGTATTCATCGGGTAGACGACGAAGCCCCGGGTCACCTGGAAGTCGCACACGCATATACTGCTGTAGCTCGCATGACACGCGGCTCGCGAAGAGTCGCCAGGCCGTGCACACTGCATTCTCATAGCGTGCATGGTAATCAAACTGAGCGGCGGGTGGCAAGAAAGGGGAGACGGAAGGCATCGCAATACCGAGGGCGTGCCGCGCTCCCGCGGCGCGAAGCAGGAGCGGTGGGGTATCGTCCGTGAGGCGGGCTTCGAGCGTCTGCGGGCTGCAGGTGAAGAGGGCGAGCGACCTACGACGAGGCGCAGGATGCCTTCTCGCTCGTACAATAACGCGTTATCCGGACGGCTGAAGAAGCCGTGGGTCGCAGTCGTATACGGGGATGTTGCTCCACGGGCAGCTCCCGGTGTGCCGGAGGTCCGTGTGGCAGAAGGACGGCACGGACGCGGCCCCGCGTCGCGAGGCGAAGGAATCGTGCTGGTGCTGTACAAGGTGAGCGCCCGGAGCACCCTTCGTACGCGCTCTGCTCACTCACAATGGCAGGAATACGCCCAAGGGTCGGGTCATGCAAGTGGCGTGACGGCGGTAGAAACCCCGTCAATGGGCGGCATGCGTTGTAGGAGGACGATGTGCCGGTGGACAGCATTCCCTTGCGCCTGCATCGCTGCACGATGGCACATAACTAGGTCGACCTGGTAAGCACCCACATGCAGCCTTCTGGAACTCGGACTTACTTTTGCACGTACCACGGTGGCTGCTGCGAGCAACGAGACAAATGCGTAACGTACTGCTAACATATATACCGCTCACGACTCGTCACCGCGACACAGATGAGCCGGGTAGAGATCAAAGAGCGGGGTGAGAGTTCAAGCATGAGGATCTTCCGATGATTCCTGCCGCGACAGCCGTCGCGCCCACTCGACGAAGGCACTGTGTGTCCCATGTCAGTATATCCACGACCAAGCCAAATGAGGTACATACAATCCGCGCGGGCTGACTGGTCATTCACATTTCTTGGTACGCTCCGAGACGCCTGGTATACCGGACCAACAATCGACGAAGTTATCATCTGACCGTGCACGTACCCCCAACGCCCCCGCGATATCCATGTGCGCACGCCGAATGGCGGGATCGACACCCTCGACGAACAATTTAGCAGACAACGCAGCAATGCAGAACCTCGCCCGTCAGCCGTCTAGCGTGACTCCATATCCTGCGCGCGAGAATACACAGTGCGGGAACCCAAGGACGTACGTTCGCGTTGTGACCGCAACTTTGAAGGCCATGTTCGTCGAGCGGCATCTGCGAGATGCGGTCGTGCTCATGCGTATGCAGGCCTGTGACAGAAAGAGCCCGATCCTGCGATATGTTCCGCTAGAGTTATAGAACGGGCAGCTGATAGCGAAGACACATACCATGAACACGCCGGAGTAGACTTGGCCGACCCCATAATCTATGGAACTATGCGCCTACTTCGGTATATATCTCACATAGGTCTATGGTGTTCAGTCCATGGTGTGCAGGCTACCTGGAAAGGGTCGCGACGTCGAAGAGCGCCTTCGGCATCAAGGCGGTTGATCCGTAGTAAACTATTTCCTTATGCCGATAATGAGAACAACAGTAGGAGACGCGAGCGGGATGAACGTACCGAGCAGGACAGCCCGGCGCCCGGCGTCCATGTTGCCGGTACGCAGCTCCCCCGTCTACTTGTCTAGTGAGTGGACACGCAGGTAACTGGGGGGGGGGGGGGAACGAAGGACCATGAAGCTCACCGTAGGCGTCATGATATTCTTCCGGAGAGAGAGGGGAGAGGTTGAGCTCTCCAAGTACAGGATGCGACAAACAGGGGTCGAAGAGAGCTGCACGTCGTCTTTAGGATGTATTTGTGGAGCGTAAGATAGGCGAATACCGCGGAATCCAGTTAAATGGATGTCGTATGCAATGCAACAACTGGAAGAACATACCAGCTACTGCTCGTGTTTCGAGGCGCGATTGAACCTGAGACGCGCCGTACGAGGGCTAGCGGTCTTTGAATCAAAGACAAAAGGTGTAAGTAGTTGGCTGCGATCACGAGCAATATTGCGGCGTCCATAGAGGGCGCACTGAAGTCGACTGAAGCGTGTAGAAAGGATGATACAAGAGATGATCGATGACCACAGCGGAGCGACGACGACGGCGGCAGTAGCGACCACGTGGCAATGACGTCACGCGTCAAACGTCCTGATTGGCTCTTCACAGGCGCCCGTACCTCTGCTCAAACGCACTGGTCCGAGTCGCGATCGTCTCTCTCTCACTATCGCATGGCCGCCGTGCGCTGCCCTGGTCCACGTCTTGCAAGCTTTGCAGTGCGTCTTTTCTAGAGTGCTCTGCTCTCGAGTCTGTCTCCGCCGCCGAGGCTGGGATCGCGTCCTCCGGTGCGACTCACCCGACGCAGACATAGGGCCTTTCCCCTTCGTCCACGCTCCTATCTTATCGTCGCTTCCGTGCGATCACTATATGGTGCGCGCTGCTTTCTGTGCACTACATCAACACAACTTCCAATATTTCGATGAGTGAGGACTCAGTACTCGGTACTGAACGAACCAGTACAGGTTCTCTGTGCATGAACTACCAACTGTACGTACGTCCACATACCTGCCAGTACTACATCAACCACCTTCTCTTCCCCGCCGACAGCCGAACCTTGATGCGTACGGAAGAGGGACACCTCTGTGGTATGCATCCGCCGCGACGCCCTCGCGAACGCTTTCGACTACATTACCTCCCCTTCGTACGAATCGCGGGAGACACACATCCACAATCTTTCCCGTAAAGCTATTGCCCCATTGCAGCCTATCTCTATATCTCGTCTTCCGACAACACCTGGACCTCTGTATGGACGAAACTCAAGCCCCGCACATCCGAGGTACGTGCTTTGGGACATCACGGGTGCTGAATATTGAACGGGCGCCCAAATGCAGCGTGGACAGCACAGACAACGCGGACGCTGACTCGGGGCAGGTCGAACACGGCGGATACGAACGCGCACGGGCTCAACATCGCGTCGCCCCCGTTCCGTGGCGTGGTAGTTCTAGGCCGGGTTCAACACGCGGGGTGCCCAACCGAGCGCGCCCTTGGCGGCCGCTATGGGTCCACCGGAGCGTCCTGTTGTTGCTCGAGGGCGTCGGGGAGACGGCCTGTGTCTTCAGACGCAGAAACGGCACGAGCTGAGACTGTTCCGTCCTCGGAGAACGTCGTGTCCGCGGAGAGTGTCCCGGGCTTACAGATTCTCGTCGCGTGTAGGAGCATAGGAATACCAAAGTGAGCCCCGCTTTACATTCGCCCCAGACTGGTCGTTTGCACCATCGGCTGTACGTCGTCCAATCCCGCGCCGTTGTTGCACTACTACACCCACCGCCGCCTCCACGTCGCTAGTCGAACCCTAGATCCGTACAGAACGACTCCGCTTATGCTTTCGCTACGGTGCGCTCTCAACCACCGTCGACTACACCATCATCCCTTCGTACGAACGGCGGCTGATATGCAACTGGAATCCACCGCGGATCGCCGCTGCTCCGCCCACGCTCTGCTCGCCACCCGCCCTTGCCTCGCGTCTACCGGCCACGCGTCGCTCGCTCGCACGTACTCAAGCTACCTATCCACTGCAACGCTGATATGAACGGACGGGCGAGACCCAAGCTCCGCACATCGAAGGTGCGTGCCTCGGGACATTATGAGCGCTGAATAGGCCCATAGATGCGTCGCGGACAGCGCGGACGCCGGATCAGGGAAGGTCTCTGCGGCGGAGACGGAGGCGTACGGGCGGAATATAGCGTCGCCCCCGCTCTCTGGTGTACCCGTTCCAGGGCGGGCTCGACACGCAGGGTGCCTAGCCGAGCGTGCCCCTGGTGGCCGCTGTGGGTCCCTCGGTGCGTCTTGTCGCTGCTCGAGGATGTCGCGAAGGCATCTCCTGTCCTCGGACGCAGAGAGCGCACCAGCGGAGGGCCCTACGTATGCAGCGCGCCCCCCGTCCGCCGAGTGCGTCCCAGAGCACGGCCAGCTGCTCCCTTGCGGTGGTCCGCGGTGCGCGTATGTACACCCCGCGCTCGCCGATTGCGTCTACATGCCGGGAAGACGATCCAGTCCGAGGGCGGTACACCACGGCTGCGAATCAGGCTGTTGGACGACCCGAACTCCTTGGTGGCCGGAAGCCGCTGTAAAAGAAGTACCCCTATCGGTACACCACGCCCGCCTGGTATATGATCAGCGATGGGTCTCACGATGCGGTGTCGACCTGCGACTCTGGGAGGTTCGTACTTCTTTCTCTGCACGGGCATGTCTGATCCAGGTGTCTGGAACTTACGAGAGCTCGTCGCGTGCAGGAGCATAGGAATGCCAACGTGAATCCCGCTTTACATTTGCACCCGAATCGTCGCTCACCCGCCTTCAGGACATGCTGCATGCGCGCCAGAGGCATCCCAAAAGGAACGACGTTGCCCCATAGATCTCGGCCTCAAGCGAGGTGGAGTGTAGACGTGTACATGATCTCACACAAGCTTATGGTGACGCTCTGTCGCCATCGCAGAAGGAATGCAAAGCCATGACGTCTTCGAGGTTCGCGCGTATGCGATGCCCCGAAGCGCCGCACATGTGTCGCCGCACCCGCTGCGTGCCATATGGAATATGTGACATTAAGGTATGTACCTCAAAGTTCAAACATCGCGAAGGGCGCGGCCAACCCGACGTCTCGCATTCGCGCAGACGATGCAGACCGCTGCGGTGGAAGTTACATAGTCTGCACAGGTGTCCATTGTTCGCGTCCCGCGCCCCGCTATCCCTCTCTGTATAGTACTGTGAATGTATGTCAGTGTGTATCATGCATTTGTCGACGACCAAAACATCATGCCCTCCGAGTTTGAACCCCACCCATAATATATAGACGCAATGTAAACGACCTAGCGAGCCTCGCATCGTCCGTCCGAGGCGCAGTATACGTGCATAATTACTAAATATCCTAGCGTACAACGTACAAGTCGATGTTTCTCCGAGACTATCGTACAGGAAAGGGGAGGAGTACAGTGTATCTTCAGGCCGGGTACATATGAAGAGTAAGCGAGCAGAAGTCGTCGATATCGAGTCTGGTAATCGAAGGCATGGCATAGGAGAATCACAGAGACTGTATACGAACTAGGTAGTCAAGTCTGGAGCAGAATGTGCGAGCGTAAAGTAAAAGTCATGGTGTAGGCGGGATGTCGTCGCAGTTATCGTCTAAGTGTGAGCTCGAGTCCGAGGCCTATTGCGAATCGGTGTCCTGATCCAAAAGCCGCGGAACATCCTGTGGAAGTACGGTGTATGGTATCCATGCATGAGGCCATCTAAGGTACTCAAACTGCAGGACATCGCGCAATCCAGGCAAGACATCCCAGATGTACGCAGCGTGCCTTGCCGGGTGTTTGCACTCCAGACGGAGCACGAGCTCTGCCAGCTCGGGTAAGAGCTCCGAAAGGTGCTGTGTGATGAACTCTGAACCTGGAAGGCTGTAAGCCGCACAAAGAGAGGTCTTCAGTCTGTGAGAGAACGACTATGATTGCATAGTACTGTACCTGTAAGCCGCACAAAGAGAGGCTACAAGTACTAGTAAGTAAACATGTAAGGAAGCATAGGTAGTATGGGACTTACTCTTCAGTCTGTGAGAGAACGACTGAAGAGCAGAGGCCTGCAGAGTCCTCCTTATATACTACTGGGGAGGACGATGAGTAAGCGTATAGGAAGAGGGCATGTGACGTCCAGAGGACGCTGACTGAGCGATGAGTAACGCTGAGTAAGGGAGCATAATCGACATAAGGTCAGATAGTCCATGGCTGAGTAATGCGAGTAATCCGGACGCTGTCTAGAATAGTCCGGAACATCGTAGAACGTACCAGAATCATATGGAGGGATGGCAGGATGCCAAGTAAGTACAGAACAAAAGAATGTACGTATATGGTAAGTAGGAAAGTCCATGCTGGCGTATGGTAGACGCACAGCCACTATCACTGCCACTCCCGGTCCGGCACAGCCGTAGACACAGAAGTTCAACACTGTGTGGAGCCGACCACCTCCTCGCTCGTGCCCACAGCCTCCCTACAACATTTGTGACCGTGCTGATCGTGGCTAGACCTCAGGACAATTTTCTTCAGGATCCCGGGTATTGGACGACC